CTTTGAATGTTGGGATTTCATTTCCATCTCAGCGTTCTGCGGACTGCAATCGCCTGGGTTTAGGTCGGCTCTGGCGGAAGCTTTCGTGGGCGAGTGTGGCAATTTGTATTGTGTGCTTTGGCTTAAGAAGTACTGGGTGAGGCATGCCTGGTGGTTGTGAAATGAGGGTGAGGTGTTTCTTGGTGCAGGAGTGCCAGGAGCATGAGTCGCAGCTACAGCAGGAGCGTGAGTAGGAGCCGCAGCTACACCAGGAGCCCAAGGTGCGGGGTTTTGACCAGATTAGACTTGTTTCCAAATCTACGTCTTGCCTGCCTTTTTGAATGTACCGGGTAGGCCTTTCAGCAGTCTTACTGACACAGCCAATTGCTGCGCGCAGGAGGGATGGTACAAGAGGCCGCAGGGGCCGGCAGTCTAGCCCTGGATACAGGCAGGCCACCCTCCCTACCCGATTGCAAGAGTGACCTGTAGCGAAGAGCACTGCAACACTGCTCCTATAATTGTCTCCTTTTTGGTCAGGTTCTGTTGCTCCCAGCTGCTTTCAACTTCATGCAGAGTCACATGTCGCGTCACTGATTACAGCACCATGGGATTCAAGCTAAGAAGATGACCAATGTCATGTGCAGGGATGATGGATATGACAGGGGCCGTCAGGATTACGTGAACGGAGGGGGTTACGGGTACGGCTACGGGCGCGGCGAGGGGAGGTTCCCTCGGGGTCGCGGCGGCCGGCAGCAGTTTGACAACTTCCGGGGCCGCGGCTACAGGGGCGGCCGCTTCCAGCAGGGGCCACCCTACAATCAGGGACCTCCCCGACAGCAGGGGGGACCCCCCTACCACCGAGGACCCCCACCCCATGAGGGTGGACCCTACCAGCAGCCTCCCCCGCATCAGCAGCAGAGGCTGCCGCCTCCTGAATCTGCTCCCGAGCCTTCCGAAAGGTGAGTCAGTAATACATCCTTTTTACCATGCCTACTTGCTGATTTACATACCTCAAACCTGAGGACTGCATGTGGCACCTTAGGGTGTGCAGGCATGTAGACACTCTGCTAACGAGCACGTTCATGCACGCCCTCATGTATGCTTTGATGCATGCTGTGATCAAATGTCTGTGTCCTGTGGGTGAAATTTGCCTGCATCAATAAAACTGCTTGGATGTACTGCAGATGGGAGATGGTGGATGAGGATGCTGAGGCGGTTGGCAGGGACGCCAGGAAGAGCGTCGGGCCGCAGTCCACCGGGCCCAGCACCATCCTGCAGCGCCTCGGCAGCCCCCCGCATGCTTATGACATCCCTAAAGGTGCCTTTTATCAACACCATACATTATCAGCTCCTGCCCCAAATTGTCTGTACCACATGTTAAGCACCTCGTGCTTCCTGCCACCTATCTTTGCCTTCGGAAATGATGCCTCAAGGAGGGTTGTCAGAGGTGAGTGGCTCTTGCGGAAATGTGTGGCTGGTGCTTGTGGTGCAAGGTGCTGACATACTGTGCGGTGGCGTTGCAGTGAGGAGCCGCGCCGACTCGGATCGGTCCTACAGCGAGAGCCCGAGTCCCCCACCCAGTCCCCCCAGCCCTGCCCAGCTCAAGGCCAGCCGCATGGCAGCCGCCAACAAGAACCTGCAGCCAGGTACTGAGCACCCTTTCTGCCTCTCCGCACCCTGAGATCTATTTTCATCTGCCTCGCCCTATCCTGGTTGCACGAGAGAGCTTTATAACATTGATTTAAACCAGATTTGTCAACCCATCCATGAGGGTGGGGATTCAGAGTTCCAAAAAAAAGTTTGATACCGCATGGCAGCACAGCCGTGCATGGCGCTTGCACTGCCCTCTGTGTCTTAAAATTGTCCCTCCTGATCTTGACTCCGTGGTGGTGAGGAATGTCATGCCTGAGCAGGGGTGAGCTCATTGCTGAAGAGCGGGTCGGAGTATACCAGCCGACCCACCAGCCCCGACGCAGTCAAGCCTGCGGCCGGCCCGCCAAACGATGACGCCCTGAAGACAAGCAAGCTGCCTGCCCAGGTGCGCATGCCACCACCAGTGTTCCTCCTAAGGATTCTGGCTGAAAACCAATGTGGTTTTGAAGATTTCATAAAATCAGGTTTCTGAAGCCACAATATTGCCTGAAATCGTCTGTTCAACAGATCAAAATGGTGGTTTTGGGGGTTTTTTTAATTAAATGGGCAAAATGTGGCTTCTGCACAGTTGTGTGGATTAGTTTTCCAAGGCCAATTTGTGGCTTCCAAGCAGATATCCTACCTCCTTTTAAAGGCCACAAATCTGCCCCCCATTCTTTGTCAAAAGCCACAATGGCCTTCAACAGCCACTAAAGGAGACACTGGCCACGGTCCTGTCCACATGACACACTTAAAAACACAAGGAAGGGCATCCGTGAATGTCAGATCGGCAAAGACCATATCAATCAGATATAGGGTCCTGTTTGATGCTACAATTCATTGCTTATCAAGGCGTGAATATGTATAACTTCCTTGAGACCCTGTGTCTAGCTGGTATGGAGTATCAGTATGCTGTATGGGATGCTGATGGATAAGCGCGGTGTGTCTTCAGGTGAAGGAGGCGGCAGCTGCGGCGCTGGCAAGGATGCAGCAGGGCAAGGGGACGGCAGCTTCCAAGGAGACCGGCCCTGGTATGCTACACCTTATCAGACCCAGTCCATTTGCATGCAAGTGATTGTCAACCTTATGATGTACTTGCACTCACCACACATATCTGAAAAGCACCCTCGTGATATGAGATATTTGCTTCAGGTAAGAGACGTGTCTGGCCAGGATGTTATTGCATTCCTCCCTTTTCTAATTTACCTCTCCTAAGCCTTCATTAAAGAAGTGGTTGTGGCAAAGCCATGCATGCTCGAACAACATGGCCCCCAGCAATGTCACCTTCTGCTGTCGTCCCCAAGTCTGACGCTGTCTGTCTGATGCAGATGAGGCGGCCGCTCAGGCAGTCAGCCGTCGCTACAGCAGCGCAGCGGCCGCATTCGAAGGGGGAGCGCCAGCGCAGGCCCCCAGGCAGCAGCACGAGCAACAACACCACCGCAGCCAGGAGCCCACAGGCCGCAGCAGATTTGCAGAAGAGGTGCCCCCTGCGAGCCGCCACAACGGTCACGGCAGGGAGCAGCACAGGCGGCACGAGTACGCAGGTGTGCTTTTGCCCCTGCTGATCTGCCATGACCTAATATACCTTTCCGGATCTCATTGTAGTAGCTGATTTTGCAAATACCATACAGGAGTTCTTAGCAGGCCATGTTGATAGTGAAAATTTTAATTGACGCCAAATTAAAGAGCATTGTGCCAGGCTGCACTGGGGTCTGGCTGCAGATGTATGGGATCATGGTAGTGCTTCTCCATCTGTGTGAAGCATTGTGCTTGTGTGCTGCGCAGAGGACTACGAGCAGGAGTTCCAGCAGTTTGAGGCGGGATACTATGAGGAGGACAGGCGCGGAGCAAGGGAGGAAAGCCCAGAAGTAGGAGAGTATGTCAGCGAGGGTGAGGCTCTGCGCAGGGCGGACAAGAAGGCGCGCAAGAAGGGCCACAAGAAGAAGGACAAGAAGGAGAAGAAGCACAAGAGGGAGAAGCGTCGGCGCTCATCACCCGGCGCCGAAGACTTGGAAGGTGAATCACCTGTTCTGGATTTTACATCATGCCCCCCCTGGGATCTGTGCCAAGGTGTTCAGGTGCAACATCGTGCTAAAGAAATCGTCGGGGAGACATGCAAGCAACAATGCAGATGACAGATAAAAACACCTGGTCAAGTCACATCAGTGAGGACGGCAGCGGCGGCAAAGCCGCTGTGCTTGTGGTGCTTACTCATAAGCCTGAACCGAGCGCTGCTTCCTGCTGTGACAGAGGGGGAGGCCAGGGGCGACCAGGCAGCCTATGACGATGATGACCGCATGGAGACGGATGCACCTCCTTTGCCGCGCTCTGATCCACCCCAGTCCTCTGCAGCTCAGGTGTGTGAATACATTTACTTTAAGTTTTCGCCTGCGTTGCACCTGTAAGGTGGAGGTGTACTTCAAACGCCTTTTGAGGTCATCTCTTCCTTACATGTGCAATGCAGCTTGCGGTGGCCTATTTTTAACAGACCTCTGTTTTCTGGTTTTTCTATTCCCGAGGGCGGTGATCAACAAGGGATTGTGGCCCTTGCAGCAGGACCACGCCGCCAAGCGCGCAAAGCTTGATGAGAGACGCGCAGCGCCAGTGTTGCCCCCTCCTGCCGCAGCCCCTGCAGCACAGCAAGAGAAGGCGGAGTCGCTGCCAGAGGGCCCAGCCCACCTGCACATTTCAGGCCTGCCTACCTACCTTACAGAGGAAAAGGTAAATCCAAACTCATAAAACGGTTGCTTGCTGATATGAGAGGTTCGGAAGCATTGCACATCTAGGCTTGGAGTACAATGTTCTCATTTGCCCAGTCATGTTCTCAAACGCAGTGGCCCCAGAGAGTGCACTGCAGGCTATGGGGATGCAGTTTTGGCCTTCCTTCCCTGTTATGCAAGCAGCTTGCTTGCTGATCATCACAGTACAATAATTATGATACTGTGATGTAAAACAGGTGGAAGCTGTGCTGGAGACGCATGGGAGGGTGTCCATGTTGAGGCTGCTTCCAAAGGCGCCCGGCCAGAGCACGCTGTCTGCCTACTGCCTATACGCACAAGCCACCTCCACCGCCAAGGCCCTGAAGAACATCCCTACCATCAAGGTGTGGTCTCCCTCACAGATCTCTCCTTCACTGCTTTCCCTTTCATCACAGGGCTAGCGCAGCAAGCAATCTCTTTTGCCTTAGAGCAAAGCCATGGTCAAGGAGTTAGGGCGACGACACATGGCACGATGGAGGTGTTTGGAAACTGTGTCCTAGACCCGTACATAGAACATCTCTGACCTGCAGGTACCCTGCACGTCTGATCCTATAACCACACATGGTTGTGTTGACATACACCGTCATACACTTCACATGATTGGGTTGTGTGCGGCAGGTGGGCGGCCGCGCTCTCACAGTGAGCCGCATCAGAGAGGAGGACATGGAGCCGGAGCAGCCGCCGCCGCCCGCGCAGCCGCGCGCCGCGCAGCTGGCCGCCCCGGTAAGCCCGCCGCGCATCGCTGACGCCACACCGGCCAGAATTGAGCCTGCGCCCCCGCAGCCGAGCGCTGCAGCTGCGGCGGTCAGCCGGCCGCCCAGCACGCAGGAAGCCCCAGCGGCTGCCACTGCCAAACAGACGGCACCGGTGTTGGCGGCTGCGGCGCCGGTGCCCGCTGCGGTGGAGGTGCCGGCTGTAACCGAGGTGGCGCATGCGACGGGCAATGGCGTGAGCAAGGCGCAGGAGGGCGCTGCCCCGGTGGCTGTCACCAGTCGCGTGCTGCGTCTTGCAAATATGGTGCGCTGCCTCTCTGACTTGTGGATGTTGATGCCTCAGATCATAGAAATACAAAGTTAACCTTGTCGTTGTTTTACTATTGTGCCGGCCGGTTCCCTCTGGCCCCACTCCTGGCAAGACCCCAACACACCTCACCTTTTGGAGAAAGACTAGCCATGGAATCCCACCGTTTCGTTGGGCTCTGTAACCCCTGGTTAAGGTGGGTTTTGGCTTTGTTGCAGGTGACGCGTGAGGAACTGTTGGATCCAGAGGAGTACAGTGACATTGTGGATGACATCACCTCGGAGCTGGAGAGCAAGTATGGCACCCTGTCAAGCCTGGTCATCCCCCAGCCATCTCAGAAGGGCCCTGCCAGCGACCCCTCTGGCGTCGGCCTCGTCTTTGTGCAGTTTCCCAAACTCAGCGATGCGGTACGTGCTCGCCCCTCAACCTCTCTCTGTTCACTTGTTGGGGCTTAGGAGCCAACTTTTGTCCCCTCTACCCAATGAGCGTGTCAGTGTTTGTTCCTTCCATTCTCAGTGGCCAAGTTCTGTGTTTCTGCCCGGTATTTGTTTCCTTTCCTCCTCTTCTCCCTCGAAGACATCACCAGAGCAATGTCAAATCCCTGGAGGCTGGCGTATTCTGTTTTTCTGTGTGCGTGTCTGCGCGTTCTGTGTTGCTGTTGCAGGCTAATGTGCCTAATATGATGTGCAGGTAAAGGCTCAAGAGAAGCTGAACGGGCGTAAGTTTGGCGCGGGCAATATTCACTCAGAGTTCTTTGATGAAGGATTGTTCCAGCGCAAGCATTTTTGAGTTGGGGCTCTCATGGCTACCTTGGCATAATAAGCGTCTTTCATACTTCTTTTAAAGAAGCCGGTGCTTTGCTTGATCTTTTTGCATGTGGAGACAGGCGCATGCGCATGTGCTAGCAAGTCCAAGTCCTGAGCTTCCACAACCGTGCTGAGCTTTGAGTCCTGCCATGTGGCGGGCGCATGGCAGGTTTTGTTACGGTTGCAATGTAAGAGGGCCAATTCTCTTTGCTTGCAACATATTGCACATACAAGTGAGACTGCATGTTGATGAATCTGCAACGGGCAATGCGCCCATTCTGGGCTGCCCAAGACCTCGGGCAGAGTCGCTCCGGTCCGAGGATCGCTGAGATCCTACTCAGATTTTGAGAAAAGGCATTTGCATTAGCTTCGAACCCGACGTCCAGAAGTCTTCAACGAGAACGCTTTATAGTACAGGAGAAGAAGTTGACGTGCTGGCATATTTTGCGCCACCAATACAAGCCTTTCCCAAAAATAGGTTCCGAGATCGGGTCTTGGCCCGATGCTACGCTCAGGACCTGCATATTTGGCCCGGCTGCACGCTTCACTCGTCTCAAGGTGTTTTATCCGTCTCCTGCCCCTTTGCAGCCTCTTTCTATACCCAGCTTGCTTGTTTTTCGACAGGTTCACAACCACTTCTCCACGCAGGCCTCACCGATATTACCGCTGTAACCACTTTTTGCAGATAGTGGAGGGCGCCTTTGACTACATATGGTCACATGATTATCCCTTGGAGCATATAGGATTGAATACAGCCAACAGGAGCTGGCCATTGCTTAATCACATGCCAACGATGCTACGTGCAGGCCGAGCGCGTATGAGAACATTCTGCGGCCACGGGAGAGCAGTGCAAGGTTCTTTGCTGCTGATGCCGAAGTAGATTCCAAGGAAAGCCGCGAGAGCAACACTTATGAAATCGAAGGACCCGTCAAGGAAGGTTTGTGGGCAATATAGAAGCGCTTTGGTCTTTTGAGTGGTATGGAAAGTTTCCGAGTCCTAAAGAGAACTCACGAAGCTGCTGGATGTCTTTGTTCTTGCAGACTTCATCGATACACCGCTGCCTGGAGTCTCAGAGGAGGCACGATCAGGGAAGAAGCGCTGGCCGCATCAGGGGGACAAGGAGCTCAAGGCAGATTTGGACATCCCAGACGAAGGGGAAGCCATAAGTAAAACTCCAAACTACAAGCCCCACACAGACCCCAAGGCCACACCGGACCTGTCTGGCAAGTAAGGCCTCCCGGCAAACTTCACAATCATTATGTGGTAGATCAACCGCATGCAGAGGAATATTGCAGATGCACAGGGACTGAAGCTTGAGCACTTGCTTGAACCACTGAATGCCACGTGACCCTTCGTGTGCTGATCATGTGTTCTATCTGCAGGCGTTCCTACCATGCCTTCAGCGGCGCTGTTCAGAAAATGCTGGGCCAGAGGTTGAGGGGCCTCCACAGCGGGGACATCTTCCTGGCAGAGAAGCACCCGGATGACCAACATGGGGAGGAGCTGAAGAAGGCCGACAAGAACCCAGGTAAACATTTGCACGATTGATCACTCATGTCCCGGCCAGTTCAGGGTTACACAGTTGGTTAAGCATCATCTGCAAATGAGTTCTCCTACTCTGGCGCTTGCAATGCCTCGCCTGTCTTGCAGTTCCGCTTGTCTGAGAAGGGGCCAATCGGTTGTTCAGGGAAAGCAGCAGGTCAGTTATCTATCTTTGGTAGTTCTTAGGCAGGGCATGACCTCAGAAAGTTGCCGTGTGGCGTGCAGATGATCCGCAGCACGGCCATCTGCCGGGCGACTTTGACTACCTGCCCAACGAAACCGAGCGCGAGGATGTCATGGACCCATCGCGCCTGCAGGACCCGGACAAGCAGATGGTGCGCCCACTACACCTTTAGCCCAGCTTTTTTTTGTTTTTTTTCTTATTACACGCTTTTCCTGCCAAAAGGCAAGGTTCGTCCTGCAGACCAGCTGTAGTCAAAGGCTGCTAGCCATCAACATACGTCTTGACGGGCTCGCCAGATCCAAGCAAGACCCAATCCACCGTGGGCACGGTGCTCAGCATTTAAGCCGCCCCCCGCCAGCCGGGGCACAGCTTTTGGTACCAAGAAGGGACATTCTTGCATTAAAGCAAGACATAATGCAAGGACGTACAAGGCAGTGCGAGCGCCAAGAAGTGAGAAGGGGCTGCCTTGCGGTTCAAATGCGCTGCATGCAACACATAAGACACCTGGGGTTCATGGCTTCCTGCGCTTGATGTCAATGTGGTGCATTGCCAGCTGAATCCTATAGCCATCACTTGCTCTCAAGCTGTGCTGTGCTGCTCTTGGTGATGCTCCGAGCTCCGGGAGTCCCTACTCAGCTGCGGCCTGTGCGCAGAATAGTAAGTGGCCAGTGGATTACAGATGGCTGCTGTGCACACCTGTGGGATGTCTCGCTGCTGTGACTGAGGAGTGGAGTTTGCCTGGCCTGTCAGGAGCGGCGCAGGGCGAAGGATCCAGAGTACTTTGACAGGGTGCATGGCGGCAACCCAACACAGGCGCGTGAGGCGGCAGCCGATGAAGCAGAGAAGAACATGCATAAGGAGCGGCGTAAGAGCGGCGATGACATCTTCACCGGAGATGCTCAGGGCTGCCCCAACGCCGCCTGAGGGACTCGAGCGCAAGTGACTCATGCTGACTCATGAATGAAGTCAGAGTCCCTACCAGCGGGTCTGGAGTGCATAAAGGAAGTCGTTCTGCTGTGTGTTCTGATAGCCCTGCACATGATGTGGCGCGGAATGGGCAGATCTGCAGCAAGAAGTGCCGCAATTCATTGGTTGTCAACGGGGGCTATATCTAATTTGAGATGTAGAGCCCCCTGGTTATCAAGATGATGGGGGAGGTCCCCTGGTCAGGACAGGTAAGCTGATCTGCAGTCTTGGATATTTGGTGGATCTGCTGTGGCAGTAAACTCCGCGATTGCCAAAGTATTGGGTGTGAGCCCTCCTACCGATGGTCAAGACCGTGTGCATAGCTGCGCCTCTTGCAGGGAAGCTCCGGGCGGAACAGTTCAGATTGTAGCTGTTATTAGTGCACACCTGCTCTGGTGTCTTGGATAGACATTTGCACAGCAGTGTGCATGCGTGTGTGTATGGCAGTAAATAAATTTTGCTCAAAGCTTTTCTCACTTGGGCTCCTTTCCTTGCTTTCTGTGATCGATATTTCACGACGCTGGAACTTCCGCCTTAGTAAGGCAATGAGTTGATAGAAACGTGGGACGTGGAGTGGCTATTTTGGCCTCTTGTCTGTATTGAATCTCCTGGATGTTGGCAGTGTCTGAAGAGCTGGGCAACTGATGTCTAAATCAAGTGTGTGGACCGGATTTTGGACCATTCATCTCAAACACACCATAAAGTACCTTGCTTGACTCCGTTGTACCTCCTGCACAATAGGAGATGTACAGTGTATACAGCTCTGCTGATGTTTCAAGTATGTTCTTGACACGCATAAGGGTGCATCGGGCACAGAGCTTGAAGAAAAGCACAGCATCGTTGACTAATTCAGAAGCTTCCAATGAAGCTGCGGGACCAGGGTCGACCCTTGCTCGCACCATGGCGATCACAGATCCAAAACAATTGCAGAAACCCGTCAGCCACTTTTGAATAATCTCCTGGGATTTTGGCGATAGAGGTAGGAGAACGGCGTGAGAACAACTTTGAGACGAACGGGCTTCTGTGAGAAGAAAGAGGCCTGATTTGTGCAATTTTGCAATTCTGGCGATTTCATCATCTTTGGTAGAGGGGCATCTTAGCGAGCATTCGCACAGGTACCATCGATTTGTGCATTCCCTTAAATGTGCATGCCTCAGTGAGCAAGCGCAGGAAGCGGCTTTTACTACCAGCAGGAAAGCTGGAGAAGGAAGCGAGATTGCTTGACATACCTTTCGCATCACAATTCTTCCTCAGGATCCTAAACTCTACTTTCTGGGTGAATGAATATCGTCGGAGAACGAAGTTCGACTTCAGCACTGTCAACTCAAGCAACACCTTCGTTGTTGGTGACAGTCCAGGTGCTTTTTCGATGGAAGCAATACCGCCGCCTGATGTCAACAGCAAAAAGGAGACTCAAATTCCAAATCCGCAGCTCCTTTTAGGGCCACAGCAGGTGAGCAAAGTCCCCGATTGCTCCCAATACTTTCTTGGTAGCTGGAATATTTTGCCAACCCACACTTGCAACCTCTCTGCAGTGCAAAGCGCTCGTGCTTTACAGCAAATTTGATGTGTCTGGACAAGGACTTTTTATGTCACTATGGCTGCATGCGCAGAAACGCGACCGGGGAAGAAAGACACTGATATTGGATTTGGACAATACCCTAATAGTCAACGCAACAGAGACAAGGGGCGATCATGACTTCACCATTATTGCGTCGTTCAAGGACAGTGACATAATAAAATACATGCACATACGCCCCTGGGTGGATGCACTTCTGAGCGCCGCCTCGCAGCACTTTGAGATTGGCGTTTTCACAGCCGCCACAGCAGAGTATGCATGTGAGATCCATCCCCTTGCAGTGCACCACATTCTTCCTGCTTGTGTCGCCAATCTATACTGAGCTGTGATGTGCTGGTCAAGAACGGCTTGCCACAAGCAGTTTGCCAATGTCCCCTTTGGACCTTTCTGACATCAGGAAGTGTGTTTGCAGGGGCTGTTCTGGAAGTTATTGACCCAAATAAGGTGGTCAGGTGGGTGCTTTCGAGGGAGGACTGTGAGTACAGCAGTGCTGACAAGTGCTACATGAAGAATCTGCACCGCTTAGGGAGGCCACTGTGCAGCTGCATCATGGTAGATGATCGGCCTGAGGTTGTGATGCCACGAGAGAACGTGCTGCCCATAGTTAAATACCTGGAGAAGGACCCGGATGATGAGGAGTTGCTAGATATTTTGCCTCTGCTCCTGTCCCTCAACAAAGATTCAGATGTGCGACACCGCTTGCGAGCGATCAATGAATCCGAAGAGGATGAGGGCAGCCAGAAAGAGTGGATTGCAGACTTTGAGAAGCAGCCACAGCCGATCAATGAATCCGAAGAAGTTGAGGGCAGCCAGAAAGAGTGGATTGCAGACTTTGAGAAGCAGCCACAGCCGCTGCCGCAGCCGGCAGGAAACGTAGAGAATTGGATTGGGTGTGTGTCTGTTGCAGCAATGCTTGAACTGTACGGATCTCGACTGCATGCGCCGCTGGCCAATCTCATAGACCTTACTGAGAACCTGATAGACCTCACCTCAGAGGTTGACTGACCATAATTTTGACTCTCTTAGCAGAATTTTAGGGGTGGTTGTGAGCTCCCTTTGTAGCAGTATGCTACTAGCAGACATGACCATGCTGCCAACATGACGTCCACAATACGAATTGTAATGGCTGTTTGGTTTCGGTTAAAGAATGCTGCACGCGGTGGATGTTGGACGTGAATTTCTATGTAAGCGAGATTATGAAATTGTAGTGAGATAAAGCATGACTGTCCTCTGTTTGGAAATGCTGATTGGTGACCATAGCTACATATTGTATATCATACCTGTCCATACAATTTGTTGAACGTTGCACGCTGTCACAGGTACGGTATCATTGATTAGCCTTATTCAGGGGGTTCTACATTTAACAGGGGGTTGGAATAGAACCCCCTGCCCTATCATATCTAGGGGTAATTGAAAAAACAACGTTTTCTATTTTATTGCCCCTATCATTTCAGGGGTGCAGATGCCATCCTGGTGCAGCTTCCCGTGAAGCTGCAGGATCTCTCTGCATCGAACGAGCGAGTAAAATTTTCTCACATCTCAAACCGAATAAATTGTCATCGTTTCTAAAGCAGTACCGTGCAAACGAATAAAAGTCCTGGACACGTTTCACGACGAAGGCAAAGGTTTACGAGTTGCCCAGAGCTGTATGGCGACGACCACTGCTTTCACAAGCAGCTCAACGCGATGAGGTAGTATCTCCTGGCGGCAAAGAGAGTTTGTACAACAATAGAAGGAGAGCGGAATTGGCTGGGTCACAGACGAACCTGCCAATCGAAAGGTTGCGCCATGGGCTCATTGTGGTGTGAAAGTCGTAGAATAATAGAGAGGCCCCGAAGGAGAGAAAACAAGGTGAGACGTCGTGCTCAGAACAATAGGTTCAATTTCAACAGCAGCTGTTCGTTGAGACAGCTGCATGAGGTCTGTGTGAGCTGCTTAAGTGTTCGTGGGATGCCTGGTCCTCATATGGCGATATTGCCTGGACTGACTTGCACACACGTTCACGCAAGGCTCCTTCCTTTGCAGGCTGCACGGATCAAAGAGGCCGAAATCGAGCTGAGCGCATTGCTGACTGCCACCAGACTCCAAAAGCAGGCAGATAGCCTCGACAAGGGCAGCCTCTTTTCATGGCTGAGGCAGTCAGCGAGTCTCTTTGCCCCAGCCCCAGCTCCTTGCAGTGCACCACAGACAATGCTGCCAACATACCAGCCCCTCATTGGGCCTCAGATGGTGCGCATGAGTCACCGCTGCCTGATTTAATGCTATGCCATATCAGTGATGTGGCAAATGAACAGGGTCATGGCACATGCTGTTCCTCATGCTACTGGATGTGTCTTGAGCGCGGCGCACTATTGTAGATTCCTCTTGTCATGCTCTGCCCTGACTCTGAGAATTAGAGTCAGGCATCGGTTCAGCGCAAGCTGGCTGGAAGTGATATTTTATGACTGACTGAGTGGTGGAATGCCGGGTGCATGCGCAGGCCTGTGTTTGGGGCAAGAAGACTCTGATACTGGATTTGGACAACACGCTGGTGGTTGCCAGCGAGGCAAACCATGGCGACCATGATTTTATCGTCGATGATTTTCCGTTTGAGGGCTACTACATGCACAAGCGTCCAGGGCTGGACAAGTTCCTTAGCGCAGTCGCAGAGCACTTTGAGATTGTTGTCTACACAGCTGGCACAGCAGACTATGCTGGTGAGCTCCTTTCCAACCTCTAGCCGCTGTCCCTTGTGGGCATTATGATCTAATGGCGCAGATTTCTTCATGCCCTGCGGGGCTGTCAATACTTGGTGGGTGTTGTTTTTTTTGTGAAGACAAAACAACAGCAAAAGTAATGGGATGCAGCCATGCAGCTGCTTGCTTGATGTGCCCATTGATCAGTTGAATCCAAGCCGTGCGCTCTATTCTCATCATGGCTGTAGATTAAATTGTGTGGTGTTTTTTGTGCAGCCGAGGTGCTAGATGCAATTGACAAGCAGCATGTGGTGAGGTGGCAGCTGTCGAGGGAACACTGCTGCCCAATCCCCGGCAGCCCACAATATACGAAGCATCTGCACCGGCTGGGCCGGCCGCTGTCCGCATGCATCATGCTCGATGACTCACCCGAGCTTGTAGAGCCGAGAGAGAATGTGCTCTCCATGAGCAAGTACCTTTGCAGGGATCCCCATGACACTGCGCTAATGGACGTTCTGCCTATGCTCCTGGCTCTTGACAGGGACGCCGACGTGAGAAAGCGCTTGCCTGTCTTTGATAGAAAGCTGCGCATGCAGGGACTGTAGCAAAAAGTGCGGTCTGAAACAAGTTTTGAAATTATATGGGAGTGGGAACATCACCCAGGGATTATGATGGTGGGTGATTGCAGCGAAACATCTGCTCATAGCTATTGCCGATAGACTGTTTGCGCCGGGCGATCCTTTTTCTGTTGTGATTATGCAGAGGTAACAAATGGTTGAGTAGTGTGGGTGTTCAGTTGCTGAGACACTTGTTGAGTCTTTAGATTACCGGTACACGTTGAGGCTGTGGGCTTTAAAAAGCCTGAGGTTGAGCGCTTAGTAGTGCAAGTGCTTCCTGGATCAAATCTCAAGGCCAGCAACCTGTTCTGCATCACTGATCAGGATGTATGGCATAAAATTCTGATTATCTCACACATTCCGCTTCTTGCCATACTCTTCTCGAGACACCAGCAGTCTATTTCCACTGGCACCAACTATGTCAGAGCCATTCTGGTAACTATAGCGCCCGCATAATTCTACCATATAATCTATGAAGCTTCACTTGATACTTCAGCACGTACAGGATGCTGTAGGGGCACACTATGGGCGGATACTGGTATGTGCTGATGTGGTGCTGATATGACGCCCCTCACAGCAGCATATCAGCAGGGGAAGTGACCTAGGAGTTCTCCTGAAATCATTTTGGTTTTAGGGTTTAAGGGTTTTTGAATTTTTATTTAGGGGTTTAGGGATTTAGAACGCCGTCCGCCTGATTCCCAATTTCCCGAAGTGAGTCACTCTGACCTTGGCGCCTTGAAGAAGACCGAGTAGGCAAACCGGTGATCAATGAATAAGTTTTCCATTTTTAAATCGTACAATTACTTCAGACTGCACGACGAAGGCAAATTTTGTGCCAGACGTAGTGCCGTCATCTGTGGCGACCAGGTGCTTCATGTCCCTGTAATAGTAAGTTTACAGCACAATGATACATCGCCCAATGCACGTTTTCCAAGACATTGAACAATTGCATTCTTTAAGCAGGGAGAAGGCTGGAATTTTCGTGCCAGAGAATAAAAGTAGTCAGTGCGGCTTGCTTTGAGACGAACGTGAAGATTTGCACCGATGGGTGTCTGGTGGGACGAAAGAGAACAAGCGTATGGGAAACTAAATCTATGGGTGCCAAACAAAGAGTATAAGGTGAAAGCATACTCACTCCTGACCAAGATGAAGACGTTTGAATGCTTTGCGTTCACTCTTCAATCAAACCCTTAGGATCACCATGATCGTTTCTTAATGTACGTTACAAGATGTGACTTGCATTCAGATATAAGTCGTCGATTAAGTATCCTTTCTTCGCAGGGAGTGCTGATCGGAGACGCCGAAAGCGAGCGAAGCATACAAGCGAAGAAGCCCCTCATTGGGCCTCAGAAGGTGCCCTTCAAACTCAATGCTTAAGAACTCTGCCATTTTGGATGCTGCAGATGCTGCAATTCAGGATATTGCCAGCCATCTGCCTCCCTGCAAAGCAGCCCCTTGCCAGATCAGCCCTCAAAGGGCTGCCCAATAACAAGGGATCAATTTTCTGCGCAGGAGAGCGACCGTGGCAAGAAGACATTGATCTTGAATTTGGACCACACTTTGGTGGTCGGCAGCCGCACGAATCGAGGAGACCATGACTTCATTGTGGAGGGCAATTACCACATGTACAGAAGGCCAGGGCTGGAAGAGTTCCTTCGCGCGGCCGCAGATCACTTTGAGATTGTTGTCTACACAGCTGCGAGCTCAAACTATGCAGGTGAGGTCTTTTTTCTGTACTGTTTCCTGCTCTCCTTGTGAAGCTGCCATCTGCCCAGCTGCCCACCTGAGGAACCTGCCGTCTGCCCATCTCAGTACAGACGCTGTACAACCTGTAATGGGTGGGTTGTTCAGGAAGACCAAGCAATGGTGTGTTCCATGAGCAGTGTCTTGACAGATAGAAAGAATTTTGTTTTGTCTGTCTATGCAATCAGCATTTACCGGAGAGGCTGTGGAACTGTACACGTGTGTCAGACATGACAGTCTGTATGGTGCCACTGGAAGGGACTCCGGAATTTCTGGGCAGGAGGTTCAACCAACTTGTTGCAATGCACCTATCTTTGTGGGCTCACACTCATACAGATTGTAGTGATGTTACAAACAATGGTGTCACTGTGCAGCGGAAGTCTTGGAGGCAATTGACGAGGAGAAGGTGGTGAAGTGGCGGATATCAAGGAGAGCCTGCCGCCGCGGAGCTTGCAGAACAGAGTACATCAAGGACCTGCAGCAGCTGGGCCGCCCGCTGTCCGCATGCATCATGATCGATGACTTGCCAGAGAATGTGCTGCCGCGTGAGAATGTGCTCTCCATAAAAAGGTTCAGCCGCAGCAGCACCGGCGATACTGAGCTGGCGGACATTCTGCCGATCCTGAGATCTTTGGAGGCGCAGGACGATGTGCGCGAGCTGCTGGGTAGATATGACGAAGAGCGGTGCACTGCGCGCATCGGTAAATTATTACTGTAGCTAGCATGTAACTCCACTTACCGTGAGGGTTTGCGTTTTCATGGCCAGAGTCCCCTGTAGGTGCTGCAGGTCCTGCCTAGAGAGTAGACCTAATAAGCACGTCTTGAAATAAGAGCTTTCATACAACAGCTGGCCAGCAGCATTGCTCGTGCTGCGCAATATGTCATCTTGCCCTTGAGGAAAAATCAAAGCATCTGAAGGGGGCTTGCACCTGGCTTGCACCTTCCCAACACATGGAAGCTTCCACGTGGCGCCGACGATAAGTCTAGGATTTAGTTCCACACGCGCGCTGAAAATTCTTCGACAAGCAATCCATGTGAAGCTTCCGCTTACAGTGCAAATATTTTGGTCTTGATAAAACTCTAATCACTGCGGAAAGAGGGACTGATCATGCAAGCCTTCGCACCCACTACAGTTCATTCTGGGCAGACACAGACTTTAGTACTGTTCACAGGAGCAAAATCGGCACAGACAAGTCGTACCAAAGTCAGAAATGCAAGACAAAGGAAATTGCAATGCCACGCATCCTTAGAGAGAGAGGGCAGCGCATCTGTGAAGGAAAAGAAGGAACGAGATTTTGGCTTGGGTGATATTCTGGGACCTATCGGGCTGACTCTGGGGGGATCTTTGAATAAAAAGGTACGGTTTATTCTTATTGATAAATAGTTGGTGCACGGAGGTTGATGAGTTGCACTGTTGCCACCCCCCAAGCGACAATAGTGGGCAAGTGCACAATAGGCTTTACCTTGAGGCGTCGTATACAGGGCGAACATGCGGATAAAAAAGTGGCAGAGCGAGAAATCAGCCAGCGTTCGTCATCGCAAGGTGGGCAGCAGGAGGAAGAGTCAGCAGATCAGAAGAGCTCCAGTGGCAATGGCTTGGACCTTGGTCCGATTGCGTTAAGCTTTGGCGGCAGCACAAATGAATCTCGAGGTAGGCTGGTGCTTGTTGTATTCTGCTACTATGTCCCTGCTATGATAGTGGCAGGGTAAGCTGGCAGGGGACTGAGGCTGAGACAGCGGCCTTTGCAGGTGAGGAGTCGTATGCAGAAGCATCCACATCAGGATTACAGAGCATACACAGCATGAAGACAGAGGAGTGGCAGCAGAAATTTGAAGCAGATGGCTATGTGGACCTCTGGGTGGAAGAGGAGTTCAATGCAGGCTCCAGGCTAGTGGTATATCATCGACGCCTCATATTGCTGTCACATGCACAATGTTCTCCTACACCTTTAGACTCTGGCCGTCTTGCTAGTCACCGACGTTTAGGTCTGTCTTGGGCAAGCCAAGCGTTGCGCCACATGGCCACACTAAGCAAGCTTGATCCAGCAAGAAGACTCTTGCCACCTGTTGAGATATGGAGCCAGCCATTTCAGAGTTACAGCCAGTGTGAGAGATTGAGATGTGAAAGAACAAGAGCTTCACAATTTTGGTGGTGCTGGGGTCCTGCAGGGGGGACGCAGCGTGCACAAGGGGGGCGTTGCGGGGTACCAGAGCGGGGAGGGCCCCTCGGCCGGAGTGGCGACGCGGCACCATGTTACAATTCACAACCACCACGCTGGCCAGGTTGTGGAAGTGGACGTGCCTGAAGACAGGTCAGTCCTCTCACCCCCTCTCGTGCACAGCCGCTGCAGCAAAACAAAAGCATAAATCGCTGGAAAAGCGGTACACATTATGCAAGGCGATCTGCTTCTATGCGATGTATTCACTCCTGCTTCTGCATCGTAGAATGTACATTCGTAAGCATGTGCATCATCGATCAAAGTGGGGCCTGGCCACTATCTGTGACTCACATCCTGCTCCAACCATTGGATTCTTCCTGTCCAGTGCATGCGCATAGGCAAATCCTCCTCTCCACAAGCCCATCTGCGTGCACAGGATTCATGATTGGCTTGTGGTTACCTCCTTAAAGGTGAAGCTGCGACACTGCGGGCCTAGGTGGTAAGTGTAGGCTAATGTGTTGCTGCGCAGGTACGTGCTGTGGGAGGCGGAGGATAGGGGGCTGCTGCTGCCCTACGCCTGCCGCATGGGCTGCTGCACCGCATGCGCCGTTCGCATCAAGGAGGGCGAAATGTACCAGCCACAGGTGCGGACCTGCGCAGTCGTCTGCCTTCCCCATTTGGTTCCTGATTGAGTGCTCAAGAGTATATATTAGCAGCCCTGCTTTGACAGCTTCACCCTTCGTGATGTGGCTTTGTACTGTGTTGCTTACTTTCTCTGTGGTCGTTCCACTTGCCCGAGCACTTGAGCTATTGGTGCTTGTATGGATGTGTGTCCTAGCCTTGACTGAGAACTGACTGAGGAGTCCGCTTGCATGTCATGCTGATTCCATGCCAGATTGCTGTAGCACCGAGCATGTGCTGCTGCCGCTTCTTCAGAGCTCTAAAGAAGCTTCCCTGGCTTGGCTATGGCCTTTTGTGTAACTGAAGGAAATTAGGCAGCCAATTGACAGCTGATGTTTGGGGTGTGCATGGGATCTGAATGGATGTGAATTGTGCACGTGCAGTCTTTGGGGATCTCAGCCGAGCTGAGGGAGGCGGGATATGGGCTCATGTGCGTGGGCTACCCCAGATCTGATCTGGTGCTTGAGACTGTAGAGGAGGATGAGGTGTATGACATGCAATTTGGGCGCAGCTTTGCAGAGCAGGCGGTGGACCCCAACAACCCAGACTCCATCGAGAGAGATGACTGGGCCCTTGAAATTGCCAACATGGATGAGTGACTTGAGTTGATGTTGCAAGCCTGACATTTAAGCTAATGATCTCGAGATCATGCATGTCCACACACTGTAACAAGTTGGCATTTGGCGGCAACAATCATTGTGTTCATCATGATGACTGCAAGGCCGCCTTGAAGTTGAAGGCGCACGGTGCGGCATGCAGCATAGCTTGCCAGCTTGCAATTGCAAAGCCGCTTGGCGCGCTGCGCACCTGAAACACCGGCACCGTGATCGCTGGGGACGGATGTCATCTATGGAAAGTCTTGGACCTCCTGGAACTTCACACTGTGGCATAATGCGTGGTCAACAAATCGATGTCAATATCGCGTGAAACAATCCATCTTCATCTTGCCCACTGGGCAATGGCATGGTTGTCGGGAGGGAACTCTCACAAGGAGTAGACCGGTTCCGGAGTTTGCAGCAGCAGCCGAAGGCTACGAAACGGAACAGCTCCTCATCGATTTCTGATCTTCCCTGAACAGGAACGCCTATGGAAAGGCAGAACATCTTTGACAAAGGTCGCAGCCTACTATACAAGCGGCTAGTTTCACGACATCATATGTTCTGCAATCTACGATATTAAAGTCTCCTCTTTGCGGCAAAGGACGCTCATCATGCATCTTTGAAATTGCAATTGAATTTCACAGATAAAGCTAGTGACATCCAGAGGCGGGCATCTGTGATTGTTGGTAGGGATGGCAGGCTCGAAGGGTAGTACAGTGCGTAGGAGCACAAGGAAAGCAACTGAGCACGATGCCAAGGCAGTGTCGGATAATGGTGAATTAGACGCAGGAACACCATCACAACATAAAATAATACAGAGGGCTGCTGAACAGCCCAGCCTGAGAAGAAGCAAAAGAGCAGCAGCTCAAGCATCTGCCGAACAAGAAGACGACGCTTCTCCCATAAATGCAGCTGCTGGTCTTGCAGAGGATGATGAATCAGCGCAGGATGACACTGACCAAGATGGCAATGTGACTGAAGATGACCAGTCAGATGCCAGCACAGATGAGGAGGCTGCAGAGCTGGACGTGTTTGATGACAGCACTCGCGAGGCTGTTGAGACCTTTGAGACAGCAGTCTCTGAGCCAGCAGCATTCCTGCAGCCATCCGCAGAGATCTCTGAGCTGGCCCGCACCGCTGCCAAGGTGCAGGCCCTTGCATCCTCGATTTTGCACGGCATGCTTCACACGGCAATTACTGTATTTTTTGCCACAGTCATTATTGTGTGATCATATAACTTTGGTGAGGATCTATACCGTAAAAATGGTCATGGCTTTTTATGCACCATATGTTGAGGGCTTGCCTTGGCAATTGTCAGCAACATGTTGCACCCTCCTTGCAGTTGCCTGTGGGTGTGCTCTGACAATGAGGCTTGTTGATCAGGCGCTCTACGATCTGGCAGCGACTGAGGCGGCAGGGGCAGCCGCAGCAAAGGGCGGCGCAGGGGGATCAGCACTGCAGCAGCTGTATGTGGAGGGATTTGATGCGGAGCAGATCTGGCTGCAGCTGGAGATGCAGTCAGCAGAAGCCCTCAAGCGCGCGCGGCGGCTTTTCAAAAAAGCCGGCGAGGTCCCCCGCCTGGTCCTCCCAGAAATGGAGGAGGCCCTGGACGGTGGGTGGCCCCTTCACAACTCTTGTGACATGTAGTCTTTGTCCTATCTGGATTGTTGGGACTGGGGTATTTATGGGTGTATATGTGTGCGAGTTGATTGCATGCTGGTGTGCTGCGCAGACCTGCTGGGCAATGGAGAAGGGTCGGAGGAGTCTGGGAGCGAGTCTGATGGGGAGGAAGAGAGCGCTGGGGGACTGCAAGATGACGGCAGCTTGGAGGATGGGTGAGTGTTGACCGACAAACTATCCCAAGTGGAAAGCAAATCTTCAGCGTGCATGGGTTGACCTTTGATTATATTAATAAAGCAGGAGGTGCTCACTTTGCAGTGGACTTAGAGCAGATTAAAGAGGGTTTTGGAATGTGCAGGGATGACGAAGAGGAGAGTGAGGGAGGAGAGGAGGAAAGTGAAGAGGATGAGGAAGCAGAAGAGGGGGCGCATGACAGGGGGAAACAGTCGCCAAGGGACCGGTTCTTCCAGATGGGCGACATGGACAGGTTTGCAGAGGAGGCTGAGCAGGCTGCCATGCGCTCAGACACCGATAAAGATGAGGATGAAACAGGTGACCAGCTTCTTCTTCACAGCTCAGGAAATTGCCGCAACAGCTTTCCCCATGCTTTCTCTGCACTCTTGTACAGGAATGTGCAGATTTGTCAGCATCAAGTGTTGGCCGGTATGGTGGCTTGCTAGGCACTCGGCCTGTGCATGCAGGCATGAACTGTCGAGTTCAGGAGCCTTGCCCTTTCCAGAGCGCCTAGGCTTAGCGGTCACTTTGGTTGCGTTCCTGTCCATCCCCTCGTAGGTTATAGCCCATGGGCTCAGGGGAGTTATGCTGTGCGCAGATAATGAGGAGGATGCGCTGCCAGCTGGCGACCCAGAGGCAGACAGCGATGACGGCGCGCTGGCGGCTGTGCTGGACAATGCGCGCAAGCTGTCCGGCCGCAGGGCCGAGCGGCGCGAGCGGTTCCGGGAGGAGGGAGATGACGAGAGCGAGGAGGAGGGTGGTGAAGTCGATGCGGCGGCCGCCAAATACGGCGACTGGTTCGACGCCCCTGCCGAGGGCCGGGGTGAACTCAATGGCGCGGACGACATGCAAAACGGTGAGCGCCCAGCTAGCTTTCCCCTATCTTGTTGTGCACTAGGATCAGCCTCAGGCAGCCATGCCAGGTACTTTTCAGAGAGGGTATGTGCGCATTGGAAATTTATAGGTGGCTAAAATGTAGAGTTGGAGAGAGTAATTGCGATTCTCTGCAATACAGGCTTCGGTGAGGATGGTGACCTGGAAATGGACGATGAAGAGGAAGAAGAAGATGGGGAGGAGGATGGGAAAGATGAGGGCAGGCTGGGCGAGCCCTCAACACGAGCTGGCCAGCGCAGGACTGGTGAGAGCCAAATTTTTGCTCTTTCTTGTGATCAAACGCAGGAACCATTTCTGCATTCCTGATTGGCAGCTACTTGCATCCAGCTGACAACAGCGCAATCTAGTGGTGACGACATGAATCTCACCAAAGATAGGAGATTGGTCAACACATCACCACGAAACGCTGATACAGCAGCATGTACAGCCCACAAGTTTGCTGCACTACCAGTCTTGTAACGAAAGCATGACATTTGCTAGGCAGTGACAGAATGCACTCCGTGCAGGCGGCGGCGAGGATGCAGGTCGGCTGTCGACGCACGAGCGGCGGATGGCGCGGATGGCCGAGCGGGTGCAAGCGCTGGAGGCCCAGAACATGGGCGACAAGGAATGGTTCATGCGCGGAGAGGCCAAAGCAGGTGCGCGCCTAAATCTCCTGTCACCCGCTCTATTTCTCACCTCCTGGAAATCGGAGATCTGACTGCCTCCCCACCAGGGAGCATAGTCCTTGCCTGCAGATGTGCACACACACCTGTCTCTGGCCTACAGACCGCCCTCTGCAGGGAGGCGTACTTGCTTCTCCCGGCACCCATTTCTCTCCGTCGCGCTCTCTTTCAGTAGATCTCAGGATAGCTGAGTAGATTGCTGGAAGGTCATGGTTTCTACATTCACATTGACGAATTGAGCGCTCTGGATCGTCCTCAGGAGATGTTCTGAGGAGCTGCTGAGAGACACTTGCTATCCATACTGTTCGCCTGCGTCCGAAAGGTTGCGTGGTGGGAATGTCACAGGGGCGTTTGGCTTTTCAGTTTTAGCCTAACACACCCAAAAATATGAATACACATGTTATGTCACAGGGGCGCGGCCGCTAAACAGCGCTCTGGAGGTGGATTTGGATTTTGAGCGCGCGGTGCGGCCGCCACCGCAGCCGACCGAGGAGATCACGGCGTCACTGGAGGACCTGATTTGCGCGCGCATCGCCGAGCACAATTTTGACGACGTTCCACGCGTCGCGCCGCCCGTGCCCGAGACCCGCACCAAGACCATCGACATGGACGACAAGAAGTCTGGCAAGGTGCGCTCGCATGTGCTGGTTTTGCCTATGTAAGATAGTGTGTGGGGTGTGGCACTCTCAGGACTGGAGCCACGTTTGTGTTGCACCGCAATTCGGGAGGTAGAGGAAGATGGGAAATACAATTTGTCTCTAGAGAACATGAACAGTCTGCCACAAACCTTTAGGAGATTATTGGACCATGTACTGGACAATGGTTTGCATTATGTATGAGGCTGCCGAAGTCCTCCTCGCAGCAATTCTGTTGACAATTTCTGCAGACCTCTGCATGTCCATGTGGCCCGCCAACTGCTTGGCTGGGTTGACTAAATACAACCCTTGCTGGGCAGGGCCTGGGGGAGATATACGAGGAGGAATACGTGCGCGCAGCCGCCGGCGGCGCGGCTACAGATGACCGGGACGAGAAGGTGCGGGCTGAGGCGCGCGGACTGGTGAAGCTGCTGTTTGCCAAGCTGGACGCTCTGAGCCACTTCCACTTCGCGCCCAAACCAGTCATTGAGGACCTATCCGTGCGCGCGGACGTGCCCGCGCTCGCCATGGAGGAAGTTGCCCCGCAGGTGCGCGGCAGATTCCTTCTTGCTGTGCACTTTTGCATGCATGCAGGCACTCTTGCAGCGACTTCATCTTTGAGAAGCTAGGGGGCGCCTGTTCACTGTGGGTCCGTTGAGGTCGGCGAGAAAGGAAAGTGGCGCATGTGCTCAGACAGCCTTATGTTCATTCAGAGGTTAGGTGCAGAGAGGTGTTGTTGTGTGCCAACAAATTACAGGGCCCTTGGTGCAGGCATTCTGCAAGCAGAAATTGCAGATCTCACTGAGTTTATTACATGCCTAGGGCGCATCCTCTTATGCTGGGCCTGATCTTGGGTGCCCTGAACTCCAAGGACATTTGAAGCGTGTGAGCTCAAGTTTTAAGCAGCAAAAATTCTTAGAATATTGCCCCTCAGCGTTGCAGAATGTGCACGTGGGGGTGAGTGTCTTGTCAGCTGAGGGGTTTGGTGGCGGCTTGCAGGTGGTTTCCGAGGCAGCGATGCGGCTGCCGGAGGAGGTGTACAGGGCGGACGCAAAGGGAACGCCGCGCGCCGAAGAGGAGCTGACGCGCGAGGAGCGCCGACGCCGCCGCGCCAAGAAGAAGCGCTCCCACAAGAGCCGCTCCGAGCAGCAGGCACGCCCCGCCACTGCTGCCCCCTTCTCCTCTGTGCACACCTTTGTCCCGCATATAAGATGTAAGCTTCACCGTTGCAGGATTGAGCATATTTGCTGGATATCTGGACGCAACACGGCCCGGTGGCCAGGGAGGTTTTGGCACCATGCTTGACCAAGACAGTTGCTGGAACCATGTGATGTGGAGGTTTTTTAGGAAAACAAGTGACGGCCCCTTTGATCAGAAGGGGTTGCCTCAGGTGCTGAGGTATTTGGGTGACATTTGCAGGTAGCGGACAAGGCAGCACGGCCTGTCACGCAGGGCGGCACAGCTGCGGTTCCGGGCCGCAAATCGGCGACGGCCGAGGAGGCGGCCGCAGCGGCCGCCAAGGCGCAGAAGAAGCGCGCTCGCCGGGGCGACGACGGCGGCGCGGCCGGCGCGGGCGCGGGCCGGGGCAAGCGCGTCAAGTTTGGGTCCGCGGCCGTCTTCGGCCAGCTGCAGGATCAGCGCGAAGCTGCAGCGGCCGGCGAGAAGCCGGGCAAGAAGCAGTTTTCAGGCGCTGGCACAACCTCCAAGGCCCTGAAGTTGTAGACCCAGTGTGAACGAGGAGTTGGCTGAAAGTTCATTGAAAGAGGAATGCAGACATCATCATGATGGCAGAGCGAGCGCCGAGAGAAAGGACAAAGGGCTGCAAATGAATCAAGTGTATTGCGTGCACATGAAGCTTGTGGCGTGTCTGTTGAATTATGGATGGATCCGATCTGATATGGCATGTGGGCCCCACATCCTATTTTTGGGGACTGCCTGGTGATGTAATGATGTGCTGGCAGTCTTCCGTCAGCTCCGGATGGGAGTTACCCTGTAACTGACATCAGATTGAGAATTTGCACATCACAGCGATCCTGCTGTATTCAATCGACACGAAGGGCAATGTTGTCGTAGTGTGAGGGTAATCGCATCGAGTGGGAGCGGACGTCTTTGGTCGTAGTCCTCGCCCCATCAGGGTTTGGCCAGAGGATATTTCGAGAATCAGCAGTTTGCATCACATCGAGGTCACCAAATAGCTGTGAAGGTCATATTGCTGCAAGAGGATGACATCCCCTTAAGTACGGCGCCTTCGTGTCGGCTGTCTTTTGCAGACCGCAAGACAAATGCAGCGCGGCAGACGCAAGGTCAAGCGCCAGCGCAACGAAGCCCCAAGGACAGAAGTCTGCTACGACTTCGGTGTTCCAATGTCAGCTATCGAAGCTTCGCTTGAGTTTCAGGAAGGCCCCTTCGCCCTGGGCCACTCTCCCAACAACTCCCATCTGGACCGGCAATCGTCCGACGCTTCAACAAGTACTCAGGGGCCAGTAATGCCACTGGCGACGATGTTGACTGAATGCCAGGATGCGCAATTCTGGAGTCAGTACATACGGCAGGTGTACATCGGGAACTCGCACTGCCCCATCGATGGGTGGTATCAAGCCTGCAGGTCCGTCTTCCTGACCGTGATTGCAGCCCTTTCTTAATTGGTCCAATGAGAACATCTATATGATGATATTTCCGTTTAACAGCTGTCAGTGCAGGCATGTTGTCACCCAATGCCCACCAACAGAGCAATTAACGCGTTTTCGGCTGCAGGGTTTGCAACTCGTGGACTGCCGGCGAACTGGATGTGGCCGGGAAACTTGTGCCGCTGTGCAGAGGGTAAGCTTCTAAATTCATGTTCGCAAACATACATTGCAGCCCCAACTCTTCCACTGAGCCCTACTGTTGTCCTGCCACATGGAGCGCATTGTGCCTCTGCATCTCGTCGATGATTGCTCTTGCAAGCTGTAGGAATACCTATCTGTGCATTGCAGGTGCCAGGTGAAGTGCCACAACGCCTGCGCGAAGGTCGGGAATGGAAGTGGGCACCCAAGTGACACAGTTGCCGCCACCTCAACTGCCCTGCTCGCCCTGGACAGAGCATGGGAGGACTACCTTAATAAGCTGCGACTGGACAATGGCATGCTCATCCGCCGCTGAGAGCTGCACAAGACACTGCCTTCAAGGCAAGCAGCCTCCGAAGCTCCATTGCGAGATATGGAGTCTGAGGCACACCGCTGCATGCAGAAAGCCTGCTTCATCTGGGCAAATCAGATTTCATTTGCATGTGGAACACTGAAGTGACAAGGCTGTGCATGATTTTGCAGGGCCAAATATGGCGCGGCTGCGCAGCTGCATTTTTAACTCCTAATTTACATTATCAAGATCAACGGACAAAAGAAGTATGGCCCTGAAATGGGCCACCCTTTCTGTGAATAAATTGCAAGGCCTCCAATTTAGTTGAGCTTATGGGACAGCTGAAATCTGGCCAACGATTGCTTGCACACATCTGCAAAGTGCCTTTCAAAGTTGAAGATCTCTGGCAGCATGTCCCATGAAGTATGTCTGCTTGGATTTTCCTGCGCACGGACTGATGCCTTGCCTCTTGGATGTAATGTCCAGATTCTGCTTTCTGCAGATTTCGTTCCCTAGGAGACAAGTATGCGATGTAGGCAAACGAATGTATGAACACAACCAGCATTGTTGGAAAAACTTGCTGAACTGCTTTCTGAGCTTGGTCATGGAAATACTGCAGGCTGAACCTTTCGCAAAGAACTTGGACCTTTTTCATTGCTTGTATCAATCTGTTCATTGCATGTATCAATCTGTTCATTAGGAGGACTAAGGTTCCGGGGCTACCTTGATGTTCAGCATCTTTGGTTCGTCCTAAATCCTAGAGATGTGTAGACCGAAAAGTCTAATCAAGGATGACATGCGTAAGTTCATAGTCTGGCCACATTGACGTTTTCAGCACTGATGCCTGAATGACCGCAATAATGTACATTATTTCTGTGTAAGAGAGCATTTGTACTCAACGTACACCGGATCAGAAGACACACACTTCATTACAATGAAAGGTGTCCCAGTCCCAGCCAATTGGCCTCAAGACGAATCCTTGCACTTGCAAGCGCCTCGAGACAAGCAGCTTTCCTGATGAATAAGGGCTTGATCCTTTAATCTCCCCCAACAGCAACAGCAGCACTCCCTTTGTCCGCGGCTCCGCTTGTGTGATTATTTCGCCTGGATGCAGAGCCTTGGGCCGCCCCCATTTCCACAACAGCATTCCCATTCTGAGCAGCCCCTTTCCCAGCAACGCTGCCTCCAGCCTCCACATCGTATTCCCTGACCTTCTTCCTTTTCAAGGTATCTGTGAACCACAGCGCCACCACCTGCCCAACGCAATGAATGTTTCTCAGTCAACCCGAAGCAGACAGCATGAGCAGCATGACTCAGGTGACGCACGAGGGGGAAGGATTGTAAGCATCAACTCTGTTGTGCGCGAATTTCACTCGGCAGATTTCACTCGGCTCGGAAAAGTCTTGTCGGAGGCAGGGATTACTCACCTCCAAGACCGTCGAACAGAGCAATGCTGTTGGCCCAAAAAGCCACATCAGCTGCAGCAGTGAAACATTCTCATCATTCAAGACCTCAACTCAGCCACCACAAGAGATAAGTTAGTATCTTTCCTAATACACAGGCAAGTCCATCCCTCAAGAGAATACAAAATGCCATAGGGGAGCATTGCCTCGACTGCTTGCTTTGAATGGACTCACCAGGGGGATGAAAGCATAGAATGATCTAAACCCAAGGGTGAATGTGGTGGCCGCCCTGTAGCTCATGGCGATCGCCTCCTCTTCATGGAAGTGTTTGTTCTTGTTGCGTTTGCTGGGCACCACTTTTGTATAGAAGCCCTGCAACCACAAAAGTACATTTGTGGGGCTGCTCGTTACCTCTCTGCACCCATCCTGGCAGAATGTGCAACGACAGGATTGGCTGACAAATGCAGCGCAGAGATGCGCGATCATTGCTAGATCAAGCAGCAGAGGACATCAGCAGTGTCGGCGCTCATGCACAGACCACATTGTGGACAGACCATACATCAGCCCCGGCTGGCGGGAACAGTACATGTCATGAGTACCATGCCCATGATTGAGTGGGTCCTGCTTGGATGTGGCAAGTTCATCGAGGGGTACGAGCTGCGGCGCCTTTACAAGCAGCTTGGCTGCAGAAGCACCTTGCCTCTGGCAGGAAGAACTTATAAAGATAAGTAATAAATCAGCAAGGATCTTCGCACCAGGTGGTTCATCATGCGTATGCTCTGCGCGAAGGCCAGGAAAGAGAACAGGATGACCACTTCGCCAATCGCCAGCTTTGTCGTGGCGTCAAAGAACCCCGGGCCCTTTGTGATGGGGTCCGCTGCCTGCGCACAATGAAATTTTGAGTTCCAATTAAATGTCTGATCCTCGATCGAGCCAAAATCCAGACCATGCCGGCAAAGGAAGCACCAAAGTCCCAGCAACGCAGGAATCGGCGCAGCAGCCGGCACCCTCCATCAGTAACACCCCTCAAACCTGCCTATCTGTCTCCTGAACGTCTCAAATCTGTGGTCACATGTTCTGCGCGCAGCCAATGGACAGAGTGCACATGCATACGCAGAGTCCGGGGTGTGACGTGCAGCTTCAAGAGTCGGACAACGGTTTCTTAGCAGAAATATAGACTAGGGAAAGATGGAGGCACGCACCGCGATCCTGTCTAGTCTGTCGACTCTCTGCTGATCCAGCAATGTTGGCAGAATGCCTTGGACCGCAATCAAGCTGCACGCTGTCGCCAGAAAGCTCGCAGCTGCAGGGCACAAGCAGTCAGGCACCCTCAGCAGTGATACTGCAGCAGGCAGCATGCAGATTTGCTGCATGATCTGCCATATATAGCTGCAAGAGATCTACCTAAACGGGAGTCAGCTGATCACCAGTGATGCCGTTGCGCAGTGTCTGGATCCCAAGCGTTTGGAGTGGGTCGCGCACATCCTCCACCAGATCTGCTGCCCAGACCCCCCTTGCATGCATGCGAATAAGTGACCATGTCACTGCGTGCATTTCAGCACTCACAAGGATCGCAAATTCGGCACAAACAACGCACAGTTGTCGATCAATTCTCGTTGATGAGTACAAAGTGCAGAAAAAGATTGCGCTCACCTCGCATCATGGCTTGTTGACCAAATGTTGAAATGTTTCTTCATGCTGTACTTCATCCTAGGCCGTATATAGAACAGCCAGAAATGGTAGAACAGGAACAGCACGCAGCATAGTATAAATATAACAAGCTCGGAAATTTCCGCCCTGCTCCCATGCATTAAGCCGTTCATAGGCTTATTCACATGTCAGTTGGATCCACTGAATTGGTGATGTTCAAAGGAAATTTCTGCTAAGTTATATTGGGGATCCTGCGGCATGCCGACGCGTTTGCTAAACTACATCTCACATCAAACGGTAGAATGTCCGAGATACATCAAGTACAGAGCACAGCGAAGCAAAATGTGATCACAGATCATCCATAAAGAGGCAAACATCAGAATTGGTGACGAAGCATGGATTGATCGGGCTTGCAGTAGGAACGCTGTCGCAGACCTTGCAGAAGGTTAATTAAGGGCGCTTATAAGGGCGCTAGAATGACAAGTATGTCGTCTCGCTCATCAGTGATGCCCTGATCGATTCATAACTGGGCCCATCCGGCTTCTTGCTGGCAATGCATTGTGTGGCGGTTGCGCTGGACTCACAGACACAAAAGCGGTGACTCTCAGGCGTCCCGCGGCGGGCTCCAACGTTTCGTAGCCCACCTTGCTGCGCGCCCCGCACGCCATCAGGGGGGAGCGTTGCAGCTGGGAGGCTCTGATTTTGGCGTCAACGGATGAATAGTGGTATAGCGGGAAGTGATTACAGCAGTCCCGCCTCACCCGGATCGGTGCTCAAAGTGGTTTCTTTTTGACTGGCGAGCTTACTATGGTCTGGCATCGGCTCAAAGCCTCTCCGTCGCTTCGGTGGCACCAGGGTGGTCAAAGGCACACACAGGCGGCCAAATCCTCACATCAATCTATTTGATGGTTCCGGGCTGGGGAATGAGGTTCCTATTACAAAGCTGGGTCTTCGTTCTGCTTGCGTTCGCGGCTAGTCCTGCCCATGCACAATCGGCGCATGGGGCTGTGCCAGTCAACACGAGCGCAGCGTTAGCCTCGTCCATTTCGTCGCCTCACACAACCAGCATTTTTCTCACCGGTAAGCGCCTCGCCCCCGCCAGCCGCCTGGAACTTCAAGTCTTTTGAATATGACGTGCCTTGCGCCCGATCTTTCGGAGCCTGTCGTACTGTGTTCGAGCTGACGTGAACCCGTCTGTCTCCAGTCTGGAATGTGTTCGCACCATTGCAGCCTTGCAGATCATCGCAATGGGGGTCCTTTATTGGAAGGGGGCAGGTAGCGGAAAGTTTGGGGTTCAAATCTTGGTGATGCGGCTAACTGTCCCACAGATAACCTATCCCGTTTGTGCTTTCAGGGAACATCAGATTGAAACGGTCGGAATGGAAGGAGGGCGCCACTGTGCTGGCGCCAGGCAGGAGGCTCGTTCTGAGGCCAGCAGGTGATGCGATGCTGTTTCTCAAGCCAGTCGCAAGTCCTGGCACTGTCTTCTAGGGCTAGAGGGGCCACCAGGCCCTGCATATAGGGGCATTGCTTTCTGTGGCAAGTTGCAGCAGCCCAACGACTGCATTTGCCATGGCTGTAGTCTGATACTGCGAGTGCTGAGCTGTGCAGGCTCAGACCTGGTGGTACTGGACATGGCCAACATAGTGGATGCAGTCCACGTCAGCAGTGGCGCTGTCCTGGAGCTGCACAACATCACGGTATGCACCAATCTCCTCCTTGCTCCTTCGGCCCCTGACTGCCTGAAGCCCCTGACGAGGCGCAGATCTGCACCTGTCAGATTTTTTGGGGATGCCATGCACGTTCTATAACTTGTAGGGCGCAGGAGTTCCTGCGCCCTGCAAGAGGGCGAGGCGGAGAGTGTGTGTCTTGAAGGTGGAGTGCGAGAGGCACAGGCGGACAGTATATTGCATTGAAGGGGTTTGAGGCATGTGGCGGCACATGCGCGCAGGTGACCAACTCGGCGTCCATATTTGGCGCGAGGATCAGCGACCACACGCGCTTCGTGGTGCCCTTCCTGCCCCTCTGGCCCTCCATCACCTTTGAGCCTGGCGCCACGGTGAGCACTGCATCCACCTGCGATCTCCACCTCTCCCTCACACTATTTTGTCTTCCTGTATGTAGACTGGTGGTTGATTGGCCTTGACAGGTAACAGTCATGCATGGCAAGCTGGCCAAAATGCTCTGTCTCATACTGCATGTGAGACAGCTCTACGCGCTTGCATGGCCAGTCGGCAATAGAGCAACACAGCCCGCAGCCTTACTTGTGCCGGCACACAAATTCCTCGCATGCTGCATGCACATGCTGCATGCCCATGTTGCATGTTTATGTTGCTGGCACACAGCTTCCGTTTTGGCTGACTGGTAAGTGCGGTGATTGATAGATCGTGGCGGATTCCACGCTGGAGTACACATGGTCAAGTCTGCCCGGGGAGGGCTGCGACAGCTTTAGGCGTGATGTGGCGGCCAGCCTGCGCCCCTTTGGGCTGGACCCGTTCCTGTCGCAGCACCCGCACCTGCAGATGGTGCGACTGCGAGGCAGCCACCTGTATCGCCAGCCTGTCCTCGACATCCGCACCAACTCATCAGGTGCTTACTGAGCTTCCTTCCTGCGCCAAACAGTGATGCGTTGCGCCCCCGGCAAAGTGCAGAGCGTGCATGCACCTTCCCTGTCTGAACTGCGAATTGGGACATGCGCAGACTCCCTGCTACAATCCTGTGCTGCCTGATATGCGATCATTCAATGCCTTACATGATGTCAGAATCAACTTTGAGGTCGTGAGCTGGCTTCTTGTCGCGCTGAGCACACCCTTTCTTCTTGTGCCGCACATGCATCCCTGCTTGGCGCGCTGTTTATCCACTTTTGTCGCAAGCAGGACGTGTTATGAAGATATAGCATGAGCTCTGCAGCCCAATCTTGCACCCAGAGCGAGAGCCCATGGGTCCGCTATTTAAAGTATGCAAGAAATGGGTCAGGAATGCCGCCGGCCATGTCTTTCAGCTGATCCAGTGACTGTGTTGGTGCAGCGGGATACCTTATGCTGAATGAGACGGACACGAGGTGCCTGTGCATCCCCTATCCGGCTGGCGGCTGGGACGCTGACTCGGACAATGACACAGCGGGTGACATCATCGCGCCGTCACACGCAGCCGCCATCATGGCCTCTACCACCAGCCAAGGTACCCTCCTCCCCCTTTTCATCGTGTTCACACCCTTTTGCTCTGTGCTTCTAGAGCGCCTTGGGAAGTGAATACTCCAGCTACCAATTTTCCTACTCAGAGGCCGGGATGGAGCAACTGTGTTCTTTGGCCAGGCCTTCATGTGCACGTCACGAGGTCCCTGCAAGTTATAGTTGCTTGCAGCTGCTGATGAGGTGACATTTGTCCTGTTCAGGCGGCGGCTCAGGCCAGGGAAGCAGCGGTGCAAGTCCCCTGGCACTAGACAGCCGCTTTATTGCCCTCATCATCGCCTTGGTGATGGCTGCAGCACTGTCCCTTGTCCTGGCCGGCTTCCTCATCGTGCAGCGCCACAGAGACAAGCTCAGAAGGGTACGTGCATAAATCCTTCATGATCTTCTTGATCCTTACGCATGCTTGATTGTCAGCAAAAGCAGATGTTGTGCAAACTGCATGCTTGTTTGTCAGGAAAAGCAAATGTTGCTTGTCATGCATGCTTGGTTGTCAGAAAATGCAGACGAATGCAGATCAGTCTGCGACCAGCATTTGCATGCAGGACGAAGGTGCAAGCTTGAATCACGATGTGTCATGTCTTGTGAGCATGTACAGCCTGTCTGCAAATAAGATAATTCGCTTCTGTTGATTGGGCAGTGTAACGTGCATTGGGGTCATACAGGAGAGAAAGGCCTCTGTGGCAACTCTCCCATGTCTTGTAACATGGATTCCATATTAGTCTTGGTTTCGGAGATGCCAATGCTGACTGGCAGCTGGGCATGCAGGTGCAGGACCAGAAGGAGGACGGGTCCCTAGAGGACGATGGGCCAGTTGTACCGCGGAGCCCCTTTGAGGATATGAAAGTGTCCCTCATCGACGGCGCTCGCGCAAAGAGCAATAGCCGGTACGGCCTCCCCTGCTACGATGTCATTGTTTATCCCCAGCACAAGGCAGTCAAATTGGAAGCATGCTTCCTTGGAATGCAACTGCGAGTTCATTTGTGTGTCATGTGCATCCTTGCTGGCATGTCTGTGTCACAAGTTTCAGTGGGATTCTGCTCTGCAGATCGTACTTTACACGTGACTTATGCACCTGATGCCAAAGCAACCTTCAATTGGTTGTGGCAATTGTCCTCCTTCAATGGCTTGATGTGCAATCTCTACCTCTGCATCCAGGCTGTTCGCGACACTCAGGAGCAGCAACGAGCCGCAGAGCAAGGAGCTGCTGACCACGTGGGAGAACCCGGAGGACAGTAGGAGGGGCCTGCTTGCGACGCCAGGGCACCACAGGAGGTGGGGCTCGGCGGACAGCGAGGCCTCCTTCACGATTCAGCTATCGTCGGTGTCCTCGCAGCGCACCAGCGTGGACCACAGCTTGGCCGGCTCGCCGCTGCGCCGCGCGCAGTCGCTCTGCGTCACCGACCTGCAGCGGGCGCCGAGCAGCCGGGCCGGCAGCATCCTCCTCCCGAGCGCGCGCAGCGTCGACTCGGGCGCCAGCGACTACACGCTGCCGTCTCTGCCGCCAACGCCCGGCCGCAGCCCGCGCCCGGCCTCCCGGGCCGGCCGGGCCGCGCTGCCGGCCGCGGCCGCGGCGGCAGCTGCCGCCGCGCTCGGCCTGGCGGCCGCCAGGGAGCCGGCGCCGATCTTGGCGGCTCCCAGCGTGCAGCAGGCGGCCGCGCTGTCACGCGGGGACCTTGTGCGGCTAGCGCGCAGGGCGAGCCTGACGTCTAAGACCAGCATGGTGAGTCTGCCGTCGCTGGCAAGTACCGCTAGCCTGCCGCCGGCGCACAACATGGCGCCACAGGCCAGCCTTGCGTTGCGGCACTCGCTGTCGAGCGCGCACAGCTCGGACGCCGGATCCGCGGCCGCGAGCGCGCACCTGCCCGGCTTTGAGGAAGAGGACGAAGAGGAGCGCGCAGCCGCCGGCAGCACGCAGGCGCCTGAGGCGGTGCACAAGGAGCCCGAAGGCTCCTCCGCAGATGTCGTCCCGGCCGTGCGGCAAGCGGCGAGTGAAGCAGCCAGCTGCAGCAAAGCTGCTGCCCCAGCCACAGCAGCAGAGGCTGCCCCTCGCAGAACTGCAGCACACACCCTGACTGGTGCGAGGAACCTTCCTCCATTGCTTTCTTGTTGCGTTTGGGCCTTCAATTTCTAGCTCAGGTATATCCAGGCACTTGTAAGCATTGTACAATGCTACTAACACCGGCAACTTGAGTGGTGTTTTGATTGCATGCAGGGTCCCACTTGTCAAAGACCCGCCCAATGCCATCCCCTTTCAGCATGCCTGAGGCGATGCGCAAGCGCAGCAGCAGAAACTCCATCGAATTTACCGGCCTGCGCATCGGCAAGCTCATCGGCACAGGGTCCTTTGGGAGGGTCTACAAAGGTGTCACTTCTTACCTTCCTGTCTTATTAGCCAATGCTTTAAACTTGATATTCACATCCTAATAGCTTCTCCAACATCCTTGAGGGAAGCCTGGCAGCGGCATGATGTGTAGCTATGCATAAACTCTCAATACAGATTGCTGATCGGCCTGTTTGTCATTTGTGCAATCTATGTGCAGCCCTTTTCTGGCGCGATGCTGGGCGTGCATGCGCACACCTATGTAGGTCGTGGCATATCAAGAGAGATTACTGTACCTGTTGTTGCAGGTTCCTGGCGCGAGAGCACTGTGGCCATCAAGGCGATAACACACAACGCCACGCTGTCGCGCAAGGTCGACACTCTGCGCGAGTCACTCGTCGGCATCTCCATCCAGCACCCAAACGTGGTGCGCGCGTGTTCCCTCCCTCGGTTCTCAACCCCTCCGTGCAACTATTTCCCAGGCCTGCTCTCTTCAAGAACTGGGGCCTCAGCGCAGCATTCAAGATTATGCACTGTGGCCATTCACCCTCCCTCACTTGCACCCAGCCTGGCGCCTGCTTTGTTTATACATCAGTCACCATGACAGGCTGACCACAACTATGGCCACCCTTGTTCAGTGTTGCCAATGTTAAGGGTCTCTACAAAGTTTGCTGGGAAAAGAGCTGGGTATTGGATAAGGCTTTGCAAAGTTTGGTGCTCAAGCAGCTTCCCAGCGTGTGGCTGGTTGAAACCTCCGTGCATGGAGATTTTCTTATTGTTTTGAAGGCTAAGCTGAGTGGATCTTGGCGTGGGGCGCGCTTACATTCTGGGTTACTCTGAAGACTGACTTGGGTGGATTGGGGGGTTGGGGCGCGCAGATGACAACGTACAAGGTGCTGACCACGATCAAAGCCAACGCTCTGGTGGACGATGCGCCGCAGCGGCGGGCCGATGCAATGCGCGCCAACGGCTACAGCGTTGCGCAACTTGGGCCCGGTTCCGCGCAGACGCCCGCCGAAGAAGAGCTGCTGGAAACCTGGCTCCTGCTCGAGGTGAGCTGACTTCCTCTTGCTCTTCTCTTTCCCGTGATGCATGCATGATGTCTGTATGATGATTGTTCCTGTATTCTTAGCGACATAGTATTGAACGCACCTAGCCCACCCGGCTGCAGATGCATCGTTCTTCATTCTCTCATTACTTCATTGTGGTCAGATTGACAAACCTCACATTTGGTGGGGCTGACAGCATGCTGCTTTAAGGTCCCGTTGAGAATTCTGTCTTAGTGGGGTGGGGAGAATCTGGAAGGGTAATTTTTGAGACGGCTGCCTGTGCTGCGCGCAGTACTGCGACGGGGGACCTCTGGACCGAGCCATTGCCAACAAGCGCTTCTCCAGCAACATGGTGAGCCCGCCTGCTCCTGCACCTGCCCTCTTTTCCACATCTCCTGAATGAAGAACCATACCCTGAATGGGACTTAGCCACCCTGCAGGCGTGCACAGCATGAAGCTCAGCAACACATGCTCAGCAGCATGGGCAACGCAGTGTTGCTGCATAAGAAGATATTGACTGAGGGCTGCCTTGTGTTCTTGTGCATCCAGGCCGCCATATACCTGTCCCTCATGGACATCACTGCCGGCATGATCTACCTCCACTCCCTCGGCATTGTCCACAGGTGCGCACATACACCCTGCAGCAAACTGACCCAAGCTACATGTCCAATCCATGCGGGGCTGCCACATGCAGTACTGTTTGGTAGCTCAAGAGCAAGCCACCCTTGTGGAACTTCTGCTCGGGAGGAAGGCAGCTCCCTGACTGAACGTCTGGTGCATGGTGCTAAGCATTAATAGAGTAGCCTGTGTGCAAGAAACCAGCTTGGCATCACCAGTGCAAAATGGCCGTCGGCGGTATTTCAAAGCTGCTCCGCTCCCGTGGATCTGCTAAGTAAACATTTATGTGTATGGTTGCACAGCACCCAGAAGGGCGCCAATGTGCTGCCTGGCTGTGAATGGGTGCTCAGCGATTCTAGAGGAGCCTAACTTAAGTGTGGAATCTTGGTGCGCAGTGACCTGAAGGGTGCCAACGTGCTGCTGAAGAGCGCGCCGCGGTCGGCCGCGGACCCGCGAGGTTACGTGTGCAAGCTGGCCGACTTTGGGCTGTCGCGCGTGCTCGGCGCCAACCGCACCCACGTCTCCACCAACTCACACGGTGCGGCCTTGATCTGAGAGCGGTCAATTCAGCCAATTCTGGCGCTGCCTGACTTGGCTTTCCCTCTGGAGTGGCCTGATCTGGCGCGGCTGGTTTCCGCCAGATCTGGCACCGCATGAACCTGACGAGCAAAGTTGCGCGACCTGATTTGGAGCCGTTCCCTACTTGCCTCCTCTGGCGCCTCCCTGCTGTCCTGACTGGGCGCTGCTCTTTGTGCCTGACCTGGCAGCCATCTGCGTTCTTGCAAGTCACTTGCCTGGCCAGATGACTTTTCTGGTGCTGTGCAGCAGGGAGACTGCACTTGCTTATTACAATAGAAACCTGTTTTCGGCACAATGTACTTTTAATTGGAGAGTGAGACTGCGAGGGACGGTAGTGCTGAGATCAGGTGCACACATTGGATGCAGGCACGGTGTCGCACCAGGCGATGGAGGTGTTGCATGATGGGCGCATAACGCGGTCGAGCGACGTCTACAGCTTTGCTATGATCATGCTCGAGATGATCACAGGCGTCCCCGTCTACGAGGGCTTCTCCGCCTCCCAGGTCCGCCCTCGCCCACCCTTGTTTTGATCTCCCCCACCCCCCGGCATACCCTAGAGTAAAAAAGCATGTTCTGCTGCCATTTCGATCCGCCACTAGACATCTGAGTCCTGCCAAGCAAGGAGGACAGTACAGTACAGTGTAGGCTGCGAGCGTGTCAAGTCGCCAGAAAATATTGCAACAGAAGGGATTGTACGCATGTGTTATAAAAGGGCCCAAATGACTACATGAGACCCAGAAGGGACATCGGTAATCCAAATGTGCTTGCTTAGACACTTGAACATTCGAGACAGCGTGTGGGTGCGTGCGGCTGACATGTACGCCCGTGTGCAGATTTTGTACCAGGTGTTCAATGGCGCGCGGCCGCACATGCCGGAGGGCCTCCCGGCAGGCTACAAGCAGCTGATCGAGGACTGCTGGCACACCGAGCACAGCTGCCGTCCAACCTTTGTCACCGTGCACGAGCGCCTCCGCAGCCTCTACCAAGAAATCTGCTTCAACACAGCAGCGCGCTCCTGACGCGCAGATCCCCTCTCTGCCTGGCTCCTTTGACAGGCATCTGCAGTGAGACTACAGACATGCAGAGGGGTTTGCTGCTCTATCTGCAGCGGAAGTCTGCTGCTGGGGGGCAGGCTCTTCTCAAGTGGGGGTCCTCGATGTCCTCTGGGCGGGGGGAGTTCCTTGGACTACATATTTTTTTTGCTGTTGCACTTGTTGCAACAGGAATTCTTTTGTGGCAAAGGAGGGCCTGCATGCAACCTCCCACCGCTGCCAAGGGTGCAGCTCGCAAGGATCGAGAGTGCCTTTCGGGGCTTTATTTTGGGTGTGAGTTTTCCATCCGTCAGTCAAATCTTTCAACTCATTTTTTTGCCTATGGCTCTTGAGGCATGCAACAATCATGCTGCCGGGGTCATGGGGTTTGTTCAAGGCAACAAATAGATGATAGTTTGAAGGAAAAAAATGGTGCAGGCTGGAATATGCCTGCACAGCAAAGGTTCATCAGATAGTGTCCATGCGCGGTGATACTCAGCTGGTACTGCAACAGTTGCTTCTTGATGCTCTGGCAGTGAAAAACTTACCACACGCACCCGCCACTCAATGAATGCCAGCCCACATGCCAGCCCACCTTCACTGAAATGCAGCCACTTACAGCTCGCGATGCTGCTTGGTCTGAGCTGTGATCCACTGATCCAATACATCTCCCAGCGCTGAAGTGCAGCCGATTTGAGCCCTGTGTTGCCAGACTCTTTGTATGGCGATACGGGCGATCATCCGCACTCAGAGAATCACATTTGACCGTCCATCAGGCTATGAGAGGTTCCTTTCAGGGCTGGAGCAAGAGCTTGAGCCGCCCTTGAAGAGTAAAGGGCAACCACCAGCCGATTAGCAAGGATTGAATCATGGAAAAAGTGGGGCGAGTATAAAATTTTGGCTGCTCCATCACATGTCCTGTCAAAAGCACTGTGAGCTACCAGGGTGTCAGCCATTGGCTGTGAAATCCTGCGTGGAAAAGGGACTGCAACATAAGAGTCAAACGGGTTGCGACAGCTGATACACTGGTCAAAGTAGCTTCTGTGTTGGCTAACAGTGAGTGGGTTTTTTTATGGTTTTGTAGACTTGGTCATTTGCAGATTCTCTGCCGTCCTGTGGTTAGCTTTTGTTTCCCAAATTCCTTGCTGTGAAAATCTCGTCTGGTCCGTGCTCAACTTTTGTTTGTGGTGCTGCACTTGCAGAACTATTGGTACCCTTGGCACATGTGTGACTGTCAGTGACAATCGGCAATAGGCGTAACAGTAGAACTTTTTCTACTGTTGCATCTGGATATTAGTCAGCGCAATAGACATGCCCTGCAGCAGTTGAATTGCAGAGATGGGTATACGTGTTTTATTGCTGTGCCATGATGGAGATGGTCTCTTGAGAGGTCACTAGAGAAGATTCTGTTGCCTTGAGCTCCGACCCCTGATCAAGCAGTGTGTCGATCGGTCACTTGAGGAGAACCTGAATCATTCGGAATGTCACAGTGGACAGGCTTGCTCTTGGGTTGTAGTGATTGATGACAAGCAGCTGAAATGAGGTCTTGCTGCTTGTCATCAATCACTACATTGCTGTAAATTGTTCTGACATTGCATGGCAGCATTTCGAGCTAAGAAGACTTCGAAGGCCTGCTTGCATCCACAGAAAGAGCACGATGGCTGCTCTTGTATATGGTATAGCTGCAATGGCAACAATGCCTGTATGCGACATTCTCGCATCATGGATGGTGAGGGCCACAACGAAATGCCTTTGATCCTTCTCCCAGAGCTGCCTTCGTATTCCCACACATGCGTGCGCGCACCCACAGCAAAAAGCAAGCCAAAAAGAAATGCATGCAGATCAGGATTTGAACCCGTGACCCCCTAAATGCATACCAAGCCGTTCAGATCCGGCAGGTTCAGCAGCCGAGGCAAACAGAAATGAGAGAAAGAGAGCTGAACAAAAGGTTGACCCATCAGACGGCCACCTGACCTCCCCGCGGCGGAATGAAGCCATGGGGACATTCCTCAATCGGGGCGCGCCCGGCTCTGAGGCCGGGCACAGCCACCGAAGCTTTCACGCTCAGGTCAGGAGGCTTCCCTTCATCTTCTGGGCTGAGAAACTTGTCACTCTTGAGAGAGACAACAAGGTGTACGAACTATAGAACAGATCCTGTTCGAGTATAGTCGTGCCAAAACGTGAATTTCCACCGGCCATATACCGCACATTGGAACGCCGCTGAACGGACTGATCTCAAGATAGAAGCTTCGCAGCAGATGGCAGTCGTCCAAATAAGCAAGCATCATCAGACTTCCCAATCTGGACAAGATCTCACTCGTGCAACCTTCGTATCAATCGAAATTTTGTTAAAGCATTGGTAAACGAGTGAACAGCTGCATTTGACACAGAGTATCAGCGCAAGCACCCGTACGATGTCGCACATTCCAGCAAGCACAGGATACACAGGTACGGCAGAGACCTTGGTCATTGTGTAGAGTCAATTTGATTTGCTTCATGACACCTTTCTGAATGTCGAGCTATCTCCTGCAGGCGCGGGCGCCACGGTCATCAATGACGACATTGATCGACACAGCCCCGGCAACGTCGTCGCCTCTCACCTGGAGCATGACCAGCAAAAGGGACATGCCTGCTGCCAGGGCATCCATGCTGCTCACGGTGGCGCTGGCGGCCCGGCAGATCACGAATCCGTTCCCTCTGCGGGGGTAAGCTGCTCCTTCGTCGCCATGCGGGTACTTGAGTCGTAAGAAAGGTTTGACAGGATGCCCTTCTGCTTGATGGTACCTGGTAGTCGTGATGCTTTTAGCCAAACGTTTCAACTGCACGGTGCTGTCTCACCTCAGTGTCCTTCATTGTTCAAAAAGGTACACCACGTGAAATTCAACCACTAGCGACAAGCTCTTCACAACTGTATCAATTTGACAGGCTGGCGGCCAACACACAAGTGCGCCCACCCGCGGCGAGCGTGGTCCCATCGACTTGGATGACCAGGCACCAAAGTCGCATGTAAGTCTGCGCCTGATGCTTTGCGCCCGACAATGGAGACAAGCATATTGTCACATGCCCTGCTTCTCAGGTTTTTGTAAAGCAACCTGCCGTTTCTTAGCCAACAGCCAAAGCAGGAGCTCAATGTTGCATCGCTATGGTGCACATCCAGGGTCTACTTGTATGGTGCTCTTAGAAAAACAATGTACTGCTCTGGCATGAGCTCCTGTAGAGGTTTCCTGACATGCCTATTATCTCAAAATTCCCCATTTGCTTCTGCAGGCAGCACAGGGCACTGGCAGCGCGGCTCCTCAGGGCTCAGTCCTGGGTGCAGGCGCCAACACTCCAGTCAACGTGACTCCCATTGGCGGCCAGGCACCCCCCACGGTATGCACATCTCATTGACATGTCTGCATGTGTCTCACCACTTGCGCTTTTGTGTTTGATTAATGTGTTTCCCTCTGCCAAGAGGCAAGGTGCATCTGCAGACAAGCTCCAGTTGCAAGCACGGTGAAAAGCTAGCTGTAGCTCTTCTGTCAGCACAAGTGAGATGCTGAGCGTGCTCTAAATTTGGTGATGGGTGCCTTGCATGCAGAACCCTTCTGCCCAGGACAAGGCTCAGGTGAAGACTGCCACGGCTGTGGCCGGTGTTCAGGAGGACCTCAAGGGCCTTCGTGACCGCCTGGCCACCAACGAGGTGAGACCCCTTGGCTCAGGATGTAGTACAGACAATATGGTGGAGATTCGTTGTCTTGGTGTATCGTCTGTGCTCTGCACCGACACACCAGTCTGGGGCCTGCTTTTTTGGACTACTGTGAAGTACTTGCATTGGTAGAGCAGGCTTGCAGAGTGTGTGCAGTGCGTATAGCCACATGCAGACAGCAGTCTTTGCTGAATTATGCCATTGATCCCCACTTGGAACGTGCAAACTGCAGGCGGGTGCTGCGGGAGAGGCCAAGCCAGGCTTTGGGGAGCGGGTCAAGGGGTTTGCAGTGAAGACCATCGACCACACCCAGGCAGCTCTGGAGGGAGCCAAGCAGAAGGTCACCAAGCAGACCACCCAGCCTGCAGGGACTACTCCAGAGAGCTGAAGCATAAGCCAATATGCAGGAACTCCAAGCATGAGGATTTATGCTGCCCTGAAGCATGGCAGCAGCATGGCCCAAGGAAATTCAGTCAGCACTTTGAAGGCTTGAGTTGTGTTCAAGAGTGCATTTTTGGCAAGGGTACCTTGAGAATGATGAGCCATTGACATGGCTTTGAAGAGCGGTGCTGCGTCTGTTCTGTGTGGCTGTAAAAGCATGGTGGCAAAATTTTGAAGAATGGGGGAAACATTAAGCGGCAGTGTGCACAGCAGCATCACCAAGTGTGCTCGCATGTGATCTGACTTTCACTGCGATTTGAGCATCAAAGTATGTAGACCTGTTGCGATGTAATCTGACGTGTATGCTCCATATGTAGAAAAGACATAATGTGCTTCATTGATTTTGCAACTTTACTGCTGGCACGTCAATGGTTGCATGCAGTGTGCCCGCTCTCCGGCCCCTGGGAAGACATGGTCATTGAGCTCTTGTCCAATCCTTACCATTTCACTTTGCCAAATTTCATAACAACGGAGCCTCTTATATGGTAATCCACCTGCCCAGTGGTCAAAACATAACAAGCAAACTTTGCTTGAAGTAGAATGCTTGAAGCATAATAGATCGCACACGTAAAGAAACGATCATCTACTACAGACTTTGCAACAAAATATAATTATCTGTCTACATCTTTAGCAAATATCGTTATTGCTACAGCAGATCACATGCATGTGGCTGCACGTGTTGGAGCAAAGTCATCTCAAATGCAGGCTACAACTAACTACAAAACCAAGGTAACACCTGCTGATTTGGCAAATCGTCATCTCGCATCCTCTCATGTCGGAACCTCTCAGTCCCATTTGTAAGAGGACAATAAGTCTTGATCAAACAATGCCAATGAACAGTGTTGTCATGATGTCTCAGCTCATCAGCAAAGAGACATATTCCACCAGCTCAAGCCCTCACATAAACGCTAAAACACTCTTGATGACAACAAAACAAAGATAATCCCAAGCCCCTCCCAAAATGTGTCTCGTAAAAAGAGCTGCGTAGAAAGACATCTTTCGGTCGTACTTGTTTTTCAAAGGCACAGCCCATGCACAGGGCCTCATGGGGACACCACAACGGTCCAGTTCTTATGCTATGTCCTATCATCAACATATCCGCACAGCTGTGCTCACTGCAGTACATGACGGTACAGCCACCATTTTCTCACATGTGCACTGCAATGTGTGTCAGAGACTGCATGATCACTGAGACACATTGCAGGCCCTGAAGGCTATGGGACCATCCTCAACTGCTACATAAATTGAAATCCACAAACTTTGACAGTGTTCTCCCCACCATTACACAGATTTTTGAGGATGCTGCATTGACTCCCAAACCCCGACAGCCCCAACTTCAACTCTCAACCATGCCTTGACACTTTTTTATTTTCTTGGGGGTGTTTTGCTATGTCAGATCCGTTGGAGCCGCAGCCGATTTAGAGGGCAGCGCTAGGGTTTGACATTAAACCCCTGCCCGTTCAGACTGCGCGGGGAGGCATGATAGGGCTTGACGCCAAAACCGTCGGGGCTACAGCTGGCTCAGGCCGAAAAGCAGCAACGGTAAGGTTTGACATTTGATCCCTGCCGTCTCAGGCAGCGCGGGGGGTACGGTAGGGTTTGACGCCAAAGCCATCGGGGCCGCAGCCGAGGCCGGTGGCAGCGTGGAAGCGCTCGGCCACGGCCCAGAGGGATTCGTCGCTCCAGGCAGCGCCAATCAGCGTCACTCCAAACGGCAGCACCGGCCGCGAATTGCCCGTCTCCCTCAGCAGCGCCGCCCGTCGCGCCACCTCGCCTGCTCGTGAATCCATATATTAATGTCAAGCATGTTTTACCCGCCAGGTGACGAGGTGCTCTGAAGAGATATGCCTCACCCCTCTACAAAGGGCTATTGGCCTCTCTGCTACCCAAGGAAGGCACGTGCAAAACACGTGGATCATTGCTCAGCTCTGGCGCTGGTCCCTTCTGGTAAGGCAGATTGCCTTCACTGCCTGGTACAGCTGCGATATTGAGGCAAACGGGAGTGACCCTTGCCAACATATCCGCCCGGTGGCAGGCAAAATCCCAAACGGCTGAGAAGCCTTCAGAGCACTATGGGCACCGGCGCTATATTCACAGCTACCTCCATACAATGATTGGATATCCAGGAAGAATAAGGCGGTGCTGCGGCCTGATATTATAGCGTGTAGCTCTGGCACGGCTTCAGGCAGGGCTGAGCACCTGTGGGGTCGCTGGCTGCGCTAGGCTCCTCGCAGTGCAGCACTCCACTGGGGACTGCAATGGCGGCCATGTCCATAAGGTTAACAAAGTTGGTGAAGCGCCCCAAATTCGCGTTCTTGGGCCACGACACCGCCTCCGCCTGCTTCTCCTCAGCCTCAATCTCTGCAAAAACAATCGACTTATCTGTCATCTGCATCCTCGCTTGCCTGCCTGACAACCGCCCGCCAAAAGGTGTCCTGCTGATTAAATTCCGCTGCATAATTTTGCCACTTGATCTCACCCGTGCATGCGTGTCTGCAATCTAAGCGCCCCCTGGACCTGCAGACTTTACTGCCATTGTAGCATATGTGCATGCATTGCCGGGAGAGCCAACAATTCCATGGTGATTTTGCACGAGGGCTCTCTCACATGCTGACCAGAACACTTACTATAGTGGGTACCTTGGTGGGTGTGGACAGCTTGCACGCCCCTGAAATGATATCTGCAAGCCACCAAGTGATTGTGCAGATCACAGGCACAGGAGTCGCCTTTGGTGTCCCTCACCTGCGACGGTGTAGTGGTGTGCTGCGCTGGGCACGAGCAGGAAGTCAACCTTGGCGAGCTCCACTCGCGCGCGCCCCTTAAGCTCATTGAGGGTCGTTAACGCGTCGAAAACATCGACCGCGCAATAGCGTAGCGACCCCGCCATGATCGCCCCGGTCACCCTCTCCATCCGCGCATCCCCTGCCACTGAGGCCTCTGTTGGGGTGCCCTTCTGCACAACACATTGACCAGAACTCCAAGTCAGTCACGAGAAAAGGGGTCGTGGGCACCAGGTGATCCTGCTTGCTGGGCTGTGGAGGTATGCGGAAAAAGCTGGGAAAATATACATGCACAAAGCAGCTTCATTGGTAAAGTTCACTGCATGCACAACTCTTACGAGAAGCATCAGCTATCGTACAGTAGCTTGAAGGAGACATGCATGCATACAAGAATCATTGCTAGGCTGCAGCTGCAGCTGCAGGTCATGGCAATTGTATCTTGGTCACCCTTCGTGTCTCTCCCCAGCACAGCTCTTCCAGGTCATGTGTTCATTCGGTTGTACCATATCTCAAAATTTGAGGACTTCAGAGCTGGAGCGGCCGGGCAGGGGTCGATAAGAGGGAGGGAACGCAACAAACCTGGCCGGCCTCGAGGAACGTGCGGACGCCAGAATATCGCTCGGCCAGGAATGCGCTTGTGTAGAGCAGGTTAGCAGTGGCTGCAAACGGCTCAAAGTCGATGGGCACAGTAACGCCCCCCAACTGCTGCAGCATCTGCACCGCCTCCCCGTACAGCCTCTCATAGCCTGCAGCAGCAACCAGTGCCTCATAGATCTGATTTGAGCACTTTACTTCCTCTACATGACATTTCCAGTTTGTTTGCCAGTCAGATATACCGTACTTCCTTTTTTGTATTGCTGGTGAGGCTCCCGCGCATTTGTTGCCAACAGAGGACAGAGAGGGGCATATGGTAACATGCTAAAATTTCTTGTTATCTTCTTGCTCTGCACTAACTCGAAGTAGCAGAAGTGCAGAGCGAGCCTTGCCTTTCACAAAGGCGTCGCCGCCGGGCCCGGCAAAGCTGAGGTACTTGCGGTCGGGCAGGCCAAAACGGAAGCTGGGCTTGGCCGCGTGCCCGTTGGGCGGCGCCGCGTGCCCATTGGGCAGCCCGCCCGGGGAGCCCGGCGCGGATTGCCCGGGGGTGGATGGCGGGGTGGCCTCCTGCAGCTGCCCCAAAGCTGCCGGCCCAAAGGCAGGCGCCACCTCTGTAGGCACGCGCCAGTTGGGGTCCGCCAGCTTCGGGCCTGCTTCCTGCATGCATGCAAGCGCGACACGTCAGGCACGGCGCAGAAGATAAATATACGCTTAGCTCTGATGCCTGGCAAGAATTGGGAAGGGAGAGAGACATGTTTTGTAGTCTGCTAGGAAATTGAGCTGTCCCCGGCCCACACCAAGCTGCAGGCTGAGAGCCCTCGGAGCGCTTCCCAAACACCAAATGACAATCTTTTGTTCCAAAACAATAAAGCACATGGGCCCCCTTGTTCAGGTGGACAGTCACACCTTCATACCAGTACAAGGCGTTACACTCAAAGGTCAAATCTCATTTTCATATTATGAAGTTCTAGCAAAGGGCTGGGCATGCCTGCATGAGACGCAGCACCACGGCTGCATCGGGGACGGAACGTGCAAAGACGGAGATGCAGTCGAGCGCCCGGCACGCACGCACCACTCCCGTCGACGACACACGGCCCACCGTCGGCTTTATGCCAACGCAGCCGCAGAAGTGCGCCGGCACCCGCCCTGCACTCCACAGCTTTATATAATGGAACCCGCTTTTGCGCAGCCATTCTCATCAATGATATCCACAAAATTTGTCATTGGGACCTTTTTTTTGGCTCACACGCTGCGCTCACGCTAGCTGGCAGCCTGCTTGGTTACTTTGCTAGCCTCAGACTCCCTCTTGCTCCCTTGAAATTCTCTTGGATGCCTCGGTTCCTGCCAGCTCCAATCCCAGCAAGTAGCTGGCCTTCTCTCCCCCCGTGATCTCAACTGCTGGAGCTGCCACTGAAACAAGGCAATCGGCGTCTGCAACTGTCCACCTTTGCAAACAGCGGCAGAGCAGCTACTCTAGAGGTGTCGCACAGGTGATCCTCCACTAATACTTAAATTAGGTTAGGAACACGCTTATCGGGTTGCAGATGTCTTCACACAGACAATGGCTGCCGCCAAAGTGCAGCTGTGCCAAAGCCAGGCATGTATGTGCAAACTTGTAAACTTGCACTTCCTTTTTGGCGCCTTCATACACAGCAGATCAAGGTGGCCCTTAAGGGCGCACTAAAGTTTCCAAGATGAGAGAAGGGCAAAGAGAGTGGGCGCTCACCAGAGCCAGCGGTGTCTGTGCCAAGGGCGAAGGTCAGGAGCCCGCAGCCGACAGCGGCGCCAGAGCCGGATGAGGATCCCCCGGGGAGAAATCGATCATCAAAGGGGTTGCGCGCCGTTCCGTAGGGGGTCCGAGTTCCCACCAATCCCGCCGCAAATTGGTCGAGATTTGTCTTCCCAACCATGACGCCGCCTGCAAGAGGTAGCGTTGCCGTCTTTGATCGCACACCTCCACCTAAGCCAGGTCCAGTGGTTGTTGCCAAGAGAATTGAGGCCACAAACAATCTTCTGCATATGTTGTTACACCCCCTCTCCTTTATGCATGCAAAAAAGATGGTCATTTCATTTTTGTGACTTGCACTTGTGATGGCTGCCATGTTGATGGCCTTGGGACATGGCTTAGGTGGAGGTGATCATGCATGCTTATGCATGCGAGGGGAGAAATTGCCAGAGGCATAGGCATGCATGCATTTGCTTGAGCAGTGCTGGTCGAGGAACAGGTGCGCACCAGCCTCAAGCAGAGCCTCCACGCCTGGTGCACTTTGGCTGGGGGTGTATCTGTAGGCCTCGCAGGCTGCTGTTGTCGGAAACCCCGCGACATCGATGTTGTCCTTTACTGCAAAGGGCACGCCGTACAGCGGACCCCGTGCTGCAGGAGGTAGAACCTCCAAGATCCTGCAGCAGTCGTCCCAACTCACTTAGCAAAGTTATTACTTGATGCCAGATTTTGAGACGCTGAGCTGCAGTCCACAGGAGCAAGTGTCAGAAGTGTCTGGGTCTGCAGTGTGCCAATACCTGCAGCGTTCCAGCAAGCTCTCCAGTGATGCGAGGGTGATGAACATGCCCTCTTCCTGGGCCAGCAGTGGGTAGAGTCTCCTGATAACATCTGTTGGGCTTGTGCTGGCATCCCTGTATGCTCCTTGGAGGGCTTGGAGCCCAAGAGCGTCACCCATTCTTACGCCCTGCCATGTAAAATTGCATTTATTGTACCATACGTTTAAATATCGGTAAGTATAGACGTCCCAACAATATTCCAAGTGACCAGTGACACTACGTATGTGCATGAAATCTGCTTGAAGGTTTTATGATCCAGGCAACCTTTAATCATTTTACAGCATCGTATTCTTTGATTCACCAAATATCATACTGAGCAAATTGTACCAACCTCACCCCTAGAGGAGAGAAGAGTGCAAGATGCTACTTGGAGGAAGGCAGATTCGCTTCGCACTCCACAAAGAGGACCGCACCTGCCTTTCTTTGGATCTTCGTACAAGACTTTTCGCGAAAAAGTCCTTCGTTCAGCTCGGTTCGCAAAAATGCACATTCCCGTTCGAGCTGACCGGTGTGCCCTAACATGACAGCATGCATAAACTTGGGGCAGGCCCAATCGGGGGGACCCTGTCACTGGCCGGCTTTTCCAAATCTTTGGCCGAGCATGTATTTATCCACCGCCTGCTCACTCATTCCATTCATTCTCCAGAAGTGAAGTGCAGGTCGGCCCCTTGTAGGTGCTGTGTTGTAAACGTACTTGTCATTTTCACCCGCACAGAGACGCAAGCGTCGTGTCTACCACGAACAGCAGCCACAACACACCAAGCTGCATCTTCAATACCCAGGTAAAATCAATTCTCCTACGCTGCAGGACTATAAGCTTTGCAAAGCTTTCCTAGCGTGAACTTGTAGTCGGCAAGCTGGATCACACTACGGCAGTGATGGTCAGAACCCTTGGCCCGGGCCATCTCCAGGAAAACCACCTCGATGATGTGCAAAGGTCCCTGAACTGCCTTGCCTCAATGCGTCTAATTTCTTCAGATCGTCTACTGCACACAGAAGCTTTGACTCGGTTGCTTCCTGCGAAGCAGATATTTCACGTGGGTCAGGTGGATCCCCGCTGAGCGCTTGTGCTCCGCAGGTGACGTCCAGAAGAGATGCCGGTCCATCCCGACACTCCCAACCTTTTCGGGCTCACCCAGTATGACGGGTAAGGCCATCCACAGTCACGTCCTTGTCAAAGCAGGGTCCTGTCTATGAAGCCCTTGTTGCACCAGTCTGAAGACCGCGTTCGGTCTATCCGCTGATCGCGCCGCCAAAACTGCATGCACTAACTTGTTTTGATATTTTACTGTTCTTTGTAAAGGATATGAATGCGTAGCCTGACAGCTTTGTTCGGTTCTGACTCCGCAGAGCAACATCTTTCTTCGATGGTGCAGCCAGTCTGAACCAGGCCACCGGCTATGCCATCGTGGTTGGATTTGGTAAGGAAATTGCTCTATTCTATTTGTAATTGATTGAGCCCAAACATTCCACATATGGACGCTATTCGTGGGTTTCTCTGTATAACCTGGATTTGCATCGAGCAAGAAACTGGCAAGGTCCACGAGTGGGACTACTCGTGTACATCTGAGATGTCTACTTTAATGATCGCTGATAATTCGGTTCATTGATGAGTGCCAATGATTCGCAGGTGCCTTCTTCACTATCTTCACCACCATCCTGGTCTTCCTTGATTACCGGTATGGAGGAACCAAGCAGACCAGTGAGCAGGTATGCCCTCTGCATGCTTCCTGAAAATTGATGCAGAGAACCTCCTGGTGCATGTTCCCAGCATAAAAAACCTGAAGCTTCAAAGTAATGGTTCTGGCCACATCGAACGCCCTAACGTCTCTGCTTTGCCTGTGCAGTTCAATTGTGGAGGCCGCTCCATCAAGCAGGGCCTCATTGCTGTTGACATTGTCAGCCACTGTGAGTGCCCTCACCATTCTGATCACCTTACCAATCTGCAGTCAAACGTCTCCAAATTTGCACCATGAGCTGCTCAGGCACACTTGGTATCCAATCTGCAAGACACATTTAAATGTTTGCTCTTGAGTTGGATGGTGGCCTGGCATGTGCAGGGACCTGGGCCGCAACTCTGCTGCAGTCCAGCAACGTCGCCTACAAGAACGGAATCTCTGGCCCCTTCTGGTGAGCGCACCTCACTCCTACTCTCACCTCTGCCTTGCTCAAACATTATGGCAGACTGCTGTCTTGGCAACAATTGCAAATTACCTTGTGATTGACCCTGGTCTGATGTGGGATGCCTGCATGCCCCATCAGCGTCAGAGTAGGGGCCACACTTTCATGACAGTCCACTGGGATGATCACCTTTGCTGGATGTCAACATGAACGCTGTGGCTGCTGATGCAGGTATGCTGCTGGCGCTACCGTGCAGATCCTGCTGTTCGGCATCCTGGCCATTGAGATCAAACGCAAAGCGCCCACCGCTCACACCGTGCTTGAAATCGTCAGTGAGTCCCCGGCTAGTCTTGTCCCCCATTTAACCTTCCCTTGGATCTCTCCGAGCTTCCGTTGGATTTCTCCCAAAGTGCATTAATCAAGGCATTTGTTCTCCATGTCCTGGTCAGCACACTGCACAAGTCCTACAATGGTTTTTGGGAGGCAAGTGGTGCCCAGCAGACTTTAGTAGATATTCGGTGCTTGTGAGGCTAATGGTGATCTGCTGTGCAGATGCGCGCTGGGGTAGGGCAGCTCACCTGACCTTCTTCGTCTTCTGCATCATGACCAACATCCTGGTGACTGCCATGCTCCTGCTGGGCGGTGCTGCCGTCATCAACGCTCTCACTGGCATGAGCATCTACGCCGTGAGTCCCCTCCTCTTACTGCAGAGCTTGTTCCTTTTGTGAAGTTGCTGGCGGCAGCCTGTCCCTAATTTGAAGTTGCTGGATGCCCTTGCTATTGTGGGCAAAGGCAGCTCTGGAATGTTCCTTTTCTCTACGCAGCCTGCCTGAAAGTTTGCTGCATGCAATAAATGGAGTGTTCACTGACGGCTCAGGATTGCTGTTGCTTTCTAAGTGCAGATTGTGGTGATTCCATGTTCTGGTGTTTGTGGTTCTTTTCTCCACCTTGCTGCCTGCATGCACACAATCGATTCTTGTGATCTATTTCAAGTTCTGCCTGCACTGTTGCATGCTTGTCCCAAGTTGCAGTCTCACACCATCAGTGACAATATGCTAGGAATGCATCTGGCTGTGCAGGCGGCTTTCCTTATCCCCATCGGTATCATCCTGTACACCGTGGCTGGTGGGCTCAAGGCCACCTTCCTCAGCTCCTACATCCACACAGTCATCATCTACGTGGTGCTGTGCCTCTTCGCCTTCCTGGTGTACACCCCCTCCCACGTGGAGCAGCTCGGCTCCCCTGCCAAGGTGTGCTAATTTCCATCCGCTCAGAATCTGCCAGGACCCTTTATGGGCTAATCGCAAGGCATTCAACCCTGCTTGAAGTCTGTGGCTGTCTTTCTCTGCGGAAGCATCCATGCCAGATGCACATGTGCAAGGGCGTGAGGCTCTGTTTGATGTCGGCTTGTCTTTTGCTGCGGATGCAGTTTCTTTCTAGTGGTTTGGGAAAGCAGGTGTAAGTTCCATGCAAGAGGTTTGCCAGCCCTCTGCTAGACCAATCTCAAGAGGCCTGATGCCGTGTCGCCCCAGTGATCAAAGGCTCCTCAAAGTCATTACCATAGTCCGCACAAAATTTCCCGCAAATTTCCTACGGTGTTTTGAGTTTTTGGGTTTTGGGCGGCAGGTGTGGAACAATCTGCACAAGATGGCTGAACAATTCCCCGTTGAGGGCAACATGGGTGGCAGCTACCTGACCATGTTCTCCAAGGGCGGCTTCATCTTTGGCATCATCAACATCATCGGCAACTTCGGCACCGTCTTTGTCGACCAGGCGCGCGTTCCCTCCTTCCTCTTCCTGTAATTGTGACTAATCTTGTCACCAGAATGAGGCTACACTGTCACATGCTTGCCGGTGTTGTACATCCCTTTACGGGTGATGTGTCGGGAGTTGCTGATTATTTTGCGCATGCCATTGCAATTGACACAAGCGCTACCTTTTTCACTGCCTGCAACAATACTTTTTCTGGCAAGTTTATGCTAGCGTAGGTGATGCCATTTAGCTGCTCATACTTCTCCTGTTGGCCTCAACTGCCGGCTTTTCTGGGGGCAGTGTTCTGCGTATGCCATGCTTTTGAGTGCACAGCTCTCCTGCTGGCCTGTGGCCTTGCTGGAGATATTGATTCCAGGATTCAAATTGTGGAGGTCTGAGCCGGTGTGTGCTGGGGGTGTTGCAGGGCTACTGGCAGAGCGCCATCGCGGCCAAGCCGTCTGCCGCGCACACGGGCTACCTGATGGGGGGTCTGATGTGGTTCTGCATCCCCTTCACGCTTGCCACCACCATGGGCCTCGGCGCACTCGCCCTCGACCTGCCCATCACCGTCGCTGAGGCCGGAGAGGGTGGGTTACTCATCAATTAGGCACCTCGCTTACATTACCGCCCACCACTGATTGAGAAGTTTTGCTTTCTTCAGCACTTGGCCAATTCGATTGCAGTGCATGTGCCAAACCACCGCCGATATGCTCTTTTTATGGTGAAGGAAGAGCAGGCAGACATGTATCTGTACTGACCCTTTGCCCGAGGCAGGCCTGCCCGTTGCAAATGCCTCCTCCATTTCCCACAATGGAGTGACTTGCCTAGAGATCATTTTGCTGCAAAAGCCACAGGACTCCACATCATTTCGCGCGACAGTTTTGTAAAGCCGAGTCTGTGAATGCGCGCAGGCCTGGTGCCCCCCGCCACAGCCGTCTTCCTGATGGGCAAGGCCGGCTCCATCCTGATCGTGACCATGCTCTTCATGGCCGTGACATCCGCTGGATCTGCCGAACTGGTCGCAGTGTCCTCCCTGTGCACCTACGACATCTACCGCACCTACATCAACCCCAAGGCCACCGGTTAGTGCCCCTTTTGCTTGTCTTGAATTTGAAATTGAATATTTTCAAAAATTGCAATCTCAGCGCGTGACATGGAGATGCCTGCATGGATGTGTTTGTTGCGGGTGTATTTGTGTTGAGTATGCTGGTATCGTCAGTGGTCTTCCTGTTGCATCATGCAAATGTCTTATTCAAAAAGGGGGTTCAAGGATATGGCAGCAAGATGAGTGCTGTAGACAACTAACCAATCCCGTCAATTTGGCAGCAACAGCTGAAGAGTGATCGATTGAGTGTGTGCGCCTGCTGCAGGCAACGCCATCATGAGGATCAGCCAGGTCATCATCTGCGCGTTCGGAATCTTCATGGGAGTCCTCGCCATCGTGCTCCTCGAGATCAATGTCTCCCTCGGGTCAGTTCCCCTCAACCTCATCATTTAAAGCCCCTCTGCTATTGCGTCCCTTGATCCTGGCATAGCACAGAACACACATCGTGATGCAAACAGTGATGAACCTTGTGCTGATCATGTAAGACGCCTTTACCTTCCACCCTTGGAAGCCACCTGATTCAGTTGTGCAAACCTTCAATCCTCCTAGCATGAGCGCTGACAGCGAGCGCACATGCGCAAACAATGACTCCTGGCATGAGGGCTGACAGCGAGTGCGATGTGGCTGCAGATACGTGTACCTGCTCATGGGAGTGCTGATTGGCTCAGCCGTGATTCCCATCGCGTACTGCCTGGTCTGGTCCAAGTGCACAGCTACCGCGGCCATCACCGGCGCTGTCAGCGGAATCTGCCTCGCCATCATGAGCTGGCTCATCTCCGCCAAGACCCTGGAGGGCGAACTCACCCTCTACAGCACCGGTGCTCACAATCCCCCACCCAGTGCATGCCCTGATCCAAATTCAAATTCCAATTTGAAGTTGAGTGACAGCGGCTGCCTTGGGCGCAGCTCTGCTGGACAGCCTCACTCAATTTTTGGCACCATTGCAGCTGTTCAACCTGTCTTCAAAGGTGGAAAAACAGAGGTGTTCAGCGTCAGTTCGGCACATTTGTTGCATGAGCACTGACAGAGGAGGTCGGCTGTCAAGACATCTACATCAGATCCTCGACAATGCTGATTCCTTGTATGTCATGCATCCTACCTTGTTTAGTTTTTGAGGAGAAGGTTCATGTGTGGGCTGCACTTTGCCTCTTGGCAGGAAAGGTGTGCGGTCATCAAACAAATCTAATGTCTTAATGTTATTTTATGTGTGGGGTGCAGGCCAGGACTACCCCATGCTGATCGGCAACCTGGTGGCCATCTTCTCCAGTGGCATCATCTGCACAGTCATGTCCCTCATCAAGCCAGACGCCTACGACTGGCAGACCACCCGCGAGATCCCCATGGTCGACGATACAGAGACCGGTGCGCGCCCCACACCCCAGATCCACCCTGCCATCCACCCTTTCGTCCACCCCTCATATCCTGCCCACCTTTTGCATGCGCATGCTGCCAGAGCCCCACATCGCAGCAATGCCTGCCATGCCCTGCCTTTCGCAATTGGTGTTCCTTTTGCCTTAGGGAAAAGCTCCTCAAAGATCAAGGGGTCATGTGCTTGATGTGCCGGCTGCAGGAAGCATGCTTTCACCCTGTGATATGTTTTGCCCTGCCATCCAGCTCGGCATGTGCATGCTCTCCAGGCGTGCGCAGCTGTGTGTCACCTGCATTCGTGCCGTCACCGCACTGGACAGGATTTTAAGCCGGAATTTTGTCCTGCACAGGGTTCACCGAGGACGGCCCAGACTCACACGCCGCCATGGAGCACGCCTACAAGTGGATCCTCAAGTGGGGGGGCGGCACCGCCTTTATTCTGATCGTGGCCTGGCCTTGCCTCACCCTGCCCGCCAAGGTCTTCTCTCAGGGCTACTTCACCTTCTGGGTCATCCTCTCCATTGTCTGGGGCCTGGTAAGCTCTCCTCACACCCGGTCAGACATCTTTTTTGAAACTTAATTTTGAACTCAAAAGGTCCTGCTCTCCAAGAAACTTCCTTCAGAGTTACCGAGCCTGCTTTGCTTCAAGGTGGTATGATAAGGGTCGAGTTTTTTCATAGGATTGTGAAGATGGTGGCTAGGGGTTGGCGAAAGGTGGTATCTGGGCACGACGACGGGCCATATGGCCATGCATGTGTCAGGTGTCAATGTTTATTGTGTGTGTGTGTGTGCAGATTGCCACCTTCCTGGCCACCTTCCTTCCGTTGTGGGAGTCTCGCGCTGTGCTCATCGCTGTCCTCAGTGCTCTCGTGTCCTGCAAGCGCGCAGACCCCAAGGTAAGCATCTGCCATGCTCTTGACACATCCTCCATGACAGCTGCATGTTCCCATGGATGCAAGCAACTGGTTCTGGGTCTGTATGCTCTCCTGCTTGCCCACATCCCAACACACGCATTCTGTGCAATTTGCTGGTTTTTCTGAATCTCCAGCAAGCTGTGCTGTCGACTGCTGTGTGGTTAATCTGGCTCCCAAGCTTGACATCAGTGAGCCTTGACGAGGCTTTGTTGGGTGTGGTAGGTGTGTTTGGCTGACCTCATGTTTACTGACATCAAGCTGACCTCATGCATTGTGCCTGAACAGGACATGGAGGAGTTTGGCAAGTTTGCCGGCAAGCCGGGCGTGCCGCGCGTGCCAGGCGGAAACCCTTTCGTGACCCCCGACACCACCGTGCACAACCCTAAGGAGGGAGATGTCGAATTGGGCAAGGCCACCACCGAAACCACCAAGCCCTGAGTCAGTGACAGCTGTCTGCAAAGGCAACGCCGCAAGAATGACGCCCTCACCTGCCAAAGCGCGGCAGGAGTCTGGCTGTGCAGCAAACACACGACCATTCTTGAGGCCTGTCTGACGCAATTTTTCCCGGCTCCGGCCAGAATTAATTCCCTGGGTCTTGAGGCTGTCGAGCCGAACAGTTTGTGTTAGTTTTTGTCGGGGTCACGCAGACTGGGGACAAGCCGGGCTGTAGCACCTGCGCATATGACAGATGTTGGGCGCTTGGGTCGGCAGTTTTTTTTAATGGGAGATGGGGTCTTTCTAAAAGGGAGACATGGTCTTTGTAAAAGGGAGGCATGGCCATTGTCAGGGCTTCATTTGGCACAGGCTTGCAATTTGATCTGCAGTGCAAATGGATAAGACATGGCCTGTGTTTCATATTGGGGCATCGTGTGTCGGAAGTACGCGACTTGGATGAGATGCATCAAAGATTGAAGTTCTGCTTTGTCACTTTTTGGTGCAGGTAACACCATTTTTGTCAGCAATATTGAAGGTGGCAGGCTAAGAGAGGGGTATGGTTTGGGGCATATTACTCTTGTTGCCACAGCGTGCCTGTGGGCTTATTCAAGATGCAAGGGATGGAAGTGATGTTGCCAATTTGATCTGTGCTGTTCAGAGGATGAACTTGACCTGCCGTTGTCTCTCCCTTTCAGGGGCAAGCTGCATCTTCTGGGTGCTGTGGTCTTGACAGAGTCTGTGTGACTGACCGACTGCAGCACTTGATGCTTCAAGTCTGACTGTCACTGCGACAACTGCCGGGCAAGACAATACAAGTAAATTGGCCGCCTTTTGGGTCACCTTTAAGAATTACCAAACCCGTGACAATGTGACACAGGTCACATGTTTGTTGTGACGTCATGTGTATCAGTATCGTGTGATGCTTTTGAGATTATAGCGCCACGGTGTCGGCATGGGGCTTTCAAATGTTTTGACCCCCGGGCCGGTCAATTCAGGGGCGGGGTGATGGAACTTTGGAGCTGTATGCAGAACCCGAATTGGGGCCTGCACAGTAAGTAAAGATTGTATTGTGTATATTTGAATTGGAATCTGTGTGTCATTCCTTCTATGTAAATCTGTTGCTGGTTGATGGGTGAGGTCATAGCCACGTGGCCCATATCACGTGATGTTTCTGCGCAAGGCTAGGTCTTCACCAGAAATCCACCTCTAGACGCCCGATTCGTGATCAGATCTGCAAGCACTCGATTTAAGAAATTATCTTGCCTGTCCTCCGAGTAATCGCCTTACGCTCGAAGCCGTACAGAGATCTCAGCTGCGCGTTTTGAAATCCAGTTGTGTTGAAGTGGTTCTCAAGGATGGAAGACGTCATGGATGACGATCTTTTCTTTGGTTTGCTCCAAGCAAACCCTCAAATCGCGGGCAAAGCGCCTGCAGCGACAGCTTCCCAAGCTGCGTATCAGATGTGGAATGGCCACAGCCAGAATGAAGGGCACCATGCCATGCAAGGCTCTGGGGTCTTCCATCCGGAAAGCAACACCATGGGCGAGCCATCCCCATCTCACCAGCAAGGACTCGAGGGGCTTTGGAGTGCAACACAGAACCAGGGAATGCCCAGGACAAACCCTGACAGGAGCATTCCCTACGGCTACGACCCCACGAGTGGCCATATTCCCATTCCGGTGCCAGGATATCGGCAGCAAGGTGAGAATTTTGGAGCTGAGGGGTCGCCTTTTCGCCCATGTTGCAAGTTAAGCAACTGACGTCACATGTCCATGTCAGGTGGAGGGTGTGCGTCTGCCTCCCAATTCTAATTCTTGGACTTTCCTTAGGATCTCATGCTTTCACAGTATCGATTTGAAATCTGAAGACTGGCAGCATGCTCTGAATCTGCAGGTCCACACCTTGTGACGCCCACTGAGTCTCCTCAGAGCAGTGAGGACCGGACACAGGAGGGTCCCGCAGTCAAGCGCAGCAGCTCAATGCAGGCCAACAGCGGGTCTCCCTCAAACCAGGGGAGCAAATCCTTTAAGGAAGTGTTGGCAGAACGGAATAAGCAGGCACAGAGGCGGTTCAGGCAGCGGCAAAAGGTGTGTAGGCCCTCATAATCCATGGCTCAATGCATTCCTTTGCCAGTGCGCATGCCTGCTTGTCAGAGGTACACTGACACGGATTTATTCTGTGTGAGCGAAAAGGGGCCAAGCAGATCCTGTGTTTGCATGCATGACATGAAAATGTCTGGCAGCTGAGCTGGCGGCTGACTCCTGGGTGCTGTGATGGCGCGCAGGACAAGATTGAGGAGCTGCAGAACAAGCTGACTGCTCTGCAGTCTCAGCGGACGCAGCTCACCAGCAGATCCCACATGCTCGCAACCGCTCGCCAGGTGCTTCAGCCTCCTAGCTCCCGCATTTTTACTGCCTTTGTTGTCCTCGTTCTTCATGTTGGGTTATCTGGACCATAAACAGCAGACGACCGCTAGGTGGGGTTGCTCAAAACCGGAGAGCACCGACTGCAATGAGCCAGACCAGAAGACCTGGGGGCTGATTTAATATCCATGAAAACCTGCACATCACCGCTTGTGCTTCTGTAAGGTGTCACCTGTTCATGAAAGGAGATGTCTGGTGTGGTTGAGGGGTTGTTCCATCAGTGCTGCATCAGACAAGGGGATATTTGTCTGACCTGTCTAATCTATAGATCCCCCTGCATCAGGATTCCCCTGCATCAGGGTCAGAAAGGGATTTTTCTGCCTGAGAGATCCCAATCCCCTCGCATTCAAAGGGGGTATGGTGCTCGCGCAGCTGCGCAAAGAGGAGCTGAGGAAGCTGCGGGAGCGGCAGGCGGCGGCAGTGGATGCTGACGAGGAGGATCTGGCGCGCGAATTCAGCGGCGCAGTACGGCTGACTGTGCACGAGCAGCGCGAGGTCACGCTGTCCCCAGACCAGGTGGGCGCGCAGCAGGGCCACCCTGTTTCATTCCAATGGAGGGTCCTCTTGTGCATGTTCCTGCTCTTTATGCATGAAAATTTGGCCTGCAACGAGGCTTTAGACGCTCAGCTGGCTGCGAGGCACAAGAGCAGCAATAATGCCCGCCCCTTTCTCCTCTCCGTTGGCACAGGTGGCACACAGGGGCTCTGTCTTCGCCGAAAAAGGAGTCGACCAACTGTGCAGAATTCTGTTGTAGCATCGGCAAGGGGAGGCAGTGCACTCTATTGAGCCCTGGACAACCTTGATACAGAAGTTGCAACGATCAAATGTAACGTGTGCATTTGGTGCGAGCGCAGATAAAGCAGATGACGGAGAAGGATCTGGCGCGGCTGTGGAGCCAGTATGTGAAGGAGCTGGCGGTGCTGCTGGTGCTGGCCGAGGGCCCCCAGCCGCCGCCCGAGGTTGTTGAGCGCATGCAGGAACTCGTGCAGCGCGAACTGCTTCTCCTCTACATCAGGTGCGCAGTATGTGCCTGCTCACGTCGCAGTACCCTGAGTGGGACTTGTTGAGAAGGTGCGCACTTTTGAAATCGCAGAGGTGTATAGTGACGGAGGGAGCGCCTGATCATTGGTGGCGGCACCAGTGTACCACTCAGAGCGGCTCAAGCGGCCTGTTGGTGCTGAGTCCCCTTGCCGCCCCTGCGCACAAAGCTGGCACGCAAATCGCATTCCAAAGTCCCTTCATGTTTTGTTCCTGCTATGTCTGCCACAGGGCGGCGCTGGGCATTTTCTAGCGCCAGCCCGCAAAGCAGAGATAACATTGCAGTCTGAACGCCGCTGAATAGTCTGCTGCATTTTCTGGCGCAGGGCGGCGCTGACAAATATGAGCAGCGTGAAGCGGTTTGTGGCAAACTACAAGGTGGAGGAGATGCGCATGCACCTGGGCGACGAGGGCGTTGGCATGTGGCGCACAGTTGCACTCGCGCTGCAGCTCAGCCCAGAGCAGTCCGACTCCACCACCAAGCTCTGGCGCTCCTTCAGGTAGCCTAAACAGCCTCTTCGGCTGGCAAAGATGTACTCTTTGCTCTCTCTTCTTCTCTCTTTGTCGCTGTTAGGGCCTAAGCAGCCTCTTTGGCTGGCAAAGACGTATTTTCTGCTCTCTTTGTCGCCATATATCTCTATAAGGGCCCCTGCTATGATTTGTGATTGCTTGAGGGTGCACTGCTAACTTTGTATCGAGTTGCACTGCACAAAAGGGCAGGCACTATGTACTGACGATGGCATCTCGGAGAGTTCCAAGGCACTCGCCTTGACCAAGGATGCTGTTCTCAGCAGGCCCATTACATCCTGCGGCAGGTCTGCTTACAAGGCGGGGCATGCACAAAGGATTTTGATGTGAAGCCAGCTTTCAGGCATGATGGCCGATGCTGCGTTTGGCGCTTGTGCATATTCTTGGCAACCGGGAGAGCATGTGGGGCAATTTTGTTGAGTATGTGCATCAGATTGACAGGTGTGGGGTCACATATCGGCCCCGATGGCCACTTTCAGGACCAAAAAGGACCACTGGTAAACTTTCTGTACTAGTCTGGTCTATATAGTCGTCACATCTTTGACATGTTGTGCATGTGCGCAGGACTAAATTGGCGGAGCTATTTGCCTCGCGCCAGACGTGCCATGCAGGCATTGCAGACTCCATGCCGAGCGGCGTCATGGGCCAGGACTTTGCTGTGCAGTACCTTAGGGTGCGACCTCCCCTCCCCAATCCATCTGCCATCGCGCTTCAGTTGCATGAAGGCTATGCTTGCGATGCAAACCATCCTTTTCGCACACCAGTAGGGGCTCGGGAAGTCTGCCGGGGCCATGTCAGGCTGGAAGAGTGTGCATTGCTTTTATTGGTCATAGCTAAGTGCTGTTGGTGCAATGCGGGTGCAGGCATGCGAGCAGATGGATACTCTGAAGAAGAACCTGCGGCAGGAGCACGTGCTCATCCACGACTTCCTGTCCACCTTTTACACACAGGTACACCCCTTTCTTCAAACACTGCTGCGTTTCACGAGGCACGCCTCAGAAGTCGTGAGGGCGCTTGTTGCGAGGCCGCTCGCCACGCATTTTTTGATGGGTGGCAGCATACAGTATCTGCCCATGTCATTTTAGGCACCCGCGCTGATGTTGCAGCTGGGTGGCAGCAGAACACCCTTCGCACAAGCAGTCCCACGTGCTACTCTTCAATTCTTAGTGCAGCGTGGTAAAGTGCGGCCAAGCACCAAATCACTGGACAAATGCCAAGGCAGAGATGCTGAGCTGTGTTATGTGTGGCTGGTGCAGACACTGACTCCGCTGCAGATGGCGCGGTGTGTGGTGAGGTCATTCCCCTGGTACCCAGACATCCCTGCCATCACAACCTGGATGGCTGCACAGCACGGAGACCCTGAAGCCCAGGGGTTGCTAAAAAGTCTCATGCCCAATGTTAAAGTAGAATTGTGATCTATGGGTGTCGGCCGGAAAGATTTGGGGGATGCCAGCGGTGGAGAGCAGATTCTCAATCGACAAGGCTTTCTTGCATTAGCACACCTCCTGTGCCGTAGCCCTGGAACAGGAGTGTCAGTGTCATTCAAGACCCTTCTGTACTATCCAAGATTTTGAGGTGGCATGGCGGAATCATCCCAGCAGAATATATAGCCTCTTAACGTTCGAGAGTCCACAACTGGCGCTCAACAATGACTGGTGGCAAACAAATGGATCAGGGCAACGCTGCGCCAAACCATCAGCGTTTGCACATAGGAATGCAATTCTGTGTTGAGCATTGGATCTTCCAGAGGTGCATTGCGTTAGTTTTTTAAACCCAGGGATGGACAGTTGATGTTGCAAAAATAGCAGCTCCAATGCACTGAGCTGCTTGTACATATATAAAGATTGAGGAAGAGGAGAAGATAGGAAAATTTTTATCTGCAGCCAGGCAAGGCCGTGTCTCATGAGAACAACTGCTCTCATTTCATGCCAGCCAGATTACTTCCGTTGAGGCGCATGTGTGTGTCACTTTTGAAGGGTAATATCCTCTACAAACCCTGCTATTGCGTTGGATCTAGAATGTTGTGGGCGCTGCTGCAATGAGCTTAGGTTGGACTGAGTAGCACAACTGCTTAGGAAATGCATTTTTTTTACATGTGGTGTATGACAATTTCCAGGATCAACCACTCGTAGCTCTGCAAAATTACCTAGCAGAGAACTCTAAAATAATGCATATACCTGCAGGCCTGCCACTATATACCCTTTTTAGGCATCACCATTGAGGTGGCTGCACTTTGGTGCGCTGCAGACTGTCCATATTTACAGCGCCTCTCTTGGTATTGCCACTTCGAAGGAATTCCATGCATCCACTCTCACATGCATCATGGGAGTCAGCGTTTCCACCCTCTATCTGCCCTCAAAATTGGTGCTTTGCCTCTGAGCTAACAAATTTGCATGCATGCACGCAATGCTCGCTTTCTATTGAGCGCTCCAATGCACACATGCAGCATTTCGGCTGCCGAGAAGGAAAGAAAATTGCCAATGAAATGTCTCAAATCCGTCTCGGCTGTACTTGACTGAAGCACCATCTTCATAGTGGTACCTCTTACTTCTAGTGGTCGTTGCTATCACTGATCCACACCCTGACTTTCCTGAAGCTGCAGAGGGATCTTCCAGGCATGCGAGCTGCAAAATTTTTGCATGCAGCATCTGTGCAAAGAGCCAGCATGTGCCTCACATCCCCCTATTGAACTCTGAACTGCCAACTGTACTTCTGGCAAAGAATGAAAAATGGCGTGTGTGCATGCACGCGCGCGCTGGTGACATGCCACTGGGGCCTCATTTGTTGCGCTCTATTTAGAAGCTGACCATTAACATGCTACAGTACTTAAATCTGTCAGCACCCCAGTCATGAAAGCAAAATTAGAAGTGCACAAGGGGCCGTTCAGCAGCAAGCCTTTGCCTGCTTGGGGTCAAAAGCAGAACCCATCTCCCACACGCTCGCGTCGACCGTGGCCGGTGCCGCGCCAAAAGCGCCGAACACCGACACATTCCAGCTGTCTTCCATGCCGGCTGGGTAGATCCTGCTGGTCACCCTCCCCCGCCCATCCAGCGCATATACCTGCGCAGCAGTCTCCATTGGGATCTTACATACACCTCGCATGGTGAATCCCTGAAGTCTAGACTTTGAAAAGCGGAACTGAAAAGCACCATGTTTGTGGACAAGATCACAACTGCCGACTTGATTTACTATTACCCCTCACCTACCAGGACCGCCGTGCAACTGAAATGGCAATCAGCTCGTCACAGGGTGATGCTATTTTGGGGCACACATGCAGGGTGCGAATGCCCACAGCTTTGCCTCATTGGACAAGATCCACCCACGCACCTCGAGCAGAGAGTGGTCGACAAAAATTCGCAGCGTGGCTGCAGGGACTGAGAGGCCAGAGGCGGGCAGCGGTATGGGGCCCCCTTGGGTGGTGGTATTGGTGTGGCCGCCGCTCTTGGATCGATCCACATACACTCCCGCCTGCGACAGCAGTGCAGCCGCCATTAGCACAATTGAAGTCATTAAATGTCTTACAAGGCCAAGAAATGTGTCAGCGGTCACCTGTGCAGCCATTGGGACTAAGCATAAGCTACTCAGGACAGTACAGAAGAGATACGATCGTTTATTTACCAGCCTCGTTTGATTCACTTCACGCTGCCAGGGTGACTGCCAAAACGTGGCCTGGCACATAGCTTGCAGCACAGAGTCATCGAGGAGGAGATGAAAACTGGACAAACGGAGGCAGTCAGGGAGATACCTGTGCAATGTTGAGGCTTCCATTGGCAATGGCAGCGGCCGTTCCATTGACGGTGATCTGAGTAAATGTCCCCTGCCCAGTGCTGAGCTGGATGCCGATGCTGAACGGCTGCTGTCCGCCCTGGCTGCCGTTTGCCGCAACAGCAAAGGCAGCCATGATTTCAGTCTGCCTCCCCATGCTGCTTGACTGCGTCAGGTTGAGCTCCTGCAGCAGCAAAGCACACCCAAAATAAGTGGCGAGCAGGGAGTAGGTGTGTATGCTTCTCGCAATCACACGCCAGCCTGCTGCACCCCAAACATGAAGCCAAGCATGTGCACATGCTCGCTCACAGGAGTGTGTTGCTTCCCTAAAAGGCCTGACTGCAATGTATTGCGCATATGTAGTTGTATTACTTATGCTGTGCTCGCTGTCATTTTGGTGCATGAGCTTGCAGCCAGTAAGTCGATCCCCTTGCAAGTTGGGGAGGAAACAGGGCCGCACCTGTGAGCCATTGCTGGGCAATGTGACAGCGGATTTGTTATACAGCAAAGTCGAACGCAGCAGAGTGAGCTCCTGCACGGGGTTCATGATGAGCGCTCGGGAGTCCATGTCCAATGTCACCTCCCTGGGCAGCGTCTGCGCTCCCTGCCACCCCTGCAAGTAACCCCCAGCAGCCCGTTTTCAAATTCAAAGACCAAATAATAACACACATACACAGCAATTATCTCTTGCGCAAGGGCAGGCGCGCTCCAGACAGGCTTCACTAGGTACAGATTCATTCAGGAAAGCTATGCAAGGCACGGATGAAATTCACAGCAGGAGTGAAGACTGTCGTTCGTTGCTATCCTCTAATGGGATGAAAGGATGACAGTGAGCAGCAATTGCCGCATGAGGCATGGCGGCTGCACCAAGCATGCCCACGCCACACTATGTCTGCCAGCAAGGGCAGTGAGAGCATTGCAGAGGTCTTCAACACAGAAGCTTCAGGAAAAAGTAGCACATGGTCCGTCTGCTCACCAGGCTGTCTGTAAAGTTGGTGCCAGCAGAGCACTGCTCCACGCAGCCAGCGCTAGTCTCAAACACCCAGCCCAGCAGCACGCGTCGCCCGTCGCTGGTCGCAAATGTCTTGCTCGCATAAATGCTGCCGTAATCCACCGACCTGCAATGCAGTGTTGGCTACCCTGCTTTCCGCATGTTTGTGTAATCACAATCCTCCCAGTTCTCAGCATACCTCAGACTCGCTTCAAACCCCTAAATTAGGCCTCTAAAGGGCTCTAAAGGTCAGCAACGACCACGAATGAAGGTGCTGCATCTCACGACAGTCATTGTCTGGTGGGAGATTGAATGACATAAAAGGCAGCGGGCGCACTGTGGGGTATTCTGCAGTGTGGACTGGAATCTGGAGGTGTCCTCCCCTCTGCTGCTGATGTTGCCCTGGCTGCGGTTTCCCAGAAAGGTGGCTGACGTCCCCAGAATGTACCAGTCCATTGCAAAGGGGTCACGCGTCTTGGACTGTGCATTGCACCATTATTTATTACAACTTACAGGCAACATCAGCACAGGGCACAGAAATGTCACAAACATCCCTGGATTCCAGGGATCACAATATGCAGGGCGAACATCATGCTTCAAAAATAACAGTAGTAGCTTGCCAAGCCCTCCAAAACTCTCCAAAACTCTTGTGCATGTGTGCATGGGGCAATGTACATGCAATCTTAGATATTCATCAACGGTGTGCAAAAGGGGCAGTCAGGTTTCTAGAGAAGAGCAGAAGGGAATTGCAGACCTGGTCGCTCCACTTAAAGACCCAGGTATCATTGCCGAGCTGGAATGTGTCGGGACACTCCCACATGCGGCAGACTGCGCCAACTTGATCACACTGCCCCACCCCCGGCTGCGCCAATGCCGGCGCCACGCACTGCCCTGCATTTGCCTGCCCGACCGAAGCCTGCAGCGAAGCACACCCTTTATTGTCAATTTGACCTCCTTCAAGGCCTGCTGCATCTGCTTTTGGAAACAGAGCAAGGTGGCCTTCTGCAGTCCAAGGGGCACATGTTACATGGCAACTGGGACAACTGCCAGGAGGGTCGGTGCGCTGTTATGCCAGCAGGCAACCTCAGATGAGTGAGTTTTGGTCAAGAAGATTGTCTGAAATAAGAGTATGCAGTGGAGTGTGCTGAGCATGATGGCAGGAGGTAAGGATAATGGAGGTAAGGGTAAGGGAAGTAAGGTAAGCTTGAAGGGGCTGCACCTGGGATGCCCACTGGCCAGCAGGCTGCCACGTCTGGAAGTCCGGAGAGGAATACAGCGCAGCCGTCCCAAAACAAGATTCCAGGCTGCCGATGACAGTGTACCAGAGCCCATCCTACACACAGCATTTTTGCTTCAGCATGCGTGTTGAAATCATTCTGAACACTGGTGTATCTGATCCCCAGAACAGCTCTTACTCCTCTTTGGAACTGTCAAGCTTGCAAGAGAAGATTCAGTGATGTAAAAGAGCTGATGTACCTGCTTCCAGGCAGAGACTGGGTCTCTGAATTGAGCCAGGGTGCCATCGGGCGGGGGCTGACTGATAATAGGATTGCTGGGGGACTTTTTCCACAGCTTCAGCCTGGGGTCCGAGGCGTTCACCGGCACAGCCGTGGCCTGCACCTGCTTGTAGTACTTCAGCTCGCTGAAGTTGGACACCCCTGCATTGAGCGCAAGACTGTCACTTGTGACTCGGAGAAGTACGTGGATATAATTTTGCCCTTTTGGCATTAGAAGATGCAATCATGACCCATAGATGCTAACTTCATGATCACCTGCAAAAGGAGTGGGGTCCTACCCAGCTCATGCACAGCTATAAAAAATGCTGCACAATTACATTTTACCTCTCCTATCTTCTGGCGCTCGCTCTGCCTTGATGTCTGCACTACTCTGTCTTAAATCTAAATTTCAAATGATCAGCTGTTGTCCAGGTATGCGCAAAGTCTTGCCTGTGTAGAAGAGGATGGGTGTGCCGTCCTCGAGCAAATTAGCAGATCCGCTGAAGACTCCATCATAGTCATAGTCAGTGTCTGGGACGAGTGCTGGCGGCATGCGCTCCCAATGCACCATGTCCTTGGAGATGACGTGGCCCCAATATGGCGCTCCCCAGATGGGCGCCTCAGGATTCCACTGCATGCATGCAAAATTAAAGTGTCAACATGCCATACCGTGGTTGCGTGTGCTTGACAAAAGAGCGGCGACAGCAGGCACAAGAGTTTTCGCAAGGATGCATGGGTAGGATGGGCATGAAACAGACCTGGTAGAACACATGATAAATGCCGGCCTTGTTCTGAAACATGCCTGCGCCAGCACTACACCGTCACATGCAAGGGGCACATGACAGCTCGTGCTTGCAGAAATAATTCCATGCACCAATGCAATATCATGCTGTTGAAGATTGTCATATACATCTCTGTCATACCGTTGGGGTCATTCATCCATCCCATTGCCGCTGTGATGTGATATCCAGGCTTCAGTGCTTGCGCTTCAGGTGCTGATACGCGATCTCCGCCACCCTGCATAATTGAAGGTCGAGATTGCACCATCTAGACATAACGTAGTCCCATCACAAGGTTCCTGGCACGTGTCAAAGGCCTTAACTTTCAGTACGAGAGAGCACCTTTGGAAAGCTTTGTCCCGTAATTGCAGGATTGTTTGTCTTGGGATTGGAAGGGTCGGACAACATCGACTGTCCTGACGCAAGAGGAGCAGGAGCAAGCGCAGGTGAAGCTGTGCAGGTGGCAATAGCCAGAAAGGCAACAATGCAGGACTTTTTGAGTCCTGAAGCCATTCTGTGATACTCTGTATAGCCTATGGTTGCTCAATCCTCACTCACAATCCTCATGAGCAACTCACAGAACCGGAATGCAGTAGTAGAGTGTACTCAATCAAGCAATAGAGATCTTCAACGTCGCATGAATGCAAAAGAGAACCTTTCCGGGATGATCAAACATTCCCTCTTGCATTTTTGAAGGCATCGGTTCACCTCATCCTTCGTATTCAGGTGCTGTCTGATCAATCTAGTGTTCGAAGCTAGGAGGTAGCTGGCTGCATCACCTTCAAATGGAGTCATCTCTCAAGTAATCCCCTCATGTGATCAGCATGTGGGCTCCCTCACGCGCTAATCTCGTCTGATTGCCCTTCTCGTCAGACAGTTGTCGTGCTGTAGTCTCTAAAGGCAAGTCTGGCTGGTGTCGGCGTGACGTCTTGCTGGGTGCTTCCTTTGCAAGCAAGTGCACTTGCCACTGTGACTGCTACGCCGTGAGGCTCGAAAATCACCAGCAGAAGCGGACTGTGCAGAAGGGGGATTGTCTTTGTTGATGAGCCACAGTGGTCAGAGCATGGCTGTGGATGCCCGGTTCAGCGACGCAGATGTTGGAGACATACTAGATACTTTCTTGCTTCACCACCATCATCCGGTCGGAAGATCTCAAGCGCCCAGCCCGTTCGATCCTAGCGAAGTACTCTTTGCATCTGACCCACTGGGCAATCTACCAGAAGCCTGGCAGCCTGACGTCAAGGATGCTGTGGTGGTAGGGTTCTCTCAGACTTCCTCGCAGCAGTATCCGTACACCCGTTGCATGTCCAAGTCTTTTCATGCATGTTGCGATCGATATTCTCAACTTGCCGAGGCGACCGTAGAAAAACAATTCACTTTTTCCGTACACTTCTCTTGCGCTACCTGGTACTGACGATTGCAATCTTGCTTCTTATGTACACCAATGCCAGGAACGTGAAACGACATTTTTCATTCGCAGAGTCTCGGACTCGAGCACGCACCCCACGCCAGCTTTTCTTCCGCACCAGAGAACCTCAGGCCGCTGCAGGCCAACACCTTCACAGATGTGCTGGCCAGCGTGGCCGCGCAGTGGAGCCCATCCAACGATGACGCTGGGCCCAACAGCTGGGAGAGTCAGGGGCTGGGTCCGCGCACTGAGGGCAGCGGCAGCGCCCATGGGGGCTCCTATTTCCCGGTAGCGCCTCGCTGCACTGCTTTGCATGCTGCCTTATATTATTTTTCATGCATGCATGGCATCGATCTGTGTTCCTTGATGCGTTTTGGAGCGGCGTGGGACATCAATCCTGGAAATGGCTCTTGTCGTTCTGTGACAGCACATCAGCAGTGATACTTGTGCTGCATGCAGGCCACAAGGCTGAACTCTGGCGGGTTTGCACAAGGAGACGAGGGAGGCTTTCATTCTCCGGCCTCAGGATCGCCGCAGGACGTGCTGCTGTCTACCCCCAGCAACAACTTTGATGGCATGATTGACACTGGAGCCGCCATGAGTGGCAGGTCAACAGCTCCTTCTGTTTTGAGCACCATGCAGACTCAAAAAGCACTTTGTGGGCTTTTACAACTTTGGTAATAAGCATCAGTGTGCATCGGTGTCAGGGCTCTGAGCAGGCTGCAGTCGGAATCGAAGTATGTGTTAGCGGGAGAAAAAATTCCAAAGAGCTTGCAGATGTGTCCAAAGAGTCTGCAGATGTGTCGATTGGCCTCTGCTGCCCATGTTTGGCATGCTGACCGATGTGAGACTGGTGCCGTTGCAGTGAGGGGTCTGCGAAGGGGAGTGCAGCAAGGAGGGGCACAAAGGAGACCAAGGTGGGCAGCAAGGAGGTGCATGCGGAGCGTGTGCAACAGAGGAAGTCGCGCAAGAGAGAAAAGGTGCACTAGCTCCCAGCTCTCCATATCATGTTGTGCTGCAAGTGTCTTATTCTCATTTTGGAAGATCTGGTGCTCTCCCATCAATAAACGGGGACACTAAAGTGAATGACAAATGGTTCCTGGTCTCTTACGCACTTGAATAGCATAAGCCCAGAGAAAGCGCTCAGGAGCTAGAGTCGTAGACGAGGCCATGCATGACCTTGCTGGTCAATTGCGTGCGCAGGACAAGATTGAGGAGCTGCAGGCGCAGATCAGCGCTGCGATGTCGGATACCGCAGAGCTGACGGCGCGGAACACTGCGTGGGAAGCCGAGCTTCAGGTGATGTGCATCTGCTGATGCTTTCTGCTTCAACGGCAAATCAGTTGTTAAGTTACATGCACAATCACGTATGGGTGGAAGCCATCTCCATCTGCAGATACTTTCTGTCAGATCTGACTGCTCTGTGTGACACAGAGCATGGTTCAGCATCAAGGATGGCAAACAGTTAGGATTCTATCAAGTGAGTGCACTTGCCGCTCGTCAGCAACAGAAGTCATCGCCCGGCTGCTGCAGCATCAAGGATAGAGTTAGGAATAGGTGGGCGCACCCTCCAAAAGGGAGATGATCAAGGGGGTGATCAAGGCTGTGGCTGACGTGGCGCGGGCCGATGTGCAGTCGGCGGTGGAGGAGCTGCGGGGCTTACGGGCCGCAGAGGAGAGCGCGCTTACGGCGCTGGCCGATGAGGAGCTGGCCGCGCGGTTCAACGGCGATGTCACCCTCACCGTACGCGACGACGCAGTTACCGTCCTCTCCCCGGAACAGGTAACCCTCTCTCGCCAAGGCCTGGGTTGGATACTTGTATCGCCACAGCGCGGTTGCTTCAACCAGATGTTGCAACCCCTGCAATGCTGCTCAGTGCTGTTCCCACCGTACACCTTGCCAGAGTCCCTCCTTTTGCAGACACAGGCAATATTTGAAGTGATTTCACCTGTCGCATGTGATGTGTCACTAGTGCCAGGCGTTTTTTGGGCATCTATATTTGCGGGTTGGCAAGTACTGCATGGGAGTGCATTTTGGTCATTAAGAAGAAGTGTTGTGAGAAAGGGGGTGGTGCTCCACAGATAAAGGCGATGACGGAGGATGACATGGCGTACTGGTGGGGACTGTACATAGAGAAGCTGACAACTCTGCTGGCCGAGGCAGACGCGCGGCCGCACGGGCCGGCCCCGCACACCGCCCGCCGCATCCAGGCGCTGCAGCGTGAAGCGCTCTTCCTGCACATCAGGCAAGCACATCTTCCCCACCAGTGCTATTTGAAGAACCAAGTGTCCAGCTGGTTGCATGCCTGCAGGCGCATGAATACCAACAAATCTGCATTGGTTATCGGAGCAGCCTTTCTTGCACGGCTGGGCACCTGCACCAAGAAAGCACCCTGAGATCTCAATAATGCAGAGACCACGAGCTGTTGCTGCAGGCTTTGTGCACTTGGTGCGAGGAAGATTGATAAGAGAATAATCAAGAATGCGACTTGGTGAGGAAAGGGTATCCTGAACATGTCCGTGTGTGTGGGCAGGGCTGCGATCACCAACATGCAGAGCGTGAAGCGCTTCCTGGCGCGTGGCAAGGTGCAGGCGCCCTTCAGCGAAAACTCTGACCCGCCGCGGTGGCGACTGGTGGGCACCTCTAAACCTGGAGTCACATGCTGTGCATCAATTGTCTTGCGCAAGCACCTGCTTGGGGGTCCCATGCATGCGCTGTTTGGCTGATGATTTTTCTAGCTCGCCGGCCTACTCAGCACCATGTAAGGAAAACTTTGTATAGTTCCTGCCGTTATGGCGGAAGTTACACTGGCATGTCCGTCATTTCGGCAGCGTTCAAGGGAATTTCTTACTCAGATCCTGGGATGACATCGTTATGGCTGATGATATTTTGGCATCTTTGCAAAGTCCATAACATGCGGAGGACATCATGCAGTTACATCTGCAGCACGAATGCATGTATGGCTGGTGCAGATAGCGGAGGGGCTGCAGCTGTCGGGGGAGCAGCGGCGGTCAGTGGCGTGCCTCTGGCGCAGCCTCAACGGGCGACTCGAGCGCATTCTGGCGGCGCGCGCGTCGCTGCACGGCCAGATCAGCTCGTCCATGCCCAACGGCGTCCAGGGCCGCGACTTTGCTGTCAACTTCCTCAAGGCGTGCACAACTTTTTCTCAGGGCTGACTGTGCAGTGATTGACCAACAGTAACGCCTTCTTGGCATACCCTCAGGGCTTGTGAGGTCCTCACCGGCTGCATTTACTTTATTTATTTTATTGTAACCCCTTGCAGCCTGGAGCTGCTCCTATCTGCACCGCCTAGCCAGACCGGATCATTATATCCTTGCTTAAAGAATGGGTGTTTTAAAGGCATGATATGGTCGTTTAGGCTATGATGTCAAGCGGTGCAAGCTGTGAGCACCCTTTGTGAGGAAATTGTGCCGAGATGTCTGACATGGGCGGCTTTGTTGTTGCAGGCGTACGAGTGCATGGACGCCCTGATGTTCAACCTGCGGCAGGAGCATGTGGTTATCTGCGACTTCAAGTCCACCTTCCATCAGGTGACGCCCGGCCGCTTGCCAGAGCTCCCATTAGCGGTTTTGTCTCCCTTTCAGGCCATGGGCTCCTTACAGACAAATACTCAAGTTCCACTTTTGCCATTGCATGCTTGCTTACATTCCCAAGGCCTTGGGCTGTCATATGGCCAAGATCTCATTGCATAACCTCCCTGCGCAAAAGGTGATCTGCCCCTGCCAGTGCACTCTGCTTTGCACCCAGGTGCATGGGCCTGCCATACGCCCATCCATGGAACTCGAGTTTGTAGTCCTTGAGAGGCTGTCTCGTTTGTCCTGCCAGACACCATGTCATGTATCTGGAGTAATGTAGTCTTGAGAGATTCTTACAATATGTCACAGCGGGCTTACAGGAAATCCATACTGTGCATCGCAGACACTCACGCCGGTACAGAATGCGCGCTTCATGGTGACATCCTTCCCATACTTCCCGGACACGGTTGCCTGCGCGGTCTGGATTGCCGCCATGGATCAGGATGAAGAAGCTTTGCGGCGGCTGCGCGCGCACGGCCTCCTCTGACCGGCTTAGCACAGCGCCAGAGTACTCTGCTCCGCGTGCATGATTGACTCTTGTAGGCTATCGTGCTCAGAAGTGCAAACTCCGCTGTGAGCCCTGTTTGCAGTCCACATCAGACTTTGGAGCCGGGAGTGGGCCAGCAAGATCAACCATGTACATACTGCTGGGCTCCAACATCATCCCAGTGTTGATCTGACATACTCCTGGGATTGGGCAGAATGTTCTCGGCTCTAGGATAGTCTGGTCCCGCCCAGGAGATCTTGATGTCTTCAATTCTGTGCTGCCCAAAGTGCTGGGCAGAGATCAAGTTGTTGGAGTTGCCCAGGGGCCACCCTTGGATCTCTCGTAAGGCAGTGTCAAATTAGGTCACCACATTAAAATTCGGACTTCTCAGCGCGCCAGCCAGATCAGAATGCACATGCTGCTAGGGCCGCCTCTGTCTCTGGAAGCCTGCCGAGCTAGTCTAGTTGGGTGTTGATCCTTGGAGCGGGACCACCTAACTGCTGAGGAGCGCTGGTGTGACTGGCGAGAGGCGGTCCAGGGGCGCTCCTTTGCCCTGAGATCAAATTGCGGTTGCCAATGTTAGGCCAGCAAAAGGTATATGGGACGTTGTCAAGATCCCCTGAACAGATGCAGAGACATGAGAACTGCTCCTGAGCAGCACCTCTATCACTGAAGGATTGACGCCTAGTGTCGCGAACAGCAACTGTGCCTGCACAACAAATCGATGCGTGCTGACGGAATGCGCAAGCAAGGATCATCTTTTGATCTGGCTCGAGCTCTGACTATGCTGCATCTAAGCTGGCCATGCATACAGAGGACCGTCTGGCAAAGGAAGGTGAACTTCATAATCTGCTGCAGAGAATTGACTCGGGGTGTTTAGGATGAGCACGGGTGGCGCGTAGGCGTCGCCTTTGTGCAAGTGGGTGTTGAGATTCAGGATCTGCGCATGCCGGGATGCGCTGCGGTGGAGTCTTGTGTACAATTAGATGCGAGGAGGTGGTTTTGTTGCTTTGGTGCTGCCTCCGTTTTCCCCATGCAGCGCCTGTTCATCTGGGGTTGCATAGGGGCAGGATGGAGCTCCTTCGAGTGGCGAAGAGAGGGTGCTCCAATTTGACTCTGTCACACGGATCGGAAGTAATCACTGCATGTGCTGGGATTGACAGTGTGTTGTTTGGGACAGAGTTTACTCCGGTTGCTTTGTTCGCTTGAATCTGTTTTGCCTTGGATGGCATGGGTGTTGGTGCCACATGGCAGCAATGCAATGCCAGATTGAAGGCGCTTGTCAAGTGACTTTCTCAATAAAATTGGTGGCGCGTTTCTCACTGAGTGGCACTGCATCTTTTGGTCTTTTGAATGGCCCTCTGCTTGCGACTTGGGCTGTTCTGTCGCAGCCTGCACTGCATGTGCATGAGTTCTGTATAGCGGTTGAAGGTTGTCGGTTTTGCCAAGGATCCTTTCAAGTATATGCACCAAGCTGTCAACTAACAGAATGAATGCAATCCGATGGAGCCATTTGCATGAGACAGCTTTGGGAGATCTGGATTGCATTGCAATCCATGGCATGCACATGAGTGGTGCTCGCATCCATGTTGGCCAGATGCACAGAGCCTTCACGGGCGACTGCTCCTGGGACATCTAGCACCACAAACAGCGCTCCATCTGGCCAGAGGGCCTTGCATTCTTCCGTACAATCCGAAATGTCATGGTGCTGGGCCCAAAATTCGGTGGACAATTCCCGCCCAAAGGGTGGCTCGATTGGAGGAGTCAGATTTTCTGGGAGCTGACGTATGCCGAAAATCGCTGATACTTCCCGCGACTGCACTTCGAACGTAAGCAGAATTCGGTGGTGAGCCTGCCAGATCGTGTGGGCAGGGCCAGGATTGCCTTGGTAGAGTAGTGTGGGTAGGTAGCGAGTAGAATTGAGAGGACTTGACACTGGGGCCAGCAAGGATTGGCTAATCGGCCATGACGGCAGCCGAGGAGGAAGCCTCCTCTGAGTGCGTTTCCAACATGCAGCCATCGAGCGGGCTGTGCTACAGGCAGAGACGGTGCCCGATCGAGGCATGCAGTCCCTGCATCTCCACAGAATTGACAGCCTCCAAATTTGACGGTGGCTGCCGAGGGCGGTTCTCGGATGCTGCAGAAGCCGGCTTCCGCACGCCACTGCCGATGTGCCAATCTGCAGATCTTGCAGGTGTGTAGGGCGCCATTGCTTCCAGCTAGTTGCAGTGATCTCAATTGGTCTGCGTTTCAAGCGCCCCTGAGGGCTCGCGGACGCACGAGACACAATGACGGTCAAGCAATTTTGCGGCCGAGGTTCAATTGCTCCTGATCGAGTACGCAGCGATGGGATCGCCTTGATGACCTCGTCCGATCCCGATCGGGCGCGTAAGATGCACCTGCGACTTGGCTTCCGTCTGTCGTACTGGGGCATGAGTTCTGTTTTTTGCGCTGAGGGCTGTTGATACCATTGGCAATGCAGCTTTTCCCGATAAGCAGCACGCATATATCAGCAGCGCCCTTTTGTGCAATTTCACGGGCGGACGATGTTGGAAGAGTCTGGAGTGCCGATCTGGAGACGATTGGTCACGTTTTGGTTAGCCTTTTCGCTTTCCTCGACGATCCAGTAATGGTCGGGCAATGCAAATACATCTGGTCTTTACAAGGTTGCGAGGGCACTGGATCTGGCTGGTAGTGCTGAGCAGAATCCGCGAGCGCTGTAATGGATTGCAAACATCTTCATTGCCTTGAGATCGGGCCCGCCGCAGGTGTTTGGGTCGAAATGGGATTTGACAGTGTCGCGTTTGGCTAGGTTGCGGCAACATTACTCTCAGGACCACACTGACAGCTACTTTCTTCCATCCTGTCGCAGACGGCCAGCCACAGCCCATTAGCGCTGAGCTCCTGCTCACAGCTCAGAAGAAGCTCAGGGAGGCGTACGAGTCCAACATCCCGGCCTGCCCAATGGTATCTGGCGCAGTCTTCGGGGATCAGGGAGCACAGATGCCCTTCAGCGGTTACAGCGCCCACTTTGAGGTCAAGGTGAGCAGACGGATGGATGCATTTCCACAGATTGTGGCAGTCACATGGTCTTTCAGCTTTCTGCGATCCACACCTACACTGCGGGGCTTGCATGGGAAGGACATGCCAAAGTGCCGTCTTCTTTGAGCCGCCAACTTCTACTAGCACCGTGTTCCTGACCTATTTCTCCTTTGCACAAAGGCGATGCAACCACTCCTCATGGAGGCTCAGGGGAGCTGGCCCATTGGCGCCTGCACGCCGGCCCAACCAGGGTCCCTGCATCAACCAGGTTGGCACCTTGCCTGCCATTTCACTGCTTCCAGCAATGAATTTGCAGCAGGACAGGGCATTCGGCCGACACATGTGGTCCCTAGGTGCTGAATCGGTGTATCATGGCCGCAGAGGTGCTGCATCCGCAGAAGCCTCGCACAGTTGCTGCAAGCCAGGAGGCCGCAGCTGCCAGCAATCCTCAGCCCAGGTAATACATGGGCGGCTGCTGGCATTGAGCCTCTGCATGTTACCATTGCGCATTGCTATAAATACCTCTTGAGTTCAGACTACTTTGGTGTGCTGATGATAAATGCTGGACGCTAACATTATCAATGACACGATACTGGTAGTAAGACAGAGTCTCTCTCTGAAAATTTTTGCAGAACATCTAATGAAGATCAGTCTTTGAACCATCTGTTGGAGCCATTACAAGAACAAATCCTGATCGGGGCAGTGATCAGTGCTGCTGATTGGGGCAGTGAGTCTGAAGTGCTCAGGGTTACTCTGCAGGCTGGAGGGGAATGCGCCGAAGCAGAGGAGGGCCAGGGGTGAGGAGAGCGATGAGGACACGCTCAGCAGCAGCAGCAGCAGCGGCTCCAAGAAGCGCAAGAGGCAGGCAGTCATGTTCAGCAGCATGCAGCCGGACTCCTGGTGGGAGCACCAACTCACCGCTTTCATCCCTTGATCAGTGTGTTGCTGGCAACCTGAGCATGCACTCGGGCGACCTCGTAATACAAAGCAGGATCCGCTAGCCTTTTTCTCTTAGTGTCGCACTGCTCTCACCTGAAGACCTCCTGGATGGGATAGTGTGATACGAGCCTGTCTGACACATTACTCTACAAGAAGTTGCAAGCATGCCTTTTTTGTGCTGAACACCTGGCCATGGAGACCATGCTGTGTGGGCTGCAAAGAAAAACTTTGAAGAATACAGAGGAAACTTCTCGATTGTGTCATCATGCTGAGGTGGCGTGGTGTGCCTGTTTGGCAGGGCTGCTGAGCTGGCGCTGCAGCGGCGGCAGCTGCAGGCACGCGTGGAGCAGCTGGAGGGGTACAACGCTCACCTCATCCGCCAGCTCAGTGCCACTCTGCGCACGCTGCGCTCCGAGCGCGCCAACACCCACGCCGAGATCACGCGCATGCACCAGAAGGTGGCCTTCAACCTTACCTTTCGGGCTTTTTGCTATTTTGGACGATTGCTGGGTCTCTGCAGTATATTGCATGGCAACAGGTGCAGCGCGAGTTGATGCGTCCACAGTCTTCAAGCATTTGCAGTGCCGAGATCTTATGCCGGCGTGTTGAGAAAGGCAGACAAGACTCTTTGCTTTGCAGGAAATGTCACAAGCATCTGTGCCGCTATTTCAATCAGGTTGCGTTGGCAAGTACTAAGAGACAGCAGCTGTGACCAGCGGTCCTGATTTTCCGCTCTTGTGCACGCAGTGTGCCGCACTGGCCGCGTTTCTGCCGCCGTCGGTGGCCGCCTTCGCGCTCGGCAACCCGCCGGAGATCGGGGTCAACAGCCGGGCCGCCCTCCTCCGCTCACACTCCTCGCCATGACCCACCCCTTGATCTACACTAGATCAAGGGGTCGTGATCCACCCAGACATCCACCCAGCCGCAATTGCCGCCTGCCCACACCCACCATGCCCTTCAATTTTGCTGAGTCAGCCGCTACGCAAGGGCAGAGAGGGGAATATTGAAATTTGTTGGGGAGGGAGCATGCAGACAGCTAGCACATGAGGGGCCTAAATTTCCTTGCAGCACTGTTCCAGCACTTCAGGGCTTACACCGGATGCCAAGATAGAAAGTGCGGCCTGTGGACATACCAGAATATCACACGCATGATCCAGCTCTTTGTTTTGGGGGCGTTTCCAGTTCCGTTCTACCATTTCGACGGTTGGCCAATTTTGCCGATGGCCCGCTTCCCACTTTGGTGCATTGACTTCCCGCATGTTGGTCTGAATAAGGGGCAGTCAATGCACACCTGTCGTTCGGCCTCCGTTCGTGGCAAGGCGCAAATGACAGGTTTGAGTGTTTTCACTTTCACTTTCCATCGTCTTCCTTTTCATGCAAAGTAGGGAACCTAGGCAAGCTCGCAGGACCCGTTGTGAATTCCCGCCAGGATGTGGACTTGGTATTCACAAAAAGTTTGTAGGCAAAGGTAGCTATTGCTTAACCTTGGGGGGGCCGTCGTCAGCTTCGGGATTAAATTGCATTCATGACATGGGCCCAGTGAGGGACTCTGTTGCATTCAACATTTATGATTAAATGTGCCTTTGGAGCCTGATGGGGGTTGATGAGGTCAGCATTCTTGACCCCATATTGAGGTCCCAAAAATAGTTGAGCTTGGAGTAAACAGTGGTGTGTCAGATTAGCACAGAGGGCCATGGAAACTAGCATTTACAAGGAGACAGAGAGGTATTTGTCCCACTGGGGGCTAGCAGCAAAGAGTGCAATTTTTTTCTCACCCCATCATGTTGAGAGCTGAGAGAGATTGCGGAGGGCAGAACTGGTGAAGAGCCATAGAAAGCCGAGGTGTCTCTAGATAACCGCCAAAAAGAAAAACACATCTTTAGTGCCTACTACCAGGCAACGAGATTCCCAATTTTGTCAGGCCTCTGTATCCTCAGTGTGATGGGGCAAAGAGGTCCCAGGTGCATGCTGCAATGCTGTGTCTTTCGCAGGCGCCTGGCTCAGGACCAGGGCTGCAGAGGGACCAAAGAATGATCATCTCAAGTGTCAATAACCGCCAGCACAGTGGCTTCCTACCATGTGTTGTTCTTGCTGTTTGGATCAGATCCATGTCTCCAGCGTTGTGTGTGATCGCTGCCCTGACACATCTGCCTGCCAAGTGCGTCCGGCCTTTGCCTGTTGACCATTTGCGGCCGCGCACTTGCCTCCCTTTGCACAAGCCTGGGTGGCGGCTTGTGAGGGAGTTGCTGTCATTTCAAGTTACATGTGTAGTCACCCACCTGCCTGCCTGCCTGCTGGCAGCGTTCCATTTGGGGTCTTTTGCTGTACAATCGAAGTGCTCACAGGGTCGGAACATAATATCCTTACACCCACCTGCTTTAGTTTTCTCCTGGCTTGCTCTGCAGCGCGCGGTGTTTGGCGTTGCAGAGCTCGCCGCATCATGTGTCAGGAATTATGTCCTTCTGTGCCTCCGTTTTCTGGGTCACAACACCATCTTGCGTGAATAATGTGGACCACTCTCTGTCTCAGGGTCTTTGGCAGCGTGACCTGCTTGTGTGCTCATCTGATCTGGCCGATTTCCCACAAGCTTGGCTTGTGCGCAGAGAATTGGCAGCATCCTCAAGGAGAGTTTTGCCCACTGGTGATGAAAGCAGTGTCATAGATGGTGAACCTTCTTTCTGTTGCTGGGATGTGAACTGCGTTCTTGGGATTGCCGTTCAGGGGATTGACTTTGCACTGCCAACCTTGAAACTTCTAGAAGCGGGTCAAGGAAGACTTGACTACCTTGTGCAGCCCTGAGGACTGTGGTATATGCTTGGAGGTTGTAGGATGATTGGACGGAACAAAAGATTCGTCAGGGCTCACTGCATGCAGCATGAAATGAAGTGAATGTTGATCTTCAATGGGGTGGTTTTTATGATGTGAGCCAAATGGGTGGTTGTGTCACAGCGCAGTGCTGTCATGCCTCAGGGCCTGCCTATTTGGTTCACAGATAGGCTTCTCGTAAGTGCTACCGCTCCATTCTACTGCGAGACAGCCGTTTAATTGTCATCTATGGGGGAAGTCATTGCCACCATGCATGGCAATTAAGGCGTCTGTACTTTTATTTCTTGGGTTCTGACGCATCTTCAGATGATCTGAGTGAAATCTGACAATCCTGAGCCCAACCTTGATCACTGCTTGGCAACTATGAACCTGTGCGTTTCTTGGCACCATCATGGCATTTCTTTATCTAGCTTACAATTATAAATAGCATCATGATGCATTGATTAACGTATAATCGCACGTTGTCTCTGTGAATGCAACATTAGCCCGCGCGATGCCTCAGGACTGCTCAAGTAAAAGCACACCCTTCAAAGATGGCCCAGACAATTGCAATGCATCACCATCCACAATCTGGAAAGTGATGCTGAGATGCAAGTCAATGTTGCCATTTGCACCCTTCAACCCACAATGAAACCCAGAAATAAAATGTCACACAACACTACCATCTGCATGCAGAGCAATACTACTAAGTATCAAACAGATCACCGTGCACTTGGGCACTTATTATAATTGTCAATCCCAACTGGACATTGATCCCCACCCTGCACCATTTGTTTCGGCAATCTTCGTACTCTATCGGCCCCTGCCTTCTTCATGGACCATGCTGCGTTGGTTGAGGGCACACTCAAACCCAGTCTAAACAGCGCCCTAAAAAAAGAAGATATGATGACCCAAAAAGACTGACCCCGGAGAGACTGCATCCAACAGCAACCAAAAACCTCTTCAAGGACCTGCCCTGACATGTGACAGTCAACCACACCATAACACCTTGTCACTTCAACGTGTGCCATACCATTTTCCACAACCAACAACCACACAAGTACAATCACCCATATGAGACCTTGTGCACGCCATGGCACCTTTCCCAAAAACCCACATGTTTTTGTTCTCTACACTGGCTCCGCCCAGACGCTGCAAAGCATGGCCTGTACTCAGCTTCAGTTTCTGCAGAACCTCTCTGCCACTCCTGGACGCACTCAGCAGGTGTTGCTGATCTTGCAGTGCCTAAACTTCACATTGGCTGCTCGCGCTCACCAGATCTCCTTGATTTTCAATTGCATAGACTTGCCGTCGGCTGCAGGTGCTCACGAGGTCTCAGGATCTTGTGGTGCCTGGAGAGTCGACGCCGGCTGCGGGCGCTCAGCAAATCTTTTTGGCTTTCCAAAAGCCTGGAGAATCTCACGTCGGCTGCGGGCGTTCAGTAGGTCTCCTTGATCTTGAAGTGGGTGAATTCGAGCATGCACGCGGACTTGGTGTTGTACTGGTGCAGGTCCAGGCGCTCCAGCAGGGCGGCCTTGTCGCGCAGCTCCGCATTCTCCAGCTTCAGGCGGCAGTTGCGCTCCTTCAGCGCGCTCAGCTGCCGCTTCTGCCGCGCCAGGTCATCCTCCACCTGCGCGCGCAGGAATCCTTGCTTATGGGACAACTGTAATACTGTAATAATTGTACTTGCCGCAAAAAGAATCATGTAAGAATCCAAGGACCTCGGAGATCGGGAGTGCACAGAAGGCCCATGCAAGGCCCCAAAGAGTCCATGCAGTGATCCTGTGTGGGCGCGCTGCATATCGCCATCCAGCAGCCCTCTACTCATCCCTTCAGCTGCATGCTTGCCCCCGAAGCCCAGGGCAGTTGAGACGCTGTAAACCTTGGTGCTTGGAGAAGAGAATCTTGGTGGCTGAGGTTCAGAGAATACCCTGTACCAGTACAGCAGGAGGAAGATTCTACACTGCTGTGGGGTGAGCGGTGGATCTCAGCCACTCAGAGTCCCACAGGAAGCCAGAAAGGGGCTCGAAGGGGGGCCACAAGAGGGCAACTGATCGGCGAGGTTGGCACTGTGTAAAGGGGTCCCAATTCTTGGCTCCTTGACGGAGGCCCGGTGAGGGATGCAAAAATTTCATCAGAGGAGAGTGGCCACATCACAAGCACCAAAGTAGGGAGGAGGGGCTGCCTCGCTATCCATATTTCAAAGGGCTTTGATGTTTGTCAAAGTTTGCCTGTATTCTGCACGTGCTGGCAGTCAGTCAGCGGGTGGGCAAAAGCAGGGCACCTGTTTGGCAAGGTTGGTGGCGCGGTCGGCCTTGGCAAGGTTGTTGCGCGAGGCGGTGCGCGACAGGTCGGCGATGCGCAGCACCTTCATGTACTCCTGCTGCAGCTCGGCAAACTTCTCCGCCATCACGCACTTGCCCGCCACCAGCTTGGAGCGCGACTCCGTCAGCTCCCGCACCACGCGCATCAGGTTCTCGCACTCCTGAGCCTGCACATCGCAGCGTGCACCTGGTCAGCCGCGTTCCCTGCCTAATTCGAGGGAGCAAAATACTTTGTAGAATATCCAGACCCAGTGAGGATTAACAGGTTGAGAGATGTTCCTTGATCCTATGGCGGAAACCCACAAGCACCCGCAGTGTGCAAGTCTGTGTCCCACGACACATGCAAAAAAACAATTGCAGCACCCAGATTTTGCCGAAAGCAACATTGCAGCATATAGATCTTGCTTTATAATGCAGGCTATGGTTGTGACGTGCAACAGCATAGCCAACAAAGACAGCATTGCATTTTGCCCAGGACGCGACAAGCAGCATCGGATGACACTGGTTCGCCATGCATGCTGCTTGCGGCAATTGTGCTGACATCAAGAGCCAGCCCTTCTCAGCATGACTTGATGGATGCATTATTGCCGGGCCAATCAAAGGCCCAAGGAGCAGCAAAACTCTGCTCACCTTCCTCTTGGCCGCGTCAGCAGAGTACTTGCGCTGCACCTCCTTCTCTGAAAGATCCGCCTTGAGCTTGTCTGCAAAAAAAACAAGCCAGAAAGATGACAAAGACTCTTCACGACCCCAGTCCCGGCCCCTTGATCTTGTGAATACAGGTAGATTTGGATGAAGGGTGAAATCTTTATTCAAGCCTTGCTCCACAGGATACTTATGTATAGCAGCCAGAGAAATTGGCGGGCAAAGCAATGTCACGAAAGAGATGCATAGCATGGTTTCAATTTTACTGATTTACTCAACGACACTGCAAACAAGGCTTAGAAGGGAATGGTTGCTCACCAATGGTGTTGAGGAGGGCTTCCTCGTGGGTTTGCTCCCTGAGCTCGATGCCATCCACCCCCAAGGCTGTGTCAGGGGGACCAGTCGTGGGGGACTTCCCAGCAGCATTCACAGGCAGAGCACTCGGCTGTGCTTGGCAATTTCGAGGCACCCTCAGCACCAGCCGAACCTCATGGTAATCCTGCCATGCACAGTAACCCAGTCGCACGTCACTCCTGTACTTCTGCGCTCTTGCGCAAGGATAAAGGCTCTAGCTCTGGGCTGAGAGGCTCTGGGACACGACCAGTATTCCGCACGACACAGCAGACACAAAAGTGTGCTCAATGCTCTCATGCACTGGGAAAAAAACAATGCTGAGCAACGCTGAGATGTCCACCTGGCCTGAAGCTTGCGCTGATGACTCAGCTCTGCTGGATGTGCAGGGCGCTGCGCTGCTGCTTGGAGATGCTTCAAGCCGCAGGACATCCTCTCCGTCACATTGCGAACACTGCATCCAACATCAAACAGCCGGTCAAGAAGCCAGCCCCAACACACAAAGGGGCAATTCCAGTGCGTCGTAGCGAGCCAAGGGCAAATCCACGGTCACAGTAATTTCCATGCACATTTCCATTGGCAGCACCAGTACGGTAGCTGGTTGGCACCGCTGGCAATTTGACAGCAAAGCAGATCCAAGACTGACCGTGATGAAGGTTGGGGAATTTGTCTGCACGATGGCTTCCAAGAATGCTGCCTTGCCATGTTGGGCATGCAGGATCTGCGGCGTGGTCGCTCCCTCGCTGATGCTGCTTCCTACCTCGCTGCTGCTGCAACTCGCGAGGAGGGCCTCCTCATGCAACCCAGCACTGCCCCTTGGAGTGGATGGGCCCATGAACACCTCTCTTGGGGGTGGAGAGGGCCAGGCTGGTAATATAGCTGCAGCTGACTTACTGGCTGGCTCAATTTCGAGGCCTTCCATGCTGCTGACTGGTGCAGGGCGCAATCGTTGCTCTGCTTCTGTGCCAAGCCTGCCTGGGTCAAGATGTCAGGCTGCTCAATATCCTGACGTGCTCCACTGACTTCACCAGGCTCGCCTCCTTCCCGTGCCAAACGCTCATAAGCAAGTGCCTGAGACAATCGAGAAAAAAATGGCATCAAATTGGGTCTCTCCTCGTGCAAGATGTCCTTTCTGGGGCTGCCTACAAGTCTACGTAAAGGGACCTGTTGTAGCTCCATTCGAAAGCTGTGCGGTCTCAATAGAAGGAAATTACGGATATCATATGATCGCGGGCGATTATAACACAGGAAGCACCAAAAAGAAAGAGTGGTGGTCGTTGTTAACAATCACAATCCCAGACACTCGGTTAAAAATTCGAAAGATCTTTGACAGAAGTCAGCGATCTCGAAAATCTCATTGCTTCAAAAAATTAGCTCATATCATCAATGCAATCAGCCTTCCTAGCAGGCTAGGAGACATTCAATAGCCTTAATCAGTGACAATCATGGATCCACGCTCAACCGACATGTTGCGCGGGAAACAGTACCCCTCTGTGATATAGAAAACACTTCAATCGATTTTTCTAAGTGTTACAACTAAGTAAGAGGAGTCACGGAATCAGAAAACGCCGACTGCTCACCTGATTACAATTCTGTGTCAAGCCGTGCATTTAGTGTGCCGTAACTGGGGGAGTATGTTGACGACCAGAAACTTCACTTTCAAGAAAGTACGTTCAAAGCTGACATTCGAGACCACAAGAGGAAGCCAAGTCGGCCAAATCGCGGTCACTCACCCGATCCTGCGTCACACCACGTGGCCAAATTCTTTACAGTTAGTGATCCCTTTGCAGAAGGGTTGCCAGCGCATGGATAAAGACATGACCTCTTCTGATGCAAGGAGTTCCTGCTCAAGAGGGACATGCGTGGCCATGCGAAATATGTTTAAGAATCTGTAGCCACGCATTGCAGATCCTGCCATGCATGCAGACGAATGCTCCCATCATCATGATGATCTCTCCAAACATCATTATCGTGATGATCATCTAGACTCTAGACTCTCTAAGATCCTCCACAGCATGTGGAGGATCCAACATCATGCGGATGATCCATCTTTAACATCCAATCAGGCGGACCTGCCAGATGGCCTAGACCTTCTCTAAAGCTCTCAGAACCGCGCCAGAACAATTGCTCCGCAAGTTGAAATTTCTTGATACTCAATCAGGTCACATTATTGGAATGGCATCTGCAGCATTCCTATGTTCCGTATCAGAAGGAGCCGACACCAACTGAACTGCATCAATCATTTGTCCCACTGTACATCCGACAAGCCAGCCTCTATGCACCCATTTAAACCTGTAGGTTCCGTGTCAACGCTAGTACCCTCACTTCCTGAACAGTCATCTTTTACTGAGTTCAATAGTCTGTAACACAAGCTCCACAAGCCCATCCAATATCAATGAGATACTGCTTATACGCCTGCCCCCCTGGAGGTCTGGCCCTTCACTCCGCTGCAGGACATGGAGTGCGCCAGAGCAATCCCACAGAGCCTCCCAATCTCACCTTTCATCACCTGCAGCAAGCCCATTATGTCTGTTCAGCCTGTTCAATTTGTTGCTGCATTTGCACTAGGATGAGTAGTTGAGGCAGGTCCATAGCATGCCATTCAAAGGCACGCATGCACTGAGTGTCCCTCGCTCCTCAAATAGAAGAAATTGAGCAAAGGGAGAATGCAAGACAGTAATGCTTTGCGAGCACTAACTAAAGGGAAGGGCTGCCTCGCGGTGTATATGCGGGTTAGTGACATACAGGACACCTCCGGCCCGGGAGCACAACAGGCCGCAGTGCATAACTCAGTCAAAGGTGGGAAAATACATGGCCGCTGTCAACGGGGAGTGGCTTGCCTCTTGGGCGCTTGGGCGGCTTGGGCGCTGGTCTGCGTGGTGCGCGGCTGCCGCGGGAATGTGTAGTCGAGGCACGTGCCGTTCGACCGCGCACTGTACCGCAGCGGCGCGTCGGCCGTGTTGGCCGCCTTGCCCGGGTTCTGCAGCCTGCACCAGAGAGAAGAATGGGTTCTCATTGCCCATAATTGCTGCGGCGGGGCAGAAGATCACGCGGGAGAAGGCGTCTGGTGTCAGTCCCATGACAGGGGCTGATAACACGAATGCAAGAGATGGATTGACTTAAGCTGGCAGAAGAGTCAGCCAAAGGGGCCAGATACTGATGCTCTGCGTGGCCATCCCAGACTCAATCTCTGCAGCTTGCTTCCGGGCTTGCTGCAATTTCCCAATAGCGTACTGCAGGACAGATTCCCCTTTCTAACCTGCCGCAAGACTTGCGATTGCCACCGTGCATGCAGCATGCCCTAGCGGCATCGCCGCGGTTTCATTCTTTCCTTGTCAATTCTTTAGGCACTCACCCTGAGCCAATCCAGAGAAAATAGGCCTTGCCCACTTTGAGCTAGGACACGGACTGGCCCGAGATGGGCAAGGAGCACTAAAAGAATTGAGGACTCATTTTCAAAACGACTCACCCGGAGGCGATCCAGAGGAAGTAGCGCTCGCCCTGCTTGAGCTCGGCAAGGCCGGCCTCGCAGATGGACTGCCGCGTGGTATTCTGCGCGCAGATGGAGCCCGGGATGGCGTACTGCAGCGTCGAATTGAATCCGGCCGCCGCCCACTCCAGCGTCTTGTTTGTGTCCGTAATGAACACTGCCAGGTCCAGATCCGAGTAGGACGCCGACTTCAGCTGGCCTGCAGGTACGCCCCAGAAATTCCTCAAAAACAGACCGTCAATTTGTTGGAACCTTCCGGAGGTTGCAGCCTGCTCCTCCTTGCTCCTCCTAATTGCATGGAGGACATTGATATTGATCTGACCAGCAAGTAGCACAGAGTAATGACCTGCAGTTGGACCAACTTCTAGCAAACTGCAGATTCATTGAAACTGAAAAACCAAACGTGCAATTTGGTCACTGAGAGAGTTATGTCCCTGGAGGGCACGCACCCAGCAGCTGGTAGCGGATGCAGGCCGCATTGGTGATGACAGTGACCAGCTCGATATCGCCGTCCGCCAGCTTTGCAAAGTCAAAGAAGAACTGCACAAGGAAACACACATAAGTAAGCCTGGAAGCTGATGACTGGCAAGAGATTGCCCAGCAGCATGTTTAATAAACGTAAATTTCTCCCTTGAACATCGGCTGCAAAGCTGCATCTCCCTTTGTATTGCAGTGTGTCGTTTGATTCCGAGCATGCATGCATGTGAGGAGGTTTGCGGGAAGTTTAGGACTCACCGGAGTTGTGCCTGTAATGTTGCTCTTGGGTGCTGGTGCTGGCGAGGGCGGCACCTTTGTTGTGGTTGCCTGTCCACCGGCATCAACAGACACCTGCGTGCCCGCATTCTTGCACACTGCGCAGAACAACACCAATTCGGGTTTATCATTCACAAGTTCTCGCATCCGCCGCATGCGCCATTTGCCATACTGCGATGGTGAGAGCACTCGTGCCAGGCAGCTCCAATGTACACTCTACATTCCCTGAGCTGCAATATTGTTAAGTTCTTCTAGTATGTTGCACAGACTGGTCACACTACTCAGCAAGTGAGGGGGGCACACGGAGAAGGGAGGTAAATCTTGCAGGTACTGGGCCAAACAAGGTACAAACAGGATGGGGGAGGAGGCACATTGTGTTGGAGTGAGGCATGGCATCAGCACAGAAATTGTTACCTGTAGAGTTTGCAGAGTAGGTTGCAAACTGGTACAGCACATCTGCCGAGCCAGAGCTGGCAGTGTTGGCGATCACCATGACATAGTAGTCAGATGAATCCACCTTCACTGTCGCATTCCCCTTTGAGGCCTTTATGAAGCTCGACCCTGCTATCGGCTTCTTCTGCGTGATGTCATACGACCCCCTGCAATATGCACAGCATCACACTGAGCGCCCCTTCAAATCACTTGCAGTCTCCTCTTCACTCGAATGTCCACAAGAGTGCATGCTGGCTTCAGTATAGGCTGCCCACAGATTATTCGAGTGCTGAGCCTTTTAGTGTTATCTACAGGACAGGCAGGATTCGAAGAAGGGCAAGATCAGAGCATCACCTGTCTGTCACAAGGCTGACAAAGTCATCATAGGTGGAGACAAAAGCGTCCACTGGGGCTGAGCTGGCGAAGGCAATGTAGAGGCAGCCAGCGCCAGCAGCCACAGGCGTTGTAGTCAGGCTTGATGCATTGAGCACCGTGTTGAATCCTGTCAGGGACTGCGGCACCTGGATTGTGACTTGGGAAGGGCTGATTGCATTTAGCAACAAGCTCCCGGTCTGCACACAGCCAGAAAGTAATCATACGAATGCGTGGTGGTAGTCGAGTTCATATATTATGCAGAGGCCTGATATTGTCACTCTGGAAGGTGGCAATGCTCAGCGGTCCTAGACTGAATTGTAGCAAGATCCCCACAATATATGGGCGTTACTGACTAGAAATGAGTGCCAGATATTTAAGCAATTCTCATCTTTAGTAACATAGCACGAGACATGAAAGTGCATGCTGACACGCCTTTGCACAACCAAGCTGTCACTGTGAGCAACTGACAAAACCCAACAACGATTTGCCTTGTGCCTCACGTATAGGCACTGACTTCAGGCAGTATAGTCTGACTGAGAAGATCTACTGCTGGAAGCAGCCCCACTAGGAGAGACACGCACCACTAGAAAGCCTCCATCCCGAGTCGCGTTCACGATGGTGCTGGTAATGTTGTTCGCGTTGGCAAATGACGAACCTGCAACGCTCTGTTGCAATCTTCTACCCCTCTCCTTCACTACGTTGGATGGCTGCCACCGCAAATTTCTCACGTTGCTGGTGGTTAATCTGTCGAGCTCAGCTGCTTGCGAAACAACCACCAGACAGGCGATCGCCAGGGTTAGCACCGACCGGCTCATGCTCCTGTCAGCCTGTACGCCAATCTGGTGACGATGTGCTGATTGCACTTCTCACGGCCTGCATATGCGCATCATCTCGCTCTCCTTACAAATCAACAGGTTCCGGAAAGCCGTTTTGCGACAGTGAGTGATCGACGCCAATCTTGGCTCCACAGCCTGTCCCGTATACGTTCACGGTTTTCAGCTTCGCATCGTTTCCTGTGTTCTTTATATGAAAGGAGAAGACGGAAGTCTGAAGGTGGAGGTATGGCTGGGATTCCACAAGAGACAGTGGTGGCTGTGGATGGATCGCCTTCGAATCCAAGGTTCAGGTGGCTATTATCTGGTGAGCACGCCTTTTACCTTGGTTATCAGCGTTTCAATAGGCCCTCGATCGAACACGAATCAATTCTTGTGCCCTTTAATCTCCCGGGCCTTTTATCTCCCGATGCTTACAACCAACCGACTGTATGTTGGTTGTAAGCATCCTGACCATGTATCAAATTCCTTTTGCAGATCAATGCGGCAGCCCTTGTGGGATGCGTTGGGACAGTTTTAGGGCTGCACAGGCTCTTGCATCTCTGACAAGAGCGCTCCGACCTTTAATCGGTGGTCTCGGGTCGGATGGGGTGCATTTGCCAAGATGGGATTCGAGGGGCATCAAAATTTGCTGTTTGCCTTAGTCGGCGTCATTGCATTTGTCACGCAGTTTTCATTCTCGTCCTTTGATCTGCACCACCTGCACACAGATTAGCCAAGTGCTGTGTTCATCGTTGAATGGGGATTTAATCTGATTTCATGAGTATTGTGCTGCTAAAGTTAAGTTTTGAGTGTGTGAGGGTTCCATTTGATTCTATCCCTTCTGACATGCATGTCAGGTGTGGTGCATGTTCCTGTACGCACTGTGACTTGACCAGTCTATGTGGCGTTTCCACTGGATGTTATGCAGGAAGACCTTTAGATGACGGATGCAAACAAGTCATTCAATTCCAATTTCAACAAGTTCAGGGAAGTTGTGGCCAATAAAATCAGTTACACACGTTCAGGGGCTTTGCTCAAAATGTATTTTCTTCTCTAGCGCTGAGGAGCAACTATAAATGTACATGTAATGCTTGAAGACTTTCACCCTCATTCTGATTTCAGCTGTTCGCACTGTCAGTAATGCCAAGAGGGAATACTCACTCAGACTCACACAACTCAGGTTCTCATGGCAGAGATCCTTAGTCTCCTTCAACTGATATTTCTACAGTGCACATGAGGTGGACCACCCAACAATTGTGTTGTCACTTCTATGGGATCTGCTCTACAGGTACATCTGCAAATAGAGAGTAAGAAGCTCGTATCTGCATGCCAAAGCTGTAAAGGCAGGCCATTTGTAGTGCTGCACAATATTTGGTGCAAACGACCACCCTTAGCACACTGTGCTGCCAGCATGTCCCGGGAAGAAAAACCTCAATCAGCACAAATATGTTACACCTGCGAGGCAGCCCTTCTTCCCTTTATTGGCGCTCGATCTGTCTTGATGTCGGCTCTCTGTTGGCTTAAATCTGAAGGGCATGGAGCTTTCATAGGAACCCTGCTTGCGCACTCTCTCCTGCCACTCGCACTCCAATGCTGCACTCCTGACTCACTCAACAACGGTTGCATTGCTGTCATTGCCTTTCCGGCCATCCTGTGGTGCTTCGCCAGCTGAACGTGTGACATCATCTGATGAATCATCCGGTCCACCTCTGTTATCTTCTGCCTTGACGGCTGACAGGACTTGCTCTGCACTCAAGACGGCTCTGACAGCTGGTGAGGGCTGCGCTGCAGGTCCGCTCGGTGTTCCAGGAGCGCTCCTGCTGCTCAACCGCCGCATGAAGCCTATTCTCAGGCCCATCCAGCGCCCCTGAGCTGCAATGGGGCCCCCCGGGCTGCCACTTGGCCCCTCAGTGGGCTGGTGCACATGCTCGGTCATGTCCTGTACTGTTGCTGTCACCTGTAAATTCAAATGCAGCCTCAATACTATACCTGAGTTATGTACAAGGTTCATACTATGAATGTCAATCAATCAGGCGCTTGCAGAGCACAGGGGCTCTGGATGACCGGTATGACCCATTGCTGGTTGAACGTCAATTTGGGCACAGTTTAAAGTTCAATTTAAGCATGACAGGGACCGCGAAAGAGAGACAGCCTGCCAAGATGTTGTGCAGCAAAGTGGGATCCAAGCAGAGGGTGTATGGGGTGGGTGGCAGTCAATGGACCCTTTGTCCTGTCCAAAAGCGCTACCCCACCGTAAGAATCCTGCCATCCTTATGCCTAACCGTCGAATCCTTTCTAGACCCCTGTAAAATAGGGTTTTTTTGGTTAAGGGGTTTGTCAATGAGTAAGGTGTACAGAATTAGTGAGCTGGGGGTAAGTGCTGACTCAATATTCGGAATGCTGATTGTTGATGAAATTCTCCCAGCCTGTTTCTGCGGCTCGTGTTGCGTTTGGGCAGGCCATAACATTGACGGCCCCGAATTGTCAGGTGCTCCTCTATATTGGGCGGATTAAATAGCGAGGGCCACTTACCCAGGACAGCATGCGGCGAGCGATGGCAAAGCGAGGCAGCCCGGGGTAGAAGCCGCAGAGCACGATCTCCAGAGCCCGAACCATGGTGGCCACGATTATGGAGAAGACCACTGAGATGTGCAGCGCGATGTAGTCGTCCCTGAAGGGTATCCTCAGGCTTTGGCCCAGCCTCGCTGAATTCCTGGTTTGGCAATCCAATACCATCAGGCTGTTCCATGCACCTTTGGTGCCAGTTTTGACTCTGGGCAGAAACGGCATCAACTTCTGTTCAGCATGGTCAGGAGAGAGAGAGACCTCCATATATAAACTCGTGACGCGTTCACTTTATGGCGAGGGATGCAGAAAATGAGTTCAATGACTGTGAGAGGGAATTTGGGCATGCGGTCTCACCAGCTCTCAAAGAAGAGGTCCATCTTCTGTAAGCACAGCTGCTGCTGTGCAAGACCCACAGGATTGTCTTCCAGAGGCTGCATCAACCCACAGAATGCGTTGATTGCTATAACACCCGAGGTGCAAGACCCCGAAATCTTTCAAAGCGCAAACCCGCCCTCAAAGTGATTCCTTGGCAACACAGTTTGCTGGTGACACAATTGGACTCAACAAAGTTTAGTGTGCATGACAAGAGACAGGAATGATGAGCTAATCAGATGCCTCACCAGCATCGCAAACTCCATCTGGTTGACCAGCATTTGCTGCACGGCTTTGGCCACGCAGTCATTCAGGGACTTGATCTTTATCGCGAGCAGTCCCTCCAGCACATTCAGCTGCAGCATGATGAGCGCCAAGTGAATACTCTCGCGCAGCCACAGCGATGCTGCCACTGTGAAATAGAGCGTCACTGCCATCGCACGGATCTCCCTTGTGATTGACCCTGCAAGTCCCATTTGACATGCAACTCAGACGCCATTTCCAGGTATAAGAGTTTGCCTTGACAAGCATCGAGAAGAGTGAAAAGCAATAATCCAGGTGTTGCTTGACGTACATAGTCCTCGAGGACTGTGTGTTGTATTTGACAAGCATCAAGAACAACAAAGCATCCTTCTGGTGTGTGCAATTTCTCAGAAAGAGTGGAGCTGGTCTGGTTTGCAGTTCATTCCATGGTTCAGACAAGTGGCTGGAGAGAATTCGTTCAGAGAGGGCTGATGATGACTCACTTTTCATGTACCGGCGCGAATCGCCATCAAACTTGAACTCCATGCTCGAGTCTGATATTTCTCCAACTGGCGTTGTATCCACAATCTGTTTGTACAAGGCTGACATTCCCGCCTGCCATTCTGTCAGAGTGGCATCTGTCTTGACGTAGGATCGCACTGCCTCATCCTGTGAGGCACAAAAGTGTGCAATCAGGCAAATTAAGGATAAAATGTACATTGAGATCTGTTTCTTAAGTATTTTCCCAAGCCAGAAATTGCCTGCAAGACAGCGTTATAGTAAATTGGTAGATGCTGCTCTTCAATGAGATTTGGACCTTCCAGAGATGCAGGCTGCTCACCCTGGAGGGGATGTGCACAGGGTGATCCACATCAAACGTGAGCGCCTTTGCTGCTGCTGCATCAATGTTCTTGATTCCTGACCCTAGTTTAGCCTGTGATTAATAGGCACACAATTATGCCTGCAGGGACCCAATGCGGGGCAGGTGCACGCTTGGCAATTCCCGACAATCTTTTCGATATTTAGCATACCAGGTAAGCCAAAAGTGCAGGTGCGATTGCTGCGAGTAGAAGGCTTCCCCACCATATGCACGTCCATGCATACCAGTTCACACCAAGCCGCTTTTGCCTGCCCACACATGCGTGTTGTCAAGCCCGCAAGCGCAAGGGAATTATACCTAGAGTATTTTTATGATCATGCAGTAAGATCGCACCAGTCTTTCTGGGTCTTGATGGATTTTGACGCGCTCAGGGTCCGGTTCATGGTGTGGCCATTGAAACCTTGGACTCTTACTTGCTACCCAGATAGTTCATTTTGTACCTGTATTCCTAGACTCACACTTAATAATCAATTATCTCAACAGGCCCCCTGAGTGATCATGGTATATGTTCAGAGCATCGCCCTTGTACTAGTGCTGCAGATGGTGCAGCAGGTCAACAGGATTTTGCGCTGTGCATCTTGAACATCTAAAAATTCTCTATTAGGAGCTCTATGTGGATTCCCGAAATGCTTTATCGTGTTCCTGGACGTCCACAGCGCAAGATTGAGGGTGATCGGGCAGCCATGTGTGTATCACGTGGCCACATGACCGCATGACACAGCTGGAAAATGGATCAACGCAATTCCTTTGGGCACAAACACCTTGTGCCTCTTTGGCTGAGGGGTTGGGGTCTTGTGGGGACACGACCCGGGCGTGGATCCTCGCTCAGTTTGAAAACCTCACCATGAAGGGTCTCATGCAGGACTATCCGCTTGTTGTGACGAACATTCTGGATTATGCTGCAAAGTGGCACGGTGAACAGGTATTTTCGCCAGATGTTGTTAGAAGATCGCAACATCATGCTAGTCATGCCTCCTTCTTGAGGAAAGCCACAGATCGCTCTTTTGAGATGTGTTGATCCTTATGGAAGGCTCAGACTTGATGCATATAAATGACGGGACTGATTTACTATTATTTTCCTTACCCACACAGGTCATTGTATCTAGAATGGTGGAGGGCCCTATAAGCAGGGTCACATATAAAGAGATTCATGAGAGAGCGCGCCTGTGTGCCCTAGCACTGCAACGATTAGGGGTCAAAGAGGGAGACCGAGTTGCGACTATGGCATGGAACACATCCAGACATGTGGAAGCATGGCAAGTCCCCCATGGATCCTGGTACAAGCGCATGCAGGAAGCTTGGCAGATATCGATTCCATTTCTCCACTATTGCATTGCAGTCCTGATAACCTAGACCAATACTGTTTGTAACGCATGTGAACCACTGCAGGTATGGCATTATGGGGCTTGGCGCAGTCTGCCATACACTCAATCCACGCCTGTTTAAAGCTGACCTGGAGTACATAATGAACCATGGTGAGCCAATGCTTCTACTGTTTCAAACAACTGAGCCATAAACGCTTCATCAAACAATGGGCTGCTGCGAGGAGAGCATGCGAGTCTGGTGAGAAGCACTGAAGTTTTGAGTGTCATTGGGACCGTGCAGCGGAGGACACAGTACTGATATTTGATGTGGATCTGGCCGAATTGATCGCAAAGCTGGCACCCAAGCTGCACACCGTCAAGAAGTACATCGTGCTCACCGACAGGGGCTGCATGCACAGAGCAGTGAGCCCCTCCCTCTTATCCTCTAAGCCATAGGCCAGTCCGTATGAGGCCTGTCCTTTTGAGGCAGTCATCAATCGGTCTGCTCAGAGGTCAAACCAGGGCTTAGAAATGAAGTACAATTCCAGCATAGTACCCTCTTCTGTTGTTGCTGCCATTGGTATCTGTCTGCAGTCGGATCGTGCTGACAAGGGGGCATGGATTTCTCAGGAAGCAGCGGGGCTGAAGGGCGCTCTGTGCTATGAGGAGCTCCTGAAGCGAGAGAGGCCACGATTGCACAGCTTCCAATGGGTCAAGGTAGATGAGAACGCCGCCTGCGGCCTGTGCTACACTTCAGGCACCACAGGACGGCCAAAGGTGATTCCATTTCATTGATAAATATCCATACTCATCTGACTCCTGCCAAAGACTGCCTTTCTTGTATATTGTTTCATACATGCTGCGTCCCTGCCAACAGTCATATACATGAAAAGTTGCAATATAAAGTAATATCTCAAGATTGCCAGCAGTGCAGTGCACCTTGCCTTGCTGAGGAAACATTCGGAGTGCAGCTCATTTGTTTGTGATCTGCATTCTCGCTTCCAAATCCTGATAGCCTTCTGTGGCAATTATCACAGTATTGTGCTGATCCCCAATCTGCTGCAAGTGCTCCTGGCGGGCTTACAGCGCCTTGTGCAATTGGAAAGCAACCCCCTCGTGTGCGCATGCAGGGTGTGCTGTACTCACACAGAGCAAATTTCCTCCACGCCTTCACTGTGTCAATGCCGGACGCCTCTGCCATGACCAGCGCCACCACTGTGCTGGCAGTGGTGCCCGCCTTCCACGCCAACTGCTGGGGCCTGCTCTTCTCTGCCCCTTTGGTGGGCGCCAAGCTCGTCATGCCAGGTGCCGCCACACCTCAAAGATGTGCATGTCTGTAACGTAATCCACATTGGACCTTGCATGTGTTCGAGAGTACTCTTGGGCACAGTCTGCAAAGCGTGGCAATGATGTGCATCTTCCCACAGCCCAGATGTCTTGAGGAGTTACTGCTAATATGTCAGTCGGTGAGCCGGGCTGTCAGTGGGCATGTGGGTCAGGAATGGCTCAGCGGCATTCTATTAATTATGGTAACGACAAATGGTTCTTTGAGATGGGTTTTTGGGTGCTGTTGAAGGTCCCCTGTTGGACGGAGCCTCGCTGTACCAGCTTCTAGAGGAGGAGCGGTGCACCCTCAGCGCAGCAGTGCCCACAGTCTTCATGGGGCTGCTGCAGTACTTGAGGGACACCAAGCAGCGGCTGACACACCTCAAGACAATCACCATCGGCGGCGCTGCATGCCCAGCTCTTCTGATCCAGGCCTTCCAGGAGGAGTATGGGGTGGAGATGAGGCACATGTGGGGTGAGTCCTATATTTATTTTACCCATTGAGTGATACTTTGTAAATGGGTGCCGCCAATAAATTGTGGCCCATTGTGCCTTCCTCCGTGATGTGCCTTTCCTTCTTACTGTTTGTATGTCATGCAGGGATGACCGAACTCTGCCCCATAGGCACTGTGGCTGGCTTCAAGGTGGGTGCGCTTTACTTTCTGACATTCCTCTGGCCATCGCTTGCTGTTGAAAGCTTCAGGGTCCATGTTCTAAATAAAGGCACTCCTGGGTTTAGTGCTGGCTTCATACTCTCTTGTTGCCATTACTTGCAGGGCACCCTTCCGCCACTCAGCAAAGAGGGAAAGCTCGCGCTGCAACTGAAGCAGGTGTGCCCTGGGGCCACTCCTTGACTGTCAGCCATATCTTGACAAGCAAATGAACATCCCATAGCTACATGTCTTCCATACGACTGCCCTTTCTGCACTTTTGCGAAGGAAGATTGCTTACGTCAAGGAAGAGCGAGTGCCAGAAGAGGAAGGATTTAAGCGAGATCATTGAAGTGGGAAAGTTTTGTGCAGGGGCGGGTGACCCCCTTTGTGGACATGCGCATAGTGGACGACGAAGGGCAGGAGCTGCCGAGGGACGGGAAGGCATACGGCGAGCTGCAAGTGCGCGGGCCGCATGTCATCCAGCGCTACTACCGGGTGCGCACCACCGTCCAGCGCCACGTCATTGCTGAATTTATGACTGGCATGCACGCCAGAAGACATGACTGCCGTGCTGCTCTATTGTTGATACATAGCTGAGCTGCCGAGCAGGCTGCCTGCAGTTGCACTGGCACTTGTCGGGTGCCGCCACAGCATCACAGAGATGTTTCGGATTTGATCAATGCCTCTTAACCCTTGACAGGCCCCTTTTTTTGAGGTGTGGGAAGTAGGATGTCGTCTCTAGAAACAAGTTTCTGCGCCATTGGAGTTTAAAACAGGACGTGTCGTTTAGATCAGTTGAGCATTCAAAAACCTAGGTGTGCTGGCTGGTGCAGCATGATGAGGACGCGGTGGACAGCGACAAGTGGTTCAACACTGGCGACGTGGCCACCCTCGACCCGTACGGGCACATGCAGATTACGGACCGGTCCAAGGACGTCATAAAGAGCGGCGGCGAGTGGATCTCCTCCATCGAGCTTGAGAACATCGCTGTGTCCCACCCAAAGGTGACCAACCTAGATGGCTACTTAAGCATGTATCTTGCATGAAGCATGATGTGTCCTATGAAGGTAATTAAGCTTGATGTTTGGTGGAGGGTTGCCGTTGTTGCTAACAGGTCACTCAAAATGATTCTCTTCCCCTACTCACGTGCATGAGTAAAAGACTCTGAGGTTGTGCGCATTGCTGTGCGCAGGTGATAGAGGCCGCTGTGATAGGCATCCCTGATAAGAAATGGACGGAGCGGCCTCTGTTGGTGATTGTGCCCAAGCCAGGACAGCCAGTCAGCAGTGACGAGCTGTTGAACTTCTTCCAGGTGTGCCCAGCTGCAGCTGTGCTCCAGTTCCACTGCCTCCTTCGACTTCAGCCTGTGCAAGGGAGGGGCATGCCCTGCTTACATCTGCGCCATATTGATCGCCTTCTTACACTCAACTTCCTTGAGATAAGAGTCATGCCAGCTGCAGGCTTCTTTTCAGCACATTGCAGGAAGGTTGAAGCTAGTTACCAGCAGCACGATCCGAACTGGACTGAAAGCCGCTTATCCAATATAATAAGTAAATGTGAAAAAAGGTGCTCATCATGCTGCGCGCAGGGCAAGACTGCCAGGTGGTGGATCCCGGATAATGTGGTATTTGTGGACGAGCTTCCTCACACTGCAACAGGGAAGCTGTCAAAGCTCACCCTGCGCAAGCAATTTGAGAACTATGAACCAAAGAAGGCCAAGTTGTGAGAGTGACTGCAATATCTTCTTGATTTGCTATGTGCGGGAATTGCTGGGGGTCCCCCTGGGAGAAGGGGCGTAAATGCATGTTCAAAACGGATGTGGCAGCTTGAATAAGGAGCAGGGTCTCTGGTGTCTTCCGCAGCTGCTATAGTTTTCAAACGCATGCGGCACTGCCAGTTCAATGCTGCAATTTGATGTAATCCATCGGTGCAATCTTGGCACACAATCTGCATGGGTGAACCATGATGGCCCAGGGTGTGAAATTTGGATATCTGATGTGAAGTACTGGTACATAGTGGAGTGCTGGCAGCTGCAGTGGTTCTTTGCATGCTCTCACGAAAGCCACAGTACATACTCAGAAGGCATGCAGTGCAGGCTCTCAACAGGGGCTCCGAGCTCCGAGTGAGTCACCATGACTCAGGTCCGCAGTGCCGGTCACGGTTCCCGCTTCGAAGTGGAATTCCTGGAAGGCTGGCCAAGGGCTCTGGGAGCGGCTGCAGATATCAACAATATTAGCAGAGCACCGTGCCGCACCGTGACGGTACCGGTGTGGCACCGGCGGTGACCGTGAGTGACTCAAGAAGAGTTCTGGCGTCTACACACCACCTGCTCTGTCTACATGGTAACACCGGAATAGCAGTGTTCTCACCCAAGGCATGAAGTAGTGGCGTCACACCAAGCTCTCCTCAAATTCTCATCTTGGCCTATTCCAAGCCCATCGGGGCAGAACTGGGCAGGCCATAATAGGAGCATGAATGCCACGTTGGGAAATCTCAGAACACGCTTGAACATTTCTGCAGCATTTGCTGCCTGCGATTGAGGATTCGGGGCCTCGACGGCTTCCATGATGTTGGGCAGATTGCCGCAAGCTGCGCAATACCTGCGCGTTTGCAGGGCGTTCTCACCTTGTTGCAGCGTGTCAGCAGAAAGGATTCTGCACACCAGTGCAGGAGCTCAGCAGCAACCTGCTCCTGCTAGTGATCTAATTGAGGTGACAGTGAATGGAGAGCCCGTACAAATTCCAAAGGGCTCCACGGTCATGGCAGCTTGTTCTGCTGCTGGAGTTGATATACCCAGGTAGGGCTATCGTTTTATCCAACTGTATGCCTGTGTGCTGATGATTGTCGCTTGAAAGGGCATTTACTTGTCATCTGCGATGTTTCCTTCTGCTGCAAATGCTATATTTTCACGCTTCTGTGTTTATAAGGCTATCGAGGGAGGATTGGCACTCATTTGTATTACCTTGGGTCACCTCTTTTAATGTGGCGATGCGTAAACCTGCCAGTGCTTGTATTTGGCATTGAAGAACCGTTTGTATGTGCAGATTCTGCTACCACCAGCGGTTATCTATTGCGGGGAACTGCAGGATGTGCTTAGTAGAGGTGCTCACTCTTTTCCAATCATGATTATCTACTACTGGAGATCTGTTATTTTTGTGTGGCTCACGTCGAGACACTCTGTACAGGTTGCCGGTGCTGGGATCTAGGAGTTGCATGCTCTGGGCCATATCAATTGATTGCAGGAGTGAGTGTGTGCTTGGGTGCAGGTTGAGAAGAGTCCCAAGCCTGTGGCATCCTGCGCGATGCCAGCAGGCCCGGGCATGAACATTAAGACAGACACGCCACTTGTGAAGAAGGCCAGGGAGGGTGTCATGGAGTTCTTGCTGGTGCGTTTCTCAGGCTGAAGCTGGTATTCATCATTCCCTGTGGTGCAGAAGGAATCATTCAGATATGGTTTGAAACAAGGGCTGAAGGCTGAGCTGTGGTGCTGCGCAGATCAACCACCCGCTCGATTGCCCTATCTGCGATCAGGGAGGCGAGTGCGATCTCCAAGATCAGGTAAGTCTACTCACTCTCTTGCACGCAATGGCCATGCACACATGAGTCTTCCTGCTGGCCTGTCTACAGTTAATGCTGGTGGAAGCTTCAATTATGATCTTGGTAGCTTTCAAGAATGTGCTTGTGAAGTGACATGCAAGTTCTGGGGTTTGTCCAGGCCCATACCAAGAAGTTGGCATTCGCATGTGTGCATCTCTCCTGTCTCAAACATGATGGGCGTTGTGTGGGGTGCAGTCCATGCACTTTGGCAGCGACAGGGGGCGCTTCACGGAGATGAAGCGATCAGTGCAGGACAAGAACCTCGGCCCGCTTGTCAAGACAGTCATGACGCGCTGCATCCACTGCACGCGATGTGTGCGATTTGCCACAGAGGTTGCAGGTGCGCTGTCATGGGCAGCTAAATTCTCCTGCCTGTTATACCTGCTCATTCCATGATTGCATCGCCATGTCTGCTTAAGAGCTGTGCAGGAGAATGCTACTGAGGTAATGCAGTAGCATTCCATTGAAACAATGCAGGACTTGGTGTAGAGCCCACCCTTTACAGGTCAAGCGGTAAATTCAAGAGTTCCGGTGAGGGCCGCGGGGGTCACCGGTGCATGAGGAGGTACAGACTGGGGAGCGGTCTTTAACACTATTGTCTTTTGGCGGAGCAGGGGTGCAGGACTTGGGCATGACGGGGCGAGGGAACGCGTCGGAGATCGGCACCTATGTGGAGAAAGCTATGGCCTCAGAGCTGAGCGGCAACGTGATCGACCTGTGCCCCGTGGGCGCCCTCACTTCCAAGCCGTACGCTTTCACAGCGCGCAACTGGGAGCTCAAGAGCACCGAGTCCGTGGATGTGTCGGACGCCATGGGGCAGAACATCCGCGTCGATGCGCGCGGCCTAGAGGTGCGCTGCTGCACTGGGCTTTCAAGAGCGCGGTCAGCTCTGCTGAGGCGCCCAAGACTGCGGGTGACAGCTTGGGTCACATGGGGGTCAGGGTCTGGGTCGGAACACATGCCAGGGGCAGTGGTTCGCTGGTCATGAATCTTTCCTGGTCATGGATCTGTGTTGTGCACTAGCGTGCAACAGCTGTGGCGAGTAGGAAAGAGTTCGGCGGTGCTTGCAACGAGGTCCCAACCGAGAGAAATTCATGATGGGACACCAGTTTTCATTTTTGAGCACTGTTGTTGAGATTCTTGTTTGTGTGCAGGTGATGCGCATTGTGCCGGTCCAGAACGATGCTGTGAACGAGGAGTGGATCAGCGACAAGGCCCGCTTCCAGTACGATGGCCTCAAGAGGCAGCGCCTCAACGTGCCCCTTGTCAAGGGCCCAAATGTGCGTTTCTCCTTTCCTGCCTTCCCACGGCACTTGTTGAGCAGTGCAGTCTGCTAAGTTTGCCTTTCAATTTGTTCCAAGCATTCACAAACAAAGCATAGATGGGAATGGAAATCTAGGGCAGCTTGTGGGTTAGGTGTGTGTGCTCCCTTCCTGCCTTCGGATGGCACTTGACAAGGGTTGCTGTATGTGCTCAGTTTGCCTTGTTCTGTGCATTCGCAAAGAAAGCAGGTGGATGGGAATGGAGTTTTATGGGAAGCTTGTGGGTCAGATAATTGTGTGTGCTCATATGAGGTATTGTGGCTCGCAGGGGCTGGAGTCTGCGACATGGGAGGAGGCTCTGTTGGCAGCGAAGGCTGCCATCAGCGAGGTCAAGGGCAACGAGATGAGCTTCATCGCCGGCAAGCTTGCCGACGCAGAGTCTCTCATCGCCCTGAAGGTGCGCATGCATGCCACCTTTTTTGTACCTCTGCACCCCTGCATTCACCTGCAGCAGCAAAACAGGGATATGCTGCCCTGGTACCAGCAACCAAGCACAATGCCATTTGCATGATGCTCTGCTGAATTCATCAAGAGGGACAGGGCCGGTGCTGCACATGCCCAGCACAGTCACATGTCCTGTTCAATATCTTTTGCCGGACAATTTCTGTTCTGAGGCTTCAAGGACATGGCAGGGCATCAGGGGGATCGAGCTGTCCTTTGATGCTCAATCTGTGACGGCGCATGCATTGCCGCCTTCTTGTGCGCCCCTGCACCCCATGAGCCGGCATCCCCCTGCATAAAAAATGGAAATCTGCTGTCCTGCCACCGTCAGCAAAGCCAGATACGTGATACTCATTAGGTCATTCGGTTGGGCACCGGTCCCGCACAGACGCTGAGCCTGTTCAGCATGGTTCCTTTTCTGAGAATCGAAGGGAATAATTGGCATGACGGAGAGGTAGCTGGCCTGTGGAGCTGAAGTTATACCGGTTCATGCATGCAGGATCTGGCAAACCGGCTGGGCAGCGGCAATCTCAAGGTGGAGGCCGGCGCTCCGCTGCTGGACGCGGACGTGCGCAGCAACTACCTGGCCAACTCCACCATTGCAGGCATTGACCGCGCTGATGTCATCCTGCTGATCGGCACCAACCCGCGCATGGAGGCCCCTGTCTTTAATGCCAGGTGCGAGAGCGGTTTTAAAGCAGCTCAGACTTGCATATGAAGTGTACAGGACCAGTCAATATGTGGTGACCTACCTCCAGTTGCTGCTGAGCGTGCAATGACTGTGTACGGATTTCTTCTTCACTTCAGGTATCCCGAGAAAATGCATGGTCTCAGCCAAGATCTGCCGCATTCCATGCCAAGTGGCGGGTTGTGCTTGGCACGCATTGAAGATATCTTGGGAAATACCATGCATATCTTCCGGCAGCTTGAAGTTTTCAGGAATGCTGTAAGGCAGATAGTGCAATTTGCGAGATCTTGGCAAGAACCATGCGTATCTTCTGACAGCTCAACGTTTTTAAGAAATACTGTGTAGCATTATTTTGCTGATGTACAAGAACACTGTGTATAAGGGTGTTGATAGCTCACCAAAGCCATCCCTTATACTAGCATGCATGTAGCATCAACAATCCCGAAAGGAAGACTCTCCAGCAGTGTACACATGACAGCAGTGTCATGAGGAAACACACACTCACCATTCGCAACAGAGAGCTGACTGTCGGGCTGCGCATGCAGGATCCGGAAGACGTTCCTGGATGGCGCGCACGTGGCGCTGGTGGGAGAGGAGGTGGATCTGACATTCCCGGTGGAGCACCTGGGCGCGGGGCCGGACGCGCTGGCCGCCATCCTGAAGGGCTCGCCTATGCTGAAGCGGCTAAAGGAGGCGGCGCGCCCCGCAGTCATCGTCGGCCCCGGCGTGCTTAATCGTCCCGACAGCGCAGCCGTCATGCAGCAGGTGCCGGCACCTGGCCAGTGTGTTTGCGCCTTGTTGCGTGCCATATATTTCAGTTGAGGGTAATCTGGTAGTATACCTTTGTGAGGACACTAATAGGTACCTTTTTAGACGCCCTATAGTAAGTTCCTGATGCAAAGCAGGATATGAACATGTCACAATGTCCCACTCATCACTGCCTCTGCGGCTGAGCTAGTGGTGATGGTGACGCTGTGACATGTCCATATCTGGGGAACCTGCACAGCTGCAGGGGTGTTCTTTGTCGAAGGGTGTCTCTGGTTGGATGTTGGGCTAGTCTCCTGCTGGAAGCATTTGCAGGCAAATGCTCATTTGCAAGGAACCCAGAGGCTGTGCCACTGGCGCGTGTCAGCCTGAGACGCGAGCAATCATGCAGATGACTCACAAATGACTAAGTCTGCATATTCTGGGCTGCAGGTGCACGAGCTGGTGGAGAAGGCTGAGGTGGTGAAGGACGGCTGGAACGGCTACAACGTGCTCCACGACACGGCCTCGCGCGTGGCGGCCCTTGACATCGGCTTTGCGCCGTCCGCGCGCGCCGCCTCGGCCCCGGCGCCCAAGCTGGTCTACCTGCTGGGCTCCGACGACTTTGACGCGGCCGATGTGCCCGCAGACGCCTTTGTCATCTATCAGGTGTGCTATATTTGGGCCCAGAAAGTAAAGGACTTGCCAATTCTTTCCGGAATGCAGACACATCAGAAAGCTGTGATTGGAAAATTATCAATGTTGGGCAGTGATAGACTGCCTACAAGACCATTAGCCTCAGGTGGTTCCCAACAGGTTTGAAAAATGTGGTGAAATTGTATTTCCGGACGGACATTTATGTGCCGTTTGTCGCATTTTCTGTATCCCCTCAGTTCAGCAAAGCCCCTGAGCCAAACCTTTTGTTGGCATTCCTTTTTAGCAGGCAGAGGCCCAAAATGGGACAGCGCTGTGCTTGCAGTGCATGTCTCCTGTGCCCGCATGCAATGCGAGCCATGAGCTGTCCCCTTTTCGGCCTCCTGGATGCCGCCATTTTTTATACATGCAAAGACACGTGCAGAAGTGTTTGGGTGCTTTCGCCTGATAAAGTTTGTGGGCAGAAGCGGTGGGAGTAAATAGTGTTCGCGAAGATACAAAGGATTGATAGCGCTGCAGGGCCACCATGGAGACAAGGGAGCAGCCAGGGCAGACATTGTGCTGCCTGGCGCAGCCTACACCGAGAAGAATGCCACCTTCGTCAACTTCGAGGGGCGGTCGCAGCGAACTAAGGTGTGTATCTTTGCAAAGCATGTCTTCACAGCGCATACCTGTTATGCCAAGTTGCATATGTTGTTGCTTGTCAGACGGTCATTTGGGGTAATTGAGATATCTTGAAATAATGTCTTATCGGTGAAATCCGCTGGGACATTTGCCAAGCTCAACCTGTGGCAAAAAATTGCTCACCGGTGCTGTCGCAAGATTGACTCCCGCAATAGCGCTGCTGGTGTTCCTTCAACTGATCTGACAGCCTTGTGAACCTGGAATTGCGCGACACAAATGTCAACGAAGATGCTCTCCTGCGCAGGCGGCGGTGCCAAGGGTGGGCGACGCAAGGAATGACTGGGAGATTGTGCGCGCGTTGAGCGAGCTTCTAGAGAAGCCGCTGCCCTATGACACTGTGGAGCAGGTCAGGAGCCGGCTGGCTGACGTGGCGCCGCACTTTGTTGAGGTGGACACCGTCCAGTCACCCATGTGGCTCAATGGCGAATACTTCAAGGTGGGGTGCCCTCCTCTTGCGCTGCCTGCAGCCTGCAGTATGTTCTTAGGCAGTGCATGCCAGTCCTGACCTGCTGCTATGATGTCTGCTTGGTGAAGTATTGCATGACTGAGCATCATGACTAAGCATCATGCAATGCTTGCTGATGAATAGAGGTGGCAATACTGGACCATTCAGGAGGGAAGTGTCATAGTCTCCTCTGTAATTTGCAATCCTCAGAAGGGCCATGCATGTGCGCCAAGATGAGCATGACCACCACTTCATGGCGCATGAATTAGGGGATGTCATCTTTTTGTACTGCCAGCTTCAGCTGCAGGTCTGCCTCAACAGGAACAGTCATGCCTGAGATCTGTAGCGGATCCTGCAGGTATTCTGTTACTTTCTTCAAGGCGCTTCTGTGTAAGTTGTGTGCTGCTCCATGTCCCTGTGTGCTGAGGCTGTGGGTATGCATGGCAGGCGTTCAAGGACCGTGCTGGCAAGGTGTCCGCCCAGGCACAGCCCTTCAGCAGCCCCATCTCCAACTTCTTCCAGACAGACGTCATCTCCCGCACCTCCATTAACATGGCCAAGGCCGCGCATGCGCGCACAGCCATGCCCCACTGATGTGGGAATCGCCGATGCGCGTGCTGCCTAGTCTCCTGTCTCTGTCCATTTGTGAGTCCGGGGATTTTGCGCTCTGTCACATAAGGGATTGTGGTTTTGCAGAACATTGCAGCGCAGCATTCTGTGCAGCTATTTGGCAGTCTGAGGCTTGCTGCTTGATTAGGCGTCAGGTCTGACGTTGTAGCGATTGAAGTAGGATGCATTTTGTTGGACGTTTGCTAGTCACGGCCAATTGGTGCGCCCGCTTAAAGCTATTGCAGTAGATCCAGCTATTTAGGTGGCAATGATAGAGCACACCTGGTCAGCGTGCCAAGTGTGAGCTCATAGCCAGAGATGTCCCTGTAATACTACTTGTGTATAGCCTGTTTGTAAGGTGTTTCCAATAGCTGATTAGCATGGCTTTTTTGCTTTGAAAAATACAAGCAGCTGTGCCTGCATGCTTGATGACCACACGTGGTGATGTATGTCATGCCATGCATACGTCATGCCATGGTACTGTGCACTCCCAGCAGATCCTACATCCTGATCTGCTGCATGCAAGAAATGCAGCGGCGCCGCCTACTACGCCGCCTACATCAGGCTGATAATATGCGGCAGCTTCAACTTGAAGCTGAAGTTAACTTATTTATCAGGGCAGGCTGCAGCTGCGCGCAGGTTCCCGAAGCATACCAATAGATGCTCGCAGATAACGTTGACATCAACATGATCCGTCTGCAGCGCGATTCCCATGCACACAGGTGGCAAATCCGATCAAGACAGTCATGACTCAGAATGGCCCTGCAGCTGCATGCATGCGCTTGATGTTGCATGACTAATGTCGTTTCGACGAATTGAGGGTGAGTGTACCAACTTGGCAGAATTGCTGAACACAGTCACGTCAACATGGTTTGACTAAGAGGGAAGACACGGTCGGGAAAGAGAAAGAGGGCGGGGGAAGAAGGGAACGGTGGGATGGGGCTTGGATTAGATGCTTAGTTGCTGACCACAAGAACAGGCACGCCGCCGGCCGGGTGCGCCACAGGCATTGGTCGAGGGGTTGCCAATATAGGGAAGATATTCCAAAAGTCTGACAGACCGCCTTGGCAGTCGGTCTCCTCTAATTGAAGCCTGAAACAGAGCCTGTGCGTGCTTCGAAGCCTCCTCTCCGACCATTACTGCGCGGGTGTATCGCCTTTCACCATCTTGGGCATCCAGGAACGCCCACAAGCAGTCTGCAGACAGCTGTGACGATCCTTGGAGATTGGTGCGGCCTCGAACTATCAACAAGACACAGCAGGGAATTCGCTGCAGGCAGCTCACATAGGCACTTTTGATGGTTTGAGCTCTGTAGCAATCCACATAGAGGGGCTGAGGGCAGAAAGGCACACAGCTGGTACACGCTCCCCCAAGTAGAACAAGTTGCATCAGCTTGCAGCCAGGCCAAACGGGGGACAAGTAGCTCGGCGGCGCTATAGGCTTGCGACCATGACTTCGTCTCGCGACCAGCCTTCTGTAAGCAACAGCCATCCGGATGAAGAAGCTGGTCCCTCAAGGCAGCCCGATTGCCGGTGCGCGGCCCAGACTCCTAGTCAACATTCCAACGCTCGTGTAGCTGTAGATGGTGAAGCTTTATGGCTCAGATCTCCAAAAGTTGAATCGATCTTGCTTTATCCTTGTGCATGAGTATTAATATAGGTGTATGTCGTTTCCAAATCTTGCGTCTTGTAGCGTTTAGGTGTCTTCTCACGATGTCACGCTTTGATGATACCCCAATTTTACTCATAGAATGCCACACGGGACACCAAATCAATTCGCCGGCCGCCGACATGACTTCATGTTCGTGGAAGAGTTTACTAGGATTGAGAGAAGTAGCGGGCTTACTTCTCGTGGCGGCATGCGGTCGAGTGTTATCTGATGAACTCGCAGTCAGGACACGTTTGCTGGAACCATCTCACGGCCCTGCTTTTTTGTGGTTGGATTGCGACCTGAAGGTTGCCGAGTGCATTTGCAGGCATGGCCAAGCAGACAACAACAGTATCTTGAGATCTACCAGGAGGAGGGGTGCCTGGCTGCTCTGTGGTATTCTACTATCGTTGCAACCGCAGATTTCACTGGCTGTCACCCCCTTGACAGATTGGAGAGCCGGCATTGCCACGAATTATGGTGGGCCATATGATGGCAAGAATCCATATGACCCGAGTTGGGGTACTCTGGAGGTCAGTCACCATCCACCCTCACACTCCAGCATAGAGCCCTGCCTTTCCTTGCAGAGTCCCTTGCAGGACGACACTTGCTTATATTGCAGGGGAGACGTTGCTTCCCTTGCAATTCCTTTAGGGCTTTCGTCCCTGACCAGGGCAAGATTTTGCAAGATTGCTTAGGTCACTCACGCTGATGCACTGTGCTGCCGTTGTGCGCAGGGCAGCTGTGGGTACGGAAAGCTGGACAAGACTCAGTGGCCTTACTGGAGCGTGGCTGCCCTGTCCTCCTCCAGTTCCTTTGTGACAGCCGGACCCTTGAACGCATGCGGGTGCGATCTCCTCGCAGCTCGCACTTTCCTGTGCAACCAAGCTCCCACCCCCTACTTCAATTGAGTGCAGCTTGAAAGCAAGCCATGCTGTTCCGCTTGGAAGGATCTGGCCTACAAGTGCAACCAAGCTTATACTCTGGAGTTTGACGAACTCAAGCTTGGAGAAAAAACTAGAAACTCAGAATGCTGTACTCCTGACGTCGAGGGAGGTGGCTTTCATGTCATTGCTCCTCACATGGAAGCTCATGTTGGTGGCTCCACGGCACAAGGCCTGGCTGAGGGTGTGTTGCTTGTGGAGTACAGGCAGTGCTTTGAGGTGAAGTGCGTGGACACGGCGCCATTCGCTGGGCGCTGCATCACGGGGTCAAACCAGGTGTCGGTGATAGTTCAGGTCACCGACATCTGCCCGGAGTGCGCCTCGGACCACATTGACATCCAGGCCCTCACCTACAACAAGCTCTCGTCCATGGAGACCGGCCGCATCAGTGTCATGTACAGGTGAGGCTCCATTATGGGAATTTCTACAGTTGCCACCAGTGGGACACTGCATGCACCGGCCTCTGCATGCTTCATTTTGCGCATCAATGAGTCAGGAAGAAAACGAGTCAATGTTGCCCATTTGTTTGGAGGCACATTGCATGCACCGGGCTCTGCATGCTTCATTATGCGCATCAGTGTCTCAGCAAGAAAATGAGTCAATGCAGGTTGCCCGTTTGTTTGGGGGCATGTGGCTGTATATTCCGGCTGTGACAGAGGAAGATGTCTTTGTGCTGCAGGCGAGTGGAGTGTGTGCCTCCCAAGCCCATGGTCATCTATGTGGACAACAATGGCGGCCAAGGGAACTGGCTGCGCCTCTTCATTGAGGTGCTGCCTCTACCCAAGCCAGTGTTTTGCTAGTTCTGCATATTTAAGTCCAGACTTTGGACCTACCCAGGTGGCAAAAAGCTGCATCCATGGCAGCTGAGGAGCTGAAGCATCTTTGTTATTCTTGGTCCCTGCTGGACTGCACCTCCGCCCAAGATTGGGCACAAGACACGTCCCATCCAGCAGCAGGGTGGCAGTTTCCAGAAGCCCGCCCCACATTTGCAGCTCGTTTCCACGTCATTCATCGAGTGGCGTGGCAGCTTGTGCTTCTGAGTGCTTTACACTTATCAGCAACCATGCGTTTCTTGATGAATGTCACCGACTGATGTTGGCGTTTTCGTGGCGCGCAGCAAGCGGGAGGGCAGGCGGCAGTGAAGCAGGTGCAGGCGCGGACCAGCGGTTCGCAGGACGCATTCCAGAACCTCAACAACAAGTGGGGCTCTGACTGGGAGACCGCCACTGCGCCCAAGTTTCCCCTCGACATCAACATTATCGGCGCAGACGGCGAGTCGGTGAGTCCCCTCGGCCGCCAGCTCACGCGCTGTGTTTGAAGGATGCCTTCGAGTTCTGTGTGTAGAGAGTGGTACTGGTACTTGGCCAGATGAATACATGTTTCAGGATCTGGGCTGGGCATTCTAGGGTGTACCGTTGTCTGCGTGAAGCACGGGGCTAACATGCTGCATGAGTGCATATAATTTCTATACGGCCTACCACTGCAACCGCCCACATCCTCGAAAACAAATTCATGCATGTATGGTGCACATGGCCGCGCAATATGAGTGATCCTGCCTGTGCCATGGTCAGGTGTCGGCGTACCAGGTGATTTCCAGCGGAGGAGCCACGGGCAAGATGCCGACGACGGTGCAGTTCAAGATCTCCAACCCTGGAGACCAGGCGGTGCGTCTCAGACCTCACAATGCTGTGTGTTGTTAGTTCTGCAAGGTTCAGTCTGACACTTGTGGCTGACATGTATTCGGGCGGGTGTGCTGCAGCTGACGGCGGGGATCAACAGCGACGGATCCAGCTCCGGAGTGGGAGCGCGCGGCGACAGTCTGCCTCCCGCCGCAGCACCCACAGCAGGCGGTGCGTCCAGCGGAGCAATTAGTGGAGCATCCAGCGGCGGCTGCACTGACATCCCTCCCAGCTCCTCCTACACCTGCCAGCAGCAGGTTAGCCTCACTCATTTTCACTTGAACTAATCACATCTGAGGTGCCGCGGACATTGATGAGTACTGCTCCCCTTTGGGCCTTGCCAGCATGCTCTGTTTGTAGATGACATCATTCCTACATCCATTGTATCTCTTTGCTTATCTGGAGATAAGCAGTTTTGGGACAGACTTTTGAAGCAGTGTCTGGTGTTGTCTTCGTGCAGAAAGACTTCAACGCCTGCAGTCAGTCGTGGATGTCGGCCGGCAAGTTCTGCCAGAAGACCTGCGGCCAATGCAGCGGGGGGAGCAGCGGTGGCAGCCCTGGGAGCTCGGGGTCCCCCAGCTGGTCCCCCTCACCTTCAGGGGGTTCACCCAGCTGGACCCCCTCGCCAAGCTGGAGCCCCAATGGCAGCCCCAGCTGGAGCCCTTCGCCCAGTTGGAGTCCTTCCAACAGCCCAAGTTGGAGCCCCAGTCCCAGCTGGAGCCCCTCCAACAGCCCAAGTTGGAGCCCTTCGCCCAATTGGAGCCCCAGCAACAGCCCAAGTTGGAGCCCCTCCAACAGCCCGAGCTGGAGTCCTTCCAACAGCCCGAGCTGGAGCCCGCCGTACTCTCCGGGCTCCAACTCGCCTTATGCGTCTGGGGGCAGGAAACTGCTTGCACCGGCAGAGCCGGCCAGCAGCAATGCAAGTGATGGTGAGGGAGAGAAGCTCGTCATCAGCATTGTGCAGAAGGAGTGAGGGGCTTGTTGGGCCTTCACAAGCGCTGCCAACGAATTTTTTCTTTATTTTGCCCTCAAGCCATACAGTGCACCATGAGAGTTGCTGACGTCCGCCATCACTCACCATGGGGCACGAGTCGAGCCTTGCAGGCTGGCCCCATGAACACTTTCAAGACTGCCTCTCAAGACTTCCATGTTCTCTTGCCATCTCTATGTTTCTAGCCCGTATCTGAAGTGTCTTCTAAGAGCTGTGCTCTGCCCTTTGCGCCATGTCCCATCCACCAGACATCTTGCCCTGTTCACCTTTGAGGGGTTGTCATTCACAGGATTCATTGCTGCTCTCGGTGAGCAGGCTTGGGCCCGAGTGACATGCAAGAAGTATATGACCACAGGAGGTACAATTGTTATTCGTTAGTCTCTTCTCTCGTGAGAGTGATTGCAGGGACCTTTCCTTGAGAGTACATCTTTGTTTGAGGGTTGATCAAGCCCCTTTTGGAAATGAATGGCCAAGCAGGGGCTAAACAGGCAGTGGTACTGTGAGTTGGTGACATGGTGTGTGAATCTAGCAAAGAGCTGTGGGAACCTAATTTTCGAATTCTTTATTCAGAACTGTGGATCACTGGGGTATTTAGCAGCAAAATTATTTCATTGTACGTGCCGCCTCTTATCACGAGGGGCCTCGGTGTCTGTATGCAGCACAGGGTTTCTGTGTAGGTGCTTTTGCACATTTCATATATTTGATTTAGTGCGCCATTCCTCCTGGAGGATGTGTGCACAGTGGGCAGGATCATTAGATGCTAGCCAAGGCTACTTCTTTGGCAGCTGTGTTGAGACCCAGGGGTTCTGCCCACTTGTGAGTCTGTGAAGGCGGGAGGCGGAGAGAGCAGTGCGCTAGAGATATCAGGGAGTGAGAGGAGTGTGCAAGCAAAAATTACAGCGGGTGCCCAAGTCTGGAATGATGTGGAGTTGTGCCCTGCAAGCTGTGCATGCACATGCGGGCCAGGGACTTTTGAGCATGACTGTATCGATCTGACGGTCGGGTGTGCATGCAAAGAGTACTCAGGCTCATCTATGACACCTTGTGCGCCTCAGCATTGAGCTCCCAATATTCCTCTCAGATATAGCTGCCTGCTCTGCCATTGCCGTTCCATTAGGGGTGCCCCAGTTGTGCATGTTCCAATATGGTGCAGTCGCGGCAGTTGCTTAGAACACGGCCATATGCTGCTGCCTGTAACGAAGTACATTTGTTCCAAAGCATTCTCTTCCACTTTATTATTAGTACACAGTTATCTAGTCCTGAAGGCTTCCACTTGAGTGCATGGCGACCCCAACATCCATGTCTGTTGATGTCAACCTGAAGATCGAAATCTTTAGCATGCATTTGCGGTAATGACGTAGGTGTTTCAAACTCACATCAAGCAACCGCAGCTGGCAATGACGTGTGGGACCTGGGCTGGTTTTCTTTTATGTTGTGCATTGACAGCTAAAAGAGCTCACAGATGGTTCATGATGCTGGATGCAGTCAAGGTCCAACATTGAGGCACAAGGCAGAGAGTGACAGTGAGAGTACTGTGGCGTGACAGGATGCCTTCCGGGAAGCACATGCTGAGCTGAGCAAGGAATATGTCGACACTATTCAGACGGCCCTGCAACGCAAGTTTGAGCAGTCCTGCGGTTGCAAAGTGGACGACGCCGATAACATCAGTGTCCTGAAGGAGATGCCCCAACGCTGCCTCTACAACAAGTACGGCTGGCGAATCTACTCAGTGTATTTGAAGGCTCTGCTGGTTTTCCAGGTGAGGCTGCATGCCAGTCTCTCTGTATCCTTTCAACGTTTACTGCTGCATGCATGCGTTGAGTGCATTGCACACGAGTTAATAATGCTCAGTGCCTTCTCCTTGGACAGCTGCTGTTACACAAAAATATGATATGAAGACAAGAGACTTTGGTGCAGGTGATTGGGATGATACAATAGGCTTTGGCCAAGTCCCTCTTTGAGTCCAAACCATGACCAGGACAAAGTGGATGCAGCATTTTCAGAGAGAGGCCTGATGTTGTCGGCTTCAGTCCAAAATTAAAGGCAGGCCCTAGGGACAAGAAGAGACCGTCTGCTGATTTCATTTGGTTCTTATCAAATTCAATTAGCACACACCAGATCATTAAAGAAGGAACTTCATGCACATGGAAATGGCATCCCCACAGCTGTAACTTGCTCTGTCATACGTCTGCATTCTAGTGGTTTCATAGTCAGGTGTTTAGATTCCATTTGCTTTGAAAGCAATCAGGATGCCTTAGCTGTGCCTCCAGATGAGGCGAAGTCATAGCACGTGTGCTACAATGTATAGCACCGATGCTCTGCTCGTTTCCGCAATCATGCGTTCACGTAAGCTGTATTCTGCCCTGGATATCGGACAGCACCCAGTCAAAACCGGTAAGCAGGCCTGCTCCAGTCACAGCGCTGCACCCCAAAATTCTCCAATGCCTTGTCCCTGCTGCCTTCAGCTCCAACACATCCTTGATCTCTGCAGCAGACAAGGCGCCTGGCAGGTCCTGTTTGTTGGCAAGGATGAGCAGTGTGGCGCCGGCTAGCTTCTCCTCCGTCAGCAGCTGGTGCAGCTCTGCCTTGCAGATCCGCAACCGCTCTATGTCTGCGCTATCAACAACCCAGAGCAGGGCATCTGTGCGCTCATAGTAGTTCTGCCAATATGGTCTCAGAATGGCCTGACCCCCGACGTCCCAGATGTTCAGGCGTACCCTGGCCACGGAAACGTGCAGCTGAGACAATGCAACGATGAAAGACCTGGTCATACAGCACTTTCTGGTGAACAAGAGATCAAGATGGGGAAGGCTCGCACCCTTTGTAATGGAGGGAATGGATATTGAACCCCAGCGTGGGGCTGACTTTTGAAAGGTCTTCTCCAGCTATGCGTTTGACGATGGTGGTCTTTCCAGCGTTGTCTAGACCCCTGCGCACAACGGAGTGATGCGTAAGACCATTACACAGCAATCACCAATATATGATCGTGGTCGGTGGAACAGGAAATTAATTTCCTTACACAAATAGAATCCGAAGCTCGCGTCTTTTCGCCTTATCCTTCTTCAGGATAGACAGAAGCCCCATCGGACTGATTGATCTCTTGAAGAGTGCTGTGCATGCTCGATGGACTCACGAACAGCACCAGAGGTGATCAAGCAACATCAAAGATGTTGTAGGTGTTAAGCGATCTCTTGGTTTCCAGTAAGCAGAAGGCAACGCTTGCAATTATCGCACGTGTTGCCATGCAGCTCGCACATGCGTTCATTCCTCTCTGTATCCCTCTCAGAATCTCAATCCCTCACATAACTGCAGGAAAATGTTGTTCAAGCCACTTAGTGTCGATTTGGGTTGCGTACGTTGGTTGAGGTCAGCAGTAAGCACTGAAAACTAATTCACCTAAACTGATCGTTGGAGGGAGTGACTCTGAAAGCTGCATCTGAGCGTCAAATCCACATGCTGTGAAGCTACTCAAATTGTTATGAACACGGTTTGCTTTGATTGCACAAAGTACGAGCCCACAGATCGGCTGGCCCAGAGCTTGGCCTACCTCTGCTCTGCACCTTACTGTGCCATTTTCTACCAAGCATCGGTGAGCTCTCAGAATGATCCCACTATGTAGACATCAGGAATATGGCTTTGTTTCATGCAGACTCCAGAATGCTGTCAGGACTTTCTGAGGCTCACCCAGCGGGCCACTCTCAGGGGTCTCGAGGCTCCCGGCTTGTGGCTTGGACACAGATGCATCCCATGCATCTCAGTGAGCATCTCAGCGAGAGTGATGGGGTGGGACCGTCAGGTGGTTTACTGTCGACGGGAGCTGCATGCCATAACAACCCTTCTAGGCATGGTGGCCAACGCAGCACTGAGCAAGGGCCTCAAGCGCGTGCTGCGGCAGGCGCGGCCGCTGGCCAGCTGCGAGCGGCTAGGCAGCTGCATGAAGCACGGCATGCCGTCATCTCATGTGCAGCTTATGTTCTTCGCCTGGGCGCTGCATGCGCTGCTGGTGTTCTGCAGACGGCCGCGGTGCCGGGCGCAGTCGCTGCTGCAGATAGCAGAGTCTGCTGTGTTGGGGGCAGTGGCTGTGGCGGTGGCTGCCGGCAGAGTCTATCTTGGCTACCATGACATCAGCCAGGTACGCAACATTTGAAAGTGCAAACTAATTTTCTGCGCTCTGCTCTGCTGCGCTGCTGCTAAGTTGGCCTATTTGCTGAAAGATTCAAGCGCTGTGCATGTGCTGATGTCAGGGTCCATTGACACGTTTTCAACATGCAGCATGATTCAGGTGGGGAATTTGAGGTATCTTTGTTGGGATCTGTCGGCTGAGGCCATCTGGCTGAATGCAGGTGACTGTCGGAGCGGTGCTTGGGAGCGGGTTTGGGTTGGTGTGGTTTGCGCTGACAGTGTGGCTGGCGCAAAATTGGTATGGGACAGTTGTGAGGTGGCAGCTGTCGAATCTGCTGTGTCTAAAAGACACGTTTCCTATTGGTCCAGATGTGCTGAAATGGGAACGCAGTCAGACACTTGATAGGAAGCAAGCCTGAGAGACCTAGAAATTGAAGGCACTGTACATGTATCATTAAAAATGTCGGAGTGCAACACATAAATGAAGCATGCATGCGTTGTCTGGTCTGCAGTCTGCGTAATTGGCTTAAATACATGCAAATCTAATCTACTCATAATTGGGTGGCACCATTGATTCATGAACGCAATGGCACACAAACTTATTGGACAGTTGTTCCAAGCAATGATTGTTAAAACCTTGCAAGTGCCCCCTTTCACCTTAGCAAAGCCATCGAGGTGCAAGCACTGCAAGAAGCTGTAGTCAAACATATACAAGAACGGGACCCAGCGATCTGATAATTCTAGACTGTGCAGTGTGGCCATGACAAGACTCTCAGGAGGTCTCTGTGTTCTTGCCCCCAGCAGGCCTCAACTGTAAAGCAATCACTTCTGTTCATGTTAGCGTGCAAAGTAAATTAGAAAATTCTATCTACACATCATCAGCAATTCACAAGGGGGCGCCCCTGCATGTGTGGCAAACGGCTCTGTGTAGCATGGAGCAATTCAAGTTGTCGACGTTGCACTGGAGCCAAACCCAACTCACTCAGATCTGCCGCATGTTTCCCAGCCTAATAGCGCAACAGATGAGCTCAATCAAATCCAAACCGTCCATGATAGCCTGCGGACTCGAACATTCATAATATGGACTTCCACTGACTACAGTGACCATCCATTAACGCTGCAGAAGCCCCGGTGGAACCCCCTCAATGTTTACAGTGGTGTGAACTTCGCATCAGATGCGGGAGGATGGCGGCTTGGACTTGCGCTTGGCGGCCACAAGAGCCACGCGGAAGGCGGACCAGTCCTTGTTGCCTGCCGCCTTGATGGCCGTCTTGGGCAGGCTGCTGGCATCCTCCGACGCGTTGCGCTGCCGCGTCGCGTGCACGTCCCTGCACTGGTCTATCACCTGCATGCGCGCCAAAACACCATCTTTGCACTGGTGGAACACAAAACGTCGGCTGCTCCAGCAGACCCTGAGCCTGCTTGTTGATTTCCTCTTTCATTGCCGATGTTATCATCGACATCCTGCTTTCCCCTCTGTCTCCCACTGGAGAAACTTGCCCAGCAAGCGCTACACAAAGTGACACCCCACTGTCCCTGGTGATGCGATGGCTTCCTGTCTCCCATCGGCAGAGAGCAGTGAAGATTCACAACATACAGAGCAGGAATAGCACGGGGATTGATCAGAAACGCCGGCGCGCACCTCCTTGATGTCGGCCTTGGTGAGGTCTGAGCGCGAGGCCACGATGCGCTCCACCAGCGCTGGAGTAATGCCGGGCGCAGTCTGCACCACCATAGTCAAATCTCATTCAGGCCTTTCTCACATGCACCAAGAACGCACATGAACGATACTTTGCACCCTGCCACGTGCAGAGCAGCTGCATGCAGGCTAGCAACCCATACGAATACTGTAAGAGGAATGGACAGATGACATGTTGAAATATGAATTTGTGGCCCCACCTGCAGGAGGGAGGTGTAGGAGAGCACAAAGGTGTCCACGCTGTCAGAGGACGCCACATCCCTCAGGTCATCCAGCGGCTGGCACACCTTGGTCACCTGCACAGCAGGTGTGGACCCTTTCAAACTCAGATTGCCTCAGACTGCTGGAGCATTCTTCTTCAAAGCTATGGAGAGCTGCGGCGCCCCACAGAGGGTATAGAGGAGAGTGTCATGCACGATCTTTCTCCTTGAGGCAGAGCTTCTCCTGCTCGAGCGTGCGCAGGTATACTGATCTGCCACTCTCTGGATGCTTTGCATGTTCTCTCACCGATCCTCACAGAGGGCAGAGAAGAGAGGGGCTGTGTGGCGGGCGCGATCTTCTTGAGGCAGCGTTTTTGCACATTTCTGTGCAGACGCCCTTGTCTTCACGCAAGACGCAAGACAATGTGTGGAGGGGCAGGGGGAGCGACGCGCCTTTTCTTTGATGCAGTGTTTTTCGAAGAAGGTGCAGATGTCGTCGTAGTCGCGCTCCAGGCGCTTGAGGAATGCGTCGGTGACCGCCTTGGTGTACGTCAGCAGCGCCGCTATGAAGTGCGCCAGCGTCTCCTCCAGGCACGCCACCGCCAGCCTGGCCGCCACAGGGTTCCCGGGGGCTTCAGCGTTTATACATCCAGGGTTCAGGGTCCCGCATCGATGCAGATTGCGAATGGGGTGATGCTGATTAATCACTTAGACGAGAAAAATCTAGTATACGGTGAACCTTGTGAGCGCACGTTAAAGGGCACATTCGATGGCATTAACCCCACGTACTTCAGGCATGCAGCATTCAAGACACAATAATCCTGTACGTCAATGCTACTACCGTACTCAGTTCAGTCCTGCAGGGACTCACTGTAGAGATGCATGCAGAGGGGCGCGCACCGCTTGAACCAGGAAGGCTCGATGAGGGTCTCGTAGTCCTCGAAGTAGTCCCCCAGCGTGGCCAGGATGGAGGCGGTGGTCACGCCGTTCTGCCACTCCTCGGTGCAGTACAGCTTGTGGAACAGCTCCGCAAATGCCGCGTCCGCAAAAATTGCATTCACCAGGTGGCCCACCGCCTCCTTGGCCAGCTCCAGAAATCCCCGGCACTGCGTGTCTATGTCCAACCGCCCCTGGAAACAAGGGAACAGCCTGGGTATATGCGAAATTGGATATGAAAGAGTCAGTCTTGTAGATACTTGGCAGGTCAACTGACAGCAATGGCACTGGCCATAGCCTGTACCGATATGTGCAGTGTAAGCAATTTGCAGACAAAGAGTGCCAAAAGGCAATTTAAATGAGTGCATGCAAGCGACCGCAATCCCCTTGGGACTCGCTCCGCTGCAGTACAGGTTTCCGAGACTCACTCCTGCCTCAGCGTGACCATGCGCCTCAGAAGCATTGCTAAGCATGCAAACAAGCTGTCTGAAAGTATCGCTGTTTGAGCAAACGAGTGGTCTGCGCCGCACCTTGAAGGGGCCGGCGAGCTCGTCGTCGAGATGGTCGGCGAACTCGGTGGACTCGTTGTAGCAGCGCGTGTTGTTGTTGATCACCGCGCACAGCAGCCCCTCACTCAGGTCCCGCTCCAGGTACTGCTTCTGCGCCTCCTGCAGTCCACCAGACAACCAGCACATCTCAAAGCACTGCAAGCTTCTTTTCCAATGGCCTAAGTCGCGCATGGGCAGCACATTGTGCCATTTAAGACGCCGCCGTGGGTTCTGGCGGGTCCAGACATGCACATGGGGTCATGGTGTAAGTGCGAGACACCGCGCCCTGCCGAGAAACCACTCCAGACGGCCTGATAGCTCCACTATTCAAATAAAGTATCACTGTCTGCCAAGTTTCCTTCACATTAATTGCTTGCACTCGTTCTACCCACAATGGTTCACTGCTATCTCTGCTGGACACCAGGAATGTGCTGGGCATGGGCGCCAAACCTGGAATTGGCGCATGATGGTCATGACAGACTCGCCGGTGCGCAGGAGCATCTCGCCGCTGGAGACCTCCTCGACGACTGAGAGCTGCTCGTTGACAATGCGGAAGAAGTCGACCGCGCCCGGCGTCCACAGCTGACCGTCCTCCTTCTGCTTCGGCTCCCCGCTCAGGTCCGCCTGGCACCGCACGGAGAGCTGTTTGAGACATTGCCTTCATCAAGATACGTCCCTTGGGGAAGCAGCAGGGGACTCTAAACTAAAGGATCAATCTAGAGTCCCCCTGAGAAGCAGCGCAGGTCTCCAGAAATTCACAAGGTTGGTGTCTGTGCCATTCCATCCCCACCATCAACATTTGAGGGTTGACCATTTTCAGGTGTCGATGCGATGCGGCAGCTGCTCCTGGCTCTCTTCTAAAACTTGATCTGGCGTCCCAAGGGCATGTGCATGCGAGAGAGGCAAGATTCCCCACCCTCACAGGTTACTCCAAGCATGCCAAATTCGCATCTCAAACAAAATTTGCATGCCCAACTGCATGCGTCTTCAGCTGGGTTTTGATTCACGCATGGTCTACCGATACCACTGCGTGAAAAGTTGATTGGGTGGCGCGACAGCCAGCGGAGAGTGCCGAGGAAGGGCCGCACCTCGAGGATGTTGACGAACCAGGTGTGCAGCGTGGAGCGCATGCGCGCGATGTACTTGTCAATGAGCACGGTTGTACCGCGGTCGGGGCCCTCCGGAAACGCAATGTCCTCCTCCTCCAACCCCAGCTCCCTCAGCGTCTCCTGGTAGTTGCTCGTCCACCCAATGACCTGCACCACCCCAATGTCCCCCCCACCCCCCCCCTCAGGATCCTTCTGCTGCGGGGATCTTGTTTTCTGCAAACCTTGCCAATTGCATGCAGACTTGGTCGTAAAACCCCTGAAACAGGCCTCTGGATCGGGCTGTGAGGCCCCCTTGTGCACAGCTTTGATTGATGCAGACGCCTGTCGCAGAGAGGAGCAAGAATAAACAATATACGCACACATGACAGGCGCTTGCACAGACAAGCGCTTGCACGTACCCCAAAAAAGGCATTACCTGCGGTGCTTGATGCCTTCTGCAAACTCCCTAAATACGAGCTGCTTTCAGGAAGAGGAGAAGAGGGCTCAAAACACTAAGCACAAGCGCCCCAGCGCATTATACAGATCAGAAGAGTGAAGTTCAGAGGCGCGCCTTGAGGATATCAGAATTGGCGAGTTGCTCAGCGCAGGCGCCCATGCAGTCGAGCATATAGGACATGTGCTGATGGTACTCCTTGAAGATGACACGGAAGATGCGATACTTCTCGGGGAAGCACGGCGTCACGTAGTCATAGATGTCCGCCAGCTGCACCACAAACTCATGCGCCTCGTCCAGAATTTCCCCCTGCAAAATTTGCAGTGTAATTGTACTCAGTACAATTCTTCCCTCCAGGAGGGATGACCCATCTCACAACCCTTATTAACACAATGGAGCTCCTGCATTGAGGATGGCATGCAAAGAGTCCTCTGCTGCCCCATGCGTTGCCAATCAGATGCCGCCATTCCTCTTACAAACGCCTTCCTCAACGCCAGTGGGCTGGACACCCTGGGGTCTTGCAATGGCGACAAGTGCAGGTGTGTTCATTGTTGTCAATGTAATGTCCCAGAGACACACCGTGCGTTTGTCAGTGTTCTCGCCGGCGGCCATGAGCTGAGCGCAGTCGCGCAGCAGCGGTGCAAAGTTCTCCTGGATGCTCATGCCGATCTGCTGCTCGCATCGCTTGCGATACCGCTTCGGCTGAATGGCCCGCATTCCACCTGAAGAATGAAATCGTGACCATCGACTGAAGCACTGGATCAAATAAGCAAGGCACCTATTTTCCAGGCTCATACATATCAGCGCAACATTGCCAAGCATGCAATACTCCCATCATGCCTCACTCGCATTGCAGTCATTCACAGAACATAATGAACGTGAAAATATGGCTCTATGGCGCTGAGGGAGGCAGGGATAGGCAAATGAGCGCTCACCCTTGCCGGAGGCTTCCAGCTGCCTGTCAACCATCTCTTGCAGCTCAATAATTCTGACGGCGTTGACCAGCATGGCCGGCTGGTCGCGGCCCAGCGTGGCAAAATTTCGGATGATGCTCCACAGCCGCTCCTCCACCTTGCCCATCGTCATTTTCACCTGCGCAAACAACTTAGCTCCATCAGTGTCGCTGTCACCGTCTGAATTGCTGTCAGAAGAGATTTTACAACCCACAATTGTAGCTTGCCATCCATGGGGCAGAAGCTGCCCGGTCTGGAAGAGCTCTCTTCGACCAGCTGCATGCAGCAAGGGGAGTTCTCCGGGGTGTGGCTATCCATGCTTTGCTTCCTCCAAGTCCCGTTGGCAGAGCTGAGCCCGCTGCTTCTCACGTTAAGTCACCACTTTGCCACCTTAGAACACCACTGTGTGCGCTGCTGGAGCGATGCCTCACTGTTGATTTACTCCCAATGCCAGGTCGATTGTATCTGATGTCACACACCTGGGAGGAATTGAAAGACGAGAAGTGTGTCAAAAGTAAAATGGAGGCTGTACCTTGTTGAAGTAGGCGCTGATGTTGCGTGAGTCATCGCGCTTGAGCTTGGCGTTGCTCTCCAGCGCCTGCTGCGCCATGCTGCTGGTGCCTTCCAGTATTGCCAGGCACTCGTACGCCTGCACAGCAACAAATATCTCAACATGGAAAGACAGCAACTTTCTGCTCACATCAGAAGCCCCGTACACTTCCCCTCAGGCCTCTTCAGGTGCTTCTCATCGTGCTTCCTAAAAATTACGAGTCATCAAAGTTAGCAGGGGGTAAGAGCAAAAGCTGAGAGGCTGTGAGCTCCGTGGTGGGGGATAAGTCAGCCACAAGTCCTGCACGATTCATCCAGTCATGAGTCATGCGCATTGTCACCTGCAGGAGCTGCGTGTCATCACGGAGCATCTCCTCTGCCTCAGCGGCTTCATGCGGCAGCGCCACAATGTTTTCTACATCCTGCAGCGTCTTGCCCAGATTGTAGTGCACCGCGCTGAGCACCTGAATCTTCTCGTGGTTGTCTATCAGGTTTGAGCACTCTGTGCAGAGCTCGTCGATGTCCTGCAGCAGCACAGCCTCAATACTTCACCTGATGCTCAGGAACTCCTGGCCAAGAGGGAGCAGAAATCATGCCTGTGAGGGCATGTTTCTCTCAGTAGCTCACCTTGTAACACTCCTGCATTTTGGTGAGGGTCTTCTGTGCGCTGTCTAGAAGCTCCATGCCTGCTCTGGCAGCATCCACCTGGGATGCCACCGTCGCGCTGAGCTGCGTTTTGTTGGCTTGATGCTTCTGCGTGTACTCCTCTAGCATGTTGGGGAGGCGCTTGAGATCCTCTGGATGTTGGAGCAGCCTCTCCACCTCTTCCACTGCTGCTTTCCGTGCATCCACTGCCTGTACAGCAGATGGAGGATCCTTCAATCCGATGTCGATTTTAGTGCTATTGTATGACCAGGTGCGAATCCTAGGAAACAACATGATCTTGTGACCAAGGGCAGAAAAGGCCAACGATGCTAGGATTCCAGGAAACGGCACCGACCTGTTCGGGAATGCTGTTGTCTATCATTTTGCATGCTGAAGGAGTATCCTTGCTCGATCAGACACACTTCTTATGAAATAGGATCCCGTGCAGCTTCAAGATGTTATTCCGCAGGAAGGCGTCCAATTGTATGGTTTACTTCTCTCTTCTCTCTATTAGCAGTAATATGAAGCGGCACGTCGCTAGTTAGCCGATAAATACTGAAGCCCCATCGAATCAGTTGGTCCTTCGCACCCCAAGGGCTACTTATCAAGAGCGATTTCCGCACATATAGCAGTTTCTTCTGCTAAGAGTATTTATTATTTATTTTAATCAATAACAACAACAAAAGAAGTGGGGAATGCCCCGAGTCATTAGGTCTAAAAACCTCCGGGGATGTATCTAGGGTCTATTAGGGAGCTGCAATGTACACACTCTGACCACGTTTTGCGCTTTGTGCTGTTCTAAGTAAAGTGCCGGATCCGATCTCGCTCCAGTCCTTAGATAGGTCTCCTCAAAGGCTTTTTCGAGCAGGAGGCAGCCCCCCCAGGTAGACGTCTCGAAGTACATTGGCGTGGAAGCACTGTACTTCCCAGTCCTCGACTACAGTAGAGGTGCATTGTGGTCACAGTAAAGGCCAAGGACACCTGAATTGCCTTTCAGAAATTTTACCCGTGCAAGACAAGGGCCGGGAAAACACTGACATCCGTGCCCACACCTTTCTTCCAGCCAGCCCTGTCATACAGGATTTTCAGAGCAAAGGTTCAGCCTAGATAATAGCAAGAGCTGGAATCTCGTCTGATTGTACCTGATCTGAGAGCTTGAGCGAGGCGTGGGACAATTTCTAGCGGTTGAGGAAGTTCCTGTGCATAGGGACACACACCACTATGTCAGGTGCACTGACACTAGCTTTCTCTCACTTTGACGGCAGAGTAGAATTCCTTCTAATTCCTGTGATTTAAGGCTTGGCTCTTCATGTCCCGGAGCTGAAAGAATTCCTTGTGCTGCCTTACAGGGCGCCCTGCGCCTCCAAAGCCTTGGGAGCGGCAGGGCTCAGCGACAGCTAGCACTACAACACCATTGGGTCCCAGCACAGCCAATGATGGCGCAGCAAAGCCTTGGGAGACTGCCACACCGAGTAGGTTACTTTTGACACCTTCATTCAGTTCCCCTCTGGCGCTGTCAATATCACATCAACCTTCTGCTTGCATCTGGGAGGTGTTCACTTGTGTATCATCATTTGAGACCTCTGTTCAAGAGTGCGACCACTGCAGCCACAGGTCATTGGGTCCCTGCTGATTTTGGTCCTGTTCCTGTGTTGCAGCCTCTACTGGGCCGGTAGCAAACAGCAATGCTGCAATAGTAAACAGGGCACGCCCTTGGGAACAGCCCTCCACGAGCGCTTATGGCACCGGCAACGCTTACGGGTCGACTTACGGAATGGGGACAAGCGCGTACGGGGCAGGCTCCTACGGCAACAGCTATGGCACCGGCGGTGCTTACGGCAGCAGCTATGGCGGGGGCGGCTACGGAGGAAGCATGTATGGCCGGCCCGCGTACGGGGGCATGGGGAGCTACGGCGGAGCTGGCAGCTATGGCGGGGTTGGCAGCTATGGCGGGGTTGGCAGCTATGGAGGTGGTGGGATGTATGGGGGAGGCGGCATGTATGGTGGTGGGGGGATGTATGGCGGGGCCGGAGGCATGTATGGAAGACCCATGGGTGGCTATGGTGGAGCCCTAGCTGGTCCAGGAGGTGAGCGATCACTCCATTCCTTACATCCACACCGAAGCCACCTTTTGGGCGTGCCTCATGCTTGCAGCAAGCCTTGATGTTGTCTTAGCACAGCTTGTTGGTGTTCTTCTGGCAGCAGATGGGATGCATGCCAGTTTGCTAAGTCTGCGTGCATGATGTGTCAACAGGTGCACCATTTGATGCTGCAAATCCCCCGCCTGCCCCGCCGACAGCCTGGCAGGCTATGCTGCATGCTATCGGGGGAATTGTCCATTTCTTTGGGCGGCTGTCGTTCTTGGTGGACGAGAATGCTCACGCCGTCCACTTTTTCATCTCGGCTCTGCTGCAGCTTCTTGACAGGTGAGGCCTCCTCATTGTGCATGCCCACTTTCTGATTTTGCGTGCTTGTCCCTTCAATATTTTAGAGCAAAAAATAAAAAGAAAGTCTGACGAAGAGCTTCCCAGAACTGTGCAGTGCACTGTTCGAGCCTCTGTTGAATAGAGTCTGCTTTTTTACTTCTCTGATCTTTGCATGCAGGGCGGGTTCTCTGTATGGCGAGCTGGCGCGCTTTGTGCTGAGGATACTTGGCTACAAGGGAAAGCCAAAGGAGCAGTCGCTGATGGGGGGACCCCAGGGGATGATGGGCCCCCCTCGGCTGCCAGGCCTGCCAGCTGCACCCTGCGCGCAGCCAGGCGCTCCAGAGTGGGACAACATGTGGGGATCTTGAAATCCACAGAAATGCGCAGCACTATGTTTGACAGAGTAGCACTGAGATATGCGCTTGCTTTGACGTGGAAGGTTTCTTTCGCTCTGTAGCGTCCTGATTTGTATCATACTGAAATGCGGTGCTCTGATTGTTTTCATTGCTGGCCATGTTGAACCACTGTATATACAGGTAGTGAAGGTTAAGAGAGGTTCTCTTTCCGTCTTCCACACATGGGTAGGTAGACAGGTCAGAGTATCTTTGGACAGCAATATCTGCCTTTTGAATGAATCATTTCGACCATCTTAAAGGTGACATCCTGCAGAATCCTCCTCCGCAAGATTGAGGGCATGTGACAGGCTGGTGGTTTTTCTTGCACGAAGGTACTTTGGATACAAATCAATCAGATACCACATTCTGTGGCCTACGGTCACTGTAACAGCTACATGTACAGAGCATTCTTGGGCACTCCTAGCGGTTACAAAAAATGTGGTGTACATCTTGGTGCACAGCTGCTCGCAAACATGAAATTGCAAAAGCAATGCAGCACTTTCATCGTGCGGGCAATGCGCCCACTCTGTGCACACTTTGTTTTACAGAATTGCACTCCTAGAACGACACAAAATGTTATACAAAATCTAGCAGCCGCCAGGGGGGCGCTGGCCTGTCCCGGGGGAAATGGAGAAAGGGAATGCCAACAAGGGGCCCACTGACAAACCTCCAAAGCTGATACCTCTTGTCTGTCACCTCCTGCACAACCTGGCCGCCAGCATTGACAACCTGTGCAGACACAAAATTGTATTTTGTTTAATTACCTAGAAAAAGCCAATGTCACTCTCACATGCCAAACTCTACTGCAAGCATGGCAGATCTCCCACCATACAAGTCGACCGCAAACAGGAAGCTCATCGGCGCCTTAAGGCGGACATTGATACAACTTTCTGCTATTGAAATGTGCCCCAGAGCTCACCGTGATATGCTGGTCACACTGGAAGCGCACAGTGAGCACGGAGTGAAGCACCGGAGGAGCATTCCCAGGGCCAGCATTGAGTTCTGCTGCCATGCTGCTAGAGGCCGACATTTTGCTGCCTGCTGCGTCATCTACTTTAAGGCTGTCTGGGAATTCAAACCTGCAGATGCACAAGTCAGGCGTCAAACAGGGCTATGCACTGCACATACATGTCACGTCCTGTTCATGTGACAGTGACACTTCAGGCAGCTCTGGGTAGGCCCCGCCTGGCTAGTTTGTCATCGTCTATAAGCTCACAATTCGCAAGGCTGGCCTTGACGTTCCCAACGAGCTTCGTTGTTACAGACATGCCCTTGTTTGTGTAGTCCTCCACTCCTTTCCTGCCAGAAGCACACCTACCCTCAGTACACGCCAGTGCGCCAGGGGCCTGCAGCAAGTCAGAGGTGCACAAGCAGCTGTGAACCAAGCTGTGGCACAAAGTATCCAAAGCAATGACGACTACTGTGGGTGAATCTTGCACATACAGAAGATGGAGCCAACCTGAGGGCAGACAGCAGCTTCCCTGACACCATTGAACTGAGAGTTTGGAAGTCATGCTCGTTCCACAGGGTCATGACTGCACAACTCAGTCGCAGACCGTCAATAAACACTAAACACTACTCACGCCATCCATACTCTCTGGGTCACACAAAGGAGAAGTAATAAGACTGGTTCCAATGCAGTCTTCTTGAAGAAGTCTTGGTAGTCAGTCACCTGTGAAGAAGGCATCTTTTGCTCCCTCTAGGCACTCTTTTTCATCAAAGTCCTTGTCTTGGAATGTCAGCACTGCAGAAGCCATACGCCCCTGTAGCATGCATTGCTCCAGTTGCAATCTGCAGGTGGGCATTGCTGAGTAAGATCTGAAAAGTAATCTGCTCTTACCCGGACTGTGTGCAGCGCCTCAGTAAGGAAGCTGAATGGATTGAACGGATCTCTGATCTCAGATGTTTCCAGTTTGTTGAGGCCTGCACGCATTGAGAATCTTCACCACTTGTCTGGCAATCGCCCCCTCAGGCATGCACATGTCTTGCAATGATCTACTGGATGGTGATGATTGCATTTCAAGATCTATGGGGGCTCACCCGCTATCCGCTGGAATTCAGTAGCATACTTCTGCTCTTCAGGACTTGGACTCTGATCTGCTTCTGCCTTCTCATCTTGTGCTGCTTCTTGGCTGTCCTGGGAGGTCTTGCCTTCCTGTGAGCTAGAAAGGGTGCTGTCTGCTGTCTGGTTGCCTTCAGGAGCATCCTTATCTGAGGAGCTAGGTTTCTCTGTGGCGCTAGCTTTCTCTCTGATGTCTGATGCTGCCAGGGTCTCAGGAATCACAGCCGAAGCCTTCTTATCCTGCCTCTTCTTTTCTTGCTTTCTCTTCTCTACCTTTCCTGGCTTCCTCTTAGTTACATACCCAGAGAACCGGTCGCCTCCTTGGCTCGATGCCGAAAAAGATGATGCTGGAAAGGCAAATTCATATCTCTGGTAGATGTCTCTTGCACGGCTTCCATTGTTGGAATTCCCTGATCTGGCAGACCCTCCAGCAACACCTGATCTTGTGGGATGGAGAGCGGGACCTTGGGGGATGACTGATGTAAATGCGGCACAATGGCTAGTCAAAAAGTGCCGAAATGCTCGTGTGGCACATTTTATGGCTCTCATAAGGTAGAAGGCACGTTACGAGACCACCATCCTAGAATACGACGTCTACCTATAAAAATCTAATCCAACAAACAGCACTGATCAGTTCAAGCAGAAAGTACCCACAAGTCTAGATCTGTTTGAGGCGTATAAAGTCATACCTAGATTGATCTCAAACGTTCATGTCCCAACAGCTCCTAGCCTTGGAACCCTGCACAAACCCTTCCTAGGCCTCACACCTGGACATTCCCCTCCATCAGAGATCCAGGCACCTCTGTCTGCCTCTGTTAAAATTTTAACATAGTATGAGCATTGCAAATCAAATTACAGTTTCGATTTGCTTGTATTGATCGAGCACAAAAAGTCATGTCCATGAGTCACTCGCTTGCGACGTTTTCAAGAAGCTTGCAGGCGACAGCAGACTATGGTGCGATCAACAGCGCACCATTGGAGGCTCTTCTGACTGTGGTAAGATGATTATCCTGTCGTATCCATACCTATGTATACTCTATATATACGTGGGCATGCGCTTGCATAATACAGCTGATGCCACCCTCAACACGGTAGCCAAAATAGATTATGGTAGAATGACGTCAAAAAATTACCCTTAGCGGTTGACACATCTCATTTGCTTGCAGGTGAGCCAAGGCCATGCTCTCCTAGCTGAGGTACTCCAACTCAGCAGCTCCTTGCCACCAGCTCTGCAACCTGCCACCACCAAATTTGCACCCATCCTGTTCGACTTCCGCTATTTCAGAGACCCAGATGCCCATGACCAGAAGGTCGAAGCCAGCCGCGAGCTGACCAGCTTAGATGAAGAGTTCAGAGAGGTGTGTCATGGGCCATGCATGCATGCATTGTGTGGGATCCTCATGAGCTTGGCCTGACCCCTTGCTGGAAGGAAATGCAGTCAGCAGACTTCCCTTCCCTTGCAGCACGCAACTTGTACAATATACTTGTAAAGCAGATGCACGAACTCATCCACCAGGTGCCTATGCCGAACAGGCCCATCAGGATGTTCTGGAGCAGCTTTACATGCTGTATCGGGGCGTTGTAGAGCTGCATGGCCGCCTTGTGGACTTCTTGCAGCAGCTCAAGGATGGCGCATACATCCAGTGCAGCATTTCCAGCCTCATGCTGGTTTGTTCCTGCACAATACCTTATCACTTGATGCACAACTTCCTGCAAGTAGGATGCGGCTGGAAGCGGGAGGCACCATTGACCACTTCTTGGCCTTCCCAATCTGATTGTGGATAGTTACTATTGCAAACGCTGAGGTCCTCTTGGACCCATTGTGTAAATCTGCGTAGCCCATGCGAGATCCCTATAGGCCGAGGCCGAGTAAGCTCAACAGATGGTGTGGAACAGTAGTAGAAGGTCTGTGAATGCCTGACCTCACCAGGAAGAGAAGTATAAATCCAACAGAGAGGCTGATGTGTGTGTGTGTGTGTGCGCGCAGAATCCTGAGCGGCGGCAGCTGCTGCTGGAGGCTGTGGCGCTGGTGGGTGCCCTGCTGCTATCCCTGGACAGGCGCATCGATGGAGCTGTGCGCGAGCGCTCTGTCGTGGCCTACTACCGCCTCAAGGGCGGCGCGCAGGCATGGGCCCCCGACCCTTCTAATTCCCTTGCAGCCAGGGGACCTGGATGCATCGTTCAACTGCCTTCATGGTCAAACCGACTGTACCACCTCATGAACTTTGAAAGTGAAGTCTTGAAAGAACATGGCATTGCCTCTGCACAATCGTGCCCTGTTGCCATTGCCATATAATGCTTCAGGAGCTTGTGCAGAAGCTTTTCAGGAATTTACTATCATGGCATTAATGGCCCGTAGAGGACAGCTGCAGGCCATGCACGCCGTTTATTATTTTCTTCCTTGTGAGCATAGAGGGCGTGTTTGCAGGCTGTGGGACCTTCAGTAAACCAGGTGATCACCCTGGTGTCCTCCACTGGATTCCAAGCCAGCGCTAAGAGGCCTCCTGCAGGTGGGGATCAGATCCACCAACACCCCTTTCTTGAGCAGTAAGGGCAGTGTGCCCAGTCAGCTCTGATGGAGTCCAGAACTAGATTTAACTTGAAGATCCCTGTGTCACTGCAATGAGTCATATCCTGGTGGTGCAGGATATCCTGAGTCCTACTTTGCCAGGCTGGCGCTCCCACAGGAGGCCATCATGGCGGTCGTAGCCGCCTGCAGATCAGATGACATCTACCACCAGGCAAGCCTGTCCCACTCATTCAGCCCCACACCTTGATGCTCTACCAGCATGCCAAATTGGTGATCGAGTAATTAAAGTTTGTTATCTATCTTTGCAAGATGATGGATTGCTTAGCGAGCACGGGTGTGGTCACAGGTGGTGCACTATCCTGCGCCGGAGCATCGGACGGCTGCGCTGTCGCACCAGGCGGCTGGGCTTTACTTGGCTCTCTACTTTGTGCCCCAAGTGCTGCATCGCGACTCTTCCCTCATGCGCACCCTTGTGGACAGGTGCCATCTCCTGCACCTCATGTGGAATGAGGCTAGGCAGTCTCTCTCTCTGTTTGGCACGATAGAGGGCCTTCCTGCATCCTTCTTGGAAGCTCACCGCTTGACAGCGGATTATTTTTGACATGGGCCTGAGGGACTCAAAAATCTCGTCAGTGTAAAGCTCACTGTGGGCCAGGACCCACATGTGGGAAGATATCTTCAAGATTTGGTATTGTGTGGCATTGTGCTTCCCAAGTCTCTCACGCAGTCGCGTTGCTCAGAATCCCAGTTTACTCCGTAGCTGCAGCAGGTTCATCAAGCTGCAGAGCCCCATTGGGGCATCTCCACCATACCTTACGCCCCATCCTTGCGGACTTGGAGCCTTCTCTAGGAAGTAGCCGTGAGTACGGGTATGGGGGCCGATGCAGGAAGTAGCCGTGAGTACGGGTATGGGGGCCGATGCAGGCACTTTGCGGACAACTGGGTGGTGGCTTGGGGCCCGGGGTTCCGCTCGGATTTGGCGCTGGAGTGGGAGAGCTTCAAGGCGGCGCGCGGCGCGTTGGGCGGTGTGATAACGGCCGCGCGCGCCAAGGACATGGCCGCCACCTACGCCGCCGCGCTGCCGCAGCTGCAGGCCCAGCTCTCCTCCTTCCTGGTGGAGGGCAAGCTCAAGGTGCGCGTGTGCCCATCTGTTGCCCCTCCAAGTAGCTTTCTGCCCAGGCACTGCATTGCAGTCTAAGGGAGGGTGCAAGACACTGCCTTTCTAGTGTTGCAAAGAAGTTCATGTCTGCTCTGGTCCCAGGAACATTTCATTTTTGAGAGGCATTCCAAAACCTGCGATTAGTGGTCCACATGGCCTTCAAGAGTGACATGTAGTGTGGCACGCTACATTTAATACCTTCCCAGTCGGCTTCGGAGCTTCTATGTGACGTTGACCGTGGTGCCTAAGAACTTCTTTTCCCATCAGTGGACCTAGTTGAGCCCTTGGCTCTGGGCAATTTCCCTCTCGATTTTGGACCTTCGCTCCCAAAGGCTGCCTGCAAAGGTTTGGTAAGAGATGGCAGTGCCGGCTGCGTTGCAGGAGGAGTATGTGCTAGAGCACATGGCGGAGGTGTTCTCGTGCTTGCGCAGCTGCAACGTGGCCCTGCGCTGGCTGCTGTTGCACACCGCCGCCTCCCACCGCAAGCTGCGCGCCGCCATCGCCTCCGCCGCGCCGCCGCCCAACGCCCTGCTCGCTCTGCTGCTTGACACCGCCCTCCTGGAATACGAGGTGCGGCAACCATGCGCGAGCCGCAAGTGTCCAGGGGTTCCCCTCCAGAAAAGCAAGCGAGGAAGTTCCTGGAGCAGGGCAAACCTGCAGCCTGAGGACTGTGCCAAGTGTATTTCAGAGATTGCTTGCACTTTTCGAGGGGCCGGAAAGGCGTTTGGGTCAAGAAACGGGAAGCCAGTCATTTCCTCTACAATGGTGAAGTGAACATGCACACAAAGGATGCCCTCAGCGGCATGTGCTGGCGTGTGCGCGCAGGTGCGGCGGGGTTACAGCGTGCTGCTGGAGAGCAAGACGGAGCGGTGGCATGCACAGAGGCGCGCCCTGGTGGAGGCCATCCAGGACCTGGCCGCCTTCTACCAGGCGCTGCAGGCGCTCCCCCGCTCAACCTCCACCGCCGACCTCTCCGACTGGTTCGACCACCTCATCCAGCAGGTGCTGCCCCTCTGCCCCTAGTCTGTCCACTGGCCATCAGTAGCGAGATGGCCTTTGCATAGGGCACCATATCACAGCGCGCAGCTGCAGAATGCATGCACATTGCACAACCTCGGACTGATGCAGACATGCAGGTCCTGTGACCTAGTCAGGTGGCCCCACAGAGACCGGAAAGCTAGAAATTGCTCACTTCACTCCTTAGTCGCCAGGCCAATTATCGACCAATCACTGCTTTTGTGCGTTAAATCAGCCATTTAGCAGGGCGTTGGTACTTGACATGGCTTAGAATGGGTGGATTTATTCAGTTCAAACCACCAAGCTCCAGTCATTTGAAGCTGTGCTGGTGCCACTCATGCCCTGCCCAATTTAGCGCCCAACTGCCCTGAGTGCGCGTGACATTGCAACGGAGTCCGGTTGCCTGGTCAATTGTGTGGTGGTGGTGGTGTTTGCTTTGTACTTCTTAATTGTGTCTGCTCTCTTTTTTTTGGATAAAAATTCAAATTGAACATGCTCTAGTAATTTAATCATTTTAACGGTGTCCGTCGCCTTAGGGCTTTGCTCTGCTGGTTCTCTGCATCATTCCCGCTTCACCCTGCAGCAAGTGAAGAAGCAAAACACTCCCCTCAAGCTTCTGGCCTTTTGGCTACATTTACAATGGGCCAGCGTACAGCTGCATTTTCTTGTCAGATGGAGATCAGTGAGCCTTTGAGTCTCGATAGCTCTCAATATCTGACCTTTATGGCTCCCCTCTACCGCGCAGGTGGAGGGGATGGACTATGCCGACCCGACAGGCACCTCGCGGAGCGTGCAGTCGCTGACGCTGGCACTGGACGACGCAGAGCGGTTCCATCCGCCGGAGGCCGCGCTGCAGACCAAGCAGTTCCTGGCCGCCATCCGTGGCCACCTGGCGCACACGCTGCGCATCGCGGATGTGAAGGAGGAGCTGCTTGCCACGCTGGCGGCCGTGGCTGACTTCGCCTACGGCTGGGGGCTGCTCGACTCATACGTCGCCCGCCTGCAGGCGGAGGTGACTGTCAATGAAATGCTAGGAGTCCACTATCATTTGTGGGCCGAGCTTGTACGCCGGCTCCTTGAATGCCTGTGTTAAGGGGAGACCAGAGGCAGTGACCCTACAGAAAGAAAGGGGCCTGATACTTGCTGAAATGGACCTCCCTGGCATGCGCAGAGATACTGCAGCGGTTGCTTCTAACCACATTCTTCACCCTTGAGACCTCCTGTAGGCCAGAGCTCTCTACACTTCAAAATCATCACTACCTGGGTGATGTCCTGACCGCAGGCAAGTTGGGCCTATTTGACGCAAGTAATCTATTCCCAGTAGAAAGCCGCAATTTTAATTCATCCCGGGGTGACTGCAGGTGCGCGCGGACCCGGGGACGGTGCTGAAGCTGCGCTGCCTGTTCCTGAAGATGCGTTCCCTGCTGGAAGTCCCCCTGCTGCGGCTGGGCCAGGCACGCGCTCCTGCCCTCTCCGCCACATCGCGCGTCTACTCTTCCGCCCTCCTCGCCTTCTCCCGCCTCATTCTCCAGGTGCAGCACTCGTATCTAGCCTAGCTTGTGTGATGACCTTGTGGCCATGAAGACAAGGACCGGTTGTGTTTGCCACAAAAGCCGAATCTAGATACCGGCAATCGCTCTAGACCCCTCACTTCTCTCTCCTTGCTACTGGCTGTCGATATCTTTTTGTGGCTTTCGTGGCAAATGTGGGCGGCCCATTCACCCTAGCTTGCTAATCTTTAAATGTGCTCGGCTTTCTCACTGCTCGACCGGGAGGTCACAAGATTTGGGCAGCTGTGTGCTCTGTCCGGCTCTTTCCCAGAGCTGGGTGGAGCCCGCTCTGGTTGCACTCGAGTTGGACATGTGTGTCATGTGGTGTGTGCTCCATCCGGGCGGACACATGAGCACCGCGGCAAGTCTTCTTCGCCAGGGGCAGAAACCACGTGATCCGGTTTTCGAGCTTGCTGGCAGCCCTAATTGTCCTGCTACATGCCTCATGGCAATGCTCTTGAGTCATTTCTAACTATAAAATTTTGGACTACTATTTAATGCAAGATCTTGTCATGTCGATCGCCAGGTGGTGCCGGCGACGGTTGGGGATCTGCTGGATCAGATGGTGGTGGTCACGAGCGCGCGCATGACGCCTCTGCCGCCGCGGCTGGACGTCGGCCGCCTGCGGGAGGCCGCTCAGCTTCCGCAGCGCGCGCAGCTGGCCGCCCTCGCGCACCGCATCGCCGCTTTCGCCGAGGGAATGCGCGCCATGGAGAAGTGCACCGCCCGCATCCTTGCCTAAAGTGCTCAACTGTGACGAAACAACATCTGCTAAACAAGCTGTGCCCCGTTCGTGGTCCCTTCTCTTGTTTCGTCTGAGGTAATGTGGATATCCAGTGTTCCCACCGGTCATGTTTTTTCTCTGGTGCCATGCAGCCAGGCCATTTTTTCCTCTCTTATCTTGTTCTGATGCTCGATTTGTCCTTGTGTCCTAGCACGAAAGTGTGAATCTCTTCGGCAGACGTTTTGATGTCAGTTTGTAGCAATTTATATCTCACAAAGCGAAAGTGAAAAATCTCTTTGCTCAAGAGCCTAGATTCCCAAGGGCTGCGTGCCATCGTGCACTTCGACAAAATTGTGCTGAACAGAGAATATCTTGTCTTGCTTAAAAATTCAAAGTCTGAGTGTCAGCCTGGGCCGTGCAGGAGTATCTGCTTGAGTATCTGAAAAGGTGTGCATCTGAGCTGTGCAGGTATTCGTGGGCATGCCATCTCAACCCTCCAGAACTTTTTCTACTGCACTAAAGCAGGACATTTGCGTGTACGCCGCGCCGCTGCATGCTGCGCTGCCGTTCATGCACTCCAGCACTTTCGCTCTGAAGAGGGGAATCCCTCGAAGTGTTAATAATTGATTTCTTCCTTTTGGCGTGAGCTGCGCAGGACATTTGTGGGCGTGGTGGAGCTGCAGCCGACGCGGCTGCTGGAGGACGGCCTGCGAGCGCACCTGGCGCAGCGTGCGGCGGCCGCGGCTGCGACGGCATTGTCATTCTCCAACCTGCCCGCGCTGCTGGCGTACCCGCCTCTGTCGGCTGCCGGCCGCTCCGCGCTCGCCGGCCTCTTCGGCGGCGGCGCGTCCCTCTCAGCCAGCATCCCGGGGCGGTGCGCATGGCGTTCCCTCTTGCTCAGTATGGCCAAGTAGGGGTTGTCAATGCAGCGACAATGGTCGTGCCTCAAGCTCACGTATGCCTAAGCACATGTGACTTCTAGAGTTTCTTGGGCTTGGTCCCCAGCTGAAAGCAAGCTGTTCGTTCAACCTGTAGCTTTTGTGAGGAGGTGGCAATTCGTTCCTTGCCGGCACAGTCCGTATTGTGCTGCTGGAGATGCAATGCCTTCACGGATGCCTAGCTGCTACAAGGCTACACTTTTGTGAACAATGTGGCGTGGGTGCCTCTGCTGCAGGCAGGACCTTGTGGCGCGGCTGGGCGAGCTGGCCGCCAAGCTGCGAGCGTTGCGCGACGCTTTTGAGGTGGTGCAAGATCTAGTGGACCTGCCCGGCCTGCGCGTGTGGCACACCCAGCTGCAGCGGGTTCTCTCTGCCAATCTTGCCGCCGAGCTGCGCAGGTCCAAACACTCCTCTTTTGCACCAAATTCATGTCCGCCACCGTTTCCCTCTTGTCATCCGGAATAATTGCCCTTGCAGTTTTCGCTGCACTGCAAGGCGGAGACACTCCGTCATATCACTGCTCTACATGGATATACATGCTGCAGACTGGTGGAGAACTGATATACACGTTGATGTCTGGGCGGAGCTGCATCTTGCAGCTTCACCATGCAGTGGATCAGTTCGCTGTTATGATTGGGTTTGCTGCCTTCCATGTGATGTAGAAAGGCGCACAGATCTTTGCATGTCCACAAGGCAGTGCTGTAGAAGCAGCAAGGGTGGGAATAGCTGAAGCGGGCGCTGGGTTGCAGATTCAGGAGGGTGGCGGAGAGCAGCATGGCCAGCACCAGCGGATGGGATGGGGCGCCCCCAGAGGCGCTGGGCGGCCCCAAAGACGAGCTTTATGGGGAACCCGTCACCTTCCTTGGCAGGTGCGCAGCATGCCGCCACCTTGCCAAAGTATTGGAGATAAAACATTTTGCCCTCACTTCGACTTTATTGCTGTGTCTTCCAATGTAAGATTGAAAGGATCTATGTACAACTATATCACAACAGGGTCATCCTCATGTGATGATACCATGTTTTGCTCCCCACAGACGACCTTGTCGTAAGTTTGTTGCATTGATGCTTTCATGACTAAATGTTTCTCTTGAGCATGGTACCGCTCTTACCTGGAATGCTCACCTTTCAAGTCCCGCAGGTTCGGTATTGTGCAGTCTGCTCAGATGCCTCGGGCTTCCTCGTGCTGTGCGCAGGCTGGTCGGGGAGGTGTTGCGGCTGAGTGACCCTGTGCGCACGCAGTTCCAGCCGCTGCTCTGCGCCTGGCACGACGCCAGCGGTGGCGAGGTGGGCAACATCCATACCTCCTTATTCTATGTGCCGCCTTTAACCCCAATCACTGATATCTGTTCAAGAGTTTGCTTTGCAACGCTGGCCAAATGAGCATGACTGTCCTGCAACCCGCATGCTACCACCTCACCTTGTTTCCACTCGACACGGCACTCTGTTCTGTCACACATTGTCAAGATATAAAGTTATCAAATATTCAAGTTGTGTTTGGGTGACATAAAGGTGCTGGGCATGGCTGCGTTCGGTGCGCTGGCGGCGGCGTTTGACGGCCCCGGGCTGCGGTGCACGGGCGCGGTGGTGGCAGCGCGCACGCACCAGACGCTGCACGCCGGCCTCTCCCACATACGCGCTGAGCTCGACGCCGGTGGGCAGCGCACCGCCTGCCATGCACATTGCGCCTTGAGGCGGCTTTGCTCTTCTTTTATTGCTTGTGTCTAACTCAGCCGGCCGGGAATGCAGCAGCCTAGAATGGGCCAACTTGTCATCGGAACTTATCACCAGATCAGCTGTTCTTTTCGCATCCAGAACATGCGCGTGTCAGATGCAAGAAGGAGAAAAGGAAATCGACTGAAGCATCTTCACGGGCCACTCCTGTTTATGGGTTTATACCATTGGATTCACAGCTTGCGGGAGAGCTTGTCTGAAATTGCTTTTATAATTACCTAGCCTGATTTGGATGGTACAGGGTGGCGGGCGTCGCTGGCGGATCTGCGGGAAGCGGTGGGGTCCTCCACAGCGCCACCGGAGGGGGGTCCCGGCGTCTATGTGGAAGCTGCCAGGGCGGCTTCGCGGCAGCTGCAGCCTCTGGCTGTGCTCATCGCGTCCCTGGGCCAAATGCAGCTTCTGCAGCAGCGCATCCGGCACGAGCTTGCCTCCATCAGCAGGTCAGGAACTTTACCACATTTTCCCTTTGTGTACACATGCCTTACGTATGCATCCCAAGGATGTTATGCTTCTTGGGCCAATACTGCGGGGACTGTGTATGTTTTTGGGGTCTGCTTAGTGAGTTGCTTCTGTTCACTGCACCAATATTGCAGGCATGTCCCTCCTGCTCGTCCTGCTCTTCAAGCCTGTCCAATCAGAAACGAAATTAACTGTCAAATGCTTGCTTGGATAATTGCAATAGTGTCGAGGGGATTAACCAGGGAGTGCGTCATTGTCTAAGAAAAGCCCTTGGGCAAGAAGCAGGTCTGTCCTCAGTTGGGTCACAAACAAAATGCTGGGGTGGGGTGGTTTGGGGCAGGTTGGAAGGGGACGCTCTACTGCACTGCGCATTGGAAGGACTCAATGCAGCGCTTCTTGCGGACGCCAAGGCCGCAGCATCAGCGCAAGGAAGCAGCATTGAGCCGCCGGCGTCCCCTGTCACCCCTCTGCAGCCGGAGCTCGCAGACCTTTTCGAGGCTGCTGGCCTCAGCAATCCAATGGAGAAGGTATGCACGCATCTCTCAACTCGACCAATAAACATCTCAAATATGACACATCCATCTTGACTTTTCAGCAGACTTCCTGCTTACCTGCAACGAATGGTTGTGGGCTGCATAACACTGGAATGTGGGCGCACTTAAGACAGAATGCATTAAACCCCTGCTCACTTCCTCAAGCGTCCTCAGGTGTGCCTGATTAGACAACATTAGAGAATAGAATAGAACAGAGTTCTGTGGGTTCTGGGTCCAGGTTTATGAGAGGCCGGCAGCGCTGCCAGAGTTACCAGAGGTTTTGTTCCTGGTGCTATTCTCGCTGCTGGATGCATATGCATTCAACCGGCGGCTGGCGTTGCTGGAGAGGGCTGACAGGAAGGCTCCCGATTCGGTGCCCCTTGCCTGCGGCTTCGCCACCCTTCTGCGCCAGTTCCACCCCTGCTACGCCGAGGTGCGGCGATCTCGCTTCCCTTCTTACATGATTCCCAAAGTTGCTGATTACATCTTGACGTCATTGTCAGACCCTGAAAAAATGCGCTGGAAATGCTGGTGTTTGAGGTGGCAGTTGCGGCTTTTGATTGCATGCCTTTAATTTCTGTGTCTGGCTGCAAAATGTGCACCGCTAGGTTTGAGCCTGAGCTTTCAGGAGCGCTTTTTCAGTGCAATTCTGTTCTCTTGTTCTCTTCCTGCAATCTGCATAACTCTGGTGTGGATGTGAAACATGCTGTGTGGCTGCTTGCAGGCGTTTCTGCAGTGCGTGGGGCAGTGCATCCAGATATATGTGCAGACAGCGACTGGGGCAGTGGCGCAGGGAGTGCAGGCTGCTGGGATCGATGTGGCACTGCCCAGAAAGATTGGAACGCTCGTGGCATTCGTTGAGAGCGTGAGCGAGTTTGGCGGGATGTCCCAGTCGCTTGTGCATCAGTACATACCGCCATTCATAGCTGACACTTGGCTGTCGGTGCTGGCATGAGAGCTGCAAGATTAAATGTGCAAGGTCCATTGGATTGACGCTCTGTTTCCTAAAGGTTGGTAATGGAAATGGCGAACTGGGATGTACATTAGCCACACTTGTGACATGATGCTTGTACTTGTTGTAAAGAGAAGGGAGAATGCAAGACATGAAGGCATTGCGAGCGCCATGATAGGAGAAAGGGCTGCCTCGCACTAGTGATGTGCTCTGTATACAGTACTGTATACAGAGCACATCACAAACATCTCCCGGCCGGGAGCGGCCCAGGAGCACTGATGATCACTTTGCATACATGCCGTCATGCATGTGTGGCTAGGTGAGGGAGGGGGCATGCGTTGTCGCGCGGAAGCTGCAATATTGCAAGCGACATTCGAGGCACAGATGACCAATGCACTGTGCTGTGAGAAGAGCAGACAGAATGATCCGCACTCTGACATTCAATAAGTCAATGGGTGCCCCTTGTGCATCGATTGCATCGAGCCAATCAAGCACTGCCTTGGACGCAGGGATAATAATTCGAAGAGAGCAACCTTATTTATAAACCAGAAAAGAGCATCCTTACAAGTGGAATGTCAATGAAAACGTCACTTGGCTAAATTCACTGTGTATTTCCTGACAGATCAGCCCCGGCTTGATTGGAATCGTTCACCAAAAAGATTGCAATATCGAACCCTGTCTGCTAGCATCAGCACATGATGAATTGCACATGGCATCAAAGCCCAGCGGAAGTAAGAGATATTTGGCCCACGCATCAATGATGCTGATCACGAATCAAAGAAGACAAACCAGCCAGCTTCAACACAGCATGCTCATTCTGCAACAAATTCCTGCAATCCTGCTCATTGCAAACAAGACAGCCCAAAAGGCTACCTAGCACGCCAACGGCAGTGTAAATTGGCAGCATGCCTCAAAACAGCTCTTGCATGAGAGGCCAATCATAGAGACCCCAACAAATAGAAGAGATTGGCAGGGCTTTCTGCGCTCAGGAGTCTTTGGACTTTTACCATACCAGGCTGCACCAGAACGCAAGCTTTGACAAAACCCACCATCACAGGTCGAACGAGGCGAGAATGATACCCCAGGATGCAATTGCCAGATCATAGAATTAGGCTTGTCGCATCGCCTTCAAATACCGCATCACTGCGGCTGCATTTGATTGTGACCTCTTCGTTCGCATACAGGACAGATGCACATCGCGCAAGGATAATGCTTGCAATTTTCCTAGACAAAATGGGCACAAAGTGCCTCTGCTTGACAAGACACGGCCGTTGCCTTGGTAAATTCTGTCGCGATCAAGTGGACCCCATCCCCAGCTTGTTTGAGTGAATCTGCAGGATCCCACTGTCATACTCCCAGAAGCTGTAGCATGCACATCCAATCCAAGATCTGCAGAGCTTTTTCGCATGCATCTGACATGCGCCAGCACAGGAAAAATGCCGACTGCACCTCTGGGGCAAGAAATCATTGTATGCTTGAAGGAATTGCTTGAGGGGACGCCACCCATTTGAACTGCACATACTACCCTTAGTTCTTGACGCGGCCAGGCCCCAATGCTTAGCTAACGCCCAGCCTTGATGAGGCCTGATTTGGCCGCCACCCAGGCGGTGTTAGTCAGCCTGTAGTCATCCGCCCTTTGGCCATCCAGCCTGGGTTTGATTGCCACCCAAATACGGTCTCCTGTGGCGGCTGACAGGCAAGACTCTTGATGCAGCCGGGTTCCAAAGATAGCAAGCGCACAGCCTGAATAAGCCTGGCGGCTGCAGCATGCAAGCAATGCGCGCGCGCCGATTCAGAGGGAGCAGGTCTCGGACTTCTCCTCGGAGGAGGTGGGGTGGCAGTCCAGCAGGGGCTCCCCGCCGTGTCGCTTGGCCATGATGTTGCCCAGGGCCAGGCAGTCTGGGTGGCCCGGGAACGCTTCCACCACAAACAGGCCCGACTGCGCATGCAAGCAAGCGATGCTGTCACTACTCCCCTTTCTCTCGTTCAAAGTTCCATTAAAACTGCACACAGTAATCAGAATTCGCTAGCCATGTCCAACTCTCCATCATCAAGCCAGACAGCTCACACAGGATCCAAGAGTCTGCTGGAATTACTCCTAATCAAAGGCTCATTACTGCCAGTGGACCGGGCAAAAAAACATGTTGTTGAAGAGGGAAGCCTGATGCTGCTTTCCAGGCAGCATGAACACAACATTGATTTGTTGGCAAAAAATACGGCAGTATTTATTGCTTCACCCCCTCTACGCCAGTAAATTTTCAAAGGCAAGGTAGGGGTCAGACAAGCAGCACCAAGAACGCTTCAAGAGAGGTAAGGAGAGGGTGAAATTCACCTGGATGGGGGTGAGGACTTTGTGCATGGTCATGTAGTTGAGTTCCATGACTGTGCGCTGCTCCTTGCGCAGATTGCACTTGATGTCGTCCAGGATGGAGTCCAGGTGGACGTTGTTGAGCGCGGCGCAGCTGTAGCTGCTGGTGATCCTCATGCAGTCCATGCGGCTCTCCAGCGTTGCCGCGTCAGGGATCTGCCGCCGCCCCACGTCCTTGGGCAGAATCAGGCTCATCGCCTGCGCGCACTCACCCATTTGTCAGCCATTGCAAATGCAATCCACATCAAACTTCTTGCACTAGGTCCCCCAGGCGCCTGCTGGTTGGCAAGAGGCCGTGACCGATGTGCACAGTTGTATTTTCACATTTGAAAGGGCAAGGCAGCCTTTGCTCCCTTTACGGCGCTCGCAGTGCCCATGGAGTGTTTTACTCGTAATATCCTTTTTGGGGGACTCGCCACGTACAAAGGGGAGTTCACTTATGGGTGACGGGCAGTCTACAGTCAGCCGGTATGTATCAGTCAGCAGATAGTACAAAAGAGGGGCATTGGTGGCGCACCTGGAGGTTGAGGCGCTGACGGTCCTCGAAGAGGGAGCGCAGGTTGCGCAGGTGCACCTTGCGCAGCTCCAGCAGCTGCTCAGCCTGAGACTCCGTCAGCCGCAGAACCTGCGCCACCCGCACCAAACTTGTCAGCCCCTCAGGTCACCTTATATAAACGCACTGCCTGGCAAGTAGGCTGCCCACGCGTGTTGGGCAGGGGAACGCTCACAGAAGGTACTGTATGCTCGACATGGGGGCAACAAGCGCAAGCGCTGGGCGAATGCATAGAGCAGCGCAGGACAGCGCTCCTGGGTACCAACAATGAATGACCCCGCTTATGAGAGAGGTTTGACATAGCAGGTTTCCCACACAGTCCACTCCACGGCCTTGTGCCCAAAATTGCCAGCCAGCCATTCCCTGTGGGCAGAACTGTGAAGCGGCCGCAATGGGCGACCAGCTAAGTTGCAGCTCTGTAAAAAACGTGGACATGTACGGCATCCGGCATGCAGAGCTTTTGCTCTAGAGCATGATGGGTTGTCCGCTGCAGTAACGGAACGCCAGGACCCAGCTGCCAGCCTCTGAGATTGGCGGTACCGTAGATCCTGACCTTGTACTTCTCCCTCCCCTTGCCCCTCTTGATCTCCAACTTTTTTAAACACTTGTTCAAAGTTATGAGACTTGTAGTAGTCTTGTTTCAACTCTTGAGCTAGTGTGAGGGGGAGGCAGGCGGGGCACACGTCAAGGATGCGCTCCCACTTGGCGCGTTCGATGTGGCAGGAGATGTGGGCCATCTGCGCGACGTCGCGGCTCATGAGCGCCAGCACCTTGATGCCCTCCGCGCGCATCGCGCTCTGGCACAGCTGGCACCCCTGCCTCACCAGATCCCCCACCTGCGCCACTATGCCCGGCGCCACCCCCGCACCTGCACACACAAGTCACCATACATTAGAAATACTCCTACTACATCACATTCGTGTGCCATTCAGCTCACTGCTCCGCATGCCCACTTGATGCTGCTGCTAAATTTTTCGGTGCCCATGAACACGGTCAGCGCCACTCGCTCACCCCCACCGCCAATGTCTTATGGTGTCTCTCCACTAGCCCCTTCTAGGATCACTTTACTTACAGTAAAACCTCCCGGGGGCTGTCTAAGACGCCCACTAGCAACGCTTGTAAATGGCCCTTAGAAAGGCGACCACAACAGGTGCACAAGCCTGTACTCAAGAAGGTGTCCGGCTGAGGGGATCGACTGCTCAATACAAAACATCTCTTGCTTGGAGAATCACTGTATCCCAGAGTGCAAGGCGCCAGGGGAATGTCGGGGAGCGCACCGGAGGGGTCGACGTGGCGGAGGTTGTGCTGGTCCACAAAGGAGCGCAGGGTGTCGGTGCAGGCGGCCCACTCGCGCTGCAGCCGCGCCACCTCCTCCTCACGCCGCTTCTCCTTGTGCTCCCGGTAGCGGTCGCACTCCGCCGGCTTTATCGCCGCGTACTCCATCTGTGACCAGGCACGCGCACACACCTCTGTCAACCGCCGCACATGGTGAACAGCCTTGGGAAAGCTGGCGCCACAGTTGGGAAGGCACAGACGCTCAAGGCCACCTTATCTCTGCCACTGCAGCTTTGCAAAAACGCATGACAGAGCTACCCAGATTATGAACAATACCCTCAAGAGCCATGTGGTTTGCAGAGGCAGCGGGCAGAGAAAGGGTGGAGCGGCGGCCAGCAGCACACCGAGACTGCTCGGCAGTGTGTGGCACTTCACACACATGAAAGGCTCGTGATCATCAATCAAAAGAGTGAGCAGATTGAGCAGGATCGGCACCTTCTCAACTGGCAGGTTTAGCGTGGCCTGATTGGCGCCCGACTTGGCCAGGGCTGCACGCAGCGCCTCGATCTCCAGCTCTTTTTCCTGCAGCTTCCCCTCCAGCTCCTGTGCCTTCCCCTGTAAGCAAGAAAACCAGATCAGATGCTGTTCTTCATCGTAGTATGAACCACACCTGTCCGAGAATCTGCAATGTCCACTGGAACAGAGTAAGGTGGGGGGCGAGGGGGCGACACTGTGTAGCAACAAACTAGAGTGGTACGCACATGGACCTTATACCCCATTAGAAATGTCTTCATATTTTAAATTTCATCGCTATATGAATTTGCTGGGACTCCAAATTGCCCAGCATCTTAATCCACTTTTCGATTTGAATTTCGGCAGGCAACAAATTGTGGACGCACATTGGCGAGCACCTCTGTAATATTGGGCGTACTAAACACACCTGCAGCACGGCGTTGGTGGACTGAACTGCCTGCATGTCTTGGACCTGGGAGGATAGCTGCTCCAGCGTCTGCTCCATCTCCTGGAACTTCTGCTTCCGGCGCTCCCTATACCTCTGCTGCGCCTGCACCAGGTCCCACCACAAACATTTCAGACCATCTCACCCCAGAACTTCACCCCCCTAACACTCCATCCCAATCATGCAAAGACTATATCCACACGCAATACTCTCAGACCAATTCACGCGAGTACTTTACCCCCTTAACATTCATTCCCAATCAGGCAAAGACTAACCTCTTACTGAGCGCCTCGGTCGCTGTAGACACAGCACTACAACAATGCGTGCCGTGCATGACCAACCCATGGGAGAACCCAGCAAGGGACAACTTTATTCCTGTGCACCCCACTGGATAGCATCAGTTATCCGGCTATGGGGAAGAGGCAACGCTGCGCGCACCTGCTTGTTCTGATCCTGCTGCCGCGCGTTGCGCTTGGCCTTGGCTTGCCGCTTGTTCCCGTTGCGGGCGCCCGGTGTGCTGTCGTCGTCCCCATCCTCTGGCGAATCCTCATTGGAGAAATTCCCACTCCCCTTGTGTGCCGCCGCATTCCAACTGCCCGACCCCTGAACAGCGGCATCACTTCCCCCATCAGCACCAATCCTACCCCCCTCACCCAATTTTCTTCAATACTTGCTCCAAAATGTTAACAGGGTTGAGGGTATACTTGCATCCAAAGTAAGAATATGGAAGATGCATCTGCAGAGTTTCAAACGGCTCTCATACCTCACGCAGCATCTCTGAGCCTAAGATGGTCCAAAGCACGACAGGCCTCCCCCTCCCCATTCAGGCAGCTGTGAAGAGGAAAACTTTCAACATGGTGCCTAGCAGGGGGCCACCCCCACCTGCGAGCCAGAGCCGCTGCGCCGATGGGCGGGGGCCTCGAAGCCGCTGGTGACCAGGTTGGCCATGGGGTGCAGGGGCTCCAAGGGCACTTGGGGCATGCCATTCTGGATGGGAAGGCCCTCGGCAGGGACGAAAGCTTGGGCCTGCGCTGCTTGCTGCGCAATCGCTGGCGTCATCAGGCCATCCATCTGCTGCGTGCCTGAGTGCGGGTAATGTTCCAGCACAGGGTCCAGCTCGCCTACTGCATAAAAGGGGGAACTTGTTAGCCGTGCACAGTGGGGGGCACATTGAACGTGATGCGCACCAATGGGGTCCCCCACCTAGGATTTGGTGCCTGTAGCATACACTGACACATGCAGTCCGTTTCTAAAGGCATACATGGTGAGGTGGAATGTCACAGTTAGTGAGCCTGCATTACCCACTGTCAGGAGCAGAATGATGAGCACAGCAGTGGTGTGGAAAATAAAGGGGCATACCGCTGGTGAGGGGTGTGCCCTCCAAAGGGGCAGCATCTGCTGGCAGGCCACTGCCACGTGCGCCCAGCTCCTCCACGTATGTCTCGAAGAAGTCATCCACGGGTACTGCAATAGAAAAGAGCCAAGGTTGCTATGAGAGGCCCAATCCAAATGCCAGAGCCTACTTTCCGGATTTTGATAGGGGCAGGCAGAACTTGAAGAGTTGTTGACCGGATATTTTTATCAAAATTGACCTGACAGTAAGAGACTGATGTTTCATCTTCGAGATGAGGGCTTCAGTTGGAACAAGGTGCTCACTTGAAAAGAAGTCGATGTCAGGCAATGCGTCCCAAGTCGCCTGACGCTTCATTCCGACTCCCCCTCCAGAGTACTGCATTTGCTGCATCGCCTGATCCTGCTGAACAAGGCAAGGGTTTGTACCTCTCCAACGAGGTGAGACAGAAGGCTCACGCAGTCCCTCGTACTACCCGATTGGTGTATGCAAGGCAGCTTATGCTAGAGTGCACTATGACAAGAAACCAGTATCCTGAAGGCAAGAAGGTCTTGATAGGTGTCTCTTCCCCTGCAAGTACAGCATGGGCCGATACCTTGTCTTCCTGTTAGCACGTCTAGCCTTTACGCCCGATGATCGCTGCCAAATTCACTTTCCTAACCCCCAAAGAAGATGTTTTGGAAGTTCTGCTGGGCGATAAGAAGGCAGAGGAACCCACAACCCTGACGTAATCGGCCCTGATCTTCCGGCCCGGGGGAGAAAGGAACGCCGCGTATTGCGTGGACTTCTTGTCAGGCCTTGTCAATCAACTGTATCCGAGACACTATGAGATGCATCTTACCGTCCTTGTCGATGCGAAATAGTGAAGAGGTGGAAGAGTCAACATCTGCAGCGATGTGATCGCACATCTTCACAAGTTTATACATCCCTGTCGCACACCCTGATCAGAAACCCATATTCGTCAGCAAAAAGCCAGCCTAGAACTCTGCTGATTACGACAGATCTCCCTGTTTAACATGAAGATCAATCATGAACGCCCCTTCTCAACGGAATAAGGATAGATGTCAGAATGCAGCACGGCATGCAAGCCTCACTAAAGCAATTTTGAAGGGATTTTTTTATCACACACTCAAGGGGCGATGTTGTCTTCAAGCTCCACAAATTCCCTTCCATTAGTGGTCAGTAATCCACCAGATCAAGTACAGTTGACTGCTGAATGCCTGTAGATTCGTTCCCCCTCGACCTGCAAATGTGTTGGGTGCAAATGGAGGGTCAGGTTGATCAAGAACACCTATCCACACTCATCATGGTCGCCTGAGAGCAGTTAAACCTTTTCTAGCATTGGTGACTCGCCATGATTATAATTGATCAGGGTGGTGAATAGCAGGTTCACTGCTCATGCATGTGCAAACACCATCAAACGCTTCAGCACAAGCTAGCTAGGGAGAAAGCTTCACCCTAAGCCTGTGCATGTAGATGCTTGCAGACTTGGTTAGACATTCCGGTCAGAAAGCCAAAAGAGACTTCACACATTACATGTCAGTGCACATGACCAACGATTCTTGGCGCTGAATGAGTGAGTCGCCGGCAGCAAATCAGCCTGAGTCTTGTCAGTCTTCCATGCGGTCGTCGCGATTGTACAATGTGCGTCGCAAGAAGAAAAATACAAGCATATCTTGTCGGTGGGCCATCACATCTGATTTGCACCATCGCCATGGGCACGAAAGAAAGTACACGAATCCGCACTCAAATAGGCTTGTCACGGACATCATCTTGGGAAGGCACTGCCGCTCAGCCTCGGCGGATCCTTGAACCTCCTTGAGCTCAAATCTCAAGACCTTCAGCCGCCGAAGGGTGACAACTGGTCTCACGGCAGCTGAGAGCGCATGATTGTCCTAGGTCTGAGTTCCAGTGGTGTCCACAGCAATTGCGCTGGGGGCCATAGCTGCGCCGACGGGGGCAGATGCCAGGTCAGTTGCAGGCGCCGGCGCTAAGGCAGGTCCCAGAGCCGCCTCAAATATGTCTGCAAAATATGCACAGCAGGAATCAGAACTGAGGCAACCGTGCTAATGTTTTGCTCTGCAAGGTATCCACTTCCTGTGCAGTATCTCATGGCGTTCAGTGGCAACGACAGAGCATCATTGTCCACAGGGAAGTTGAGCATGACAAGAAAAAAGATGGGAGCGCACTTCCGCCTGGCAGCGCATCAAAGAAGGCCTTCAGCTGAGACAGGGATGGCAGCTGGATGGGTGGAAGGTTGTTTGAGGCAGCAGCGCTTCCACCAGTTGCTTGGTAGCTGCTGTTTGGCCCGGGCAGGCTGTCATCTGCCGAGTACGCCGCTGAGACAGCAGGCACAGCTTTTCAGCAACACTATCAGTGAGATTCCGGGCTCAGGCTCCCAATCACCTTTACTATGACAAGGCTCAACTCTGACGTCGAGAGTGAGAAGACAGACCTGTGTTGAGGAGCAGGTGACGAGCCTCGATGGTGGCCAGGGCACCAAGGCAGAATAGAACCATAATACTGATTCTCGCCATTCTGCGGAGTTTGTGGGCAAAAGAGAATCAGTCTTTTGAACAGCAGATGCACACAGCGTGCAGGTCATTACGCACCAATACAGGCTTGCAACGTATCTTGTAACCTTACTGGCATTAACCTGAGAGTTTAGTGCATCTCAGTGGACAAACACTGAAGGGAGAAGGGGCGAAACTCTGCTCAAGAGGCAAAACTTCGAAAATGACAACGGAAGGAATCAGCCAGATTCACACCTGCTGGTCGTGAAAATTTCCGCTGCAGTTCTTATGGAAACAGAACAGGCTCGTGGTGTGCTTTGGCAGAGTGTAGCGATGAGGGCTATCTACTTGCTTTGAATGGCTGATGTCCGCCAATTTGAACACTTCCTGCCCTCGACGCCTCGCCTGTTTTGGCAAGTGCACCACGTGGGACATGCATGCGAAGATCCATGATGGAAGATGGTCAATAGACCGCGAGACTGCATCTCGTGGGCGCATTCCCGAAGCACATCGACTTTCAAAGGCTTGGGACAGCTCGAGAGGCAGCGATCGGCCGAATCAGGTCAGAAAGTCTCACCGAACTGCTAGCACGGGTGGATGGTGCTGCCCACAAACGACCAACTGACAGAAGCGGAAGTAGACAAGACGGTGCTGGACCTGGAAAACGAGTGGGAATCTCGCAGAGGCAAATTCTTCAATGTGCGAAGATCCTTGATCCTTCAGTCCAGCTCTCGTCCCACATTTCCTAAATTTTACATCATCTGTTTCTATCGCTGCCTTAGCCATTTGTACTGTCTGCTGGACTCAGCGGTGCTTCAAAAGGCCATCAGGCTATCTTTGGCAGATTCATCACAAGTATGTATGTGAAAACATTTGGCTAAGTTTGGATGTTTGGCGCTAGGTTGGGTACAAGGATGGACTAGAAGACGGGAAGGCAGCCACTCTGCAGCAGGGATTCGACGAAGGTCAGCACTCCTTCCGCTTGCTGATCGTGCCTCTTGTTGCGATAGATTTCCTGCTGAATGGACGATCGTGTTTCTGTGCGCTATCTTTGAGGCCTTCACTGGAATCTGCTACTCCCTGTGTTTTATATCGAGGCATTTGTTTCAAACTTGACTGAAGCACATTTCACATTAGAGGATTCAGCCACGCAAAGCATAATCGTCAGTATGGGCTTTGTCCCCATGCATGCGCGAGTACTGAAGGAAATTTGTGTCTTGTGCCTTGCAGGATACAGGGAGTCTACTGCGGCAGGTTTTGCTGCGGGTTTTACTAAGGGCAAAGAGACGACGCTGAAAGCATGCAAACAGCTGCTTGGGAAGTCTTGAGAATTTGCAGTAGCTACACCAATTGCCAAATTGAGATGGGCGAGTAGGCTTTTGGTTATGTAGGCACTTGGCACTGGTCTAAGCCTTTCCTTCGTTGTGATGTCTTGTGTGTGGATCTTCACTCTGGAATATTCCATTCAATGATGTCAACAAGCTTAAAGCTGATCGTTTCGGAACGGAAAGATTATAACTTTATCGCCTTCCTCAGCCGGCAATCATTTCGGAAGTGAAGTTGCTTGTACACGCTTGAGTCTACAGGCCAGCACTCTTGCATTTCTCATATGTAACAAAGTGCGATCTCATAATAACGGCTGCCCTGCAATCCAGACCACATTAGGGGGCGCTTCTGAGCACTCCTTTACCCTGGCTGGGGACCATCTCACAGCTCAGATCTTAGAAGTGTAGCGCCAAGGCAGTCATGCTTGCTGCAAAATGATACTTTTGTCAGCTGTCGGTGCATCGTTCTTGTGCTAGTGCCGCTCACCGGGTTTTTCACACCTAGCGATGCAGAGGGGAGGAGGCAGAAGCTTTGGAAACCGTGGAGGCGGGTTTGGCAACAGAGGGGGTGGGTTTGGAGGGAGAGGTGGAGACCGTGGGCGTGGTGGTGGTGGACGTTTCGGGGGAGGAGGCAGGGGAGGAGGACGAGGAGGCTGGCAGGTGACTTTTGCCATCTTGCCTAGCAATACTTTGATCGTCGTCGCCTAGACCCCATCGCTGACGTACTGCACATGAAAAGTGCAGTCAAAGCTACTCCAAAAACGCGTCTGCACCTCGCTTCCCTGTCATGCAGGATTATGGGCCTCCTGAAGAGGTTGTAGAGGCAGGAGTCTTTTTGCACCCATGTGAAGGCGAAGCAGTCTGCAAGCTGACAAATGAGAAGGTATGTTGCGCTGAGGTTCCCCGTGTCTACAGTAGGCGTATATGCCTGCCACGCATTTTCCTTGGGATGTGCCCCGGCTGGCGGGGTCTATTAAGCACTGAGGACCATGCCCATGGTTGATACCTTGGTGATGGTTGGATCTTGCATGTCCATCAAGGAGTAGGATGTTCGGCAGCCTTTACCTGCAGCTTGTCTGCAGGCGCACCTTGCCTTTTGCGGAAAAAGCTCAAAGTTATGATAATGGTTGCGTGTCTGTAGGTGCCATACTTCAATGCACCGATGTACCTCCAGAACAAGACACAGATTGGCAAGGTGGAGGAGATCTTTGGATGCATCAGCGACGGGGTGAGTACGCCTTAATTTCCTTCCCAACGCTGCTGCACCTGCAATTGTCGCGCTCGTTGCGCTCTTCCTTCCTTTCCGCATCACAGTGTTGCTGAATGGCAGTGCGCTTGTGCGTGCAGCATTTCACAATCAAGATGCAGGAGGGTGTGGTGGCGACTTCATACTCGTCTGGGGACAAGTTCTACATCGACCCCATGAAGCTGCTGCCAATGGACCGCTTCCTGCCCCAACCGAAGGGCGCTGGAGGCAGCCGAGGTGGCGGCAGAGGAGGTGCAGCCTGCTGCCACCACATATTCCTCACATCAACTGCATGACATGCCCGATCTCTGCATTTGATCAGCATTCTCGGCTGCAATTCCCTGTTTGTGATGAATGACTGCTGCTTGGCAGAATCTATCAAAAATGCTGTCACAGACCCTGTACCACTGTTGCCGCGGGAAGTCGACTGCGCTCAATCATGCATCCTGACTATTTTGGGGATTGCTGCCCCTTGCCCTCCCGATTAATTTTGATCCATCCCCTTTTGGAGGATCTGTGGCTCAGAGGTGCAATGGTCAACAGGGTGCCCTTCTCAAAACCAGTGCTCTATCGTTGTGGGGGTCTGGCCCCTGAGTACTGTATGTGTCTCGTGCAAAGGGGTGTCAACTGAGGCAGAAGCTCTATGTGCACAGGCAGGGGAGGCCGAGGTGGCCGCGGCGGTGGCGGCCGCTTTGGAGTGCGCGGCGGTGGCGTGCAGCGTGGCGGCCGCGGGGGCGGCTTCCGCGGAGGTGGCGGCCGCGGCGGTGGCGGTTTCAGGGGCGGCGGCGGCGGCGGCCGCGGCCGGGGCCGCTACTGAGAGATGGCGCATCTCTGCCGCGATAATGATTTCTTCATGCATGCTACAAGACTTGAGGCTCTTTGGTTCCCATGGTCCAGGGTGTATTGAGTCACGGGCTCTGGCCCTTCCCTTGCTCATTTGACGCGGGGGAGTCGTTGTGACATGCACTACTGGGGAATAGGATTTGGAAGCTGCAGCTTGGTGTTAGAGAAGTTGGCTGTAAGGGAAGCAGCTTGGCAGAAGGATTTTGATTTGTGCCAGGATTCCCAAGATGATTTGCAGGATCTGAATTATGACTTGAAGCACATCAGAGTTGGATATCAATGTGTGCATGCCCCGTGAACTCGAGGTCTTGATGATATAGGGACAGAGTATAAAGTTTAATGCGGTGAGCTGGTGCCAGAAGTTGACACTCTCAAGATGTTCTCAAGGTTTTGAGACTCTGCTGGACATGCAAAGCTGCAGTGTTAAAGCAAATATAAGAGTCAATTCTAGTTGCCGATGCTTTCAATGAAAGTATGTTGTAAGTGTAGTCAAAGATGGAACGAGCAAAATATTGCAGACTGAGCAACTGATGCCCAGAAAATGATCAAAGTTCAACAACATAGATTTCAACAATCACCATAAAATAAATGCGACAGCAGCAGGGGCCTGTTCTAACAAGTTCTTTCAATTTCAGCGGTTTCCTGTGGGGGTGTCCTGCCAGCGGCAATTGCAATACTTCCATAGTTCAAGCATTTTTTTAGTTCCCACAGAATCCTGAATTCTAGGGACGATGCAGACACTATTCCTGTGCTGAGGTACCGCCATGCAGCAGCCCTCACCCTCAAAACAGTTCTGGCTGCTTCAGGCGGCAGCTTTTTGCCTTAGCCTGTCCAGCAGCTGCTGTGCTGTCATGTAGCCCGCCCAAGGCCCCTCTGTTTCAGTATACTTGTGCCGCAGCCACCATTTGTGCGGCAGTGCAAAGCAATGCAGGTGCAGGTGCATCACACTGTTGAACGGCGGATAGTGAAACCCAAATTTCCTCTCTGCCGGGGCTGTTCTGGTCAAGAGCTCATTCCCTGCCGCAATCATGTCCTCGACTGCAGCAACACAGAATTTTCTTCAGCAGAGCATATTTGCGAGCTTTGCATTGGTGCTGCCCATGCAGATCAAGCCGGCTCAGGAAAGGGATGCGCACGAGACAGTAGCGGTCTGCACACCGAGCTTGATGTCTTCAGGATTGGGAAGCAGGCTGTAGAGACTCGGTATATGGGCCTTGCTGATGATCAATATATGCTGGGCGGCTGCAGGATGTATGTCCCTAAATGCCACGAGATTCTCGTCCTGTGAAGGCCATCAGTAACACGTTTGAGCAGACCCAGCAGGCAGCAAAAGCACGTCACCTTGATTTCCACAAAGCAGAGCAGTCCTTGCTTCAAAGTCTTCTCACTACTGGAGCAAAGATACACCCCTACCTCATAAAGGATCTCGTTTCTCTCTTCCCTCCTAGCAATTCTACAAAATATGCAGCTTTCCTGCGTGCAAGTAGCACATTAAATCCTGGGCCAACTCCTATAATACTCCTCAGGTTGCAGCACAGCAATTTCACAGCTCGCCAACCTGCTGTTCTCGAGAAGTAGAAGTCATCCTGCTGGCAAATAAACCCATAGTTCTGACTCTTGTTCGTTTAGTCGGCAACACAGCCCGACCTTGATCGGCTCCTTTCATATGCACCTTGATGTCCAGGTTGCTGCACAGCACCGTCATACACATCACCCCGACATGTGCATTCAGCGATGTGCATTGTACAGTCAAGTCTTGATCGTTGGTTAGATTGCTGGATGTTGTGCAGATGAGCGAGACATTCCAGGTATCTTCAGCGCACGTGACGCTGGCAGCACGCCCAGCATGATATGTGACGTAACCCTTGTGGTGGGATACCGTGGAATACATCAATGATTTTGTTGTCAGGTTGTAGTAAAGCACTTGATTCAATTATCGGGCCCTGCATGCCTGATCCAGGCCCCGCACGCGCCCACAGCTGCGCATATGCATCTGCGGTCGTGCGTGCGGCACTGTCACAGCTGTAGCACGGTCATCGGCACGGTGTCGGCCATGCATGGGTGCAGGTTATGGGCCCGGGCTAGCACTCATGAGATGAACGTGATCAAAATAAACTTATTTACACTTGTGCACTTCTTGGATCTTTTTGGATCTTTCTGCAGTCTCTGCACACTAGTGCACAACACCGTGTTGTGACTGCAGAGGGAGTCCAGAAGCCATAAGTCTCTATTATTATTACTACTATTATTACACGCTTTTCCTGCCAAAAGGCAAGGTGCGTCTGTAGCCAAGCTGCATGTAAAGGCTGCCAAATTCCTACCCCTTGTTGGACTCGCCAGATCCAAGCAACACCCAAGCAACCATGGGCACTGTGCTCAGTATTTATACCGCCCCCCGCCAGCCATAAGTCTCTATGATAGTCTATATAATCTGTGATAGTCTATATAAAGTATGCAATTTGTACGAAATCTACTGCAGACTCATTCCAAAATCACAATGGTGACAAACTGGTGCATAGTCATCCCATTTAGCTATATGCTCGCTACAGCAGGCACATGGGCATACAAACCACAAGGCACACATCATGATGATGTGCAAAGGCGAATTATTATTTGATCATTTCCCTCTGCGTACCCATGCGCGGGGCCCAGCCAATCGCGTGCAAAGCACCGATCACTCATTCGTTGGTTGAAACTACTCAGGGTGGATTTGACACGAAAGCCTTCAGAAGGCACATCCACGCCAGCAGTAGAAAACACCTGACCCGTTTCAGTAGTTGTCTCGAAACTCGGCGAAGCCGCCGCCAGATCAATTCTTCCAGGGGTACTTGCTCCAGAAGCTGCATGTGAAAAGAAATATCTCAGACTCAGCATGGTTGTCTCCTGCTATCACAGATGTGCGTTTGACAGAACATCAAGCATGCTCTCCTGCAAACTGTGTCTTGCATGTCTTCCTGAGCACAGATGTGGGCTTGCCATATTTGGCTGGCTTGCATCACTTCACCACAAATATGGACAGTCTGCGATTGCATGCAATTGCTTGAAAGTTAACTTCAAGACCTTGAGCTTTGCCGTTGCATGCATGCACTCGCAAACAGGCTGAGCATTACGATTAGTCACCCACAGCCGCACCTGTTCCAGCACTGGTTGGGGTCCTTCTTGCCGTCGTCCTTCTTGCCCTCGTCCTTCTTGCCATTTCCCTTCCAGTCGCCGCCATCGCCCTTCTTGCCGTCACCCCCCCAGTTGCCTGAGGGGCTGCTAGGAGGTGAGGAGGACTTCTGGTGCAGCCGGCGCCCCTGGGTGTTCACTACCCTGACTTGAGGCGATGGGGTCGCGGACTGCAGCACACACGGCAGGATATCAGCCAGACGTCACATGTCCCTGGGAGCAACCGTTCTGCTGTTGTGCTGATTAGGCGACAGAGGCCTTGAGCTTGCATGCGTGGTTCAAGGCACCCTCTGCTACCTCCAGGGCACAATGATTTCACGTCATAACACCTTGAAGTACAGAGTCTTGACAGCTGGGAAGAGGGTGTCAAGGCCGTAGTTGAATGACTGCAGCCGCTGTCTGACATTGTCTGCTGCACCAACACACCCAGAAAAGGTGCAGGACATGGGTGCAAGAAGTTCAATGCAGGACAACATAAATTGATGCAAGCTGAGGACTTGTATGGGATGTTAGCTGTGACAGACCTTGGTGAGGCCAGCAGGTGCTGCTGGGGTCTTGGGGGCGGGGGTGGGCTCTGCAGCGGCAGCAGGCTGCTCAGCCTGAGGTGCAGGGGTGGCTTCCGGGGTCGGGGCTGGGGTCTCCTGTGTCTTCGGCGCTGCGGGCGGTGCCTGCATTCCACAGTGGCACACTTAGTTATAGGGCATCACTTCTTTGACTAGGTCCCACACTCAGCAGTCATCTGAGTGCTTAGGTTCCACGGGAGGACAATGATCATGAGTCATGGTCAAAATGCAAGCACATCCGCAAAATGAAGCACCATTTGCACGCATGCTAGGTTGAACTGCCGAGTTGGCCATGACAAAGTTCATCTCTTCTATATTGTGGGTCTTAAGCAACTTGATTTGCACGCACCTCTGCATGGTCTGGCACAACCAAGCATGCATGCACATGCCGCAGAAGTCATGTTCAATGGGAACAGAGGGAATGCATTTGAACTGTGCATGGACAGAAGCGCACCCCGCCCCAGCCGCAGCAGATCAGGCAGTCGCGCATGCAGCCTTGCACGTCGCCAGAGGTGGTGCCAATGTTGCAGTAGCCGTGGCAGTACCAGTTTGCATTCTTGCACTGGCAGCCGTAGTCAGTCTTTTTGTCATCGTGCAGCAGGGACCTGCCCGGGTACACCTCCAAGTCTGCAACGCAACAAAGCCTCCCTCAGTGGCATGATACAGTTATCAAAGGCTTTCGGGAGTGGCAGCAGTAGCTCTTCGCGACCTAGAAAGACGCTCAGCATGGTTATGACGCCGCCACAGTGACCACGCTCTTCTGTTCTTCAGCGTAAAGACTGTCCAAGTTCGTCGGGGATGACGACAGTGAAACAAAGCATATTTGTAATGGACACGCGCAGCAGTTGGACGTTCCTTGCGCTTTTTGTTGACATGATGGGATAGATGCCGGAACACTGTTCAGAGCAGAAACCCACCTGAGGTGTCGTACGCTGAAGCAATCAAGCACCCGATTAGCAGAAATGCTGCCGAAACGATAGTTCTCCTCATCCTGTGGCACCCGAAATTTTCAGATCCGCGGTCGACGGGGCCCGTCGAACTCCGGATCAACCAACGGCTGAAAAGGATCCAGTGGCAAAACTCAGGCCGCTGTGTGTACATCTCCCTCCAAATGATTGAAAACCTAGATCTTAATGTATGTGCGAAGCAATGCATCAAATTGGCAAAGGCACGGTCTCCGTGAGGACGCAGATGTGGTGACTCAACAGACATGGCTCCGTGTGTTCGACCTATTAAGCGGCTGCAATTGCAGTTTTCACCTAGTACCAGTGAATGCAGACTTTGAATATCCTCAACAAACTGTTCAGTGCAGAAGTGGGCACACCTGGTTCTATCCCGGATTTCCACTCCCAACTAGTCGAACGTTGATGGTTGCCCGTGTGTGCGGGCGTCCAAGGCTCGCTGGTCCTTGATTGAGTCGATGTATACCGAATGAGACGAAATTTGATTCTTGAGTTTCCTGAGGCGTGGTTGCGTCCTTTGGTCAATGTGCCGTTGAGCGTCTTCAAATCGGTCACCCAGAAGCCCCACGTGATCTCGCCTTCCTCACCCAATGAAGCATCAGTCCTGGGTTTCAGGCGTCATTTTCTTGAACGTCTGAATGTTCCAATTGTGTGGTCGGCGAAGTATCGTTTGCTTTAAGAAATCTTTGGTCTCAACGGGCAGTGGTCAGAGCCAGAGAAAAATGCTCTACAAGAACACATGTTTTTCCAGGACGTTTTCAAAACTATGATGAATCCTTTATATTTGATCAGAAATCTTGGAAAGTCCTACATCTGGCAGAATTGACATACACGATCGTTTACAGAGAGTCATAAGTGTCCAAAATGCTCTGTAGCTGCTTGGGACAGCTGCCTCTCCCGTCACAAATCAATGACGTTCAGCGAAATCAGGCAGCTGCAGAGCCATGGGTCGGTCGGAGGCACCTGTTGCACCTTCTGAGCATGCCAGCTCTGCTGACCACGCAAGCACAAGCAGCACAGGTGCAGCCAGGAGAGTCCAAGGAGCGCTCAGCAAGCACGAATTCCTTGCAGCGAGCATATGATCGATATGCTGGTGAGAACAACACCGCAGACTTACTAATGACTGGGATGGTCCGACCTTTTAGGCACCAAATTGCCGCTTTCTCAGTAGAGCGTGTGGTGGTTGATTAGCGGTCAGGATTTTGTGACGGTCTCGCTCATCTGCAGATTGTGTAAGTTCAAACAAAGCTGCAGCTGAGGTGTGGTGTGTAATGCAGCGCAGCTTCCTATGATGCCTTAGACAGCGGTGCAGCGGCTGAAGCACTGGGGTTTCCTGAGCTGCGGCGCGAGCTAATTGAACAGGCGCATGGCAGCGTGCTGGAACTGGCAGTGGGCACCGGCCTCAATCTGCCGGTGTACAATCCAAGCCATGTCAAAGCGCTCACAGCCCTGGACCTCTCTGCCGGCATGCTCCAACAGGTGCCAGTCTCACTGAGATGGACCCCACACAAGAGTGCTGTGAGTAGCTGGTATGTTAGCTCAGTGCAGCATGTGAGTTGAGTGTGCTTGTGATGATGGAGCTAGTGATGATCCGGTGTGTTTTGAATGCAGGCGCGTAAACGTGTGAAGGGTCTGGGCGATCCTTTGCCTGTCACTTTTGTCCAAGGTGTGAGCCGAGCGCTGATGGGGTGATCTGTTTGAAGGAAAGGATGGTGTACAATTGAGAGCTGCTCTGTCAGGACAAAAGACAGAGACAAAATATTCTGTGCTGCATGAGCACATTAGCAACCTAAGCTCAACAGGCATAGAGAATTTTGTATGCATTGATCTTGCAGGGGATGTTGCCGCGCTGCCATTTGAGTCCGCGACTTTTGACTGCGTGATTGACACCTTCAGCCTCTGTGTGTTCCCGGATGCGGCTGCCGCCTTGAGAGAAGCTGCACGTGTGGTGAAACCTGGGGGCCAATTGCTGCTACTGGAGCATCAGCGCAGCCCCATTGCCCCTTTGGCTTGGTACCAGGTCTGCCACTGATCCACATGGCTCTGCTGCTTCAATTGCACAGCCTTACATTGATTTTGGTAGAGTATACCATGCTCCTACCAAAATGCGCAAGTCCATACTTAGTGGAAAACTCGAATTACAGAACGCCGCCCTTCTGTTCCTTGTCTTGAAACAACAGAAAGGATAACAAAGGCACCACCATTGTTTTGCCTGTCACAATGACTTACAAACTTCCGAAGCTATGCACGAGTGTCTGTCCCTCAAATGAGCAGATGCGCTGTATATTTGCATTGAGGACGTGGTGCATGCGCAGGATGTGACGGCAGATGCAGTGGCTGCCATGGGGAAGGGGTGCTTCTGGAACCAAGATGTGGCAGGCCTCTTGTCGGCTGCTGGCTTGCGCATAGTCACAAAGAAGGAGAGCCTCGGTGGTTTGATAACTTTTGTGAAGGCAGAGCGATCACTTTAAGTATGGGGCAAGTCAAGAAGAGTGGACTTTCAGTTAGTACTATACGATTGTGAGGAATCTCAAGATCGAAAAAGGCTCGAGCACAAGACAAAGCAAACATGCATGCGGGCACGAGCCTATCTTGGCTGGCACAATGCTGGCACGAGACAAGCACGAGAAGTCGTCTTTTTTGTTGATAGATTTGAATATTTTCACCCAATCCCGTAAATGACTCCTGTTTCCTGACGTGCAACGAGTCGAGCCCAGCATCTTGAAGTGGTCGTAGGGTGTTGGAAGTACCTCGTGCACGACGGTTCAGTCGAGGATGTTGGACCAAATTTATCTTGCAGTACTTAACGCTCTCTGGTAAGCATCGTGAATCAGCTTGCTGAATGATTCAAGATTCCGACCGAAAATTCTGTCGTGCTACAAGACCTCTTAACTCTGCATATGTATCATCTTGACATATGCATATTTTGTTAACACCGTGCTACACGCGTCTTAAGAATGCAAGGTCATCCAAGAACCGATTACTATTCTTGTTTATGCAGAAGCAAGACAACACCGTCCATGGCAGACCCGTCTGCCACTGCAGCTTTGGATGCTTACTTGGCAAGGCAAATTTCTTCCAAGTCAGCTTCTTCCAGTCAAGCTGGACAAAGAGCGAGCTCGACGAGAGCAAAGAGAACAGGATATGAGAATGCCACGGAATTGGGACGGAGAGGAAGCTCAGGGCTCAGAGCGGATACCAGCAGACGTCCCTTGCAGGACAGAAGCCAACTTCCCCGCAAGAACAGCTCCTTGGGACAAGTATCAGACAGCCAGGGACAGCCAGCTGATCTGCCAGATCGTGCAAGACAGAAGGACGCACATTCACAGTTTGGGAGAATCAAAGCAGTCTGGCCCCCTTCGCCGCTGGATGAAGTAGATGAAACTCCTCTGCTTGAGAAGCTTCACCCTGCCACTTCACGGAGTCTTGGGGTGGCAAGCGGGCCCAAGAAGGCGAGCCTCCAGGCGCTGCAGAAGCTGAAACGAGTGCCAAGCAGCAAGGGGGTCGCCCAGCAGTCAACAGGCTACCAGCACAGTCCAGCCAACAGAAGTATCCCAATGTGGCTGGCTGTGCAGCAACCTACTGCTGCGATTCTTGACCCCAGAGAGCCGACTCGTCATGCGGCACACGAGCCCCAGCAGGACACAGCAGAGTCCAGAAGCACTCCGCCAGCTGCTGTTTCTGAGGCGCGCTCCAACACCGCCCAAGCGGCTAGCTCAGCGCAGGATGCAAGAGCCGGCGCCCAGCACACTGGAACAGTGCCTGAGCCTCCTCGAGCATCTGAGCCGCAGGCAGCGCCTCAAGCCTGGAGGAGGGCTCGCTGGGATGCCAGCGCCGATGCAGAGGACACCCGAGCGCTTGACTCGCTCATACCGCGGCAGCGCGTGCCACCGAGCCGGCAGTCAGACGTACCCCCGGCCGGCCCTGGCACGGCCGGCCGCGGCGGGCCCGGCCACCTTGCAGCGCACATGAGAGGGCACATGCCGCATGCCAGCCATGCTGCAGCGGCGTCAGTGCCTCAGGCGAGCAGTGCGCAAATTCCTGCGGCCGCGGCGAGTGCCGGAACCGGCCGGGGCGTCGAAAGGAAAGATGGCGCGGTGCCGGACGCTGCCGATGGGGCCAGCGTGTTGGCGGAGGTTTTGGCGGAGCTGCGCGCGCAGGAGGACAGCCAGGGCACAGGGAGGTCCCCCGGAAGCGGCGGGAAGCCGGTTGCGGACGGTGCAGGCAGCACAAGCCAAGGTGCACTGTGACTTGATACCTGATGTCAAATTGACATGCTAGCGCTGACCCGAAGCCAATGGGCACGTCACCGCAATATGCTGGATGAAAACGATGCCAGGCAATACTGATGCTCGTCAGTGCATGTGATGCTTTTGTAAACCATTGTGGGCACGCTAGGAGCTATGGTGCCAAAGTTGTGCTTTCTGGCGCTAGTATAGACTGTCAAGATATCATGCTCTGCAGGCGGCAGCGGGGGAGCAGACCTGACAAAGGCGGCGCTGGAGGAGGCCAGTTCGCTGGAGGCGGTGGTGAGCTGGTACCGCGATGTGCAGCGGCAGCAGATCGACCAGGGCCTGGCCGGGGACCCTGTCATGTTCCCCCTGGCCCAAGGGGCCACGAAAGAACTGCCAGGGGGAAAGAACCGCCCGCAGTATATCCCCCCTGGAGGCAGCGCAGTTACTGAGAGCGCCGTGTCTGGTCTCAGTGAGAAACTGGACAGCGCTGACAACACATGCCGCAGGGCGAATAGTACGTCCTTACAGGCTGATGGTGGCAAGGTGCAGGTGAGTTAGTCCATGCTCCCCTGGATGCGGGTGCTTTATGCCGCCTGTGCTGACTTTGCAGGATGCCTGTACAGTATGTGTACTAAGTAATGTCATGATGACTTCTGTCGCTGTCACATCGTGGTGTCCCAGGGTGGTTTTTGAGAAGAGGACCTGTGTGTGTGGAGGAATCCATGAGGTTCTAATCAATTTGCTGAAGTAGTCTGGTGACAGAGAGGTTGACCAGTGCCCTGGCTGGCCTGCAGGCGGAGCCACTGCTTCAGTTGCCAGAGATGCCACCCTCCATCCGGCTGAAGAAAAGCCTTGTGGGAGACCCGCCACCTGAGAGACTGGTGGGTTTTTATTTTGCAGACACTTTGTACTTCCTTACCCCTTGCACCAGAAATGTGCTCTCAATAGTCCATGTGCTCTCAGAACTTTGCTCTTGTGCATCATTTACAGCGAAGAAGACATCGTTGCCAAAGTGCTGATAGTAGCAAGGCTCATTTCCACATGACCATGGCACGCAGGGATCTGAAGATGGACACAGGCAGGGTGAAGCCCAGGGTAAGCCAGATGAGGCCAGCATTTCCGCTGACATCATGCCTCGCCTTAGAGTTGACAGTTGGCATGTGCAACTCCCTGCAGAGGTAGGCGCAGAATGCTTTCGTGCACTTTCCCCCTTGTTCCAAATCTTACACAGAGGGTACAAGAAACCCCAAGCCTTTGGTGTACACAAAATGCCAGCAAGCTGCATACCATCCGCAAGCTGAATGAGCATGTCTTCTCTGTCCTCAGGAGGACAGCACTGCCCCTCCTGTGGAAGCAAGCAGTCAAGCTGAGGAGCGAAAGCCGGCCGAGGTGCAGCCAAGGAGGGAAAGTGGCGACCGCAAAGGCTCAAGACCATCAAGATCACCGAAGGAGCCAGCAGGAAGCTCCCAGCTGCTCAGGTGAGCCTAGCCACACATTGCAGCACCATCTGAACGGTGCATTGTCTTCAGGCACAAATCAACATCTTGACCTTTTCAGGCATGATGTTCCCTCCAAAACACAGCGTAGATTTGTTTCGTACCTACCGAATTGCCTTCTCACCCTCCGGCTGATTTGTGATGCAGGGACTTGGCTCAGCTGAGAGACAAGTGGAGTACGTTCTGTGAAGGAGGCTCCTCTCAGCCGCCGCCGCCGCCCGCGCCGCCTCAGCCGCTTCCTGCCTCTCAGCCACAGCCCGAGTGGCATGCGGCCTCGGCCTCGGCAGCCGGCAGCGCTCAGTCCGACGCAGCCTGGGAAGAGAACAGCGACTGGCTCATAGCGGCCTGCATGGAAGCCGAGAGGGCTGAACCATGCTCTGCAGCGGATCAGCCTTGTGACTTCTCAGCAGCCTGCAATGTAGCGGAAAGCTTGGGATCCCTGCCTGGCTGGGACCAAGCCAGAGGCAGGGCAAGTGTCAGTGGCGAATTCTTCAGTCACAGAGGGGAGCCAAGCGGCCTGCATGCCTTCCATGCTGGCAGCGGTGCCAGCTTCAGCAGAGGAGGGCAGGGGAGTGAACAGAATCTGTGCGGAGCTGGCAGTGCAAGAATGGGAGACTGGGAGAATGCATCGTGCATGCTGGATGACCTGAGCGACGCAGATTACCTCTCGCCCTTCCGGCTGTCACAGGACTGCCAGCATGTGCCAGAGGCTGGCACTGACATGTCACAGGCAGGGGACCTGTTCAATGCGCTGGATGCAGAGCTCAACTGGGAAGAGGTCATTGAGGAGTTCATGCAAGACTCAGCCATGCCGGATGAGATGAGCATAATTGAGCAGTTCATGGAGGCAGCAGAGGCTGAGATTGCCGAACGTCCTGACAAAAGGGACATGTACCAGCATTACATGCAGCGAGGCCAGGAGGCGCGAAGAAGTGCAATCTCTGCAGGTCCAGCTCAAGTCTATTAGCCATCAGCACGCACTCGGATCTTGTAACATTACTTGTGAAGTTCTAGAATTGCCTTGGTATATAAATTGTCCGCGCATTATTACTGTATACCTGCTGCGCGCTCGCTAGCAAATGCAATAAAATAAAGAGGTGCGCGAAAGATTTGCTCAGCAAATGATGAGCCATCAATGCAAACTCGAACAATGCAAAGCGATCTATGTAAAACGCAAACGTGATTGAGTTCTAGCTAGCAGCGCTGGGAAGCAGGACACCAATCCTGCTTTCCAGCTAGAATCATAAAGCGGGGCCCTGGCCGTTAATATATGGAAATTGGTGGGCTCTTTCACCTGCTTGCAAGCCATGCATGGCATCGCAGCTGTATACGTATTCTGTCAGCTATGCTACGACTGTGAAACCAGGCCAACGTGTCTGGGTTGTGTCTAGCCTGTCACGCCTCTCTGCTCTGAATGCAGGGGACTTCAAATCCACGCTCAATGCTGATTTGCAGTCCTCTGCTGAATCATGCGCCATCTGGCACACTCCCCTTGTTGTAAGTCACGCGGTACACTGCACCGGCAAGGTCGTCTGAGATGAGCAGCGAGCCATCCAGCAGTGGCTGCACATCCACTGGCCTCCCTGCAGCATACACCAACAGTATAGAACTCCTCAGCCATGTATGATAAAAACAGATGATGCCCCGGCCAAGTTCTTTCTGGCCAGCTCAACTGCGCTGAACTTCACAACAAGGCAGTAATGGCAGTGAGCCTTTGCAGGATCAAGCGCTTTGTTGTTATAATTTACGCTTTTCCGGCCAGAGGCAAGGTGCGTCTGCAGACAAGCTGCATGTAAAGGCTGCCAATATTCCTATCCCAAAACGGACTCGCCAGATCCAAGCAAGGCCCAATCAACAGTGGGCACGGTGCTCAGTAATTGTACCGCCCCGGCCAGCCAGGGCAATTAGAATATGCTGGCATGAACTCCTCAGCCATGTATGGTTGGGGAGTTCAAGAAATGTGATGCCCTGGTCAGCTATTTACTGGCTAGCTCCTGTGCGCTCAACATCAAGAGGAATAGCCATTGCACTCAAGAGTGCTGGGCTGAGGCTGGAGAAGTGAAAGACACTTGCATCCCTGCCAAACCTTTTCTTTTGCATGCTTAGGCACCAGGTATCTCAAGTTTGCCAATCTCTCCAAATTTGTGGTGTGTGCAGCAAGCAAGATCCTGTGAGGGGGCCAAAGCACGCACCCCAGGGCACGCCATTAATCAGCCAGCCGCTGGCGAAGTTGATGTGGGAGAGCGAAGTGCCGGCGCCGTTAGTCACGCGCACAGCCGCGACCCGGTAGCCCGGCCGCTGCGGGTTACTGCCGCTGCCGTGCTCCGCCACAAAAGCTGTGAAGTTGACGTAGCGCTTTGGAAACTGCGCGCTCGCGTTGTACCCCTGCTGCGCCCCTGCGAACACACCCCAGCATTTCTCATGATATCCTTCTGATTTTTTTCATAATCTTCTCAGCTTTTCTCGACTCCATATTCCCTTCAGCATGCTTTTGCCGGCATGTCTCACATCCTCTCGCAGCATACATGTTTTCTTCTGAGATGCAAAGCACGCTGAAAAAAGGCGGCAAGCAGTGCCGGATTTCTGATCTGCGATTAGAATGTATCACTTAAGCTGGAAGTGGGAGTCACATTTGTAAAGGTGCGTGCATGCATGTGGGGCGCTGGCAGCACATAAAATTGGCATGGTTTGACAGCAGCTGTTTCACAAACGATTGAACCTCACCTGTGTAGAAGCGTGCACCGGTGGCCCCGACCTGTGGACCGAGCGCCTGTGACGGTTTTGTGATGCTGCCTGCACCACAAAAGGAACACACCTCTAATTCTAAAGCAACGCCAATTCATTCTCTTACTTTGTCAGAAGTACCAGCAGCCAACGCCTCTCACTACACCTGCTTTTGAGCACAAGCATCTTGCAGGCTAGTTGGATGTGTGACTATAAGGTGATGAGGCATGGGGTAATGGAGTTCAAATTTAGACAAACATATTTAAAAAGCCCTACCTTGACAGTAGGCATTGCGCGCAGCGGGGGTGGCGGCAGGGTTGTTGAGGATTGATGTCACTGTCAGGTTGGAGTCTGCAGAGGCATTCCCCGGGCCAATGCTTCTCACAATCGGGCTGCCTCTCCCCGTCCTGCCCAATATCCATTTTAAATTAAAATTACGAATAACGAATGATGCTCCCACATGAAGATTGCGGTGGTGCATTCAGAAGGGCTTGTCCAGGATCCCATTTTTGAGATTGCTATCACACTAAATTCAAATTATTGTTGTCAGTATTGTTTCACGCTTTTCATGGAGAGGCAAGGTGCAGCTGCAGACAAGGCTGCCACATATTCCAAAACAAATTTATGGTTTGAATTGCCCAACTCTTTGACTTCAACGGCCATGAGTGCATTTTGTGGCTATGGACTTACCATTGACAGAGAGGGGTTCCCAAGTCAACCAGATTGTACACAAATTGGTAGTACAGCAGATCATCAAAGCTCCTGTACTGCGGCTCATCCGGCATCTGGGTGGTGAAGGCTATGAATGGAGGCTCGCTGCTCGGGTCAAAGGTGAATCCTCCTGTCCTCCTGATCCCTGCACACGAGTTCAACAGCTGTTATGCATCAAAAAACTGCTTTTGCATGCAGCAATGCCCAGAACAAACTGCCAAGTAGCCCTTCGCCATATGCAGCTGAGGCCATTTTGAACAGGTGCAGAGGCGAGACCTGCACTTTCAGTGAAAAACACTGTGCAAGAAAATGCTGCAGCAGGATGCCCCGCCTAGAAGGCACCTGCTTACTGCAGGCCAGTGGGTTGGGGAAGCATGCAAAAAGATCAGTGGTTAGAGTTAAAGCTACCTGTGATCTTGCTCCGGAAGTCGGTGCCATTGGGGAACAGGTATGCAATGGAGCAGTATGTCACTGTGTCATCTCCAGGCTTGACCTGCCCGCCACAGGTGCATGCTGAGCCGCTGCAGGCTGCACCAATGCTGATGTACAGGCGCCCATCTGGACCCATGCCTATCACCTTTGGGCCCCCATCCAAAGGAGCTATAGAACTCAGCAGCACCGTGGGCGCTGGGAAAGGCTGCAAGCCACACAGACCTTCAAAAACAGGCAACCTGAAAAGAAAGCTGATCTTTTTGAAGTGGAAAGGGAGTCACGATCTCTGCAGATTGTCTCACAGGCTCTGTGGCAGGAAGAGGAAGGTGTCACTGGCAGAGGAATCCAGCTCAGGTGTGTTGCACACCTTGCTGGACAGGACACAGTCGTCTGCGCCATCATAGCGTAACAGGCGGTTGGGTTCTGCAACGAACAGAGATCCGTTGTGCCAGGCCACGCTGCTGGGCTGTGCAAGATTGCCCAGGATGCGGACAGTTTCTGGCTGGCCGGTTCCTTTCGAATCAAGCAGCGCGTACACCTGCACAGTGGTTGGACATGTTTGCCGATCAACACGGCATTCCATATAAGAACAGGTGTGGCCATGTGCATGCTTGAAATGTGGCAGATCAGACGCTGATGGTGTTCTTGATCTAGTCGGAATGGCCGACCTTACAACCAGATATGCGATCATTTCTTACTTGCGATGTGAATTTCTATGTTAGAGTCTGAAGAAACATTTCCATTTAGATTATTGCAAAACTTAGTCAACATACCTCACTCGCATTGGAGCCTACATATGCCAAGCTTGACGGCGGTCTCTGCGCCCGACTCACTGTCAAGTACTGCGCTCCTGGGATCTTATCGCTGTACAAATCTAAGTTGAATCCTTCGGGAACTTTGATGAACCTATAAGGGACGTCTTTGCAATATATAGCCCTGAGGACCACTGACAAAGTGCAGAACCAGGCTACGGTTTTCAGAGCTGATCGAGTACAGGGCATTGTCTGCCCCTCCGCATCTTTATTTGGATCCACTTCCTGGAGCAGTTACACAGATTCGAGGTGCCTCACACCAAGAACCGATGCACTTTACCGCAGAAACTGTTAGTAAGTTTGAAGTTCGTCACCACAAGAACATCGACCCCGTTGGTTTACAGGCCTTTTGGGTAATTGCAGCCTGGCCTCATTCTGACCTGAAGATTTGGGCCCTTTGTAGAGGGGAAGTCAGCAGGATAGCAACTTGACAATCCTGTGCAAGGGAAGTAGCCTTTTGGCTAAGGGGGCCCCTTGCATGAGCATGCATGCATGCTATCAAATCTCGCTGCGAATTTGGGCAGAATCAGCGGTGGTTGCTACAGTATCGACTTGTCATTAAAGACCTATATCCATGGGGTTTGGCCCAGGTAAATCACCAGGCTGGCCAGGCAGTCACAGGGCGTCTTCATGTCAGGACTGACTTCTAGCTAACATAGTCGAGCGCTTGACTCCAATGTTGAATCTCTTCACCACTCGCCAGTATTCATACTAGTGCCCAAACTAGTGATTCGATGGGAAACACATCTGCTGCGAGTTCCACGTCCTGGTCACCCCGCCAGCCATTGGTGACGGAGCAGTTGTGCTGCTGTGGGCCGCTCCTCTGGGTTGAGATGAAGTGCCTGCAAGGGCCACTAGAACAGCTGTTCAGTTTGTAGAAAGACAAGGAGTCGCTCTCAAATACCTCCTTTGACAAACTCTCCACTTTTCTAGCGTTCTGCACGTCTCAATCCTGACTTTCAAGCAGTGCGCAGCAAAGCATAAATATGGCAATTATGCTGGAGAGCGGCAAAGCCTCCTGCCACCTGCACAACCCTGAGATTACCCTGGCGACTCATCACTAGTTCTTATCAGGAGGAGGCTTGCCTTTCTGACAAAGTCATGCGCGTTGGCAGAGAGGTGGCTAGGCAGCCACAGGTCTCCCTGCATGATCTTGTCATAGGTCTCCTCTTTGGTGTCAGCCTCAAAGGGCGACCCTCCCACCAGCAGCTCATAGCACAGAATGCCCGTGGCCCAAATATCTGCAGGAAATCCATATGACGGCACCAAATTTGGCACTGCTCCGCCGCCCTTTGCTGCATGGCCGCTGTTTGCCAGACACACTCCCGCCATCTGGCACAATATCGCATTACACACTGTGTAAATCTGCAAAAAATGCATGCTAGCAGAAAGCATGGAAGCCTTGCTTGGTCTGCGCATGTGTGAAGGCAGTTGGATTTTGCTGAGTGAACACTGCACAAGGACAGCAAGTGCTTTTTGGGCAAGTCTGAATGCATTGGGGTGCTGCCTGGTATGGTAATTTGTCATCCAGCCAAGAATAAATGTACTCACTAGAGCCCAAGGCCAGTCGGACCCCTAGGTGGGTCAAAGTTCATATTTTTGGAAGATGATGCTGTTTTCTTTCCCATGACAGCGCTCACCTCTGGAGGCATGTAGTCTAGAGTTCCCACGCACGATTTGGGCGTTTCATGGCGAAGGTCCAGTGCCAAGCCAAAGTCGGCCAGCTTGATTTCACTGGCGCTGGTCATCAGAATGTTCTCTGGTTTTATGTCCCGGTGCAAAATGCCCTGCAAACATGCATTTATATTTGCTTTGCCATTCATTCAATGAATAGCAGAAGCACTAATGTACTCAAGCACTTAAACACCAGACAGAGACATGCAGCTTGTATAGAGCAATCTGACAAATGCCTGGTCACTTGATGAAGCTGAGTCACCATGGGGGAGTTTCGGCCTCCTTTGTTACTCTGCCTTTCTTAGGTTTCATGAGGGAGCAGGTCTCACCTGGCTGTGCATGTAAGCCAGCGCTGAGACAAAAGGGCGCATGATGGATGTTGCCACTCGCTGTTCAGGCAGGAAGCCGCCGGCCCGGCCCAGCTCAGCAAATAAGTCACCCCCCTCAGCAATTTCCTGGAGTCAGGCACTACAGCAATATTCATAGCTGGCATTTTTAGTCCGCCCAGTATCTTGTGATGCCGACAATGTGCGTCCAGATGATATGCCTGCCCAAGTTAAAATCGGAAAGCAGAAACCAGATGCTGGGGAGCCCAAGTCAAGAGCGTGTTCACAAAATTTTGAACATTAGAGGTTCAGATATGTTTCGAAGCCATTAGTGTAAACGTGCGGACCATCTCCAGTCAACTTGAGAAGCTCTGCACTTCCAGAGAACAATTATTTGTTGTTGAAATGGCTGCCTGAAGGAGTTAACCTGCACAAGGTAGACTCCCTCATCATCCTGGAAGGCTGCGAAGAGGCCAATGATGTTGCTGTGCTGCAGGCTCATCTGCAGCCTGATCTCTCTTGCCACCTGCCCACATGATCACTCAGCTGTCCCATCAAAAAACTCCAGTGCAATTCTCCCAAATTCTTCAGCAATCACCAGTGCGCCTTGTCGGAGAAGTTTGCTAGGAGAGAGTTTCGTCTGGCATGTTAGCTGGCGACTTACCTGTCGCTCGTTCAGTGGAGACATGCGATCCTTGTGGTACATCTTGATGGCGACTCGCATGTTTGATATGCTGCATGTGCACAGGGCCACGGTGGTGAGATGCCCGCCACCAAGAACATCCACCATCTCGAAGTCTTCCATGCTCCTGGACGGGCAGAGATCAAACGAGCACAAATGCAGGCTTGTCTTTGCCATTTGGCATCCCGATTCATCTTGAGGCCAGTTTAGAATTTAAAATTACGGTAGAAGCTCTCAAAGAGTGCTCGCACCAGTTGCTGCCTCTTCGCAGAGCGTTCGGACAGGCTGTCGTCTCGCAGGATAATATGCTCTCCATGACGCTACAATCCAACCTCAAAACTCAGTTACTATCAATTTGAACTTCACTATGCTTTGTATGCTGCAAATCTGCCGCTGGAACGGAGGTCCAAGGTTTGCATTGCTTTCGGAAAGGAGCAATGTTTATTCCGTCGCAGCATCAAGAGCTGCTTTGTGTATGAGAACCTGCTTACGATCCTCAATGTCACTTTGCATGCAAATTCACAAGTTTCTCGAGGATACAGACAGCGAAAGAAGAAACACGGTGAGGCTTGATAGGGTGTGACGTCACTGTGCAACCCTACATTTGTGATTATGAATATGCTTCCATTTTCGGTTGTTATTTCGGTTGAATTTTTTAGGGATCATGTTGGCACCGAGATGTCCCCTATGTGAAGCCATGGATCAACCTCATTGTTGCACAGATTCTGTGTTCAAGATGTAGGTCAAGTTGCCTTCAAGATGACAAGATGATTATTTATCTGTACTAAAGCAGTATCAATCATGCTGCCTAGAGCGTTGAGAAGCGCGAAATCTATCTTCAGCGCTGTGAGGCCACCAGCCGGTGTCCATGATGTTCTGTCGCTTCCTGGCATCCAACACGTGCCCATGGAAGCAGTGCAACGGCAAGCCCTGCCGTGCCTGCTGCCTCGAATGATGTCCACTAGCATCAGCGATGAGCATCAGCCCAGCAAGAAGTCGCTGTACGTGCTCAACGTGGAGGGCAAGCGCACGCTGGGTCCACTCCTCATTGGGCTCATGGACTATTTTGAGCGCTGGCTTCCAAACGTCGGCTTCTTCCAGGTGTCGCTATAATAACGCTCCTTCTGCATTAAAATCTCAAATAATCGATCTTTCACAGGCGGTAGTGCCCTTGAGTGGTGGCCATGTGCGCTGAGCTCCACACAGGAGAGACATTCTTGAGTGTCGTGGAGCTCGCATGACAGAAACTACATCGCTCCTATTCAAAAGATGACCCAGCCAGGCCTTTCTTTGCATATCTGCCTTTCCTAACAGGTCAGGTCAAGCTGGCACCTTAGGGTCCAGTGAAACACAAAAATTGGCGTCATTGGCATGTTGAGCTGTCTGTGGCATGCATGCAGCCAATAGGAGGCGAGCCCTTCCCAGACTCGGACTCTGATGAGCCACGGCATGTGGAGCTGATAAGAAAGGCATTTGACCTGAAGGACGATCCGCGCAGCATGTATGCAGTGCACCGCCGCGAGGCCATCAGTCTGCTGGCGCATGACAAGGCAGATGAGCTGCTGGATAAGATATACAGCTCCTTCGAGGAGTACCAGTCCAGACATGACCTGGTGGTCATTGAGGGCACCCATGAAGGTGACAGATGAGTCTCAGAAATCTGAATTCAAGGCAGCAGTGACTTTTTACATACTATCTTCCTCCTCTTGCATGACGAACGGAAATGCCACAGCTCGTCTGTGCTCTAGCCATTTGTGACACTGGCAACTGCATGGTAGCTTCTGCCTGTCTGCCCAGGGGCCTTGTCAAGCACAGTCAGCTTTCCTGCGCTCGGCAGTAGGAAGGGCAAGATCAACATGCATGGGGGTGAGTGTAACACTTGCAAATGTGCGCAGACGGCCGGCTGAATGTGCCGGGAAACCGGCTGGAACTGAATGGGCGCATAGCTGCCACGCTGGCGGCCCCGGTGCTGATGGTACTGGACGCTGGCGATGACATCAGCGTGGATGACCTCATCGACAAGGCTCTGCTGTCCAAGAATGGGCTGGAAGAGCAGCGCTGCGAAGTGCTGGGCCTCATCGTCAACAAGGCAAGTCTCAGGCTGAGGAAATATGCACCATATACCCCCCAACAAGCTTCCCGCACATGCACGCATGATAATTGGTGCTGCCTTTTGGCTGAGTCAGTGAAGTGCGCAGGATGATTGCAACTTGTAACTGAGCATTAGATAGTGGCATGTAGCCATTCCCTGCAGCATATTTAAAATTTGTTGAACCACAGTTGAGCTTCTGTCCTGATCCTGCTTGCATGCAATGTGTCACAGGCACCGCAGAAAGAGCACCCCATTCTCAAGGCGCAGCTGAGCAAGAAGCTGGCGGAGCACAGCCTACCGTTAGTGGGCGTGGTGCCGCACGACCCGCTCATCTCATCTGTGCGCCTGGATGAGATCCAAGCTGCCCTCAGCGCAAAGGTCATTGCCGGCCGCAAGGGGCCGCATGATCTCACTGTTGACAAGGTGGGCGCCGCCTGAAATCCCAAACTTCTTGTCTTTGCGCCTGATGCACTGTACTGTATGCTATTGTTGACGTGCCAATGGTTTTGTGAGCAGAGCAGAAGATGCTGATGCAAAAGTGGCCAGCTGTGTGGGTCAGTAGTCTTTACAAGCAAGAGTATGGCTCCCCTTGATGTCGAACTAAGTGCATGCTAAGGGTCATATTCTAGGGGCAGTCAGCCTTGGCATCTGCAGGTTGGAAATGACATCTGGACTACTGCATGCAAGATGTACTGCCTTGCTTGCCAGCAGTGACGCGTGCCTTTTGCAGGTGTATGTGGCGACGGCGGATCTGGACACCACGCTGCGGCGGCTGACCGACCACACCAGCTCGCGGCCACTCATCGTCACTGACATAGGCGCGCCACACAAAACACAATACATTTGTTCATAGTTTAATTTCCTGAGCCTTCTTCAACCCGAGACTTTACATTCTGTTGATATCATGTGATGAGCTACAGATGCTGGGCTCATCTGGATGCCTGGGTCCAGAGGTATCAAATCAAATGACCCACCTACATGTGTATCACACTCCTCTTACCCTTAACATAAACGATAACTACAGATTTTGAAGGTTCTTGCACCTGATCAAGCGTAGTTAATGTGAAAGGGAGTGCTAAAAGCGGGGTCCATGGCACAGGCCGCAGCGACCTCATCCTGGGCCTCACCAGCGCCAACGAGTCAACCATCGGCCCCCATGTTACGGGCATCCTGTGCACCAACTCTGAGTACGGCCGCCGGGACATGAGCCCCCACGTGCATGCCATCTTGCAGGTGCCCAACACTGGGCCTCTAATCAAGATTTTTCCTAGTGTGGTGCCATCTTGTGGCGTTTGGCTCCGGAAATGAACGGCCCATGCTGCACTCTGGCGCTTGCTTCTATATCCAAAGCTACCCAATGGCCTATACTGCAAGTTTTCAGCCCAGGAGGATGCGCGCATCTTGCGATCGCGCGCTACAGTCCTGGATGATGCAGAGGGGAGCTCTGCAGTTATTGCGCTGTTCACACAATAACCTGCAGTTCTGGTTGAGATGGAAATAAAAGCAAAGGACAAGCATGACTGCTGCGCAGGCGAAGCATTCCGCGCTGAAGGATCAGGAGGACGCGGGGCTGGTGGCATTCTTCCCAGTCATGTCCAGCGACTGCAATACATGGGACGCCGTCACCGCTGTAAGCCGCATCCAGCCCAGCATCCGGCCCACCTCCAAAGCCAAGATCCAGGAAGCCAAGGTGCGGCCCAGGAGTATCTGCCTCTGGCCGAGCAGCAGAGCAGTTTATTTCTAATGGGGGGAGTGATTGAAGCAAAGTTAGATCTACAGTGGTAAGACGAGGGCATGCCATCATCGCAGAGAGTGTGATTCAGCGACGCGAGATCAAACAGTAGCATCACGGGCAGTGCATTGCATGTCATGACCATGCTGGCAATAAAGACTGTTCAGACTATCAGAGAGCTACTGCATACAGCTCTTTGAAGCTGTCAAACTGTCATGTTGTGAAAATGTACATGCTTGCCCGCGGCATCAATCCTTGAGATCGTGGAATAATGATGGGGTGCATGACTGTGTTGAGCAGGCGCTCTTCCAGAAATATGTGGAGGGCAACCTGCTTGTGGACGCACTGGAGGCAGAGCGCGAGTTTGTCATGACCCCCAAGATGTTCATGCACAACATCAACCGCATCTGCCTCTCCAACGTAAGCCCCTTTCCCATCTCGCTTCTTTCCCTTGTCATGGAATCAGGACAACTCAGAACATACATGTACACTTATTGCTAGAAGAGCACATGACATGGAAGGCTAAGGCTGTGCAGCTGCAGGAGTTTCACATCCCCTGGAAAAAACTGTGACAGACATTGGGAAGTCATTAAAATGGCAGCTGATGTGCGCGCGGCTGATGTGGCAATGCTGACATCACATTGATGACAATGCTGACATGGCGCAGCGTCAACGGGTGGTGCTGCCGGAGTCGGATGACTCGCGCGTGCTGGCGGCCGCAGAGGAGCTGACTCACCGGGGCCTCGCTGACATCATCCTCCTGGGCGAGCCCGACAAGGTCACTGCGCAGGCGCGGCGCCTCGACATCGACATCTCACAGGTGCGCGTTCAACAGCCCACCCCTGGCAGCCAAGAGAGATAGGTGCCCTAAAACATACCTTACAAGGGGATCAACAGAGGAGAAATTACAGGAAGGGTGATGTGGCGCACCATTGGGATCCTCAGAGGCTTGAACAGGATCTTGGAGATGCAAGACAATGCACCGCATTGCTGGCATGTTTTGAGCCCGTTTTCGCCCATGTGCGCACAAGGATCCTATTGGCATGTGCATCCGGCATGAGATTTAGGAACAACGGGCACAGAGTCAACGCTGTGCTCTGATGTCCTGGGCTCATCCCCACATGCAAGCGGGGCACATATGAATCTGGCAAACCCGCACAGCATGAGCATTGCTGTTTTTGACTTTGATTTCAAACACAAAGCAATGGGTGTTTGGGAAATGCGCGCAGTGCGAGATCATAGACCCGGAGAAGTCTGGGCGGCTGGAGGCGTACATTGAGAAGCTGGTGGAGGTACGCCGCAAGAAGAACGTGACGCCCGACATGGCGCGCGACTTCCTGCATGACCCCAACTACTTCGGCACGGTCAGCAGCCCCCACAAATTTTTCATTGGGCAAGATGAGTGGAACTGTCCTATGAACGCGGCCATCTTTGCTTGCGCCAGTGGCCTTCCTTATCAACTAAGGAAGGTAACGTATGCACAGTGCAACCTTGAACTTGGGGCTCTCAAGCTGCTACAGTGTTGCAGGTACGATTTTACGGACAACATCCATGCACTTTGCTACCTTCCCCTTTTGCGTATTTTCTGTGGAGAGCCATACATACTGCATCATACTGCATGGCGCACCAAGTCTGAAGGTGAAGGTTGTAATGGGTGGCGTCAGATGATGACGTTGTGTGGGGATGCGGACGGGATGGTGAGCGGTGCCAAGCACACGACGGCGGCAACGATCCGGCCGGGGCTGCAGGTTCTGCGCACCAAGGATAGCCCCCTCGTCTCCTCCGTCTTCTTCATGTGCCTCCCAGACAAGGCGCGCATAATTGTCTCTTATTCTGCTTTCTGCATTCAGGGCCATCCATGTAGAAGCAAAGCTATGGCAGAGTTGCATATGTGAGTTTTACTCGTGTTGAAGCCGGACCGCACAATTGGGTGCTGACATTGCATGTGTGGCTTCCTTTTCCTGCTGTGCGCAATGTCCTGTATGACTTGAGAAACTGCACTGCAACCTCTTCACACCGCTTTGGGCAAAACCAATGGGGACTTTCCGGAGCTGTGCCACAGCTGATGCGCAGCAATCGCGTTGCATCACCGTGAATCTGCTGCGGGGATCTTCTTATGGGATCGACCAAAGGCTGTGTGGTGGAGTTGATTCCCCATACCATTGCAGAAGGGCATGGCTATTGAACACTGACAAATGCCTGCCCTGCATGCACCTTCAAAGGAGTTCTGAGAGAAGGTCTGAGCGCAGGTGCTGATATATGGTGATTGCGCGGTGAACGTGCACCCCAGTTCCAACGAGCTGGCGCAGATCGCGGTCACTTCCGCCGACACAGCCGCCGCCTTTGGAGTGGAGCCACGAGTCGCACTTCTCTCCTACTCCACCTTTGGGTCAGGCTCCGGGCCTGAAGTGGACCGGGTGCGCCCCTTGTGCGAGTTGCTTTCTTTCTCAGGGGTCTCCATATGATAACCTTACAAGGTACCTGTAGTCCTTTGTCTGGTGCAAGAATCCGCTCCATGCAGGATAGTCTCGTTATTCCTTTCTAAGGCACCAGCAATCAGCAGCGCACAACGATCTCAAACTGCCATGTGGGATTGACCTAATGGGCACTGCAGCGGCCGGGCATTGCCCCTGATGTGATGTCAGTGTCATGTGCCTTAGCTGTGGCTGGTTTGAAGGCTGAGCTCGTACCTTGAGCTTGTGCTCTTGGGTCTTGGGTGGTTTGCAGTCCTGCTACCCTTGCCAGTGAAAGTGGCAAGCAGATGAGCCACCTCTAATTGGCTCATTTGCACCAATCAGCAACACGAACCAAGAGCTTGCAGCAGTCAGGAATGACCGAAGATGTTTGGCTGACAGGTGGCGGAGGCTGTGAGGATTGCGAAGGAGATGCGGCCGGACCTGAAGCTGGAGGGCCCCATCCAGTACGATGCAGCAGTTGACCCGGCAGTCGCGCGCCAGAAAGTCAAGGGGCACAGCGAGGTGGCCGGCAAGGCCACCGTGCTCATCTTCCCCTCCCTGGAAGCCGGCAACAACACCTACAAGGTCACTCTCGCTGCCTGAATTATGAGAATACGTGTGCCATGTTTGGTTGAGAGTGTGCGTGAGTGGGAGAGGGAGAAGGATATCCTGTCTTGTTTGGTTGCGCAATGTGCTATGCAGATAGTGCGGTCCCTTTGAAGTATTGCAACCCTGTGATCAAGGGATTGCAAAGGCATGCCAGGTGCAGTGACAGCAAATCATCTTTGTGTTACTGTGATGGAGCTGTATGCCAAAAGGCATTGACCATGCCTCCATTGGGCGGTCCTTGTTCTGCGGGGAGGATCTCCCAATAGACTACCAAGGCACCTGACCATCCTGTGGGGTGGATCGTCTGACCAAGGGATTTGGGGTGGATCAGGCGGTGCAGCAGAGCACGGGGGCCATCGCGATAGGCCCAATATTGCAGGGCCTGTCGCGGCCGGTCAACGACCTGTCCCGCGGCTGCACAGTGGTTGACATCATCAACACAGTCACCTGCACCTGCGTGCAAGCTGTCGCCATCAAGGACCGGGAAAAGTCCCCTGCGCCCGAAGCCGCGCCTGCCGCCTGATAAGCTCCGTCCTGGTCATTTGAATAGAGTGCTCACCGACAAGTGAATTCCAGCGTATTTCCCAGATTCTGTGTGGGATCTGGCCTTCTGCAACAGATGAAGTTGTCTCCAGTTCCGGGAGGTGGTTCTTTGGGTATTCAGTAAATGTTGACAATTTGTCGGGGCCGCTGTTTCATATTTTGTTTGTGTGTTGCTGCTGCAGAGGTAGCACCTGCTCATCTTGAGATCTTCTAGGAATCTGATCTATTACAGTCCCGTAGGTGTAGATCTATAGATGAAGGCTCATCCAATCCCATGTGTATTGTCCTCTTGTGGTAAGTGTATGCATGCATGCGTAGCTCCGGAGGCTCCCAGACAGTGGTAACATGTTGCTCACTGTCAGGGTAATGTCGCAAAGCAGGATATGATGCTGGTGCCGCGTAAAATTTTTATGGGCGCTGGCTGAAAAGTGGATGGTCATGCCTTGCATGCGTGTTTGTCAGACCTAGATATTGAATGGAGTGGATGGGCTCGATCCACTCCATCAAACCCAGGAGGGAATGAATGGAGTCCAACTCATAGAGCACCGCAGACCAGCGTGTAATAATTAAAGCAATTGCAATCTGTTTCAGTGCCATGTTGCACTTCAATATGATGCATCTCCTAGAGCTGCAACATGAATGGGTGATCTAGTCACTGAATGCTGTACAGCAAATCTCCATTGGTCACCAAAAAAATCATATCTCTATTCTCTGCCGGCCTTTATTCTCGTTCAAGCTCATCACAAAATTGATGGACACCGCCCCACATGTCTCTCGACATGCAAAATCTGGCCCTGCATCTCTCTCTCGCAAACCAAGCTACTGTCCCCACTGCCTATTGTGCGGCCGGCTCACCCTCTGACCTCAATTTGGCGTACTTCTCCTTTAGCTCTGCCTTGCGTTGAGCCTCACTGCAGGTGTGCACAGGTGTGTCAAGAGGAGCGTCATGAAAAGTGCGAAGGTACCAGTGAATGCAGTGACCAGCTGAAAAGGCAAATGCGGGCGGTGCTCACGCGAGTGCAAGGTCCTGGGATCTCTGAGCAGGATTGAAGAGGCCCCCCTTTGCAGGCCCCTTCTTCTTTGAAGACTTCTCCAGCTTTGCAGCTTGTGCGGACGCAGTGAAAAGCATGCCCACTGCCAGAAGTGAAGATGTGATTGTCACCCTGTCACCAAATACACCCATCATCGTTTGCACGGTTGATACTACATTATGGCAAGATCACGCATTTCACGGATGTGCTCAGGAGTACCTTCTGGTAAATTCAACTTGGGCCCCTTCTGGCCTCTCCTGCAGCACAGTCCCCATTATTTGTCAGAACTGGAAAATATAAACATCCGTCGATTGAGAAGGGAACTGCTATTGGAATTCCCAACAAACCAGTGCAGGTTGCTCTGGCAATGCCCTTTCGAAGGCTGAGTCAGCAAGTTCATGGATCCTCAATTGGGACTGCCAGTCAACGTAAAATTGACATAGCCGATAAAATTACCACCTTCGTGGCTGCCATTGCCCTGACTACGAGTCTGGACCTTGTCCTGTGACCCTTCCCAGGCCCACATGCCGGGGTGAAAGGAGCATTCACAGAATTTGCACTCGATTGCATCATGTTGGAGGACGCACAGCTTTGGAAATTGGTATAAAATGCCAGAATGTCGGATAATGCAATGGTTGAAAGCTGCAATGGCATCGTCAACCGAAGTCCCATCGGATTCCTGGTGAAACCTATGAATTATGTGACCTCGAGGGATTTCGAAAGGGATGTGAGGAGATAGAGCAGGGGAAACCTAAAAAGGCCACCGACTCTTGCCAGCACCAATTCATTTGCACTTTTCACCAAGATCATCAGCGTTGCCAAAGGATTTACTTCGGTCAAATTCTCTTGCGAGGCTGGGTCAAATTGCAGAAAATTCAGCAAGTTGTTGATTGCACCCGTAGCCAACAGGAAGCTCTGCCTGCTGTGGGAGCGCGCCTCGAGCTGATCGGGGCCGGCGGTGCGATATGGACAGCATTTCGGCCGCTCACATGAATAGCAGAAGCCCGTTGGGTCTGTCGAGCAGGCAATTGCAGCCGCTGCTGCTCCCCGCACACAGGAAGCCAGTCTCTCAGGCCTCCTGGGACCGGCTCACCAGCCGGAGATATCTGCGAGGAGACAGCCGTTGTGAGGCGCTGCACCTGCCACAGGTGCGCTACAGAAATCTCATTTTCCCTCTGTCATGCGCTTGCCGATCGCGGACGCAAACCTTTGCAGCGCAGGGTATCTGTCTGAAAACCACGCAGCGCCTTCTTCAGACCTTCCATCGAAGTTGTCCAAATTTTGTTCCTGTTTCGTGTGCATTAAGGTGTATGGACGATTCGATTTTAATATAATCTCTTATTACAGGATTGGTTGGAGAGAGTAGGGGAGGAGGACTGGTCGTTTGGTCAACAGAAACTGGTTCAGGCCAAAAGCCAATCAAAGGGGCTTTCCGCCCACCTCCTGAACGCCGCCTTCAAGGCTCTCTACCTCGGCTTGGTGAGAACCTTGCTCTGTGATATGCACGGTTCTTTCCTTCTTCAGGCCCTCGAAACTGCTGAAGCATCAAGGCGCTCCTGCTTTTCAATTTTGACTCTGTCACCAAGTTCTCAACGTTGGATGCAATGGAGCGTACAGCGAATATTCACTATGCATCGACAACAAAAAGTCGGTGTGTCAACCTCATAGGATGAAGACCTTCTCAGCTTCCTGGGACAGTGGTTGACATGTGACATGTCTGCGCAGAGGCTGACACACCTCGCCGTACAAATGGCGCACCACATCGTTGCAGACATCAGGCGAGCTCTCTGGTGGCAGGAGCGCACAGTGCGGGCTCGAGCCGAGGTAGCAGCACGGAAGCGCCAGGCAGAGCAACAGCGGCTTCAGTCTTTGCGAAGGTGCGCAGCTTCACTGCAACACTGGGACTCATTATATGGATCTGTGTACTTCATGTTTGCCTGAAGTGAGCCTTGCAGCAACCGCTGATAATTCAAATGTGCAGCCGCACAGCTTAGAAAGTGCAAGTTTTCTGACTCCGTGCCTCCATGAATTTGTAGGGATCAGGAGAACAGCATGCGGCAGGCAGTGTATGATGCGCAGTTCAGCCGCGTGATGCAGACAATGGATGACCCCAGCATCCCCCTAGAGCAGAAGTGGCCGGCCATTGCAGAACAGTGCAGCAGGAAAGAGGAGTTCAGGTGAGGCCGTACATTTTCCTCAACCTGACAAAATGCAGAGCTGTGCCAAGCTGGTTAAGGATGATTGTGCATTTGCCCTTTCATGCAATGCATGACCTGCAGATTACAAGCTTATACAAGCCTCAACAATATGTGCACTTTGTGATTTTCAGGCTCTGACGATGGTTCTCTTTGCAGGAATGGGCTGTCCCAGCTGTTCAAGCTGGCTGAGGAATCTTCCGAGGTCATGCAGTCTGCCACCAAGAACCCAGCAGCCTTCTGGAAGAGCGAGCACACAATGAGTGTCATCGCTCAGGAGGAGGCTCTCAAGCGCCAACTCTACCTGCAGATGCTGCATGGCGCTGGCATCTGAAATTTGCTGCAGTTGCTTGGCGCCCCTCGTCAAGGGTTCATACAGTCAGATCTGCGCGCAGAATTGCGCTCTGCTGCTGCTTCCGCAACTTTGATTCGCAGCTTTCGTCCTCGAATTTGATGTGAGCGCGCCAGATTAGCGTGCCTTTGTTGGGATATATATTGATGTGCTGCAGCTGGGCTGCAAAAGCCAGACATTGCTCGAGGGAGGAGCAGGGGTTGAGAGATGCCCCCTCCTTGCTGGAGCTCAAGAACACTTATTTGCGGTGTAAGCTTTGCTCTTGATTGCTTCCTTTGTGCGGGGCAAATTCAAATCTTGTGTAGCTACAGTATCTCCAAGATGGCTGACCATCAGGAGCATTGGAACAAAACGGAACCAGCATTGCTGAAAGCCTATGCTGACGCTGCAAGAGCGATCGCATGAGAGCTAAAATGAAGCGTGAGTGCTTTCTAGGTAGGTAGTGACTGAGGTAGCTGATAGCGATGTGAGAATGCTGTACTATCAGACGAGAGCTTCGATTAGGCAGATTTAGGTCTAGCTAGGTATGGAGCGCCAATTGCGTGTGATAGTGCAGAGAATGCTTTGCGAGACTGTATCAACATGATACAGTGTGATGCGCCCACAACTTGACGGAAGATGAAATCGAACTGATGCTTTTCACATGCCCCAAAGAGGAGCTGAGACTAATGTGTAATCAATTTATTGGACAATCCCAAAGTACAGTATGGGACATCATTCAATTACGTACTATAATTATTTATCTATATTTTTCAACGGCGCTGCAGCAGGGCTGTCAGCAATTTCTGTGTCATAGTTCCCAAGAAAACAAGTACAACACCCTCACAGCAATCCCATGCATGTGTGCCCAGAGTATGTCCTTGCTCTTTACTTGAACTCAATACTCATTTGCAGTACCCCACATAGGTTCCTCAGTATGATCATAGAAATGGTGAATAGTGCTGCATTCACACTTTTCACCCACCACAAGAAAACAACGCTCACAGTGCACAATATTGCAATTATTGGTGGTTCTGGGACCGTCAGCAAATAAAGACTCGTACAGGTGCAGACCGCAATCAAGGGAATGGCATTTCAAGGACGTCCTTCAACTTGGATTTCAAGCTGTTCATTTCTTCTGCCACCTGCCACTCACTCCGGTACCGCCATCCGCTGCGAAATTGCTGCACCAGCGTTGTGTTGCCCGCCAGAATGTCTCGCACTGTGCTGCACAGCTGGCACTGCATGCTTGGCTTCCTGGTGCCTTCCACCTGTCCACAAATCCCAGCAAGTGCTCATTCATGACCTGCTCGTATACCCACCTGCTGGATAAGTTACCCTCACATGCCGGGCCCCGGCTGGCGGGAGGCGATACACATATTGAACACAATGCCCACGATGACTGAGTCTTGCTTAGATCTGGCAAGTCCGTGAAGGGGTAGGATATGTGGCAGCCTTCACTTGCACCCTGACTGCAAATAAACCTTGCCTCTGGCAGTAAAGTCGTGCAATGTAAACAATGATATGCCAGAGGGCAGCAGTGGAAGAATGTCTGTAATAGAAACCTGTGCCTGGAATGCTGGGCTGAGCTCGCTCAAGGGCTTTTTGCGCCAGGCCACTTTACTCTCCCACACCGCCTTGTCTCCTGACACCCGCAGTATCTCCTTGCGGAGCGCTGCAGTCGATCCAAACTTCCTGCCGACATCAATCGCATTTCAGAGGCAAGTTTGCAAAGGTGCCAAAATTCAATTCAAGGGTGTCCTTTCAGTGGAGCTTGTGATTGAGATCACCCACCACACTGTACTCAAAATAGGAGAGCAGAGATGTGGGGGCTTGCCTGTAGTCAATAATAGCGTCTGGATCAGGTAACAAATTTGCAATGTTAGGTGCCCCAAGGTACAGGGGTACACAGCCGGCCACAAAGGCGTCATACAGTTTCTCGGTCACATAATCCATTGCAATGCTGTTCTCCTGCAGCAAAGCAGGGCGTCACTGTCACTGTCGCTTTCAGAGCTAATGCTAGTATTGGCGCTGCCATGCAAATGGTTCCAAGTCGAAAAGCTTTCCGGATCGGAGCCTGCCGTTGATGCCGCACAATGTCTGAGATGACAGCTTTGCCGATGCAGCAAGTGGATGTGAAGCTATTTGCTGGGCTTACCATGACAATGCAAACTTTGTGGCGGCGATAGATGTCAATCTTGCTCTCCTTGGTGCCGCTAGTCCCCTCAGTGTTCAGACAACTGCCGATAACACACATATCTCATGCAAAAGCAAGTCTTTTCTGGGTCCAATGTCTACAGCATTTAAAGCGCATTGTCAAGGGCAAACACAACAGCCCAAGCTTGCTGCTTGCCCAAGTGTCACATTTGTTGCCGCAGAGCTGTGAGATCAGCATGCACTCTCACTTGCTATACGATCTGATATTAAGGTCACGATACAACTGTCAGTGCAATGCAGCATTCTTTGGCATTCTTTTGGCATGCACACTCATTCGCCATGCGATCTCATGCAAAGGTCACGATACAAGTTTTGCTGCGCTGCACTATTTCGGGCATACTTTTGCATGCACTCTTACCTGCCGTACGATCTGATCTTGAGGTCACGATACTCCATCAGGCGGCGCACACGCGCATCGCGGCCGCTGACAGTCTTGCAGTTGCTCTGCACATATGCCGGCGAGTCTGAGCGCTCCTCAAACGGCGTCACAGGATCCTCAGTCCAGATCTCCACTTGATCTCCCCTCAGGTAGCTCAGCGGCAGCTGGGACTGCGAGTATAAATCACACACAAATCATCGAATCTTACTCAACCACTTGAGAGGCTTCCAGTTCTGGGCATGCTCCATTATGATCAAGTCATGAGCCGGCTCTGTAAACACGCTCAAACACTCAATTGTCTGCAATGGCTGTTTTGCCCGAGCCACGCCTGTCTTTCAAGCATCCCTGCTACGGAATGCAGGCTGCACTGGGGTGCCTCACCTAGAGCTCAACTAGGTACTGACGGCTGAAGGACTACAACTCTGCCTTGTGATGGATGTGGGGATTCAGACCTCTTGCCGGTAGCTCATTTCCAAATCAAACTGGTCCATGAAGACGGGGTCATCGAAGCAGGGGTAGTTGGTGGATGCTTCCATGGTCATCATGACTGCCAGCTGTCTGCTGCTCGACTTAACAACGCGCACTTGCCTGTAGTTCTTCGCCATACAGAGGTTCGGGCCATGATAAAAGAGCGCATCTGCATTGCATGGATCCACATCACAACTTGCATGACGTCAAGTTGATGCTAAATAATGGACTCTCGGCCCAGCAGTGGACAATGTTGCATTGCCAAGCTGAATCAGTCAGCAAATCCAGTTTGAATGGGAAGTGGATGTCAGTGCAAGCCAAAATGCGAGTCAAACTTTTGCTGATACCTGATTGGGCATGCAACGCGGGGTTCCTCTTGGGCACAACATATTCACAGCCCAAAGGTTGGCCCCGCCACTCGCAGCCAGATATGTTGCCCTTGAAGCCGCCCACAAACTGGTGGGGTGTCATGACTGAAACAAGGACTTTCTTTGGAGCCTCCTGCGCAGCAGTACAACTTGAGAACCTCAGAGGACCTAGGCAATTTTATGTCTTAGTACCTGATCTCAGATTTGACTCAACTGTCAGGACATGTTCACACACAAAAAACATCATGGTGCAACCATAATTGATCGCCCTGGAAAGCAACCTTGCTCCTGGTGCCATGGTGACCAAGCCATACCCCAGTCTTCTGGACAGACAAGCCTTTCCTGGAGAGGCCTTGAGACTCCCTTGATGCTGTGTGCCACCCAACGTTATAATCCTACACCAGCAAATTCAGCCATATGTCTGCCTTCCAGACTTTGCTGTTGCCAAGAGGATGGAATAAGCATTATTCCTGCCACAAACAACGAGAAACATACCTTTCTCGTGCCAGTCACCCTCAGAAAGGCCTCGCAAATCAGGAATGTGAGAACGGGAATAACCAGCAGAAGGATGCTCCCAGTAATCCAGTATCGGCCCTGATGTGAGCACGCAACTTTTTTGATCGTCAGGGTCGTCACGAAAACAGAGGTTAACCCCGAAGGTGACATTCCTGTCCGTAAGAGCTTCATGGCCAGATGATGTATAATAGGAGCTCTCGCCATTACTTACCGGTCTATATCCTCCCTTTCTTGCTTTCTTCGAATCAGATCCAGGAGCTTGTGCTGTCTTCGTCACGCCATCACGAGGAGGCGGTAGATTGAAGGGTCTCATCAATCATGAGACCGTGGCAGTGGCAGGTCACTGATTGCTCTGATGCAACATTGATTGGGCAGCACTGTCTTTATGACGTGCAGTAATTAAACGCATGCTTACAAGCGTTTTCCTCGATCATGGATCAAGAGATCTCCACTGGGGAGCCTCTGTCGTAGAACGGATTTGAATGACGAAATTAGTCAGCTTTGGCTGCCCTTGTTGGGCACGATGAAACACTCCTGCCCAGGAAGCACTACTGAATCAGTAGTACTGATCAAGCTCACAGCCTTAATTTACCTAGGTGTCATGTACTATGTGCCTAATCCTAATTTTTATATTTAAAAAACACACATGCGCGAGCTCGAGCAAATTCTGAATCAGCTGATATCAGCTAGCTTCGAAGCTGGCCATGGCTGGGTCTTGCTGTGCAGGGGCATACTGCAGTCAACGTCAGGCTGGTGACTAATCTCTACATTCATATCAGTACTATCAGTCACAGACATATGTTAGTACATCACAGTCACAGACGTACATGGTACACATGAGCATGAACGTGACTGCCTCAACAGATGATTCAATTGCAAAATTCAAGTATGCTAGCAGAGGCTCGTCAGAGGCCGCACAGCACTTCAACAAATGCAATCCGCGAGTAAGTAATTTCTGCTCTACACTATTTATTGATGGGTAGGGCAACATGTTCCCGTCCTATACTGATGATTAGCAGTGCGTATTCATGTACTGGCAGCTGGCAAGAGACACTCAGAGCTGTAGCTTATCGTCATCATGAATACCCAAAGAAGTTTGACAGCAGGAACTGTCGCGACTCCAGGCTCCTCGCCTCCTCGCTGCGATACTCCCAGCTGTCTCGGAATTGGTCAGCCAGGGATGTGTTGCCTGCACGGTGGTCTGCCAACATGCCGCACAGCTGACACTGCACGCTCGGCTGTGCCAGTGCCAGTACCTACGCATGACAAACCCCTTCAACACCCCCTTAAGAAACACCCTCGAGGTAGCCCTTTCTCCTACATCCGCGCTCGCGCTGCCTTGCATGTCTTTCTTTATATGTTGGATTCAAAAGTATCTTCGACCTGAGCATGACACTCAAAAAGGGTGCCACCAGGGCTGCCTTGGGGATTATGATATCTGCAATCTATAGCTCAAAGGATAGAATGCATGTTGCACGCATGATGGGGAATTGTCAGCCTGCTGCCAGGTGGGCATGGGCAGGAAAAGTGCTCACAGACTTCACTTCCAGACTGGAGAACACGTCTATATTCTGCCCAACGCGGGGAGGTGCTCCCCAGAATGTGGGGCGCCACGAAATTGCCTGCCCAAATCGAATAACAGAGATACAGAGACGAGGGAGTTGACACCACAGCAAAGTGACATGCAGATGAAGAGTCACAATAGATCTGAGAGAATAACTTGTACATCTGGACCATGTTTAATTTGAGGGTGATCAAGTACCTGGGCCTGGAATGCTGGGCTGAGCTGTCCCAGCCGCTGCTTGCGCCAGGCCACCTTGCTCTCCCACACCGCCTTGTCCCCTGACACCCTCAGAATCTCTTTTCGCAGCGCCGCAGTCGACCCAAATGCCCTGTGATCCACCCCATGATGGTGTATCAGAGTATTGCCAGTATCAACGCCCTCTCCCGATCTATAACAGAGGATTGCCAAAAAAACGCTCTCTCCCACTCGATAGGCGTTAAAAACGGTCGCGCTGCAAGTCTGACATGAGTTCTTCAGGCTGATGACTGTCAGAGGTCTCAGGAAATTAACTCAGAAATTATCAAATCTCAGAAATGAAATAAGACAGATTGGCTGGCGCGCCTGTAGTCAATGATAGAGTCAGGGTCAGGCAGAAGGTCTTCAATGTTGGGCGCTCCATAATACACGGGCACACAGCCGGCCACAAATGCGTCATACAGCTTCTCTGTCACATAATCCGTCGCTATACTATTCTCCTGCATTGTGTCACCATACATTCATTGAGCAAGACTGACACACACTCAGATCTGGAGGTCACAACGGGTGGCAAATGAGGTGCTTTGGTAAGACATGAATATGGTGGGGAGTCCAGCATCACCATGACTAAGCAGATCTTGTGGCGGCGGTAGATGTCAACTTTGTCCTCTGTTGTGCCATTCACCTTACCCTCTGTATTCAAACACCTGCGCACAAACATCTGAACGTTGCAGACAGCAAGAAACTACCACAGAGCCAGCCTGCAGGGACTGTAATGGCATTCCAGGGAGTTCCATTGGTGTGTCCAGTGTTGCAGGTGCGGGACAGACTTCACCTGCCAAAAGACATGATGTTGAGTTCAGGGAACGTCATCAGGTAGCGCACAATGCTGTCACGTTTGGTCTGAGGCTTGCAGTTGCTCTGCACATAGACTGGTGAGTCCGACCGCTGCTCAAAGGGCACCAATGCATCATGCCTCCAGCCGTCTATCTGATCCTTCCTCAAGTAGCTGATCGGCAACTGGGCCTGCCCATAATCCACCCATCGCCGTTACAAAGGGATTGTTGATCAAAACGAAAGCAGGGCACGAGTCTCTAATGTGTTTGCTTGTCAGGTGTGCGAGTATGGACATGAGTCCCAAAGAGCGCGCACCTCTCGCCTGTATGAGATCTCCAGATCAAACGGTTGCATGAAGACAGGGTCGTCAAAGCAGGGGTAGTAAGCAGCTGACTCCATGGTCATCAGCACTGCCAGCTGTCGCCTGGTCGACTTGACCACCCGAGTCCCATTCTTGTGGTACTCAAGGCACAAATTCGGGCCATGATAGAATACAGCTTCTGCAGTGCACAAGGCAATCCAGATGGAGCTCAGGAACACCAAGAGGTAAAGGTTGTGCCACTCTCGCATGAAGGCAAATACTTTGCAAGGAATCAGGATCAAGGCGAGGGAGTCTTACCTGACCGCATGTGCAGGTAAGGGTCATTTCTGGGGACCACATAATGGCAGCCCAGTGGCTGTCCCCGCCACTTGCATCCAGGAATGCTGCCATTGAACCCGCTGACAAATTGCTGTGGGGTCATGACGGAAATAGTGATGGCTTTAGTGGCATTTTCCTGAGCACAAAAGTCCTCTTCAGAATGACAAAGCTCATCATAGTCATAACCAGGAGAGCGCCACAAAGCGAAAGAGCACTTTTGAGGCTGCTTTCCAGCAAGCGGAACATGGCCCGGCTCACCGCTGGTGCCACGCCCTCTTCCACATCATCATCTTCGATGATGTCTGGGTAATCAAGTTCTCCTTTTGCAGAATCCCGAGGGATGTAAGCGGGCACTTCCCTTAAACCATTTGCATTGAGGGATATCCTCAAGGACAGATGGGGTCCAAGGACTGCCTCCTGTCCCAGCAAGAGATGTTTGGGAGATCTCAGGACTCAATTGTACATTTAAAACTATTTATGCTGGGACATGGGAAATCTGGTAGAGACGCACCTTCCTCAAACCACTTGATTGCAGGAAGATCTCGCAAGTCAGAAATGTAAATGTGGGTACGAAGAAGAGAATAATAGCTCCGATGGTCCATCTTGCCTGCTTCAAAGGAGTAATGAATACTGGGCCACTGGAATGGGTGATGTGCAAAGTCCAGGAGTCGTCTGGCAGCTTGACTTACCGCATAGGATTTCCGCTTCCTAAGTATCTTTGATGGAGTTGAGTGCGTTCCCCGACTTTCAGCGCATCCTGGTGGAGGCACACTGAAGGGTATCATTCAGTCACGAGATTGTTGATCATCTCTTATGTGCTGCAAGTGCGATCTACTCTCCATCTAGGATCAAGGCATAGTGTGGCCAATATCCTCCGCCTCGCATTTGGGGGCCCAAATGCCAAAACACGCAGGATTTCCTGTCTGCACGTCCTTTTGAACTGTCCTCGAAGACCAACGCCGGCGTATTGATCCAAACTTCCACAAGTCCAAGAATAGAGCTTCTCTGCAATTCCCGGTAGTAAACTCTCCTACCTGAGCAATGAGCAATATATTTTGCTTTGCACTCATGCTGTAGAGGCTTTTCATCATCCTCAAGAAGGCCTGCAGCTGATCGTCTTGATCATCAAGAGTTGTGCAGATGGGTGATACGGGGGCTAGAACAAAGTTAAGCGCAAAATTATTGATCAGTCTTATAAGAATGTGCTTTTATCTCAATGGCAGCTCAATTTGATTCGGGGATGCTAACAATTTTAATACTGCAGTCATGTTGCACTTATTGCGTTGCTATATCATAGATAGGGTGATGCAGAATTGCTGATACAGATGTAATTTCTCGTCATCTCCTCTGACAATGAAAGCACTTGACATCTTCGGGATTTTGAAAGGCAAGACTGGTTCAAGGTTGTCAGATGATACTCAGGGAAAGCACAAGGTTGACGATGCTCGATCAAGGTACTTCACGGCTCCACATGTTGCAATTTTCTTTTTTATTGAAAATATTAAACACCCCATTTCATTAATCATTGATTGCAGGTCCCAGCTCCTTCTGTTGCTCTTCTGTGGTATGATGGCAGTGGGCTTTATTACAGCTCAGTATATCTACATCTGGGTCCAGAACTTCGATGAAGATATCCAAACAAACAAGGTGATCTTCAGCTGCCCTGTGCAATATTTGTACCTCAACTTTGCCCCCATAATCTGCCTACAATGCCACACTCATGCTTTCTTGCTTGCAGACTCAAGGTGGCGCTGCATCAGTGAATACTGACCTGCAAAGTGTTCTCATGAGGGTGGCGCCTCCAGTCAGAGGCAGGCCAAATGAGGTCTTGATCGCTATTAGCAACTTCAACCTTGTTCCTTATGGCCAGCTCCCTCTCTGGCTGAAGGTGTGCTCTCAGTCCATCCACTGCTGCAATTTGCTCTTGCCTTGCTCACCTTTCAAATGGCTTTGGACTCAGACTTGACATGTGCTAATTGTTGTGCTGCAGACGGTGAAGGAAGCTGGAGTGAAGAACTACCTCGTGGTGGCAATAGATACAAAGTTGCGAGATCACCTCTCGAATGAGGGAAGCAATGTATATTACAGGGACGTGAAGGTAAGAAGGCCCCTGGGGATACAATTGTCTGCGTCAGGTTGCATTGCCAAAAAAAACATCAGACGTGCATGCGAAGCCCTTGCTTGCTCTTCATTTGCCTGGCAAAAGGTGGCAGACACAACGGGTGTGACCTGTGAGAAACAGGTGGACAAGGCTCAGGAAGGAACAGGGGATAATCATGCCATCTCAGCATTAAAATTCAAGATCATCCAGGAATTTCTAGAGCTGGGCTGGAATGTGCTGCTTTCCGATGTGGACATCATCGTAGTGCAGGTGCCATATGTACACTTCTTCCTGTTGAGTGGGCAATTGGGCAGTGGTTTTTTCCACTGCCCAATTGCGCACTCAATTAATCTGGTAATGGTGCCACAGGAGACTGACAAGGCCTTTGTGTGTCATGTCAGGATCCCTTTCAGCACCTCCACAGAGACCATGACATTGAGGGAATGTCTGATGGGTGCGCTCATACTCCTGAAGGAGCTATGATCTTTCAGTCAAGCTCTGTGCATCCTTTGAAGACCTGCAGAGAAATACATTAAGGCAGCTGATCTGCTAGAGAGACTATCCGTGGGCCTGGCAAACCAAAATTTGGGTGTGTCTGGTGTCCTGACATCTCTTGATCCGCCAGGTTTGACGATGCCACAGCGTACGGCAACATAAATGGCCTAGACGACCCAGCAATGGGCTGGAGCCGTTATGCCCAGGTGCTTAAACCGATACTTCTATGTGGATGTATTTCCCTAAGTCGCATCTTTTGACGGCTGCCCTAATCTTTAGCTGGAATGCCATGCAGGGGACAACGCACCTCAATATGAACTCAGGGCTCTTCTACATCCAAGCAAATGTGAGGACTGTAGATCTGATGAAGCGTGTTGCAGCTCGTCTTGCCAAAGAGAAGGCTTGGGATCAGGTGCGCTTGCTGTAGCCAGTTATATTAGTCAAAATACCAATGCAAGCCGACATGGTTGATGTCACTTTCCACTGCTTCTCTGCTTCTATACTGAGCACCACTCGTCCCTTGCAGTCGGTGTTCAACGAGGAGATATTCTTCCTGTCACATGGCGATTACAAGAACCCGGGGGTCACAGTTCGTGTGATGGACATCTACCTCTTCATGAATTCCAAGGTAACCCAACCACTGTTGCCTTGCACTCCTGTGTAGAAGACCAAGTTGTAGAGTCACCTCTACCTTGCTTGTGCTATTGTACAAATGACAACAGATTGTTTCTGTGCTGCAGGTTCTTTTTAGGACGGTCCGCCACCAGCAGCCGTCGCAGCAAGTAAGGCCGGTCATGGTGCACATCAATTACCATCCAGACAAGCTTGAAAGAGCAAAGGCCGCAGCCAGATACTTCATTTTGGGGGACAAATCTGCCTTGAAAGAGTTTCCCGGAGGCTCTGAACCAGGCTCTTGATGTCCGGTCCCAGCAGCATGAGTGATTCTGGTCTGTAGAATGATCATGAGCTCATGTCTCCAATATGCATGCGTTACATCGCTAGCTAAAACCCACAGCCACATTAATATTGAATGCCAATGCAGATGCAACAAGCAGCAGGGTCTTTCCCATAAGGAAAATACAGGCGGCATCCTGGACACAAATATTCCCGGTATAGACAGATCTGACACAACACCTGAACACACTGGTCAAATTGAAATTTGAAAAAATAAAAATAAAAGAGAATTATGCAAAGAATTGGACCCAGCGCTTCAAGCAGCTGGAGCGGCCTCGGGCGCGGCGGACTATTCCCGGTCCTTTGATTGCGACGGCTTGCATGCAAGTAAACGTGACTGTGTTGATGATGTCATTCACTGTGCAGCCGCGGCCGCGGGACAGGTCGTTGACCGGCCGCGATAGGCCCTACATATATATATGGGTCCGATATGTCGCAATGGCGACCGTGCTTGCTGAACCGCCTGGTCTACTCCACAGGTGATAGATTCTTCCACAGGATGGGTACTACCCATGGGTAGGAGCCTTCAAGGTGGTGGTTGGTCAAAAGATCCACCCCACGAGCATGGGCCGGCCCAACAGAGGATCTTTCAATGATCATCCGATGAGTCATTGTCTTTCCCAGCACACGATTTTGATACTACTGTAAGTACTTATAATGCTCATACTGTAATGCTTGTATCGTGACGTTGCTCAGATCAGAATTTGCATTCGTGGATGGAGGTCTAATGCCAGGTGTACAGTCCAATTTCGAGTGGCTCATGTTAGAGATGTTGAGGGGTAAGTTGAGGGTGAGGTGATCCCGTTCAAGGTCTGAGCGGCGGTTGGCGCCGGGGGATCCCTCTCGGATCCGGTCACTTTGTTTGTTGCCTGCATCCTTGGCAAGGATTCCTTGCTCGCACAAGATTCATTGTTCGCGTCCCGAGGAGCCTACGAGGGGCACAAGGGACGGCCACTTCAGAAGTTACTGAGCTGTGAGGCGACATTCGGCAGCTCAGTGCAGGTGATTGCTGCCGCAAAGTAGGGTTGGGAAGTCGTAGGCCGGGCCCACCTAGTTACGTTTCTGGTTAGAGACATGGAAGGAATGGGGATCCAAGAATTTTTCAGGCGTGCAACGGGATTATATCGACAGTCCGGGGCGCCGCTATGTTTGCTATCGAGGAGCGGGGGACAGATGTGCATATGTGTCTATGACGCCCAAAAGTTGTTGGGTATTGGATTGGATTCGCAACCAAGAGTCAGCAGAGCCGAAGTTGACAGAGCAATCATCTGAGTAAAGTGGGCCAGCGCAGTGGAAGATTGTTTCGGAAAAGTTCTTCCCCTTCGAGGGGAAAATCATGCTACTTTTACTATTTTGTTAGCGCCTTGGCCAATTCTGCTAGCTTGCCAGCATTTCGTAATGTGGCCATAAGCAAAAAAGCTAGAATCTTGGCAGCTTAGATCTGGGAGAAGGACACGACTCGAGGACACAGTACCACACGTGTGGCCGAGCTCCAACATCCTTGGTTTGGCAGAATCGCCGAAGTGAATGGCCCACTTCGAAAGATTAGAGTGAAGATTAAAGTTTGTGTATGACGAGGTTCAAGCGATGGGAGCTCGTCCCGAGCATTCAGCCTCGTCCCCAACGGCTGAGACGCCCCATATTGTGTGTTGTAGGTTGAGCGACGCGCCCCATCAAGGCCGAGGTAGTGGCAGCAAGGGGACACCTTTTTGCTGTCCAATTAGACACGAGTACCCCTCCGGTGAATGGGACGAGGCGCCAGTGGCGGCCTTCAAGGGCAGGAGATTGCAGGAGCCATTAGCAGGATGCCAGGTTTCTATCTGATGCCTCATGCATGTTCTTGGTATCGACTCTCCCGTGTTCACTAGCTTACTTTCAGACCGCTGGACGCATGGTATGTCGACGTTGCTGCCTAATCCTAAGCACTGTGTGGGATTAATGTCTTTGTACTGCTGAAGACAGCAGATCTTCACAAGGACTCTCTTGTCTCAGGCTTGCTGGATGTGCACTGGTTCTCGAGCCTGACACATCGTTGTGCACCTGCAGACGAAACTCGAGCAAAGTTGTTGGGAGCTGGAAAATCACTGCTGCGCTTCACATTGGGCAAGGGCCCTGCGCTGGCCCTCTTGCCTCTGGCGGCATGGACAGCGGTAAGACCCCTGCCCTGCTGCTAAACATGCTTAGTATATTGCTGTTGGAATGGTTTAATAAAGAGTCGCTGTATTGCATTCTTCCCTGCCTTGAGACTTCAGGTGCTTTAAATGCCTTCACAGCGTTGTTTGCCGGCACATCAAAGACTGTTTGCCCGAGATGGAATCCTCTTCTTATGTCACACAGAGGAAGGCCATAGACATGCACAAGAGCGGCGAGTTCCACCATCTCTGGGAGGAGGCACAGACTGCAGAGTACAGCTTCACTGTGGTGAGCAGCTGCCTTGATCAATATCAACCTCATCCAGACTTCCTGTGACTCTTACCAGTCTCCTGCAAACATGCTATCTCCGCAACCTCACATGCTACCTTGTGCATTGGGTTGCCCGTTCCAAGGCGCACCGATCGGGTTTTGCGATCCCCTGCTGCCTTAGCCTCTGGTGCTCCTTGACTGTCCATGCCATTAAGATAAAGCTGATGCATTGTTGCGCAGTGGCATGCGCTCTGCCTGCAAGCGGCGGTGGTGGCAGTCATAGCAGTCTTCTTTTACTTCCTGCGCCCTGGCAAGGGCAGCACCTACCTTGTTGACTTCTACTGCCTGAGGCCCCCCAACAGGTTTGTGTGGACTCATTTGTCTCAGCCACATTCATCGATGAGTGCCAAGAGATGCTTGCCTTGCAGTCACTGTGCAGTGTGATTGGTGCAGTGCCTGGGCTCGCCTGCATGCATGCCTCACCTCTTCATGATGTGTCATGTCAGTCAGCCGGTGACATGGCTCGCTTCAAGAAATATTCCTGTCTCAACGGAGAGATTTGTGTGTGCAGGATGGAGAGCTCGCGCGCAGACATGTCACAGGGCATCAGGATCCCAGAGAATGGCTACAGCGAGCAGAGCATTCAGTTCATGGACAAGGTTATGGAGATCTCAGGCCTGGGGGACAAGACCTTCCTGCCAGATGGTGCGCCCTTTTCTCCTGAATGCCCCTTCGATTTCCAGTACCACCTTGCATTGTTCAGAATCACCCATGAAGTTGCATGGCTGTGCTTAGAAGCCAGTTTGTGCGCCCCCTTTCTTGTGCCCCTGTGACTACGGTATCTCGATCACCTTGCAATGTTCAGGATCACCCCTGCCTCCGCTTGAGAAGACCGCCCAGATGGTAAGTCTTCAATGGATGTGTGCATTTTGCAGAGGTGCAGAAGGGCAAGTACCAGAAGGTGCATTCGAGCATGGCGGGGGCGCGCGTTGAGACTGAGACTGCACTGAACGTGTCCATTCAGCATGTGCTCGACCGCACTGGACTCAAGCCTCACCATGTGCGACCATCCATCCAGTTCCAAGCTTTGCATCTCTGTCTTTGAATTGTTTTCCCTGAAGAACGCAAGTGTCATTAACAAAACATCAGCAAGCGCAGCTCTGGAAACATGGAATGACTGCTGTGGCTGTGATTGCTAGCAGTGTAGGTCGCTGACTTATCATGATGTCATGCTGTGGCGCAGATTGATGGCCTGATCGTGAACTGCTCGGCCTTCAACCCGACGCCGTCCCTGTCTGCGGCGGTGGTGAACCACTTCAAGTTCAAGAGCAGCATCCGCACCTTCAACCTGTCCGGCATGGGCTGCGCCGCATCAGTCATCGCAGTGGATCTGGCCATGGAGATGCTTGCGGTGAGCACTTCTCTCCATTATAGACTATTGCCTTACCCCTCATCACCCTAATATGATGTGATAGAACACTCCATGGCTCTTAACTACATGTCATTGCAGATGGCTCCCGCAGGACAATGTCTTCTTCTGCTTTGCCCTTTCAGTATTGAAGCCAAGTTCGTGAAGTCAAAATGATCAAAGTGAAAAATTGCTCCTTTTGCTGCGCTCAGTGGAGGCGCAGGAGTCCCCTGCTGCCATATAAAGAGAATGTCCAGAATGACTTATTATCAGGATGGAGAAGCATACTGGCGCTGCATGCGCTGCTGAGTCGCCGCTGCTGACGTGTCACTGCTGCGCTGCGCAGAACAACAAGAACATGCGCATCATGATCGCGGGCACGGAGAACATCCTGATGAACCTGTACAATGGCAACCAGCGCTCCATGCTGATCACAAACTGCATCTTCCGCCTGGGGGGCGTGGCTCTGTTGCTGAGCAACCACCCGGCCGACCGCCGCCGCGCCAAGTACCGGCTCACCCACATGGTCCGCACCCATCTCGGAGGCGTCGACGAAGCCTACAAGTGAGTCGCAGCTGTCCCCTTACAAATGTTTATCCACATCCGTATGAAATTCAATAAAAAATCCTGGTCAGTGCTCACCTGCCTTGCAGCTGTAGCCTGTGCTCTGCAAGAGCTCCAGTGGTGTGTTATGCAACTGCACACAGAACATTTTTGGGTTTTCTCAGTGTGAGAAAGAGCTGCTGGCAGGTCAACATTGCAGTGCTGGATTGTCCGGATGAGGGCAGCCCAACAATGTCGCGCATTGACCTGCCAGCAGCGCCTCCTTCAATGGAGCTTTATACACACCTGGAGCATGCTCGCGTCCGAAAGGGTTGATGAGTGTGCTGTACAAACGAGGAATAGACTCGTCCAGGAAACCTACCATCAGTACCAGATGAAGCTGCCAGGCAGACATGCAAGCATGAACACAAAGTGATTGACGAATGTGCTGTTGTTCTGCGCGCAGTGCTGTGATCCAGAAGGAGGACGACGAGGGCAAGGTGGGAGTGAAGATTGGGAAGGAGCTGATGAAGGTGGCCGGCATGGCGCTCAAGGTCAACATCACCCGCCTGGGGCCCAAGGTCCTGCCCATCTCCGAGCAGCTCATCTTTGCCGGCAACTTCGTCGCTCGCAAGGTGCGGCCCCTGCTTGCATATCTACCCTGCTATATTGTTACACCGCCGCACCTGGAAGTGGGCGGTGCAAATGCTGAGCACCGTGCCCACGGTGAAGTAAGGTCTTGCTTGGATCCGGCGAGTCCATCACGGGGTAAGCCGTGTGCCAGCCTTTGCTGCAACTTGTCTGCAGACGTGCCTTGCCTCTGGCAGGAAACGCTTGTAATAATATGAATGATTCTACACTGCGATTCAGCCTGTAGAGATTCGAGGCAGCTACACCTCTGATGCTGACGCATGACCTTGCAAGGCTGTCTGTCTTGGGAAAGGGCCTCCAGAAAGGGCCGAGTCCTTCGGATGAGCTTTGGTGTGAAGGATTATTCTGCATGCATGGTGGATGCTGATGCTGATGCCTGGTGCGCTGCTGCTGCAGGTGTTTGGGATGAGCCTGAAGCCGTACGTGCCCGACTTCACGACGGCGTTCGAGCACTTCTGCATCCACCCGGGCGGCAAGGCGGTGATCGAGGAAGTCAGCAAGCAGCTGAAGCTGCGCCCCGAGCAGAGCCTGCCCATGCTTGTGCCCTTTGAGCGCTATGGCAACACCTCCTCTTCCTCCACCTGGTGCGCATTTTTATCATATCTTGATTATTTTTATCAATATCATTACAAGAAAGAGACCTATTGGGAGCCACCTGAGGCTCATTACTCTTGCATGCAGTATGTCACTGCCCGTCATCTTCATGTCACAAACTTCTCATGTGTCTGCATTCCGTTGTCATAGATCTTCCAGTGACAGCTCAAGAAATGATTGGATCTGGGTGATAAGCCAAGTACAGGCTTTTGAGTGCCCCTGGATTTCATTTTGCAAGTTATTTTCCTCCTCTTGCACGTACTCTTTTCACTGGCAGGGTCTGACTGCTCAAGAAGGATGTGGATTTGAGTGACTCAGTAATTTCATTTTATCTGCGCCGGAAGCCTAGGCTGTCACTCACATCACCACATGCTTGTGGCTGTATCAAATACACGGCACATGCAGCCAGGGCGCTCTAGTGCAGCCGGAAAATTGCCCTTGCATGTGCCGGGCTGCTGGTACAGTCACATGCATGTGGTAAGGCAGCTTTGTGCCTGGCTCAGTTGTTGTAAGTCGTGCCTTAGCCAGGCTTGCTTTTTTCTACATACCTTCAATTGCATGCTTTAGCAGGGTGCCCTGAGAAGTGGTCAAACTGGTCGCAACGGCCGGAGGATTACAAGTTCCTATGTTTTTCTTCCTGTAGACTGAGGCTTTTATGTGTGCGCATTGCCCACCAGGTATGCATGGTCGTACGTGGAGACATTCCAGGGGGTGAAGAAGGGCGACCGCGTGTGGCAGCTGGCCTTTGGCTCCGGCTTCAAGTGCTGCTCTGCCGTGTGGGTGGCCCTGAGGAAGAACGACGAGAAGCACGACGCCTGGATGGACGTTGAATCATACTGAGCACTGCCGCCGCCGCCGCCGCTGTCCCTGCCGCACATGCGGCAGGAGCCTGCGAAAGAAGATTCGGTGGCGATCCACAAGTTGAGGATTGACATTGAGCATTGTACAGGTCAAACAGATGTTGAAGTTTTGATCTCTGCAGGAACGAGTGAAACGAATTTCTGCAGGAAACGAGATGAATGATTCTCTCTTGTCCACACTGGCAAAGGCCGCGGGCAGTGAGAAAAGACGGATGAATGTACTGATTGATAGGCAGATTCCCCAATGGCCCCATGAATTGAAGGACTTTTCTGTGCCAACATACTGGGCTGATTGAGTTGCCAGGAATCCCTACAGGGGGCAGTTTGACTCGCATCAGCGTTAGTGTCTGTGCCGGTAGCAGCCGAGCAGCAACTGAAGTGCTCACTGTAGTGTGTGTCTGTACTGCACAGCTCTCTAGAATGTGGATCTGGTCCACCCCAAACAAGACACATGTTAGCTCCGTAGCTGCATCTTGTGCTTTGTCTTGTTTCCTGATGGCAGTGCGCTGGAAGTGAGTCAGCAGTTGAAATCCCAAACTCTGACATTGCAGGAAGGTAATTTGGTTGCCGATCTCTTGCCCATGAGGCTACCCATTGGCAATTTTAGAGGTGTCACAGGCCTGCGTGCACTAAAATCCAAATAGAATTCTGCGCATTTCCACTTGGTATCCATGCATGCCTGGGGAATGATTTGAAGGCTTGTGGTGCTGGTTTTCTGGGGTGATGCATACGTACCTTCACTGTGCTGAGTTCATGCAGTCTGGTGTGTCCTAGGAGGCTTACAGGTAGTCAGCAGATTGCTGCTGCAGGTGGATTCATTTGCAGTATTGCCCTGTCCTGTAACAATGTTGCTGATGCTGTAGTACTGCAATGGAAGGGCTGTAGCTCAAAATGGGCTTATATGTTCTGGGAAGCGCCTCTTCAACAAATGACATGCATGTATGAAGCCCAGCATTGGAGTCGATTTTTGGACCGTTCTTAGATGCTAAGGCAGTTGTTGTGGTCTTGGTGGTGCATGCGACCTCTCTGTCCAAGGTAAATCCAACGTCCGCCCTTGCATGGCACCTGACGATGAGCTGCCTGCGCACCCTCAGCAACCGCCTTCTGCAGCGACCGGCCAAGAGGGAATGTGTCACTTTGACACTCGTCGTACTTTGAGAATACATCTGGAAGCTCGTGCCCATTACTGAGAGATAAGAGTCAGGCACGCAAAGCTGCGCAGACGCACCAGACCTTGGCTCCTGGGCACACTCGTCGGGACTGAACGATCTTTCCTTCCTGCACCTTTCGAGCAATCGGCAAATAGAACGCGTTGTTGACTCTATCTGAAAGGGCTGACATCATGGGTCGCGGAGGACGCGGGGGCATGCAGGGGCCGGAGATTGTTGGGGCAATCAGGAGTATGCCGGGTGAGTGTTCATGCTCTTGCAATAATGTTGGATACCTATGGACATCCTTGTTCCTTGTCAGAAGTTTTTCGACATGTTCTTTCAGCACACGAACCAAAGCCTGCTTGAAAATCGCTCGAGGTGAGGGTCGCCAGCTGCCGGTCTGAACGTGCATATGGGTGCAGACGAAACTCGTGCGACCCTCTTGAACTATGCAAGGATCGTTTTCAACATCGTCTGCGCGTATGGAATACATCTGTCAGCGCTAGGAGTGGCCTTCTACCTAAAGGTATGCAGTGCTGCGCTTGCCACCTGCTTTACGACAGCTGACTTTTACACGCAACGCTGTACACGCACGGCCTTCGGTTCAACACCAAGAGATGTTTCTACTGGAAATCTGGGTCACACTGACGATCCGACCTCATTGCTCTTGCAGGACCCCTTAGTGGAAATGTACAAGAGCGGCGACCTGTACACCCACTGGCAAACCACGAAAGACCAGCTGCTGACTCTTCCTCTGGTAAGCTCACACCTGACAATGCAGATCTTAACCTTGCTGGCTCAGAACCTTGATTAGCACTGACGAAAGTCTGTGCTGCAGCTTGATGCACTGGTACTACAGGCAGCCGTGCTGTCCTTGGCCTATGTCATCTTCAGCCTGCTTCGCCCGGCTTACAAGCCGACCTACCTTCTCGACTTCTACTGCCTCAGGCCTCCTGACAGGTACAGTGGGAGCAGCCAATATTCAACCTCACACGCCGAGATTTCTCTTGAAAGTATATGCCCTACATTTTTGGATGACCGCCCATTTCCACTGCAGTGTCAAGGTTGTGAACAGCAGCAGCAATTGCAAAAGCAAGTGTGAACGCGCATGTTGGATGCATGCAGGTTGGAAATGTCACGGGCAGAGATGGTTGCCGGCACCCGCCGCCCAGAGCACGGCTGCAGCCAGCTTCTCATTGACTTCTCCGAAAAAGTGCTGGAGATCTCAGGCCTGGGCGACAGGACATACGTGCCTGAACGTGCGTGCGAAGCTTCCTGCCCTTACGAAATCAGTCTGTTTGCACCCTTTTTCTAGAACATGCAGGCCTTCGAATGCATGTTTGTCCTGTGGCACCTAACGCCTCTGAAGTGGGGCAATCTATCATATGACGGGCAAAGCAGGGATGTTTCAAGACAGTCCTGCCTGCTGTGTGGTGGCATGCTATGCATTTTGCACATGCAACAGTTTGTTGATTGGTAGTAAACAGGGGGTAAGAAGAACATCTCAGCAGCAGTGAATGGTGCATGCAGGTGTCAAGCAGGCCGCATCAGGAATGGACATTCCTAAGACCATGGCCGACGCGCGCTGTGAGACCGAGCTTGCGCTGATTGTAAGCATCCAGAAAGTGCTGGACCGCACAGGCCTCAAGCCCTCACAGGTGTGCTTTCTGCACTAGGTTCATCCCATGCGGCAATGTCCAAATCCCCTTGTCGACCCCACTGCACCACTAGCAGTGTGTCACACAGATGTCTGCAGAAGGCCCAGTAATTCTGGCCATAGTACAGTCTTACTCGAGGTCAACTCCGGCTGGTGAGGAGCAGTATAAATACTGAGCACCGTGCCCCGGGTTGATTGGGTCTTGTTTAAATCTGGCGAGTCCATCAAGTGTGTAGGACATGTGGCAGCCTTAATCCTGCACCTTGCCTCTCGCAGGAAAAGCATAGAATCATAAAGCTTCTGATAATAGAGAAATCAGGAGCAGGGATGCATGTTCCATTTGTACCTGCAGCTTGCACTGGAGGATTGCCATGGAGTGCCATCTGTCTTGGCACAGAAAAAATAGCCCAGTCAGCATGACGGGGATTATGTGCATTTTGACAGGTGGACGCCCTAATCGTGAACTGCTCAGCATTCAACCCGACGCCCTCCCTGTCGGCAAAGATGGTCAACCATTTCAAGTTCAGGCAGGACATCCGCACCTTCAACCTGTCCGGCATGGGCTGCGCCGCGTCAGTCATCGCAGTGGACATGGCTCGCGACATGCTGGCGGTGAGCACCTGCTTCAAAATATGAGTCACCCTTACCATTAGTCACCCGATTTTACCAACTTCACCCAACTCCCTTGACAGAGCACCACTTCTGTCAACCTCTGTAAAAAGCGGAGTGACAGGCTGCCTAGAATGGGTGCAGCAGACAGGGAGTGCCTCTGTCCTGCCGTGATCCCTTCTTGCTCTGCAGTTGGCAGTAATACAGCCCTGCCTTCCTTTGCCAGTAGCACGAGACTGGCACACTATTCTCTGCTCTGCAATTTGAAAATGCTTCACATGCTTGCATGACAGCTTGGAGTATCATGGCATGTGCACTGCAGCCGCAGATCCAGCAACAAACTGTTTGCGCGTATTAATTCGTTGAAATTTTGCGCAGGTGCACCCCAAGATGCGCATCCTGGTGGCGGGCACAGAGAACATCACCTGGAACATTTACACGGGCAACCAGCGCTCCATGCTCATCACCAACTGCATCTTCCGCCTGGGCGCTGTGGCCTTCATGATGTCCAATCACCCGGCCGACCGCCGCCGCGCCAAGTACCAGCTGCAGCATGTGGTCCGCACCCACCTCGGCGCCTCCGATGAAGCCTACAAGTGAGATCGTTACTCTCAGACATTAATGACTACACCCCTCCTGAAAAATCTTGATATGTGCTGGTGCACGGGCCTTCTGGAGTCATCACACGATGGAGAGTCTTGCCCAGCTGGGGGAAGTCATTTGACGCCAGCTGTCCTTGTGTCTTTCATATTCCAAAGGGCATAACCAAGTACCTAAGTCAAATGCCATCGAAGAGGTGTCTCCCGTCTGCCCCTGCGCTGCCTGCCAGGCCAATGTGATTGTGCATGCAAGTGGCCTGCTCAATGCATGGCCCCACATAGTGTGTTATCTTGAAACAATCAGTGCTGCAGATGCAGGAAGTTACCTTAGCTGGAATGGAGTTAGTAGCTAGCCTGCAGCCACACTTTGCCACCTGGCAGGAAGATCACTTAACAAAGTACTTCTCTGCCTGCAGCGCTGTGATCCAGAGGGAGGACGACGACGGAGTGATCGGCGTAAAGATCGGCAAGGAGCTGATGAACGTGGCCGGAATGGCCCTCAAGGCCAACATCACACAGCTGGGGCCCCTCGTCCTGCCCATCTCCGAGCAGCTCATCTTCGCCGGCAACTTCGTCGCGCGCAAGGTGCGTCAGCCAACATGCCTTCTGTCAACATCGGTCCATGTCCATTGCTATTCTTACTTCTACACAAGACGCTGTTTCTGCCAAGAGGCAGAGTGCAGTCTGCACATTAACTCCGGTCATGTCCACGTTGACTGGGAAAACAGTCCAGCAAGCACGTGCATGTGTTTGCAAAGCACTTTCATAAGGTAGGATTCCCATCACTTGTCTGCATCGTCTCTCGTTGAATCTACAAGCCCAGCAATCATTTGCACTGTCAGTGCTACGGTGGCAGGGGCCACAGTGGGCCTTTTGGGACGCTCCTGAGCCTGACCTAGATCTGAAATTGGGAGCGTGCTGCAAGCAGGAATGCATGGCAAGGCTGTGGTGCATGCACGCACATGCATGCAGTTGTAGTCACCCTCCTGTGCAAGCAAGATGGCATGTGAGGCTGTTGTGCGCGCATGTGCGCGCAGGTGCTGGGCTTGAACGTGAAGGCGTACACCCCGGACTTCAAGACGGCCTTCGACCACTTCTGCATCCACCCTGGCGGCAAGGCGGTCATCTCCAGCGTGGGAACCCAGCTGAAGCTGACCAAGGAGCAGTGCATGCCCATGCTCGTGCCCTTCGAGCGCTATGGCAACACCTCCTCATCCTCCACCTGGTCCGCTGCTGCCAGCTTTGCTTCAGTGCAAATGTGACAAGAGGACTCTAGCCAGGGGTCTGCTGCAGGCTTTCCCTCGGTGCAAATCTGACAAGAGAATTCTGGTCAGTTCACAGGAAAGGGCACCCTATCCTTCAGTAGTAATCCACTGGATGCTCAGGTTGGGCAACTTGAGATTCCACACATTGAAAGGCAGCTGATAGGACAGGCAGGCATGCACACGCATGGCTGGCCCGGGGTGCACGATCCATTGTATGATAGCAGCTCATTTGACTGCCCTTTCTAACATGCCAGGCAGATAGGAGCTATTGTGCTGCACTGTCTTTGCCCGTGCTCTGTGTGCCCCCTTCCTTGCCATGTGGAGGGATCTGTGCCGCGGCTTCCTACCAAGCTCTGGCTATCTTGCCGAATTACTGTATACTTGAAAACTGAGGCATCTGCTGCTGCCAGGTACGCATGGTCATACGTGGAGACGTTCCAAAAGGTGCGCAAGGGCGACCGCGTGTGGCAGCTCTCCTTTGGTTCCGGCTTCAAGTGCGCCTCGGCCGTCTGGGTGGCTCTGCGCAAGAACGATGAGAAGCACGATGCCTGGACTGACACCCCCTCCTGGGAGTGAGCAGCAATTGAGAGGACGGTTCTTTTGAGAGCCTGGGGTTCAGATTGAGGGATTGGGCAGCAATTTTTTGTCGAGACTGAAATTTGGGCAGCTTGAGCCACGTATTCCTTTCAACAGATTTGAATTCTTATAAGGCCAGAGTTGGAAGATGGGCCTCTCTGGGAATTGATGCAGAGGGTTTCTTCAGGTCTTTTACTCACCCTTCTGAACTGCATTGTCCCCATCACGAAAAACCATTGCTGTATGAGTTAGACCGTTGGACAATGGGTGACGGTGAGATTATGGCATGCTCTGCGTCAGTTTGCACAGGCCTCCTAATGGAGATTACTTGAGCCAGCTGAGCTTTGCCATTGCAAATTGGGCAGGGCATGCTTCTTTTTGTAGATTGAAAGGCCTGAGATTTACAGGTTCGTGCACGGGTATCATTTTTTCTATTTCAGAGTGTGGGTTGTAGCGTATGGTGGTATGCCTCACTGTTATCAGTGATGCATTGACAAGTGGAACAGGACAAGTGGAATAAGACAAGTGACACAAGACAAGAACCACTCAGAACAGGACCAGTGCTCAGCAAGACCGGATACGAGTTGATATGTCGACGGACAAAGTTGCTCGGTGTCACTGCTGGTTATCAAGTGTGTTGATGAGGGTCCTGCTGCTCCTGTGCGAACAATTCCTTGACACCTGAGAAAAGCGACAGAGATCGGATCATACTGGCCGTGTTTGTAGAGTGTGGGAAAGAATTACACACGTGCTGCATGTTTTGGGTTGAATGCACACCAACGTCTAGAGAGCTGCAATTGTTTGTCTGCACAATACACTAGTTAGGACACGTTCAGGTTCTCTGGCCTGCAGTTGCTATCTTTGCATTGAAAGCTAAAGTAACTTGTCAGGTACTTTGAAGTTTTGATAAAACGGGTGCCAAAGAGCACCCTTGCAAGCAAAGCTTTTGGCTTTACATGCTCCTTTCGCTGCAGTCTGTCCTGAGACAGGGTTCTTGTCCACATGCCGAAGGCAACTTCAGAAGTTCATTTTGTGCATAGGTTTTGTGAGGCCCTCACCGGCCGGGTGTGTTGTGTGATGTCTGTTGGCAGTGGTCAATTGTAACATCCATGCATGTTCAGCTTCAATGAACCCGTAATTACTGATACCAGACATCAACAGCAGGCGGCCTGTGACTCAGCCAACGCAACTTCAAGTTGCTGAACAACTTTTTACCAAGGATGGTCTCCCAGATGAAGAGTCAAGAGATCTTGAACATGCACGCAAGTATAGACTCTGTCCCCGTTGCACATGCATGGACCATATAAGGGTATGGTCCATACCGTATGGACCCCTATTGAGCTAATTTCCCTTTGTGAAAGGCCATCAACGGTTACATCAAGCCAGAGTGCAAGGATCACTGCTCTTCCTCTTCTGATGCACCGCACCTTTTGGATCATCTGGGGTCTGCATCGCATTGCATTCTGCCCTGGCTCGGCAGTTCTTGTATCACCGTGGACGGAGAAGCCTTTTTACTTCCTGGTCATCTCACCTCCTCCGCTGCTGTTTGCAGGCACACAGTCACTCCCTGTCTGCCTGATCTTGGCCCTGCAGTGACACTTGTGTTTTCCTTTACAAGACCGAGCCAGGATGTTCTTCATGCATATGTTGCATCACATAACACATTTGCTTAGTTGGTTCTGACTGTGCAGTGTGTCAGGGTTGCATTTCTCTACACTCTAGGTGGCCCCCTCGATATATAAGGATGGAGACGCCCTTTCGCCAGTGGCGAATCGCGACTCGAAACCCATGATGTACGTTTCATCCTTTTGCCAAGGGATCAATGGATTTGCCATTGGTTTCGCCGATCAGTCTCGGAGACAGGGCTCGACTCGATCACGGAGGAGTGTAAACAATATAAAGAGCCTGTTGTATCCTGTTTGGTAAAGGGTGAGATTGAGTAGTGTAAGAGCTGGTACTGTGCGCTCGATTTGAACGGAGCTGGGCACCAATGCTGCCAAGCATGGGTTATTACAGTACCCTTCAAGGTGGAGACCAGCTTGAAGTTCAATGATGGCCCAATGGGGTGAAATTTTTACGACTGTCCAGTATTATCTGCTGGGACTGGGCTTCATCTTCCCGAACAAAAGGTGCGAGTTCAGACCCTGGAGAACATCTCAGAATCGGCTATCTCTGTGTAGAGTCACACTGGGTATTTCCGTACGGTAAATCTGGCTCACTGAAGTTAGATACGCCGTGCGTCCTGTACAATCATTTGTCACGTTCAGCAACAACAGTTGGCAGCATCAGATTGCCTTTTGATGTGTCCCAATCCTCAACCTTGAATTTGCCCACAGGGATGAGCTTGCATTCCTGCAGTATGTTGGAAAGAGAAACGTGCCCAGGGCATCTTTTCTGCACTCGGCCTCTTGCATTGCATGGCTTTTGTACCTTGTAATAATGCTGATCTTTGCCAGCACAGATCAGAACGAGAGGTAAGCCAACTTGTTGGCAGGCAAGCATTTGTATTACGTTGCAAAAGAAGGCTGGAAACATGCAATTTCTACCCTTTCAATGACCTGATGGGTTCACCAGGTGGAGATATACGATGGCCGGTGATCTCATGGCCTTCACAGCTTTGTCAGATATCTGTGCAGTCATTGCAGCTCAGTGGCTGTTTCAGTGGTGCGCTATCCAGCATTAGTCTCTGCTTGGGCTTGAATGGCATTGCACTGAAATAATAGTGATGTCCATGACTTGCGTGCAATGGACAGGTACTACCGGTGGCATGAGCATCTGAAGGCCGGTCTGGCAATTATCAGTATTTGCACCATCATGCAAGCAGGCATCCTGCTGCAGGGCAAAGAACCTTCTTTACTCAATGCGCCAATAATTTTGCTGCTGCATGCCATCAAGCTTACAATAGACCAGGTCTGTCCGGCCTCAATGCAAATGTCTGCAAGCGGCTGCTGTTCATGTGAAAGCAGAGCTTCCATGTGATAAAATGCAGAGGCATGTCATGTCAACCAATGGTATTGTTGGCCTTGTTATGTATCAGGTGCGGCTCTCCACAGCAGTATGGCTGTGGGCTCTTCAGCTGGGAGCGCTTCTTCTGATGAGCGTTGGGCAGCAATTTGAGGGTACAGGAGGGAGCGAAATACATCCACTTGTACAAGTATTGCTTTTCTTCAGCATATTTGGTGTAATCGCATTGGGCATTGCCCTGGAGGTGAGCATAATCCTCATGTCTGGATTATTGGTGTTGTTGTGTCTCACTCCAAGTGGCGAATGTGAAGTGGAGGAATCCTGCCAGTCCAGGTGTGCTGCTGCTGATATTCCTGACTACTTCTGCAGGCCAGAACCCGGCTGCACTTTTGCAGGCTACATGACAGGCCCCGCGGAGCACTTGGCAACTTTTGGGAATGTGTCAATGTGTGCTTGATACTGTGCAAAGGCGCAACCAGGAAAGGCATATTGAAAATGGTGCGGCCTTGTCTCTACCCCTGCAGGCGCATCTTTCCGCGTGTCCTACTGTCCTTTTGTCAAGGATGCGAATCATGTCTGCCATTTGGCATGTGCCAAGACGCTGAGAAATGTTCGTGATGTGCAGGGTATATTGCTGAGGTATCCTCTCAACTTCACGAAACAATTTTAATAAGCAAAGATCCTGCAGCCAGAAGTAGGCAGTATGTACAGGGATTGAGCTGCTTACCGTATTTAGCATGCGCTGTGAAATGGAACTCCCTTAACAATGCAGACACCTAGCAAAGTACATTTTGCAGGACTGATTGAGTCTTTGAACCCAACCATAGAATGGAACTTGTGAGTCCACCTAATAATTTTTGATAGGCCCCACGGGTCCAAAATTTGGCGCATCTACAATTTGGCACTTTTGAATGCAAGATTCATGCGCACTTACAACATACGCCAAAGAGCATTGTAATAAGATACACATGGTCAATCTCGTCAACCAATGAACTGCCTTCCCTAAGCAGACCTCTGACGTTCCAAAGCCATATGCATTGCGGCGCTGACAAGTAGCTCTGACTGCCCTGCAGCAGCAAAGCTGATGGTGCTATACTGTGTGTTCCAACTCAGCATCATACTTTTCAAGATCGGCTGACAATGTTCAACTCAAATTTTGGTCTGTCGATGGCACGCCTTGCTCTGCTGGCATGCCCACAACATCACATGCCTTGCTTCGCAGGTCTGTCATACAACATCCCATGCATATGCTCTGAGAGCGACAAAACATGACGCAGGGACTCACAGAACATCAATACCAGGACAGGTAGTCATTTTCAAGAGAGTCCTCTGTGTCCATGGAGTTGCGCTCTGCCAAGTGATCCACATCACCAGAGACACTTTGCTGCTCCTGCCCTTCATGGAGTGCCTCGCGCACAACGCGGCGGATTGCGTCTGCATGCAGCAATGCTAAAGGTTCAGATGGTGTGGATTAAGCTAAGAGAAAATGCAGACGTGAAGACAGAGCGAGCGCCAAGGAAGGGAAGAAGGGGTGCCTCGCAGGTGTAACAGAGTGCATCAACAATACAAACATCTCCAGGCCAGGAGCACTGATGATCTGATTACCTGACTGATGATGAATGCATGCAAGCAGAGAGTAGACCTTCTGATTCTAATGTAAAGAACAACAGCGTGAAAGTCCAATGGGGTGCACACAGCCGCCGTTACCTGCGTTGTCTGCAGCCTGCTTGGAGAGTTTGACATAGTGGCCATTGTAGGTGTCCACTTCCAGGTTCTGGGGCAGACCATGCCTGAACCATGGGTGTTTCTGCACATGCACAACAGCCAATAAGCGAAACATGTGATGCTCGGCAAATAGAAGACAAAGCTTGGCTATCTGTGCAGTTGCATGTGTATCTTGAATGGACATCAGCCAGCAAGATGATGCAGAGCTGTGCACCTGAATCTGTGCAATGCTGATCCGCGCAGCAGGGTCCGCCACAAAGATCTTGGACATCAGGTCCTTGCACTCTGCTGACAGCGGCTTGTCCTTTGGCCACTCGTACTGGCCTGCATGACACAGATGCGATGTCACTATAACATAACATGCAGCACCAATATTATGTGTCTTAGCATTTCAGAGGGCAAAATGCACCTACCACTCTGCTGCACCATGATCAATGCGTGCAGGGCGCGCACACACACACATGCATGCATGCATGCATACTATATAGACAAGAGAGGCATGACACGAGAGGCATGTGTCCGGCGCACATTTGATGATGCGCTGCACGATTCTGTGCTGGCCCTTAGGGTCATCGTCATCTTCCGGCCGCTCAAAGGGGTATCTACAGCACAGCATGGCGTACAGCATGACCCCGCTGCTCCACACATCCGCCAGCTTCCCATCATATCGCGTCCGGTTCATGAGCACCTCGGGCGCTGCATGCCACAAAAGCTTTTCAATCCGTTGCCTTATATATGCAAAAGAGCTGTCGTGACCGCTGCCAGCCAAGTTGGAACTGTGTGCCATTGGTGATCATCACATCTAGAGAGCTGCCACATATGTGTTCTCGGCAGATGCACTGCAGCACATCCATTAGCATCTCTTCAGGACAAACAAAACGACAGATTAGCAAATTGTTGATGCAAGGTTGCATGCATGCCCACCTGTGTACCCAGGTGTGCCGACAGCGGTCTTTGGCAGGCTGTGCGACTCATTGATGGAGTACCCAAAGTCACAGAGCTTAATGAGAGGATTGCGCCCCGGTTCTGTGCTGTCCAGCAGAGTGTTCTCAAGCTTGATGTCCCGGTTGGAGATGCTCATTTTGTGGCAGTAGTCCAGCGCCAGGATGATCTGCTGATAGAAGAAGCGGCCGTGCTCCTCTTGCAACCCATGACTGTGCACAGTGAACAGAGACAGCCCATCAAAATATGCACAATATGGAGAAACACCTCAATCTTTGCAGGGCCTGTCCATGTGCGATCAACATACAAGCAGTAAGGATGTTGTCATTTCACAGCAGCAATGCGGGGGCGCACTTTGCTGTGACATGACTGTACATGTTCCCTCCTGCTGCATATTCCATGGCGATTGCAAGATACTTTTCCGTGAGGAAACATTCCTCAAATCGCACAACATGCGGGTGGATCAGGATGGAATGGTTCAGGATCTCCCTCTCAACGTTCTTGGTTATCTTTCCCTGTGCGCAGGAGAGGTGAGGCTCAGTACCAAGACAGGTGCGTTTGGCTTTGATGACAAGCCTTGACGTTTTGCAGCTCTTATAAAGAAATTACCTTTAGTCTTTCGATGAATTTTATAGCCACCTGCAACAGGCATTGCACCAATCCTCTTTCAACATCTGAATACTCAAAAATGAAGAACCCACAACGTAGACTTCCTGAAGGCATTGTATTGACTCACCGAGCTGCCACTGGTGCGATCTCTGGCCAGAACAACGAACCCGTATGAACCCGAGCTTAGATACTTGACAGTCTCGTACCTGCTCACAGCAAGCATGGGTCAGTACACCTGTCAAAGTGAATAGAGCGCATCTTATTTCTTACAAGTATCCCAAGCTGATATATAACAAAATATTCATGCTTTCCACTAATCCTTTACACTGACATTTGACGAAGACAGCAGATCGCATGTCTGGCGCATGACCTGTGGTGGTTCTTGAGTGGGTCCTCAGTTGGAGGCTGCACTGCCATCGAACCCCCTTCTCTCGGTGATTGGGCAGCTCCAACAGAACTCGATGTTTCAGTATTACGTCATGGACCAAGCTGCACACACAGCTTCCAATTGTCCGATAAGTTCTTGTCGGTCTTTCGGCCTCTAATTCGCGCCACAACCCTCTTGCAAACGCAGGCAACGCGCGTCACTTTGATCTGGTGATGGCACCGAAGACAACAAGGGCATCTATCTACTCAGGAAGGCAAGAGAATCGAGTAAGGAAGGTCCAGGCAGACCAGCAGCAACGCCACTGTAGACCGAGACATACATGCAAACCTCGGAACTTGCAGATTCTTCCCGCCTGGGATATTGACAGGAGTCCACAAGGAGAAGGATTGAGAGGTCAGAGTAAGCTTCAAACGAGCCGCTGACTCCTCCATCATCGCATCAGAGGCACGGCGCAGCTGAGAGGATGGCAGAGCTCACTGATTCCCAGCTCATGGCCGAGCTTGAGGTGAGACACCTGCTTCATGCCTCGTCTCTGCTTTAGCAAGATCTTTTCTTCTAGCAAGACTGAGGTTGTTCCCGTGCATTGCTTTTCCTGTGACTGGTAATCGCTGGGAGCGCGCTGGACACAGTCGCACGAATGTCAACATTGGCCAGCTGTTGCTCTACCACAGGAATTTGAGGACGCGCAGGCGCCTGATCAATTGCAGACTGAGGTCAACGAAACCGCAAAGGTGAGACAATACTGTTGCCAAATACCGGATCTTCCCAGCTGAGCTGCTTGCAATATTCGCATCGCCCTCGTGATCAGCTGACAATTTCAAATTCTCCACACAGGCTGAGCCTGAAAAACAGAAGGTCGATCCTGACAGCGAGAATATGACGCCGGCAGCCAATGCTGCATCAGCCGGAGCCTCCACACACGCTGCCAAGGTGCGAATGACTCTGAAGTTAAGTATTCCTCGCTCACCATTTGCAGCGTCAGAAGATTCAGCAAGCCTTATTATTAATATATGCATACTGAGTCTGATTCCTGCAACATGTGCAGGATGTGGCTTCACCTCCAGTCCAGGCACCTGCTCTGCCAAGCAAGAAGCGAGGGGTGCAGACCCTCACCATGCATGTTCACTTCACCTGCAACGTGTTGTGACTGTCTTGCCGCGCAGATGTATTGGCATTTGCAAGGGACTAAAGCCGCAATCTTCACATGCAGCTGACTGTCACCAAGAAGTCCACTACAAGTCCAGCACCGCCTGCTGATGCATCTACTCCCAAGCCCTCCAAGAAAATTCAGGCGAGGGTCACACCTGACGATGGAGATGATGCGGATCAGGCATCTGCTGTTGCAGACAAAGATGCTACTGGAAAAGAACAGGCTGGCAAGGTAAGCGATCTTAGTCTGATGCATGTCATGCAGCTCCAACTGCAGGTGTGGCAAAAAGGGGTTGCTTCTTTCCTCATGTCTGATGAATGTGCTTCCATGACAGGGTGATGGTGGCAAGGCAAATGGTGACAAGAAGAAGAAGTCTGCCACTCCTGCAAGATCAAAGGCAGCTGGCCAGCAGAAGAAGGATGCAGATGGCAGCAACACAAAAGTGAAGCGAGCGAGGAGTGCCTACATCTTCTTTGGGGCTGAGAAGCGGGCAGCTGTCAAAGGTTTGCATGACTCTATTTTGCTGTCTGCTGTGCTCATGCATGGACATTGCTCACCATTATAGCATCTTGAGGAGTACCCTGTGCATGCAGCTGAGAACCCAACCTTGAGCTTTGGAGAACTCACAAAGAAGTTGGGTGAGATGTGGAAAGGAATCTCAGACGCTGAGAAGGCACCCTATGAGGTAGCCACACCCTACTGCCTTCCATTAAGCTGCATGTCACCCAGGTCCAGTTTTATGTTAAGATGGTAATGCTGCATAGGGGCTTTGGGCTGGGCAGCGAACCCCTTGTCCATGCTGGCATGCATGCATTTCCTTAAACCTTTGAGGATGCTCTATCATCTAATATGTGGAATGGGCAGGCCATGGCCAGTGAAGACAAGAATCGTGCGGGCACCGAGCGCGCAGAAGCCAAGGCAGAAGCCAAGGTGGACAAGAAAAGCAAGCCTGGCGCTGGAAAGGGGAAGGACAGTCCTGCATCAAAGCTAAAGCAGCAGCGTGCCAAGTCGGCATATCAGGCATGCAACTGGTCTCATTCTCACTCAACCACAACACCTAGCTGTCAATGAGAGTAACAATGGCCTTGATGATATTGGGCATCCATATGACTGGTGGAGGAAGTGCATGAACTGTGAAGACTGGAGAGCAATGATTCAGGTGTTGCTTGACGTACCTAGTCCTTGAAGACTAAAAAACGTGTAAAAATAATAATATTAGTAAATGATAGTAATAAATTCTTCAGCATTGTCATGAAAATGCAACACAGGGAGCACTTACCCTTTGACGATGCAAAGGCTCTTAAGGTGTCTTGCAGTTTCTGATGATGCATGCATGCATGCATGCAGCTCTTCTGTGACCGCCACCGCCAGCAGATAAAGGATGAGAACGCAGATGCTGGATTTGGAGAGATCACCAGAAAGCTAGCCGCTGCTTGGAAAGAGATCACCGAGGAGGACAAGGCAAATTACAACAAGCAGCACGAGGTAGACCTTCTCTAGCTATTTGTGGTTGACACTATGCAGCACTGGTAGTCAGTGCATCATTTATCCAAAGCATTTCCATGCATACAGTCCTTTCAATTTCATTGAGATTGCGCTTTGCGGCTAACAGTGTGAGTTTTGGTGCAGGAGCTGAAAGCCAATCTTCCAGCATCAAATGCAAGTAGCAAAACCTTGGGCCAGATCAAGGTGTGTGCAACTGTGAGAATATCTGACATCCCCACACATGCATCTGCCAGATTAACAAGTCATGCAGTGATGCAGGAGCAGGTACCAGATTCAGAGGCCCCAAGCACAGCCCATGACCATGCAGCAGATGCAAGAGACACCACACCCACGGACCCAAGCACATCCCTGAATCACGCAGCAGATGCTGGAAAGCCCACATTTGCAGAAGAGGCTGGCGATTCTGTTGAGATAGAACTCATGGATGTCGACTGGCAGGCAAGGCTTGTGTTGCTAGCCTTGAACACAAGTCTTTGACTGTCTTTCTTTGCATGCCAAAGCAGTCAACCCTCTGTTGTCCCTGCAGGCACACCCGGCTGAGACCATTGTTGCAGAGACCTACCATGCCAAGGTGTGAATCCTCTAACATGCATGCATGCTTTCTTTCTTGTTTCAATGTGCTCAACATGCCCCTTAAGGTGATGTACTGTGACGTCGTCATGACAAAAGTCTCGTCTTGCTCGCTGCCCTGCAGTACCTCGTCAAGCGCAAGGGTCTGGACTTCTCTGCCTGCGGCCTGGTTGATGCAAGGGCGGCAAAGCGACAGCGCATGCTGGTACCAGACGATGGCGACAAGACTGAGAGCTCAGCCTGCCACGTGACTGTGGCCATGATGGATGAATGGGATGCCTTCAACCGCTCCTTCCGCTGTGCTGTGCATGCACACTCTGACAGCGGCGAGCTGGATCTGGGTGATGCTCCCTCGCATCCTTTCAGTGCAGTGGACATCTTCAATCTGCTGTTGCTGCACCTTGTATGCTCATGCATTCCATGCCTCAGAGATGTAGCAAAGTGCCCTCTGTTGGCCAGCATGACAATGTTTGAGGAACCTTTCACTGTGTGCAGATGACCTGAACCAGGACTCGCCTCTGGAGATGTGCCATTGGCTGGTGAGTTTATTTCAAGTTGTTTATTTCAAAGCAGATTTACTAACGGATGCATGCGTGCAGTTTTGAAGAAGACTGTAATGGGCATGTGTCTGCAGGGCATCATGCGCGAGCCAGACTTCCCTCTGAGCAAGGCTGTCAAGAACAAAGATGTGATGATCAAGGTGAGCAGCACCATGACTCTAATATTCCTGCTTCATTTTTGACATTTGAGGCCCATCCACATGCATGTTGTTGCGACGGACTGGAAGGAAAGCAGCTGAACTGACTGGATGCTCTGCTGGCAGGTTCCCATGCTGGAGATCTCCAAGGCTGTGCAGCGCGTGGCTGCTGTGGAGCGCAGGGCAGCGCAGGAGGCTGTGGCTGCAGCAGCGGCTGAGAGGGAGCAGCGCACAAAGGCCGAGGAAGCACTGGCTGCCCAGCAGCAGGAGACGCTGCAGCTCAGGGCACTCCTGAAGGTGTGCTACCCAGATCTTGCACACCTGCAGAATTCCCCTTTAATCATGATTTGACCAAACTGCTGAGTCATCTGCTGGTCAGAAGGACAGACTATGCATAATCACAAAAGGTGAGACTTTGTGCATGCTTGTGCTCAGGAGCACAGCATTGCCTTTGAGAAGGGAGGCCAGGCTGCTAGGGCGGAGGAGTAAGGCAGCGCAACATCTGAGACGCCTGAAGTGCAAACGGAAGCTTCACTGCAAACCATACAGCCTAAGAGTACCAAACAGAACAGTGGAAAGGGCTCAGCTGAGGGAGCCACGTGTATCACTGGATCTCAAGTCCCATGAATGACAGACCGCTCTCATGAGTGGAAGACTGCATGTTCTGAGGCAGATGTAGCTTCGCACAGTATCTGCCATGCGCCTCAGATGTCCAAGGGTGACATGCGCCTGCATTAAACTTCAGACAGCAAGGACTGTCATTACAGGAATATTCACTAGGTTGTGGTACTTTTACTAAAAATAAGCTAATGAGCTTTGAATGAGCAATTTTGAATTGTGCAGATATGTTCGGTTCAGAAATGCAGCCCAGATAATGATTGCAACAAATAGCACTGCCTTCAATCGGTCTTTGCAAACACTGATGCGTGTGTGGTACTCTGCTCTAAGACTGACAGCAGCTGTAGCGAATCTGAAGCTGTTTCGGTTTCTGGTCATCTCAGCCAACCCTAACAGTCAGGTTACGGTAGTGGGACCATGCATAGGCTTTGCAAGGGATTGTGACAAGACTGTGAACAATACGAAAATGGATTGATCAGGTGATCATTCATGAAGTGTAAAGTGGACAAGAGAACCCCAAATATGGTAGAAGACATGTGGCCCTCAAAACACATACACTTCTTGTCACAATGTACACACGAGCCAAATTTGCACTTGAAGCTAGCCTTTTCACAGAGGGGCTCTACACCCAGGTTTAACGGGGTTCCTGCGCCACTGCCTTGTTCCCATGATGCTCCCTGCCTGTTGAAGCCAGCTGTGTTTTCTTGCCGGCACTCTTCAAAACATGCAACTGAGGCGGTATGCATGCGAAGCTGTGGCTGCGCAGCAAATACTAGTAATAAAGTGCGTTGTGCTGCCTCTTTATACTGATTGCAGCAGGGGAATTGCGGGGCATCCGTGTGTTGAGCCCAGACTTGCGCAAGCGGGCAGGCTGGTTCTGCTTGTCTGGCCACAGATCAAGCAGAGTTGATCTCATCGTGTGCTGTATGCGAGTTGGACACCGTTCCTCCTTGCCTGTGGAAATGATTTTGGATTGCGGACACCGCACGCTACAATGGTACGTAAACTAGCCTTTCTTTTACTGATGGACTCTTCAACGGTTGTGAGCCGATTGACTCTGTCATGTAAAGGCTCAAACCCCACAAGTATGCCAGCGTCACACTCCTAGCTGATCTCAGGGCAGAAAGATTCTCACTTCATGCACTACATATTGCAAGAGCCTGGATACTTGCCAGGAGTCATCAAGCAACTCAAGAGAACTCTAATCCCATCAAAACTTCTCCTAGGCTCATCTTTCGCCGGTAGTGAGCAAGTCACTTCGTCAGTAAGAAAGCAAAGAGGGTGACACACTTATACTTAGAGACAGCTGGTGAAAGCCCGCAGGCCACTCAGCGCTGTTTTTATTCGACGCTGGTGCTCTAAAATCTCTGTGTCAAAACCTGTAGGGACATACTTCTGACCAGCCTTTTGTCCCTATTGCCATGCAGCCGAGGCGCCTGCAGATCGGCCTGTCAGGGCACTGCGCAGTGCTGCATCCCTCACAGCAGCACCCGCCCCATGCCAGCTCACATTTGCCGCCCAATAGGCATTCGCATTCCCGATCACAGCCAAGGCGCTTCCCCACTCCTGCGCACAGCACACACGCACACCCCTGTTAGCAGAAGATCCACCCAAACAACTTCTTGGTTGATGTCCCCGACCCCCTTTGTCACAGTATAATGCGCTTGCAGGAAATCAAAGGCAGTCAAGAGTACCATGGATGGGTGCGAAAAATTCCCAATTCACTCACAAGGGAAATTCCTGGCGAGAGCCAATCAGTACAGCATTCGCAAAGGCCGTCTCTGGAGGAGCAAAATCCTCACCCGCGCTCGTTGCTCTAGGGTGTCATTCGTTGCGCCGTCACTCGCCGCAACGCCTGGCGCGCTGTCGTTTCGCGGCCCGCGCACATAAAATTTCCCGGCCGCCGTGTCCGCGGCCGAGCCGGTTATGGGCAGCGGGTGCGCCTCAGTGTTGAACACAAACTGGTCCAGCGGCAGCAGCTCTGGGGAGGAGTCGTCCAGGAGGAGGTACAGGTATTTAAGGGTCTCTGCCGGCCAGAAGCTCTCCATCTTGTCCCGCATCACCGGCGGCACCTGACCACGCCACAAGCTCTCTCATGCTTCCCTCACATGCCTCAGCCAACCATACGTACAAGTCCTACCAAGGTCTGCCCCCCGGAACATACCCTGACGCCCAAAAAGCAATGGCACGCCAAATTGTAAAAGATGCATGCTTATGGCACACATGAAGCACATAAGGAACCCAAATGACCCAAGTCTGCTGCAGAGGCAAAAGTCCTGGTCATGGCTGTCTCTACACTAGATGATTATGCAACAGGTCTGCCCATTCGGAGAGCTGATTAGTGGCACCTTCTGAGCAGGGCAGAAGCCTTCTTTTACAAGAGAAGGCAGCAAATTGGATGCAGTGTAGGAGTGTGTGTCAGGTGTGCAGCGCACCTCCAGGACGCTGTTGAGGCTGGCGTAGCCGCCGGTAGCGACGCGCGCGAATTTCTGCCAGGCCCGGAACATGAGCCAGCCCCACTCCCGGTAGACCGGGTCGCGCGTGACCCGCCACAGCACAAACAGCGACTCCATCGTCTCCGGCCGCAGCAGATTATGCGCGTCCTGGGCGCACAATATGGATCTGCATTTACTACCCCTCCACAGACTCTCACAATGGCCCTCAATGCCCAAAAGCCGACTGCTTTCGTCTGCTGCCATTCATGATGTGGACTCCGCTCAATGGCAAGGGGAACACACTCAGGGCGCAGCCATACATAAATGCGTTCATCCCCACATTGCAATTGGCCATGTCTGCCGGTGTGACGAGGCTGTCAATCTGAAGAGCGCACTATGTGCTCAGATCTTTAGAAGCGAGGTAGTGCCACGGCTGCACGGGATGCAGAACCCCCAATCCCACTCGTTCCAACATTTGAGCAAAACCCCCATCACTTCATGGTGAACTTCTAGCAGCGGGAACAAGAGGCAAGGAGGGTTGGTCCAAGGATAGTATTGAGTAGGGCAGCACCTGCGGCTTGACGGAGAAGTCGCCGCCACCGGTGTCATGCGCGTGCTGCTTGGGGAAGTCGTGGCCGCCGTCGCGCTGAGTGAAGTGCACGATCTCGGGCGCCAGGCCGGTGGGAATGCGCGCATACATCTCGTAGCAGGTGCGCATGAGCTGCCGCGCAATTGCCAGGTCATCCTCCTCGCCCGCCGCCCCCGTGTTCACCCCGTGCATGTGCCCCAGCGCCAGCAGCCCTGGCCAGCAATAAACTTACATCGCCAGCCTCTTCAATACTCCTGTCCTCTCATGTGGCAAAATCAAATCGACACCGACGCTTACAAGTGTCTCAGGGATCCAACTAAGCTGCACGAGAGACAGTCCCGTTGCTCAGCAACAGGAGTGTACTGTAGTGCTCAACCTAAACTGCGCACCCTGGAAAAAGTGATTTATTAAACAGCTTCCCGCAGGGCTAATTTCTTGATCAAAAACTTTGTCATGTGCATTAAGTACGTCCCCCAAAGATGCGCCTGCTCAAGAGCTTTCCAAATCCGCCTTCAGATCTTAAATAGGTTAAGTATCTGAGGAGTTAGGGTTTTATTTTCGACCCTTTTTTCAATTTTTACAATTATTTTCCGCGCAGTTTAGGTTGAGCACTACAGTATGTATAGACTGCTTACTGGATTGCCAGGAACACAAAGCCACGACACAGCAGTTTCCACCAAGACACAGCAGGTGACTAGAGTGAAGTGTTGCAAAAGACGTCCTAGCATTGCAAGCAGCAGTGCGGTTGTTTCCACGAGGTGACAAAAGCGAGCCTGATGTGTTGTGCAGCAAGGCCCTGGCAGATCCTCACCTGGCAGGAAGCAGACGAGGTGGTCCATCTTGGGCTCCAGGACATCGCCATGCAGCTCTCCCACATATAGCAGGCCCCCCTGCGGCGCCGTGCGCGCCAGCAGCTTCCTCCGCACCCCCTGCATCGCCTCCTTGTACCCCCTGCACTCACCCCACAATCTCATATCTCCAGTTAATGACCTCACTCTCTCTCTCTGCATTGCCTCTGTGCTTCAGCTGAACAAAGGCTCAGGCCTATACGGTGCAAGAGGCATTATCAGGCACTACCAAAGCATTCACTGGTCCTAGGAAGACCCATATCTGTTGCTGCTGTATTGACGGTTTTTAAAAAGCATGCCCACTCTCAGCTTGGCAAATTTGCGGGCAAGGCCTCATAATGAGATGCCAATAACAAGAAAAGTATGAGCCAGGCGGCAGGGCAGCTCACTCGAGGAAAAATGGCTGCCTCTTGCCGGAGATGAGCCACTGCTTGAGCATGTACTCGTAGTAGCTGTCCCCTCTTGCCCCCAGAGTGAGCACCCCTCCGCTCAGCGCTCCGCTGGCCGGGTCCACATAAAACGGCGCCAGTCCATTCGTGCGCCCCTCCGTGCGCATCAGCCTCTCCACTACCTCTATCGACTTCTGCCCACCCGCACCCTCCCCTGCACAGTCAACACACCATCAGGATGTAACTCGAAAGAAAGAGAATAAATTGCCATGGGCATGCACAATCTGATGGGCAGGAAGGGATGGTTGGTCTTGGTTGGGAAATGCTGCTCCAGCACACCATCTGTATTCTCCGATAGTCTCTTCTTCACAAGTTCCCTTACACGCTGGCAGGGTGATTTGCTAGCATACCACAGGCCTGATAAGTGCTCTGTGGTTGGCCCCATATGACTGACTTTTGCGCCGATGATAGCATTGTCAACTGAATCAGGAAGGCAAGCAGGGAGCAAAGGAAATGTTGACAGACAGGATAGATGGGCACCTGCGGCGCGGGCGAGGTAGGTGAACTCCAGGGAGAGCGAGGAGACCTCCGACAGTGACGAGTACTGCGTCCAGGGCGGCTGGTGCACATTGTGCGTGCGCAAGTTCACGTCCGAGAACGGGATGCCTGCATTGCAGAAATTTTTCACCTTCAGTTTGTGCAATCAGTAGTCAAGGATGACTGCATGTGCATGGAGTCGCTGAAACATCCTGCGACTCTGTTTGCTCAGTGTCATCCTGTATGATGACAGGATGATCGTGTCATGTCAAGTCATGCCTGTGTGAATGCAGAAAGAATATGTGCTGAGATGTCCAAACAATTCATGGAAAGGCTCCCTGCCTGTTGCTGACTGGAAGGCTGCGGAGAGGCGCATGCCCAGGTCAGCCGCCTTGTACACGAACATCTGCAGCGCCCCACAACACAGGCAGTCAGCTCAATGTACAGGAGATTCCCCGTTGGACCTCTCACTGATGGTCCCACCACCTCTCAGGGCATCATGCCAAGCTATCACCGGAAATGTCTTGTACATTGCATGCATTGCACTTCCACAGCCGCACAGCCCTTCATGCTTACTCAGGCGCTGACACTGCCTTCCATATGTGCATCACCTTCGGGAAAGTTTCCAGATATCTGCAGCTCATCATAAATCATGGCAACCGTCACCATTGCCGCATGATCTCAACAAGGCTTGCCAGGGCGCGCACCTGGTCCCCGGCCGACAGGTGGAAAGCAGCGAGCAGGCCGCCCAGCACGCGGATGGTCGTCTCAAACAGGTTGACGTCCATGTCCGGGTCTACTTTCAAGCTGGTGTCTACCCAGTCGCGTGCCTCTCTGAACTCCTCCTGCAGGCCCATTATCAGCAGCGTGTCCAGGCTGTCTACGAGCGTGAGCCCGAGATCGAACCACATGTTGTGGGTCTTCGACAGCGGCAGCAGCTCGTCCCGGCCCCAGGCATGCTCCCTGCACCACCCAACTTACTTTCAGTGGCCCCTCAAATGAATGCCCAAACAGGAGCTGGTTCCGGTACCAGGCATGCTGCCTGTTGCATGCACATCGCCTTGCACTAAAGCCCCCCATTCGCTGCTGGCTCCAAACGAGGTGTCCATATTTCTTTGGCACCATGACCCCGCACATCAGTGTATTGAAAGAGAAGAACTATTGTTCCAAGTAATCCGTGAAACCCTGGATGCTTCTTGACTCTGAGAAAGGCATATGAAAGGCCAGCATTGGCATGGGACCAAATAAGGCAGGCAGCGTTTGGCAGGGGTTCCTAATATCCAGGGACGGGGTAGCAGGGCAGGGCGCCTCACTTGTATCCCTTCCAGCTCCACAGCATCGCCTCCTTCACATGCGCCTGGCGCTGCACCATGCCCGTTATGCACCCCAGCGTCTCACCTGCCACACATCAACCTTCTCGCGTTTCCAATCCATGAGATTCAGGTGCGTCGCGACACGGTTTCTAAGACGATCTACACTACCATTGCAAAACACCAAAAGTATCAATAGCCCCTGTGCTCAAGCCTGGCAAGTATGCCTGCCTGCTATGTATGCTTCCTATCATGTGCCTTCATGTGAAGCAGGCCAAGCTGGCATCATGGAGTCCAGAGGCCTATAAACACACCCCTTTGAGTGTTATCTCTCCTTGATTGCAGATGGTCAGGGGGTAGTAAAGACTATGTGGCCCCTACTAAATAAACTTTAGTACCCCCGAAAAGGTCAAGCACAGGTATTGCAGCTGCACCTGGCTGGCAGGCGGCCGCTCCCTCACAGATGGCGGCCATGCGGCAGCGCACGCTGTCATCGCCCCCAGAGCCCACACCCTTTCCAGCCTCCCCCTCTTCCTTGCCAGGCGCCACCCTGTGTCCACACCATTTGCATGCCATGATCACCTGCCTTGACAACTCCTTAATGCCACATGCCCACGCACTTCAGCACGACGATACAGCTTGCAGCACGGCGGCAAGCACTATCTGAGGAACGCGCTTGTTGCAGTTTTTCTGCACATTTCCCCCGTTGACACCAGCAAATAAAAACGACCAGAGCTGCTCCTTGTGCGACTCCAACACCATCTGGCAGGGAACGCGCCACACCTTGACTGCCCCCGCTGCGCAGCCCGGTGCGCAGCGTGCCGCGCGGCCTCCCCGTCAGCCGCCACCGCCGCGCCAGCCGCCTCCAGCTTCTCAGCAGCCGCCACCGCCTTCGCGGCAGCTGCCGCCTTGGCCGACATGGCCGCGTCCATGGCGGCCGCCTGCTGCATGGTGGCCCCCAGCAGGGGCACGACCCGCTGCGCTGAGCCCGCTGAGCTGTCGCCGTCTGCGAGCCCGATCAGGCGCTGCCCGGAGTCAACGCCGCCCAAGACCGGCACCTCGTGCGCCTGCTGCTGGGCCGCTACCCGATCCTGCGTCGCTCGCCGCTTCGCGCGATGCCTCGCCGCCTCCGAGTCCGTCGCCGGCTGCACATCAGACATACCAGGTAAGTCAAACTTGTGATCAAGGATGGGAAGTGCATATGCGGGGTTCTATGCCGCATGCAGGACCAATCGGCAAAACAGTGGGCCCAAATTTTTAAACACTTATGGTTGCCATTTGGAAGCAGAGTCATGCAGTCACCAAGCGCCAATTTTGGGTTTTATTTTTGTCAATCAAAATTTTTGGTCCCCAGTACCTGGATGTCGCTGTCTTTGCCGGCAGCAGTGGCACGTCCTGAGGCAATGACGCCCCTCTCTATTGCCTGCCTAAGGGTCTTTGCATCCCCTGCTTCCGCTTCCCGGCCCTGCAACAAGGAGGCAAAATCTCTTTACCCGCCCCATAAATATCAGTGCCCACTCGTTGCCCCAAACAAAGCAGTCATGACACACAGGCCTCCATGGCACCAACAGGCAGATAATGCAGATGATGGAGGACAGACACAGGAGCTGCCATTTGCAGGTAGTACTTTGGTCATACAGGACAGATGTTGTAGTTATTATCAGAACCGAGCATAGGCCCTCACCTTGCCCTTCCCAGCTGGCTCGGCAAGCAGGGCCTGCTTGGCATCGGGGTTGGCATCCAGCCACAGCACATTGGCTTTGATGCTCCTACTCGGCCCTTTCAACATCGCCGCAACCTTGCCAGCACTCTCCACTATTTCCATCCCCTCTTGAGCGCCATCCTCTCTCCTTCCATACTTCAAGTCCCCTGCTTGAAAGAACAACTGCAGCTTAGCCCAAAGCCTCCATGTGTCAAATTCTCTGCTGATGCCCTGTGACTTCACATAAAGCATGCTGCCCGCATGCATCTGGGATATTCAGGTCGTTATTGCTAGATACTCACCAACGCTTGCATTACTGATGGGCTCGTCTACTTCCAGCAGATGCCTGTTTGAGGCAGTTCCAGTGTTGAACACCGGCAGCAGCTTTGTTCCTGCTATGGTTTCTGCTGCATAGGCTTCCAGGTCCGTCCGCCCCTCCTCTGTCACAAACCCATCTGGCAACGCAGTCCCTGTACCATCACAGAACACAACAATCAGCAAGGACTCGCCGCAAATCCATGCATTCACCCCCTGAAGGACGTGGTTACCTCACGGAAGGCCTTGAGGAATGATGAGCACTCAAGCCCATGTCTTTGAGGCAGCACATTCATGCATGACATAAGTGTGGAATCAAGTCACAAAGGAATGGGCGCTCACAGTACAGCAATGGATCATACATCTCCACCAGCTTCTCGCGGTTGAACACTGACCCTGTGGGCTGATGTGTACTGGTTCTCAGCAGCTTGGCTGGGTGCCCCTTCAACAGCCCAGACGGGCGCCCATCCCCATACCTGCACCAAATCCTCTTATTCAATATTGCAGTTCTTGTATTTAGCCAATGAGAATGTAGACCTCATCAGGATGCCTGCATTATTCTCAGATTTCACTGGAAAGTATCCTGTGTACTCTCTGTGTAGTCAATCACCTGATGGCTTTCATGTCTGCAGCTGCCAGATCAAGTGCGCTGATCTCGTGGCGGGTGTGCTGAAGCTTCAACAGGAAGCTGTATTCGCCCCATGTGGCATAATTATGCTCCCCAATAGCCTGCACCAGGTATGTACAAGGTATGCCACTGAACCTCCCGATGCACACTTGGTGATATTTTGCTGCCTTGTGTCCTTAAATTTGATGATTCAACACCGCAGAGGTAGGGGGAGTTGAATTGTGAATGAATTGAGGCACCTGCTCCAGCTTGGACAAGCTGCTGTTCAACTCTGCCTCCCACGCTGACCGCTGCAGGGCACATGGGATAAAGTCAGCTTGCTTCTCCCCTGCCTAGCGTGTGGTAAGAGAGAAGCACACCGCGCCGCGCCCTTTGGGTTGACAATATTAGACAATGGCATGCACAATTTTCAAGAGATGCTGGAGGCAGGCAAGACCTTGGTGGGGTCCTGTGCATCCATGACCAATGACTCCAAGCGGTCCTGGTGGATCTCATGCACCCTGTCATACTCTGCCTGCTGCTCCCGCCTCTTCATCCCCTTTTCTTCCACATCCGTCTGCACCAAAAAAATTCACTGCTCCTTTTCATGTTTTGTGTGCCCAATACTGGGGAGATGCTCACCAATGTGAGGGCGCCAGGATATGGCCTGCCCAAATGCATCTAGGTGCAGAAACAGGGTTTGGGGAGCTCGAAACAGCAGACTCTCAGGTAGATGAAGAGAAGAGAGGACTAGAACCTTGCTTGATCTAGCAAGTGCCCATTTGCGAAACATCTCTTTATGCTGGCAAGCCCATGCACTCGAGGTATCCTTGCGATTTAATCAACAACCCAAGTGCCAGAAAACAAACTGGGAGTGCACGTCACTGGCAAGTCTGTGGGAAGGCTGTTAGGTTCACTTGATCCCTTTGGAATGTGGCTCAGCAAGCCAAGGGAGAGGCTACAAACCCACCTTCATGCCCTTGTATGCCAGGAACTCATGCGCCAGTTTCTGGACGAGCTCCAGCCTCTCGATCTCTACTTGCCTCACCAGCATTTCCAGCTCCTGATGGTACCTCTGCTTGGCCTGCCACCAGTCACATTTGATCCCTTACAAACGAGCCCCACTACTTTCTGAAGTCTTGCATTTTCGGACAAAGTGAAGGCATGTGCACCTGTGGCACAAGTGCGCGGTACACATCTGAAGCGTCCAGAGAGCCCAGCAGCAGAATTGTCCTGCGCCAGACACAAGCAAGGTATTAGCGAAGCTGCCTCCACAAGTCTCATTGGCTCTGGAACTGATTCTGATAGCCTCACTGCATGCGCCTATGTTGCATGAATTGATTCATCTGGCAAAAGAACGCACCCGAAGGTCAGCAGCATGCCGAAAACAATACGCGCCCATCGCCCCTTCTGTATGGCCTGCGCTTCCCAGCAACACCAATGAGATCCTTTGACCAGTCAGATCAAGCAGACAGACTCTCTTACCCACCAAGAAACAATGCAGAAGCTGACAATTAAGAAGCCATGCCACAAGGTCAGAGCGCACCAGTGGCTTCAGGGACTTGGTGTATTCAGGAGGTGGCCGCTTAGGCTCTTCCAGCTCTGGTGGCCCAAGAGGACCTGAAAGATGGGCAGTAAGCAGGCATGAGCAAACAACACAGCCACGATTCCTGCCAAGCAAATGGATCTCCTGGCTGGCACTATGGCACTCCCTCTGATTACTCTAAAGTATTGCTCGATCACTCAGACAAAAAGAACTGTTCTAACTTCAAGCTGTCCTAACAGTACTGTTCTCAATACACCAAGCTTTGAGTTAGCTGCTATATCAATCTTTGCTTGTCAGAGAGAATGGGTCACGCCGTAAACATCATAATTGCAACCTCCATATATTTTGGGTGACTTCCAAGCGGATTCGCGTATATTTTGGAAAGGATGGACTTACCAGGTAGTGAAGGTCCCCTGTACATGGGATCCTTCACCCCCTTACGTCGACGTACACTTGTGGTTGTGCTCTGATTAGGCAGGCTAGCTTCGTCTCGACATTCAATGCCGTCGACATCCAGGCTTGCTTGATTGCAGGTCTACTGCAATATGGGGCGTCACACCGCCTACATCACATACCAGTGAGCTGCAGAGGACAGTGTGCACGCTTCTTTATTATCTCGAAGTTCTTGTTAGCTTATTTCAGAGCATGAACATTACATTTTGGTAGCATTTGGATTGGAAACAAATGTCGTCTCTTCCATGCACTCTAAAGGAAATTTCCTCGTGCACGTGACGTCATAAAGTTCGAATGGCCAATTGTTGGTCTTTCTCAATCCTGAACACACATGCACTGTTGTTTGCTTGTTCTCTTGTGTTACAGATACATAATATCGATAAATCAGCAACGATAGACTCCTGCAGGAAGCTACCTCCTTTGACATGATAAGTCCATCCATCGCACACCAGCTTGTGTCACCATCAAAGTTTATCGGAGGCAATCTGGTAAAACCATATTGTGGAAATGGAAGGAATAAGGCGCGCTCTTATGCCACGATAGCTTCCACTACAAGACCACAAGAAGGTAATAGTGATAGGCAATGGGCACTGAAATTAGAAAACTATTGCAGTGATGCAGGCCGACAGCTCAAGCCTGGCAAGCAGATCACAACGTTTTGTTGCTATTGCTTTGTGCAGAGAATGCTTTAGTACGGCTTGCTGTGGCGTCCCTGACAGGTCTACTCGATGTTGCCAGGGTCGGAAGGTAGGGTGAAACCATCATCATGCTGTCCCATCATGATTGCTCAAGGAACCGGACAACATGACAATGGTTTCATCATACGCTGTATACATTAGCAGGGACTCATCAGCTACAGAAAGCAACAGGCGCCTCAGTCAGATCACCCCAGGAGATGTGGAAGGGCTCATGCGCTGCATCAGAGTGGATTATACACAGCATAACTACTTTGTGACAGGTCTGTGAACGGGCTGCTGGTCACATCACAGTGCAGATGGATTTCAACCTGCTAGTCAAGTTCAATCACACTGAAAACTTGCATGCGGCGCATGCAGGTGACATATGGGAGGGCATATACTCAGAAGAATGTTTCTTCGGAGATCCTACAGTCAGCTTCACAGGTGCGTTGTTGTTTTCAAAACAGCATAAAATGCAAGTACAGTGTGGATGACATATTTAACGTGCAATTGTGGACCATGCCCTTTGCAGGACTGCAAAAGTGGCGCCGAAATTTGCAGCTGCTAGTGCCCTTCTTGGAAGACCCGCAGATTGAACTCTTTTCACTGGGCGTTGTAGGCAGTAGGGAAAAGCAAGCTGCAGTCAGACTAAAGGTCAGTGCTTTGCCATTCGTGATCTCTCTTATTTGACTGATGTCAACACCATCAGTGGACCCAAGGTCATTAGAAGAAAGAGATTACCGTTGCCCTTCACTCCCCATGGTGGGCCCTTGTCAGAAGAGTGGAAGCTGAGATTGCTTTAAAGGGCGCTTCGCTTTTCTGGGCAGGCTGACTGGCGCCTGTCCACATATTTGAGGCTTCCATGGAGACCTTTCATCGATGTCCTGGGGAGCACAGAATACACTCTTGATGAGGCATCACAGCAGGCGCGCAATCTCGCATGCGGCTTTCTTTGCCACTCATGCAGTCTGATCTGTCATCTTCTCACTCTCTAGGATCACAGTGTTACTGGTGCCTTGAAGCGCATGCATGATCATCATGTGCTGCATGCATGGTGCAGGTTGTAAGGCACATTGAGTCCTGGAATGTCAGCGGCACAGAAGCACTCCTGCAGATTCTGAGACCGTCAAGTGGCAAGGAGAGGTCACCAAGCTTCCCCAAAAGCCAGCCATCAGGCTGACCTGTTCTGGTATGATCTTGAGGAGAGTTCTATGGTCAGATCTGCAGTGAAAGTGAAGAAAGTGAGAACCAGAAAATGAGACAAGCGGCCCAATTCCCCTTGGAATTGGGCCTGTGTACGTACCACAGCTGAGCTTTATTGACGGCCACGGCAATTCCAGGAAACAGGCAATTTCAGCTAGCAGCGAGGGTTGAGCTGCAGCGAACAATACTGAAGGCACGTGTCCACGACATGTCACTTTATATATAAGGTATAGTACGGCGGGTTGATCTGAAATTTTAGATTCTGTATCGTGTTTGGGGTTGAAACATGTGCTAGGACAGCTCTGATAAGCCTTAATCAAATAACCAAATACTTTGGGACTTTCCAAACCGTGTGAGAATACGTGGACGTGCAGGGCAGTGCACAATTGTGTAATTTTCTGACGTGCTTTGAAACGTCGTGAATGAGGCATCAAGATACATTGAGCCTCAGGCATTCTAATCGAATTTTGGGGAACACAAGAGTGAAAGGAAGCGAATTACGGCCCGCCGAGCATCCTAATACACTTGCTCTGAGAAAGCACCGTTTCGGAAAAGTGAACGACGAACTGCGCTCAAAATGACGTTGGCCAGCCGTGACCCGACATTACATTGATCAAGATAGCTTCAGTGATTTTTAACGCATGCCAGATGCATAATAGAAGCCTTTTATGGCCGACAACATACCAGTGCTTTCTCAAGACACATCAGCCGTGCAGGACATCGCAGCGCAGTCACACGACCAGCACCGAGATGTCCTCCCAAGAGGCAGCGCAGATGATGCAGTGTCAATCATCCAGACATTTCTGCTGCCCGAGTCCCACGGCAGATGTCGCCGCTTCTGCTGCGAGTGTCTCCTCATCGTCGGCTTCATGCTGCCCCTGCTGGGACCCTTGCTGGGCCTCTGCGTGTTCGTCCCCTACCTCGACCTGCAATTTGAGGAGGGAAGCGTCATCCAGCTGGACACGCCTTGCTACGGGCCGGACCCCACTGTCTGCGACACGACGTTCAGCTTTGATTACTACTTCTGGAACATCACCAACCCGGTTGAAGTGCGCTCGTGTACATCTCTGATGAATTTCTTGAATTTAAATTTGCGCTTGATACTGTTGTGAAAGATAACGGAATAAATCACAAGAATGCAGCAACAGCAGCCTCAGGACTAGTGTCTGTTGTGCAGTGGATGGCAGGCACAGAGGCACCCGTTTTTCAGGAAATCGGGCCCTACAGCTTCCTGGTGCGCATCCAATGTCAGCTAAAGGCGCACTAAATTTTTCTATAGCTGTGGCTTTTGTTTATTGTCCCAAAAATTTATACCCCAGACGTGCGGTGCAGGTCTCAGAATACAGGTACAACGTGAAGTTTGCAGCAGACTATGCCAGTGTCAGCTACACAAACCACAACTTCCAGAATTTCACTCCTGCAGACAGCTGCAGCACCTGCTCCCTAGATGACCTCTTTGTGGGCATCAACAGGTGCGCAACTCACCTGTACCAACATTAGACAGCGGTTTCCATAAGCCATTCATAGCAGGGGGACAGCAATACATCTGCTCATCAATTTTGAATCGTTTGTGTGGCATTTGCAGAGCATACCTAGCAGTCATTGCCAGCAATGGCGGGCTCGAAGCCAACTTGCTCATCTCATCAGTGCCTCTGACCCTCAACTACATTTTTGGCAACATTGTCACCGCCATCCAACAGGTGCACTCCCCACAGACCATCATTTATCATGCTCCCTCCAATTAATCTCTGCAGAGCGCACAGGCAGACTTAGGGATGGCAAGCTTCCAAGACACATCAAATTGCAGCCCTGTAAGACATCGATGACCCAGTTTTTCTTCCCTGAATTATGGAATTTCTTGAGAAGATATCAGTATAAGACAACTAACGCCAAAGTGCGAGGCTGCAGAGTTTTAAAGTCCCCGCAGGTGTGGCTGCAGAGGCCCTGCATGTATGCCAAAGGCTTTCCCGACCTGTCAATGAGTTAAAAATTGCTTGGAAAAACCTGCACTGTGTTTTGTTCGCAGCAGAACGGGACCAGCACCTTCAATGCAATGGCGGCAGCGTTTCAGCAGTGGGTCAAGTGCGACGTGCTGTCCCAGCCGGTGGGGGAGGAGCTGTGTGCATGGGCAGCAGCACAGAATGGCAGCGCTCCCGGCAGCAGTGACATCAGCGTGGAGGCCGGCACAGCCCTGCTGAGCGCTTTTCTTGGCAACGCCTCCCGTGCTGACGCGCAGTGAGTCACTAGTACTGCACAGTGCAGTCATTATCACCACTGCATGTCTCTCAGGACTACTCTGCCGGTCTGTAGTGCTGTGCCCAGCCCTGAGCCTTTATAATCTGTAGTCAGGTAATAAAAGCAATCCAATAACAGTTAGATCCTGCCCAGAGAGGCAGAATGCGCCTGCTGACAGTAGAGAATGTCACAATGCACTGTTTGGACTTATCAGGACCAAGCGAGACCCAATGAACCATGAGTACAGTGCTCAAATTCTTTTCTTGGCATGTCTGATGTGTAGGGGCTCTGATCCGGCAGGAAGGACGGCGGTAGCCGGCTTTGCCGCAGGACCGGCACATGCACTGGCAGCATCATATGACATCAGCATTAGTCAGGTGCAGCTGGTGAAAGCCTACTTGCAGCATCTCACGGCCGCCTATGTGGCGCCGGCGTTTGCTGCCAATGTGCTGGGCCCCCCGTTAGGTCCCAAATCTGGGGGACTGCTTGCCGCTCGCAGTGTAGGTGAATGGATAAACGGTGCGCCCCTCCACTGCCCATTCCCCAATCAAGCAGCATCCTGCAGGCCTTACTTGAGACGAGTCCTTAGTAGGAATTCCAAATTCATGGGAGAGGTAGTAGTGCAGACACATCAGAAGTTTGAGATACGAACATGAACAGCGAAAGACTGCCTACGAGACCAACGAGCCTCAGGTGGCTCTCAACAGGTTTCTCTAAAGACATGACAAACAAAAAGCGACATCGTTCCCATGCAAGTCTCTGGCCATATCAGATAGTCCTGCTTAAAGTCAATGGCAGGTGGAATTCTGAGACATGCCTGCACGTGACGGGTGATGTCAAGTCTGTTGCACAGGTTGGACAGATCCCATTCTGGCGGCTGCCTTTGGCGCGGGCAGCCCCGCAGCAAAAGTGCGGCTGGGATTCGCATGGCCCAACGCCACGGCCCCAATGGAGATCTTCAACAAGACAGCGGCCCAGCTCTCGCACAAGGACGACGGCCTCATCTTTGAGCGCAACATCACCACCGGCAAGACCAAGAAGTTTGACCTCCCTCTCCAGGTGAGAGTCTCAGTCACAAAGTTGTGTATGCATTGCGGAGTGCATCAGTTGTTACTGGGCAAGACCACACTGCAGTTGCGCTGCAAGTATAATTGTAGTGGCAGAATCAGTGCTTGCAAAGAGAAGACTTGTTCACAATCCATCCAGCGCAGCTGTGTCTCTGCATGGAAGTCCCAAGCTGCTCACGCTTGCCTATCTGGGCTTTGAACCTTGCCATTGTTGGAGACACTGCAGCTCCTGTCATATGCTGGCGCTCCTGTCTGGGGTTTGAAGAAAATACGTGGTGGCACTGCAGCTGCTGTCGTATGCGGGGCACACCGAGGTGAACGTTCTGCGTGCAAGTCCTGGCATAGATGAGCCGGTGGTCAAGCACGGATCGGCGGCCGCCGCGGATCCCGGCGCGGCGGCTGCTGGGACAATCTCGGTGCGCGGAGCGGACGGCGGACTGGACTTTGGCCTGGGCGCCAGCCGCAGCGCGCCGCAGACCATCTTTGACGCGACTTTCTCGCGGCCCGTCAACACCACGTTCACAGGTGCCGGCATGTGCCGCCATGTGCTGGCATGTGATGGTGGTTGCATGCAACATGAGAATGATGGTACTCGCATGCTAGCCTGGCTTGAAAGTTTCAGGTTTGAAGTTAAAGTTTTAGTATGGCAAATATGCTGTTTGCATGCTATCCTGGTCATAGTGCCTTCAATCTTGGGCCTAAGACCTTAGTGAAGTATAGGTCTAGGCAGCATTTGCAGTCTATGAAGCGAGCACATACTCACTCTGCTAAATGCTGCTGCCAGAGGTCTGCGACACATTCATTTGAAGACAATTAATGCTTGCAGGAGAAACGATTAATGTAAAAGGGATCAAGGCGATGAAGTTTGGACTGGCCCCTCAAGCGATGGCTTCTTGTAGTGCCAGCCCTGTCTCGGACCCTGCGCAACGCTGCATCTACCCCGATGCCTATAATGGCACCTGGAATGTTTCGCTCACCTACGCATCACCCACCCTCATCACCCTGCCCCACTTCCTGGAGGTACTCCTCTGTCCAATGCATTTTGGCACAACAGGGGCTTGTCAGGAGGACAAATACAGCAGTTGTAGGATATGCTGCATCCTCCAGTGTGCCTGTCAGTCGGGGGTCTCAAACAATTCATCAGTTGTGTCACTGCAGCCAGCTTGCATGCTGGGTGCAATTGACTCGCAGCATTTTACTGGCTGTATTTGGTGACAGGCTGGGCAGTGATACCTGCTTCAAACTTATTTACGGTACTCCGGAGAAATGGCAGCGAATATTTCATTGCTGAATATTTTATTGCTGGTATGGCCAGGCTGATGCAGCTCTGGCTGCCAGCACGGGAGCAAAGTTTGCGCCGGACCCGGATGAGCATGGGTACAAGTTTGGAGTGGAGCCCGCCACCGGCCTCACAGTCTATGTGAGAACTCCTCACCCTACCTTCTCTTGACAATCATCAAAATGCTCACCTCCATGTGTTTTTGAAAGTACCCATGCTTTGAGGCAAGGTGAAGGGCTTGCCATGCTTTCCGCGCCAAGACCATTATCAAACGCTTTGGTGAAACTTTTTGCTCTTTAGGTTCCCTGCCACGTGCTATGAATCATGCATGGACGCATTTGACAAAATATATCAGGATCCGGGCAGCGAATTGAACCTCGTTGCTCATATTCCCACAAGAGGAATTTTTACTTTTTGTTTTTTTTGGGTTGAGGTCAACATGCAGGGCCTGCCTCAGTACACGTAGTATACATAGCTTAGAACTTGTGCCATCAACAGGGCACTTCTTGTAGATTGGAGAGTTGGGAGGTAAAGTATGGTGATTGTGCCAAGCAGGGCTGGAAGGGGTTTCAGTTTGTGCACCTGGTGCGGCCGACGGATCTGCTGTACCGGCAGCTGTGGATGAACAGCTCGTCGGGCACCGGCGGAATGTGGATGCCCTCCTTCTGGGTCCGCAGCCGATTCCAAGCCTCCGACGCCGGCGCCAAAGCTCTGGGAGGAGGCCTCGGGGTGCGCCCATTGCCTTACTATATTACTATTATTATTATTGTTGTTAATACACGCTTCCCCTGCCGAGAGGCAAGCTGCGTCTGCAGACAAGCTGCAATCAAAGGCTGCCACAAGCTCTACCCCTTGATGGACTTGCCAGATCCAAGCAAGACCCAATCAATTGTGGGCATGGTGCTCAGTATTTGTACCGCCCCACCAGCCGGGGCCTATCACCTTTTGCCGTCCAAATTCACCGGCGGAAGGGTTTGTACACGACAGTGATGACCTATCAAGAGCACATGCACAACAGCAGGATCAGCAGGAAACACACCGACAGTGCCGGGGAAACCTGTCAGGCAGACATGCAAGCAACAATGCAGATGACTTTACACCATGAATTTAAATTGAGTTGCAGCCCCCTTGAGTGGCAGGCATTGAAGCATAGGCAGTCATCTGTGCCGGAATGCTGTGTAGAATACACTTGCATTCACTTCACACCCAACACTGGACTACCCTTGGTCATGAAAGGCAGACGACAAAGATTAGCTTGGGTTGATGTGCAAGCTACTGCCTGTATCTGGGTACAAAATTACCCGCCAAACAAATATTGGTGAGCTGAGAGCACATTGTTTGCCTGCTGCAGATCCAGGCCCTGTTCAGGACGCTGTGGGCGCACATAGTGCTCATTCTGGGCGGGGTGATGCTCTGCATCGCTGTCTGGAACCTCCTGCTGTCAGCGGTGCGTCACCCTCCTTTCCGAACCCACCCCCGGCATATTTTAACATCCCTGACTTACAGATGCGTGTCTTTGATGACGAATGGGGCTTTTATGCTGCTTAATTACCATGAAGGCTGTCATAGAAACGCTGCTGCGACGCACCTAAGCCAACTGTGGCTTGGATAGGCGTGTTTTAATAATAATAATAATCATAATTACCATGTGTGTGCCCATGGTAGTCTTGTACGTCAAAAAAAATGTGACCCCTAACACCAGGTGGTTTGGAGGAGGGGCTCCCTCTTACAAACATGCATGCGGTCTGCGAGTCAATGGTGACTGATCGGGGACTGGCGACTGATTGGTGCCTTTACTGTGTGTACAGCGGGCGAAGAGGGAACATCGCTCAATGAGGGACCGGCGCAAGAGCACGGCGCGAGCCGCAAAGCTGAGCAAGGACGAGCTGGCAGACCTGGCGCATGCGGCCGCCGATGAGGTGAGTTGATTTCATTCACTAATCAGTCACCTTAGGTGACTTCAGCTGCTGCTTATTTGTCATACTAGACTGACATTGTTTCCTCCCCTGCCTCATGCTTCATGGGTTCTCTCTGCATGGCCTTCGTTGACTGCACACCTGGCACACCTGTCAGCAGCATCAAATTCTCCAGTCAGGCTCTCAAGGTAGCCACTTACAACGATTCAAGATGCATGCAACACTGCACAGTAGAATAGCATGACACCTCCCAAAACACCCTGCATGCCCTGTTTATGTGTGTTGGCTCAATCTACGATGCAACAGTCATAGAAACATTTCCCCTGAATCTGGCATTTGTGCAGGGAGATGGCCCAGGGTCCGGGGGAATCGGAGCGGCGATCAGTGGCGGCCTAAACCGGAAGCTGTCCGGCGCGTATTCGCGGCGCAGCAGCAGTGACGTGGCGTTCCATGGCCGGGACGTTGAGCTGGCGCGCCACGTCAGCAGCCTGCCTCTTCTGGCCTTCCAGGAGGGCCAGGAATTCGGCAGCGGCAGCAGCAGACACGAAAGTGACAGGACGGCTGACAAGGTGGGCACATCTTCTCTGTGTTATTGGAATCCTATCCAGATGCTTGCCATGCTAGCCATAAATAATTCATCAGACTGCAGTGTCACCGCCATCAGACTTAAGTGTTGGGCTGACAGCAGTCTCATTAAAAGTCCAGGGCCGGGCCATTTCATTTGCGCATGTTCATCATGGAAACAATTGCTTTGAAGGCCACTGAGCAAGAGCGGACACTCCATTTTGCCACACACATTCATCTGCTCCAGATGTCTGAGAGTAGGGCTTGAGGTATAATAGTCGGCATAAGCATGGTGCTGACAATCGGGTTGATGATGCGTGCAGGGGGAGATAATGAGCGCTCACGGCGCCGGCCGGGGGAGCGATTACGTGGGCTGGGGAGGGAACTTCCTGACGATGCAGAACGCGGACGAGCCGGGGCTGGGGGCCGCTGAGGTGGAGTCCCCCCTGCTGGAGCCCCCGGGGATGGTGCAGCAGGATGGCGGGGGGCCCACCTTGGAGTCACTCATCATCTTCCGCCGCCGCTCCACCACCGCTTCCTCCTGGGGGGTCCTCCCGGACGCATTTGCTCCCTTTGCTTCCCCCTCTTCGCGCCCCTCGAATTTCTCCCAGGTCAGCCCTGTACTCCATTGATTGTGTGATCCTCTGGACCATTACGCCCGATAGTGACTCCTCGCTGGGACAGTATTTGAACTAGTAGCTGTAGTGCTCACCGTGCATCATGCTGCTAATCTCCGCATGCTTGATAGCATCCGCTCTCATGCCTGCTCCTGAAAGGAAAAGGATGGTTGCACAAGCCATGGCCAGGCAAGGCAAACAGCCCGGGGAAATGTCTAGATGAGTGAGAGAGTGAGTGTCAGTGAGAGGAGTCGCAGAGAGTGTCTAATGTTGTAAGGTGGACTTTGTCAGTGTTACCCAAATTGCCTGGGCTTTTCCTGAGCACAATATGATGTAAATACAGCCAATCAGCTTTAGGCAGCAGGCTCACATGCAACCTTTCTTCAATCAACAAATGCAAATGCATGCCTACAGGTATCGACCAGCTCCTCAGGCAAGTCCGGACAGCAGCTGGCCACAATGACCCGCTCGAGCTCTCTTGAGGTCTCAGGAGCCTCTGAGACGCGCCGGCGCAAGTCGAAGAAGATCTCCTGGGCTGATTTGGACAGCCTGGAGGAGGTTTTCAGGGAGGAGCGGCGGTCAGAGGAGGACACTTCAATTCAGGATGAGGGGGACAAGTCAGAGAGAGCATCAGTGGCAGAGCTGGGGCGCCTTGTGCGCGGGGCCGATCGCCAAGAGGAGCATAATCTAAGAACAGAACATAATCATTACAAATCTTTAGGCTAACAACACCATTCAAACGCAGCGGGAGCCTCTAATATTCATCGCATAATTGCAAATGGGAGTACTGCCTCTTTTAAGGCAGGCTCCTAGAACTGATGTGTACATCAGAGGAGGCCCCAATTGATTGCAACTAGTTCCTTCAAGGAAGTTACCCAACAGGACTGCATGCTTTGCTATTCGAATGTTTTCAGCAGCTCCTTTATGGAAGCTGCTTGCATTTCAAAACTAAATATTTTTGCGTCGTGTTTGTTTTAGGGATCTTGAAGGGCCTGTGCACGCTGTCTTGCCAGCACTGAACATGGCAAGTTGTTGCAAGTGCATTGCAACCTAACCATACTCAGCATTCATCGTGGATTCACCATTGTACATCTGGACATACAAAGACAATAAAGCGTTACCAGCATGCGCATGCATGCAGAGCACATTATGCATTTGCTCAATAAGACTGGATGCATGCTCTTACATGTGCATCGAGCCGGTGACTCTACCTCTGGTGGTGTCACAAATAGATGTGAAGGCGCAATCAGGGGTCAGTACCATGTCAGGCAGGCATGGTCCTTCTTCTGCACAATACTGTGCATCTAGCTTGAGTGGGTTCTTTCAGAAAACCCCAGACACGCTGGAGACTTCCCCAAGGTGTGTAAACATATTCAAGCCCTCTGTAATTGTTCCTCCTGAATTTGTATTCAAATCTGGACCTCAGGCCAAATCCGCATCTGACTCCGACCCCGCCTCTGTTTGCAAAGCTGCGCCAAGATCCCCCAAGTAATCCTCTCGGGAAGAGTCCTTGTCAGAGATGAATCAGGAGATTTAACTGACGCGGGCTCGGGCTTGGGCACGGGCATGGGTACGGGCATGGGCATGGGCACGGGCTCGGGCAGATTTCGAAATTGAATGCAAGCACATGATCCCCCCTTTCTGCTGCACGTGTGCTAGGCAGGGTATCACTCGTTTGTACTCAGGTTCTCATCCCTTGCGCCATGGAATTTATCAGGTTCTCCTTACAATGCCCTGCCTTCCTCTAGGGCTTTATTCTTTATTTTCAAACCGAGCCTAGAGTCATGCATATGCTCTTGCGGCTCTGCCTGCCACGCGTGCATAAATTACGCATGCCAGTATGAATCTTGTCAAGGTGAAATACTGCAAATCACTTCAAGTTATGCTATACTTTTAGTAAATGGATTGTGATCATTCAGATGATGCCGCAGCGGCTGCCAGGTTCTACACATTGGCAGGGTGCTGTCCTGCAACTCACTTCAAGTTATGCTATAGTTTTAGGTAAAAGGAACTTGATCATTCAGATGATGCGGCAGCGGCTGCCAGGTTCTGCACGTTGGCAGGGTGCTGTCTTGCAACTCACTTCAAATTATGCTATAGTTCTGGTGAAAGGAATTTGGTCATTACAACGCAGCGGCTGCCAGGTTCTGCACGTTGGCAGCTGCATGGTGCTGTCCTGCAACCGCCTTCAGGGTCACAGGCTACACATCTTGTTGCAGGCAATCATATCCATAAAACTTTGCTGCGCGCGTGAAGCTTCTTACTTACTGTACTTTATTGGCATACATTGCACTGGGTCTTGCACCTCGGCAAAATGACAGTCCAACCGGAAGACCTTCGGCTTTAACCTGGACTGACGCAAGCCCAATGGACTCTTGCTGACAAAGGTGGCTACAATGTTCATACGCATCCTTTTCAATTGTACGCGAGTCTTGACGAGCCCATATCATACGTAAAATAATATCCAGGATGAAAGGTTTCGTGGAATTGGCTGCCCTGCCCTTATTGTCAGGGCACGTACACCGCATGACCTCTATTACTGATACCAATTCTGCAACCATCAAAATCATCGTTCCAACGTTGAAAGACAACAGGAAGTGCTCAGAGGCACACCTTGTAAATTGCTAAGCCGGAAGCAAGATAATTGGGCACCTTGATGGCATCAGGCTTTCTGTACACAGTGCCTCAACCCCCCCGACTCAAGGTCTTTTGCGCCGCCTACGTCTGCCAAGACAACAACGTCCCCCCGTGTCCGCGCACAATCCTCATCACCGCTTTGACCGGGAATTCTGTGCGGCGCTGTCGCCGGCTTTCACTCCGGCGGCCTCCAGGGCCTTGCGCTTCTTGCCGCTTCCGACGCCATTTGTCAGCGGCGTAGCCGGCTGAAGCTTCCCGGGGGCGGCGGCCGGCGCTGGCGGCGCACCGGGAGATGCGGCGGCTGCCGCTCTCGGCGGCTGTAGCTCCGGCCGTTTGTCCTCCCCTTCCCCTAACGCCTGTGGCATCATCCAAAAACCATGGATTCAGGAACAAACCTGGGAGCAGCAACATCCTCCAGCTGTCAGACACATGAAACAGAGATCATTGCGGCCGAGCAGAGCAATTGTGTCGTTGCATGACCTTGCTTTTGCAATGAGCACTACAAGAGCACTCACTGGGAAAGGCGCACACGGCATCAAGGCACCATCAGCCGTGTGAACAAGCAATCTCTTATTATCTATCATCTGACAGTAGAACTTTCTCAGGGCCAGGTTGTGGCAGATGTGCGCCCGCATGCATGGTGTTGCGGCAGGTGGTGTCGAGGTGCATTGCAGGTATCATCCACGGCCAGCTATCCGCAGGGGCGCACCAGCTCGGAGGCTTTGGAGGGCATGATGTCGGTGAGGAGTGACATGGCGTCGCTGAGGTCATCCAGCAGCCCGCTGACTCGTCCGCTCATGCGCTTCATCATCCCCCGCGTCTCCGGTGGCATGTCCTTCCAGGGGGCCGGGTACTGCACAGCACACGGCATTCCCTGTCACCCCCCAATCCTTCAGCAACCCTTCATTAATACACACCAGGAGGCTTCAATCAAACTCACTTAGGTTATAGTTCCCTGCATACCCAACTTCAGGAAGAAAAGTAGCTTTGCCCTCTGCTCCTTGATGCGAATAGAAAATAAGTTCTGCGCAGAAAGAAGTTCCCCCTGAACTCTTCATTCCTTCAGATTTGAGGGAGAGGATTGGAGACAGTAAGGCAGGGCGAAGGCCAGAGTGCAGAGTAAATACACTCCTTCACTGCAAAAATCTGCTCATGATGTCTTCCTTGCTGCTCTGCATTGCGTCACGGGAATCGAGAATTATAGTCAGGATGCCAGGACTCCTGCACAAGATCAGCCAAGCGCATCCCACAATCTAAAATCACCCGAGAACCAGCGTTTGTTTAAAGGTGTGGACGCAAATCAGTTCACGTGAGCACATTCAGAAAAAGCTTTTCAACCTGCTGTGCTCTTAAGGAATGACTCCCGGGTCAATGCCAAGAATAGTAAGTTTTCGAGCGCGATGCACTCACCTGCATCATGTCGCTGAAGGTGCGCCAGACGCCGCCGTTGGACGGCTCGGCGGGCGCACCCGAGGCGGAAGCTGCCTGGCTGCTGGGAGCTGCTGGGCCGCTGGTGGAAGCTGCGGCGGGGCCCGGCGCGTCCTGATCGGGCGCCTGTGGCAGCCGCGGAAGGCTGGGCACCTGGAAGAGGCCGTTGCCTCCCGCCGGCGCCGCCCCGAACAGACCCGACAGCTTGCTCAGCAGCGTGGGCAGCGACGCCTCACTCTGTATGTCACACACAAAAATTATAACCATTACACCACCGTTACAGTCAAAGCATCAGGCCCAATAAAACAAATGCGCTGCCGTTAACAAGCAGCACATTGCGTCTGTTCCTAAATCAACCGTACCAGGAGGGCTCTATTACTCTCATTTATATTGACACACGATTACCAGAACTAGGTACGGCAAGAAATCCCTATTTGTGCCAGGAGGGCACTCTACCTAAAGTTAATCTAATACAGGAGGCACAGAGATGGTGTCAGATGACAACTGGAGCTAGTGAAAGATTTCAGATCACATGACTCCAATGCTCCGGTTTCTGTAATTGCTCACAGGATAGCCCTGGACACATCATCGCAGCTGCGGGAAAGGAAAATCCTGAAGGCAAAAGTGACAACTATTGTATCAGCTTTGGCAGAGGGCCCACCTCGCCATAGAGGCGCCGCTGCAGTCCGAGCAGGTGGTCCACCTCGGAGGTGTCCATCATGGGCAGCAAGGAGGGCAGCCCGGGCAGCCCAGCAGATGCGCCTGCGCATGCATGCACACACACCCACATCAGCGCCACTCACGCATGCATGCAATGTGCCGCGACATTTGGTGGCCGATCTATGTCGGAGAATGTCCTCAAACACCACAGGTTTGGAAGGTGGCTTGGCAGGAAGACGCCAGAGCATCGATCTGGCAAAACCGCCAACAAGCCTAACATACATCATCTGGGACCACAGCGGAAGTCAGGGATCTTCAATCCTACACTGCATGAGCAGAATCTGAAACAGAGAAGCAGCGGAATCTAGCATGCTGCCTGCGCCGGACGTAATGCAGTAGAAAGGAGGGCGTATGCCAGGAATAAGTGGGCTTACCGGCTCCGAGGGGGGATGGGGGCGTTGAGTACTGCATGGAGCTGGGGATGCTGGGCACCGAAGCAGCGCCACCCTGCAAGTTGTCAAACGGCGACGGTAGCATCTGCGAGCTGTCGATGTGCGCGCCTGTGACACCAGACAGCAAACCTCAGCATATTTTTGAATTTTTTCTTGGAGTGTACGGCAGTAGGAATGTACCCTAAAAATAAATGAAAGAAATAAAGGATAATACTATAAGCTTGCACAGTCACGATTATTTGTTCTGACTCCTTTACTGAAGGTCCTCAAGTTCATTACTTGACTTGCTCGACACGTGCGAAGCACTGCAGTTTCTGGATGACTTCAGTAGCTTTCTGCACTGAAAACATTTTGCCTGTTACCGACAGGTCAGAGAGGTCAAAGGACTCTTCACAACACCATGGTAGTCTCCAGAACTCACCACTGAACAATAGGTCAGAATATCGTGATGTTTATAGCCTGCCCTGTGACTACTTCAGGACCGAGCAGACCACAAAGCCCACACGTATCAGACCCAATCCCACGTGATCCTCTGGAAGGACAGGGAGCCCTGCTCTAAAGTAAGGGTTACTAACAGAGGAGGTACAGAGCTTGCCTTGTGCTTCCACGCGTGGTGGGTCAGGCACGCGGAAGCCGTCGATCGCCGGGTTGTGCGGCAGCGGCGGCGGCCTCGGCAGCGGCGGCCGCCCAATTGGCAGCATCTGCGAACCCCACAAGGATATGAAATAGCAGGCTTCTGCGCACCATGCGGCGGATCGACACCATAAAAGCAGAACTGACTTACTGCACCTCGATATGCCTGCTTAGGTAAGGCCAGTCTGACCAATAGTTCCACCCTTCTTCAAGCAGCAATGAGGTGCTCAGATGTGCTTTGTTGCTCAATCGGGTGTTCCATACTATCCGAGTATGGAATGGTAGCTGTTGGAAAGAGTCAAAGAAAGCATCCGAAATGGCAAAGGCACAGCATGGAAAGACTGAGGCACCTGTGAGGGCAGCGGTCGGGAAGAGAAGGCAAAGCTGTCGGCGCGCTCGGCCTCCACCGGCGGCTGGCTGGCTTGCGCCAGCACTTGCGGGGGCGACGGCACCTGGCCCTCACCCAGTCGAACTCCCAGCTGCTGCAGAGGAATGCCTGCCAGCGGCTCGTCCCCCGGCCCTGCACGCACATTCCGGTCACTTCACCGCACTTTACTGCCGACCCATTTAGTAACCTCCTACCAAACGCGTCAAGATCCGGCAGCTTTACTGATTGCACGGCATCCCTGGATCGCACTCCCAATCGACCACTCAAGGGTCCGCTGCTGATCGTCAACTGACAACGAGAGCGTGCTGATCTGACAAGCCGCTTCTTCACCAGGGAGGATTTGACAGCTTCCTTTAGCTGGAAACTCTCAGAGAGATTGAGTAACGGTTTGCTCGAGCGAGGTGGCCACCTTGAGGGGACCATGGAGTGCGTGGCATGCACTGCAAAAGCAAGTGCAGCCGATACTCACCTGCAATGGTGATTTAGCCCCCGTTAATCACGCTCAACCTCTCTGAGTTTCTAGCCAACTCCAAGGGTTATGTCAGCAGCGCTGTGGCAGTGCAAGGCAAGGGAGCGCATAGATTGCAGATTTGGAGTGCACAAGGGAGCGGCTGCGACTGCAGCAGGCTAATTTTCGGAATAAAATCACTTCGTGCATCGCTAAGCTATAGTATTTGTACTATCAGGTAGGAGGAATCAAGCCAGAGAAGATATGTACCGTGGGGCAGGAGGCTGGAGCGGGAGTGGGAGGTCGGGGGAACGGGGACGACGATGTGCACGCGACCGCGCTGCAGCTTGAGCTCGGTGACAAACCCCTCGCTGTCCATGCCCCAGATGCACCAGCCGGGGTGGCCGGGCCGCTGCCAGGACTCGGCCGCCCGCTGCTGCAGCTGCGCCGCGAATCGCCCCTCGAATGGGTCCTGCAGTGATGCCAGCGTGGCCTCCATCCTCACCTGCTCCGGCCCCTCCATGCCCACCTTCTGCAGCAGCCCTGCACCGCGCACAAGTTCTGCTGAGGTGCAGATTCTAAAGAAATCAGCGTCTACTGCCGATATGCCTTTTGCACTGGACATGCGGCCTAACTGCTTGGCTGCATGGGGCCATCTGTGTGCAGACCCAACCCCGGAACCTTTTTCAATTTGAGCAGAGGCGACTACATCGATGTCAGAGCATACGCCCACCATTTGTGTGCAGACCCAACCCCGGAACCTTTTTCAATTTGAGCAGAGGCGACTACATCGATGTCAGAGCATACGCCCACCCTCATCTCAAACAGCATACCTGGAAGTGTTTCCATGCGCAACTCTCCAACATGCTGCTGGACGGAGTATTGTGCATCCAGCTGTTGGACGTCAGCATGCAAACAAGAGAGCTGCCTCACCAACGGGGGCGTCGATGAGGATGCGACCGAGGTTGCAGCGGAAGAGGAGGCCCGTGGAGAGCGAGTCGTCAGCGGTCCAGATGCGCATCCGGTTGTCGGTGGTGACCGCTCTCAGCGCGTGCTTGCGCGCGCCATCCCAACCCTTGGCCGTCAGATTCAGCGCCTTGCGCAGCGACTCCTGCAGCGGCTGGTCCTTCTCCGCGCTCTCCACCAGCTCCTTGAATTGCCCCACTGCGCGTGCAGCATGAAGCGAGTTCGCATTGCATCAAAGCCACGAGGCAGCCCATTCTCTCTACATGGGGCTCGCACTGCGCGTACACACTCCCGCCCTCAGAGCGACGGCGATGACAATTACACCAAGGCAAGACATCTAAAGTCATGACAGCCTGGCGAATGCCTGTAGCATCACCTCTTAAGAGGTGCAATTGACAATGGAGCTCAAGTGCAAGCTCCCAGTATAGCCAAAACAAGCACCAGGCCACTAGTGAGGAGCTCTAGGTCAAGAGACATGGCTCATCCTTCTACCACAGGGTTTGCATTCACCAATTCTGTGGTGGACAAGATGTGACATGTCCACTGACCGCCCCAATTAGTATTTAGTACCAAAGGACTGCAGCTGCAAGGCGGTTGTAGCGCACCAGTGGTGACGCTGTTGTGCACGACTGATAGGTTGTGGATGCCCACGGCTGTGGCAGCGGCCTTGATGTCCAGCAGCTTCTGCTGTGTCTGCAGGCCCACGCACTCCACCTTGCTCACATGCTCCTCTATGTGCGGGATATCCGGCTGCACAGCCACACAGAACATCACCCATACAGATTATCACCATCACGCGCCAAGGGAGGCATGGCGCGTCTGCAGATGGGCTGCACCTTAAGGTTGCCACAGGCTGGTACCCTTAATGGACTTGCCTCATCCTGAAAGACTCAGCAAAATCAATTTCCAATAAATGATGAGTGTGACCTCCTCGCAGAATCAGCTTGCTAGAACAGCAGCACCCTGGCATCCATGACTTTTATAAGATCCAGTAGTTGGTAGGAGGGATGTCTGCCTGTGACGCGTGCAGAAACCGATTGGAAGTTCCTACAACGGCCGTTGCCAAGGGCAAAATGAAGTACCTTCTGCGCGGTCTTCACGCGCTGCGTGGCGACAACGAATGCGTCGCTGACCGCTGGCTTGATGTGCGGCAGGCGCTCGCCGGTGGAGCCGCGCACGGCGCGCGCAAGCAGCCGGAACGGCGGCTTCTGCCCCGTCAGCAGCGCTATGGACGACCCCACGATGCTGCACTGCACCTCCGCCTGCGCGTGACACAAGCCCCATGATGTCAGCACTTTTACAAGCATGCATGCACCTAGATACAGTATGGTTACCCTCACCTGAAGGCAATCGTGGAAGGCACAGACAGCAAATAGCGGATGCTGGGCCTGTGAGAGGACCACAGGCTGAGCATTTGCAATAAACTGTCTGTGTCTTCCACTGCCTTTGGACCAAGACACCATGACGTGAGAGACGGTTAGAATCTTGAATATTGATAGATATGTTAACTTGACAACAATGAAGCACGACCAGGCATGTGATGACTCGATCGTCCTCCATGCATGAAGAAGGCTTTTGGCCCCACCTGTCCGTCAATCAGCTTGGATAGGATCTTATTCTCAGAGCTGAGCTCCTCGTCTGGCCCAGGGCCAAGCAGCGATTTGCCTGCGTTGCTGGTCAGCAGAGTGCAGCTCTCCAGCACCTCCTCAGATTCCACGTCTGCATTCTGCTCCTCAAAGAGCCTGCCATCCAGGATGCAGATCTGCACCCGAACACACTTGACATCAAAATGGTGCAACGGCTGTCAGCTTCCGGTGACCGCGCACATCATCTCTTTTCGCTGGCCTGGATTAATTTGACTGGACGCCTCTGGTTGTCAATGCCCCTGACACCGGAGGCATATTTGCAACAAGCAATTCCACTGGCATGTGAGCGAAGGTGGAAATCCATCGAGGCTCCTGATGGTCTCTAGCGACACGTTTCTGTGAGCTCTTGCATGAACTCCTTCACAATCCCTGGTTTATAAAGCTCTACTCAAGAAGTTTTCTTACCTCCACCTGTGTGTCCCTGAGGACATGCGCGGGCACAGAGTCCCCAGTCCTCCTGTCGATGACCTCCAAGCGGATGCGAGCTCCACATTTTGCCTTGAGGACATCGCCCGACAGGTACTTGCCGGCAAATGTGGATGTACACCGGCGGTGCGGCGTCTGCTTGCACAGATTGCAGTCCAGGTCCAAGCAGCCCAGGCTCCTGGAGTGCAGAGATACCCCTTTCATATGGGGCGATCTGAAGAACTGTTCTACCTGAAGCATAAGCTTGCCAAGGAAGCGTGGGTCACCAAAATACGATAAAATTCAAGGGACATGATTATTTGCTTGAGACATTACACAAGAGAGCACGACAATATGCCGTTGTGGGCACAAATGCAGAGGTCTCAGCCAATTCCGCATATTCGTCTCTGATGTGCCAGCATGATGAAAAATGAGCAAAGAACAGTTGAATAGTTTTCTTTTCGCACATGCAGTCGTGGCGGAACACAAGTCCACACTGGGCTGCTGCAGGACTCCAATTCCCTTCCACGGAGAGCTCTGCCAGTGTCTCGACTGCAGCATTCTGAACGACGCTGGGCGACAGATGCAGACGCTGGGCAAATGCCTTCTCTCCAGAGAATGCTGTGATTCTTTCGCGGACATATCGCTGCAGCAAACAAAAAGCTAAAGACTTAGTTGGGCAGGTAGATGTAAACGGGTTCTCGAGGAAATTCTTGTTGGGGAGAAAGACACTGGGCAAAAAGTAACAATGCAGAATACTGCGAATGGTGCTGCGTCGATTGATCACACATCAGATATGGGCATTTACCTCCAAGGGCTTTGCATTGACACTGCGGAGCTCAAGGGGCAACGCGTGGTGTGGTCCCAGCGTCATACTGACAAGTGTCTATCAGCATGCACGGTCTTTCTACTTGTTCAGGAAACCTTCGCATCGCCAGATCACGGTGAACTTGCCAGCATGTGCGCCCTGCTGAAAGTGACTTCAGCCGAGATCTGTTGCCTATCTTGGCGAGCTCTCAGAAAAACCCCTTCGACTACAGCACCGTCTCAATCTGGCAGCTTTGTGGGCTCGGAGTGATGCATAGGCGTTCACGAAGGCCAAGGCATGAGTGAAGGGCTGCAGAATTTGTGGTACCGACCAGGATGACTCTCGAAACTCCAGTGTCGACGGTCCGGACAAGTCTGAGCGAGACAAAAACCGCTTGCCAGCTCTCGAGACCGGTGCCAGCGACCAGGCACAGTTGCAGGTACAGCAGCATAACATCATCCGAGATTATTAGCAACACCCGATGTGATCAATCTCATGTTCCGACAAAGAGTGGCCGAAAGCCCTTCGTGATCCCTTGAGATTTCCGAGACTGTTCTGTGAACAAGGCTCTCTTGTGGTGGACAATCCTGTTGCCAAATTATGTTATAATGCTCTCAAAGGCTCGAATATGAAACAGTTGCTGCTTTCGTGTGATCAATGAAAGAATAAGTAAACTCACTATCACAACTGGATCTGGTGTCACACAACTCCAGAGTGAGCAACAGCGAGCATCCTGATACAGCAGTCTCTTCTTGTCAACGCTTCAATAATATCCAGGAACAGAATAGAACAGATCGCGAGGTATTTAATCTATAAAGTAATCCTTTCTGAAAGCTCTGGTTGCCTGTGTCTGCAGTCGCCTGGACTTCACAGTCTATGCTGTGAACCGGCTACCATTCGTGAAGGCGAGCTGTCGCTCGTTGGAGGCGCCTCCATTGCACAGCGAGGGGGTGGTGCACCACCCATTCGTGGCTTTCTTCACATCCTTCTCGAGAGCAAAGGCAGCGGCGTGTTGGCTCAGCGAATGCGGGGAGGAAGTCTATGTGCATCGCTTTAGAGCCAACAATAGTGTGGAGGGCAAATGGCATCCCCTCAGGTGGGTGCTGTCAGTGCAAAATCAGTGCATCTTGCCACATCACTGACATGAATCTGTGGCAGGAAGATGTCGTTTACACCAGCAGATCTCCATTGCCTCTCATCTGACTGTGCTTGTGCTGGGCAGGCCTGGGCAGACCACCAACCATCCAACACAGATGTGCCACTATGCCTCGACCGGCATAGCCTTCAGGGATTGGCCGGTGCAGCGACAGCTTGCAGCCGACAGAAAGAGCGGCATGGCGCATAGGGAACCAATCAATGCATTCCTGGTGACCAGCATGCCCTCCCTGCATTCATATCAGCGATACAATGCTCTCTTGATACCGCAATTGCTTCTGATAGGCATCCAAAAGCCACATCACAGGATGCCGCTCTGCTGAGGTTTCAAAGACAGAGCATGATCCACAGTGACCAGGCTGGACATAGCACAAGAAAACATATTTGAGAGAAAAAGGGAAATGATGAAGAGAAGTTGACCGCGCCCAGGTGGGAGTGAACGCAGCGCCAGACGAGGCGCCTCAGTGGCGGCACTACAACTTCTTCACGGTGGGCGTGTTCACATCGGAGGTGCGCGCGAAGGCATGCGTGGCAGAGCGTGGCCATACAGCTGTCTCCATGTGTCCCATCACACTCAATGCGCCGCTCTTCCCCTGCCTCAGCTCTGCGGTCCTCTCAGCCCACCAGACCCGCCTCCTGGTGAGTCACCGTTTCAGTGCCACTTGCTCGGTTGAGCCACAGGAACTGCCAGATATCAGAGACCCATTCATCTTCTTCTCCTCTTGCTTTGGTCTGCCTGCCTCAATTAAGCGTCACATGTGGCAACATGCACGTTGTTGCTGCCCTGTGAGTAACCTGTTCAATGCAAGCTTGAGCAGCTGTCAGATGCTTCCTTCAGTGCAAGAAGTCACGTAGACTTCTGAGGCTGGGGAAGGTCCGTGTGAGCCTAGGAGACTTCTTGAACTTGAGGAATCACCACCCTGCATGTATAGGGGCAAGTGTATTGGTCTCAGTGCGGTGCTTACTTGCAATGGATGCCTCACTTGCCAAGGAAAGTACCTGCAAAGGTATGTTGGCATGTGCTGAAGCTGATTAGCGCGCAGGTGCGATCGGCGACGATGTTTGTGGATCACAGCGAGGACGCAGAGAGGGAAGGTGGTGTCATGAGCGACATCATGGCGCAGATCTGGGACCTTGTGCTCGACAGGCATCAGCACCCCTGCAAAGCCGACCCTCGCGCCAGCAAAGCAGCAGCGAGGCAAACACCGGAGCTTCTGTCAGAGGCAGATGACCTGTTGCTCAGCAGGGACAGTAGTGTGGAAAGCTAGCATCACAGGAGGAAATATGCAGACCAGTAGAGGGTGCGGGATAATGTGTCATGATGTGAAATAGCAAAACAGTTGTACTTGCAGCACAGCAGGCTCAGGGCCACAGCACTTCTTAAAGAGGAGACATTTTGTGATCCTCGTGCGCTCCCCAGCATTGTCAGGATCTCCTGTATTTTAGGCATCATGACAGAGGGCTGCCGTAGCTGAATGAAGCTTTCATTGGGCTAGAAGGCCGAACTTTTTGTGTATTCCTCTTTTATCTGATTGGATTCCTTGGATGGCTCAGCAGATTCTGCTGTACGTAAACGATCAGCTGGAATGACTGAACAATTGCTGGGATGACAGGCAGGTGCACTGCACAAGCTGAACGCCTGATGTGTTTAAGTCACCTTTGAATGACAACTTCTCTGGCTCTGATGTGCATGAACACATGCTCTGCAGCGTTCATGCAAGAGCATCTCTTCACACAGGGCTGTGGTTTACACACTACATGAGCCTTGGCGTCACCATCATTGATAGGACTTTTGGGATTGTGACAGATATTGAGAGCCTGCCTTTTGCACCCGGCTCGAGTTGGCTCGCAGGGATTGGCAGGAATAGCAATATGCTGTTGGCATGCATTTCAATGTTGAGGGATTGCATCCTAGCAAATGCAAGCTTTGCAGAGACTCAGTACCAACGCAGCGGTAGTGCAGAATGCACTTTGTATGTGTCCTCTTAATCTGTGACTGATTGCATTGTGGACCCATGCTTGAAAGGCATTCAGTTCACATTTGTTCAGTGCCGGTGGCAACCTGTAATCCTTAACGTAAAGGTTGGGCCCTTGAAGATTGGGCCTGTTGCAAGCTTGGGCCTGATGCAAGCTGTCACTTTGCGGCCCGCTTGGGAGGTACATGCTTGGGCACCGCAAGCGATGGGCCTGAACAATCCTTGACGCCCGCATTTAATTTGTGCTGTGAAAGTGAGACACCTCACACAAGTGCCACCAGTGGTTGGCGGCGGTGGCGTTGAGTATTGCGCGCGGCCCTGCCAGTGGTCACGACATGCAATGAAGTGGCCATAAAGTGGCCAGTACTGATGAATTGATCAAACATGCATGTGGTGGTCATGAGCGCACGCCTTTCAGGGCTGCATGCGCAAGCTGCCAGCCTTAGTGAGCTGCGCAGCCTGTGTGTGCATGTATAGCATGAGTTTGGCAAGGGGTGGGCTGACTGGCTTCAAGCAAGTCGCTGCGCGGCCCGGCCTGGGCCCTGGCCCGGGCAAAGTTCAGACACAGCCTGGAAGGAAGTAGGAAGAGCTCTCGAGGGGCTATATCTGACTGCAACACACTGGCAGCCTACCCCAGGAGAGCACGGGCAATTCCAGGTATCTCTGGGTCTGAAAGATTACACTATCCCTGCTCCAATTGCAAGGAAGGAAGGAAGGAAGATTACATCACTCCAGCCGCCTAGGGCTGATTGGATGAACTGGCAGCATCCAAATAATCAAAACAATCCATCACAAAATGTGCAACACCAACAATGTCCAACTGCCACATGAATTGCTGCATCGTCACAATGGCTGCACCAAACAGCCCAGGATATCTGTCCCGAACAGATTGCAAGGCAGGGCACTCAAACACAAGGTGGCGCTCATCCCCAATAACCTGCTGGGCACAACGCATGCACAAACGCTGGGGCCGGGGAATCCTTGCCCAGCGGCCCGAGACATTGGGCAGACTATGACAACCCATCCTGAACTTCAACAGTATACGCAAGCAACGGGCACTCAAAGGCTGCTGTAAGAGCTGGCAAGGTTGCCCACCATTGGCTGGGCAGGGCACCTCCTCAGGAGGAACGCCGCTCACCTGCCCTTCAAAGCCACAAGCGGGATTCTCCAAAGAACCGCCCTTCCACCCATAGAATTTTCTGTCAGATACTTCTACAGCGCGTCCATTTGCTCCTCATTATGTGCATCCTACAATCTAGGCATGTGTAACACACGCGTGGACTGCACGCAGTGCGTGCAGCACTGTTGAGAGCGTCTATCATAAGTAAGGTTGTCTACGCGGTGTCGCCTGCTCCCCTGTGCAGATATGACCAAAGAAGGGCTTGAAGAAGGAGAGCTTGAAGAGGGAGAGGTAATCGAAGATGTAAGATTCACCCCTTGCTCACACACACTTCACGCCTTCCCGGGAGTCACCAAGATCCTTGATGTACACCTTTCATACGGTTGCTTCTGCTATTGTTTCTTTCATTCACCTTCGGCTTGGTTGTTCTCTTGGATTCTATACAGCGCTTTCGATTTCCCTTACCAAGGTGGGAAAGAGGCAACCCTTTGATGACAACTCACTGGCCAAGCACTGTCTACAGCCCGCCCACACCTGCAAAGTATATTTGTCCCTGCGAAATTTTTTTGTCTTGAAATCCGTATTCATTGCATCCATGGTGAAAACAAGCCCGCTGACCCCCACATGCAGGCACCAATCCCAGGCCCTCGGTCGCCACCAGCAGCTCACTCAGCTGCGCAGACCCCACCTGATGGTTTCCAGCGCCCAGCCCCTCTTGAGACCCAGAGTGACCGCACCCCTGCCAGCTTTGCCAGCGGCTCATCCAGAGAATCAGCAGAGCCAGTCCCTGCCAGCCTCCAGACGCTAGAGCCGTCCCCAGCTGTGACTGGATGGCAGCAGAGGCCGCCCAGCAGGTTTGCACCTTTCACTAGCAGAGCGTCGCTGCTGCAGCACGTGCCAGTGCAGCCACAGTCCAGCGGCAGGAGCCAGCTATCTTTGTCTGATCAGACGACTGTGGAGCCCCGGCGCTTGCCCTCCTCCGGTGCGACAGCGCAGGCCACAGATGATCCGCCACACAGCGCCAGCCGCTCTGCCCGCAGTCCCATCGCACCAAGCAGGAAGCGTGAGAACCTGCGTGAAAGGTGCGCATTGCACCATCTTTGCAATTAATGCTGTGCCTCCCTTTCCTGAACTACCGTATATTTTCTTTGTTGTTTTTTGCCCCCTTAGAGGGAAATTGTAGTGGTTGGAATTAACTGTGGCCTGGGGACATGGCAGGGAGTTCAGAAAGCAGCAGGAGTCTAGCGCTCCTCCAGAGCCCAGGTCGCGTAGCAGCTCAGTAGAAGCAGGGCAGATCAAGGCAGAGGCGCTGCCTCTCACTGATGCCAGAGCAGCGCGCAGTAGATCCAGCCCTCGGGGCCAGGACCCGGAAGGCAGCGAGAGGGAGACGGGCAGGGGTGCAGCCGATGCAGGCCGCTGTAAGCCGCGAGATCGGCGCAGGAGCAGAGACGGCAGCGAGCCGTTGACGGTCGCGGAAGAGGCGGCCAGGCGGCAGCGGAGGGAGGCAGAGCGTGTAGAGTGGGAGCGGACACGTCTAGAAAGGGAGCGAAAACACAGGGAGAGGGAGGCGCAGCGGGAGAGGCAGGAAACGCAGCGGGCAAAGGAGAGAGCAGAGCGGCGGCATAGAGAACGGGAAGAGCGAGAAAAGAAAGAGTGGGCCGAAGACGCGACCCGGCTGGCCTCCCGCATCCACTCCCTCTGCGAAGATTGCACCATGAAGGAGATCATGACGTGCGCGGCTCTACACCCGTTCTTTTCCCTCTCTCCTTACACCCAAAAACCTCCAAATATCACCAGCACACAAGTCAAAGCTATGAACAGCTCCGAACAATCGCTGCTGCATTCCCCGACGACCAACCCACTTGGCATCGCTTCAGAGACTCAATACCCTCATCAGCAGCTGGCGGTCTTCTACTGGGAATTGATTCAGATTGTGCGCACCCTCCTGCAGGACCCTGATTGGTATCCCCTACTGCAAGTGGGTTGAATGAATTGAGTCCGGTATCAATTTACAGTCTGAGCAGGTCTGCTACAATTACTAATGAGGCAGCCCACATATACATGTATAAAGTCATCCTCGGCAATATCGATAAGCGTTGGAGAGCTTCACACTGCGTTACAACACCTGGAACCTCCCAAGTGTATATCATGCATGTACTCTTCTTTGTTGCGCACATCATGAGGAGCCTATCTGACATATGGTATCATCGCCAGCACTGCTAGAGCACACATGCCAATCAAAGCATCTGCTCCCTTTATGTCTGTCACAAAATGACTGAGCGTGCATTGGAATGACATGGTACCACCTGGCGGCTTGTTTGATACTAATCTCATGCGAAAGTGGCACAGACTACCCGCTCGATCAGGAGTTGCTATCGCTACAGGATATATTACAAATGTATCTCACTGCCCCACACAACATCGTACAGATGAAATGCTGAAAGGGCATGGCCTTATACACTTTGTGCCTTACATGCGCAGGTCACTAGACACCGTGGTCACAAATCTGCTGTCAGCTCTGCTGAAGCTCTACTCTATTCACAGGCTGCATAAGAAGGTCAGCCCTTACCACCTCCCGAGTACATCCTGTCAGCCCTGGCTATGTACATCTCGTGCTCATGAAGACGCCTCTCTATGTGTCTCAGACTGAGGCAGTCTCGTAAAAATCTCTTTTGGTATTATGGCCTGTTGCAGATGCGTGAGGCTGGGATGGACACAGACATCGACCCGGCAAAACTGGCGGCTGGCATCATGGAGGGCTTGCGGCAGCTGCGTGTGTTCTCACAGACTGGGGCCGGCCAGTCGGCGCTGCGCTCGCATGCCGAGGCTCGGGAGCTGGTGCGCAGCGCCATGCGCGATCGGCACGAGGCATTCACCCCCGCCCAGCAGGCCACATTGGAAGGCCTCGTCAAGGCATCCGCGGTAGGGCTGTCTGCCATCTGCGCCTCCACATTTACTTAATTTTTACTTGCAAGGTGTTCTCGAGTCTGGGGACTTCAAATGCTGTGGTGGTTCCCCTGCCTCTCAAGCCGTCAGGACTGAAGACCTGTATTTTTTGGCTTGCGAAACAGGTGTTCACTGCCTTTGTCAACGACGGGACTTCTCCGGTACAGACGCCACCAAAGGCGACCAACGCAGCGACCGGCGCAGCAGCGCAGCCGCCGGGGCTGTCCGGTGCCGCGCAGCCGCGCGCAAACGGCGTTGTGTCACCCATCGGCAGGCATGCCTCTGCGCCTCAGAAGCGGCAACAGGCGGGAGCGGCCGGTGCCAATCAGCCGACAGGCAAGCGCCAGCGATGGGAGGCAGCGCCTCAGCAGAACAGCGCGCGCCAGCTCAGCGCCGGCCCCGGCAAGCCGGGAAACGGTGCGGCTGCGTCCCGGCCGCCGGACTCGCCACCGAGCCCGCTGACGCCGCCGTCCAAGCCGGGGGAGGCTGAGCCAGAACGGGATGACATATCGATCTTGTCAGACAGCCAGAATCTGTACGCGGATGGCGCAGCCGAGCCCGGCGATGAGGCTGCGAGCAAAGCTCTAGAGGACTTCCTGCCGTTCAGCCCCGACACTCCCTCGGAGACGCCCGAGCGTGCAACCCCCGCCGTGCCGGGTGATGACTCAGCCACTGCCGCCTCCGTGCAGCCGGCATCGGCAGCGCCGGTGGCCGTCCCGGGGCTCCACGATGCCTCAGCGCCTCCGCAGCGTCAGCGCAGCGGCCAGCCCTCAGAGACAGCTGCCGCACGTGCTGCTGCAGGGGGCCAGGAGGGTGCCACTTCAGGGCAGCAGGGGGATGATGCAGTTGACAGGGGGTCAGGGGACGCGAGCACAAGTGGCCGGGCGCTCCACAGCGCATACCGGCAGGCCGGCCCGGTGGGCGCCCTGCTGCGGCAGCGGCGGCTGTGCCTCGTGCTGGACCTGGACCACACGCTCGTCAACTCTGCCAAATTCAGCGAGGTCGAGCCGGAGCACCTCAAGGTGAGCTGCCCTTGCAGACGTCATCTGTTACTTCTCAGACAACTGTATGTGAGCTATCAATCTGAAGAGATAGGATCCCTCTACACGTCAGGCATGGGGGACTCCTGGTTGCTCAGCGGATCAGGAGCAAGGAGAGAGAAGTGGTCACAATCGTACCGTTCCCAGCACAAGAGGAGTAGCAACCCTTTCAGCTGTGCTTTGCTGTATAGATTCAAAGCGCACTGTCTCAATGCATGATGTTTACCAGTTGCCAATGCGTCAGGAATCTAAACATTGCGTCGTGTGCTGTGCCAGCTGCTGGAGAGGCAGCTGCAGCGGGAGGCGGCGCTGCCTGCGGAAGAGAAGCGGCTGCACCGGCTGGACCGCATTGCGATGTGGACTGCGCTGCGGCCGGGCCTGCGCCAGATGCTGGCGGCTGTGGCACCCCTTTTTCAGCTCTGGATCCAGACCAACGCCAGCCGGTGAGCGCCTCGCCCGTTTACCTGTGTTGCCCGGAATATTGCTCCCCACAACGCCAATCAAATTTATCTTTTTGCAAGGTTTTGCGCCCCTTGTGCCAAGTGCACCCTCCGGACGAGACAGGGTGGCTGTGATTGATCCCACTTTGGACCCCATTCATTACTTCTGTGAATCTTTGCATTTCTTGTGGTTCCAAGCTGATTACTTGCGCAGCTTGCAAATACTGTGTGCAATTTTTCTTGATCCCTATATCATCAGATTGCTCAAGCCAGGCCTGCCTGTTACATATCTCTGCTATGCAAGCCCAAAATCGTTGCCCCATCTAGAGGTCATCTGAGTACTAATGACCAGAGGAATGCATTGGTCATGAAATGTCCAGACTCTCAAACTCCAAATCTCACTGTAAATGGCTGTGGCCAGGGCGTACGCGCTGGCTATGGCAGAGCTGCTGGACCCCACAGGTGAGCTCTTTGGGCAGCGCATAATCTCCAAGGGCGACGACGGCTCCGCGCTGATCAATCACAGCAAGCGCCTCATGCAGGTGCACCCATTACTCGTCCCTGCACCAATACTCATCCCTGCCAGCACCTCTGCCCTGCATTTGTGATTCTCTCTGTATTACTCCCCTGCGCCAACAATAGCACTCAGTCAACTTCTGACACAAAGAGAAGACACATTGTGACAGCTACTGGTCACAATTAACTTGACTAGACAAAGAAGTCATCACTTGTCGTTACATTTTAGACCTGTCGGGAGCCACCTGAGGCTCATTGTTCTTGTGGGCAGTCTTCCACCGCCCATCTGAATGTCACAAATCTCTGATGTGTCTGCACTCTGTCAAAATTCTGGCAAATCTGAAACTGTTCCGGCCCAAAATTTCGCCAAAAATCTCAGCATCAGGACTGGTGTGGAGCAGGGATTGGAGGAGTGCGAGGCAGTGTGCATCATAGTGGATGACTCGGACGATGTCTGGCGGCACCATGCGCACAACCTGCTGCACGTGGAGCGCTACACCTACTTCCCCTCCTCGCGCCGCCAGCTGAATCTGCGCGGGCCCTCCTTCCTCGAAGCCCACAAGTGGGGGCCCTTCTTGCCTGCCCCATGCACATTACTCATGCCAATTCTGCACCCCACTTGGAGGTCAAGGAGCCCTGACTGCGGCTGGCTTGTCGACAAACATCCGGTCAACCTGTGTCTTGAGGTGAATTGAGCTCAAATTGGACGTTCGTTACCTCATCTCCCTTGGGGGATCAGCCCTGTTCGGAGGGCCCTTTACCAACACTAGAGACGCCAGAACAAGCATCAGGGAGATACTCTGTATTGGACAATACCATATTCTACTGAGAATACTCATGCCGAAACCCATGCCACCTTGCGTGCTGCAGGGATGAGTGCGACAAGACGGGCATTCTGGCGGTGACACTCGGCGTGCTGCTGCGGGTGCACATCGCCGTCTTTGCCGCACTCGACGCGCCGCCGACGGCCGGCATCCGCGAGGAACACCATTGGGACGTTCGTCATGTGCTCGGCCTTCTGCGCAAGCAGGTGCCGGGCTACAGCTAAACTCTCTCAACCTTGCACTTTTTCCCCAAAGCCTATTCTTTTACAGGCGCTTTTATCCTCAAGCCCGCACGTGCTGGGCCACTTCTTTGTGTTGTCTTTTTGTCCGAGCCCACAGGCCAAGCAACACACACACTTCATCTGTCTCCTTTGAGTGCGTCTTGCACACATTGTTGTGACTTCTCAAGGCCAGAATGCAGGGTCTCCAGACCAGAAAACGTCTACTCCAGGCCATTCTCATTAACAAAGTTGCACTGCTGCCCCTCCCCTCCCTCAAGGCAACTTCAGAGTGCTCAAGGAGCCCAGTTGGTCTTATTTTTTCGGTTGTCAGGACAGCCCCTTTCCCTGACTGCCACAACTGCGCGTGGGCCCTCAATGAGTCATACACCGGAGCTGACTGGCAGCCGAATCCGGGCAGGTGCTGCTGGGGGTGCGGGTGCTGTTCTCCAAGGTGTTCCCTCTGGGCCAGGCGCCCAGCGAGCAGCTCTACTGGAAGCAGGCCGAGGCCTACGGCGCCTCCTGCACCAGCCAGCTGGATGAGCATGTGACCCATGTGGTCGCCCTTTCGCGAGGCACCCACAAGGCTCAGTGGGCGCTGCAAGCCGGCAAGCACGTTGTCTCGCCCGCCTGGTGCGCGCCCTATGTATACAGCCCGCATGCACAAAATCTCAGGGGGTTAGAAGATGATGTCACCCTTCCAACCTGTCTAGCATGGCTGCTGCAATTGCATTTTCAGCTTTAGAGGGGCTGAAATGCCTGTCCAGACTCAAGTGCTTCAAAAGTACCAGTTGCTGCTGTCCTTCAAGGAGGGGCTTCAGTAAGCAATTTTTGGCCTGGCTTGCAGGTTGGAATGCTCCTGCACTTTGTGGCAACGAGCAAAGGAGCGCGCGTATCCAGCTCCGCCTTGAAGCAGCAAATACATGTACCAGCAGCACATGCTCATCGACACAATTGTGGCACTGCAATTCACTCCTTCTCTTTGCACTGCGCCGCCCTCCATTGTGTCAGGAGATTACGCGGGAGTGGACACGTGAGGAGCCACCAAAGCAGCAGGTTCCCCAGTACAGTGATCTGCAAGGGCAACACCCACACGTGTGCACCAAAGTGCTACATAGTGTTTTTTTTGTAGAGGTGTAGCGATAGATAGTGATAGACCTAGATTCTCAGATTTCAGCAAGGAACCACGCCAGCTCAGCATGGCCACGTTCATCAGCACCAGCTGCAGCAGAGGGTACAGTGGAGCGAAGTTGGTCCGCGCAACCGTGGCTACCTCACTCAGCACCAGCAGGTGGCTCGATTTGCTCACTGGAATGAACGCTCCCGCTGAGAAGTGAATGTTCAAGATCACGAATTAAGTTGAACTGGAGAAGACAATCCTTGTCCTTATGTTTTGATATGCCATCTTGCGAGTGCTGAACGCGCTTCGATTCAAAAGCTGGTTGCCCTTCCCCCATCGATATGTATTGTCGATATGTCTGGGCTTCTGATCTTCGAAGATCCTGCTTGCATGCCGAAGCGAACGGCCAGAACTCTTAGCCCTTTAGAACTCCTCACAGACCCCTCCATCTCTGATTGTACAAGAATCCCCACGCAAGTCAGTGTATGCCGCAGTCAAAGAGGAACCACACTTCTAAGCCGAAGGATGAGCACCAGCGGAAGTTACACGACGTCTCCGTAACAGCGTAACGCTCGTCCGGATGTCATTCTGGACACCTTTAAGGCTTTCCGACACTGTGCAAACGCAGCGATGGTGACTTGGAGTCAGTCTGGCAAAGGATACATCCCATTAGATATAAACTCTGTCCAAAAGCTTGCAATTGCATCGGGCTTTGTGTTCGAAGGGGAGCATGATCTGGCGAAAGTAGCAAATCTCGGAGGTATCATCTTAGACACAGCCCATGAAGTCCTTTTCGCAACATGCAACTCAAAATACCCGCTTACTTTAGTGATGTAATCAAGAGAGCTTGTTGCTACCTGCAGCATTCTTCCAGTACTTCGGAGTCACATCTCTTTCTGCCTTCAAGAAGCTCTTCTATACCTGCCGTCTCACAGAGAACGGAAGAGAAGATACCCAGGGTGATCGCCTGATGAACAATCAATCTAAATCCCTTTTGCGTGCCAGCTCCTTTGCATGAGACAATAATGTCCTTCCCTACGCAGAAACATCCAAATGGGTCCAGCAGTGCCTCGAAGGGGAACACTTCGTGGGTGAGACCTCAGATCTCGCTGAAGGAGGTCTCAGGCATGGACTAGGTAGACTGCAGTACCAGGTAGCAAATCTAAACAATCCCTCCAGTGTCGAAATTTAATCAATCAAATCACATTGCTGACCCTCAGTAACACGCCTATGCATATGTCAGGTGGGCACAGGCAGCGCAGTGTATCTCGGCCAGTTTAAGAATGGAGCGAAAGAGGGATTTGGCGTACTCATTGCCAGTTCCGGGCACAGATATGAGGGGCAATTTCAGGACGATGTGATGTGTGGGCATGGTGCGCTCGACAAGCCTCTATTCGAATTCATAATAGCAGCATGAGCAATGACTGGATTCGCACCCATTGTGCACATTGAGTTCCTTTTGGGGTGTCCCATGCGACCCTCTGTGACACTGTCCCATGGTGAAACCAAGATTCTAATGCGTCAGGTGTCTTTCTGTATCCAAGCAGCACGGCGCAGTCTGAGAGGCCTGCCAGGTTTGAGGGCTCCTTCAATGGGAAGCCGAATGGCAAAGGCATCTACACCCTTTGCAATGGGAGGCAGGCATGTCCCCCCCTTATCTCTTACTCTCTTTAGTGACTACAGTTAAGTCTCCACTGGGACTCTTAGTACTTGAACATGCGCATCTCAAGGTCATATCTTTTACCAGCAAGGGATCAGATCTCAGGACTGAGCAGCTGTGGCTAAATTCAAGAGCTTGTGGAACTCATCACAGCTCCATGGCACAGGAGCATGGGATATACAACGGCACCACGAAGACGGGGGACGCTGATATGCTAGCCTGCACCTCTGCGGCTGCTTTAGCACGGCGGCATGCGGAGGCAGCACAGAGGGTGCAGCGTCAAGTGGAATCAGAGCTGAAGCGTCACAGCAAGACCACACTGCTAATCGAAGCACCAAAGCTGGTATAGCACCGAGACATGAATTGTCGGTCAATATAATGGACCTTCCGGGATGTGAAATATCTTTGTGACTGCAGCAATTTCAGTGCAGACAGGGCCTTAGTAATCTTGGTAGCCCTCTGAGAATGCCCAGAAGCCCAAGAGCAAATTTCTGCTATGGTACCGGTGATCACCACTGACAGTAATCCTATCCGGTGTAACCCGGGAAATTAGGGATACAGTACACGCCTGAATGGTTACATGTTGACCTTCTCAACACATAGCAGATTGCATAGCAGATTGTCGAAGTTGCAAATGATCAAATCGACACCCGGGCACACTTCTGATCAACAAGGCACTTTTGCACACAGCGGTGTAAAACAGGGCATGCCTTTCCTCTGTACTCCGGAAAGAAAGCAACAGCCTTGATTCTCATCTGCAGATTGCCAATTCCAGAAGAGGCATGATTGACAAGTACAATCCAGTCCACTTGTAATGTTGCACTGGTACACAATTTCTGCCGGCAAACGCATACTCATACATCGCCTTATCTCGCGCTGCTTCATCAGCATATCTGAAGGCGAAAAAAACACAATGATTGCATCACAGTTGCAATTCTCAATCTCGACCACAGGCCAGACTTGCCTATCTGTTAGCAGCACCTCTAAAAGGGTGCATGTTTGCGACACAGTTGGGCCCATCCGAGGACTCGTTCTTTGCAAAGCACACAGAGCCGACACAAACATCCAGCAAAATCAGTTCTTGAATCTCCAATTTCCTGTCGGTACACAGATGCATTCCAGTGGCAAAACCCGCTTGCAGGACCATTTCCATTCATATATCTGGCTTCCCCAATACTCTGCAGCCTTCACCATAGAGGGACCCTCCTAATAAGGCGAAGGAAAGCTCACAGGCGTGCTCCTCTCATGACTTCTTGCTCTTCCTCACTTGTTCACGGTCTTGCCTGAGTAGGCCATAGCACGGGGGTCCATGATGTGGCTGAAAAGGGGTGGGCACAGCGCCAAAATCATCATGACCGGGTAGCTGGCGGGAAGCTGCGGCGCCTCTGGGATGTTTTGCAGCGCCTGCACCATCCCGAACACTCCCTTCACTTGTGATGATAACTTGCCAGCCCACACAAACAAGGCCAACCAAGGCTCATCTGCAGCCTTTGAACACTTGCAAGCCACTGTCATCATTCATGGCCACACACAAGATCTGTTGGTCCGGCCAGGGCGTTTTCTCTGATCGGACTTATTTTAGAATCCTTCAACCAGGCCAGTTGCGCGGAACATGTACCAACCTGTACCATCAAGTAAAGAGCCGCAGGCTGCTGGCATTCAGACTATTGTCTATGAGACAAGGGCATAATCATAGAGGCAGAGGCGGAGATCTGGATGGTTGCACATAGAGATGGGGGGACATTGGAGACAAAAGAATGACCTGGTAGGGGCGGGAGGCGTGGGCGTGGTGGTCGGAGTGGCGCTGAAGGCGGAAGATGACGCTGTTCGTCACCAGCCAATTGCCGTTCCACGAGTGCTTTGCGGTCGTCCGCTCCAACCTGCACAATGGGAAAGATCCACAGGCCGTCAAGTGGCAATTGCCCAACCCAAACCCACAGTATAAGCCGGCATCTCACCCCTGCTCCCTTTCATGATTATCAATACCGCCCCACCCATCTCTGACTTCTGATTCGCCCCCTGCCGCCGTACTCTGCAATTTTGGAGGGTGCACAAGCGTCGATTCACACAGACGTCACAAATCCCACGAGAAATAGCACTCCCCGAGGCGCGCATTGCAGCAAAGCGTGCATCCCTGGCCTGAGGTCCTTACAGGGCTGCGCCATGTCTGGCGCACATTGCAGCGGGGGCCACTGGACTGCAACTTATACCAAATTGTAAGTACCCTTGGGCTAAGAGGGGGTTTATGCCAAGAAAAAGGGGACGCGCACCGGCCGGAGCGGGTGAGGGAGCGCTGAAGGCCGTAGTGCTCGATGTAGTTGACGTCCTCCAGGATGAAGATGGCCGTCAGCGCTTGTGCCACTCCCAGACCCACGGCAAGAGGCCCAAACAGCGCCCCCACCGCTGTTAGTAACCCCGCCGGCACACCCACCCACCACAGCATCCTGCGCGCAAAACACATGCCAGTCAAAATATTGGCTTTATTCTACGATCTGCGCCGTAGACCCTGTGCACTTTGCTCTCGAGCATTGAGCACTGTAGGGGCTAAGGCGAACAAGCTAGGTGATCACGCCACGTGCCAGTTTCCAAGCACATGAACTGTCCGTCACCAGCATTGTGTACGCAAGGGTACAAAAAGATGGGCATGGGCACTGTAGATCATTTTTCACCCCCCTTAAAGTGCATTCCAGGGAACTCCTAAATTGGTTGCTTGGGTTAAGAGTTCCCTGGACATGTGCATGTCCTCATAAGCATTATTTGCTGCGGATCTGGTCCCTGCGGGCTACCTTTCTTGCATGACGGGTGGCAGGCTGCCAACATCATCAAGAAGGCAAGATGTCAACACGACTAAATACCATCATCTGAATACACTCAAGATTTGCGTGCACATGCGCACAGCAACTGCGGTGCGCGCCTGTTTTGGAGGGAGAGGAAGGGGATGCTGCGCGCGCGGAGGCGCTCCCTCTCCATGACAACGCCGTCGCGCAGATTGCCCACCACGCTGCGAGGCATGAACGTGTATAGCGACTCGCCCAGCCGCGCAGACGCAGGGTCCTTCAGTGTCGCCACCTGCGCGCAACAGCGTGTGAGCATTGATCTCCACATCTCGTAATCAAGGCAGGAGCCGCTGGTGACAAGCAAAGCAACATGTCGCCTGGGCTTGCTTTCCCTGTCATCATAAGGAAATTACGTGCAAAGCAGGTGGTAAATGCAATGCAACGCTACAAGCACACTTTGCTCTCCAGGTTCAGAGACTCACAATGAGAAGATAAACACTCAGGGACGTATTTGTATTAGGTTGACCTCCCTCTATGCAGAGGGGACTAAAATAAAGTAGTGGGAGAACAAGGGGGCAGCCCCCACGTTGCGGTGGTGGGCGAGGTGGCTGTAGGTCCAGTGCATGTAGCCGACGGAGCAGAGCAGCAGGTTTGACAGCGCCTTGTCCAGGGGCCGCAGGCTGTGCAGCAGCTCATGTGCCACCGTGAACAGCAGGCCCCCCTCGCACCCCAGGCTGAACGCCAGCCCTGCATTCAACAACTCCAGCAAATGTCAACGCCCCTTTCTTTGCACACATAATTTAGCAGCCTTTAGATGTGTCTGTGGTACACCGGCACAGAACAACGGCTGTCAGATGCTCCCTTCAAGCACCTGAGCACGTGAGATTGGGCTTCATGAGTGGGCATCCACAGACCCATTTCATAAGGGACAACATGATTTTGAGGTGCTGTGATAATTAAAGCGCAACAGCCCCGGACTGTCTCTTTGGGCTTTGAAGGGCTTGCTAATAGTTGTGCTTTTAGAAAGTCCTGTGGTGACCGTTCATTGGTGGCCAGAGCAAGGGTGTGAAATCGCACCAATCAGGGGAAGGGGGTTGATGTGCGTGGTGCCTACGACTGCCACAGCGGTAAGCAGAGTGATCCAGTGCGCGGCCACACAAGTGTACAGCACTGCCCTGTACGCTCCCTCATTCTCCATTGCACCAGTCTTTGGGTCCTGGCACAAGCACCACACCATGAAGGTTAGATCTAGATCAACGCTCGGCACTGCTTTCGATTCAGGTACAGAGCCTCACCTCATGCAAGCAACACACGCTGAAGGGCATAGTACAATGTCAGAATGGTCGCAGAATGTGCGCTCACCGCTTCAGGGGGCTCCTGTCCGATGATGAAGTCTCCAGCGGGCAGGATGACGAATGCAAAGAGCGCCGCCGCTAGGGAGAAGACTGTGTCAATCAGTACATTGCAGAGGCCCGGATGAGCCCCGTACAGGGAGCCCAGGAACTGGCTGACCGGGACCAAAGCAAGCACCTGCATAAGAAGGGAGGCGTCCATGTTAAGTTGCTGCTTGGCAATTTTATGTGCCAACAGGCGCAATGCGTATAAGGGGTAAATATAACGAAGCTGTTGTTGAAGGCCCTTGTGCACAATTTAAACTCGCGGGATGTTTCGTGCCTGCTGTGGGATCAGGCTGAGGCCCAGGAGGACCCATTTGTGCCCATGCACAGCCCCAAAGGTGGAGAGCATGGCACTGATGGGGAACAGCAGGCTTGGAGAATACTTGAGAGGCCCTGCGCATACAGAATCTGCGCTCAGCACAACATGTGAATAGTCACTTGGAACCTTGATATGACTCATCCTTTCATACAAAGTCCTCATGCAGGGGATCACAAAGCGACAACACCGATATGGAAAAAATAATCGACAGAAGAACCGGATGCTCATTGTCCTGCAGCCTGGTAGAGAATCTGCATCACAGAGTGTCAACAGTTTGACGAGACCACCTGGCAGGAGCGCTACATAGAGTCTTCCAAGATAATTCCCCGCAGATTTCGATGGAGCGGTGCTGGTGACCATAGAACTCTCCGCCTCCATAGAGCATCTTGCTGACTCTGAAGCAGTTGTGGCCGTCTGTTTCGATGTCAAAGACAAGGGCGAAGCCTTCCTGCGTACGAAAGTCCAAGGAGCGCAGTGGCCATGCCTACGCAGGTTTCGCAAAGAACCTTGTCGCGGCACACAGGGCAGCGCCTGCTGCAACTGAGCTTGCTTCAACATCTCAGGAAAGCTATATTTGACGCTAAGGAGCGACGAGACGGTCTAAGCTCGAACGCCTCGACAGGGCTGTGGGCTGACAAGGCAGTTGACTAGTACTTACTCATCACCTCCAGCCTGCAGCAGCAGAGGGTTGCCTTCAATTTGCAAACCAAGCGACCATTGATCTGGTTTTATGCTGCAACTCTAGTGCTTGTGTATAGATCTTTCTGATGTCCCAACGTTGAAAAGCTGTGTCTGATAACGAAACCCATCCTCTATACCAGCTGTCGACTACTTTTGATGAACTAGAAATGCTCGATATTCAACACTTATAATGTGTTTCCTTATGAATCTTGATTCTTTGATTTGACTCTGAAGAGAGGACATTGCCTTGTTTTGTTACCTTTGATCTGAGGCTCAAATGCAGACATTCAGGCGGCAGTGGCTGCACGCCATCAAGCGCTTGAAAGTCAGATCGGAGGCAATAGGTACAACAGGCACCAAAGTTCAATTAATAGAAGCGATGGGCAATTCCTCGTCTTCTTCCTCGGCGTTTTATGTGTCCTCCTGTTCTTTCAAGACATCTGCTCACAAAAAAGCAGACGGGCTTGGGGGAGTCTCGAGCGGACCTGCAGAAATATTTGATAGGTAGATTGCGGCGATCAACTACCGTTGACATTCGTGTGTATTGCAAGATTACAAGTTGACGTGGCGGTTCGTGGATGGGATGTTCATTTTGGGATCAACTTATTGGTGAGCAGGGAATTGAAGAGGGCCCATCGCGACAGAGCAGCATGGCTACAGAAAAATGATGATCCGCTACAGGTGTGCCAATATGGAGAACTCAATCACACTCAAGCATTCTGCTCAAACAAGTGGCGCTTCTCTCTGATCCTGCAAGGCCCACAAGCCAACCCTGATTGCATGTGCAGATAGAAGTTGCAGAGCAGCTGCTGGACAGGTTGGAGGACTGCAAGCGCACGTTCCCAGTGGTTGCTGTCCTGGGGGGCTGTGGCGGGCCAGTCTTGCAGCGCTTGGGGGGTGGCAGGGCAGGCATTGAGCAAGTCATCTACCTTGACTCTTCTAGGGAGATGCTGAGCTGCGTGAAACAAAAGCAACAGGTGAGCTCCAAAGCACCGCCCTCTACCTCCCAACAGCTTGCATCCTACGCATGCCGCATGCATTCATCTTGGAAAAACAAAGGGATCCAAAGATGGCTGAACTCTGCCTGCCTGCCTCGAAAGATGGCTGAAATCTGCTGCTCCTTTGCTGTGCGGGCTCTGCAAGGGGCACATGAGGAGGGTGGTGCATCGATTCCCCGGACCTTCTACATTCAGGGAGATGAGGAAATGCTCCCACTACGTCGCCACAGTGTCGACTGTAAGACACTCGACCATGCTGCCTTCTTCTCTGCAGCAGCTGCTTCCATCTGAGCCTTGAGATCATTCAACTGATTTGTACTTATGATCTTTGTGTGCCCTGCAGTGATCATCAGCACTTTGGGACTGCACTGGGTGAATGATTTGCCGGTGAGTTAGCCTCTGCTCCAGCTTCTGGCATGGCTGACCTCTTGATTTCTGTTAAAACTCTTCCACATTCTTGGCCACTCGCACAGGCATTGCGGTCTGGCCGTAAAGATGGAAGTACAGTAGGCCTCGTTGAGGCAGCCGGTTGCAGGACAGTCTTGCATTGATGAGATGCAGATGTGAGCCTACTCGCAACCCTACATTCATGCATGGCAGGCCTGCATCAAAGGTTGTGGGCCTTGGACTGGAGCCATGCATGGCAGGACCATCAAAGGATGACATGGTGGTGCAGGGTGCAATGATACAGTGCAGACAGGCACTGAAGCAAGATGGTCTGTTCCTGTCAGCCTTCTGGGGAGGCGACACCCTCCAGGTGTGCGGTGCAAACTGCCTTGTATGTCATTATGTATGCTGAGCATCACGACAGGAATTTAGCTTTATGTGCGGGAAGGGTGTACATCAGGGCACAAATGCTGAACCCTAAACCCTAAACCCAAAATGAAAAATATATAAGCCAGGGGATGCGCATCATGTAGTGGCCATCCTTGGCTACCAGCTGCATCTCGCAATGCTCTGTGAGTGTCTCATTCTCTTGGATACCCAACAGCTCAACATAGCGCTGTCAGCTGTGATGATTTCAGTCAAATTGTTTCGTCCTCTGTGTGCAGGAGCTGCGGATTGCATTTGCTCTGGCAGAACAGGAGGTGGAGGGTGGCTTGTCTGCTCGCATATCTCCCCTGGCCCAGGTAAGTTCAGAGCCACTGGGCTCGGCTTTCCACCTAGTCATTGAGGAATTTACAAAGCTTCGATGAAGTCCTGGTGCAGCTGTGAATCCACTCTGATCGATTGATGTGCCCAAGCAGGTGAGGGATGCTGGCAATCTGCTGACCAGAGCTGGCTTCTCAATACCCTCAGTGGATACAGACGAGATCACTGTGCAGTACAGCAGCACCGGCGACCTGTACCACCACCTGCGGTGTGCATTTGTGGAAAAATAGTTGAACAGCTGTACACCTAAAAGCTCTACATGTTCAGCACATCACACACCTCCGCTGCAAAAGCTTAGAGATGCCATTGAGGCTAAGATCCACCGTATCGGTAATGATGTGCATGACTGAAGACTGCCCCAGGGTGCAGATTTATAAATGATATCAATCTTTGGCAGGAGCATGGGGGAGAGCAATGCAGTGCGGATTAGAAGGCCTCTGGTGAGGCAGGCAACTGCTAAAAGGGCAGCAGAGATCTATGCAGAGAAGTTCGGCGATGAGAACGGTTCAATACCAGCAACTTACCAGGTACCATCTTATGGTCTTCCCTTGTCAGCCGGTTGAATGGCATGCACAGATTGACCTTGGAAATACCATTCACTGCTCAGACCTGATCAGGAGATGCTGTGCTGCATGCTGAAGGACATCGCACTGAATAGCAGAGTTTCGTGTGCTTGTGCTAGGTGATTTACATGACAGGCTGGTCGCCGCATGACCGCCAGCAGCAGGCAATGCCACGAGGCTCCGCCACAAAGAGCTTTGAAGATCTGCAGGCCATGATAGAGCAGCAAAAGAAGGGAGAGTGAGCAAATGCTCTTGCAGGAGCATGGAGCACGTCAGGAGACAGTCAGGCGATTTGTCTGAGATTAGGCAACTGGCCAGCTGTAGAGCTGTGGCAAGTAAACTGCCCCTGCAAACGTTCCACGCTTGCTAGCAATTAGCTTAACAATGCATGCCGGGTGTCAATTTTCTTGTAAAACACACAGTACTTCTAATTGATGCACAGCCTGATTACATGCAACAGCAAGTTTGATGGCCATCATGCCAGGTTAGTTATCACTGCTTACTAAATATATGTCGAAGGGTGCAGCTTGTCTGCAGGATGTACCTTGCCTTTTGGCAGGAAAATCGTATATTTAATTATAATATTAATAATATGTCGAAAGGTGGCGTTATGGACAATTTACAATGTCAAATTGAGGTCAATGACAAAAAGCATACTTCTGATCGTTCACCTGTTTGAATTATGCAGTGCTGACTCCAGTGCTGTGCAGTTCTACCATGTGATTCTGTTGACCTTATGTTAACAGACACACCTACAACGCTACTGTCCGTCCTTGAGTTTCTGCTGCATCATCTCTTTCCAGCTCTGCTGCAGCACAGACACCTGACCTCCATTGGCATCCAGCAGCACAATTCCCTCTGCAGGCGTCTCCTGCTCATCCACTCCACCATCACTGCTCCAGTCACTGGGCAGCTCTACCTTGGGACACAAGTAATGGCAGCACGCCAGCTTTGCAAATTGCATCAAGGATTTCTGAAGTGCTACGGCCCGCTGACTATCCAGCACCTCCCACTGTGCGGTCCCCCCCTGACTGAAGCCAGCCAGCCTCTGCCAGCCAGCTAGCCCTCCATCCTGCTCTGTGCTCGAACCCACAGCTCCTGAGATAACTTCCTGCAGACTGGGCGCTCCTGCCGGCCTCACCAGCACTGTCAAAGCTTGTCCTGCTGCACAAAACACAACTGCAATTCAGCCTAAAGCTCTTACTGGAATGCAATCTGGTTCAAATTACCACAGGCAGTCCTAGACACAGGCGCTTTCAAATTCATCTTGGAGAATATAGCATTGCATGCAGGACATGAGCGGCAAGTGAGCAGCTGCAAATGCCCCTGAAATCAGCCGATCAGGACTAATGCTGCTGAGAGTTACGGGAACTAATCTGAACTGATCTGAACAGGTCTAGAATGTCTCACTGACTTCATGAACCCCTTTCGTGGTCGGAACAGGTTCTCCCCGGTATATCCATGAAATGATCTGGATACTGTACATCTGAACACATGTGTATCAATGCCAGCTGGCACACCTTGGCCGCCAGGCAGGTTGCAAGAGATGGGTGCGCCGCCTGTGGAAGCAAGCACGTGCCCCACTTGTCCTGTCAGAGTGAAGCTGATGGGACCTGACTGCGGCTGTGCAACCGTGGTGAGCGCGCATGTGCCGGAGAGGCTCTTCACAGAGATGCCACCCCCGCCCACGCTTGTCACAAAGGCGTCCTTTGTGTTCAGCTCCTCGATAGTCACACTGCCACCTGCACACGCAGTGCATCTTGTTCCCTTCACTTACTTCATGCATGTGCGGCTAGGGGACCCAATTACAAGGAGGCAAAGGGTCTTTCCAGGGTGAGCAGCATCACATCGGACCTTATTTCCCATTTCTCAGCACCTTGATATATTGCCATCTATTTTGAAACACAAAATTCAAGATGAATCAGTGCAGATACCACTCCAAGATTGGAGACATTAGTCTGCATTTCACCTGAGGAGAGTTGCAGTGTGTCCGCGTAGATCGCTCCAATGGATGCAGTCCCAGAGCCAGCCGTTGCAACACCCCTGTCCTGCGTGCTGACCTGGACATAATTCCCCATCAGGCGGCCGATCTGCGCATCTCCCCCTGAGGTGTCCAGATCCACATCCCCCGCCACAAGGCTACCTCCCTTCAGGTGGCCCCCTGTAGCGCACAAAGCCCCGCACTCAGAAAATCATCCACATGCACAATCAGGTGCCACAACAAGGGGCCAATCATGCTCATGCAAGGTAGCAGCTGGTTTGGACGTAGGTGTGTCTTGATTGGCTGGCGGAGATAGGGTGCTCGGACTGCATCTTTTGGGCTAAGCAAGGCATGCATGCATGCTATTTGTTCCCATGCCAGACTATCATATGCATAGACGCCTTGCAGACGCAACAGTTTGACTAATTGAGCAGGCACAGTCCATTGCTGCAGAGAACCTTTGGACTCTGTGCAGCGGTATTCTCCTCGATCTGTATGCGATGCGATGCATGTGGTCCTGTAAGGAGAGGGGACAGGTCAATGCATGTGTTTGAGGGTGCGGCGCACCGCAGGTGTACACGTCCAGGCTGGTGGCAGAGATGCTTTTCAACAAGACATTGCCGCCCGGCCTGGCTGCGTTCCAGCGTCGCTCTGACAGCGCGAGGCCGCTCTCCGGCATCTGGAAGGTCAGCGGAAACTGGCGCTGCCCGCTGTACACCATCAGCTCGCCCTCCTTTATGGCAGCCACCTCTACATCCCCACCTGCACCGCCAAAACCTCCTTGTATACCATGTGCAAGTAGGCTGCAGCCTTTTGTAGGCCCCGCTGCAGACTCTTGTAGGCCCCCCAGACATGGCTGCAGACGCCCTGCGTGTATGCCCTATGGCCTCTGGCTCTGGGTTCGCAGGCCTGTAAAAATATAAGCTAATAACAATAAAAAGAACAATAACTATAACAATAACAATAACAATCACAATAACACGTTTTGAAGCCACCCTGCGTCTTCGTGTTCATGTGCATTCGGTGCTGTCAGCCTCGGTCGATCTTGGATTGCCCCCGGGTGATTTGGAGGCAATTCTACATTCTTGTGTCCCCTATGGTGTAGTGCTGTCAGCGTCTGTCCATGTTTTTGGTATTGTTCAGAGGTCCCGCTTGGCAGCACCGTCCAAAACTGTTGTATCCAGTTTACTACAGGGTGATGTATACTTGGCAGGCACCCTACATGTTTCTGTTTACAATCTCGTCCAATGGTGCTAGCCTGACTTCATGGTATTTGGCAGGGTATTCAGGTGGGGCTTGGGGGCACCTTCAGAGCTGACTTCTGCGCTGCAGAAGCGCTCAGGGATCCAGGCAGTGATCGTGCGCTGCACAGCGCCCTCATCCGTGATTTCGTCCTTTAGAGATTCTCTGCTTGTCTCCTCCCCAAGCTCTGCAATATGAACAATGTCAGTTCTGGCCTCTCTGGTGGTGGATCTCAACTGATGATCGTAAGGACATTGAAGCAAGGTGGAAAAGATCACACTAGCTAGCGGTTAGCTAGCGGGATGGCTACAGGGGTTATTGCTTCAGCATGCATGGGGTGAGCACCTATGTTGTCGTCGTGCTGCTCAAGATGAAAGCCTGGCGAGGTCAGCATGGATTTGCCCATCACCTGCACAAAAGTAGGTATCTTGATAATCTATGTTGGAACGTAACCTGCACTGATGTCACAACTAATGGTTTTCTGCTGTGAAATGAGGCAAAGCTCTGGAACTTGCTTGTGGGCACTACCTCAACTGATAATTCCTCCATCTTGCCTGGCACGAGCCTCACGTTTGCTGCGGAGTTTAAGTTCAAGCGAAGGTAGCAAGGAAGGGGAACCCTCAGCGTATCCTGGAAAACGGTAGTTGTGGCATCGGTAGATGCATGCCTTACAGGAGTATGAAATCCGCCAAGGTTTGAGACTTCTTTGTAAAGACATCTTACATTTACTTTCAAAAGGTAATCCGAAGTGCATCTCCGAGAGATTAATTGCAAACGTCTGATTATTGTCATTGGGCAATGGAAGCCTATCATTTTTCAAGCACTTCCAGGAAACTGCACAACTCAAGTGCAATAACGCGAGCAAGCTACCACTATTTCAGTGACTGCAATCATCACAATTGATTTATCCCAGTCTCAAATAAGAAAGTCTCGTATCGACCGTCAGTATGCACGTGGAGATTTCACAGCCATCTGTTGACTCTGCCAAATCGATGCATTCGACGGCTCTCGATCAGAAGCAAGACCGTCCTGCTTAATGCAATTAATTCAAATTTCTATCACCGGATCACATTAATTGGGATTCTTTTCGCTCTGCACAATTATTTCGTTCTGATCTGGATCTAAACGGTATTGCCATCTAGCCGAAGTCACAGTTTCCAGGTCAAGACGCCCATCTTTCCTCCAATGTAGAGATGCAGGAAGGTTTTGCACTGCATCGACAGGTTGCACTTCGTTGGTAACCCTCTCCACAAATTTTCCAGCAGTGAATATTGGATCGCTAAATTCCTATATTCAGCGGGCACGGTGCAGCTAGCACTGGCACATTGCTGGCAATAGCTCCTGCAAGCTGAGAGTAAATTAGCCTACCTCATAAGTAACTTCAAAGGAAAAACAATTGCCAGCGACACAGTTCCATGGCCCACCAAACTTCTTGTCCAGGGACTCCTTTATGACCTGAGCACCAGTGTCAAGTATGATGGTACACAAGCTTGTAGATCAAATTTGGGCTTCATAGAACAGTTTTGCCAGGGAGGATCTGCCCATATTCAACATCTGAGAAACTCATGGGCGATTTACTTGAGTTGCTTTCTCAAGATCCGCCTGATGCTTTTCGATGGCTGTCACACATATGTCCACCGCCTCCTCACGCATATCTGGCGGCATGTCACATTGATCCACCAGGGGGTAGTTTGCTGTCTTATAGAACGCTTCGAAGTCCCTGGCGATCACCATGCTAAGTTGCTCAATCTATACCGCATTCAGCAGAGACGACCCAGCAGACTCGTGACAAGGTTTTCACGTCTTCATGCAGATCTGCGATTTAAGCATGCGTCGCAACGATCGCTGTGCGACCTCGCGAGAGCCAGTGAGCCGTTACATTCAGGTCAGGGCCTGATAATTCCAGGGGATGAGCGTTTCGTCATCACCACAATTGTTTTAAAAGCCTGTCCGCCAGAAAAACAGCGCAAAATTTTCAACAGATTCCTTCTTCCTCCACCCACTCCACATCCTCACCTTCGTCAACCACCAGTCAAGATGTCAGGACGCGGCAAGGGAAAGACCGCAAAGAAGTCGGTGTCCAAGAGCACCAAAGCCGGCCTTCAGGTGTGCCACATTCACTTGTCTCCTCGTGTCAAGCGCATGGCAACACATAGGAATATATCGGGTTTGTTCTGATGGTCAGTGTGCCTTATTACTGGGGCTACCAGCACAGTTCAGTCCTCATTGCCGTTGATTTTCCTGTCACTTTCTCAGAATGTTAACAACGGTGTGTTCACTGGCTGCAGTTTCCCGTCGGCCGTATCGCCCGCTACCTCAAGAAGGGCAAGGTGCGCATTTCTCATTGCTTGGTATCTTTTGTGAAAGACCTCAACTGGTGCCGAAAGCCCGAAGTTTCATCTTTGAAATGGAGCTCAGGGACCAGATGCAACCAGAGCGCCCCTTCAGAATTCTATTCGACCGGAAATTCAATGCTTAACACTCGCCCATTTGTATCCATGACAGCTGATGAGCAGTAAAGATCAAGCTTGGTCGACCTTCGTCAGCGAGAATGTGTCACATACATTCTGAGCTACCACACACACCTGCTTGCTGACTGGCAGTGTGATTTTACGTTGCAGTACGCCAGCCGTGTTGGAGCTGGTGCCCCTGTGTACCTGGCAGCCGTGCTGGAGTACCTCGCAGCTGAGATCCTGGAGCTGGCAGGCAACGCTGCCCGCGACAACAAGAAGACCCGCATCGTCCCCCGCCACATCCAGCTGGCTGTGCGCAACGATGAGGAGCTGAGCAAGCTGCTGGCTGGTGTCACCATCGCCTCAGGTGATCCCTGCCCCCCAATCTTCACCATACTGCAATCAAGGATCTCAGATAGGCAGACAGGCTACAGTCACTGAGTGCAGGCTCTACCCCTGCACAGGGCAATGAATCGCAGGCCCTCCACCAGTGCCCATTCTGTTACGCACAAATTGCCTGCAGTCTGAAAGTACAGATGAGGCACACTATCGAGAGAGTAGTACTTGGTAGCGAGGGTCACCTTGATAGCTCCACTGACGTGGCAAGTTGCGGTCCTTCAAGGTGCAAACCACTGAGCATGTGCATGCTGTGTTGACATGCAGGTGGTGTGCTGCCCAACATCCACAGCGTGCTGCTGCCCACGAAGACCGGCAAGAAGACCAGCGGAAGCGTCAGCCAGGAATTCTAGATATTTGGTGCCACGGCGTAGCGCCCCAACAAAAATCGGTGTTATTTTAACACCACCACTATCATGGGAAAATGTGCAACAATCTTGTGTGCACGTAGCCTTCTCCGTCCCTTTCTCACACTATCTTGCATGCTGGGGATTCAGAGCAGCCACAGCAGTGGGTTCTTAGGGGTTCTCTCATATCCCCAGCAATCGGAAGCCCTGAATCCAGACCCGAGTCCAAGTCAGCATCCCCGTGACTGTCACATTCTACGATCGAGGCGCCCTGTTCTTCCTCTGCAGCATTAGTTGAGATATCAACAAGCTCCTTGCAAGCAGTTGTTGTGGCACTCGCGAATATGGAGGCCCCACAGGCTGGACGCATCGCTAGACTCCTCAATCACCTTGGGCCGCAGACAAGCTCGGTGCGAGCTGTTCCATCGACGCGTTGATCGCTTTTAAGATTTCTAACATTATACGATACAGATGCAGAAGGGACCTGTGATTGGTCTGGGGCGCCCTGTGTCCTAAGGTCATAGTAACACTCCTGCTCAAGGAACACAGATATGTTTTGCTCAGGTTGGAGGGATTGAACGACAATTTACATCTGCAGCCGCTAGTTCAAACGTCAAAGTGGCAGTCCTGGGTGAGACACAAGCAGCCCCTCTTCCTTAACTGTGTCCTTTCAGACATCGTGACTACATATTTTCACAGAGACCACTTTGCAAAGCTAATTTGTTTAATTGTAGAGTCAAGTAATATATACTCATGTTCCTGCCAGGTGCTGCTGGAGGCATTGGGCAGCCCCTGGCCCTGCTGCTGAAGGGATCTCCGCTCATCAGCGAGCTCAGCTTGTATGATATTGTTGGCACTGAGGGCGTCGGCGCGGACCTGTCCCACATTGACAGCAGCCCCAAGGTGAGATCAGGGCCCTGCTGCCCGTCCCGAAGCTCTAGGGACCTGTACTGGTGCATAAACTACACACTACCTTTTCTTCTTGAAATGGGACCTATGAGAGTGCTTGGCTGCACAGGTGAGCAGCTACACAGGTGCTGAGGAGCTGCCTGAGGCTCTGTACGGCAGCAGCCTGGTTGTGATCCCGGCCGGTGTGCCGCGCAAGCCCGGCATGACTCGCGATGACCTCTTTAACATCAACGCAGGTGATCTTGCTTGATCACAGAATTCCTACTCTTAAGGCTCTGATTCCCAGGTTTCCATAAGGGCTGTGGCCCCGGTATGGCTGCAAGCAAGCATAGCAATGGTGGGCGCTTGATCAGGAGGAGATCAAGCTATGGCGGTGGACTAAACTTTGAGGTTCCATGCAGGCATTGTGAGGGATCTGTGCGTGGCGATTGCCAAATACTGCCCGGATGCCTGGGTGGCCATAATCTCCAACCCAGTCAACTCCACAGTCCCCATCGCGGCTGAGGTATTCAAAAAGTGCGCCCCTCACCGCCCAATTATCCTGTCAACGCTGCTTCTTGGCACCCTCCATGCATGCATTGTCTCATAGTCAGCTTTACCTTGCAATCTGAAGCTTTGCACAAGCGAGCCTTGCATGAGCGGCTGCTGCAGACGCTCCCAAACATCGAGAGATTGTCGGCTACAAATGACAAGAAAGGCATTTATACAGTATTGTGGGGCTGGGCTGGCGCTGTGTCATGTTGCTGAGCAGCAGGAGCCGTTCATGTGTTGCAGGGCGGGGACCTACAACCCACGCAAATTGCTGGGGGTGACGAAGCTGGACGTTCTGCGCGCCAACACCTTTGTGGCACAGGCCATCGGCGTGCCCCCGGAGCGCATGTCTGTGCCTGTCATCGGCGGCCACGCCGGTGTCACCATCCTGCCACTCCTCTCCCAGGTGCGCAGCTCCACTCGCCATCTGGCCCCTGCATGTGCCACGAGGCCTCAGAGCTTTCAATGAATGATCTTCTGATGATCAGCACGGCATGTACTGTATGTCCTGAGGCTGCCAAGTCCCAGGGATGCTGTGCCCACATTTGGCGCCGGACCTGTCCCTTGTCAGTGACCACGCCTACAGCGGTGCTTTGGGGATAAATATCATTGGCACCTGTACCCTTGTTGAAGGGTTCCGTGCGCACCCAAGTGCCTGTCATTGTGCTCAAAACACACCATGCCAGGTCATCTTCAGGTCTCTACGCGGAGTGTGCGGCACTCCTTTTCTTTTGGGGTCTGATAAAAGCTGGGGTTTCATAATGAGCTGCGGTTCTGGTGGCAGGCAACGCCGCGGGTTGACGTGAGCCCGGAGACAGCCAAGGCGCTGACGGAGCGCATCCAGGACGCTGGAACCGAGGTGGTCAAGGCCAAGGTACAGTGCAATGCTTCACTTGGAAGCTCTCTTTCTGTGGTCTGTTCAATACATTTCTTCTTCACCATGCCTGCCTTCTCTTCCTGCCACGAGTGGGTCAGGCCCTGCATCCGTGTTTTGCTGCTTCAGTGGAGGTATCATTACTGCTACATACTGCTGCTTTCGATGCTTAAGCTGTGCCACTTTAAGATTTCCAAGTCCTGCTATAATAGGTACAGTGATGCAACTCGAGTGGAGGGAGCGCCTTGGCAGAGCGCGATATCACGATTAGCGCACTAGAATTCAGGTTTGAGCGTGAGTGCATGCTGGTGTGTGCAGGCGGGCAAGGGGTCGGCGACGCTGTCGATGGCTTATGCGGCGGCCAAGTTTGCCGAGTCGTGCCTGCGCGCGCTCGCGGGCGAGCCAATCGTGGAGTGCGCATACGTGGAGTCCCACCTCACCGACCTGCCCTTCTTCGCCTCGCGCGTCCGCCTCGGCCGCAACGGCGTCGAGGTGCGCCGCACGCCTTTGACCGGCTGCCGGCACCAACACATTTGTTTTATGCATGCATGGCGCAGTGGAGTGATCAGCTAATCTGTGCATGTTGGGATGGATTGGATACTTACCAGAGCAAGACAGGGAGTCAAGTGTTTAGAAAGGGTGAGGGCTGCTAGCACGGTGTGCTCCAAGCAGCAGCACCAAGCTCAGAGAGAACTGCTATGGTTGAAAGCCAACACGAGGTGGTATTGTTGCGAGGACGCTTGATTTATACAGCAGACCAGGCGAGGATGTGTGCATGATCTTGTGCCGTTGGCTGTGTGCAGGAGTACCTGCCGCTGGGCCGCTTCAACGAGCTGGAGGCTGCCAACTTTGAGGCGCTCAAGGGGGAGCTTCGAGGCAGCATCAAGAAGGGCGTGGACTTTGTCAACAAGACTTAAATTCAGAGACATCAGCGTTCCTCCAATCTCTAAGTCTTTTTATAGGTACTGGTAGGGCTAGGATGTCTGTCCTTTCTGAGGTAGCTGTCATGTCCCCTGTGTAGCGTGCACCTCTCGCTGGTGTCATTGCGCTTGCTGATCGTCAGCAGCAACAATTTTGGTTTGTGCAGCTCCCAGCTGGGTGTCTTAGATCTTTGTCGTCCAGGTTGTGGGTAGATCTAGAGGTGAATAAAGGTTTGTTAGGAAGTAGGTGTTCTCTGTACATTCAGTTGTACTTCATTTCTTCAGAAGGGGTCTTCAATATGGTTGCTCATCATTATTTTGGTACCAGGAATGCATGCGAGTCAGGTTAGGTTTAGGACTTGACAATAAGTGATTACATAGATACAGGACACAGAGAGGCGTTATAGGGCCATCCCTTCAGGCAATAACAGGTTCTTGAGTCACTGGTGATTGCTTGATACTCCCATGTAGCATGCCTGCCTGTAACTCGTCAAGAGGCCTCTTGGTTCTAGGTCAAGTTGCCATTCATGCCGCGAGCAGGACAGATATAGATATAGCAGCACATGCATGCAAGTAAGGTCTGCTGTGGTCACAACAGGCAATGCATGCAGCAAAGAAAGTCCTGGATGCTGTGCAAATACATACGTTTGGCAATCCGGCAACCCATATAAATACAAAGAACTTGCCGCAGATTGCGCATCTTTGCGCAATGCGAAACACAGGCAGTCTTGCTCAGACCTATTTGGCCAGTTTGTGGGCATGATGCACTTCAGAAGAACATTCTTGGTGTCTCACAGCAGGATTTGACAGCCCCGAAGGGCCCCGCAAGGGATTGACTGAACTGGTTCAGGGCTAGGGGCAAGGTTTCAGGGCAGGCCCGGGATAAGTAGAGGATTTGGGAAGATGGCGTCAGGGCACCGCCCCGAAGCCACATGGCTGTGGTTCACAGGCTCCCTGGACTTATGAGGCACTTCAAAGCACTTAGAGGCCAAATTCAGGGAATTCCTGCATTTCCCTTTTAAAAACCCTTGAGAATCAGAACGGAGAATGTCCTTCAAGCTTACTCAAAATTGAATACTCAGCAGCAAGCTGAAGGAAAGAATTTTGATCTGGTCGGTCCTTTGGGGAAGGTGACCAACATGTCCAGAACAGGCAATATTGCAATGCAATTGAATTGCTTCAATTGATTCCTTTGATGATGTCTGTGTATGAGCAACAGCAAAATTTACATTTAGTATCTGGATTGGACGGCTGTGCCAATCCATGCCATCAGAGCAGCAGTGCTTCAGCTCAAGCAAAGCAAGTGCGCAAGCAAAGGGTCGAGGGGAATCGCATTCTCTTACACACAGCCAAGCCTATGCAAGCACAAGTATATCAAAATAAGACCTTGTGCACCCATGCACAATCACGTCTCTGTCTAATTTGGCTGTAAGAAATTTAGCTTCTGCAGGGTGCATCTCCAGAGCAAGTCCCAGACAGAACAGCAGACTCTCATGTGCTTTGGCAGCTTTCATTCCTATGTGAGGCTCAAATCCTCAAACAGCGTCTTCAGCCTATCCAGCCTCTCCTTGTGCTCCTGGCAGCCACAATCCAAACTTCAGCCAACATCACACGCTTTAAAACTTGTCCGCCGTCCCCTGTATCAGCAGCACTGGAGTGCAGGCAACAATCGCATGACTATCAACTGAGCAGAACATTCCATGAGGTCAGAGCAGGGCTGTGCTTCCAGTTGCTTCAGGGCGCCCACAGGATTGTGCACTTGCAATGCACAGCGTCAAACCTTCATCCTGGTGCTGTCCTCAGCGCTGTACTCAGGCATCCCTGCTGGCTCCACTCCAGGGTCCACCAGCCCAATGGCTGCCCATCACATTAGAAAGTTATACCCGGGTAAAGGTAAAGAAAAATAACCGGAAGGAGCTATGGGGACGCTGGCCATTTCACTTTGGCACGTTCTATTAGCGCCCTCTGAGGAGTTCCTGAATTCTTTGACAGCCCCATAAGATTTGCCAGTGTACCAGTACCGTTGCATGATGGCACGGCAGACATGCAGGACAACATGACCAGTGAGCTCACACCAGGGCAGAGAAGAGGCAGAGCCGGACACAACAAAAAGAGAGGCAGTGACTCACCTGTGCCAATTGCCAGCAGCTGGAAGATGCGGGCTGTCTCGTTGCCCTTTGGCACTGGGGCCGGCTTGATCCTGCGGAAGAAGTCGGCCCATTTTTGGGTGAGCTTGTTGCACACCCGTTTGTTCTTCTCGTCCACAAGGAAGTCTGCCATGCCTATAGACTTATAGGCAGCTGGTTTTGCGCCGAGTGCTGGGTGATCTGCATGCAGTCGTTCACCACTGGGAGTCAATGAAGGCAAACACCAGTAAGAATCCTGGAATGAGTTGGTTGCACTTCAAGGAAGGAAATTCTTGGCACTAGCTGAAGGCAACAGGTGGAAGTGCATCTCGGCGCTTTGGTTCTAAGGTTCAGATGGCAGGTAGACAAAGCATGCAACAGGTCTCTAATACCTGAGCTCCCCACACTGTACAGCATTACAACAGTCGGTGCACCGGATTACAGACAAGGCCTGGCAAGGAACATACCGATGATGTGAGTGAGCTTGAAATCACCCAGGTCGACCATCTGGACCTGGGAGGATGGCAGCCTCTGCAGGTGGCGCAGGGCAAGCTGCCTGTCCAGCTTCAGAGCAGCTGCTGTGGCCTCATCCACTACAGCATCTCCTCCAAGTGTGGCTGCCGCCTCAATGATAGCGGCCCACTTGCCCTGGTGGCTCAGAGGTTTGCCCAGCCCTGCATGCACATTGGCACAGCTCGATAAGAGACACTCGTGCTGCATGTTCTTCTCAACTTCAAGCTTGCTGCCTTGCATGCATGCATGCTGTTGCCACATTTTGCCCCAGCAGAATGTCAACACTTAACTATTCATCTGTGACCCTTTGTGCTCTTGCTTCCTGCTGGGGCATGCATGGTAAAGATGGTAAGTCCCAATGTCAAATAACCCCTAACATGGAATTAAAAAGGACATGTGGCACCGCACCCTTCTCAAAGCTGATGAACACTGGCCCTTCTTCTTTCTCCTCAAGATTGCTGTCTGTGCCCTGCACATGCATCATATTTCTGTGAAGCCCTGAAACCATGCAGCAATAGAAAACAATGATCTTCATACTCCATTCATTTTGCAACTCTGTGCAAAGGGCTGTCAAGTGCCATGCACACTGAGGACATGTCTGGCAAGTCTGTGACCCTGCATTCATTTGGCTGCAATGGCACTCATGTTTGTCTGGCACGGCATCACCTCCTCAGCTGTTTTGTCCTTGACATTCTCATTGTCAAACTTCTGCTGCTGTCCCGGCTGCCCTTCACTCCCAGTACTGCCGTAGGGTGGCTGCAAGTCAAACTCAGGCTCAGTTCTTGCACATGCCATGTTTTTGCCACAACTCACCACCATACATGCAAGCACATCAGCTACCATCCCTGTGAATGCAGAACAGGGCAGGGATTACAGACACATGCAAAGTCAAGGCAAAGATATAGAACAGTAGGAGCAGAAAAATCCATACAAGAACACACCTGCAGAATCAGCTTTGTCTCGTCCACATCAGAAACGTCCATGAAGTCAGGCACCATATTGCCTACTTGCAGTGCAATGATTCCGTCTGCTGTCTTTCTGAATGAACCCGCTATGACTGGGCGCAGCTTGAGATACCTGTGCATTGGACAGGAACCTGAATTCAGTTGGCAAGCGGGCAAATGTCTCGAAGGAGCGCTGGCTTGCATGGGTAGCGCACATGTTGAAGCCCTCAGGATTAGAAAGTTTCCTTTTACTGAAGTGCCATCCTGACGCAGGTGCTGCGTATTCTGCAGGTTGATGGAGAAATGTGGATGCGGCCACCTCACTTGAGTAGTACATGGCGTCCAGAGACGCACCTGTGGGCAATTTCAGGCAGATGCTTTACAGATTTGACGATGTTGTCCCTGACAATGTACTCAAGCAGCTTGCTGATACCACCAAGGCTGGATGACTGGACCTCTCCCACCACAGTGTGCCGACACTGGTTCCTTTCGAGTGCGTCAATGACCACTGTCCAGCGCACTTGAAACTGCGCAACACAATTCACAGTAACCGGAAATATTTAAGGCAAAGATGCTCTGCATTGTCAGTCAGCATGAGCCTCAATCACGTTTCGGATTTGCTTTGCCCAAGCAATCTTCCACCGGACTCCAAGGGAGACATGCAGATATGTCTACGTCTTATGACCACTGCACACCTGCCTGAACATAAGCCAGGACACTTCGGCTTGCTTCGGGAGGCAAACAGCCAGCTGGCCCTCATCCAGCTGGTTACAGAGCTATGCATGCCTTGCATGCATTCCAGCAAGTACATGCATGAGAGTCCAGATCACTACCTTATCTCCCAGGATGGGGTAGGAGCTGGTGATGAGGATGCGGTATGGAGGCTCATCCGCGGCTGTCTGTTCATATTTGACGACTTGGTAAGAGTCATAGCACAGCAAGTGATCACACATCAGCTCCTGGCCCAGCTTTGGTATCCACCTGCATGGCATCAGACAGGCATTGTGAACAAGTGCTGCTATGAAACTTGAGTAATGCTGAGGGTTCTCTCAACAGACATGTCATGCACAGCCTGAGCACCAGAATTGGCTTGGATACAACATGAGATCAATTAATGAGGTGGTGGAAGGTTGGTCAACACCTGTCAAGGTCAGCTTTGTGCACTTCCTTGTCGTAGCGGATCTTGCCATTGCCTTCATGCCACAACTCAAGAAGATCCACTTCTCCAAGCTGCAACACCTGCTTGAAAGCACAAGGGACTGGATCTTCTGATGGAAGCCCACTCAACGCAAGGCAATAGCTTACTTCTTCGGAAGTTCCTCTGATGCCCAGGACAGGCAGGCAAGCTTGCTGTGAAAGGAAGTGAAGTCAGCAAAGATTACAGTCGAGCAGGATCGGAGACAAGGACGTGCATGCAGCGATATATGGACCGTGGTCAACGCCTGATGCGCAATTGTTCGAGCACTTCAAGCATACCTCTGCCTGCAAGCCTCTCCAGTCCGGATCAGCATGAAGAAAGCAGTTTTCATAGTACTCCTGGGCAGACATCGGTATGAGAGCTGCACAGCGTTGGAGGGGCGCCATTGGGTTTGATATTCAATGTGCGGTCGGATCAGATCAAGCTGGGTGAAAAACGGAGGGCCTGATGGGATCCTGACGACAGTGCTGACGGCCGAGTAAGGCACGCTGGAGCCAGTGAAAGACAAAGAAGTGCAGCAATCGATAGGGACGAAAAGAGAAGATCCCCTGCAGGCTTACTTGAACTCACATACTGGCAGGGAAGCTGTTTGCAATCTGAGGGGCAAAGATCGAGTCTGGCTCCATTTGACTCGTTGTAAAGGTGACTCACGAATCCAAAACAGGCACATTTGCATTCAAATCTCTGCAATCACTCCTGTCTTGAGTGTGAAACTTCAGAGCAAAAAATTGTTGGAGATCCCAGTTTGATAAGAGCAATTATGTCAATCAACGCCATGCAGGAAATACACATGCAGGAAGCATGCTGGTCACTCAAGCAAGCGAGTCAACCAGCGAATATTCCAGTCGCATGTACGCATGCGCACAGGGCTCTGGATCCGCGCCACACCAGACCCTTCCGCACATAATATACACTGACAGTCGCTGACTGTTGCTGAATGCAGAATGGAGTTCCTGGCATGCAAGCCAGAAACGCTTCATACCTCATGAAAGACCCATGCTGACAGCAAGAGACTTGCACAGACAGACTGCCGCAGAATCAGAACAAACCAGCCCTGTGCCTATTGAGAGCACCATGCCACCTGCAAGAATCCGTGATCCTGTGCACGGATGACTGCGCATTGACTAAGGGATCTCAGCTGGCGTAGTCACCCTTACGTGCTTTTTCTTCCCGGATGCAGTTTTCCGAACAGCCTTCTGACCCCCGCCAACCTGTCACCCTGCACACCCAGCTCCTACTCAGCTCTTGTGGACCACCTCAATCTCTGCACACATGGCCGCCAGCGTGGCTTTGCCACGCCAGCGGCCGTATCCCCGTCCAAGGTGAATATTTGCTGCTAATGCACCTCCTGCAAGCTGCTGACCTGTCTAAAACAATTGTTCCTGGCAAATGGAACTGCTTCACCATGCATCATGCAGCAGTCTCATGGCCAATGCTGTGCATAGAGACACTACCTGAGGCTTGGGCTTCTCTTCCTCTTCACTGCCTCTCTTGCTGCTTGCATGCAGCTTGATCCAGCCCACAGCTGCGCAGCATTCGCACAAGACATTTCATACATGCATGCATGATCAACACATAGCAGCGCCGGTCCGTAAGTGGTCTGCACAGCCTGCAAGCCAGGCATGGGAAGATCTACCGCTGTGCACCACGAACACAACATAATGCATTCCTGTGCAAGACCTGGTGGCAATTCTCTGTAGGGGCAATGGCACTGGCACCTCCTGTCAAGCCTCATTCTGTCAGCTGCATCAGCTCAGACTGCTTCCAAGCCTTCCCACCAGGCTCTGGCACACACAACACCTTGTTCTGCACCTTTTAAGCTTGTTTTACAGCCTGAAACCCACATGCCATGCATGGCAAGAGTAATGGGCCAGAACAGTATTGCGATGGCCAAAATCTTCTCTTAATGCAGACACATGAGGAGTTTGTGATATGAAGATGGGCAGTGACGGACTGCCCACAAGACCAAAGAGCCTCAGATGGCTCTCAACAGGTCTCCAAAATGTCACAATAATAATAATGAGTAAAATAAAATTAATGAAGAGCAAAGCTGACTCACCGGCGCTGATGCTGAGTAGGTGGATTGCCTGTGCTGCAATGCTGGGAACAGGTGCGGCGCGTGGCTGGGTCCGGTGCCAGAACTGGCGCCACTTTTTGGCGCTGGCGTTGAAACGCCGGCGCTTCTCCTCGTCCTCCCGGCTGCGCTCCATCGGCCCAGGTGCTGCACATGTTCAAACTGAAAAACTTGAGTCCAAGTTTGAAAGGTGACCATTAGAATATCGGTGCCCAGACTTCTCTGCAGGGATGACAACTTGGGTGTCGATTGCTGGGGAGCTGGGAGCACAGAGCCCGGTGTCAATGACTTATAAAGCTTACATGAAGTTCAGACGCGAATTTGCACAACCCAAAAACCATGATGGTCGAGAGTTGCTATCAACTTTCCAGAGCAGGAAGACCTGTACATGATTATCTACAGACTCACAACAACGTTGGGTCATGCTTGCTCTGGACAGCTGTCAAAGGGATTCACTCCTTGCAGGAGGGCTGCTCACGGGGCTTCTTTGAGAGCCAGCGGTCGAGCAGCACTTGAACGCAAAAAGACCTGCCTCATGGCATCACATCTTTCCTTCCTGAAAAGCAGTAAAAGCTAGCACGCCTCTTTGCCGCCTTCTCTCCGGGCTCCCCAGAGAGCCGGCGGTTGAGCAGCACTTGAGACCATCCTGCAAATGGCTTTCCCATGCTTCAGCAGTCAAAGCGGGCGAGGCTAGTTCTCACCGGGCTCCTGGGAGAGGCGCCGATTGAGCAGCACGGTGCGGATGTGGGAGGGTGCCATTTTCCGAAGCCGAGCCAGCGCCCGCCGCTCCTCGCGCGCTATCGCTTCGGCCGTGGCGAAGTCGGTTTCTACAAGGTTGTTGGCGCTCTCCTCCAGAGCGCGCACCCACTCCGGGTCCATCCACGCGCTCTGCTCGTCTACACCAAGTGTAGACAAGATCTTCTCAGCCCAACCAAGAAACTCGGATTGAGGAAGCGCAGGGCTGTGTCACACAAGTGAAGACGTAATGCTTGGTTCAGTATGTGGATTGAGATGAGAGTGTGTTCTGTCAGCGCCAACAATTCTTACAACTTGATTGGACTCTTCCATAGGCCTTATGGCCTATTCTGGAGGGAGTGAGAGGGTGTCTTTAACAACGTAGCCTCCCGGCTGTGAATTTTCTACATGCATGCACCTCTTGCAAGGCAGTTGGCTCCCCTTGGCAGTCTATATGCGTGGTCTTGTGCTGAGCACTTGCAACCTCAACCTGGATTGAGATCTCTCGAAGGCGCTTCAGGGCAAGAAGCTTTTTTGTTGCAAAATCGAGGTGTCACTCATTCAGGGAACGTAAGAAATACAGTGGCAAAGAGAAGTGGGAATGCAGCACCTGCGTCGTAGAAGAGTGTGTCAGAGCGCTTGAGGTCTTTGGCGGCCTCCTCAGGGGTAACTTCAGGGGCGGCTTCCTCCAGTAGCTCGCCCACAACATCATACTTGTCATCCTCGTCATCGCTGATGTCAGCCGTGTCCAGCTCCTCATATGGTTCCTGCACAGCAGCCCACAAGAACCTGTTCGATATATCTTGTGCCAGCTGCATGCTGAGCATCGCTTGCTGCCAGCCCTAGCATTGCATGCTGAGTCATTGGTCACTCACTGCCATCCTTACGCAAATATGTTTCCAATGTTTCACTGCGCCAAGCACTCCCGTGCAACCAACACTTTCCATGCATTGCGCAATATCGCATTCTACACCTGCTCTCATCATTGCAGCGACCTGCAATCGACATGTACTGCAGTAATATAAGCTGCACCAGCCACCATACTTGCATGTGCATGCAGCTGCTTGGGGGCAATGCTGACCTGGAGGATGCTGCCAATTTTGGCCATGTCAACACCCTGCAGTTCCAGCAGATGGTCTGGAATGCCATCCAGCAACGCCTCCCGGCCCCCAGGAGCGCTTAAGAGTTCCTCACGCACCATGTTGTATCTGCACATGTGCACAAGACCTTACGCATTCCTCGAGAGTGAATGGGACTGTCCCGAAGCTGGGCATGACTTATGCGGCATGACTTATGCTCACGCAGACTGAAAGTTCTGGTGCAGACAGCATCAATGCATGCACATGCATCAGTGATACAGCATCAGCAAACCGTGCTACCTCTGGCAAAATCTTCTAAATTATCATCGAATGCGTGCGCTACACTCTGACTCTGGATATGGGGTCCTTTTGGAGCTTCTTTTCTGGAAGAGTCCGCATGAGGGATTGCGCCGTACTCAGTGCTCTTGTGCACAGGCATGAGTGAGGTGGGTAGCTGACCTCTCAACGATGGCAGGCAGGGCCTTGAAGGTCTTGACTGTGCTGTCAATGATGGTCTTTTCTGCCAGCCGCCCGATCCCAAACACCTTGATGTTGATCTGCCCCTCCAGCCTGTGCCGGCAGTGGGTCTCATCCACCGGCTCAATCACAATCGTCCTGCTCCCTTGCATCTGCTCATCCACACTCCCCGTCAGCGGCCTTGCAGCGGCTTATTTCAAACCCTCCATAAGCAATTCCTGCTGTGTTACTACTACATGCTGTTCCTGCCAGGGGTAAGGTGCGTCTGCAGACAAGCTGCAGGTACAGAATACCACAGTGCCAACCCCATGTCGGACTCGCCAAATCCTTCCAATGCCCAATCAACCACGGGCAAGGTGCTGTGCTTTTTTACCGCCCACGCCAGCCCCGGCCATTCCTGCTACAGGCTTCTTAATGGAGGCTTCTCGCAGTCGAGGTCTGTCTGCAGACAAGCTGCTGCTGATAGGATCTGTGGCGACAAGGTGCCACAGATCCTATCCCTCGCTGCCCTTGCCCTGGCAAGGCTTGACATGTGAAAATCCAGACAAAAAACGAGCATGCACAGCGCTCAACTGGGCCACAAGCTGCAGCAATGGGCAACTGCGGTGCAGAAGCGGGCGGGAAATACACCAAACTTATCCTCCTGGACACCCATAGTGAAGATCTTATGCGCTCACTTGCAGTGCACTAGTCAGGGGATGGGAATAAGGGAGATGAAATCAGTCACCTTGTCGCCCAGCAGGGGCAGATAGCTGGTGACAGTCATCCGCAACCCCTTCTCGACATCGTCCAGCTCTGCTGGATCGTAGGCGATCGTGTCATAGAACATGATGTCTGGTTCCTTCACATACTTGCGCCCCACAGCGGGCACCCACCTGAACAAGTAAACCCATTATTTATTTGCCTGCTTGACACAGCAAACGCTAGATCAAAGCACTACTGCGCTCGGCCATATTGCTGCTCAGCCAAGCTTGCAGCACTGTAGCTACCTGAAAAGGACAGAGCATGATTGGACCATGTGTCTGTGCAAAGGATTAAAGCAGGAAAAATGCAAACGTTGAAGTCAGTGCGAGCGCCAAAGGGTGGGTGTGCTGCCTTGCTGTGTGACTCAGGAGTGCTTTGACAACACACAGGATTTTGGATTGTCCCATGATTGTGAGCGAAGCCCAGGAGGGCAGTACCTCTCATAGTCTGGCACTGTGACTACTTTCTGGTAGCTCACGTTGCCTTCGCGCCAGGTGTCCACTATTTCGACTTGGCCCAGGTTCAGCAACTGCTGCGTTGCACGGCACAGTGAGGTTGACCAGCTCCCAAAGATTCAATGCAAATGAGACCCTTGTCCGTGACGCAGCTAGAGTGGAGATCGACATAAGGTGGGCATCAGTGTCAGCGTCTGCTTTGATCATGTGAGGCACAGACGTTCATTATGATGTTGGCATGATCTTCGTTATTCTGAGAAGATATTATCAAGCATCAATAATTGGATTGAGATTTGTCTAGGTGAAACAGTGAATGAGCGATGAATCAGCGTTTACCGACCTCGGCCAGCAGGGCTCTGAAGGGAGCACTGTCACGTTCGAGGAAATAGTCCTTGGCATTCATCGGCAGGATTGCTGAGCAAGTGGGTGGGAAAGGTGCCATCCCTGGGCCTATCCAGGGCGATCCTGGGATTTGCTGAGGTAAATGTAATTGTTCTATAGCCGAAAAAACGATGTGAGAATGTGTTTGAAGCCTGAGCGTGCAGCCGAAGAAAACAAAGAATAAAATCTTTGATGTCTTGGATACTTTGGACCGTCCAAGAAGTCCGTGACGATTACGGTAGCCTGATCCAGCGTGCCTGCTTTGAATTTGAATCCGACTTCATCCTCATGGAATGTATGTCAATGTGCTCGTCCCGATAATCCTGCAAATATGCATCTTGATTTAAATTACCAATGCTTGATCCCTCTCGGAGTCAGCGACACAGATTTTTGTTTCAAAGGAAAGTCATCAGCTTCCATTTGCAACCAAAGAGGATGAAGCTTGTGAGCCTGCACTAATCCATTTCACACCAGATTGCCTTCCAGGTCCTTCCCGCTCTGCCCTCCGTACAACTCGGAAAAGTGCAGATGGGGCTGGCATTGAGTAATCGGGGAGATGTGGCCATGAATGCGGCCAGTCCGTCATTGCAGAGGAGGAAAACACGGGCAACGCCGTCGAACCGATCACCTCCCCCTGACAGCTGGACCGTCGAATGAATCGAAGCACAACGGCTGGCTGGTAGTAGGGTCAGCGGAAAATATTTTGTTCCGCGCGAAATCTAGGCTGCACCGAACAAGTGTTTTGGCACAGAGAAGTCGAAATGCTTGCTGAGTACTGAAGATTCGTTCTACTGGTTGGGTTGTCGGTCGCTTTCGTGGGCGCGGGCAATGGTGCCGTTTATCCATCCCACCTCAGATAGTAGCTCGGACGAGTTGGGGTCATCCCCATCCAGCTCCTCGCACACCAATGAAGTTTTTGGGATCCCGAAGTGCTCGGTAGCCTCGGATCCGCCCATCCTTCCCGCCTGTCCCGAGCTTTCAGTTCAGGCTTGCTTCAGCGGCGCCACAATCTTGATCACAGGTACGAACGTCAATAATGATTTACTTTGCCATGGGCACCGCTTCGATCAGCAGATCGATGCGAATGCGATGTGTTCGACGGTTGGCATCCGTTTCGAAGATGCCCGCGACAAGGAAACGCGTGACTGCACACTGCCGTCTTGAAACATACAACCGTCTCGGCGTGCAGGCGCGACTGGATTCGTGGGCAGCGTGGTGCTCGAGCAGATTTTGAGAGTGTGTCCGACTGTGAAGCGGATCTACGTGCTGATCAGGGAGAAAAGAGGGCAGTCGGGTGAGCTCCCGCACTTACACCACTCTGTGTGTCATGTACAGCAGTAAGCAGGTGTGGGTCATTTCGAGACCTGCAGATTGATATGACGCTCAGATTCAACCATGAATTTGACATCAGCTGATTTTAAAGCGTGTGATCGAAGCTCTTTCGTACTCTGCGCGCAAGGCCTATTTACTGCCCATGCTAGACCTGCTAACCTCGAACTAGTGCATGCCTGTGCCCCTTCTGCTTCGTTTTGTCTACAACATCAAAAGAAATTGTACTGCAGCAACGCCTCTAGTGCGTGCTTCCAGCCAGCTATCGCAGCATTCACTGGCCAAACTCAGGGCAGGGCATGTGCAAGCGCAGTATCTGCAGCACTTACTAAATTTCCTTGCTCCCTGCGCAGGTGATGAGCGCATCGACTTCCTGCTGCATAAGCGGCCGCTGTTCCACATGCACTGGAAGGATGGCCGCGTGCCGCTCGATGTCAGGAACAAGATCGTGGTGATCCCTGGAGATCTGCACAAGCCGGACCTGGGCCTCGCGCAGTCAGACAGGGAGCGCCTCATCGAGGAGGTGGAGTTTGTCATCCACAGCGCAGCCTCCATCTCCTTCTTCGAGCACATCCACACTCTGCTCGAGCAGAACTACGAGGTGCGCCCCGCGCGGCTCGCAAGCACCCGCGGCTTTCCTGTGCCGTGCAACCTTCCTTCTTGAGGCATGCTTGAAGGCTGGTTGAGACTCCAAGGAGGACTTATGTATGCTCCTAGATCAAAGGGAAATTTATTACCTAGTTGCAGCAACCTGCCGCGGGGCATTGAGAGTTGATATGGTTGTTGGGGGTGGGATGCCCTCACAAATTGAAGCAGTGTTCACCAGTAAAGCATGTCAGCTAGCATGCTCTGCAGACTGCACATGCAGCCCACTGCATGAGAAGGAAGGAAGAATATGACTGAACAGAAGTCATGCATGTGCGCGCAGGCGACGAAGAAGGTGAGCGAGCTGGCGCTGCAGATCAAGGGCATGCGCGGGTTCGTGCACGTGTCGACCGCATACGTGAACAGCAACCTGCCGCGGGGCAGTCACATTGAGGAACGGATCTACCCTCTGCGCCGCAAGGACGGCCGCCGCCTGGAGCACGCCAAGCTCGCCCTGCAGCTCGCCGCGCTGCCCCCCACCAAGGCCGAGGCCACCGTGAGCCCCATTCCCCCTTGTTTAATTACCTCTTACAGGGGCGCAGATCCATTTCGGGTATTTTGTACTACTCTCATTGCAGAATTATATCACAGAATGCCCGAAGGGGACAATGCCAAGGCTGAAACCACCGGGAGTGCTCCTTTCGTGGCTCTGTCTTCATTTCAATTTGCTGCAGCACCTGTTGTCCTTGCAATTGTAGTGCAGCTCCTTCTGCTGCAAACAGCTTGGTTCGCAGCATTTCCTGCTGTTGACTGTACAAATTCACAGCTCAGGCCACTTTCATAGCGCGGACTTCAGCACCTGTACTGACCTTGCTGTGCTGGCATAATATCATACCTACACCTGATGTGTACACCTAACAGAAAGAGGGTGCAGTGCGCCAAAAGGTTATTGTGTCAGCTCTCAGTACAAGGTGCACAGACCAGGATGGCTCAGTGCAAGCTGTGCTGATGCGCGCAGGCCCAGAAGCTGCTGAAGGAGGTGAACCTGCCCAACAGCTACACGCTGACCAAGCACATGTGCGAGGACCTGGTGGCGGACCTGCACTGCCGCGAGTTCCCCGTCGCCATCCTGCGGCCATCCATCATCGGCGCAATCGCGCGCGCCCCCGTTCCCGGCTACTTTGGCAACGCCGCTGGCCTCACCTCCGCCACCCTCGCCTTCGCCACTGGTGCGCCCTTTTCTTCAATCTTCAAACCAAGTGCTACCCCCCAAACTCTTAGCCCGTGCCTCACCTTTGGGCTGTGTATTTTGCGGCCAGAAGGCTGCTTTCACAGCTGCAGGACCGGCAATCATTTGCCTTTTGACAGCAGCATGCAATGGCATATGACGGCCTTTGCCACAAATGCACAGGACTGGACATTCTTAGCTGTGGTTGTTAATGTTCTCAACACGCAAGCCTGACAGGTTTGCAATGCTGGCGCCCAACACCTTTAAAGACATGCACAAGTTTGATGGGGGCACCGATCTCTCAATGCCTGGAGTGCTAGATGGCTGATACACCTGCGATGTGCGCAGGCATGGCGCGATTCACCTGCCACGACCCGCACAACATCTATGACATCATCCCCTGCGACCTCGTCGGCAGCGCCGTCATCATGTCAGCCGTCGCCCTCGCCCAGGTCAGTCACCCCTTACTAAACACCGCCTCATTACAATCTCTGGAGTGTGAGTTCCCGGCACATGTGACAGCCACAGCAGGCAGGGGAGACCCTTATCCGCAGATCGTGTGTGGACTCCAAGTAGTGTCTGTCCATTATTCTGGCAAACTGCTGGCGCTCTGGGGCACGCAGAAAGTAGGATCTGCTCCCGAACAAGCGCTGTTTCTGTCACTGTGAGAGCGAGCGACTTGCTTGTTAGGAACTTGCCGACAACAGCTGACGAGGGTCTGCAGGATCTGAATTGCTCCCTGTTGTGGTCTGCAGCCGAGCCTGGACCCCGACAACGTGCTGGTGGTGCACGCGGCGACGTCATGCACGCACCCGGCGGATTACTACAACCTCATGCGCACAGTGGTCCACCCCTACTGGGCGGCGGACCCCCCAGAGCACCGCCTCTCCTCCAAGCCCTATAAATCCCTGGACCATCCCACTGCCGTGCTCCCCGAGGACAGCCTGGCCTTCAAAGTGACCCCCGTCCCCCCTCCCTGGCCCTGATAAATACCCCACTCCCCCTTTCCCTGACCTCCATAAATACCCCACCTGCCCTATTGCCCGGCCCCACCCGGCTCCATCCCTGGCCACCACTCTGGTTCCCCCACCCAGCAACGGACTGGGCCTGCCTTGTGCTGTCCTGTACATTCCACACTGCTGCGTTGATCACGTCTGTTCTGCTTCCATTATGGCTCAAGATTGTTGAGTGCTGGGCTGGCAGGTGTGTCGGCATGCACGGTGCTCATGTGGGGATTCTGGGGTGGTGTGCATTGCAGGCGATGCGCATGAAGCATGGAATCCGCTTCAAGCTGATGGCAGCAGGACTGCGCATGGCGGGCCACAAGAAGGTGGCCGACATGATCAAGAGCAGCTGGAAGGTGACGATTATGCATTTCTTGCTCCTGCCTTTTTACATTCCTCAACATGAGGATTCCAGATGTACATGGGTGTGCAAGATGTTGATGAAGAGTGCAATATTGGATATTTGCAGCAGCACTGCCTTCTCTGAGGGTTGGTCTTATAGGGATGGTGCTTTTCGTGATCAAGGCAGGAATTTGTGAAGCTGACAAGGCTTGGTGCGTTTCAGGTGTGGAAGCTGTACAATACCAAGACGATGGACTTCCACTTGTTCTTCTGCTGCCGCAAGGCCATGGAGATCCAGGTTAGACACAGTCGTCAGTGCTCGAGGCTGCAAAATCCTGTCACCTCAAGTCTAGCTGGCTAGTGGCTGTGAGCAGCCAGTTGACTGCATGCTGTCTGCACCACCTTGGCATGCATGAGCATGCCAGATCAGAGGCAGTGATCTGCTAGAATTCTATCTTGTGAGGCAGCCTTCTAGGTATGGCTGTTGCCATGGTGACAAAGAGATCAAGGCAAATTTTATGCTGATCCGCTCTGTCTGACCCAGCTTGGCATGATGTTTGAAGGCAGTAATCTGATGAGTTTCTCTGTTGTGAGGCAGTGTTCTAGGGATGGTTGTGGCTACAACACCAAAGAGCTCAAGGCAAGATTCATCTGCTGAAAACGCTGTGGTGTGTGCAGAGCCTGGTGGCTCCCGAGGAGGCCCTGGACATGAAGATGGTATGGGAGGCGCCTGATGATGACTGGGAGGCCTACATCCACACCCACATGGAGGCCATACGCGCCAAATACTTCCCCAAAACCGCCCAAGCCAAGGTACTTGCCCTGACTCCACCTCCCGATTTGCTTTGGACAGTCCAAAGCAATCAGCCACAGACTCGTCCTACTATTGACTCCGCCTGAAAGAATCTCTGCACTTTTCGTCCCCATGATCTACATTATGCGACGTGGCTATCTCAGTGCTTGGTATTGCCACGCTTTGGACGATTTGCTTCGTAGTGGCCTCATGCGATGTCCTTGTCTTAGTCCTTTGTATCGCCACACCTTGGACAACATTGCTCCGTGATGGCGTTACGCTCCTATGCAAAGCATACGGCTGTCTAGGTCTACATTGATCTGTTGCATGACAGCTCCAAACTACATCGAATAACTCCAATGGCAACCGCAGGCGCAGCAGGGGATTGTGGAGAAGGCTCTGCCAGGGCAGAAGACAGTGGAGGGACTGGCGGACGCTGCCGCCACAAACGCTCCCACTGGGCCCCTCAAGGTGTGCTGCCACCCCTAGCCTGCGCTGACTGCCTTCCTGTGCAGCCCTGCTACAACTTGTGAACAGCAGGGCTCGGTTTTGCACAGATGCTCGAGAAGCACAAGTGACACTGTGCATGGCGTACAAGCTAGCATGCTGGGCAGTCCCCTCAGTCTACCTGTCTGCGGTGTTGTGCTTGGTGAAGGGCAGCACAAATTTAGTCGCATGGTTTGTGAGGTCAGGCATACCTTGGGCGCTTTCAAGCATCATTCACTTGGCTGCCATGCATCACATTGTGGCAGCTACAGGTCAGCTGTCAGCTTTAAGGGTGCACCGGATGAGCCACACCTGCCCTGCCTTACACTGCTGCTAAGTGCATGAGTGCCCTGCTGCAGGACGGCTCCCTGGTGAGCAGCACAGCCGCCAAGCAGAACAGCGGCATTTTCCGCATGAACAAGAAGCAGCCTGCAGCGCCAGTGCAGCAACCTGCAGCAGCAGCCACCATTCATCTGACACCTGTCATCAGGGCAAATTGAGCAGCGCTGCTCCGTCCACAACCGAGATAAAGGGCCATTTTTGCTTGGGCTAGCTTTCACTCCGGGTGGGGTGGATCCTCGAGGTGGACAGCTACCCAAGGGAACATTGCAGGGTGCCTTGCAAAGAGAAAGCACCGTCCCCAAACAGAATGCGGCAAGGGTGACAAACCGGTAGAAGTGTATACAGGATGCTAGATGGACTGGAAAGGAGTCGCAAAGAAAGGACACCGAATAAAATGCTGAGCCGCAGAGCCAGTTGCAGCGAGTACAGGCCAGCTACAAGAATCGATAAAATAGATAAAATAGAACCAACCTCAAGAACATTGCTTGCGCAATGACAAGCCCCCCAAGTATGTCATGAGATGATTTAGCTGTTTCTGGCACAATGTTTCAGAGCAAGAATTTGGGTTAAAAGGTTTTGGTTGGGACAAGAAAATTGTGTACCTCTCCACGAGGGGAGCTTGAAGGCTATTGGCTTTTGCTGCCTGCCCATGCGAGCTGCTGTGCCAACCATCTTGGCATGGGAAGACTCAGAAGCTGAGTGAGGGGTGAGGACTGCCGTGATGCTTTGCAATTTGAGCTTTGCAAAATAAGCCTGCAATCGAGCACTTTCGCCTCACCGGTGCAGTAGAGTTCGGTGGGGAATGCGGTTGATCAGATATTGATTGTCCATCCTGCAAGCAGGCTTGGGCAGCCCACTTTGGGCTATTGGTCCACTGAGTACATCATGGGGGCACATGAGCTTGTGCAAGTGACTCGCTGTGGTAGTGTGGTAGAAGAAGTGCCTCCAATTGCTAGAGCAGACTTTGTCCAGCAAGAGAGCAGTGAACTTGCCACTGTCCATTCTAAGGTGCTGCTCCATGAAGGAGACACCTGTCCATTCTATTGCCCCTGAAAAGGTCGACTTGCTGCATTCTCAGGGTGTCTTTTCATCTTTTATACCCCCCACGCCGCGCCATACTTTCTTGCTCTTCCCATTACAGCAGAGTAGGGTAATGCAGCATCGTGGTGAATTGGAATCAGCCCTGAGTTTGAACTGCATCTCCGTTTCAAGCAGCTGCTGATCAGAAGGCGCTGCAGTGTTTTTCCTCAAGGTGTTTTGAATATAGTGGATATGTCTGGTTGATGTTATCACGTCCTGTAACGTCAGACTGTAATACCAGTGCAGCTCAAATACAACAGTATGGCGGTGCTGGCATGTGCACTCTTGCATATATGCGCCTAGGGCAGCACACTTTGTGACTCTCCACCAATTTTGCATCAATGGGTTCGCCGCTCACAAGCAGCTTCTTGAACAAAGGAAATAAAAATCACATGAATGAATCTCGTGGTGATCATCTACAAGCAGTGCATGTCAAGCAGCAAGTGCTCTTGCAGAGAGCGAAGGGCCATGCAGTGACATCATGCAATACGTCAGTCAGTCATGCCAGATGCAGACCAAAGGATGTCTTGATCAAATCCACCCTTAACTTTGTGAAAATGCACCAGCTGTGGATTGTGCAATTTTGGGAGTCTGTCTCTTGTCAGCCGCTACTCTCGTCAACAAGAGGATTCTGAGTTGATGCCATGGACAACCACACAACATGAGTTTCTAGGACAGAGCAGCTCTACGTCTCATAATTTCAAGCTGGAAAAAACCGAATCACGCTGTAAGGCTTATTAGAGGCCAGGCGCTTTGGCTGAGGACCCACAGATCGACGGATCGCATGCCTGTCTGGCTTCGCAAAGTTTCTTGGAAAGACACTGGTGGCATGCATTTGCTGTCTGAAATAATTGGACGAAGCCTTCTGTAGCAATACACGTACTAAATACATGCGGCATGCTTTCGCGGAGCCTTTGACAGATCAAAAGGCAGAGCCAGATGCAGTCAGACGAGGACGAACAGGAGGAAAGTACCAGAGCAACACCACAGAACGCAAGGCCAAGCTATGCCTTCATCGCTGTGTTCTCCATCCTGCTCGTAGCCTTCACAAACCCGAGCTTGACAGGTGAGAAGTGACAAGCAGACATTGACACCCCACCTGCGCCTGACGATCTAGCATTCTTGCTGCAAATATATGCCAAAGAGCAGCAGATCGCTGACTTCCTCCATACAGGTCTATGCTACTTGTGCGTCTTCTTCACTTGGGGAGCGCTGTGTGTCATACGGCTTGGCACCAGCGCTGGCCGAGCAAGCTCACTGGCAGTTTGGGGGGCTGTCGCAGCCATCTCCACGCTGCTGCTCATCGTGCAGGCTGCTGTTCAGCTGCTGTTCTTCATTGGCAATGATGCATGGGCCAGTGACCTGAGAACCAAGGAAATCCTGGAGCTTGTTGGCTGCCCCAAGGCGCTCAGTGGGCTTGATCTCTTCCTGGTGAGGCCTGCCAGGCAGCTCAGCTGGGACACTGGCATCATGCTTAATTGCTTGAATGGAATAGGATCACCAAAGCAGCAACACATGTGGCATGATGCTGTTTGGTGCTGGCAGGATCTGTTTCCGCCGCTGTTCGCGCTTGTGGCAGCTTCAGCAGAGGTGAATGCAGCCAGGGGTGCTGTGACGGGGCAGCAGATGGGGTTGACAATGCCTAGACTGCGGCAGAGCATGGCCAGCCTGGCAAACTTGGATAGCACAGGCAGCCAGGTGTACTATGCGCTCATGTGGGCAGCAGGTGATCACCTACCCACACCCACAGCGCATGCAACCTTAGGCGTCATGCAAATGCCATTGTCCTGCTTGTCCTTAGCATGCACGCAGTTGCACATGCATGTATGTGTGCAATAGTGCTCCATGGCATGTACATCATTTCTTGATTTCAGGGTGTTGGGGATGTCAGGTTACAGCAATGCGGGAGTGCTAGCGGCTGTGGCACTGGCAGTGGTTGCACTTCTGTGGCCTGCTGTCCTTGCGTGGCCATACCAGCTCATCATACTCTGTCAGCTGTGGAGATGGTCTCTTGGAAGGGAGAGCAGCAGCGTCAGCAACACTGCCTGCCATGCCCTGCAGACCTACTGTGGTGTGCAACTTTTTCACCTTTGGCTTGTGCAGCACATTTGATTGTAATCACATCTGTCCGGACATGGAGAGTGCATGTGATCTCTGACCATAATATCACAAGTGCAGGGGCGCACATTTCAGTGCTGTACCTGTGGCAGATCACCATACTGCGCGCTAGTGTCCTGCAGAGCCCTGCAATGTGGCTGGGTCTCTTTGTCATATCCGACAGCAGCCCCTTGTATGACCTCATCCCACAGGTCCGCTTTTGCATCCCTCTCCTGTTGCATGATGGACCAAGATTCGCCCAATGTCTCACATTCTGCATGCGACATGACTCCCGCATGTGGACCGATATTCAGGATGGACCTGTCACGAAAATGTCAACACAAGTACACTAACACTCTCTGAAAACTTGCAGGTGGTCCAACTTGCAGCACTGCACATTCTTTTTGCTGCTCTGGGTTTCTACTACAACAACATGAAGCAGCGAGTCGGAGATGACAGCATTGACCTGCGGCAAGATGGTGGAGCATATATTTCTGTCAGCAATGGAAGCCCTGCCCAAACCCCTGGGGCAGGGGAATCAAGCGGGCCCTCTGGACCCTTCAACGTGAGGAGGGGTGCACTACCAGGTGAGGACGGCATGCACACCATCCAACCAAGGTCCTTCAGCAACGAGCGCTTAAGTCATGCATTTCCATTGAATGATTTAAGGTATGCTTAGCGCGTGACAAAGTGTGGGACGAGACCATGGGCATTGCAAATTTCATCAAGGATGAAATTTGAACTACAGGGATTCGGCCAACCACAAGCCTGGAGGAGTTCTTTGGGGACACAGACTTGTTGGAGCTCACAAGCCAGATAGAGCTGGCAAAGCAGCTCAGGGAGGGAAGGGGCGCGCACAACCCCTCCAATGGAGCTCGTTACTCAGAGGAAGGCTTCACTGAGGAGCCCGGCCATGCAGGTGAAGACTCTTTGTTTCTGCGGCAGTATCTACATTGAGGGCTATCCTAGCATTTGCATTTGCTGTTCTATGCATGGCAATGGCAGATTCTCCTCTGCAGTTTTCCCTCTGCGGCAGTACTTATTTGAGGACTATCCTTCTCAATGCCTTGCTACTCTGTGCATTGGCTAGAAACTTCATCTGGAAAGAGGGCGTATTCATGCGCCCTGTAGATTTTTTGTAATGGTGGGATGCTGCAGGGCATGGTGGCAGGCCCGGCATAGGGACTCTGATTGACATCCTGCTGCCTTTGGCAGCGGGGGCCACAGTGCATGCAATTGAAAAGATGACCTCGTTTCCCAGCATCCCAGCTGTTGCCCTCTGCCTCTTCAGCTTGGTGGAGCCCTCCTGCCTGAGTACTGGTGAGTCCACCCTCAAATGGCATGCGTGGCAGATTTCCGCATACGGCTAATCTCTGCATGCAGCCACACCCAGCTAAAACACGCCCTGCGGACAAATTTATGTAGAATGTATTGATGCACATGTCTTGTGTCGTTGCAGCTTGTCTCTTGATTGGGCTCTGGGTGCTCTTGGCACCAGATGCTTGGGGGAGGCACGCCTTCATGGCAGCTTCCAGGCCTCTCGCAGCGCTCTTTGTGCTGTGGCATCTGTCTGTATACGTCGCGACATCGATCGGGTCTTTAGCGGTATGAGCCTGCCTCTTCTTGCAATATTGTATGTTTTCTTCTTGCACACCCCCAGAAAGAGCATGCTGGCCCAATAAGAATTTCACAAGATTGAGCAATTAAGTCTTGGTTTGGCCAGGCTCTGCCAGATTTGGTGCGCAGCATTGGCGCGTATGTCCTTGCCAGCCCGCCTCCATTGTTCCTGCCACTAGGCGCCCAGCTCATGACAGCCATCACACTGCTGGGCCTGGCTCGCTCCAGCGCCATCCATGCGCAACATAAGAGGTGAGCATCATTTTGTCGTTCTAGATGACCCACCTGTACACTCTTGGCTATTCAATGTTCCTTCTATGATGAGATGGTAATTTAGGTAATGTATATCAATTGAAATGAGGTTATCAGCAGGTTAGCGGACTTCCCCCACAAAAAAATTCAGTTGAGTGCTGATGTTCCCCAATGTGGCTGAACAGGCGGAACTTCAACAGGGAAGCAGAGCTGGGAATAGGCACATCCCAGGAGCCGCTGCTGGGCCAGACAAGGTCAGCCCCTCAGCGCATGCAGTCCCTGCAGGGAAACAGCGCCGCAGCAGCCGGCTCATTTGGCGCGGTGCTGCCCCGGAGGCTCGGCCGCCGGTCATCGTTCAGGGAAGAAGTCTCCGGGCGATCCCCCAGAGATAATAGCCTGAACAATGACACTGTGCTGGATATTCGGGAGGCCGGCCCATCCTCGGTGGCAGACTCACAGGTTGGCTGCACTCATCAATTGTAAAGACCATCAAATTACAGCTTTCCAGGCATGCGTTTGGCATACATTGATGCGACACAACAGCAAGGGAATAATTGAAATTTGTGTAAGATGAGCACATGGCTATGCAGGAGACATTTGACTATGAGATGGATGCTGGGAGCGCGTGGGCGGTGCTGGGGCTTTCCACAGTGCACGCATCGTTCTACCTCGGCTTGCTGCTGCTTCCTGTTGGCCTCTTTGTGGTGGGAGTGTCAGAGTACAACCTGCTGCATGCCGGATATTTGGTTCAGCTCATGGCGTACCTCCTCACCACCACCGCGCGGCTTGAGCCCTCCATTGATTCTGCCATCATCGTCGCTGCCCAGGTGATTTTCTGCTACAGAGATGTGGGCCCTGCAGCACAGAAGTGTGTAGAGAATATCCATGCTCTTGGCACATCGTGAACAAGTGAAACTTGGGATAAGGGCCCCCTGGGCCAAAGGAAGAGGGGCGTCCAGCCCCTTCAAAGAGACATACCTCCTGACTGTGTAGAGATGATAGCCATGTTGGGCCTTATGGGATCAAGGGTTGGAAGAAGGTGGTTGGGTTGGGTAGCAGGTGATTGGCATCTGACAGGTTAATGTGCCATGCAGCACAACATTTTGCGCGCCTATGCGTCACTGCACCTGGCGCTGATGTCAGTTGCGATAGTCAGCAGCCTGCCAGCAATGGGCAACCACCTGCACAAGCTCGTGCCGCAGGACTGGCTGCAGAGCCTGGGCCTGTGGAGCCCCTCCGTCGGCCACAGCATTGTCCCTGTGCTCTGCCTCCTGTTGCTGGTAGCAACACAATTGTTATTGTTCCCAGACATTCCTAAGAGTATCTTTTCTGCTTTCTCTGCCCTCTGTCAGCCACAGCATTGTCCCTGTGCTCTGCCTCCTGTTGCTGGTGAGCAGCACAATTGTTATTGTTCCCAGACATTTCTAAGAGTGTCTTTTCTGCTTTCTCTGCCCTCTGTCAGCCACAGCATTGTCCCTGTGCTCTGCCTCCTGTTGCTGGTAAGCAACAAAATTGTTATTGTTCCCAGACACTCCTAAGAGTATCTTTTCTGCTTTCTCTGCCCTCTGTCAGCAACAGCATTGTCCCTGTGCTGTTCCTCCTGATGCTGGTACGCGACACAGTACTTACTTTTTCAGACATTCCTAAGAGTGTCTTTTCTGCTTTTTCTGCCCTCTGTCAGCAATAGAATTGTCCCTGTTCTCTGCCTCCTGTTGGTGGTACGTGACACAAAGTATTAGCCCCAAACATGCCTTCAGAGTGTCTTGTGAGTTTCTCTGCTTCAAAATTGCTGTGCTGTTGCCGATCATCATCACCATAGCTGATCGATCTCTAAGGAAATTGTGCTCAGCGCTCCCGTTGATAGCAATCTGATACATTTTAGTATTCCAAGACATGCCCCATAGTGATTCTGACCTGCCTGGTGCAATCCTCTCTGGAAGCAGGGTGGAAGGTGGATGCATTGTTGTCTTCAATAAAGCATGCTTCCATCTATCACCAGAATTTTATTGGTGCTGTTGTATAATCTCCCGTTGCTTCAGATCTGATGAAGCAGACGGCTCGGGATACAGTCGGTGTCCAGGACATACCCTTTGCCTAGGGAGACAGCTGATCTGTTCGGCGAAGAGGTTTGTGATTGTTGAATGCACTGTCTGCTGTCCAATTGCTGGGATGTCACTGAGATGAAAAAACAGATGACATAGTGAGAGTGCTCAGCCCTGATCTGGTGGATATGCAGGCGACTGTTCACAGGAGCCTGGGGAATTGGCTGCATCTGCAAAGCGCTATGGGGGTTCAGCTGAGCTTGCGGCGCGGCAGTGACCACGCAGTACAGGGCGCCATGGGCTTCCCATCGGCGCTGCTGTGGAGCAGCCGAGGCTTCATCTCCTTTGGCTCTCTCATCATTGCTCTGCAGGTTCAAATGGTCCACACATCTCCCTTGCCATTGCAACACCTGTCCAGAGGCCATGTGTGCGGAGAATGTCACAATTAAGCTCAAGATGACCTTGACAGAACATGCACGGGTTCAGATACCACCTATCCTGCCCAGGTACTTTGAATCAAAATATGGTGGCCTGGGGACTAAAAATAATGCACGCTGTGCGGAACGTCCAAGTAGCGACTGTCATTCTCATGAATCCTTGTCCTAGTGGTCACAAATGGAAGGTGCAGCATTTTCTGATTTTGCTTTTGGGCTCTGCGCAGGGCTATGTGTTCTTGCTGCTCAGAAGCAACCCCAGCCTCCTGGGACTGGGTTATCTGGGGCTCTGCATAGCCATTTTCCTGAACCCGCCGCTGAGAGGAGAGTTTGAGGAGAGGGATGAGATGGGCAGAGTGGTGGAGGGACCAGGGTCCACAGTCACAAAGATCTACAGGGGCTGCTGGTCCGCTGCAGGTGATCATGAGAGCCCTGCTCAATATGGTATTTTGTGTATTGGTAACAGTACCTGTCTGTCTGTGCTTACACCGAAGGCTTGATGGTTGGAGTTTGTCAAGCCCAATCTTTGATAGAAAGATAGTACGGCTAGCTGTGGCTTATTATCAGGAGCATGAGAATTTTTGAAGGTTGTGAGTAAGAAGATTCTCTTGTAAAATGCAGGGCACCATCATTTCATCACCATGAAGGGCGGCAGGCCATCACGCTGGCTGCCCCTGTCCCTGCTGGCCTTCTTCGCCGCCGTTGAATTCGCCACTCAGTACCTCTTCATCGCCACAAACTTTGCCGAGATCACCGGGATCCCAGATGCTGCCCTGCACTTCATTGAGGTCCGGCTAATTAGCAACATCTCCACGTGAATGCAAGAGCTTTCACTGCCCTGTTGAGCTCTTAAACGCTGTCGGCATACTTGCCGTGGCATGCAAGGAAAGCTCTGTCACCTCACTTCAGTCATGGATGGTGCACAGGACGTTGTGGGAATCAACACAGAGCACAAGGGGCTCTCAGTGAGGCTGCTCCGCTCTGCCTCCCTGCTGGGAATGATGCACCTCTACAGGTTTGGCTTTGTCGTGGGCGTCCTTCAGGTACTTTTTTGCCCCATTGCCCTCTCCTTCAATTCCTGCAAGCTGATTCAAAGCTGTATAGCCAGTGCTTGGACCTTATTCTGTTGGGATGATATATATTGCAACCATGACAATTTGTCCGGCAGAATCAATATGTGATTAGCCTGTACCTTCTTCTGTTTTTTCAGAAGTCGGGCCTGGCCTGTGCCATGCGTGCATGCTGAGAGGTACAAGCAGTAGTCATTGGTGATTGAAGCGTTGGCCCACGAGCAGAACACAGAGCAGAGCACTACTCGGCTTCACATGAGGTGTTTTGTGGCTGCCAGGCCCAGCATGAGAGGGGCAGCTTGAGCCCAGCAGAGCAGGAGCAGAGGAATCTGCAAGCGCAGCGCGGCATCTTTGCTTTGGTCGCCCGCTTCTTCATCCTGCACTCCTCCAAGATTGTGGCCCTCATGCTGTTCTGGGCAGCCATGCAGCGGCCTGGTGGCTTTGGCTGGGTCCTCACAGGTGAGCACATATCCTGCATTCAAGAAAGATGTCATTGTGAGCTGATCTGCATGCATGCATGCCCTCCACTAGTGCAAGCCATGCGACTGAACAATTCTGGCACATACATGATATCGATGAAAAAGTAGCGTCAAAATGCCAGTAGTTGTTGCTTTTAAAATCATTCAAAGCAAATGTTGCTTGGCAATGCAGTGGGCCTGGTATTGCTGTCGCCTGTTCTTGGCGGCCCCAAGGCGACAGAGGGCAGCAGGTGGCTGCTGATGCACCTGTCCACGCTGGCAGCCATCCTGGTGACTGCCACCTGGATGCTGACTCAGTACGCCATGCAGGTGAAATGCTTTCAATTTGACAGAGGACGCCCATTCAGAACGGCACGCAATTTGACAAATATGGTCCCTTGCGGTGTTGATTATATATGTTTTCTACCTCACGGAGCCCGTTCTGAATACCCGTCTTCTGACACTGCCTCTCATGCATGGGTCCTGTCTTGCAGAAATGAGCGTGAGCAACTAATACTTGTGTGCGCATAGATACTTACACTACTCAGATTATGGCGCAATCAAGATGATATGACAAATCTCTTGCTTGTGTACAGGTGGGGTGGATCTGTGACAGAGCGGGTCCGCCAGATGGGCTGCCAGCGAGGGTGGTGGGGTATCTGGGGCTGCTCTCATGCAGCAGCGGTGAAAGTCTTGAAGCCCTGCTGCGCGTAAAGTGCCTGGTGCTCATTGCCATCACCCTCAAACGCCGGTCTCTCAGGTAAACATGCTATACTTGCCATCAGTTTCGTCAATGAGTCACAAGTAGCGCCTCATGTATAAGATGCCTCTTCTTCCCTGCAAAATGCTAATTAGATAGTCTTAATTGCTATCATGTGCCATGCTTGTCTGCTTCTTCTGAGACCATGGCTCACCCTGGTGTTATTATTGGTATCTGCCGATCGCACGTGTTGCTGCACTCCCATTCCTTATTTGCGCTGCTTGGACCAGAAATTAAGTTGAATTTTTTCCTGCAGGTGGCACAAGCACCTTCCTGAAGCTGTCAAGAGGGCAGGCGCGCCAAGCTCGCAGTGCTGCCTGTTCTGGACGCCTTCGGACGCTGAGCTGGCAGAGGACAGCGCCTCCCACAGCCTCTGGACCCGCGTCCGCAACTCTGCCCTGGGCCGCTCTGTGCGCCTCGCTGTCAAGGTACTAACCCCTCACATAATACTTACACATCTCCAACACCATCCATGCAAGCCTGCAAATCTTCTCTTTGGAGCGGTGCTCTGTCTGTTTCTATCATTAAAGGGATCTTTAGCTTTCCTGTGGATTCTGATGTGTGCTGGATGTAGTATAGCCCACACTCTCTCCTGTGCCTTACCAGTGTCGGGTAGGACACACTCACCTGGGGTAGGACAGACTCTCACACTGGATTCTACACACAAACAAACCCAACCAGCCCAGGCTTGATAGCAGCGTTTGGGGCGTGCAGGATTTGGTGAAGCAGATGCAGGACGGCAGCCAGCGCATTCTGCAAGCCATGGACTGGCCGGCAACAGCAGCCGGCAGCGGCCGCCGCAGCCCCGTTGACCGAGAGGGCTCCTTTTCACCAGCCCAACCTAGACAATCGAAGCAGAGTCCTGAGGTTGGCACTCCTTCCCCTGAAGAAATTGCATGCATGCATGCATTCTCATGGCATACCTTGATACTTTCAAGATACTTTAAGGGAGGTTCGGCTAAGGGGTTATTTCTGAGGGATAATGCACTGACAGGTGAGGGAGAGTTCTGAAGAGGCCAGCAGGTCGCTGCTATGGCGCATACTGGATGTCAACCGCTGGATGCGTCAGCTGCACAAGGTCCGACTGGCACTGCAGGACTGGGCAGAGCGCTTCTGGCAGGTACTACTGCATGCCCCACATCTCCTTCCCTGAGACATGGAAGCTCATTGGAAGTACCATGATGATGAGATGGTGTCTGCCCTGTCTTTGCATGCGAGAAGGTCCCTCCCTGGCAAGATATTGCTAAGGGATGTTTTGCTGAACGGCGTGCTTCCTTGCCCTACATTCACTAACATTTTGTAGACAGAAGGGTAGAAGTATGTAGTAGTAAGGTATAGAAGTGTGGTTATGACACCTGGCATTAACAACCGGGGGTTTGTGTCGCAGGATTGGGGTATGGATGTGACGATGGGAGCGTTGCTTCTGGCAGCGTTTTTCTCCATCAACATCCTTTCCCTGGTCTATCTGGCCATGATAGCCATTGGAATGGCTGTGCCTTCACAGCCTCGGCGCCTCATCTGGCGCTTCTGTGCTCTGCCGCTGCTGGCAATCCTGCTCATCGCGCAGTACTCTGTCTTTATTGGACTGCCGCCTCCGTTTGACCAGAACGGGTACCTCTGGAGCTTCTTTGGAGGGACTGGGAACAGACAGAGTGCTTGGGGCGGGAGGCGACACCACGACTCAGATGCTTCTGTCAAGGCAAGCCATGCAAAGTTTGATTACCTGCTGAAATTGCAGGCTTGTTCACGTATTAGCCTGCAAGCATTCATTGCGTTGCATCTTTGAGCTTCAATATGAGGCACATTATTACTGTCAGACCTGAGGTGGGGTGTTTTTGGCAGCAGGACTGGCTAGGATATGGGCATGTTGACCCTGCTGCGCTATGGGCCCTCTTCTTGTCATTCGCCACCAGCGTCGTCCAGGTAACAATCTACTCACCATGCAGAAGCGTGCAATTTCCTATTAGAACCCCCTGCATGCAGAATCTACTTACTGTGCAGAAGCGTGCAAATTTTGATGACAACCCCCTGCATTTAGTGCAATGTAGTCCTGCAGCTTGGACGTCATCAATTCCAAGCCAAAAGCTGTCCTCTCTTTCCCTGCAGGTGCACCATGATCTTTGGCACCACAGCCAACTTGGTAGGCAGTACTCGTGGTATCAACCACAGGAGGGACTCCTGACAGCGCCTTCGTCATCAATGGCTTCAGGTGTGGACTTCTTCCTTCTACAGGCATGCCAATCGGGTTGCATAAAACGATACTCTCCTCTCAGAGTTTTCTGGATACATATGAGTAAAAATAGTTTTAGCCGAGTAGCCCATGCTGATGGGGGTCGGCACCGTGCCCACCTTTGATTGGGTCTTGCTTGGACCTGGCCAGTGCAACAAGGGATACGATTTTGGCAGCCTGTCATTGCAGGGTTCTGCACACGAACCTTCCATCTTGGCAGGAAAAGCGTGTAATATAATAGATTTATCCAGCTTGGTGTGGCATTATTGCAGGCAGTCAGCTGGGACAGAGGTCGGGTGGCGCCAGCTGGCAGCACAGCAATGTATGGGCACCCATGGAGTACGAGGCCATGGCAACCTGGAGCTGGATAGACTGGATGAGGTTCATGTTCTACAGGTCTGCTACTCCTCATCACCATCTCTTTGATATCCAAGAATGTGTTAGCTGTGTCTAATTTTCAAAGATGTCCAATGCTAATGTATCGCACACCACCATGCATTCACCGAGAGCCCTGCCCGGAACTCTACCTAATCTGCATGCCTCGAATGGCAGTTGGCTTCCTTTAGCATGTCTCAATATGGAAATTTGTTGCGCTGCAGGCATTACACAGATGTGGTGCTAGTGGCGGTGGTGGCTCTGTGCACGCTGGAGAATGATGTGATCCACGCTGCCTACCTGGCCATCGCACTGCTGCTCTTCAGGAGGCGCGACGTTCTGAGGACTGAGCGGCAGGCGCTGTTCCGATGGCTGCCCCTGTACAACTTTGCAGTCATGCTGCTGACTCTCCTGTACCAGAGCCCCTTCGAGGACATATGGGGCCACTCGCTGGGGCCCAGCCTGGTAAGACACTCCCTCTCATGTATGTATGCATGCATGCATGCACCCATGCAAGAAGCAATCGGGATCATGAACGCAATACGGTACTTCGGGAGAGGCCTTATGCCCACAACTTGTAACTGTTCATTGGATTTTTGACAATTCTTAGTTTGTGCAAGCTCTTCTCATATAAGGTCCTTGCATGTGTGTTGCCCTGCATTGATGATTGTGCAGGACAACCCAAGGCTTTCCTCCTCTGTTGGATGCCCAGAAACTGCAGCATTTACTTCAGAGCCTTTCTCCTCTCTTCAAGGGCCAGAAATCCTTCCGTCAATTTTTTCAAAATTGAGTTGGCCAGAAGAATGTGTTTCTGTCTGGCAGGGGTGCAATGTGGCGCATGTTCTGGGGCTGTACAAGATGTCTGGAGCGAGAGGGGCTGCCTTCTCTCTGACGTATCGCGGCGCACTGGCGGACATGATGCTGTGGGCCATCTTCAGGCTACAGACACGCGTCTTCTCTTCCAACACCTATGACAGGTGAGTTTTATTCATGTGTGCCAGCCCTTCGTCCCTCTCACCCGGCGGCTCCTCCTATCACTCCAACCCTTTGATGCATTACAGACACCGCGGTTCCCGACCGGTCAAGGTGCAGTTTTGATTGCCATGAGCCCTTCGCTTGCAGTGAGTCCCTTTGCACACCAGTAGTAGGTTGCACAAACTCTAATGTGCATGAGATACAGATTATGTTTGTCATGAGCCCTTTGCTGATCTCCAGTCCCTCTGTGCAATAGCAATGGACTGCATGCTGTGGGATGCCTTTACTCCCAAAGAGTAGCAGTAGATTACAGGCTGTGGAGAACCACTCACATGCACCGGTGTGGGTGTGGGTGGAAACTCTAAGTTCTGAATATGACTGTTCATACATTTTTGGACCCTGAAACCCCCTGGAACGTGCAGGGTGATGCGCATAGTGGCAAGGGAGCAGGCGGAGGAGCTGCGCAGCCGGGAGGCCAGGCGCCTGCAGCAGCAGAGCGAACAGGCAGCCGCCGCGCTGGAGCACTCGGGGCTCAGGAAGCTGCGCGCCATGCGCCTGGCACAGCTCAAGGCAAGCTTTACTGCCTCTCCATCAAGTTTTGGTCTGTGGCGCAGACTTTTGAGTGGTTTATTATGACCAAAATAAAGCTTTTCACAAGTTACACCGTGATCGAGCATGATTAATGGAAATGGTCTGAATGCTAGGGTACAATTGCTAGAAATGGTTAGCAAGAATCGAATTTTAGGGGCTTCTCCCTTCTTGAAAGAAAGCTCATCCTTGCCTGTGAGTATGCACGGTTATATCCAAGCGCAGATGTGCAGGGCTGTGACGTTATTGAAATGCTGCTGCTCAGGCGGGAGTGACTAGGAAGGGTGGCCTGCTCGGATTGGATTCGTCATTGCTGGATGCAGACCATGAGCACAGCGGCTGGTGAGTGGCCTGTCCGCGAAGCTGACTTCATTTCTTCTTGATGAATTTGTTGGTGCCAGCACAAGAATGACATTCGCCGCCTAATCTGATTTGTACGTGCTCAGGGTGGATGCCATGAAGGGTCTGCTTGGGGACACGGCCCAGGGTAAGGGCAAGGCATCTCAGCAGAAAGATGACACTGACCGCCCAAGGAATCTGGTATGCCCGTGCACCCTGCTTTTTACTAGGTTGCAGCCCGACATGCAAAGTACGGGCTCGCCTGTTTAAATCAAGCACGACAACATGCAAAATTCTGGCGCACGGATTGCTTTTGAGTCTGCAACTTTATCTGAATTGTCAGATTGATCCAGCTGATGTGCTGCTCGGTGCGAGGACTTTCAATGAGTGTCCAGGTTGAGTTGACTCTTCTCATCTAAGGCAGCTGCTGTGCTGTGCGCAGCTGAGGGAGAACGCAGAGCAGTACAGCGGTAGGCCCCAATCGGGTGCTCCACGGAAATCCTTTGACTGGCTGGCGCTGCTGCGCATGCGCTGGCGGCGGGACGACAAGGAGAGCATCGTCTGCTACTTCCTGTTCATGGCGCTGTATGTGTCGGACTTCAGCGGCCTCGCCCTCGTCTTCCCGGTCGTGCTGTACTGCTACGCCCTGCTCGCGCAGCCACCTGCGCGCACCTTCTGGCAGGCAAGTCATTGTCCCTTGTCTGCTTGCCTCTGCCAAAGATATATACCAGCATGCGGACACGTTGGCGTGATGGCAAAGAGCTCAGTACAGATACCGAAACATTCATGCTAACCATGCCGACCCCAACAAAGCTCAGTGTACCATGAGGAAGATGGCACACAGCTCGGTGTGCTTGCCGTGCAACAAAATGACGCGAGATTTGCACTGGTCCAGTGCTCACCCGATGTGAATTTTAGAGGAAAAACAATTGAGTAGTGTGCTGAAATGCCCGCAGATAATGCTGGTGTTCACGGAGAGCATCCTGATAGCGCAGTACGTGTATCAGATCCCCAGCCGCCTGCACTGCTCCGCCGTCACTGCGCGCGTGCGCGCGCTGGCCGAGGAGGCCGGCCTGCACGGCAACGCGTTACGCGGCGTTCCCATCTTCTGCGTCTACCTCGCCACCCTCATGCACACCTACAGCCTCGCGCGTCAGAAGGTACCTGTCTTGCAAAAATCGATGCAGCTATCGCGGAACTATGCGACATAGCAGAATGGGGCTTTCATGCTCGAGCTTGTGCGATTGTCCTTGCCGACCCTCATGCACACCTACAGCTTGTTTGCCAGAAGGTGCCTGTCTCTGCAAGACTTTATGCAGCCTGGTGGCAATTCTCCCTTGCTATTCGCTACCATATCACCGCAATTCCTGTGTTGGAATGGAGTGCAATCCATGCTGAGAGAGGAATCTCCTGTGATGCAAAAGAATGCAATCTATGCGGAGTAGAGATCAAAAGGAGCAATGTTGAGAAGCTCCGCTCACTGCATGATTGTATGGCATGCAGTGAGCAGACATAGGTGCACATGCTCCTTTTTGCTTGTCAGCTATCGGACTCTTAGGAATGTGTGCATTCTCGGACGCAGGTGCCTGCAAGGGAGCTGCTGCAGAGGCGGCGCTCCTCGATCACATCACCCAGGGGTCCGGTCGATGTCCAGTCAGCGCAGCCGGGAGAGGAGAGTGCTGACGTGGAGGCGGGCCGGCAGGGCAGAGGCGCAGGCTTGCACACACGCAGGAGCGCTCTTGGGGCACATCCTGCAGGGTGGACCCAGGGGGAGCCCCAGCTCAGTGATGCCACTGGATTGGTGCGCCAATTCTTGCGCATCATATCCATACAAACCTGCAGACGGGGTCCACAGTCTGCAGGTCTCTGGAACCTACTGTGATCTGTGGGACTTCCTGTGAGCTTTGGGCTTGTCAAAGCCATATGCTGGCTCCTTTGAACAGGAAAGGGCCCTGAGAGAAGGCACTTCTTGAAGTGCCAACTGTGACATGCATATCTCCAAAAACCCATCAAGGACTGGGGCTTCCAGCTCGTGGCTGGCTCATGTGACGGAGACTGGCATGATTGAAGGGCAGTAGCAAATCCACATATTTTCCCATGGGTGCAGGGTGTAATTTGACTTACCTTTGGGTTGGGCAGGTGATACGGAAGTGGCTGCTACGGCTGTGGCGAGCGGCGGTGGGAGCGGTTCTGCACGTGTGGGAGTTCCTGCGCCGGATCTGCTCAAGCGCTGAGCGGCCCCTGCACTTCCTCAAGGTCCAGATCAGCGTGCAGCCTGGTAAAACTTTATGCCCCCTTCCTGCTCTTATGCACTTGTACTCGTATCCATTGCCAACAGAAAACACCCCCGATTCGCCCTCTGCGGCTTCTGATGCAGGGCAGGCATGACGAGGACATTTTGAACGCTGCGTGCTGAAACATTCTCACTGCCAAACCAATGGGCGGTTATGTGTGCTGACACCAAGTCTCCAGAGTGCAGCCTGTCAATTATAAGTCGGTATTGTGATTGCGTCCACGAAATTTACAGTATATGTACGCTGTGCTCGCCAGGCCAGAAGGAGTACTTTGAGGCGGCAGCTGGGCAGGAGGCGTTGGTGGGAACCGTGCAGGACATTCTGGACATGTACAGGGATCATGACATCGCCGCAGAGTTCCGGCAGAGGGAGATGCGGCGTCGGGAGGTCTCGCCTGAGCAGACCGCGCCCCCTGCCAGCGCGCACCTCGAGACTGACGCCGGCTGGTTTGACGCTCCAAGGAGTGGATCGGCGCAGCTTGTTGAGGATGAGCCTGGACCTTCTGCAGGTGTGCCTGAAATTTTCATAGAGCCATGCCAATTCTGACATCTCCCTGCCAGAGATTGGAAAGGCTTCTCACGACTGACTGATCTGCAGGGAATGTCTACTGATGTCTGATTTCTTCCTGGCCTTGGATTACTGCTCATCAATCACTGCAAGAAATGCTCGGAAAGACTGGTCGCATGCATGGATTTGGCAGCTTGCATTGCTCTCAATTATTGACTTAATGACTGTACTTGTACTTGCAATATACAGGGCCAAAGCAGCCAGCATGGCTGCACAGCGAGAACATCAACCTGGCAACCATTGGCCCACTGAAGGTGGTGATGAATGAGATGCTGGATGAGTCATTGCCCGAGCGCGTATCCGCTCTCCTGGAGGTCATTCCGCTGCGCAGCACGCCTGCTAATACCTGGGGCCTCTCCTCTGTGGAGGGCTCTCCCATCCGGTGCGAATCTTGTCTCTTCGCTCTTTGCTCCTGTGGAAGCTTGCATGTGAGCATAACGGAAACTTTTTACCATACTGGGACAAAAGTATTACTCTGATTATTTTTGACTTACAGACATGTTGTGGGACATGCCTCAAAACCCCACCCAATGCAGCTCCATTTAATAGATCATCTCGAGTGAACAGTGTTGCTCGCCAGACGGGGATCCCTCATGATGCAGCTGACTGTTACGCAAAAGCAATGACAGAATTTCCACTCTTGTGATTGCTTCAGGTCGCTGAAGCCAGCAAAGCATGCCGGGCTGACGCTGCTCCGCCATAAGGCGGCAGCGCAGAGGCAGGCCCTCTGTCAACCCTCCACAGATTGGCCGAGCGGGGCACCGTCAGCCTCCCAGCAGAGCTGCGGTGCTCAGCCAAGGCAATTCCCGCCTCCCCTGGAAGTCACAGAGGGAGCCGATAGTGACAGCGAGTCTGGGGTGGAAGAGCGGACCACAGGCACTGCTTCCCGGCTCGCCAGCTTTCCACTGCCGGACAGCCCGGATATTGACGGCCCCGGCGCCGGCCGATACAGCGAGGACTCCGTAGCTGCGAGCGCAAATTGGGCAGGGCAGAAATCAGGCTCCAGGGAGTGGCCTCGCAGCGGCTTCGACGAAGGAGCTGCCACCGAGAATGGAGGCAGCGGGGGGTCGGGGCAGAGTGGAGGGCAGCGGGGGGCCTTTGGTGGGGCTGCGAGGGGACTGACAGGGGGGTTCACTCCAGGAACGCTGGCGATTGAGGATGTGGAGTGGCATGGGCGGATTGAGCAGGATTGGTATGCCGCTACGGCGCTGGTGGACCTTCTCTCCTTCATCTATGTTGCTGTCTTCTACCAGGTAATCTTCTCGACTGTTATTGTCATTTCCCCCAGCTTTCACTGCCCCAAAGGTCCTCTGCTGCTATAGTATCGAGCTGGATTGTGCTGCATCAGCGTCATAGCCTCATAAAGTCCTCACAGGAGTGATCAATGCTCTGCTGAAATCTCGTGTCAACCGCATGTCTATACTGTTTACTGGTACAGTCTGTTCCTCCAAGAGGCAAGGTGCGTCCACAGACAAGCTGCGGGTAAAGGCTGCCACGCATCCTTGGACTCGCCAGATCCAAGCAAGACCCAGTCGACCCTGGACACAGTGCTCAGTATTTATACCCGCCAGCAGTGGCCAAATGTTAAGTGCTTTTAATGTGACTGCAGGCTGTGGTGACGAGTGCGCGGACGCTGGCGGACATAACGGATGAGCGGGTGGTGCCGGTGGACTACCTGGGCGTGCTCATGCTGCTCTTCCTGCTACTTGTGCTGGACCGCCTCTTCTACACCCTCGGCCTGCACCTCGGCAAGGTGCCCCTCAATGCAATCTCTTTGTGAAAACGTCATTGGGGTTTCATATGGACTCTGATTTGGGCGCACGCTCGATTGGTAAAGCCAATCAGCCACTGGCAAGTCCCAGCTTTTGGCAGCCTTGAAGTGCAGCTTTCCTGCAGGCGGCCTTCCATTCTAGCAGACCCTGAGCACAAATACTAACATAACTCAACAGCTTGTGTCTGCATGACTGTCGGTATATATGTTTGTAATGATTTGTGGTCAAAGCATTATAGGAAGTGTGTATAAGACCTATGAACCTTTCTTTTGTTGGATACAGGCGTTGCTGCTGTGGACTCAAATGGTGCTGTTCTACTGGTACACCATGGTGCTCTTCTGGAGCCCAGCCACCAGCACAGGCGCTAAGCTGCACCTGCGCGTCCTCATGGCCATCAAGTCCCTCTCCTTCACCTTCTCCGCGCTCCAGCTGCGCAACGGCTACCCGCCCCCCGCCTCCTACAGGTGTGCTCGCCTGCTTTAAACTGGCCATATTTATGACCAGCTCGAGCAAATAGTTGCAGAGCCCTCCAAGCATGCATGCATGCATTTGCTTATTCACTTGGATGAAAATGTGCAATTGCATTTGCACTGAGGTGCACCTTTCTGGCAGATCCCATTTGTACACTTCACAACAGGCTTGCAATAGACACATTAAAGTTGTGCAATGTTATGCGGCATCCTTTCTTGATTCAGGATCAGGGGGATATCAAAAAGATATTCATAGTATGCCCGTATTTTATCGAATATTCCTCTGCCAGCAACATAAATAGGGTATGACCGAGAGTATACAACTAGGTGACTAAGGTCGTGAACATTTGTTAAGATGGTCATGAAATGGGTTCTTCTCCTGCGGCGCAGGGGCGGCCGGGGCCGGCACGCGTTCGTATTCGCGCGGCATGTGAACAATTTCGGCACGATGGCATTCCACGTATTCCAGGTGATCCCTTTTCTGTATGAGCTGCGCGAGCTGCTGGACTGGTCCTGCACAGCCACCTCGCTGACGCTGTTCGACTGGCTCAAGCTGGAGGACATTTCCATCTCGCTGTTCTTCGTGACGGTCTCCCGCCAGAACCGGCAGCGCCACCGCCTCGGCGAGCGTCAGCCACGCTACATCAAGTTCTTCCAGGTCTGCACAAAGAATATCTGCATGCCTTCGGTTGCATGACACATCAGTCCTGTCGGTCCTGTTGCGTCTGTGTCCTCATCAGTCCAACAATATCATCATGTTTTGAAGTTCCAGCAGTGCTGTGGGTGCATTCCTTGACATGCTCTCCTCTCAATCCATCTTTCCGTCCTATGCATGTGATTATTTCCTCACTGCGATGCCTTTTAAACTGGGTGTTGGTGCAGGGTACGCTGCTGTTCCTGGGCCTGCTGCTGCTGCTGTGGGTGCCCCTGCTGGTCTTCTCCTCCGGCAACCCCACCTACCAGGTCAGAAACCTCTTACTGCTCATCATCTATTATACTTCAAAGGTCCAGCATGTTGCGTGAGGCATCCTGAATCACTGGTTCTCTCATACAGGATTCCTCTTGTAAACTGCTTGGCATATAAAGGTCCCGTCCATGATGTGCTTTCAATAGAGCATTTGGCGCTAAGTTTCTGCATATGGCCGACACTCGAGAATCCTGTGCCTGATCAAATCTTCAAATCCTGCATGGTCTGCCCCTTCTTACAAGAGAAGGACGATTGCTAATATGACGACTCAAACCCCTTTTCATGCGACCAACACAGGTGCCCGAGGTTCTGTCGTTCTCATTCAATGCGACGCTCGGGACGGCCGTCGGCGCGGCGGCTGCGGCGGGGCAGCAGGGGCCGAGGGAGAGCGTGAGCTTCCCGCTCTTCAGTGCCGGCGAGCGGCGCAGCCAGGCGCCCTGGGCCGGCAGCGGCAGCCTCCCTCCCAGCATGCAGGAGGCCTACACTCCCAGCCAGGTCCAGCTGCTCTGCGCTGCCGAGGTGCTGCGCACTGCACTCCCCATCCCAACGCATGGTCAGGCAGCCGTTCAGGCGTGACAAGAGTGGCCTCTGAAGGCGCTGTGTTCCACCCCAACGGCCCTTGGTGATTCTCTTTGCCTGCCACACGGGGCCTTCTCCTAGGCTGTGCGTGGATGTGAGAACTTGCAGAAGTATGGCGGTTTGCCAAGCACAGCAAACCACCGCACTACCATAGTGCTCAATATCTCGACATGCAGCTGGCATGGGCAGATGATTGGGGCAAGATCTTTGTGTATATATCACAGTTGCCTGGCTGCCAGGGAGCGTTCAAGTACATTCTTATCACGGATTGGGAGGAAGTGAGCGTTTGTGTGCAATTCGCAGGACTCGGACCGCTTCTGGCGGGTGACGCCGCCGGCGCGTCAGTCGCTGGAGCGCATGCTGGGGGAGTCAGATGCTGAGCTAGCGCTGAGCTGGGCGATCGTTCGCAACGCGCCCCTTGAGAGCAAGCACGGGGGGCCCCTGTGCCAGGGCACGCGCCAGATCGCGCTGGCCGGCGGCTCCAGGGACGCCATCCTAGACGTGCTCCAGGTGCCAGCTCTGGCGCATCTTTGCAGTCACTTCTTTCTACAGTGAATGATTTGAGATATCCCGTGGATGTCTCAAGCCGGCCGCTGTCTATCCTCTATTCTTGGCCAGTTTACTGTTGCACAGCAAAAGGGCACAAGGATAAAGGTCTCGCCATGACCATTCATTGTGGCACAGCAGCACGAATGGACAATCCCTTGAACATTCTGCGGCGGCCATTGCTTATTGGACACCGTAGCAGGATGATCTTGCGTAAATATGCTGCAATGAGGATGAGGGATATGCATGAAAGTGTGGGATGCCTGCATCTGCAAGGGGAGGGGGACGTGCGCGGCGCTGGAGTCGACGGCGTTCCCAAACGGCACGGAGGTGACTAACGCGACTCAGCCGGGGGCGCGGGGCTCGCGGGGACTGTACGGCCTGTTCTGGCAGCTGCGCGGCGGCGAGTGCAGCGTGCGCACCGACTTTGGGCTGCAGGACACATCTCCCGGCAGCGCGCTCGGCCAGAGCCTCGCCTGCGACCTCGGCATCCAGGGCGGCAACATCACCAAGGTGAAACCACTTCTCCCTTTCATGAGGAAGAGTGTTTGACTGTGCAACGTCAGGCACTGGATGTGGTAATGAGTGAGGAGGCAGGGCGTGCAATGCGCACAGGCAGCATGAGGAAAGATGGGAGCCATCCGCCTGCACACCGTCAAGTGTGATGCTCTTGGTTCAGCCATGGACCCTGAAGCCGCTGTGGGATGTGGGAAGCACTGTATCTTAGATGAATATGCTTGCTGCGCAAGCGCAGCACCAACAAGAACCCCAATCTCCATAAAGCGCCAGCGTGTCGAGGTCAAGCTTTGGGCACAAAGCAACATTGAAGAACGTCTGATGAGTTTTTGTGCGCGCAGGGGGAGGAGGTGTGGTGGCGGCTGAACTGCACGGTCATCGACGCGCATGAGCGGCCTGTGAACAGCACTGGCATGGGGTTGTCCTCCTGCGCTGACAGCATGGCGGACGGGCCTCGGTGAGTCACCTGACACCTGCCACTCAATTCTTTTACTGAAGCTTGCCCATGAGAAAAACTAGACTGCTCATATACTCTGCAGAGAGGCCTCCTAGGCAATGTGACGTCCTAACAATAATTTTGGGCTGGTACAACTGCTGATGGCCACTTGACTGCCCTGACAGCGAGAAGCTTGATCAGATGGATTGGTGCCGTGCAAATACCTGCTGCCACATTGCGGCACTTCACTTGTGTTTTCAGGCCCCATAGGAGATCTGGCATCTTTGCCTTGCTGGTCCTTGACAACCCCTCCCTCTCAAGTTTGCCCATGGGCACAGTGGAAATGGGTCCCCATTCTGCAGAGAGGCACTTGAGGTTCTGTTCTAATTATTTTCTTGGGCGGATCCAATCGGTCTGGACCACTTTCCTGCCATTCCAGAGGGAGCTTACAAACACTTATGATGGGGCCAGGGTGGTCGCGGTGTTGGAGCGGGTGCAGGGGGGGATAATAGGGCAGACACTGTCCAGCTTTGGCATCACGGGCCTCTACATCACGTTTGTGTTTGGCATTGGGCGCTTCCTCCGCTTCTCCACGCAGAACGCTCGCATGCGCATCCAGTACGAAGACCTGCCCACCACCCAGCGCCTGGTCGCCCTCTGCCAGGTGCGCTGCCAGATAGATAATGTCCTCAGATAATATGTGTCACTTTCTTCTTGCTTGCGGCTTGACCTGCAATACATGAAGTTCGAAGGAGTCTGTCTTGTACGAGGCAGAGGTACAGAGGCAGGCCTTGGTTGTGCGGAGGATTGTAATCGTACCTTGCCAAGGCTTGGAAGTAATTGTTTTAGAAAAATCCTCGATCTCAAGGAGCATGCAGCAGCAATGCCAGTCACTCTGGATACTGACTGGTATTACAGTGATGAGTTGCCAGCTCGTGCGATCTGGCTTAGAAATCGAAGGTGTCAACAGAATTTCCTTTGTAACTCGGTGAGAGACAGACAGGACGCATCTGCCAGCAAAACACAAGGCTGAATCTGATTGTTAGCCGCTCCATGCTTGCAGGACATCTACATTGCGCGGGCTGAGGGGGAGCTTGAGTTGGAGGAGGAGCTGTATTGGGCCCTTGTCAACATCTACCGCTCTCCAGCCGTCATGTTTGAGCTCACAAAAAGGAAGGTGGCTTGAGAGGGATTCTGCCTGTCGTGTTCATGCAATTGTCTGTGATGCAGTTCAGTCGATGTTTATTCAGTGTGGCAGCTGCCCTCGTCATGAACTTGGTCGTTATCTCACAATAGCAGCCGCCGCAGTATTGACTGAACCAAATAAGGAGGGATTTTCAATTTCCGGGTTGCAATCAAAATGTATTGTTATTACACGCTTATTCCAGCCCTCAGGGCCCCTTTGGCCCCGGCTGGCGGGGGGCGGTACAAATACTGAGCACCGTGCCCACGGTTGATTGGGTCTTGCTTGGATCTGGTGAGTCCAACAATGGGTAGGAATTTGGCAGCCTTTACATGCAGCTTGTCTGCAGACGCACCTTGCCTTCGCAGGAAAAGCGTGATGATAATTATGCCAGCCCTCAGGGCTAGGTGCGTTGCACAACCTCTCAATACCCCCTTCCAATCTTCCCTGTCTTGGCATTTCTCCACCAATGGCATGTCAATCCTATAGGAACCAGGTCATCCCTCACACAATCATTCCAGGTTTTGACAGGCCTGCCTTTTCTCCCAGATACTTGTACAGTATCAAACATCAACTGTTTTGGTAGCCTGTCTTCCTGCATCCTTGCCACGTGACCAATTCATCTGACTCAGTGAGCCGCCTTTACTTGAGCAGATCAGCAAAACGTATGACTGCAACATTTCTCTCTACAGACGAGCTCGAGTGCATTCGAGTGCTGGCAGTGTAACATGTTAGCGAGAAGGCAGAGGCAAATTGCAAAACCCCTCCTGAGATAAAAGCATTGCCGTATCGGCCGCGCTTTGGTGTCACCGGCAGATTTTGTTGAAGTGCCACTTTGATATGGGGGGGGAGGCGCATTTGTGATCAAATTAAGACACAATATATTATGATGCTATGTAGGTTGGCTTGGCCAGAAAGGAATATAGAATGGGATTCTTTTTAGTTGTTGTATGTTTCGAGCCACAGACTTTGGCTTAGAGGGCATTGGTATGATTGTCCACCGAACCGCTCTTCCCTCCTGCCATCTGCATCACATGCTCCATGAGTTTCTGCCCAATTTCGATATTCAGCATCAGTACAAGTGTCCTTTCATGACCATCTGCCCAGCTAGAAATCAGAAGTGCCACTAAAAGTGCCCTCTGGCATGGTGCCATTGCGAGGATTCCTTCTTCGAAGGTCTGAATTCAAGATTGGTGCATGCATGTATAATTGCAGGTGGACTGGTTTGCTAGTAGTAGCAGTAGCCCGGGCTCGCAACCCTGGGCATTCGCAGTCCTGAGCACACGCCCGAATGCTTCCTGGCCAGGTCACCGCGCCTGCAGGAACGTTGGTAAAAGTTGTCGAAGATCGTGAATGGAAGGTCTGCTTTGAAAGTGGTTGTGCCTTCCCAAATAGCGCGTCCAGATCTGGCACGATGAGGTGTGGCAGACGTTCGAGGGCGTGATTCTGCAGCGCGTGACCCTGTGATGACCCTGTGCTCCCCTCGCGTTGCAGGGCATCCTCTCATAAAATCTGCATCGGGTTTGACGCCTGCTGGGTGTTGTTCCTCCCACACATTGCCAAACGAGAGTGGTAGGCACGAGAGTGTAGACTCAGGGAGGCAGCACAGCCGCGAAGGCTCACCGAAACCGGATGACGTCCAGGCAGCAGCAGCTGAGGTGGCCGACTGCGCAGTGGCTTGCGGCCGCGATCTTCGTCTTAGCGTCCAGCGTAGAGGGAGTGGAGAAAGATAAGAGCTACACAAGTAAGCTTCTTTGCCCCCTGACAAAGTTCGTAAGGCCACCACCTGACCACACGTGACGGCGCAACACCCTTTCAGGCAGCAGTCTGCCCTGTAGCCCGGGCCGTCAATGTTATAATCCATGCGCTTATGCTTACCTACCTTCTAAATGTCCGAGCACACTCTCGATCGTGGGGGATTGAGGGAAAGTGGACAAAACTCGGACGTTTACGTTGCACGTGCCTCCTCGGGTTCTTCCTCAAACAAATTTTTTGAGTGGCTCCAAGCCCGTGGTGTCCTGGCATTCGCTTTTGGCTTCAAGGATGCCGCAATCGTGAGTGAGCCTGAGGGCCAAGCCTTAGTATCGGTCGAGGTGGTCCGTCTAGGGCTTATTCACAGCTTCACTGGTGCTAGAGGATTGCCAGGAAGCTTTGTGCTGGTGCTAGAATAGCTATGATAGAAGAGTGATGACCCAATAGGGTTGATTGACTGGGAAATGTGCGACTTGCTTCTGCCAGGCACTCAGATGCTTGGCAGTAGAATAGGCCTGCGGCACCAGTAAGGATCGTGTGTGATAGGTGGGCTTTGCAGTGTCTGCAGGATCATCTCTGGGTTATTTAAGGGATTGGAACCTCCCATCCCTTTTCATCCCTTTACATCCCTTTTCATCCCTTTACAGCTCAGAAACATGGGACATAATTGCCATTGGAATAGAACTGTCAACCCCTGGAGCTTTATGAACTGACACCTGCCTGGCAACCTGTCCAGTTGTTGGAGGCGGCGGAACAGCTCTTAGGGATTTCGTCTCGGACGCAGTCGGCAATGCAACCCAGGACTCCAACTACAAGGGTATGTTGAAAGGGGGTCTTTTCAATTCCCTGCACTCTTCGCACCTTCATGTCCAGTTCTGCCTTATGAACACCTGTCATGGCAGTGCAATCTCTTGCAGTTCAGTCCTCACCATGGATGTTTGTGTGTAGGTCTCTATCTTCCCTTCTACACAGTAGGAACCGGCGCCGGTGAGCTTCACGAGGCATTCGTTGTCAAAAACTTTTCAAGGATCAAGTCTGCGGCGTTCATTTTGTCCCACACCTGGATGGACACCATAATGAAGGCATTGCTGTGCTTCTGCAGGCCAGCAGTCGTTTCTGAACAACACCTTCCAGTATGCCATTGGGGACTTTCCCCTCAGCAAGAAGGACTTTGAGGCTGCCCAAAGGTGTGCACCCATCCCATAATCTCTCCCCTGCACTTGCTCCTTCCACACCTTGGGTCTTTTGCGTTCCCGCACTGCAAGACACACATTTCTTCGACAGCTCCAAGATCACCTAATCCTGCCACAGCGCTGACAGATGCCACATGCTTCTGTGACTCGGGGCCGTTTGCTGCTCGCAGGCCGATCCTGCAGATCCCCATCTCATTTGGTCCAGTGGTGATAGTGGCGAACTTGACGCCGGAGTTTCATGCGAGCAGTACACTGCAGCTGAGCGCGCCGGTCACGGCTGCCATCTTCCAGGGCAACATCACCACCTGGGACGACCCCGCCATCCTGGCCATCAACCCCAATCTTACGTGAGCGCCTCTGCACCTAGTTGCCAGCCCTGTCAGCACTTTGAACACAATCTCATGTGCATACCTGATGGGCAGTGACGATTGAAGACAATTGGAAACGCATGGGTCTTTCCCACGGCTGATAAATGCACGAATACAGCCTGCCGGCGCGGATTTTTTGGTAGCTAGCAGATTGCAGCTGCATGCTTTTCCACCCAGAAGCAGCGCTGAATGGGTCTGTGCTGATCAGATACATTGGGACAAATGGACTGACTGCGCATGATAACTTGTGCCTGATTGTATTTAAAATGGGCGCAGGAAGCTGCAGCCGCCGATCCCTGCAGGCACGAAGATCCGCGTTGTGGGCCGCTCGGACAGCAACGCGGCCGCCTACGCGTTCTCGCAGTGGGTGTCTCAGGCCGGCAACGGCAGCTGGGCGCTGGGCGTCAACAAGACGCTGCCCACCGGGCCGACAGCGAAAGTGGTTACGGGCGGCGGCAACGTCACAACCTTCCTGCTCAACACGCCCTTCTCCATTGGGTGCGTCCGGCCGTGCCCTCTCTTCCTGCTGCTTCTAAGAACTTGGAAGACATGCAGTACTCTTTGTCTTGGATTGTATATCTGCTCAATGACGCCTGGCTCACAGGTCAGGCACTGGCAGAATCTGGCAGGCAGATCGTTGGTGATTGGACATGACCAGGTCAGGAGAATGATGTTTTGGAAGAGCGCTGGAATCCGCTTGAGCATCTACTTGGGTTAGAACAGATTGGCACCCCTAGACACTGCCGTGCAAGAACTGCATCGCTGATGCTGGTTTGTCTTGCATACAGATACACGGATGCGTATGCTGGCAAGAAGGCAAAGCTGCCGGACGCGGCGCTGCAGAACGAGGCCGGCAAGTTCATCCGGTACAGCAAGGCCGACTGGACTTTCCCGGGCGTCAACATCAGCATCCCTGCCGCCACCGCCGACTGGTCCAAGTTCAACCTGACCAACCTGCCTGGCGAGAAGACCTACCCCGTAGTCACTACCTCCATCCTGCTCACCAACAATGACCTCACTGGTCGCGGTGAGTTTCCCATGTTCATGGTGCTTCTATTGTCAGGATTGTTGAGGTGCAATGGGAAATTTTGTTTGGTAAGCTTATTGAGGGCAGGGTCGCTCTAGGCCAATGCTGCGGCAGACGGGATAGTTCTGGCTGGGATGAGTCTAATTTTCAAAGTTTCCATTCAGAGAGAGATACAAATTAAGTGGCACTCTGCGCGCCGCATAGCGTGAATCAAAAAGGCCAGCTGTGAAGGGATGTGCAGCGCGTATGCAGGCAATCAGAGTCTGTTTTCAGTTGAGGGGCCAGCATGCTGAGTAGGAAAGTGCCTGAATGTGTTTGGCTGCATGGGTGCAGAGACGCGCGGCGCAGCTCAAAAGGCGGTGTTTGGCTACCTGCTGGGCCCTGCCGTGCAGACTGCTGCCAGGAGCTACGAGCAATTCCCCTTGAACGACAAGGTGAGCCAGCACCTGCACTTCTCCCTTCATTATTGTCCTGTACTCACTCCTAAACTTTGGCCGGCAACGCTGCACAGGATTTTCTATCAAATACAGATCATAGACATAGCGACAGGAGTTTATCTGCCTTCTCTTGCATGACTTGGGGAAATCCCCCTTTGCAAGGGGAGCTACAGCAGTTGTGATTGCATCAGAGCACAATAGCCAGGTGTCTGAATTTTGGGCTGTGTGTTGCTCGCAGTTCTTGAACGCCTCTCTGACAGCGGTGAACTCCATCCGGGTCCTTGACCCGAAGGATTTCTTCGAGAGTAACCAACTGCCAAAGCTCGGAGCTCCCTACAACATCAACTTCCAGTACAATTGAAACTGAAAGCTGAGAGTTGCCAGCTGCTCAGCATTTGCAGAGCCACTGGCAGATGCTCATGCACAGGTCAGTTTGCTTTGCAGCATGAAGGGGGGGTTCAAAAACTATGGGCCTTCCTGAAGTTCGTGTCGATGAGAGTGCCATCTAGTGTAATCTGTCATGTGCACCGGTTTGTAATTGTAGAGGGACATCTGGGGATTTAGAAGTATCTGGATCAGCAGATGTCATATTGTTTAGGTGCTGCTTGCATGCGTGCAAATGCTATTATTTATTCGGAAGGCTTCATTGATAAGTTGGGAATTGAAGTACTTTGCAAAGCTTGACAGCCGTCACGCACAATTGTTGGATTTCCAACGTTTCAAACAAATTCGACTGTTTCACAGCTGCAACATGTTTAATATTGCCCTGATGACAGAAGCTCCGTTGGGTTGTAAGGTGCTCTACAGTCATGTGGCAAGCTGTGCCTGATCAGCTACCAAATATTCTGTTGCTGTCATCTCAAACGATCGATTTATATCTCCCACGGTAATGCACACATTTCGTATAATATTATTATTATTATTATTATTATTATTCCTATTCTGCTGACCTTCTTCAAGGTTGGATCTTCTTCAAGGTCAACCTTGGAATCAGATCTTCTGCATCCAAAAAATTTGCACGTCGCGGTTGAGAGCATGATGTCCAAAGGAGCCAGCTTAAAATATTAGACAACACCGTTTGCAAGAAAGCCAAAGACAGCTTTCCTTGGTGGTGATGACGTAATGTGTCTGCATCTTGGACAGCAGACTAGCTTCTCAATTTGGTCAAGATGACTGAATTTCAGCAATTCAGGCGTTTACATCCCGGTGCCCTTGCGTGGTTTGGTGAATGTAGCATGCTCGGCGCAGCTGCTTAAGGGCAATCAGCTTTTCCACTATTCCTGCAAGAGGAACTCATGGCTGCTCTGTCGCAAGATTTTGCAAAAAGACACACGTGCAGAATTTTCTCAACAACACACCCTGCTCTTCAGAATCAGTTCTTCAAAATTGTCGCTATGATGCTTCAAGGTACAACACACCTTCCCACTTCAACTCTCTGCTATCTAAAAAATCATGCGTGCGCATGCAAACGCCATCAATAAAACTCTGAAGGTGAAATGCCATTGGCATCTCCCACAACTGACGTACCAACATTAATGGGAACAAACACAAAGCCCAATCTCTACAGCCTACAAAATGGCATGGCATGCAGCAGCGTGTCAACGATGCTCGCCTTTTTAAACCAAAACTAATTTCTCCACCACGCCTCCATCTGCTGCAAGGCGGCATGCAGCAGAATCCGTCCTTGCTTGGTGCAATCGTGATAGCTCAAGCGGACAACAAGTGACCTGCGCAAGCGGAATGTATGTCACACGCATGCGCAGGTCTTGCCTAACACACAGGCAGCACGACCTTTGCTCCGGTCAGTCGTGGACTCATGCAGTGAACCTAGTCACGCCGCTGGAGTAACCGTGAATTAAAGGCTTGCAGTTTTCACGTATTCTACCACAGGTGTAACTCCAGCAGTCCCTGCCAGAGGCGTTCGAAGAAGAAGTTCACCTGAGGCAAAATCTGTGGTGCCAGGGCCCCTGCCCCAGGCCTCTGGCTGGGACCCGGCAGTCAGGCCAGGCTGCGATTTGAGCTGGCAGCCCTGGTAAGGAAACTTGCTGCCTCCACCCGTGTCACAGCCTCCACTGGCTGGGCACCACACAAACACATTGCAGCCCTGCTTGGACCTGTGCCACACAGATGCAGCAGACTCAAGTGGCATGCACACACCCAGTCAACCTCCCACTGAAGCAGTGTTCTCCAGTATAAAATGACGTCTGGCTGAGACATGTTGATGTCCTACATTAATTCAAGGCGCAAGGATGCCAACAGACCGCTTGGATCAACTGTACAACTAGTTTCAAGGGAAAACGACGTTTCATGCACAGGTCTCATGACTAAGCTTTGACTGATAGGGGCAATTGGAATGACAAAGCAGGGGGAGTGCTCACTTGCAGGCTTGACAGCATGCGTCACTGTCCTGCAGCGTCATGACGTCCGAAAGCAAGTCCCCCTTGTAATTGGCGCTCGCCTCCAGACTGCACCCCAATGGCAGCTGCTGCTGACCAGCTGAAGGTGTGCCGCCTGAAGCAGGGCTGCCAGAAATCTCTGCCTGGATGCTCTTCAGATAGGCCAAAGGACTGTGTGGGCACAGGAATCACTCATCAGTACTCATCAACTGAGTTGGTCATCGGGAGACCTTCACACTGCTTTGACTTTCAGATGCCCCACAAAACAAGCTGCTGCAGCTGAGAAATACTTGGCCAAGGCATGAATAGGGAGAGCAGCAAGCAGATATGATACATTGCTGACAGGAAATAAAGGGAGGGGCCGATGCTCACTTGTTCACGGCAGAGATGGGCGTGTTACACTTAGGCTCGCCGTCGACCATGTTTTGGAGCCTCTCGATGAAACCTGCCAGCACGCTTTTATACTGTGGCTTGTCAGCATCAGAGAGGGTGGTGAGGTTGTAAGTGAAGTAGTAGGTTCTCTGAGAAGAATTGAAGTTGCTGACACCATAGACGAGCGCTCCCGTCTGCACTGCACCAAATATGCTTTCAACTTAAGATTTAACGCAGCAAAGTATTACAGTTTCCATACTAAAGCTTCCTAAAAAGTATGAATTTCGTCAAGAGAGGAAATTGAGGGATTTCTCGGTATTCATGCCAGTGAGCATGCAGGCCATGGCCATGGGGATGGACAACGTCCAGACCTTTGGTTCGAGGTAGATGACGCTTGCAGGTGCAATTGCAGCTGGAGTTCTACCACCCTGACACCACGTGCGTATGGCTGGGCCCTCAACCTCGAGCACAGGCACAACCAACGTTCTTACAGCCAGATTGTCATTAGGAGCGGACGGCGAGCATCCCGTGTTGATCTGGAACGTAGTGTCCGGATATGCATCGAGAGCTGCTCCCTTGAATTTGAAATCTGTGGTATCCAAGGGCTTGCCGCTCGCCTGATCTCTGCCTGCAGGACACCCACCAAAGCTGATGCCGATGTTTGTTATCTTGCCACTCTGCGAGCACCGCTGTCCTAAAGCTAGAATTCCGGCTAAAAAAGATGCAAACATTCAATAACATTGTAAACTTCACATTGTGTGGTTTAAGGAAAGGGTTTTGTTATACCTGAGACAATCTTTGGAAGATCTTGTGATGAGCCAATAGAGGAAGTCAGCAGCAAAATGGTAATCACAGCCTTCGACAGCATTTTCAGCAGCATGGTGAAAGAAACAATTGAAGCTCAGATGCAAAACCATCGAGAAATGATTCTTGGACCTCGACAGTTGGGTGGTGATGACGTGCCATGCAGCTGCTATGGCAGCTGGCAGCTAGTCTGCAACCATAGCCAAGCACTATTCTGCATTATTATCATGCATGCGTGTCCTGGGACAGGCTTGAAATGTGTTGTCACCGCTTCTTGTCTTTCGTGGGCACGCTGGAACTCTGAAGGGTCATACTTCTGGAGTCCCGGAGGCGCCCGGGCCGGCCATATTTCACAAGAGTCACCTCATTACTAATGAGTCATTAGAGCACTTGCTGGGGTTCCATTGATCATTATTATTATTATTACTACTATTATTATTCTTCTTCTTATTATATTATTATTATCACATGCTTTTCCTGCCGAAGGCAAGGTGCGTCTGCAGACAAGCTGCATGTAAAGGCTGCCAAATTCCCACCCCTTGTTGGACTCGCCAGATCCAAGCAAGACCCAATCAATCGTGGGCACGGTGCTCAGTATTTGTACCGCCCCCCGCCAGCCGGGGTGATCTGAATATGCCTTTCAGTAAATCTATAGCTTCAGCCACTGGCATGCATTTGGAGCTGCCTCTCTTGTACAGGACCCGTCAAAGGTGATCATGATATTGGATGCTTCCCTACTGTGCACTGATCTGTACGTGTGACGGCCAAATGTTTGCAGGCACTGGAGAAGGGCTCCCAAGAGTGGATCCACTGCCGGGTGAAGATCTGGAAAAGATACACAGCGCAGCATGCACTGCGCTCCTAACATCACATATCTCAGCTCGATAGTAGTGGGTTCCCTATGCCGGAGCACACAACAAAGCGCCGCCTTGCATGTATACCGCAAGCCATGTCGCCATGACACACGACTACAGGCATCCTCGGCCGTGGCAGACAGCTAATACCACGTGAATATCCCTTGGATCGCTAAGGCGACCGAGCTCACCGAGTGGCACATACATACATCGGAAGCATGTCCAGCACAGAGCACATCTTCTATGAATCTGTTGTACCGTCATTGAAAACCTTTCAAAGTTCAGTCATGGCACTGACAGCCAAAATAATGGAGGAAGGCAGACAGAAGTCATGCAGCCCTGAAGTAACAGGCTCATAGCCGTTCAGTTCCCTTGTCTGCAATCAATTGCCTTCTCGACAAAAGGTTCGGCCTTCAAAACATGCTCGTTGCATATTTCAACTTGTGTCCCTTGATCGAAATACTGTGTCATTCCTTAGCGTGACACTCTGCTGTAGGACAAACTTGTTCCGTTTGCATTGCCTTGAGCAACATGACTCGCGCTATGTGTACGCCAACCTCCCTGCACAACAGATGATACCACCATATCATGCAAAGAAAGTTAAGCCTGCACTAGGGCAGACCACAAATTTTAGCTTGGCCAACCAGAGGTTAACCAGGGCAAGCCTTACTTGCAGTAAGAAATCCTTTTCTTTCACCCAGCAATCCCTTCTCGATACCAAAGCACAGAATCTATATGAAGTTGAAGGTGCCAGCCAGCTGGATTGGACCATGGCTGGTGCCATGTATTTTTTAGAGGCACGGTCTTCAGAAGGCCCCACCTGAGACGAAGCCTTTTACAGTTGCATGCAGGCAAGAGGGGGGCCCGCCCACCTGAGACAAACCCGGTGGGGGGTCCGCGGCTCCAGGCCTGGTGCAGGGGCTGTGGTGCAGAAGAGGTGCTGACATTGGCCTGGAACATTGACGGCGCGGCTTCTCCCCCAGCTGGAGGACGATAGCCGTAGGTCCCTTCTGTGAGGCACGAGATGGGCAGCAGAAGGCCAACCGCCCAGGAGAGGGCCTTTGGATGCCTGTTTTTGTAAATTTTACGAAGCAAGTGGTGCGATCAATCGTGGAAAGATACTAAGGGATCTGCCTAAAGCTGGTCTTGTCAGAATCCTTGGAGGAGCCGAAATTTGCACGTGCGGTCGTCACCTTGCCCGCCATGTGGCATGTGTGGGGTCACATCTGATCCATTCCTAGCTCGATCCACTTGTGGCATCGCCTCTGGACTTGGTATTCCATGAGGCCCTAACGTGCTTCATGAACTGATCAGGTTGCGTGTAGGTTGCGTGTAGCAAGAAATTGTGGTCCTGGCAACCACTGCTTCCTAGCACACTCGAGAGGCCCCTAAAGATTCCAAAAGGTGCGTTCACTACATGCAAAGCACTTCTATAATACACCAAGTGCAGCAACATGGCCCACATACCTGATGTAGATCACCATGATGAGTTTGACAGTGGTCTGCTGCCATGACAGTTAGTGCCTTCCAGCATGTGCTACATGGCCTTTCACTGCCCCAAACTCACAGTTTATGTGAATTAACAGCTACAAATCCTGGCATGCATATCCGGGACTGACTACGTCTTACAGGACCCCACAAAGCTCATGATGGGTGTGAGTAAGCAGTCCACTCTACTCCACCCTATCACAGGCTCACACCCACAATCAATTGTATCAAATGACAGCCACATGCATGCGAGCTATTTGAAGATCCACTGCCCGGCAGGTATCTGGTCAGGACACCCAACGCTGCATGCACTGAGTGCAAACACAAGATACCTCCCCCCAGCGGGCTCTCTGCGATGAAGCGGACAACAAAGCGACAATGAACGCAGCGCAAGACATGTCAAACTCTGACTATCAGCCGTCGCCGACCACCACCATCAATGACATCGCCATGTGATCCACTACACAGCTAAGGCTACCTACCAGAATAAGCACGCAGAATGGCACATACATGCGATCGGACGCATGTCCAGCACATAGCACATCTGGCATGAATCTTTCAAAGTTTCACAAAAAGCCTCAAAGTCGCGGCACAGGTAGCCAAGTGATGGAGGAAGGCATGCAGCCTTAAGAAATATACCAAGCTTATTAATGTTCAGTAAAACGCATAGCGCTAGTTTTCAGCAGGCTGTCAGTGCAGCAGCAGTGCTGCCAGCAGCGCTTGATTCTTCCACTCTTCAATATTTGTCTGTTCAATGGGCTTCTTGACGAAAAGTTCTGGCCTTCTAAGCAGGCAGCTTCGTTACTCCTACGCATATTCACTGGCCATGTTGGTGTGGCATTCGTTAAAGGTTCCATAACACTCAGCTCTTGCTTCACTTCCATCCGTTCGCACTCTTTGCGGTTCACTCCCGTGTAGCTTTGCTATGTGTACGCCAACCTTCCTGCGCAGCAGACAACACCACATCATGCACATGACAATTTCCAGGCACTGTGACAGGCCGAGGATTCGCCTTACAATCTGAGACAGCTTAAGACATGCCTTGGCTAGATTAGCTGGACAATTTAGCACCGAGCACCAATCACTCAAGGTTTTGGTGACAAAATAAGAAAAGAATTTGAAGTTCAGGTCGCCAGTCAGGTGCGCTTAGGCGCTGGTATAATGCAGTGGACCCATTTTATATCAGAGTAACATGCGGATCAGAAGAGCTCACTCGAGACAAAGCCAATAGGCATGAAAATGACAGGGGGGCCCGCCCACCTGAGACAAAGCCGGTAGGGGGTCCGCGGCTCCAGGCCTGGGGCAGGGGCTGGGGGCCAGCAGAGGTGCTGACGTTGGCCTGGAACTTGAGCTGGCAGCCCAGGTAGGGAAATGCGCCGCTGCCAGTCGCGCAGCCGCTTGTCAGCGGACACCACACCCACACATTGCACCCCGTCGTGTTCCTGCGCGCGCCAGCATGACAGATCATTTTGTGATTGGTGATTACAAACGTTTGTGCATTTGGCTTCTCCTTCAAGTATCACTCAGTGATGGCGATACGAATAATACCAGCCCACGACCTTCCCAACACTTGTTATTGCCAGGCCCCATCTACTACAACAGTCATGTGTGCACCGGTGTTGCAGGACTGCAATTGCTGGTATCTGCTAGCGAGTCTCAAAACACACACATGCTGTCATTTCCTGGCTGCATTGTTGAGGAAGCCGTTCCTTGCTTGGGGATATGATGAATGACCTGAGGGTGGACTTCACAGCTGATCTCAGGTGCAGAGTGTTTTTGTTCAATGAGAAGCATACAGGATAGTGTATGCGTCATGGTCTTTGCCCATAGGCGTGCTGAATTCTGGACATGCATGCAACAGGGTATAGGTCTCGTGCGAGCCCAACAGCAGCTGACCACTGACCTGCAGTTCTGGCAGCACTCATCACCGCCAGAGATATTGGACAGGATATCAGAGACGGCGTCGCCCTTGTAGTTGGTCTCAATTTCCTCAATGCACCCCGACCGCAACCGGATCTCCGTCGGCCGCAGCCCGCCGCTCACGTTTGAGCTGTTGCTGATCTCCTCTTGTATGCTCTGCAGATACCTCCATGTCCTGGCGCACCATATCTCAAGCATAAGAACTCTGCGGCCTTTTTGTCGACTGCACAACTGGCTGAAAGCCAGCCATCACATTTTGGAAGGTGGGGTGGGTCAGTGGAAAGACATTGCCATTTCTTCATCTAGGTGGCGAAGAATTGGAAGCGGCAGTGTCCCGCCAATGAGGACCCCCCATTGTCCCAAACCTGATTCCAGGCATTCAGTCAGGTGCCTCACCTGGTTGTTCAGGTGTAACATGCGCACTGTCCAGCACCAAATGGCATACTCCAGAATAGCACGGTCCCAATTCTTCATACGTTCAATGCGAGATCCAGAAGTAGCATGATATAGACGGAAGACACAGCGCTAGCAGCCAAAGAAAAGAGCGGTGAGAGCGCGCACTCATTGAGGGCAGGGATGGGATTGTTGCACAGGGAGCCAGCGGAGAACCAGGGGGGGCGCCCAGTGGCCAGTCCCTGCACAATCTCAGTCAGGTCGCCCAGCGCTGCCCTGTACTGGTCCAGATCCACCACATTTGGCGTGATCAGCGTGTAGTCAATCTTCCGCGCCTGCTGCGTCCAATTGAACGCCATGTCCCCCACGATGATGTTGCCGCTCTGAGACACACCGCACGCAGCCTTGTCAAGCTTCCCCTTGACTCTGCAGAAGACCTGGGTTATGTTGCTGACGAACACAGATTCACATACATCGAGTAATATTTGGTTAAACGAAGCCATGCCGGACTGGCAATGCCAGATTCATGTGACACATGTGCGCCATTCTGGCAAATAGCGGGCCTGAAGCTTGCTGCATCCTGTCTGTCAGCACTGCCATGCCACATGAGGGACAGACATCAGATTTGATGGATTTACTGCCTCGGCTAGCCCACCTGTAGGTCGAGGTAGATGACCTTGTTGGGGAGAGGGTAGGAGCCGTCTCCTGTCCCGCGCCATGTGCGGATGGCCGGTCCATCCGTTTCAAGGTCTGGCACGACAAAGCTGTGGAGGGCCAGTGAGTCCTGTATGCCGCAGACAGCGCATTTGATTGGCTCTTTGGTTCCGTTCGATTGGTTACAGTCGTGCGTTTCATGGGCTTCAAGGCGTCAAAAAGTAAGCTTCTTGAGATTATTATGTTTATCTGTCCCAACGAATTACCTGGTAGCCGTGCGGCGAGCATGCCTTGTTGCCTCTGAAGGTGACACCAGGGAACTGGCTGAGAGGAGCTCCCTTGAAGTGGAGGTCTGTTGTGTCCAGGGACCTACCAAATACCTGGGTCTCGTTGCCTGCATGGGGCACACACCCTTCTCAGTCTGGTGGTGAAGACCGAATCTGCCAGCTGGATCGAGCAACTGCAGGTTTGGCAAAAGGGTGCAGTCGAGAAGACGCCAACTGCGCGACAGTAGGTATTAAGCCAAGAGATGCTGGGATGCTAGGAATGGCTGATCTCCTGGCAGAGATGCGTTGCAAAAGGACAGGTATTTTATTAGTTCAAGTTGTCGTACTATTGTACTGTTGATTGCGAATTTGCTGAACAGAGCGGACGACGTGATATCGAAGGATATTTATAACACTTCTACAGCGCAACCTTGCACAACGGTGACACAGACTGCTTTGTTTGAGCCGTTTACATAGTACACGGGATGGTGCCGTTTCGTGCCAGTACGAATGCTCTGCTCAGTATCTCGAACCGAAATAGGCAGGATCTCTGTGGTTTACCTTGTATGACTTTCAGCAGCGAAGGGGACGGCGGGGCCTCTCCAGCTGGAGGGTTGTAGTTTGATGGATTGAAGGTGAACCGGGGACTCTGTGTGAGGCAGGCGATGGGCAGCAGGAAGGCAACCGCCCAAGCGAAGGCGTGTGGACGCCTCAAGCTAGACATCGAAAGTGTCCCCTCAACCGGCCATTGCGCACATGATCTGTGATCCCGAAAGAAAGCACACGTCTTGGACTTCTGCTGGCACTTTGGCGCACGTGGGTTCTGTTACTAATGCAGCACTAATGACAAGCTATATTGGGAGACGGGCCAATGAGAAAAGCCGTTCATTGGTAGATTACAGCACATTGTGACTTTTGTTGATAGGGGGCTCCGAACATTGGTACTGCACCATACTGAATGGCTGAAGTCCATTACCAGACAAAAAGGTCCCCACGAGTGACATGGACTGCTTCCCACTCAGGCTGTAGATAGAAATCTTAAGATGAAAACATTTTCTCGCCTTTTAGTTCTACTCGTGGCATCCTCAGGTTCCATCGCTTCTGGTGTGTTGAAATCCTTGCCGATGGATCTGCCGAGAACGATCTCGGTCCTGCAAAGCGATCTGTCGCAGCAAATCGATGCTGTCAACGGTCTTCTTGATCGCATACTGCCTGAATACTCGCATTTATTCGAGTTGCGAGCTCTTCCTGATTGCGACAGCATCCAATCAGCCTGTTTCGAGGTGCACACCGATGGAAAGCGCATCGTTGTGAAGGGAGCATCAGGTATAGCTGATTTCACTAGCAGCAAGTTCTGCTTGCTTTGCGCTTGCAATGTCACCCCACTCCAAACCACGACTCGTCCATCATGTCAACCTTTTCCTTACAGCTGTGTTCAACTAAATGCCAAGGGTGCTTTAGCTACTGGTGGGCAAGTTCCAGCCTTTGTTACTGACCAAAAACTTGCTTCAAGACGAGCAGCACTGGTTTGTGCGTTGACAGGCATCGAAATGGCATCTGGCATTCACTGGTTTCTGAAGTACGCATGCAACTCCTCAACATCCTGGCACCTCACCGGCGGAAACAATATCGACAGCAGCTGCTTCAAGCCAGAAAGCTTGGAGCGCATCAGTTTGGCAGGTCCCCTTCGTGGAGCTCGCAGTGTCCCGTGGAGCTACTACCAGAATGTGGTCACGCCTAGGTACTGCATTGCAGATGTTTGCTTCAATTCCTTACAATGTCACTCACATGCATGTCCCAATGGAAAGATTCTCTTGCATGGCTGCAGTTACTCAATGGCATTCTGGGACTGGGAACGATGGGAGCAGGAGATTGACTGGATGGCACTGCAGGGAATAAACTTACCATTGGCATTTACAGGTCAGACTTACACAGCTTTGTCATTTCCAAATAATCCTGACATCTGCGCATGCTGCCAACAGCATCCCTGCAATAGCAGCAGCTGGTTGATGTCACATTCATGGTACAACAATTGCACATGGAATTGCCAGCATGCTCACATGCGTTGGCTGTGCAGGGCAGGAATATGTTTGGCAGAAGGTGTGGGCGCAGTTTAACATCAGTGCTGAGGATCTGGAGCCCTTCTTTGCTGGGCCGGCCTTCCTGGCATGGCAGCGGATGGGCAACCTACGCGGCTATGGGGGCCCATTGCCTCAGAGCTACATTGATGACCAGGCAGGTTGGTCTGTCTCAGCCACCATACCATTTGACTCACTGGTGACATCACCAAATAGCACCCAAAATTATCCCTGTGCTCCAGGCTTTGTTGTCCTTGCGCTTCCAAGCGGCCGTTCCCTAAAATTCAAATCTTTTGGTAGTATATGGCTGCTTTGAAGGTGCTTGACTGGGGCTGCACCACCTTCACAGGAGCTCTCTCTGGGAAGCTCAGCCTACTAGATATGAATTTGTTGTTGATTCAAATATATTACTAAATCCCATTTCCTTAATTTCATATCAATATATCAGAGGATTCAGTAGGTCTTATTCCTGAGTGAAAAACAATGCGGGAGCTGACTGGAATGATTTACTCGCAGAGCTGCAGCGCAAGATAGTGCGGCGCATGCGCGAGCTCGGGATGTCGCCGGTGTTCCCGGCCTTTGCCGGCTTTGTGCCAGGGGCGCTTGCGCGGGAGCGGCCAGCCGCGCGCATCAGCCGCTCTGACAACTGGTGCAGCTTCCCGGCGCGCTACTGCTGCGTGCACCTGCTGGACCCCCTGGAGCCCCTCTTCCAGGAGATCGGCAGCGCCTTTGTCAAGGCAACGATCACCTCCATATTAAGATCAGAAACCAGTGGTAACTTCCTGAGACTGCCAGGCACCCTTGGAGGCTAGGTGTGGCTACGAGCAATCCAACTTCTGGCTAGCAGAGGCTTGTCAAAAGCATGAAATCTGCCCAGGAAAAAGGTTTCCGAATGGCAGATGTTCTATGTCATGCAGGTACTGAGGGAGGAGTACGGCAGTGATGAAGTGGGCTTCTACTCGGCGGACACCTTCAATGAGATGACGCCGCCCTCCTCTGATCCAGCCTACCTCACTAGTGTCACCAGCGCTATCTACAACGTGCGCAACCTTTCTCCAAACACAATTCTGCCTCTATGTTCATCTATTTTGAAAGCCTGTGAGCCTGATTTGCAACGGTTTGATGCAGGCTATGGCAGCTGCAGATCCCAGCGCCAGATGGCTGATGCAAGCCTGGCTGTTCTATGACAACCAGAAGTTTTGGCAGCCACCTCAAATACAGGTCAGCACTCAGATTGGCATCCCTGCACTCCAATATGTATAGTCAGCGTACTGTGTGGCACGTTTCTTTGATATGCAGACAAGTTGACTCAGAGATCTGATAGCGCTTGTTGCCATGCAGACACTGATCTGTTGATATGCAGAAATTGACTCAGGGATCCGACAGGGCATGTTGCCATGCAGGCGCTTGTGTCTGGGGTGCCGCGGGATGCGCTCATAATGCTGGACCTGTATGCAGAGGTGTTCCCTCTCTGGAAGAGCACCAAGTCATTCTTTGGGGCGCCATTCATTTACTGCATGCTCCACAACTTTGGCGGCAACATTGAGATGTACGGTGCATTGGAGGCTGTTGCCCGGGGGCCAGCTGAGGCTATGGAGGCTCAGACAGGCATGCGGCAGTCCTCCTGCACACCTATAATTCTCACTTGCTTTCTGATCCAACCTTTTGGGCATATTGAGTGGTGCAGAGCTACAAGATAGTATGGCAAGGGACAGATTGATGGTGTTGCAGGTCTGATTGGGATAGGGATGTGCCCAGAGGGTATTGAGCAGAACCCAGTGGTGTACGAGCTGATGAGCGAGTGGGCTTTCAGGTGAGAGTGCTCGTGCAGCATTGCCTGAACAAGTCAACAGATGCGGCAGGATGAAACCTTGTGGTGGCCAGCCTTGTCAGACTTGTCCAAGTTTAATAGTGTGGCTTGCATGCTTGGCCTACCTTGCTCAGGTTGCACAATTTCATCTCCTTCTTCTTTGCAGGCTGAAGGGCAGCATTAACAAGGAATTTTTCGAGCCTGATTAAAAAGTCCCTCCCAGAGCATGACTTCAGAAATTTTTGAGGTGTATGACAGACACGTTTGACTGCCGTGGGCTTGCAGGAGGCAGCCAGTGGAGGTGGAAGGCTGGATAGAGGCCTACGCGCGGAGGCGATATGGGAATTCAACTCCGCCGACAGCGCTGGTGGCGTGGGATTTGCTGCTGCGTAGTGTGTACAATGCCACGGACGGGCACACGGACCACAGCCGTGACATTCCCACCAGCCGCCCGGGGCTGTCGCCCGCCGAAGTCGGGCTGTGGGGCCTCAAGCCACACCTGTGGTACAATGAGCAGCAGGTGACGCTTCCTGCTATGGCTGTAGCTGCAAATTGCAGTGACAAGAGTGCTTCGGATCTGCATTTGAGGTTCATATGCACCATGAGACTACCGACCAGCTTTGCAATGACAAGCGGCTCATCCTTGCGGCTTGATTTAGATAGACCAGGAGATAGCAGCCTTTGCTTCATGGACAGGATCAGGATAGGGAGCAAGCTGTTTCAGTGGTTGTCGCTGCAGGTCGCTGGTATTCATGCACGGCAGGCAGATTGGCTTTGTGCACCTTCATGCTTATCTAGGTGACATAATTGCACATCAGAGCATCCTAGTATTGCTGATCTGAACAGGGCCTGGTCTGCACAGGTGGTGGACGCCTGGGGACTGCTTCTGCGCTCTGCGGGTGAGCTGCAGCAAGTGGAGGGGTATCGCTATGACCTGGTGGACGTGGGCCGCCAGGTCATCAGCAAGCGAGCCACAGACATCTGGAAGGCGGTTGCAGAGGCATACGTGGACGGCCGCAGCATCGTGGTGAGGAGAGAGGGCGCGCGGCTGCTGCAGCTTCTGGATGATTTGGAGGAGCTGCTGGCCACCAACAGGTGGGGGCAGCTGCAACAGTAGCTGATGACTTCAATTTGAACTATGCTTTTTTGTGCTGATCTGGACAATGCTCCTGGGTGCTGTGATACCAGCAGCAATATCTGGCTCTCTGAAGTGTCTGGTCTTGAGCTTTCTGCTTTTGCAGTGAAGCGTACAGCCATGTGACATTTTATCAGCCTTGTGGACTGGCGAACATGGTAATGTTTCTCTCTCTGTGATGCCTATTGCACCAGGCTTCAACGCAAGCGTCCATGCAGTATCATCACAAGCAGCCATGCACAGGAAGTCAGACATTGAGGACTGGCGCCATCTGCAGGGGGTTCCTTTTGGGGCCGAAGCTGGAGGAAGCCAGCAGCGCGGGCCACACAGAAGCGGAGGCGCGGCTGTACGAGTGGAATCTGCGCAAGCAGCTGACTGTGTGGGGCACCAGCGACACCGGCGGCAGCGAGATCGAGGACTATGCCAATCGCGAGTGGGCCGGCCTCATCAGCAGCTACTATAAGCCCAGGTGCATGCCGCTGATCCTTCGCAATGCCTTTTGTACGAGCTTTTCGCATTCAAGTCTGCACTGTACATGCCCTGCCAGGGGAGGGGTTATACCCCCCGGGGTATTCATCTGATCGTTTAGGGGCAATGTTTTGAGTGCCATGCAGTGAAGACCACTGCAGATTCTCTCAATTTTTTTAGACGGTGGGCACCATTTACGGGCCTGAGTGCTGCTCGCAATGCAGCCAATCAACGCCATGGCAGCCCTCAAGAGGGGGAGCATGGTTCCCAAATTCTTCCCCAGAGGGGATCATTACGTCGCAGAAAAGTGTGTGGGGTCTGAAAGACAGGCTGCACTGGCGTGCAGGTGGGCGTTGTGGCTGCTACGGCTGGAGACAGATCTGGCGCAGGGGCGGCGGTATGACCCTGAAGCCTGGCGGATGGAGTGCCTCAACTTCACTCTGGGCTGGGCCTATCTTCGAGATCAGCTGCCGCTGCATCCACAAGGGGACACTGGGGGTGTTTCACAGCGCCTGTATGAGGTGTATGGGCCGGACTGGAGGCTTGGTCAGCCTGATGGGACCGTGGAACCCATGGAGATTGATCAGCTATAGCGTGAAATCAGCATTTTTGCTCCTGCAGCCCATATTGGTAGCTGCAGGGCAGTTTTTTCAGGGCTGTTTGCGTGATGCAGTCTTGCCGCGTGCACCTGTACAGCTCGCTTGTTAGACACTCTTTGTGGTATTGAAGGCCCAAGAAGTCGATGCTAGCAAGGGGAATAGAACCCTACGCTAACTTCACACTGTTCCCCTACACTATTCTACTCCCCATTATCCTAGGGCAGATTCACTAACAGTCAACGACTCACTTTTCCTATTCAAAATCTGAACGGGCATGGTACAATAAATGTAATCTTCCGGAAATCCGTTCCGAATTCACGTTGACTTGACCTTCTTGTTGCAGTACAGCCTGTGCTTCCAGTTATGGGCCTCACACGGTCTGATACCAGTCATCGTATGAATTGAGAAAGCATAACGAGCTGCGCGAGCAGTCGAGTGAGACGCTCCCAGCGATGGAGGACTTGCGCAGTTGCACGGAAGCATGGCCGAGCAGCCCGATTTCGGAGGGCGTCTCAATGCACGCTCTAACGGCCTCCGTAATTGCATTTATTGCCGCAGTATTGATAATCAAGGTGCAGCCCGAAGACTTTACACGTCTCGAAATGTGGTGCCACGGCAGGGGTCCCTTTCTCTACAATATTGGATCAGTCGCCCGAACTCGGGCATCAGCTTGTCAACCGGAACTTGCGATGTTTCACGTCGTCAAAATTATATTTAGAACACTGAATCTCATTTCCCAAGGAGATCTGCGAAGTCTGAACATACTTTCTGGCTCACGTGGATGCTGCCTCTGCTGACATGGTGCAGCACAGATAACCGATAGCCTTTTGTTGACATCACATAGACATGTTGTCCTAATTTCTGTTAACGAATGTTGACGTTGTGTGGGTCTAGAATCCCACTTTTAGATAGATCTCGTAAACACGGGAAGCCTTGCCATCTACTGTCTGTGAATCAGGCTCCGTCTTGTATGCTGGCTTGCTTTTACAAGCTGGCATGAAGCGCCATCGATATATTTGCTTAGCTGCCTCTGCATGAGGGACAGTAATAAGACGTCATTGCTTGTGGGGCAGGCGATCGCCTTCCTGCTGCCATTCGAGCGCGCAGCGAGGACTCTGCAGGCTCAGGGCATCCCCAGGTCGTCAGCGGGGAATCCTCTGGCGGCCGATGCCCCCTGGAAGCGCATGGACCTGCACCGGCTGGGCCAGGATGACTGTGAGCGCTTGGGAGGCATCTTCTACTTTCGCATCCTGTTCTTCAATGTGCGCGCGGATTCACCCTCTGTTCCATCATGCCCTGAGATATTTGCAGACTTCTGTTGGGCATAGAGGGCTTTGGGGTGGCCTTGGGCAATTTCCGTCTGCATGCATGCATGTAAATTTGAGGTGTCTTGAAGCGCAAGCAAAAGTATTTGAAAAGGAGGCGACTTGAAAAGGAGAAGATGCAGCAGGAGGCATGCTTCTGGGACGCTGGAACAGGGTCAGCAAAGTGCAGTAGGAGACTGCATTCTCAGGCAGATGCCACACAGTACTTAAGGACAAGAAATTGCACAGTCATGGGGACCGCACAACACTGATGCATTTTGTGCACCTCGGCGCAGTGTGTGCAGATCAGCGATCCTTGGCTGGCATCGGCGGTGCTGGACATTGGCACAAAGCGGCCGGACCTCATAGACAAGCCGCGTGGATGGCCGCTGCCCATCTATGACTGCTTCGACAGGGCGCGTTTCCTCCTCCAGCTTACAGTCTTCCATGTGCCGTCATGGATAGTTCAGAATAGCAGTGCAGGAAAGGACAAGGGCACAGCGTTGCCCCTGTACGATTTAGTAAACAATTACCGATTGGGAGGAGGAGCACTCTTTGGGACTGTCTGGCTGCTGGGAGTGCGGAGCAAGGGCTGGTGCTCTAGAGTGGAGTGCTGCCAGGCGAAGACACTGGCAGGCAGAGCCATGAATGTTTTCTCAGTAATGGCTTGAGACATGCATGATGTGCATGCTGCGCAGGGAACGAGCGACCCGCCGCAGCCGTGCCTGATTTCCACGGCGACCGCGGATCCCTACTGGCGCATCGTGCGCAAGGGAGTGGCACCAGCTTTCAACAGCACCAACATCAGGTACGTGTAGCAGCGGCGTGCAACTTCTGTCCCACTCGTGCTGCGACAGATAGTTGCTGTTCTCAAGAAACCCAACGGGATCAAAAGCCACCGAGCAATGCGGGCCTCGTGCAAAACTGTACTAAGCACACAAAACCAAGATTTGCAAGGATTTAAATTACCTTAGGGGCCATATCAGCAGCTTAGGAGATTAGAAATAGGCAAAGGGTGCAGCCACTGTCTGCAGTGGATAGGACAGGACAGCCAAAGCCACAATGTCCTTCAGTATGCGCATATGGTTTGCATGTGCATTGTTGTTTTGCATGTGCATTGTTGATTTGCAATGTAGATCCCAACCCTGAAAACCCTGAACCCAAACCCCCTCAATTAATTGTAGGAAGGGGTTTGGGACGGTGCTGGAGGTGGCGGGCCGGCTGGTGCAGAGGCTGAAAGAGCACGGGGCCGAACGCGCGATAGACATCGACGGAGCGCTGCAGTGCGAGTCATTCGACGTCATTGGACGCGTCGGCTTCGGGCACGACTTCCGCGCAACTGCCGACCTGGCCGGCCCCGGCGCGTCCGACTGCCGCACCATCAAAGAGGGTGCGCGCCACCACCTGTCAATAAAGTTTCAGATGCATGACGTAATCTCTGCATTGTTCCAATGAGCTCGCATTATCTTGGCATGACATGTCTTGTGCATCATCTGCTATGGCTGCAAGGGAAAAACGTGATAGAGACCGCGTGCTGCCATTCGGGTACAGATTTACAGATGCATGGACTGATTCCTGATCTGTGAGGAGCTTGTGTCTAAAGATATGGATGATACGCCATGTATATCTCTTGGCAGCAGAGAACATGCCCAGTCAAGGTGTTATTCGGTCAAAGGGTGGTTTATCGAGACCATTTCAACTGTATCAGAGGCGCCTGTGGTCAGTGCAAAGTGCTGTATGTGAGAGCTGTCTGGCATTGCAGGTTGTGCGATTGGCGTGAATGACATGCGCAACCCGCTGCGGCCTGTGCTGAGGGCGCTCCCATTCCTGCCAGAGGTGACGCTCTGTGCCACCACAAACTTCCTCGATGGGCCACTTCAGATATATCATCACTTTCATGTGCAAGTTCTCCAATGCTGAAACAGATGCTGCAGCAAGGTCTACATCTAAACGGGCCACGGCGCAGGTTGTTAGTGCTTGTAGCTGAAAAGGTTGTGTGGCATGTGCAGGCATGGAATAACAGGAGAGCGGTGCACCGGGTGCAGTACCGGCTGCTGCACATGATGAGGAGCCTGGTGGAGAAGGTCAGGAGCAGGTGCGCCATATACAGTACCACCAACCCATCAGGAAATTCACATCCATTTTATTTTCTTTTCCTAGTTTATAGAGGTTACGGTATCACTGATTTCTGCCAAGCAATCCTACCGTCTACTACTCACCCCCAATGTAAATTTCATCCCACTGTGAAGCATCACGATACATAGCGCTGCTCTGTGTGCCCTGCAACAGAAGGCGGCAAAGCCAATAGTTCTTCATAATTAGGCACCGTCATGTGCAATTTTCATAGTTCAAATTTGAATTGGATTTGAATTCGAGTTCTAATTCAAACGGTGCATTTGAGTAGGGGTGAGCGGTCGGAGGAGGAGGACTGTTCGATAGGGGCGCACCTGATGCGGGTGCGCGACGGCGCGGGCCAGCCGCTGCCGTTTGTGCGTCTGTGGAGCGAGCTGAGCATCTTCTTCATGGCCGGCATGGAGACCACCGCCCACGCCATCACCTGGGCCCTGTGCGCTGCTTACCTTTGCACCTGCACTTTGTCCTGACAGCATGCTCTTCTGCAACATAAAGCAAACTTATTTGTAGAAAACATGATACCATACCTGGCGCATGGCAGCGGCTGTTTGATGCTGCAAGGCGGTTGACAGCTCTGCAAAGAGGTGGTTTGGTTGAGATTAATATGCTGGCACTTTGCACTGCTTTTTCATTTTCACCACGTGCATTTTGTCCTGGCAGCACTCTAGCACCGCCTCAATGCTCCTGCAAGACAATTATTGTGGAACAGATAGTCGTAGGAACACTGAATGTCTCAATGTTGGATTTTGAATTCGGACATTGCATGCCTTCATTGCAGTGTCAGATCTTGACATGAATGGGAGTAGTAATTGGTGTGTCTGCTGATGGTGGCGCAGGTATTTGATTAGTCAGCACCCGGAGGTGGAGGCCAGGCTGGCTGCTGAGCTGGACGAGGCGGGGCTGTTAGTAACCCCGGAGCGGCCGCAGCCGCGCGAACTGACGCATGCTGACCTGTCACGACTCACCTACCTCAACTGCGTCCTCAAGGTGCAGCGCACAAATACTTCAATTTCAAATTTGAACTGCTGCAACGTTCCTGCACCCGTCGAATCTCAAATTGCCCACTTCAAATCTGCTGTATCGCTGCTGCACCTGATTTGCAGCCATGCAGCTGATTGTATTTGGTCTTTCTGAGGTTCAGGAAAAGCACAGGTGAGCCAGCTTTGCTTGAAATCATGAGATTGGCAACCCATGTCTTGCTTATATGCTCCGGATCGCGGAGCACAGCTGCAGGAACTCTTCAGAATTTGAGGCCACCACATCTCAGCTCAGCAGGGCATGCAGGAAGAACCCCAAGAAGAGTCCGTAAGAGCAGCTGCATTATAACAGGATGTCATGCTGCTTTGATGTCTCCATTTCACCTCTATTTGGATCTCAACGAATCTACCGTGTCACTGCTGCAAAAGAGATATGGCCTGCCCACATCCAATTTGAGTTGCAAAATGAGAGGCTGGGGAGCTCGAAACAACTGTACATTCACAGATAACTTATATAGATAACTAATTAAGATACGTCTTGCAGAGCTGCTTTGGTATACAGCATCCCACAGCAGGCTCTTCATGCTTGGATTTGGCAACCTGAATAGGCAGAATGCGTGTTGGCATGCAGGAGTCGCAGCGCATGTACAGCGTGGCACCTCTGGTGCTGCGAAAGGCGCTGGCGGATGTGAAGGTTGGGCAGTACACAATCCCGGCCGGCACAGCCATACTCATCCACGTCTTCGCCATGCACAACACATCCGCCAACTACGAGCGACATGCAGAATTCCTGCCGGTGATTCCTGCCTTGTCAAGTGTCAGAAATAAGAGACTGATGCTTTCTGCAAGAACAATTTCTGCCGGTAGTATAGTCATCGACTCCGGTGAACATGCCACGCGCTGTAACAAAGGGTTGCATTTTCTCTTTTGCATGTAAAATTTTGTGCAGACTTGGGTGCAATTCATTCTGCATGCTAATATATTGAGCATGGTGCGCCGCTTCTTGAGATTGAGACTACCAAAGGCAGCGGATGCCAGTGGAAGCAGTACTCAAATAGTTGTTGACTTCTGTTGATGCACCCTTTGCAAAGCTCTTCGAGGTTTCGTATGACAGGCCTAGATATTTAAATAAATAACCATTGCAGGAGCGTTGGCTGGAGCCGAATGCGGAGGTGGCACGGCGGGTGGTCCCGGGAGGGAACGCAGCGCAGAGATGCAGAGACAGCAGCGGCACCCGCGTCAGCAGTGTAGAGGTTGACTGCACTGCAGCGTGCAGCACAAGCAGCAGCAGGCAGGAGGCCGGCGCAGAGACTTTGCAGGATGTAGGAAGGAGCAGCTGCGCGGAGGAGCCTGTTAGGAGGTGTACACCCAGCATTGGTGAATATGCTGGCACGCCACAGGCGCTCCCAGATCACCAGGAAGCGAAGGTATGAACTTGATGAGCAACATGGTTAAAGCAGGAAGTCACATTTGCTCTGTGGTATTTTCAGCGAAAGCGTGCAGCGTGCCGGCTTTGCCATGGGCAGTACATACTTTTTTCAATGCACTTCAGTGGATTTCTGTCTTTGAGCACTCTTCGGAAACGTTCCCACCCATGCAGATGATTTCATTCTTGCCGGTGAGAAGTCGCACGAGGAATGGAGTGGTGACAAGTCTGTGCGCGTTGTGCAGGTGAAGCGGTTCATGCCTTTCCTGGAGGGCAACAGGCAGTGCATCGGCATGTCACTGGCCAAACTCAACTACACCACAGCCGTCGCCGTGCTGCTGTCCCATTTCAGCTTCCGCCTGGCCGATGATGTGAGTGCCTCCTCTACCACCCCCTTCCTACACTCTCTACCCCAGGCACGATACAGGAAGAGCTACCTGGACGTGCACAAATGGGACGGCAAGTTCCAGTGTGGTTTATTAGAAAGCCATCAATGTTTTCAGGAAGCCATCATCCAGGCAGTAGGAGTGCATGTAGCCAGGATGTCCAGCTGCTGAGACCTTCATTCCTTGCCTGAAGGAAGCCTTGGTGGACACAGTTGCGTGTGTCTTCTCCCTGCTGTCAAGCAACATGACATGCTGTGCCACGAGACTTGCATGAGGAGGTGTGCTTAAGCTGGTTTGCTTGGCATGTTTGGAGGCAGAAAAACGAGTGAAAGTGATTCCCAGGGTAACACGGGGTTGGGCTCCACAGTCAGGGTACTCCTGCACTGCTTACCGTAGTCACCACACAAAGCACTGGTAATTGTGTAGTCCAGTCAGCAGTCCACAGTGACCGTTACAGAAGTCCATGCTCTGTTACTTGGAAGGATGTGACAATGGGCTGGCTTGCTGTGCAGATGGGAGGGCCGCAAGGCGTGCGCGACAACGAGGTGTATTTCGTGACGATACAGCCCAAGGAACGACTCAACATGCACGTTATTCCACGGCCCACCACACGCTGACTCAGCGCCGCTGAGGGCCCAGAATGTTGACATGCTCGGCCCCATAGCAAACTCTGTGTTATAATCGCAGCAAAGGATCTGTGGCTTGTGTGGCTCGCAAAGTGCAGTCCTTTTTTTAAGAGGGGTGTGTGTCGCGATGGGTTGAATGGTGTGAAAAGGTGCTTGACAGCAGCAAATTAGAAAGGCGTAGGTGCGTGCTGTGACGCCCCGGGTTCAGCTGAGTGTGGTTTGGAGGGCAGCACGTGCAAGACAAGTTGTTGAAGAGTAAATGTCCACATTTGCTCACGCTCATTCTTCTCAATGGTTGAAATATGTTTTCCTAGCAAATTGTACCAGAAGCATTCACTTAGGTACATGAATAAGCAAGCTTGCTCAAGCAGAAGAATTTGGTGTGTAATGTAATAATCAATTGCCACAGAGGCATCGGCTGTGTAAAACAATTAATATTGCACATGCAAAATGAGATGGCAGGCTTTTTAAGGCCGCCATGGATTCTCACCAGTGTTGCAGCATGACCTTTTTAAAGGCCAGGGTCAGAATTCTTCTCAAAGTGAATGGAGTACATAAAATAGATCCAATCTGCCCATAGCATCAAAATACAAAATACTTTTCTTGTCGTGATCGTGACGAGTGTCTCAAAGATATCAATTTACTCACCCAACATGAATCAGCAAGAACTCAAAGCATGCTTCCATTTGCAGCTGCATATCTACTAAATAATCTGACACACTCGACATATGAGACTCAACAGACAGTAAGGATAACTCCTCAAATATATGCGACAGACATTTGCTAAATAATTGCAATTCTTCGACCTGCAGTGGGAATGTGATAACACCCCTTCAAATTTCCATCTAGTCAGTGATGGACATCCCAAAATTCTGGCAGCCTCTGCACGGCTTGCCTCTGTGGTTCAAGTGCTTCTGTAATCACAGCACGACACTCAAAAACATTCAAAACAGCTTTGCAACCAAAGCCAAAGACCAGCAAGCTGACCAGACCAGCTTGAGCAGTGCTGATGACTTCAGAATTTTGCTGACGGACAGAGGTACTTCACTTCACGAGGCAACATATTGCATCGCATCTGTTGTCGCGTTTCATTTGTGTGCGCTTCTTCTTATTGCAGAAACTCGCTCCTCTCTGCTTCAACGCAGCACGAGCTGTGCACTGCGCATGCGCAGCTCGTGCGCATGCTTCATGTGCGTACGCGCATGCATGCGCATGGCAGGTGCACAGGGCTACAGCAGGAGCCGGGAGACAGGGAGCTTCAGATTCCGTAAGAGCCCACGGTGGCGACTTTGTAGCCGCAGCCGCATGCATAGTTGTTGGCACCAACCACAATCTTCTCAATCAGGTCGTACTTGATGGTTGTCGGAGTCTGCAGCAGCAGCACCATTTTGTCAGTTGCTGCATCATGGAGAATTGATATCATTGAGGACATTCGTTTCTTGGTCCCGAGGACTAGGTAAATTAAGTAAGACATCTAAACTGACAGCCTGACAAGGGACTGCTCAAGGTACCTTTCTCAGACCTCGTTGAGAACTTGAGGAGTGCCTCATGGTAATGAGAAAACAGCGAATGGCCTTCCGCAGAGTCAAAGGGGCAGCACAGCATTAGTCTGGAGAAGGAAGAGACTGGGGATTTTTATAGGAAGCAGGGATAAGTACCTTGGTAGTGGCTTTTGCTAGGTCCCAGTTGTAGTAGGTGACGGCATACTGGCCATTCTCAGTCAGCATCTGGGCAATGGCCAGCACGATTGACATGAAGGAAGGCACCTGAGGGTAGGCAGTGCTGTCCAGCAACTGCAGCAAGCACACAATTACGCTCAGTACCAGCTCTCAATAGAAGAGAACGGAATGTTCCGACAGCCTTTGTCAGGGATGGTTGCAAATATAGAGGGCATGCATGGCAACATCCACAAGTGAGCGCTCAGCGATCTGAGTTAATAGGCAGACATCAAGAGAAGCAGCCTCCTAGGTAAGACTGATTGCAGACACCTCATTCTGGCAAGGATTTAATGGAAAGCAAAGTGTGTATGCAGCTGGCTCTTTATGATGGTGGTCTCTTGAAGACACTTCCTGCACTGTGTCAATCTTGTATGGATGAGTCATTTTATGAGGTGGACTTTTAAAAGGGAATTTCACCTGAGTCAGCCTCTTGCCCTGCAGATCAGGTACAGGGAAGACTGTGAGGGTCTGACTGCCCACATCCAAACCAGCGTCCGGCACGGTGTAGCAGTACAGGTACCTGCGCATGCCCACATTGTCTCAGCACAAATCTGAATGCCCTCCTTGAACCAATAGCTGAGAAGCCACTGGTGCACTGTGTTTCAGATGCCTGCCATAGTGTGTTGAAGGGCATGCAACATAAGGGCTCAGAGCCTGCACTCTACAGATGCTGCCTGGGCTGCAAGCCTTAAGTGTAGCTCGCCGCTTGCATGCATCTCTATGGCAGCTGTGAGTTCATGCATGCATAAGCCGTTCGAGCCACTGTAATTTGCATTGTTGCGAGCCTGTGTCTCCCGGCATTTCCTGCGGTCAATTTCCGGTCATGCATGATGAGTGAAGGATAGAAGGCGCACTCGTTGTTGTCAGCTGTGGCCCCGGCGGGCTGGGCTACTGTGGTGAAGTCTCCATTGGAAGCTGTGAGGGCCTTTGCTGCAGCGTCCAGGGCAGCCTTGCAGGTGGCGGCAGCTGCCGGGACACCGCTGGCAGCCACCTGCATGTACATATTGCAGGCAATCAGCAGACTTCTACTTTATGGAGACAACATCATGCACAAAGACTTGGGAGACAAAACCTGGCCTGCAGAGCTCTCCAGTCAGCATTGCATTTTGAAGCTAGAAATCTTTGTTTGACGGCTTGGAAGATCTTACCGGGCCATATGGCTGCGCATCAATTGGAGTTGGTGTCAAAGTGTGTGCAGGAATAGCTGCCAACAGCAAAGTCAAAGCAGCAAACGCGATCACTCCCTTCATTGCTGCGATCCCTGCAGGTAAAGCATACTTGCTGAGCTTGTAAAGTCGTATCTATACTAGCTGCAAATTTGCAAATTTAACATCTCTCAATCAAAACTTTTGTCGAGAGCCCACGCCAGCTGTCACAGCCACGACCAGATCGAGTGATGGTCGGCAAGCCCAGGGTTTTCTGGGACACCCCAAATACGCACGTCGAGTTTTGGAAGTGGTTTCAAGTGGTAGGATGCATGATCTTAGACAAGCATCGGCGACAGTGGCTCTTGCGATTCGAATAGAGCGATCGATTGCAAGGCCGTCAAGATAATGTTGATCGTAGAAGACAGACTAGCTCCATACAATGTCTTTTGAAAATCCATTCCCACCGAAATTGGCCTTCTTACTCCATTTGTAGTCACAAATTCGGTGAAAATGGGCTGGTGTGAAGGTGCATTGACCTCACCGACTGCACGCTGCAGCAACCATAGACGCACCTGAGTATTGAGGCTTCGGGCAACCTTGACGGACGATGTATAGACCCCTGCAAAGTTTAATGGTCCAAGAAGGAGAAGGGACATTCTAGAACGGCTCGTGGGGAAGCTGGCACAGCATCGACAAAAGTTCCAATTCTGTCCCCGACCCTCAGACAGGGTTTGGGGCAAGGGTTTATGGTTGGTCTTTGAAAGCATTTCATAAAATGTTTGCCCAAACGAAGCATCGATACTATTAAACCGCTGAAAATTGAGACATTGTTGAGGTGATCACTTACAAGACCTCCCAGGGCGCAAAAGCACGGAGACCCTGAGTGGATCAAGCAGATCATCGCTGCGCAACGACCCAAGCTTTCTAGCCTGTTGATTCTATAACATACTGGCAGTCATGTCGGATAGTAGCGTATTTCGATCGGCATACGATGGAGTTTTTAGGCTCTTCATGCAAGCAGTGGAGCGGGACCTAGTGCCAGACTTCCTCATCAGAAGAGGCATCCGTTACCTGCTCAGCCAGCGCGTGCAAAATGTGAGGACCGATCCTTGACAATCTATGCAAGCGCCTCAGGCCTGTGAAAAGAGTTGTCAAAGCAAGAGAATATGTGAACGTGTGTTGGTCTGGGCATTCGCAGGCGAGAGAGGGAGGGGTGGAAGAGCAGGAGAGGAGGAAGCAGGCATTCGTGGATGAGCTCAAAAGCCTTCCCATTGCTGTGCAGACCAGCATAGCGAATGAACAACATTACGAGGCAAGTGGCAAGGGGATCCACTGCTCCCTATGCATGCATCTCCTTGACTAGGGACAAATTACAGCCTAATGTCAGTGCCAAGATGGCTGTCGCGATTAATGCAGGTGCCGTCAGAGTATTTTTTGCTGGTGCTTGGCAAGCACCTGAAATACAGCAGCTGTCTGTACCCCTCGTCCAGCTCAACACTGGACGAAGCAGAGGAGGCAATGCTAGGTGCTGCCCTTCCCCTGCACCATCAGGCAATTCTCATGACGACGCCGAATGTTCAGGCGCTCAAAACATATCCAGCCATTTCTTAAATGCACTGAAGTACGGTTTTGTAATCGAAATTGCAAGAATGAAGTGCATTTGGAGTTCAGGCCTGTGCTGCGAGCGGGCACAGCTTGCGGACGGGCAGACCATACTGGAGCTGGGCTGTGGCTGGGGCTCCATGTGCCTCTACATGGCGGGAAAATTTCCCAACAGCACCATTACTGCTGTGTCCAATTCCAGCACGCAGAAAGCCCTCATAGATGAACGCGCCAAAGAGCGCGGCCTGAGCAATTTGGTGAGCATGCCGCCTTCTTTCCACCTCTAGATGATTGAATCATGCTGACGCTGAGAGCTGGGACTGAATCAGAACTGTGCAGAATTATGAGCTGGGTCAATATCTGCACACACGTTCGAATGCTGCACCAGTCCGCTATGGCATGGAAGCTTTCGTTGCCTGAGTTTTGTGTTTGGTGCAGACGGTCATCACAGCAGATGTTGTCGAGTTTGACACCAAGCAGAAGTTTGACAGGGTGGTGTCCATTGAGATGTTCGAGCACATGAAAAACTACCAGGTGCCCTTGAGCCTCTTTTTGCCTGGGCTGCATTCACCCTTTATCTGAGCTTACACAATGCTGGTGAAAGCAACCAAAGCATGAAGTGGAGACCTGCGCATTTGCAGGCTCTGCTCAAAAACATATCTAAATGGCTCAAACCGGGGGGTCACCTGTTTGTGCACATCTTCACCCACAAGACCTTAGCTTACCACTTTGAGGTGAGCGTTCGCAACTAAGAAATTTATCATTCGTCATCTCTGCCATTTCATGCCCAACTTCACAAGTGCCTTTGTAAGTGTTCTTTGGGTGCAATGAACATAATGCTCCCTTCACATTGCGCACAATGTAAGTAGCAAGGGGTCTTTAAGAGAGGAATCATGGGCATTGTGTGGAGCGTTGTTCAAACTGTGCAGGTGAAGGGGGAGGATGACTGGATGGCCAAGTACTTCTTCACCGGGGGGACGATGCCGAGCGCAGATCTGCTCCACCACTTCCAGGATGACCTGGCGCTGCAGCAGCAGTGGGCCGTAAACGGAACGCATTACTCGCGCACACTGGAGGACTGGCTCAGACGCCAAGACAGGCAGCGCGCTCAGATCCTACCCATCATGAAGGTGCGCCTTTGGTACTGTTGCTTTCATGCTTCATGCCATTTGCATGCCGGCGCAACATCCATGGTGACCTGGAATTACAAGGGCTTTCAGATTGGACGAATATCTGCGTGGGGTAGAGCTGTTTTGAGACGCTGGGGATGTTGGTGTTGCATGCACATGCAAGCATGAGGAAAGATGACATAGTTTTGTGGAATTTAGAAGGCATCGGTACACTCCGTGATGGGTATTTGTGTTGCCATGCAGAAAACATATGGAGACGATCAGGGACTGCGGTGGTGGGTGTACTGGCGTCTGTTCTATCTGGCCTGCTCGGAGCTGTTCAATTACAACGGCGGCGAGGAGTGGTTCGTCAGTCACTATCTGTTCAAAAAGCACTGACGTGTAGCTAGGAAACATAGCAAAGTAACAAACGCAATTTTTTCGACCAAACATTCTTTCCGTGCCAGAAAGGCATGAAGGGCAGCAAAGCGAGTTAGATATAGGACATTTTGACAATGCAGTCGGTAGGAAGAAGATGCTGTAGCTACAGATCAGAAAGTCTCTAATAGAAACTGCGTGGATTGTAAGCACTTGTGCCACGGATGTAAACAAGTCCCTGATCAACGGTGGAAGACCGCTGCACGAGATGGTGCTAAAGCTTAATAATATTGCCTAATGTGTAGTCAATCTCCTCAACCCAATGTAGAAGGTGAGGCGTCCAGGTGCACTGAGCTGGCAGCAGCAACCTGTCGTGCCCCCTGCCGCGCTTCCAGCCATGCGCATGCATCCACACCATGCTCATTTGTCCATTTTATTGTGGTGTTAATGGCAGCAACAGCAGCATTCAAGGAGTCCTCACTCGGCATCAGTGCCTGCACAAAATAGCAAAACGCAATCTGGCTTACCTTGGCGCTCGCAATGCCCTAAGGTTCCTACGGAACTTAGCTTAAGAAAGAGCTCAGACAATCAAATTCTCAGATCTGAGCAACTCTACAGCCTATCAAATATTGCATTCTCCCTTCTTTTAATCCTGAATGAGTGTTGCCATGACATTGCAGCTAGTCCTGGTAGAGTGAGCAAATGCACTCAACTGAGGGATGTCCAGAAACTCATGAAGGCGTACCTGTATGCTGGACCAGAGCTCTCGCACTTTCTGAGCTCCGTCAGGGTCTGTGAACTGCGAACCGATGCCAGAAATGAGCGGCCCAAAGCTGGCCTCAATATCGCCCCCGCCCTTTTCCAGAATGGTGTTTAGGTTGCTGCATGGAAATACCACCACCCATTACTATCAGTGCATGGCTTTCAAATTCAAACGATGGAGATAATTAGCAGCATACCAGAATTCACACTGGGTGCCGTTCAGCGAAATTGCATGACATCAGCAAGTCAGAGAGCTCAAGACAAAGATACTTGAGTATGATCAAGATTGCTGCATGTAATCACCGCCATGCATGACTCTCTTACGGAAGTATTTGAAATGCAAGTGACGGACTTTACTAGAAACACATGCAAGACTCCACACGCAGGGCCCCTTCGATGACTTCACAAGTCACTAAGTATAACCAGAGACTGCTAGCACTGGGAGGCAAGTGAGGGTGCTGCACCTGGTGAAATAGTCCCATGCAATGTCCCGACCCAAAGGGCTAGCGCCTGCATATGTGTTGAAAACCTCCCTGCAAACACCAACCAGATCAGGTGTTGTTCCCTGTCTGCTCAGCTCAGCAGGACCTGATTTACCAGCAGTATTGATAGGTACAAAAGCAATTGATGTGCAGAGAGGCAGTTGTGATACATGAAGGTAGGGCAGCTCACTGCATGTCTGCCAAAGTGACATTCAGCTGTAGCACTACAACCATCGCATCTTCTGTGAAGCTAGCTGTGGGCGTGCCGGCCAGAATAACCAAGTACCCATGCTTTTGGTCGGTGTCAGTAGCCTGCGCAGACGTGGTGCCCATCAAACTTCCCTAACATGTGCAGTTCAAGGCTGTTTTTGCAGTTCAAATGCAGTGTTACTGGCTGGTACTGAGAAGTTTATGGTCTGTTCACTGGGCATGTCGGCAGAACATATGCACCAGACATATATAGAAACATCACCTGCTCGTACAGATTGGCAGCAATGTTGTACGGGGTGGCCTTGCCAGAAGACACCGCAAGGCTCAGCACGCCCATATCATAGTCAGTGTCAAGCAGGACGCTCCCGTAGTAGGACTCATTCAGCAGAATTGTAGCACTGCTGATCAGGCCAGCGTTGCCGCCCATACTGGCAATGTCCAGCACGGACTCGACTGCATGCACAGAAGACCCGCTTGCAACAGGATGAAGGCCATTTGCAACTCAGGCTCTGGACAATGGACCAGAGGATTCAGATGTGTCAAGAAGGCAAGTCAAATTGTGAAAGGTTACCTGCTGCTCTGTCATTAACCCCAGACAGAGTGGACCCATTGAGGGGCAGTTCTGAGAAGCCGCCAGTCACCTCGTCTGCCAGAAAAGAATCAAAGGCATTGCCGCACAGCTCTCTCAGCACGTGGTGCACCTGCATGCAAATCATGCTCACACTCTGCCCTTTATGTGTGGCATGCTGCTATATGTTCTGTACTCCTTAAGCTTTAAAAGTTTCTCACACTAGTACCTGATTGATCTGCTGGTCTGCAATGCTCCAGGGCTGATACTCCAGCCTTGCTCGGGATCCCAATGCTCTGTGCAGCCACAGATTTATCGAACACAATCCCTGAGTACAGTTCAGGCAACAATCATTCTGGGTTGCAAATCCGGGCTGCCAGAAGAAAAAAACAGAGTGGCATGCAAATAGTCACCCGAGAAGGTCCAACCAGACTGTTATGTTCACCGCCCCGGGGAAGGGCAACAGGGTGTATGAGTCGCTCAGGAGGCCCGCCAGATCAGCCTGACTAATCCTGCTGTCGGGCAAGGCTGCAGCACGCGCAGCTGCCCGCCAAAGATCATCAGAATACTGCACAACACCCCAATATTTCAAGTGCAAGTTGAGTTCTAATGTATCACTTCAAGAACTTGCGACGACAATACCTCAGATTGTGGTGAGACTCTGCAGCAGAAGGGGTTCAGTTAGGGCAGACACCTGCACTCGGTAGTACCCGCTCTGGTTGACATTTGCTGCAATGAAGTCATCCTCGCCCTGTAGTGTGGTGACCTCAACTGCGAGTCCAATCCTCTGAGCTCAGATATTGTTTTATTATTACACGCTTTTCCTGCCGAAGGCAAGGTGCGTCTGCAGACAAGCTGCATGTAGAGGCTGCCAAATTCCTACCCCTTGTTGAACTCGCCAGATCCAAGCAAGACCCAATCAACCGTGGGCACGGTGCTCAGTATTTGTACCGGCCCCCGCCGCTCAGACATTGAAGGCTCATAATATGAAAAAAATTGTATACCGGCAGGCATCTAACATTGTTTCATGAACGAGTGGAAAGACACTCTCAAGTAATTGTTGATATGCAACACTTGATTTACACATTCCACAGGAGTACGAATGCTGAAACTCCAACCTGGCGTGCAGCTGTCAATGATTTTCCAGTGTCTTTTGTCGTGCTGGGCCGTAATGTAGCTCATAGGCACCCACCTGTACTCAGCCAAAGCTAACATGAACTTTTACTAGACAATTTCTTTTCATAATGAAGGGCGGAAATGCAGGCTGACCAGACCACAATGCTGACTCAAGATTGGGGCATAATTACTCACCATGTATTGTTGTAGTCACCCTCACCACAGGTCCAAGGCTGATCTGGACCAAAAGCAGCCTGTGGCATGCGCAAAAAAATCTCATGCATCCTTAATAACTTGCAGTAACTGGCACAGTGTGTCTGCATGAAGCTCCCCAGCGAAGCATGGCAGTACGCTTTGCGGCATGAAAGCTTATCATAATTGATGCTGACCTGGCTGGCGTACACTGTGCCATTTGGAGATGACTGGACGTTGAGGATTGGGTAGCCGTCCCTGTTTTGGAAGAACAGATGATTGAGTCTGAGAATCCATTTTTGACACCTTCTCAAGGGTGACAAGGCAAGTCAAGTGTGCATGTTTTCTGGGAATTGGTGAGAAGGGTGAATTAGATTTGTACCTGTACAGCCAGGTCTCCATCCACTTGTCTACTGGGCTCCCTGAGCAGCACAAACAGCCAATATACTTGTAAGCACGTTATCAGTGGATGTCTCTGTCCAGCAAGACATGCCTGCAGAGTTAGTTTAGGAAAGGGGGATCTGATGCCATGCCTGAGGAGTGGGTGAAGCTGCTGAGAAAGTCTGCGCCAGTGCCAGATGAGAATTGCTTCTCACGCAGCCATGCTCTGTAGCCATCAATGAAGGGGTCCCCCTCCAATGCTGCCAGAGTGGCATTGTCTTCCTGCACACCCACTCCTTTTGCATTTAAATTCAAACCACTCTGGAATCCCTGCCACTCCAATGACAGGAAGCAAGGCGAACATGAAATGCACATGCGCATGCAAGGATCTGTGCTGCACAGACAATATCAAATTGCAGTCTCCAACTGCATTTAGGACCCTCTGTAAACCCTGCCACTCCACAACAACAAGATAGGTGCACATGAAAATAGATGCTGCCCATGTGCATGCAAGTGTTGGTGTGGCGCATAACACATCAGTGTGCAGTCTCCGTCTGTGTTTTGGACCCTTTTTAGTCCCAACCACTCCAAGACATCATTAGAGGTGCGCATGACACACATGCTGCCCAATGTGCATGCAAGGGTTGAAAAGGCGCACATCTTGTGAGTGGGCAGTCTGGTAGTCAGGCGGGAGCTTGGAGCTCTTGTAATCATCGCTGGTCATGTAATTCCAAAGCATGCGCAGCACTGAACCGCCCTTTCTGTACTCCACGTTGTCAAAGATCGCTGATACCTCGGTGTCATTTTCTGCATCTGCACACAGCACGCCACAGAAGCATTTCAAGCATAGCATGCAAAGCATACACTTGCAACGGCTGAGGTCTGTTGTCTCATGATACTGATGCCCTGGCTTCGATTGGGGGAGTGAAGAGAGACTGGCAAAAGATACCATACCTGAGCTTGATGGATCAATGACAGGGTGCGTGGCTGTGCCAATGTCAGAAACCAGAGGCAGGGTGGTGGCAGTGGAATAGAAGAAGCTGGAGAAGCCATCAAACTCCGGCTGAGCAAAGCTGGCACCATAGAACTCCCACCTGATCATTTCATCACATCTGAAACTTTCAACCCAACCTTCCAGCGTTGATTGTGAGGACTGCAGTGAATGGTGCAGTTGAAACATACTGTCGGTGTGAGGCAAGCAAAGTTGGGAGAGGGGCTCACAGGGTCGCAGATGCCTCATTGAGCCAAAGATCGTTCCACCAAAACATTGAGACCAGATCCCCACACCACAGATGCGACATCTCATGCGCAATTGTGTCAGCCACCAAAAAGTACCTGCACACAAATTTCCCAAAACATGAGTCTGTTCCACATATTGGCCACATTGCTGATTGGTACCTTTGTAAAAACTTCAGGGGATCTGCAGCTATGCAGTTGTCAATTTGTTGTATTATCACACGCTTGTTCCAGCCCTCAGGGCTAGGTGCGTTGCAGCAACCTCTTCATAACTTCTCCAGCCTTCTCTGTCTGGCAGTTGTAAATGCAGGACTCAAACACCTATTGCTGGACGTACCCTGATCCTAGATGCCCAGGAACTGGAAAACGAGTGATGAGAATAGTGCAGGACTCCTCTGAAACACTGGCAGAGGGTACATATGGAAGGGGTAATGACCTGTAAGACAAGGGTGATGTGCCGGGGGCGATATCGATTCGATGGATGTCATAGTAAAGCAACCCCCAGTTTTCCATGGCCACGAAGGCAAAGTCTGGGATTGCTACAATGTCCAGCTTGGGCAGGAAGTACGGGTAGTCAAAGAGGGCCTCATAATTGGGCAAAATGGCGCTCGCTGACTGTAGGGCCCACTGGTAGTTCTGGATGATGTCTGGGGAGGACCAGACACTGACTGTGCGGTTCTCCTGGCCTGGCAGCGAGCCTGGCACTGTCTGTGTAATACTCGTCAAGTTGCCTGCAGCCCACAATTCACTTTTCATCAGATTCCTCTGCTCATCAGTCCCAGGTGACTCCACAGTGACTATATTTAAGTCACTCTAGAGTCCCCTGTCAGTGCTGCATTGTATCATCTACAGCCTCAATGCATGCGTCACCATGTGACTGAAATGGCTGCCAGGGCAAAAGAAGCAGACAAGCAGCTATGATGGAACAGAGGGCAAGCATACTATACAGAGTAAGACAAAGAGACTCACCAATGGCCCACGCCACAATGTAGGTTGACATTACGGGTGTGGGCTCAAACTCCCAGATGCGAAGCCCACTGGCCGGGTCAATTCTGGTGTCATTTGCCAGCTGTGTGTTGAAGAGGGCCACTTCCTCCTCTTCCAGCAGGAGTGTCAGCTGGAATGTAGCCTTCATCCAGGGCTCGTCGAAACAGGGGAATGCTTGCCTCGCATACACAGGCTGCACATGCAGACCGACCGATTTAGATTTCTTTTGTGCTCTACTTTGTGACCTTACTGCAAGGCATCTGCCAAGACCAGACTCACGAAACAAGTACCGTAGACCGAGCCAGGACTGTCTTCAAGCATCCCTGCTATATATGTTAGGTAGTAAGGTGCCCCACAGAGAGGTCATCTGAGGCCTTAGGGTCGAGAGGATTACACACACTGCTGAGACAGATACCGTTGAAGCAGCAGATGGTGGATTGCACATGAGGGGCGTGCCTGCATCTGGGTGGCGCCAAACATGAGCTCTGATCCATCCGTGGCTGTATAGTTGGTCAGGTGGAAGCCAGTGTCCCCAGGGGCCAATGGATAGCCGAAGTCAAATAACAGAATAGCATTGCTGCTGACTGGCTGCTCCAAATAGATTGCGAGCTGGTCATTGCTCTGCATGGCGTTGTCTAGCAGAAGGGTGCCTGCATGAAGCAACACACAGTTGCTCAGTCATCCACTGGAATTCTCAGTTCAGTCTTCAAGGAGGAAAATATGTCATGGAGCTTGCCGGAACTGCTCTGTATGTGAATGCAGCAACATGGGTGCGCCCACCTTCGTACTGACTGCCGTCAGCAAAGACGGCCGTGGCAGAGTCGATGGTCATCCCCATGGCATGCAGCACTATGCACTGCGTTGGCTCAGCACTGTAAATGTCAATCTCCAGGTAGCCTGAAGCGTTGTAGCCTTCAACTAATATGGCTTCGAGAGTCAGTCGGTAGGCCTGTGGGAGAATGCCGGTAGGTAATCTGTAGTTCTGCCAGGCACAATCCTCTGGGTGCAACATCAGAGGTGCAGGATTTGGGCCCCCAACGGTACCTGGACACAAGATAGCAACTTCTTAAAACGCCACGGCCATTTCTTCATCGGAATCGTATAGGACATCAAGCATCTGTTCAAAGACGCTGAAAGCTTTGATATGTTGTTAGGGATGCTTGTCAAGTACTAGAAACCAAGGACCACACCATTCTGAGCTGAGGCCGCACAAGTCCATGATAAGAAGCACAATATTGCCACTCCCAATTTCATTGAAAATTCCATCGACTGCAAGCAACACAAAGCAATTTTCGTACTGGCGGCCGTTGTGGGTGTAATGCTGAGGACGGTGTGTGACACGCTAAGTAACACTTGGAACGAGACTTACTTGTGTACTTAGAACCTCATTATAGAAGCCTTTTATAAGTCGGCGATCGGCGCTTTAAGCCAGGTGTTGAAATATTCGGTACCCCTGTACAAGGATCGTGTGCTAGAGTGTCAACAGAACAATCATCATCAGAACGTTTGTCCTCGCGTGAGCATCATTGATAATTCGTTGCCAAACGTATTCAATTCATTATCAGACATAAAACGCTTTGGTCGCCTGCACAATTGGCGACATTACGAAGCCCAATCTGTTCCAAGGTTGTCCAAGGAAACATGCATGGATTGGATCAGTGTCCGCCGGCGTTCCAGGTCACAGGACGGCTCTTTCCGACATGCAAAATTCTTCAATTGTAATTTGCATCTTGATTGAGCGAAGAAATTTTTCTGATCTTTGGAGATCTCCGGTGGTCATCTTCTCCTTAGGAGTCGAGTTGCTTGACAAGTTGCAATTTCAAGGCCCACCTTTCTGGAAATCGCAGGTGTTGCAGATCTGTAGAGGTGCTGAACAGATTGCTGACAATTTCTTTGAACAAGCCTTCAATTTCGCTACTAGCCAAATTAACAGAGGAGTCAGCTGCGCTTGATAAACAAACAGAATGGTGGAGCACAAGAAAGATAGCAAGAAACGCAAAAGGGAAACGGGTGTTGATGGACCAACAGTAGGACAATTAACAAGCCACATAACGAACAAGCAAGTTCGATCTGAGCAATATGCTAAGCTCAAGCACAAGGCAAAGGTGAGTGTTTGTTTTACTAGCCTCGCTGCCACCCCATGTGAAAGCATTTGCGGAGCATTTGCAGTGCCGTACATTGTTTGATGTTGTCGCAGAAAGACAAAGGAGCAGAGCGGAGAAAACGGCAGGAGGAGGTGCAGAGGGCTGAGGAGCTTGGAGTTGAGGGGCCCAAGAAGAAGGTTCCCAAGGTGGGTTTGAATCTGCACCTGAAGACATCACATTTCACATGCAGTGTTGCTCTTCAATAGATCCTACAATATCACAATGCTTCGATCACACTGCTTCGATCATAATGCCTCATATACTTATGTCTCCTCTCTTCGTCCGGCTGCAGACAATTGAGAACACGAGGGAGAAGGATGTCACCATGATCGCACCAGAGGATGCAGACGTGGAAGCAGATGATGCAGATGACGAATTTGCAAGTGCGCACTGCTTTTGATTCTTCCTCCTGCCTTGGCTCATCTATGCAGATCTTACCCATGCCCTTAGGGGGCTGCTATGCTGGTCATGCCAGGAACACTGCAGCGTGAAGTTGCCTCTGAAGCGATGAATCTGTGCAGGCTACTTCAATCGGGAACAGTCGCCCAATGTGCTTCTCACCACCAGCTACAGACCCAGCAAGCTCATGTTCCAATTCCTGGCAGAGATGTTAGAGGTGCTGCCCTGTGCCACCTTCTACAAGCGCCAGGTAGATGCCCCTCAGAGCTCTGGATTCCTTCCCATGCATGCATGCATGCATCTTTTCTCAGGCTAGCAGACGGACAGATGTCATGCAGTCTCATTTGGCGCTTCCTGCTATGACCCCTGCATGTCTGTCTTTCTTCGAATGCTTCGAATGCCCGGACAAAGCTGTCTTGCAGACTCCCTTTGATGCAGATTAGCTGAGGTGTTTTGTGCGCAGGGGTTGGCTCTGAAGAAGATAGTGAAGTATGCTACGGCAAAGGGCTTCACGGATGTGGCCGTGTTCAACGAGGACCGGAAGCAGGTCAATGGCCTGCTGCTCATACACCTGCCTGGCGGCCCCACCGCGCACTTCCGGATATCCAGCCTCAAGCTCTCAAAGGAAATAAAGGCGTGTCCATGTCCCTCATCCAAATTACACTAATTTTCTTCTAGCACGAACTGATGGCATGCACTGTTGTACGCTTCCCACATGGCGATCAAGTGGCTCTCAAGGGGATGACGTTATTTGTGGGAGTTTCGCACGTCCTTGCCAATGCAGTGCGCTGGCAAGCTGGCAAAAATATTGCCGTGGAAGCCGTGGAAGGGGCTCCCTACGTTGGCACGCTGTTGCAGAATGTGGGGGGGCTTTAAAATAGGATGGAGTGGCTCCTGTCTGACGAAGGATGTGCTGCAAAACAGGGGCATGGGCGGGCGGCGCACATGAAGCCGGAGCTGATCCTGAACCATTTTGACACGCGGCTGGGCCACCGGCTGGGCCGCATGCTGGCCTCGCTCTTCCACCAGGACCCCAACTTTAAGAGCCGCCAGGTTGCCACCTTCCACAATCAGCGCGACTGCATCTTCTTCAGGTGACTTTTTCTACCCACATGCTGCGCACATGCATCAACATCTTCATGCTTTCTGTGACTGGACTGGACTCTGTGCTCATGCTTGAGTATCAGCGCCAGTTAAACGGGATCCTGCCTCATGTGTGCACAGACTTGTTGGAAAAGATGGTGCCAGGCACTCTTCTCTGCAACTGGTCAGCTGTCAGAGGACGGCTGTTCAGAAAGGGTTGCCGTGAGGGGGAATTGTATCTAACGGCAGCGCAAGGGGCCATAAGTACAAGCCATTCGTGGAAGCGTCCTCTGTCAAGATGAGATGATTCTGATCCTGAGCTCGGAGTTCTGCAGGCATCACCGGTACATTTTCGAAGAGAAGAAGAAGGGGAAGGAGGATGCTCCCCAGGTGGTAGCCCGCCTGCAGGAACTGGGGCCACGCTTCACCCTCAAACTGCAAAGCCTGCAGGTATGTGTCACTCTGGAAATTGGTCCCTGATATGCATGCTACTGGATGTGTTACTGAAATTTTCACACCATTGCAAAGAGAGGGACTGAAAGTTTGCATTGCCGGTGTTTCATTTCAAGGTACTCCTGCCTGGGAGCTTGGCTGATTGAACTTGGCTGTGCCTTGCAGACTGGGACCTTTGACTCCAAGGAGGGTGAGTTTGAGTTCATTTACAAGTCAAAGATGCACCAGAACCGACGCCGATTCTTCATCTGACTTGCATTGGTGGGAGTGGCGTGGAGTCACTACACTGTAGTGCAGCATTCTCATCAAGACGTGGTCAGATGTCATGTGATTGTGAAGGATCTATCATAGGCTGTGTAGAGACCAAACGCATGAAGTACGATTCAGATTGAGTGTCTGCAACATGAGATATAGATGCAATGTCTCACCACGCGACAGATTGGGGTTGCAAAGTTGCTCTAAATTACTGTACATCAATGCGCGGGTAACACGCTGTCTGTGGCAAGCATTTTTTCTGGCTAGCTTGCTCTAATAAAACATAGATCAGCAACTTATGTCTTCACCACCCCAGTACTTGGCCATCGGCTCTGGGCTCAGACCCACCCCAGAGCACTCCGGTCTTGGGGTCCCTCTTTATGATCTGCCCTCTCCCGAACACTGCCCTGTCGTGACCCCTCACATTGGGGTAGATGACGTGCCCTCGATTTCGCAACCCCTCCACTGTCTCCTCGCTATACCCCTCTTCCAAGAAAACTCTGCACCCAAGAACACAACAATGGTATGAAGCCACCATGGTAAAATCCACATGCATGCCCTCTCCTCCCACAGGCAACACTCCTCTGGCATGGTTGCCCATGTTCCCCCCCGTACGTGGAGTACTGAGTTTTTAAAATCTTAAGCGAGCACCTTAACTGCTAGCGCCAGTACGTCAAAACGCCATCCCAATACCAGTACTGAGTGAATTTCTTCCTTGAGACATCGCTACTGGTGCAACCCTGCTCTTCAAACATGAAAACAACGTGAAAGGTGGCTGTTAGAGCAACTTACACGCTGTCAAGAACGGTGGAGGGGCCCTCGGCAGAGTCCACTCCGTAGAGGGAGAAGCGCGGCGCATCCAGCGCTGTCTGTGGCTCCATGCCAAAGTCCAGCATGTTGGATATCACCTGGCAGCCCAGCATGTACTATCATTTTCATTGGAGAAATTTGAGTTCTGAAGGAAGGCATCTTACTGTCCTTGTCTCATCAGTATACACACAACGCATAGATGAGATAGTGGACATGGTTGCCCCTGCTCGAGGAAGGGGGAGATATAATTTATTTCAGAGCCTTCTGCTTCAAGTGATTGCTCAAATGCCATACTGCCGCATGACAATCAGAGCACCGGTGCGGAATGGCAGATCACATCGACTTGCCCTTCAGTTATAGTCGAGATGTGGATCCATTATTGGCTTGCATCAATGTATTCGTGTGATTTTAAGAAGCAGAGGGTGAGTGAGATGGTTGCAGGGGGTTGTTAGCGCGCCTGCATGTGGCCTTGGGGTTGCTGGAAGGCGCCCATGACTCCAAAGGTGCAGAACAGGTTGCCCTCTGGGTCGGTGGCCAGGCCGGGAATGATGGTGTGGTAGGGCCATTTGCGTGGGCCCAGGCAGTTGGGGTGCTTCGGGTCCAGAATGAAGCCGTGGCCCCTGTTCTGCAGTGTGAACCCGCACCCCTCCGGAACGATGCCTGCACCAGCCCCGGACCTATTATAAGCTGGGGGACTTAAGTGTAGCCTCTGGCAGGCTCTGATTGCTTGGCAGGAGAATCCTTATCTCGGGCTCCCTGCCCTTGCCATGTTGACAGAAACGAAGGAAAGCAGATGAACTATAGAGGTACTGACAGAAAGCAGCACTGCGCAGTAAACCTAAGAGAATATCTTGTGGAGATGGCTACTCCGACCCATTCTTGCTATGACATGCGTGGCCTATATGCGTGCTTCAGCATTGAGCAATGGTGGGCTGCCCAAGGGATTCAGTGCAGAGTGCCCGGCAGCAAGCAGATTGGTGCTGTTTGCCGTCATGAGCTATGCGGGGATACTGACGTTCTGATAAGCATTGCGGGCACTGGCTGGTGTGCGCAAGCAATCTGCAAAGCGTGTGGTTTGTAATGAATGGCGGCAGACTTAAAATTCACAGAGGCAAGCCAGCCAGCGCACCAGAGCCGAAGCCGAGGTAGTTGGAGTTGATGAAGGAGCACCCATTGCCCTGGCCGTCCACCACGCAGAGATAAACGGTGTCACCCGAGCGCCGTGCTTCACTTGGAGCCGCCGCCGAGGAAGCTTCCGGGATAGGGTTCCCCGGCGTCACCCTTGCCGCCTGAAAACCCGCAGGGGAATAATAAACAGCTTGCACAGACATGATTTTTTCAGCTTTTTAGTGTCCAGTGTTCCTGCCGTGAGGGATGGTCAACTCAAGTCAATGCTTGTCCCAGGATGCAACCCGAAAGCTGCGGGGGTGTAAGCAACAGGAGCAGCTGCCACGCGTGTGCAAGTAATTTAAGATATGGGCGTGCCTTGTTTGGTCTGAAGAGCTCAGCTCTCCGCTTCTTGGCGTACTCCTTGCTGAGCAGATCATCCGTTGGGACGGGCACCACCTGTCGCGAACAACAAGCTTCACTTCCTCAAGCTTTTCACAATATAAAACCTGATATTTCGACAGACATTATTATTATTATTATTATTATTATTATTATTACACGCTTTTCCTGCCAAAGGCAAGGTGCGTCTGCAGACGAGCTGCATGTAAAGGCTGCGAAATTCCTATCCCTTGTTGAACTCGCCAGATCCAATCAAGACCCAATTAATCGTGGGCACGGTGTTCAGTATTTGTACCGCCCCCCCCCAGCCGGGGCCAGACTTATGACAGAGATGGGGGCAAACAAACATCCTGAGAAACCGCAGCAAAAATTCCCAACCACCTGGCGTGTGTGACAGATCGATTATCACCTCTGGGTCAGCGTTGTATTGTAGGGCGTCCACGAAGCCCAGGCGCATGGACTCGATGGCTGCATGCATGTGCTCCGCGCCGCCCCAGCCTGCGGACTCCAGCCCCTCCTCCAACTCCAGAGAATTCAGCGCCATCAGCGCCGCAATTCCCTGCGCGTCAGTCATTGCCGCTCACGTAAGCACCCAAACCTCTGCCATGGCCCATTGCTGGCTCATGCCGAAGGGACTGGAAGCTTAAACCTGTGCTCGATTCCAAAGATTGAAAAGAGGACATTTGTCGCCAAAGTGGACCGTCGGCCCGAGTGCTGACACTGTAGAATCCACTGCCAGTGCCACGGAGCCGGCACACGAGATTCTGGAAGGACGGCAATCCCCTCTTGCATCATGGGGGAGATCTGCATGCTGCAAGGTCAGCATGCAGCTCAGGAGATTTTACCAGATCTAGACATCTGCTCAACACCTTGAGACGCTGACCGCGCACACAACATTGTTGCCGCAGTGCTGTGAAGATTGAGGGAAATAAACAAGTGAGCACCTGGGTTGGCGGGGGCACTTCGTAGATGGTGTAGCCGCGGTATGAGGTGTGGATGGGCCGGGTGGTCACGCTGCGGTGATGTGCCAGGTCCTCAGCCGTCATAACTCCCCTCTCCCGCCTCAGCACATCCACTATCGCCGCCGCTATCCTGCCCTTGTAGAACCCTGCGCCAGATTGCAGAGCCTCCTGACTCCCAATGCATGATGCATTCTGCAGGCCATCTTGCCTGGACAATTCATCACGATTGGCCATCATGATCGGCCGTCAGCCGTTGAGAGCTCATGCAAGGGATGCTCTATAGCAAGCGCAGCACCTAATATGAAGAAGGGGACCAGGTTCAAGAAGGAGGAGGCTGCTCCTTTTGCTCCTCTCGAGGAGGAGAAGACTTGGGCAAGTGTGACTGGTGAGAATCGCATGCTGTCTGTAGAATTATATAGTTTCCAAAACAACAGGATTGGGCCAAAATTTTACCTTCAAGGGCGCCGTGCTCAGCAATAGAGCGGAAGGTACGCCCCAGATCAGGGTTGCGCTGAATCTCGCCGGCGGCTGGCGCGCGGCCGTCGGGAGTCAGGAACGCCGCCTTACCGGGGCCCCTCAGCTGCGGGGTGCTTATTTTCCAGTGGTACGCCGTCACCGGTGACACGGGAAAGCCTTGCTCTGCCAGCTCAATGGCAGGTTGCAACACCTGCGCAGCACAAATAAGCTGCCTTATACCATCCCTTTACATAGGTCAGCAGCAGAGTTGCAGAAGGATTACTTCAGTATTTACTGGGTTGCACTCTTGGCAAGGGCGAGTGCCTGCCATTGCGCATGCATGCAATGAGTAAGGAGCGTCATTGCTATAAGGCTGGGAAGGATATTCGGCAATGTTGTCGGGCGGTTTTGAGAAGGAGAAGCCGTGCCTGTTTGAGGTCCAGCGTGCCGAAGTTTTTGATGGTGTCCTCCCAGAGTGCGGCGGCGCCGGGCACGGTCACGCACAGCGCGCTGTCCGCCGGCAGCTCGTGCCCCTCGATGCCTTGTGCACGCACCGCCTGCCCATTGCCACACATCACCATCAGTGTTGGCAGTCATTTCTTATCACATGCTGCGTCCTGCCCATTGCCCCACACCTCCATAAGTGTTTGACAAGATTTTACTAATCACATGCTGTGTCCTGCCAGGAGGCAAGGTGCGCCGGCAGACAAGCTGCACGTCAGGGCTGGCACATATCCTGCCCATTGATGAACCTGCCAGATCCAGGCAATACCCAATCACCCGTGGGCACGGTGCTCACTGTTTGTGTCGCCCCACACCAGCCAGGGCCAATGCCTGTTGGGCATGTAAATTATGGAAAGCCGACCTCAGGACATCTTGGAAATATCCGGGAGGTGAGAGCGCAATGTTCTTGAAACCAAGGACTTAGAAGGAAGCACTGACCTCCATTGTCAGGCCGGCTGGGGATCGTCCATTGCCTAGAAGGGCCGTGACCTCGCGGGTTGCAGCGCTGTAGAACAGCCCAAATGCATCCCCTCCAATACCTGTGCACGGCAGTGTCCTTGAACTGTGCAGGTAAGGGACGTCAAATAGTGTGCTCTGCACTGCAAGGGATAGCAGCTGTCAATAGAATTGGTCATCCCTACCTGTCGAGCAGGGCTCAGTGACATTCAGGGCTGCCGCCATGGCAACTGCTGCATCTGCTCAGATATCACGCACACAACACGTAAGCATGCCTGACTGTTAGTACTTAATATCAGAACGGTGCAAAGCATGCGGGGGGGCGAGGGAAGGGAACAGGATAGCAGCATTAAACAAAGCAGGAAGGTCTTGATCACCTGCAGCATTGCCCCCTTGTTGCAATATTCGCATGCCAGCCTGTGAAAACAACATATTGTGATTTTAATATCCAGAATGACTGGACAAGTGTTGCATCTCCTTGATCTGCTCAAGTATGGGTCCTGATGTGTTGCATTCTTTCTGACCACCAGGCAGTCATCAAAATCGAATTTACCTCAGAAGCGAGAGGCTGAGAGGATGCCACCATGCCCCTGGTGCCCAGCACAGGGGATCTGCGGCTGTGGAAATCCATCACGTGAAAGCGATCTGCAATTGCCGTCACCATTGCTGCGAGACAGAAGGAAACTTCTGATCACCGTCAAAACCTGCTATCTAAGGGGAAATTTCCATGTATTGCTGTTTAAAAGATCCGGTGTATCTCTCTAACACTTTGCACAAAATCCGACAGGTGACTTGCAGTCCAAAATACCGTATTTTAAAAATCAGGCTGATCGAAGATCAAAAATATATAAATACCAGTACACTCACCGGAAACAAATCTACGACCAAAATTAAACGATAGCTGAACAGCACGGTCCGCCACGATCGTGTTGGTGCTTGCCTTCCTTGCTGAAGCTGAACAGGTCTGCCAGGACTGAGATCGACAGGAGCAAACTTTGTGCTATGTAAAATTCAAGCTTCGAGAAGCAATTGACCCCGCAAGTTGCAGCTGATCCTGACTCACGGAGTGTCCCGGAAAAGTTGGTGACGAAGACCACGTGCCGAATATTCAAGCCATCTGTCGCATTTCCGAAACTCACGTCTCGCCGCACAATACAATCCTTGCGATGTGTATAAATATTGCACCTCAAACTTGGGGTCTGCACACATGGAAGTTTCAGTGGTAATGGGGTTTAACCACCTTAGTTTCCATTGCAGCAGTGGGTTGTTTCTGAAGCACGCTGTCAAGTGGACAGTGTGCAGGATATTGCTTCATGATCTCTAACTGATAATAAAAAGCATGCACATGTTAATCAGCGGCAGTGTGCCGATCAAAGGTTCTAGCACACTGCCTGCCTCTCGACAGTACATCCCATCACCGGGAAAGCTCGACAGAATATTGACGAGGGGGAGGCACTTTACAAATCAGCAAAGAAAATCTTTTCAGAGGCATCACAGAGATATACGTCACACCAGCTCTAGGATCCAGGATCTTCATACCAACGCTGCGCTGTGTCAACCCTCTTCTTCTGCTGGGGAAGCAAATTCACACGCTGAAATCCAAGATCGAGTGAGCGTCTCCTCCTCTTGTTACCAGAAAGCTAACATTAGATTGCCCATGTCCGAATATTGAAGCCGTACCCTTGGGACACAGCATCCTCTGCAATATGTATGCACCATTAGCAATGCAAGGAGGCCTCTGGAAAATGCTCGCTCAACTCCACTCACCTTGCAACTCACCATCTCAATTTTTTGATGCTTGCGCAGTGGGTAAACACGGTCATCTTCTTCGCCGGCGCCATGGCGCTGGCATCTGCACACAGAGTGACCTTCTCTGTGCTGGCAGTGCCCCTGCAGCAAGAATTGGGGCTCAGCTTGCCACAGATGGGGATCCTGCAAAGTGCCGTGCTGGCTGGCTACATCCTTGGACAGGCGAGTACATCATTTGTCAAGCAGATACAATGCTTCAACATGTGACATATACGCATTTGCCATCTGACTTGTCATGGATGTGGTCTTGCAGATACCTCTTGGGATTGTAGCGGACAGGATTGGGGGCACCCCAGTGATGCATGTGAGCATCTTCCTCTGGTCATGCGTCACTGGGCTGACCTCATTCGTCCGCGGAGCACCCCAGTCACTGCAATTTCCCGCACTGCTGATTGCCCGTGTCACCCTCGGCCTCGGCCAGTCTTGCATCATGCCTGCTACATCCGCAATGGCCGCCAAGTGAGTCCAAGGCTTGCACACACAATATCCTTGAAGGTTTTTGACTCTGAATGCATCACTGCTGTTGAAAGATGCATCTGGTCTTCCCTGCAGTCCTGAATCTTAACAAGTCCTCACCAGCAGTATTGGAATTAGCTGTCTGTCATGCATGATTAGGAGCACTGATTGGATGTGTGTTGCAACAGGTGGGTGCCTCATCAGTATAGGGCAAGAGCGATGTCATTTGTCTATGCTGCATTCAGCCTGGGCATGGTGGCTGGCCTTGTCTGCTTCCCAGCTGTTGCAGCACCATTTGGATGGCCGACAGCACTGGTGGTTTTTGCCGCCGGTGGAATCGCCTGGGGGGTGAGCACTGTCCTCCCCAATTCAAACAGCGTCAAAAGTGCGTCAGGATCATGGTCGACAGTGTTCAATCCTGCCAACTCATCACGGCATTGATCTGTCAGGTGTATGGAGCAGTGACATTGCCTTCTGAAGGCATGTCACCGTCAGCTATAATGAGGAAAAAGAAGAGCAGAGAAGCCAGTTCCAGGGCTAAAAATGCTCCTCGTAAAGCTCTCAGCGGAAGCAATCTCTTCCAGGTAAGCTACCAAAATATCCCGGGCTCTGGATACCTCATTGCAGAAGTACATAAACCTCTTGCAGCACATTGCATCTGTCCTTTTCTCGGTGTTCATCCGCTGTAACTTCATATCATGCAGGTGGTCATCCTGTGCTTGACACATTGTGTGATCGGCTGGGGGTTCTTCATCTTCCAGTTCTGGATGCCAACCTATCTGCACAGCTTGGGTGCAGCAGACCTTGCCAGCATGGGACTCCTGAGTGCTCTTCCCTGGGCGGTGATGTTCAAGTCCGATTTTACTCACGCAACACGTTTATTCATCGCAAGGCTCTCAGTACAGTGGCGAATACGTATGCCGTGTGCAAGAGCTGGCTGAGGTCGTGTAAAGAAGAGGGGTACAGAGAGATTTTGGGTTTATTGTGTTCGGCAGGCGTCAGCTGTGGGTGGAATGGTGGCAGGCTGGCTGGCTGATCACCTGCAGGAGAGCCATCAATGGAAGCCAGCTCGTGTGCGAGCCTTCATTCAAACAGTCGCCACAATAGGTGCACCCTCCAAGGATTGCAGGCTGAATCCTTCAAAGAAAATTATTCACTATGTTTGCACAGACAAGTCGTGTCACTGTTTGATGCCGCCTTACATACATGGTGTGGTTTGTGAAGGTGTGTGCTTGGCTATTGCAGGTCCGGCTGTCAGCCTTATTCCGCTCATCTTGGCGAAGAATTCCTGTGGGCTGCACTTGGCAGTCGCTTGCCTGACAGCGTTCATGGGGCTCCAGGCCTTTGCCTACTCTGGCTTCCATGCCTATGTCCAGGCATATACCTCCTAGCTGATCTCTCACCCTGCTTCATCCCTTGTCTGAACTTGGTGAACGCGACACTGTGCAGACTGAACGTCCACGAGCAGCAACACAAGCTGCAGCACTGATTCTGAGGACAGATCTACAATTGCTGGCACATATTGGGGATTGGATTATGGCCACATCTGCACTCTTTTATGCGATTTTTTATTTCGTTGGTTGTGTGCAGGAGGTGGCACCATCGGACGCTGGCAAGCTGTTGGGGCTGAGCAACAGCGCATCCACCCTTGTGGGGATGGCAGGAAATGTGGTCACAGGCGGCATGGCCGCATCTAGCTGGGGCTACTCTGGTCTCTTTGCAGTGACAGCCGTACTGTACACCGGGTCATGTCTGACCTGGAACGCATGCATGAAGGGGCAGCCGCTCAACCTCAACCTTGTATAAAAGATGCCTTGGAGACCTTGTATGATTCTTCGCTAGGCAATTTTAAGTAAAACATTGCATATTCATTCTGCCTGTACACAGAAGCAGCAGTGCTGTCTCTCTGTATATGTATATCATTGAAAAGTGTCTTGTTCATCTTGTACTATTAGATGTATCACTTAAAAGTATCTTCTAGTAGGTGCAGGTGGTTTCATTGGTTGCGATATGTGGCTCTGAACATCATGAAATTGACTGGCAACATGTTTGAGGTTTACTTGGCTATATAGAGCTTGCAATTCTTCAAAAACGCAACAGATATCTAGATATCTTTATCTAATGGCTCTATTGTATACTACTAATTGTCTTAAAGATGGATGCGAAGTTTGTCATCATGTCAATTCTACCCTCGAGGCAAGACACATTTGCGCTGGCCACTCGGTATCAGTCCTTTCCAGCGAGCACAGCCTTCGATTCGGCATAAATGTTCTTTCTTGATGGCTTCCAGTGACAGGTTCAGAGAATTTCACAGGATGCTTGATAGTATAAGCATGTAAAACTAGCAACATTTTCCAGCTGTCATGTAGCAGATTCAGCATCAGTGATCATGGCCCTCTCCCTCTGCCCCGGCCCCTCCCTCTGTGCCTGCCACCTCGATATGTCTTTCCCTGTTCCGCACCCCAAAGTTTCAGCTGCACTGAAAAACATTTGGAAAACAGGTTGCCTGGCTTCTGGGCAAGCACAAGCGCTAGGACATAATGCTCCTTGCACAGACAATGCTTCCACGCTGCGTGTGCAGAGGCCATGCAGGGGAAGGGTGGCAACTTGGGAGGCAGCTTCAGGCTTCAGAGCATCACCTGTCCCCTGCCCCCCGGGCTGTGGCTGAGCTGGGGAGCATCGAAGTACGCATCGCCGGCTGCGGCCGCCACCGGCATCGCGCGCAGCATGTGCTCATGTGACCGGCCCCGGCCGCGCGCTGCCGGCACATGCCCCCTGGAGGGCATACTGTGCTGGGGGATGTGGCCGCCGCCGCCGCCATGGTGTCGGCCTGCAACCCTTCCAGCGCCCCTGCAATGCCCATCAGGTGCGTCAGGCATTGCTTCCCGAAGGCAGGTTTCGAGGTTCCAAAAGTAGAGAAAAACATAGTCCGGTGACCTGGTCATCTCCACACATCTTGGAGCATCATGAGATCGATCCCAGGGAAACTTGAAGCAAGAAAAGTCTGCAACGCTAGTATGCAAGTTTATTTGAATTTTCGCTGAGATGTGCTAGATCACTCTGAGGACATGTCCTGACAGCCACAGACACGGACCTGCCGCCGCCTCTGTAGGGGTTTGCGTTGTAAGGGGCTGAAAAGCGGCCGCCGCTGTGACTGAAAGGCATGGGCACGGCAGCTTCCAGGGAGAATCCGCTCTCGGGGCCGCCGGCCTCCAGTGAAAACAGTGACGCTGCCGTCTGCAGCGCCCCCGCATGCGCCTCGTCCAGGACACCTCGTGGGTTTGACACCTGCAGCAGAGTTATTATTATTACTTATAATACACGTTTTCCAGTCCTAAGGACCAGCTACGCCAAGCAACACCTGTGTAGCAGCAGAACATTGTCACATATTTCAGGAGGGTCAGACAGCATGTGAGAAATATGAGATCCCTTGCAAGCCTGAGCAAATGTGCTTTGACTGTCTTTGAACAGACAATGCAGATAAACACCTTGACATGAACAAGCATGCTTGCCAGACCTGCCTGATGTTGGATTTATTCACTACCCTCCTTTGTGATCAGTATTGTGAGTGGTGCCACATCAGCAAAGCCAGCATTGTTGGCCTACCTTGGCGGCAAAGCATGTGTTGAGGCGCTGTCGTAGGCACAAGAGGGGCGCCGCCGCAGCAGTGGGCACTCTCAAAGACAGCCAGCCGTCTATCTCCAGCTGGGTCGCCGGCCCCATGCCCTCCTCCATATCCTCATCATCCACCCTGGCAGGCACACAAGTCACCTCATCGACCATGGCAGACAGACAAGTCATCTCATCAAGTCTGGCAGATGATTAAGTCATCTCATCAACCCTGGCAGGCACAGGAGTCACCTCATCAACCCTGGCAGACAATTAAGTCATCTCATCAAACCTGGCAGACAGGAAACTCAAGCCAAGTGAAACATCCCCTAAAAAGTGCGAAAAAACCCCGGGAGGCGCACTACATTCATATCAGAGACTCTTGAGAGCGTCCAGGTGCACTCAGTGAGTCCAGTCCAGTCGAGAGCGTCCAGTTCTACTTGCCCACAGGAGCTGAATATCGAAACCAAGACAGAAATGGGATAATGCCCTTGACAGGTCTCTCATCTGATTGGTCTTTGCACAACCATGACGGGCAAATGTCAAGGATCCCGTGCTCAAAAGAATATCCCCTCAAGTATTTCTTCTGTAGCACTCTGCACTGGGCATGTCCTCAGAGTGCACAGTACATGTGTCACTGCACCTGAAGAAGTACCGGATGTGCCCTCAAAAGCACATGCTCACCAGAGTACAGAGCATGCGGCAGACTTCATGAAGAGACCAAATGGGCGCGTCCTCACACTATGCAGCAGAAAGATAACATTGTTAGACTGGGCATGTCCTAAGAGCACTCACCATGCAGGGCCGGAAGGCAGCCCATTCGCGCCATCGCCGTCAGAATCGCTATTCCAGCCACCCATGTCACTGTCCTCCACTTCACCGGCCACGCGCAGACTTGCAGCCACCAGCGGTAGCACGTGCGGGTTCACTGCCGTGCACTGGCGCACTGCCAGGACTGACTCATTGCGAGTCACCTGCAACCACACACACACCCTTGTCTGAAACCCCTACGCTATTTGATACCACTGAACCCTGGCATCCAGATGAGCCCTAGCATGTCATCAAGACGAGGATGCAAAAGACAAGATTTGGGGGGAAGCTTGGACATGCAAGTGTTTCAAAATATGGGCTAGACAGATGGCCAATGCATTTCCACCTCACACGTGAAGAATGCCCTTGCAGGCATCCCCGAGAGGAGGCCGGCACTGGCTGAATGGTGAACACCGAGTAAGCAAATGGACGGGGTTGTAAGTGAAGAAAAGAGAATAGGGAGTGCTGACATATTTATATATATGTGTGCGTAAAAGGCCTCCTAGAGGGAAAAAAATGGTGCACCCCTATTACAATGACAGGACAAGCGCACAGCACCATCACACTACAACCGCATCAAGCTACAACCTATGTGACAGCAATGCAGCAAGCTGGCTCGGTCAATCAAAGGAAACTCATACTTCCTCGAAGATGATGATGGGGCAGGGGCGCGGCTCGCCCTTGCGGACAACAGGAGCATCGAGCTGGAAATTCACTGAGGACGGGTGAATCTTGACCTGCGTTGTTAGCAGCTTATTTCAGGTGTAGAGAAGACACAAGGAATTTGGAGGTACCCAGCTTGTTTGCCAGACAGGCAGCATATTGGTTGAGTGACTCTCAACCACTTCTCAAGAGACCCAGAAAAAGACATTAGACGGCGATCAGACAGTCATTGAGCATCAGCAGACAAAGGTTGCAGTGCCGCACCTTCTCTTCCTTGGCTGTGAGGATATGGGCGCTCTTGCGGGGTGCCTGCCCCCTCTCAAGCTTCTTGCTGAGCAGCCGCCCCACCTAAGATCAACAACAGGGTGCTTGAAGTCAGCTTATCTACGATTATGACATCATCAAAATACCCACAGTGCTGCCAAAGCCTCAACGTACCCCTAACTAACACGCAGCCATGGCCACGTGAGTTGATCATTGTTACCCATCATCACTACCGGAACCAGGCAAGTTTACAGGAGCAATGAAGGAGCGAAAGCGAGGACAGAGGAGCGGAACAGACCAGGGGGTAGAAGCCGGCTGCCATGACGCTGCGCACAAGGCCCACATCGCGCGCGTTGACAGAGGCAGCGTCCAGGGATGACACAAACCCGCGAGCCTGTTGCAAATGACACGTCCTCAGTTCTTGGATCAAGCAACGTCGGCAACCCATCCTTTACCCCCAACAAACTTGATGTGGCGGACAAGCAGTGTAATGTGGGTCAAGAACCACAATTCGGATCTCTTTTGGGCAAAACGCCGCTTCATAAATTCACAACATGTTTGGGAGGTTTGCAATTCAGATCAACTAGACTTGTAATCTCCTGCAGTGGCATGCCTAGGGAACAGTAGAGGGCTCAGTACCTAGTCTGGGAAGTGCACAGCGCCAGTGCGTGCTTTGGATAGAGTATAACAATTTACATATAACTTGAAAGAGTACAGGGCGATGAAGGGCGCACCGTGAGCTCGCCGAGAAGCTGGCCACGCATGCCCTCGATCATGCACATGGTGCCCCCGCTGATGTGAGTGGCGGCTGCGTACGCGTACTCGCGCCCGCGCCCCTTCTCGGCCGACCACGTGTTGTACGCGCGCACGAGCGCCAGGTGGTCGCTGCAGCCGCCGGCCCCGTCCGACAGCGTCTGCTTTGCGGCGGATGCCGCTCGCCGCGCCGTCGCCTCTATCGGCAGCACCCAAGGATCCCTGGATGCACGTCCGCGCAGCGCACATGTCAGCATGTAGTGTTGTGCTAAACGTTTTCATGTGAAGAGCGTTCTGGGCACTGGCAGGAGTAGAGCACCATTCCTTCCATGGGAGACCATTGAGATCCCTCTAATCTTTGCTTGTGATGGCTCTACTTCCAACAGACCTAGCGTACACGCTGCCTTCTTCATTATGCGTTCTCGTGTCTGCCCGTGGAAAGCATGGTGAGGAGGAACAGCAAGCGGAAGATATTGTTGTCTAGGCAAGCCTGTAGCCCCTTATGCCACCTCTGACATATATAAGGTATTGATGCATGCGGATGGCAACAGTAGCCATGCACCTAATTTGCTGAGGTGAGTATTACTATCTCAGCAAGCAATTGTCAAGAAGCCGCTATAGAAAAGGATGCAGCACAAGGTGTGCACTGTTGAATTCCTGACTCTGACTGCAGGCGCACCGGTAGGCCATGCAGCAGGAGACGGTGAGGATGGGGTCGAGGCAGCCGAAGAGGACGCCGTAGAGCAGCATCTTGCCGATGCGTGGCGGCAGCGGCAGCGCTGCCAGGTGGCGCCCCAGCAGCGTCAGCCGCTCCCCGGGCGCCTCAAACGCGCCGATGTCCTGCAGCAGCCGCACCGCATTCGCCACCGACACCGCCGGCGGTGGCTCCACCGCCTTGTCCAGAAACTCCGCCACACTCGTGTGGCCAAAGCCCGCACCCTCCAGCAGCTTCACCTGGACCATGCCAGAGGACGGGAGTTCAGGATAGCACGCGATTTGATAACCATGATCTGGTGAGCTGTCGCCTGATAGTTCCGCCCTTGCAAAAGGACACAGACCCTCTGCCCGCATCATTGAGGCTCAGGTCTTTGCCTGCAATCTCCCTGCCATATCCCCTGCAATGGGGCCTGCAATTTTCAGTCTGCACGCCATCTTGCAGGCCGTTTGAGTGCTCGAGCAAGCTGGGAAGGAGCCCCAATCAGGTCTATTGAACAGGGATATGTGGAGGTAGGTGGAGCGCTGACCTGCAGGCTGAGCTCGTCCAGGGGGCTGCGCTGGAGCTCGGGAAGCTGGAAGTCTGCGAGGCCCTCGCTGCGCACGCGCGAGTACAGGTGGAAACACACGCCCTGCGGTGCACAACCAGCTCGGCACCGGCAACGCATGCAACGCAGTTCTGCAAAGCGCTCGTTCTCAAGGTGATGCAATTCTCACGTATTTTCTCCTGAGGCCATGGATCCGAGGGCTGACAACACTGTGGTGTGTCAAAATTATGTCTGGCAGACATTGCAATGCATATGACAAAGTCCTGCAAAACGCTTTATGAATATTATGCAAGACTGGCATTGCAACTCTCTTGACATGGATCCAGGCGTTGATGACACTGTGGTCTGTCAGTGATGTTCGGCAGGCATGACAAGAATGCAATGTAAGGGAGTGAATGAACGGCACCTGCTGGCAGCGGCCGGCACGGCCGCGGCGTTGGCGCTCAGAGGCTTTGGAGATCCAGGTGGCCTGCAGCGTGGACACATTGGTGTAGGGGTCGTAACTCTTCTCCTTGTGGCGCCCGCTGTTGATCACGCACACTATGTCATCTATCGTCACCGCCTGCATGTCACACCAGCCCTCTCTGCATCTTCATTTATATCTGCAGAAACATTCTTCTTTGAACTGCTGCTGTAGAGCTTGTGCAGACTGCTGAACAGTCTTGATAGATTGTTCTCCTTAGAAATGCACTGCCTGACCTACTGCTAAAGGAAGAAGCACCAGCCATACAGGGCATACCCTGGAGCCCATGCTCTGAGCATTTAGCAGTGTGACAGAGACAAGAGCTGAGCAAGACACGACACACATGTGGGCCCCACCGTTTCGGCGATGTTGGTTGCAAGGACGATCTTGCGCACGCCAACCGGGGCCCGCTTGAAGACCTTGCGCTGCTCTGCGGCGGGCACCATGCTGTGCAGGGGCAGGACCATGTACTTGCTGCCGCTGAGAGCGCTCTGGCGGCCCTCCAGCTGCTCCTTCAGCCGGATTATCTCGTCCCACCCTGCTCAAAGTGCACATGGATTGCTCACTATCTCTCGCAGCGTGCTGGGGGTATCTGAATGCACGAGAGAAGAACATCAAACGGAGCCAAATTGAGTCCTGCCAAGCGCGTTAGAAGCAACTCTGTCAGTGTCCAGCACTCAGAAGTGATCACAAGTTGATTGAGAGTCCCCTATTCTGCTGAGCACCACAGACTCTCTCCTGAATATGCAGGTGTCTCAGTGACAAGCCACTTTACGACGGCGCGTGGGTCACAGGTGTTAAAGGCTTTGCAGCAAGGATGGCAGCGAGTATGATAGGAACAATAGAGCAGTAAAGACGCACCAGGAAGGAAGATGAGAACAGCGCCCAGGCTGGCGCCCTGCTCTTCAGCTCGGCTGTAGGGGCCCTCGCCACAGATGTACATCAGCAGCGCCTCTATCAAGGACAGGTCCACCTCGTCAGCATCCGTGGACGCCTGGTACCGAGACACTGCCAGCGCGCTCACCTCCGCATGACTGGACGTCTGCGCCACCTGCCGCAAGCATGCACACCCTGCTCAATCCTCTGAGGCCGTCAACTCTGCTGTTGCTTGGTTGTGGCCCCTTCTAGCCAAGAGGATGAAAGAATGGAGTCACAGGCCCCGTTGAAATAGATCGCTGTTCTCAGCCGAGGTGTTTCACACTTCTCCGTTGAGAGGCCAACGCTTTCACAAAGCAGGGGATGCCCAACACCAAAGACAAAACTTCCAAGGACTCCGCTACGCCAAGAAAGGAGCAGGCATATTGAGGAAGCTGTTGCATTAGCAGTCTGCAATGGCCTGTCCTTGATAGAATCAAGGACAGTGGTGCAGTTGCAAGGCACCTCCATGTGGCTGCTCAGGAAGTCTGCCACTTCTGAGTGGCCGAACTTGGTGGCCCAGTCCTGCGCGCTGCTGCCGTCTCGAGAGCGCAGCAGGGGGTCTGCCCCGGCCGTCAGCAGTGCAGCCACATCCTCCAACCTCCCCTTGCCGGCTGCTGCCATCAGCGCCGTGGCTCCTGTTGCAGCAAAGGGTCCTTGTTGCAGGCAAAAAGCTTTTAGGCAGCTATCAGACCACCACCCAATCTTGTAACAAGGACTTTTATATTGTAGAAAATATTACCTGTGCTCATGTGGGTTACGTTCAAGCACGCAGTGGAGCATGCTTCGTCCATGCTGTTGGCTCCTGTCATCTGCACGCATGAAAGCGCTTCAAGCATTGTCATGCAGTGGCAGAAGATGCAGACCTAGGCTTAAAAGACATCAAGGAAATGTGAAATCTTAACTCTGATGAAAGGAGTACCTTACCTCCAGCAAGTGATCAAAGTGCTCGTCGTCGCCATGCAAGAAGGCCTGCATGATTGCGCTCTCTATAGCCTCTCTCTGCTCCTTTGGAATGTCTGAGGGCTCTGCCCTGTTTGGGGCTGGAGGCAGAATGCCACCATGACCTCTTCTGGATGAATTACCATCTTGCTGGGCCAGCAGCGCATCTTGGTAGCCGATCAGCCTCAGCACATCCTCGAGATACATGTCTGTCACAGGGTATGTGAATCCAGGCACCTGCAAACAGCCAGCATCTTTGCATCAATTGAGACACTGACAGCAAGAAGCAAAATGTGTACGCATCCACCAGAAAGGTGCGCCTGTGTCTATGCATACAATATATGCAACATCAGACAAAAAATGGGCACCGGGCTCTTGTTTTGATCAAGAAGCATCGATTGCTATTGTCTGGCAGTCTTGCGGCTCACCTCAATGACCGGGCAGCCGCCAAAGTAATTGGAGAACAGCTCTATGTGCAGAGTAGCAGACATCAGCACGACACGCAGGTTGGGGTGCGCAAGCAGCAGGTCTCGCAGCAGGATGAGCAGGAAGTCTGCAAAGCGGTCCCTCTCGTGGATCTCGTCCACAATTATATGGGTTATGTCATCCAGGCCCTCCCCCTGAGTCAGCATGCGCAGCAGTACCCCATTCGTGCAGAACATCAGCGAGGATCCCGGGCCTCCCCTGCGCAAACACAAGGAGAGTTTCATCTCAGCTCTCTTTTTCTAGGCTTTTGGGAAAATATGTTTGCCTCCGGCACCACATCATGGACCTTGATGATGCAAGACAAAGCCACGGGAGAGCCTGGGCAGAGCCGCCGTATGCAGCACACAACCACTGCTGCAACATGCTTTTGAAAACTATAACATCAGCAGTGATCAGCACAGCCACTGCAACATCTAAACCTTTTGAGTTCCACTGCATGTATGGCCATTTCTTGTATCAGTATAACAATCAGTGCAGGCTGCGGAAGTGCAAGCAGGAGGACTCACTTGGACTCCAGGCGGATGGTGTAGCCGACACTGGTACCGCACTTCTCGCCGCGCTCAGCCGCCACCCGCTCCGCGATGGAGATTGCGCTGATGCGCCGCGGCTGCGTGCACATTATGCGGCAGCCGCGCCCGGCAGCTGCACACAGGACAGGGCACAATCGCTTCAATGTTGCCTGCATCTCTACTCAACTGATTCTCTAGCACTGACGGTGGGTTTCCTGCTGATCCTGCTTCTGTGCACTTGCTGTAGCCAGGTTCTCACTCGTTTGTACAATTACCTTACCCCATGTTCATGCATACATCATGAAGCTTGTGCCCCTTTGCCTCCAAGCTCTTGAGCTATCTGGACTAGAATTCAATCTTCCTGGTACAGGTGGCCAATTGATGGTGTAAATTGCATCCAAATAAACAGAAGCGCACCCCAGGCGTCCTCAAGGAGAAACTGGGGCACCTGCGTCGTCTTGCCACAGCCGGTCTCTCCGGCAACCAGCACCACCTGATTGTTGGCAATCGCCTGCAGAATCTGATTCCTGCAACCCACATTCATGCCTCCCCTCAGCTACAGTCTCACAACCTTGCGTCAGCTGCACTAGTGGATGTGGCAGGATCCAGCCTTTGCATCATACTCATGTTACAAAGGAATGTTGATTCTCACTCCCCGGTTCCCAGACCCCTGCTGAGAAAGACTCAATTATGTTGAAGGAGGACAGGCACCTGTATGGTGCAATTGGGAGCGCATTGCGAGTGGCTGTGATGGCGGCCACGGCAGGAGTCTGCTGAGCCCTGGCCCACGCTGCATGGTGCCTGCGCACCTCCTCTTCAGGGAAGTGTGCAGCGCCGACCGTGCTCCTGCGCTTCCTGCCGCTGACTTGCTGATGCACCTGGTGCTCCGCTGCACCCAGGGACGCCACCGCACCCCCTTGCATGGCGGCGGCAAGCTCTGCATCCGATGGTGGATGCCTCTGCAGCCATTGCATGTCCTGGTAAGTTCCGGTGATGACCATGATGAGGGCCTGTCTTTTGACAATGCAGTCACAAATTAGGATGTGCACAACGCTGTGCAGGCAGGATATACCTCATAGTAAGCTTGGAGGACATCCAATGAGGCAGGGGCGATTGGCAGGTCAAATGCCTCCTTCACCAGGCGTCCCGAGGCTGCTGGCTTGTAGACAGTGACTTGCCGATTGTCATTCTTCCTGTTGCACAGAATGCATTAGCCAGTGAGCTGATGTGGCCTTATTGCGTAACCTCCGCGATCAATGAACATTCTGAGTGATGGCACCTTGGTAAGGCATTGCATGCTGTAGGAGTGTCTGGGTGGACAGCTCACCCTTGGCTCTTTGACGTGAAGCCGTACTTGCGGCATTCTGCATGGACAACTGCGCGGTCGTGATTGCTCAGGCCAGGAGGAAACACGTAGCCTGTTCGACAGCACAAGGGCATCAGAAGACACTCGAGAAAGATTGAGTGGACGTCCAAGTCAAAAGCAAGCGCAAATGGCATCTAAGCGAACATCGATGTATACTAGTCTTTCCTCTGCTGAAAATCAAAATTGTGTGCTCAGTACGTGAAGTCAGCCTGTACTGACAATTTTTCCGCCAATCATCATCACTTCAAGGGCTCAAGCTGTACATATAAGAGCTTAGGGATATCTCATGATTTGACTGATATCAGAACAAGAGTTACTTGTTTCGTTGGAGCGCTGAAATACTTCCAGCTGCTGTCCAATTGTCAGCCTGCTCTCCTCCGATATGGGTCTCAATCCAGGCGAGATCCCAAACCTTCCACGACCTCGTCCCCTTGATCTCCCAGGGCCAGCCATATCGTTCACAAAGTTTGACACTATCAACAATAATCCATAGTAAGTGGATGAAAGTTGATGCGATCCGGAAGGACAGTTCCTTCGCATGCAAATCGTTGCCAAGCTTCGCCCATGCAAAGCGTAGCCGCAGACATTCCGGAACATCGGCTCTCCTCCCTTCCTCGAGGGGCAGCTAGCTCGTCAGACTCTGCACAAAGCCTCCCATAAGCTGCTATCAGGATGTGTTTTGCAATCTCTTCTCGAAGTACGGGCTTGTATTTTGCCGCCTTGAGGTGAAAAGCTGGGAAGCGTGAAGAAAGCCAACACGGCATCCCCGACACACAAAGGCCGAAATGGCCGGTGGCTTAGCGATTGCTACAGTAGGCACCAGATCTGCAGAATATCATGGAGAGCTCAGCTGGCGTGTGTTTCTTGTCTGTATCGTGGCATCCAGCGGAGGGCTGCTGTTCGGATATGACCTCGGTGGGCTCTCATTCTCTTCACGATGTCCTCGTGAACATCCGACAAGAGAAGCAAACAAATCCTTTTCCTTATTTTCAAGAAAACGCAAACACATTTACATTAGCTGTCCGTGTTGCAGGCATCGCGGGCGGCGTGGCGAGTATGCACGGATTCTTGGAGGTGATGATGCTGGTCCCTTTCCAGCTAGCGCCGTGCAGCTGATACACACTATTGCATTGTTGTTCGACGTGTTACGCCTGTAGATACTGAAAATGCTGACATGCAGAGGTTTTTCCCGGAAGTCATACTGCAGAAGCAGGAGGCACTGCAAAGCACGGCGAACAAAGACTACTGTCAATTTGACAGCCAGGCCAGTCAACTATCCCATCAACGCTAGAATTCTTGCTTCAACATTGGCTTTGCAATTAGGCACATTCAAACGTTGACAAAATGGTCTCATACCCTTTCCTGTGCTCTTACAGACCCTTCAACTTTGGCAATCATCGATGTTCTTGGCAGGGGCTTTTGCAGGTGAGCCGAACGCATCATGTCGGACTTCATTTCCATGAAGCATCATTAAGATAATCCATTGTGATACTTTGCTGCTGATAGAAATTTTCTATGGGTGACAGGATTGCTGGCAAGTTGGATCAGCAACCGCTTTGGCAGGAGATTTACCATGATCTGCGGTGGCTTTGCCTTCGTTGTGGGATCCGTCATGCAAGCGGCAGCCAATCACATAGCACTTTTGGTGATAGGCCGAGTCGTTCTTGGAGTGGCGATCGGATTTGCGACTCAGGTATGCCAATGGCCGCTAGTGGCAACAACTCCTGCACTCCTCTGCTCGATCTTGCCGGGTGTCAAGCTTTTTAACCAATTATGCAATGGGTATGGTGATCACTTGCAAATGACAATGCAGGCCGTCCCAATGTATCTGTCGGAGATGAGTCCTGCCACATTGAGGGGCAGCCTCAACATATGCTTCCAGCTGGCAACGGCCTTCGGCATTCTCATTGCAAATTGCATCAACTATGGTGCGACGCTACTCTTTTGCGCAGTCACCCACCGCCTCATGTTATGTGCACAAGTGTCTGTCAGATGAGCAGGATTACTGTCCCAAACTGCATTTGCAGAAGGCAAGTATACAGTGTTATTCTGAAAGGGGAATCAAATTACAAGCTGCATGCATCTGAGCATTGCATGCATGCAGGCACCAACTTCTTGGGTCCCAATTTGGGCTGGCGGCTGTCACTGGGCCTCGCATCTGTGCCCGCGTTTGTGTTCTTTGTGGGAAGCTTGCTGCTGCCCGACACTCCCAACAGCTTGGTCCAGAGAGGCTATGAGAAGGAGGGACGACAGGTATAAGCAACCCCATTGCTCCTAATAAAATAGCTGTACCCGCGTTGCGTGCGCAGCTTAATCGTATCGGTCTGAAGACAGGAATTTTGCCCACCTAGAGGGTGCAGGGGAAGAGCATGCCAAGGGAATGCCAGTGGTCTTGTGATCTAGTTTTGCACACTGCACGCAAAACAGCTGATGTCACAAGGGGGTGAGTTGGAATGTGGCATGCACAGATCTTGGAGCTGATGCGAGGCACCAAAGAGGTTGAGGCTGAGCTGGCGGACATCAAGGATGCTGTCATGGAATCAAAGAAGCACAAGGGCTCCCTGCGGCTCTTCACACAGCGCCGCCACATCCCACAGCTGCTATTTTCCATCCTCATTCCTGTCTTCCAGCAGTTCACTGGAATCAACGCCTTCATCTTCTATGGTGCGCGATTGCAGTTTTCATCTCTGTTGACTCTTCTCAGGCGCGCTGTCTGTCAAAGATCAATGATGTGCATGCATTGAGTGAGAATGGTGCTGTTTTGAGAGTGTGCGCTGTGATGGGCCTCTTTGGAATTTCAAGATAATACATTGTCAAGTGAGATCCGGTGTGACTGTAGCTCCTCAGATCTTCATCACATTGGGCATGGCACAGACGGCATCTCTGCTGGGCATTCTAATTGTGACCGCCATCAATATTGGTGCAACACTAGTTGCAATCTACTTGGTCGACAGGTGAGTCATAGATTCTGCAAAAGCATTCTTTGTCCATTCAGTGACCTGCTTGCATGGTTGCTATTTGAGTGGAATCATAGGGCCATTTGAAAACTCTTCTTGAGCTGGCAGCCTTGAGAAGCTGCAGCATGTCAAGATGCAGCTGTTACGGCAATTACAATGACGAATGAGCATGCTATTCACAGGGTGGGCCGCAAGAAGCTGTTCTGGGCGGGTGGTGTCCAGATGATCTTGGCACAGATTGCTGCGACCATTCTAATGGCCGTGACTTTCAAGCATGTGTCGCCGCCAATTTACTCAATAGTCCTGATTGAGGTCTTTGTTTGTATGTTTACTGCTGGCTTTGCCTACTCATGGGGCCCTCTTGGGTGGCTGGTACGCCCATCTTCACTGCCTATTACCGGTACAATCATTGCAGCTTGTTTGGGAAGAGGGAAGATTGACGGTGGGCTTTGCTTGATCTGTGCTGTGGCTTTGCACAGGTACCTACTGAGATACATACCATCGAGACAAGATCTCTTGGGCAATCAGTGACTGTCTTCACCAACTTTCTGAGCTCCTTCTGCATAGCTCAATCATACCTCAGCATGATGTGCAGGCTGGAGGTAAACAGTTGTTTTCTCATAAAAAGACATGCATGTTTTACAGTACATGGTGCCTTAGTTTTAGCCTGAAGCTCCCAGGCCTCATTATTCCCAGGGAAGCAAATGTGACCTTCTTGGATTGGTTCAATATGCAAAGTTGACCGTTTCTGTGTTGCCATGCAGTATGCAACATTCATCTTCTTCGCGGGATGCGTGGCAGTCATGACCTTGACAGTGGCGTTCCTACTGCCAGAGACGAGAGGGGTGCCCATTGAGGAGGTGTGTTCGCCCCCACTGCAATAATCTCAAAAATTACAAAGCCCTTGCCCTGGAAATAAAATTGACACTGCGGCATTTGGGATCCTGCCAGGCTGGAGAACAGTGTCAGTGTCAAGAAGTGATGGGATGAGTTTGAGTGGCTGCAGGTCAACTTAATCTGGGAGGAGCATCCTGTCTGGAAAAGGGTGGTGGCTCCAAGGGATACTCTAAAAAGGCAGACAAGCGCCTATGCACAAGACATCCACAAGGAGATCACTCCTTGACCGAGCTCAGCTTGAAGTGTCAGCGGGATTGCATCATGTGTGTACAACCTTGCTGTGTTCATAGAAGCGCATCAATCCGATGAAGTTCAGGAAAGTGCTTGTGCAGATGCGCATGCGCATGCATTTGCTGGTGCTGCAGCTGATGATAAGGTTGTCCCAAGGCCGCTTCATCTTGTACACAAGTAAATTCCCTGCGCAGTTTATGCAGGAAAGGAACTGTGTGTAGTGCGCTTCTTGCAGAACATTGCGCGTGCGACCATGGCTTTGCGTCTGCATGCTTGTACAGTGATCAAGTATCAACCAACAGCGGCATGTATGGCTTGACAGGATGCAAATGATGTACAGATGTGCGCGGAAGGGCATGAGTTCCTTGATAATCTGGGCAGATAAATCTTTGTGGTGCACCAACACCAGGTGGTTCACGGATCTGCCAGTGTGAACCAGTTGCAAGGGTCTTGTAATTTAAAATATGGATAGCAGTCAGCATTTGCTTCAGGGCAGTCTGCTCACAGCACTATCGCATGTTGCATGTCCAGCATACAAACCTCACTCAAGCCGTGTGATACGTAAGGATCGCTACTCATATGAATTGCAGCAAAAGAGGGCAGCCACATAAATGTTTGCGAGTCAACCAACGTCATCATCCTCATTGTATGCTTCCTCCATGTCTTCATCTTCCATCTCCGATTCCTCCTCCTCTGACTCTTCAGACTCTTCTTCTTCGCCCTCAGTCTCCCCTTTTCCCAAAGCACCCTCTGCATCATCCCCTCCAGCTGCTGCCTGGCCTCGATCATCAGCTGACTCATCGCTGTCTTCCGCCTCATCTGCAACAAGCAGAATATTCCTTACAGCGACGCCACTCACCTCACAAGCGCGATAGTCCATTGAGTGACAAGGTGCAGGAAAGTTGGGCTTCAGTGAACAGAAGGAAGAAAGCAATGCGCACCGTTTGTCTGGGCTTCCTCGGTGAGACCAGCGTCATCATCCGCTGCATCAGCTTCCTCCCCTTCCTCATCAGAACCCTCGTAGATCTCAAAATCCCCTGCGTCACCTCCGGAAGCCGCCAGCAGCTCCGCGGCGCTCGGCGCGACCGGCGGCGGCCCCTCGGCCTGCCAGCTGTCGAGCACAGACTGCAGGTATACCGCCGGCAGAATGTCATGCGCCGCACCCGGGGGCCCCGCGCCCTCGGCCACGCCGCTGACATCGTCCGCCATGCTGAAGTCACCCGCAGCGCTGACATCAGCGCCGGCCGGCTGCGGCGGCTCGGCAGCCGCCGCCAAGCCAGCCCCTGCATTGCCCGCTCTCTGGGTAGACTCCCTCGGGAAGTGCACAGGCGGGACGTCAGGCTTCCCTCCTCTTTCTGACATGCTGGCGTCCTGCTGAGGGGCGTCTGGATTGGGCTGCGGCTGCTCTGTGGCTGCGCTGGAAGCCCCGGCACTATCCTGTTGGTTGGTGCCCGCTCCTGGCTGGCCGGCTGCTGCAGGTTGTGTAGCCCCAATGGCCTCGGCTGAGCCCCTGTGGAGGTGCGGGAGCACAACATAAAGGGTGCAAGCTTGAGCAATGTGTGTTGGATCCTGGAAAGCACTGTGTTGAAGACGTTGAGAATCCTTGTGATACCTGCTGGGAGTAGCTGCCTGGCAAAGAGCAGCAAAGCGAGATTCCACTCTCTCCCGCAGCTCATGCCACACTTCCAAAGAGAACCAGCCTGCAAATTACAACCCGGTAAGAACGCAGTTCTTGTGTTATAGAAAGTCCTCTATCACACTAGAAGACAAGCCAGGCATGAATTGAACAGTCATCTTGTGAGGTATGTATAATTGAAAACTTGAAGGAGGACTACCTGATTTGAGGCTGCAGGTTTCAAGTTGGGCTGGCTTGTCAATCACACTCTGTATGTAGTCATCCGCCAGATTGCACAGCTGCAGGATGCATTCGCCAACTGGGATGGCTGCAAAAGAGGTGACATCCTTGTAAGATGGACCCGAACTTCCAGACGCCTCTGCAGCACTCCTCTCCACACCCCTTCAAGCAGCACAAAATACGCGCTCAGTTCTTCAGCATGGTCAGGGGGACCTGGCTCGAGGAGAGCTACAAGGTTATAGATGCGAGTTTATAGACACTGGGGTCCTCACCTGTAGTCCACTGCCTGGTACTTGTGGCTGGTGGGGTCACTCCGAGGGTCATACCCACGCCTGACCCACAAACCTCTCCAAGGCCCTGCATCAAATCGAAATTATTTGCGTCCCTTACTAATAGGCACACAATGAGAGCACAAATTGGAGGCCGGCAGAAATTTGTGGTAAAGTGTTGAAACATGCCAAGTCTGGGAGTGAGAGATCAGAACAATGGCAGTGAGCCACACCGTTCCTGAACATGTAGGCAATGCGTGGCAGCATGATGTCAAATTCCACATCTGTGAAGCTGGACTCCACACGCTCCTTGAGAGCAGCGCTGCTCCAAATCGGGCGCTCGGCCATCAGCTCAGAGAAGTCCTTCAGGACCAGCTTGCGGTCCTTGTACAGGCCGGCCCCCTCTGCAAATACAGAGCTGAATTTTTTCAGGTTCTCAAATCTGAGATTTGAACAAAGCAGAAGAGGCAGTGTATGTTGAGGCTGTCTGAGATGCCTCAGGCCTACAGAAAGAACGGTCACAAGCAACACTGAAGGCTGCAGCTCTGGCGTGATAGTATGTCTTGCACGATGCATGTGGCAGGACAGACCTGCACCAGGGTCAGATAGAGGGGCCAGCACATTGACGGCCTGGAAGTTTATGACGTGGGCCGCCAGCCTTCCGATGCCCCTCCCAAGGCTGCTGACGCCTGCGCATCAAACCAAAGACCGCCATCAACCACAGTGTGGTGAAGCTTCAGCCTGCCTGCCTCCTGACCTTGAGCATTCAAGCAAAAGCAGGTGCCCTCGTTCTGACTCTTTCCAGGTATGTACACAGCAGGGTAATCAACGGCTGGAATAAAATAACAGGGTGGAGCGCCACCTGTCTTCATGTAGTCTGGGTCAGCCCCGTAATAGCTCCTGAAGGCATAATCCATGGGCAGGTCCTGTTTGGTGAACAGGGGTGGAGGGAACAGCATGGGCTCTGTCTCCAGCCCTGGAGGGCCCTCCTGCTGTGCAACCTGCACAAGCATGCAGTGTCAGCCTGGTCGGCTCCTTTCACAATTTTCCCATCTTGCCAAATAGCAAATGTGTTGCATGCATGCGCCTTGCTCACCCAGGAGCATCCAAATGGAAGCTGTGCATGAGCTAGGCCTCAGTCTGTTGGTCTTGACAGGTGAGAAGAAGCACCTGCTCGTGCAGGGGTCGGGGATCACATGAGACGTACTGGAAATCTGCCAAGCCTGGGAAACGCACGGCAAATTTCACATGCGCCATCACCTCTGCTTTTAACTCCTCCTCGCTGTCGGTGGCTGCACCTGCCACAGCCAAGACCGTTTCCCCCCTTCGTCTCTAGATTGTTGTGATGACCATTCAACCTTGCTGCTGCTTACCAGGCACTCCTACTGGAGGTGAGTAGTTCGTCTGGTGCAGCAAGTTTGTGAACCCCACTCACCTGCATTGCGAGAGATGCGCAACAGCAACCCACGCGTGCTCTGTTTGTATCCCGAAAGGGGATGTGAGAGCGGATCTCCAGGGCGCAAATGCAGCGACATGACTGGGGAAGACCCATCTGCTGTGGCTGAGATCGCCTCGAGACCTCCCAAAGTCTGGATGGCTGCATCTGAGTCTTTCACGTAGCCAGGATACTCCACTAGTAGGGCGTTTTTTTCGGGAATTGACTGCGTTACTGACGTCATGATGCTAAATGAAGACCTAGCAAACTATTCATGCCTGTTCTATCCCTGCTGGAGGTATTACATTCCTGTCGATATGTTGTGTCGCAACCGATGCGAATACATTACTTTAACATATATTTAGAAAGTTTATCGATTGAGCGGCTGTCACTGGAAGCTTGACCATCACAACATCAAAGGACACCAGAATAGTTGCCCCAGGCGCTAAGGATGCTTTTGATAGATAAGCTTGGATCACTTCATAATGTTCTTATAGAGGTTTTTCATGGAATCAAAAAGGCAAGATGGGAAACGATGGTCCTTTGATGAGTCATACTGTGGCTGACGTCACTGTGAGAAGGACTTCCTCCCCAGAACACAAGTAGATCGTGCTTCTCTGCCTTAGATTGCGTCTAATAATGGCAGCGAACACACGATCTTTGAGTGGTGGTAGTGCGTCCAGCATTGGGGACAAGGCAAAGTTTGGTGTTGTCACAGTGAGTGACAGGGCAAGCGCAGGCATCTACGACGATTTAAGCGGACCAGCGATTTTAGAATTCTTTTCTGAGGCCATCAAATCTGAGTGCGTGATTCTGCCACGCTAGATCCGACTGCTGCGCAATTCCCTAGTACTGAATCCCATGTCCTTATGCAAATGTCCCGTGTTTGGATCTTGCAGGTGGCATGCAGTGTACAGAGTGATTCCAGATGAGAAACCTCTCATAGAAGACACCCTAAAGCAATTCGTGGGTCCTCCAACCAAAGGATCTCACAACACCACCAGAGCTTACAACACAATGTTTTTGTGTGATTGGGACATCATCATTCTGATTGCCTGTTGACCAATGTGTGTCTCAGTGTGATGAGGAAGGCTGCTGCTTTGTGGTGACCACTGGTGGCACTGGACCTGCACCCCGCGATGTGACACCTGAAGCCACTGAAGCGGTACTGATCCCTCTCTGTTTCATTATTCATGAAGCACCCCTCCGTCATGAATGTGAGTTGAGATGCGCTGAGCCTCTGTGCAGTATTTGAAATGCTAATACTGAGCAGGTGGCAGGCTGGAGTTGTGAAGGGAAACCTTGTTGGTGGTGCTTTGCTTGTAGGTATGCGAGCGGATGATGCCAGGGTACGGAGAGCAGATGAGGGCGATCAGCCTGAAGTGAGAGCCAATCGCGTCCTTTTCTTCTCTATTTCTGCACCTTCTGCCTCAAAGAATCTGTAAGAGACACAAGAGCAGGAGTCAACCCCTTGAATCAGGTGTTGTCAATGCTGTACTGTGAAAAATGATCTGTTTGAGTGCAATTGCAGGCATGTGCCCACTGCTGTCTTGTCCCGACAGACAGCAGGCCTGCGAGGGAAAGCCCTTATACTTAATCTGCCAGGGAAGCCCAAAGCTATCCGAGAAACCATTGACGAGGTGGGTGAATGTTCGATACCATAAGTGTGAAAGCAGAGCGCCCAATCATCACTTTGCTGAACAGGGGTGCACCTTGTGTTTAATTTGCAGAGATGCGATGCATATTGCATTGCTTTGTGCAGGTCTTTGTTTCTATTCCGGCGTGCATACAGCTTCTGGAGGGTCCTTACATCGAGACCAATGACAGTGTGGTGAAGGCGTTCAGGCCTGCAGGGCTCATCAGGAAAGGCAAGCCTGACTCATAGCTACCACCCCTGCAATTAGAGTCTGGTCTATAGAAGCAGCCTACACTTTTGTCGGTGCTGCACCCCATGATTTACTCAGAAGTACAGGATTTGCAAAGACTGTTGAGCTCATGCAAGAATATGTACAGCTTCAATAATGAGGTCGAGCTTCGACCTTTGAAGGTCAAATTCTGCAGATTAGTCTAATCCGTGCCAAGCTCCAAACACAGTTGTCCTGAGTAAATGCGTGTTAAGTCCCTCTGCATCAAGCATATCTGAAGCTATCAGAACATCATCACAACAGAAGCCCGACAAAGTCTGCCATAATGAAGGCTTCACCATCTGCATCACTGACCTTGGGCAGCTGTTTTCCTCATGAATTGTCTTTGAAACTGCTTCACATGAGCCACAGCCCACATGTAGCGCCACAGTCTGGCAGAACCAAACAACAGACATTCACAGTTCTTCACACGCCCTGCACATTGGGCACATTGAACCCAGAGGGCCGCAGGTAACCCCGGAAGCTCAAACTGGGCATAGACCCCGGTGTGCAGACCAGTGCTGCCTGGTCGAGCGCATGTGAATTTCTGCGCGCCACAGGCATGGCCCTGCTAACTGGCGCTTCTGTGGCAGCCGCTGCATCATTCCCTGACATGAGCGGCTCTGTCGGCAGATTGCCGGCAGGCTGCTCAGCCGGCTGTTTGCCCTTGTACTGGCAGAAGAGGTAATAGGTGATTGCCAGTGCCACAACGCCGCTGCCAGCCCACTCCTGCCAGTTTTCTATCCGCTCCCCCATCAGCACCCATGACCCTGCTCACAAGAAAACAATGCACTCTGTGTAGTATAAGGTACCATGACCTACAACTAAGGGCTTCATTCTGATGAGCATTTTCTTGTGAGGGCCAAGGAAATAAGTTCATGGCCGGTCGTGACATAGAAAAAGGGGAGCTGCGCGACCCACCAGCAATTGAGGCCACAAGGCGCAGTGCCGTGCCCATCGCAAACAGAGACGCCCCCACCCGCCGGATGATGAATTGTTGCAGCAGATTCATTCCATAATACACCTGCGACCGATAGAAAGCATCATCTTTCTGCCACACTTCTGTCCAAATGAAGAGCCCTTGTATCCATGCACAGGGGAGATCAGGTAAAGGAATCCTATCAATGCTGGACCGTATCTCAGACTACGTAATGATGGCATAAACTCGTCGCTTTCTTTGCAAAGTTGGCTGTGATCGCACCCCGAGTGACGTGAAGAGCAAGTTTCCCCATTCCAGGGCATCGTAGTGCAGCACTGCATCCCAGTCATTGGGCTCCAGTGCGAGTGACAGGAACGGCAGCGTGAGGCACATCGTCGCGTACTCAACATACAATACGAGGTCCTCAGCAATAACGCCCTCTGTCTTCTGCACGTACACATAGAACACAGCCATCCCCAGCATGCTAATGAGGCCAACGCCAATGCCTATTGCATCATTCCATCCCAATTGTTGCCCCTCTGTGCTGTTCTGGCTGCCTCCATACACCACCATCCCTGTGCAAAGCAAAAGGGCAAGCTGAGACGCTGCTCTTGCAAAGCTGCAATATTTGAATGAGCGCGCATGAGCAGGCGAATAGTAGGCAACAATTTTGTGGCCTTAAATAGATTATCAAAGCAGCAGTATGCCGTGCACACACCTGAGCCAAGCAGTGTGAGCCCCAGAGACGGCCACAAGGCCGGCTCAATGGGTATTGCCAGCACAGCACGTGCCAGCAGGGCTACTAGAAGGGGCGCTGTCATGTACAGCAGTTGCAGCCAATTGGCTGAGGTGTAGTTGGCAGCAAGAATGCCCCCAAAGGCCAGCACACCCAGGGAAATCGCCAGCACCAGAATGGCAGTGATCTTCTCTGACAAGGCGTGCTTTTTCTTGGATTGAACTTCCTGCAGAGCAGGTTTTCACTCATGCATGCAAGATCACTGGCTCCCCAGGTTGCAGGTATAATATTTGAGCAGGACAGATTGTGTGGGAATCAAATTGAAGTGGACATACCTGGCTCCCATCAATGATGCCATCATCTTCTGGTATTTGCCTTTTGCAGCAACAACGGATCAAAGAGACTGGGATTGTGTATGTGAATAGAAGCCCAAGAGCCGCGATTGCGGCAACATAGAATCCCAACCGCATTGGCTCCAAAGGAGGCTTTGCCTTGGTCTGTAAAAAGCGGCATGATACCGGAAAGAGGCCCCAGAGGAGGTGGCAGATCACTAGCAAGAGGTACCAGAACACATCCCATAATACGCTTCTTCGGTCTTCCATTGTCGTAGGTAACCTGCCAGGACAATTAAATGGTCATACGATGTCCGTGGAAGCCAGAGCGGGGTTGTGCTGGGTGGAGTTGTGTAGCTAGGGAAAGCCCTAGTTTCGCACGGTCAATCCAACATGACGGGATGACCAGTTGATTCCTTATCACTACATGATGTGGCAGACATACATAATTTTATCGTGATCAGCAATCGCTCGAGCATGTACCAAAACTGAAGCTTTCGTCAGTACCAGATTGCCGTTGTTCTCCCAAGACCGTTGGAGATGAAGGGGCCGATCCCTTAGCCAAGGACATTTTCCATGCACATCTACCAATGTAGCATGCGATTTACTCGAGTCTTGTCCCCACATGTGCTCAGCGAGGGCACGGGCACCGGAAGTTGGGAGATCGTCGCACGAGCGGATCACGTGGATCACGTGATGGCAGATGACAAGGATGCACATGCACACAATGGCATGTTGGACTTTGTTTCTCAGGATAGAGTGCAACGACCATTTTCTTCACAGATCTGTTTAGAAAGCTATCAATAGAGGGTGCAAGCTCGTCTGCGTCCACGACGGCTTCCACCTGGATATTGGCAGGCCAATAATTTAGCTAAAATGGCGCTGTGAACGTGAAAGAGAGACCCATCTGTGGAACTCGATTTGCAAAATCATGTATAGGATGTGAACAAGTAGGAGAGGGGCGTAGGCACCTGCTGCAAATTCCATGTATCAACAAATCGCCATGAGGACAGAATTGGCAAATATATTGCCCATCAAAATCGTTACCAAGGCAATTCAACTCCAATGGCGGGTGTTCACGCTGCCGTGGACGACCTTCATCTACTGGCTGTCGTGTGTCGCTTCTCTTCTGATGCGCTTCCTTATTTTGACTGGTTCACCTCCAGCAGAGTTCTACAGCAGGGCAAAGGTATGGCCACTTTCAGAGACTGGAACCTTGAGATGTGCATAGTCAATATGTTTCGATCTTCTGCATCGCATCAAAGCTCACGAGCTCGAGAATTGTGACCTGCGTGCAGCTGAGGGAAGTGATGAACGTTGTGGAACACCTGCACCAGAGGGAGGATAACTACAGGCGTAAGATCAAGGCAAGCCATTATCGTTCTACTTTATTTTAGCTTCCTGGAGGGGGCCATTGGTTGATGGCTATGAAATAACATTTTCGCTTTCACACTTTCGCTTCCAAATACCAATTACCCTCAACTGTCTGTCACAGGAACTTCAGGAAGAGCTGGAGGCTCAACATCGTGATAAGAAAAGGGCCCTGGCGAAGTTGCAGAAGGTGCGCGAGAGGCGGTTCTTCCCTTTTGTAAGTGCCTCTGTGTTCATGCCTTTCATTTGCTGCAAGTTCCCCTTGGCTTTTTGCGATCAGGCAAAGATGGAATCCCAAGGCGGACATGAGGGATTGGGAGAGGGTGCATCAGTGCACCGGACAGGCACGCATGGTCCAGAGAAGAATGCAAGGTGCCTCTCTCTCTACTTCATGGCAGGAAGCTCTAGAGTCTCTAACCTTATGTGCGGGCATGCGCACCGCATGTGCCTTCCACAGCTATGGCTTGATATCACCTCGAGGTATCTGCAGATTAAGTTGCCATGTAGACAGGTAGGCAGGTGGCATGTCAATGCTCACAGGATGGCAGACAGCGCATCTGAGCACTTGGGTCTGCAGGTGGGGCATGCATCTGAGCGTCCTGCTGACAATTGTGGCAGTGGTGTTGTTCTTCGAGCACGGCCAGTGCCCAGTGCTGGTCCGCAAGGTTATCCTGACCATCCTGTGCCCGGTGAGTTCTCACGACACCATATTTGCATTGCTCAACTCCTGCAAAACAGCGCAAAATGCACACAAGACAGACTTGCTGAAACGCAGTCTCCATCTATGGGATGCAGTGCTGTGCAATACCTGGGTTGCGACTCCGATGGCCATCCCAAGAAGGAGTCGGCCAATCACCAGCAGCGCAAAGTTATTGGCTGCCGCTTGACCGAAACTTTGAACCAAAGAGAAGCACTGACAAGGTGTGTTGTTTGCTGCGCGCAGACGTGCTTCATGTGGGTCTGGTCACTGTCCTCGCATGCGCCTGGCAACTTCACTGGCGCGCTATACTGCAGCTGCTGGTTTCTGCTGGGCTACCTGTTCAACGAGTGGACGAGGATGAGCTGATTGCTGAGAGCATGTCCCCTGGCTTCCCTTTCTGTCAGAGAGAGCAGGGACTCCAAATCAGCCTTGAAATTTCAGTTGTTTCAGAGTCCCCTGCAGAGAGGACTTGGCAGATTGCAGGCAGTGGGGGACATTTGGCTGAAATGCTGAGAAAGGCAATGTGGGGCGTGAGGGCGGACTATGTACCAAAGGCGAAGCTGAGCGCAGTGAGTGCAGAACAATTGAGTTGTATATTGGCAATAATTGTATGAGCTTCTGTTGTCATGCAAGGATTTTTCAAGGAGAGGCCAATAGAGTATGGTAGTAAGCAAAGGGATGTGTCGCGCGTCTGGGAAGGACTAGCACGGGGTCAGCAAGGTATAGAAAATCGATTGTTGGCCTTGTTGAACAGGGCACAATCGAGCAGACCAAAGATGCAGCTCTCACTACAGTATATAGATTTCTCTTTGTTTTTTGATATTTGTAACCTATTCTACTCATCATTTGATGAGCAGCTGCCACATTCCTCAGATCTGCTCTCAAAACGCCTAGAGCATGCCGTCAGGCCCTTTCAAACACTATTGACACAGCCTAAATAAATTATTCAAAATATCTGCAAGTAATGAAATTGAGCTGCCCTGCCAAGAATTCAAGTACCATACTTCACCTTGGTCCACTCTCACGCACTCTCTACCAAACAAAACAATTATCTGCCTTTCACTCTTGGTCAATCATTCTCAATGTGGCTGTATGGGTCGCCAAATTTCTCAGACATTTTGTGTTGAGCTCTGCCTCGAGTACCCTTGGCTCATCAGCGAGGCGCCTCAAAGAATCAATATCCCGCTGAGAGCCACTCTCTCGCACACCCACTGCAGCATTGATGATGTCGCCAACGAGGTCAACGCCTGCATTCTGAGTTTTTGCATCCGTGGTGAAGTTGGGGTCGTCCGTAGGAATTGGTGCTGCACATGGGGTCACCTGCAGGGCAAACAGAGGGTCAAGTGAATTCTGAACATGCAAATCATCCCATGCAGCAAAAGCTTCATCTTGAAGCCTGCGGTTGCCACCCAGTCCGCTGCAGCAAAGGGCCATATGGCCCTTGAACTAGACCGGTCTGCGCAAGGCATTTGCTTGAAGATTTACTCGTTCCTACCCTTCATCTATCGGTGAATTTGGTGTTGTTTCGAGCTCCCCAGCCTTGCTTTTGCAGCTCGATTTGGATTTGGGCAGGCCATATCTCATTGGCCCCATTTTATCACGTGCTCCTCTAGACTTTAAAGAAAGCATACTGTACCTGATGGGATTCTGGAGGGCTGACAAAGTCATTCATCCCATAGTGAGTCATATTGTGGAAGCTAAAGTAGCTTGCACAAGAGCCACCGTCGTGCGCCTTCTGGTAGGCAGCTATGGTCCTGTTATTGTATTGGCCTGCCAAGAACAGGACAAATGTCCCGTCTCTAAGTGCAATTCCCTTTGGTTTACCTTTGTCATCTGCATCAAAAAGCCAAAAGCTTCAGAAGTAAAAAGACGATTCTGCAGAGTGCACATGGCTTGCCAACATGCACGCAATGCCCCACTGTCCTGGTAAATGCTCGCTGAAGCACTGCACTTGTGCTTGCTGCCAGTGTTGCTGTGATTAGGTGTGTCTGGACACCTTAAGAGCATGCACCTGTGATGTATCCCTCAAAAGCAACGGCCCCAATCACAACATCCTTCCCTTGCTTGTTCAATACTGGTGTGTAGCCTTCACAGGCCCCGTTCATGGAAGCATCTTTTTCACATCCACCTGCACACCATGCCTAGGTTTGATGCTGATCTGCAGATGTTCACGTTCTTGTGAACTTGTTGCTGTCCTTCTGCAGGCAATGCTTAGAGTGTACCTGTGAGGACGTCACACGCAACAAATGCACCCAAAGAATGACTCAGGAGCAAAAGCTCATCCACATTTGCTCGCTGTAAGAAAGCAAAGTCTGGGCGGGCATCCAGATTGCTACTGGTGACATTGTCTATGAAGTCGTAAAGTGTATTGATGAGCCTCGCGGACACATCCACGATGGCATCTTGTCTGCATCCTGGTCCTGCATGCCAGCAATGTGATGCTCAGACTTACAATAAGCTGGATTCAAGAAGGCTTCTATGGTCCGTCATGGCTGTTGGAAAGAAGACTTACTTGGTAGAATAGATGTCTTGTGTGGAAAAGCCCTGTAATAGTCTGAAGACGCAGTCACAAAGCCATGCTTGGCCAGCCTTTCGATGACGCGACTATACCAGAAGCTTTCCACGGAAGCCCCTGCACAGCCATGAACATGTTGTCCTACGATAATAATCCTGTCCTTCACGTCGGAGTTTACCAGATTCAGATCCTCTAAAGATGGGAATTATAGCATCGAGATAAGAGGTAGGCCCACCATTCAGTAGCAGTATGAGCGGCTTTGGTCGTTCTGGAGAGGTGTGGGCAGGGTACGTGAAAGTGAAATTTACTGGCACAGTAGTTGTTGCGTTGGCCTTGTGGGGCAACAACAAGTGTATTTTGCCCACATCTACTGATTTGGACACCTGAAGGAGTTTGCAACCAGCATTCTCACCACTGGCACGCACAGATTTAAGCTGATTGTTACGTCCTGCTGATACATCTGAAGCTTGCAAAATAAGTTAAGAAGGCAGCTCGACGCACATCATTACTGTAAACGCTGGCCTGCGAGCTGACGATGAGCAGGATCAGGCAGATTAAGGTGGTGATCGCTCGATGTTTGGTCATCATTCCCAAGACGTCAAGCAGTCAGAGCAGTCAGTTCAATATCTCCACAACGACATCAGATCGATTGTCTTTATGTCTTTATTGGTCTTCAACGAACATGAACTGCACACGAGCGTGGTCCGAGGAGAATGTGTCGGATTATAAGAGCAAATCCCTTCCGAAACCGAGCTGCTGTTCTCAGCTGCAACAGCTGCTTGCCCACTTGTAAAGGAGATCCTCCGAATTTTGTAACATTTAATATGAGGAAAAAGTAGGACAATCTGCCAACGTACAGGCCGCCTGATACAATCCATGGATGCGTGTTAGTGGCCTCCCATCTAAAGGCTGCAGCGAGATGAACTCTCTTTTAGGGCCATGCACGTGCCTTGCAAGCGCTGCATCCACTACTGTGCATTCGATAGCTTGTTTTCATCGTCCGATTGCAGCTCAGCTTCCTTCACTGCGACGGGTAAGTCAACGATTTTTGAGAATAGAGGTGACAGCTGAGACAGACACTGTGCATGAGTGCCATGAACGGTCGTTGTTTAGCAGCAGTGAACGATTTTTTTTTCGTATCTTTTTCATCTGAGACCATGATCCCACGGCACGCACGAAATCATCGAACAAGGTTCACGTGCATCCTCATCAGTCTGGTGATTATAATACTGAGGGTTGCCTGTGACAGATTGCTGGCACAACCTTCCCATCGTTGGCAGCAGATAGATCAGTGACAGGATGGCGCAGCAGATGTAAACCTGTTCGGTGTGCCTCAACGGCAGCTGGCCCTGCTGTGGCAGACAGCAATGGTGCTCTCATGAAGATTATCGATGTTGAGCTGCAGAAAGAGGCCGAGCAGTCATACCTTGCGGTGAGCCTCCCTTGGAGCACAGGGCGTCAAATCCTCCATGAGTAGTATGTCTGCATCTGTAGCAAAATAGTTTGTATGTCACTGAAGCTAAAATCAGTGATGGTGGTCTGTGCAGTATGCCATGTCAGTCATTGTTGGGAGGGCGCTTCCGGATGTAAGAGATGGACTCAAGCCAGTCCATCGCCGCATCCTATTCGCCATGCATGATCTGGGGCTGCTGCCAACGAAGCCATACAGGTACAGTGCTGCTGCCACTCTGCCTTATCATGTGGCACCACTTTTCTTGCAACATCTGCCTGATTTTGCACTCCTCACGACAACTATGTAAGGGATGGTGTGCGGCAGAAAATGTGCGCGAGTGGTGGGAGAGGTGCTGGGAAAGTACCACCCTCACGGAGATAGCGCTGTCTACGAGGCACTTGTCAGGATGGCTCAGGGCTTCTCCATGCGAGCCCCACTGGTGAGCCCTCCTACCTGTCAACAGACCTTCTCTTACTGCATCCACCTTTTCTCTGATCACTTTTGTGAAATCACTTTGTTTGCAGCTGTAAGAGGCACTCTGTGTGAATGTCCAGGTGGCGGGGCATGGGAACTTTGGGTCCCTGGACAATGACCCTCCAGCAGCCATGCGCTACACTGAGTGCAGGCTGCAGGCCGTGTCCTCAGCAGTCATGCTGGCCGACCTGGCCTATGACACTGTCGATTTTGCACCTAACTTTGACAACTCTCAGGTGCGCACCTCTCCGCTGGAGTGCACCAGCCTGTCTGATCCTTGGCTCGGAGACCTCTCCAGTCTTCCTCCTGTATACCAGCAGTGCCTTTGCTTAGGTTATTAGATGAGGAGCACAAATACAACTGATGATTCACTGAAAATCATGCTTGCCATACGCAGGAGGAGCCTCGTGTGCTGCCAGCGAGGGTGCCAAACCTGCTGGTGAACGGCTCTTCTGGTATTGCGGTGAGCATAGCCACAAAGATACCGCCCCACAACCTGAGGGAGGTCGTGGCTGGTCTTCACGCCCTGATAGACAATCCTGACATCACCGTCGCTGAGCTCATGCAGCACATCCCCGCCCCAGATTTCCCCACAGGCGCGCACTGGACCCCATTTACACAAGTATGTGTTGCCTTGTCCCACCCCTCCCTGGATTACTTAATGCATAACCAAGGCAGATCTTGCCATGTTTGATTATGGAGGCTTGGGCAAGGATCAGTTCTGAGTATTCACTTGAAGCTCATGAGGTGCGTATTGGTATGTTATGAGATCGAAGCAATGCAGTCAGAAAGTAGCATGGAAAGCATCATCCCCGGGTGCAAAATATATGAATTTAGAAGGTATTTGAATTTGCTGATGCCTGAATTTGAAAATGCTGCATCTCCAGGTGGGGAGATTCTGGCGTCAGGCGGCATCAGGGATGCGTACGAGCATGGCAAAGGGTCAATAACGGTGCGCGGCCGGGCATTCATTGAGGGCAATGACGCCGTCGCCAGCACCTCCGCGCCGGCCGGGGCCCGTGCCGCCGCCAAACGCGCCAAAAAGGGCGCGCGCGAGAAAGTTCTCAAGCCGTCCATCATTGTCACGGAGCTGCCCTACCAGACCAACAAGGCCGACTTTGTCGCCAAGGTCGCGGCGCTGGTCGAGGAGCAGAAGCTGACAGGTGCGTCAATTGCGCACCTGGTTGTACCACACACTTGTGTGGTATGGCCCCCTCGGTTTCATCAACATTGGTAAACACATTTTCTGCAGAGGCAAGATGCTTTGAGACAAGCCGCAGTGAAAAGCCCAGTAGATCCAGGCCTGTCCGCCCAGCCAGAGACTGGTTCCCTCCTCACTGGTTCTCAATGCTGCTGCTGGAGTCTCACTGCCAAAATCCTACCCCTTTCATGCTTGCCTCTTGTATGACGTTGGTCATGGCAAGACAGCAGGCAGTGGCTGTCAGGTTTTGGCAATTTGCATGGTATAAATGGCTATTTCTGCGCACAGGCATCTCAGATGTGAGGGACGAGAGTGATCGGGATGGCATGCGAGTTGTGGTCGAAGTGAAGAGGGGCTCTTCACCAGAGGCATGCTCCTTCACACCCACTCCACATGACCGTGCTCTCCTTTTTCAGCAACATGTTGTCCCTCCATGGTGATGCACGAGGCATTCTGCTTTGAGCTATCATCACGCGGCGGTGATCTGAGCGGCAACACTTGTGCGCAGGTGGTCCTGAACAATTTGTACAAGCAGACAACGCTGCAGAGCAACTTCAGCGTCAATTCAGTCGCGCTGGTCAATGGCACGCCGCAGACCCTGAACCTCAAGGAGTTCCTCACAAACTTCCTCGACTTCAGATGCCAGATCATCAAGCGCCGAGCCAGGTGCAAACAGATCCCACTTGCTTCTCGACTCGAAACAATTTGCTGTGAACTTCTGGCAAGATCTTTGGTAAGAAGATGTTATTAAAGCCTGACATAATGCAGGAGTGGTCATTCTGACCGTATGGTTGCAAATTATTGTAAATGACAAAATGCGGCATTATGTGTGCAGGTTTGACCTGAGGAAGGCACAGACGCGGCAGCACATAGTGAAGGGTCTTCTGCTGGCCCTGGCGGATCTGGACAAGGTCGTGGTTACCGTGCGAGCGGCCAAGGATGGCGCCGCAGCGTCCAAGGACCTGCAGCAGGAGTTCGGGCTGTCCCCCGAGCAGGTGCAGATGCCGACTTCCTTGTGAAGGCTGCATGAACATGTCCCTTGCTTAACAGGGGCAAAGAAATTCCGCATGCAGGTGTTGGACATGCTGCCTTTGAAGAGGTCTACAAGCGGCATTCCCATGATAGTTTGAAGCCGACACTCTGTCTAATGAGCGCAAAGGGCTGCCTGACAACATTTCTGGCAGCTTCGTGGCAGCTTCTGAGCAAGTGCTTTTTTGGGGTGCAGGCGGATGCAGTGCTGAGCATGGCGCTGCGGCGGCTGACGTCGCTGGAGGCGGGAAAGCTGCGCGAGGAGGAGGCAACGCTGGCGCAGACGCTGGCGCAGCTGCAGAGCCTGCTGGGCAGCCAGCAGCTTGTCCTGGACACCATCAAGCGCGAGTCCCAGGAGATCGCCGACAAATTCGGCGACAGCCGCCGCACCGCGGTGCGCCCACCTCACGGCATGCGCTGCCCACATTGGCTCATGTATTGTTATGGATGCCGAAATATTTTGGCCTCATTCAGAGGACCCAAAATGTATGGGACCAAACGTGTGAAGGGCTTCTCCTAGAGGCTTTGTAAGGTGCTTGAGGATGATGGCATCTATTCTGATGTATTCCCAACCTCTGTGCACTTCCGCCTCAAAAGCATGCGCCTGAATACGGCCCACAATGGGTTCAGCAGGATGTTGTGGGCGTATAATGTATGTGCAGGGAGTTCTGATGTATTTACTCTGGAGTGGCAGGTGCGCATGGATGAGAGCGGGCAGCTGTCTGTGGAGGACGTGATCCCCAACCGCGCGTCTCTGCTGGTGTTCTCGCGCAGGGGCTACATCAAGCGCATGCCCACCGACCTCTTCTCAGTCCAGGTGCATTTGCCTGTTGGACACTAAACGAGCCACAATTTTTGTCTGCACTGCTGCATGATTGATCAACTGCAATCATTGATGATTTGCAGTGCACTTCCTCGCCTGTCCTGTCCCTCCTAGATACTTGATGCGGTTCTGCACTTTACTGATTCCTGGTTGCTTCCACTCCACTTTCTCTTTGCGCACCTCTGTGCACTTCACCAGACTCATTGATTTTCCTGGCGGCTACGCTAATGCTCTCTGACAGAGTAGAACACAGTATGGGTGCCTAGATATCAGAGTGGCTGACAGTGGTGTGGCGCAAGTGCACAGGGGCGCGGCGGCCGGGGGGTGAGCGGTGCGCGGATGCGCGAGGATGACACAGTGGAGGAGGTGGCGCATGTGATGGACCACGACACGGTGCTCTTCTTCTCGCCGGACGGCATCTGCCGCGCACTCAAGGCGTACCAGATCCCCCAATCCTCCCGCACCGCCGCCGGGACCCCCCTCACCCAGGCACGCCCCCTTACTGATTGTCCCCTTGGCAGCAGTGCAACTTTTCCTGTCAGCTAATACTGGCACAGCAGGACATGGAAACGGGGGGCCATGAGATGATCATTTCTGGCACTTCACTCTCAGGTACTGCCAGTGGGCACGCATCGTGACAATCAGTATGTCTCTTTGGTGCTGTCCGCCAAGTTAGGCGACATTATGACACCAACAGCATGGCAAATTTTTGGGCGCCGAATGGTGAGTGTAAGAGGACTGTGCAGGTGCTGCAAGTGGGCAAGGGGGCCAGGGTGGCATCCATCATGAGCCTGGGCGAGTTCTCTGACGACGACTTCCTGGTCATGCTGACCAAGAACGGCCTGATCAAGCGCACCCCCATGAAGCTCTTCGCCAACGTGCGCGGCTCCCTCACCGCCATCAAGCTCCGGGTATGGCTGCAAGGGTTCAGCTGCATTTTTTAATTTTGCACTGTCACCTGTTGATGAACTCACAGATGCATGGAGTGGTTGCCCAACCCCACCTCAAGCTGCCCCTTGGCACACTTCTGATTTGGGCTTCTCGCTGCACTGCTGTGGGGGTCTTGTGTTTCAGAGTCCGGCTTCTTGCTGCAATGCTGTTGGGGTCTCTTGTGTTTCTATTCCTGTGCAAGTGCATGATGAAACATGGTTTGCATTGAGGGCAGATGAAGCAAAGTAAAGAGACGGTCTGAGACAGCTCTTGCTGACTTTGGATGAGACTCTCTGGTGCAGCCTGGTGATGAGCTGATGTGGGTGGAGAGGTGCGTGGCGGACGACAGCGTGCTGCTGGCATCCTCCGACGGCACAGTCATCCGCTTCCCCACCAGCCAGGTGGGCCTAAATTCAATCCCATTACTTGTGCCTAGATCAGAGAGAGCTCTTTGTGTCTGAACATCAAGCACAGGAAGTCATGACCCTGCTTCTCGTATGGGACTGACGCAGCTTGCATCAAGGAATCCATGCGAGCGGGTGTGTCAAGAGCCTAATTGTGGAGTGCATTGAATGCGACGCTGGCAGCAATGAGGCGCTGGCAGAAGTCATGACAGGCAGCCTGATCAGGCTCGGTGTGCATGTGCGCAGCTGACGCCGCAGTCGCGGGTGGCCCAAGGGCTAAAGTCGATGGTGCTGGCGGACGGCGCGCGGCTGGTGGGCATGAGCGTGCTGCCCGCCGGGCTGACCGCGCCGGAGGCCTCGGGCAGCGAGACGGATGAAGAACCGCTCGACGACGACGACCAGCCCGAGGAGCTGGCAGACAGCCCCGTGCCGTCCCTGCTCCTCGTTACCGAGAACGTGCGCGTCCCCAATGCTGCAGGGTTTAAACTGGCAAATGGACATTGAATGATGGAGCTAGGCAGGCCGCTGCAGGGGCTTCATGGCATGACTCGTCAGCCTTGTGGGCCACATCACTCAATGTCAGCCTTGAGGCCTGCCAAGGGCATGCTGAGAACGGAGAAGTTGATGCAGCCATCCAAGGCCTAGATGCGGGAATCCTGGTGCTGAGTTGGAAGCTGACAGTGGGTGGCATGTGGTACAGGGTTTGGGCAAGCGGGTGCCTCTGGACATGTTCCGGTCGCAGCGCCGCGGCGGTAAGGGGCGGCGGGGCATCAAGCTGAATGACGGGGACAGCTTGTCTGCAGTGGAAGTGGTACGAGCCTCATCCACAGCATGCACTGCAACCTGCTTGCAAGGAGGGTGTCTGTCTTACTAGACACCTGTTGTGCTGGAATTTCTGGTGCTTGAAGAATGGTGATTGATTGTCGAGGGTGCTATTCATGAAGGTGGACCTGGGGGAGCATGCGAGCAATGAGGAGATGTTGCTCACGACAGCTGGAGGCATGATGAACCGGACGGCTGTGTCCACAATTAGGAGGAGCTCGCGTATGGCCAGGGGTGTCAATGTTGCAAACCTCCAGGAGGGCGACTCCGTTCAGGCCATCACTATCCTAAGGCCAAATGTAGAGGACTGAGCCATGTTGCATGTCTTATCTATCCTGTAAGTGAGAGAGAGAGAGAGAAACATTACATCGTGCCAGCCAATACAGGCTGATTAGATGTGCTGTGTTCTACACACTGGTGTGCCTGAGCAGAGACCGGACAAGTCGTGGTCAAATCCTAATGTTGTGGTCAACAACAACATTCGATCTACTAGTTCCAATAGAGCAAAGGTAGCACGGACAGTGTCAGCACAGCACTCCCAATCACCGAGCAATCATCAACACACGCAGACATGGATGGGTCCAGCAAAGCCACACAAAGCAGCGATGTTCCAGCTCATGAGAACAACCTAACCATCACGCAGGACGCCGCCAAATGATGTTAGCATTTTCTTCACTGAGGAAGCTGCAGGCCTTTTGAGGGAAGCTGCAATCGCTGGTGTAATCTCGGTCTAGCTCACGTCATTTTGGACATATCGCGAAGTGTGACGGAAAGCACGCTTACATTCATGATTCCATGCTACGCGCTGCATTGAAAATCTCCGGGGGATCATTCGCTGGGCTACAGCAGTCAGCGAAGCCTTTTTGGCTCCAGCACTGCCGATCTGTATCGGCATCCCTTGGTCCTACACAACCTCGCTCCACATCAAAAGGCACATTTGCTCCTGAACGGCCAACATTCGGTAATCGCATGGCTTCTGAATCTGCAAAGCGCAAGGTATGACCGCATCATGTCTCAAATTTTCTGAGAAGCATCTGGTCATCGCAAACTTTGTGCAGGAATAAAAGGGTGATCATGAGCACTGAAATGTAATAAATGCAGGCGAGAACTGCCTTGGAAGAAACAGAGAACGACAAGGGTGAGTTCAAGCGCAAGGACGCCACTTTCCGGAAGTGGATCGGAAAGGACAAGGACTTTCCTGCGGAAGGTATATACCAAAGAATAGCCCCTGGGCCTTCTTTCATGACATAGTGTCCGTGTGCATCACTTAAATCACAGACCAAAATGGAGCTCAAGGCATTGGCTTGTCCAGTAAAGCGGTTCTCTTGGGTGCAGCTGGGCGCTATCACCTGTATATCTCATGGGCGTGCCCATGGGCCAATCGCTGTGCTGCAACAATCTATCTCAAAGCAAGTGCAAGGCACCTGTGAAACCCTCAAATACCCAGTCTCTCCTTCGTTTGCTTGCACCTTCCTCCTTTGCAGTTTTGTGCTGAAGAAGCAGTTACATATTGGAGGTTCGGGATCAAAGACAACTCTGCATGCAGGGCCTTGAGGATGTTGTTGGGCTGTCAGTAGTGCACCCCACATGGCAGAAGACCAAACCAGACGACCCAAACGATGAGCACACAGGCTGGACCTTTGCTGCTCCGGATGACCCCCCTTTCACATCGGTCACAGGTTCATTTCCTCTTCTCCTCTGTCGAATTGCTTCAAGCGCATTCTCACATGCCTGTAGACCTTGCAAAGATTGCTGCATGTCATGATGAACGCTTCCTTTTGGCGCACAGGATTCGGATCCTTCCCGCCGCATGAATGCATCCCTGACACAGTGAACGGCGCAAAGTATGTCCGGGACCTGTACGAAATCAGCAATGACACCTCAGGCAAGGATCCAGAGAGTTCATCTCTTTGAAAGCTTTTGCCTTTCTCATCGACCGCGACAGCATGAATCGCAGCGCTGTTGGGTCAATTTGGAAGCTTGCAAGGGTGCTGAGCCTTTGTCTTGGCTTGCACAGGCAAATACTCTGTACCGGTGCTGTGGGACAAGAAGACCAAGACCATTGTCAACAATGAGAGCGCGGTGCGCCCTCTCTCACATTGAATAAATGGCTGGGAGCGCTTCTCCCTTGTCCTTGTACCACTGGCGCACATTCGCTGCCCTGCTCTAATCTATTGCTGAGACCTTTAATTTGCTGTCAGGGGCTTATGTATCCACCCTTCTTGGCCAAAGACAATTATTTGTTGCGGGGTTTAGAATGAATACTACCGTTATTGCACGATTTGCATTGATTGTCATAGGGAATGGCAGAGACCTCTCTATTAAGTTCAACCTCTTGTGTCTTCAGGAGATTGTGCGCATGTTCAACAGCGAATTCAATGACTTTGCCAAGAACCAAGATCTGGACCTGTACCCAGAGGCGCTGCAGAAGGAGATTGACTCTATCAACGAGTGGGTCTACCCGACCATCAACAATGGGGTGTACCGCTGCGGCTTTGCTATCAAACAGGAGGCCTACAACGAGGCCTTTAAGTGAGTCCAGAACTCCCACAATTGTCACTCTCTTGTGCAGTGCCAGAATATACTGAGTGGCACATGTCTGTCAATGAGGTCTTTCAGACCTCACCTGGACAATGCTTTGCTTGAAAGGATGCGCTGTTGGCGGAATTCATGAAAGCCCAGGCTTCTCCTTATGCTGTACTGAAGCTTCGCCTTATGCTACATCAGCATAGTCCAGGTCTGAGAAAGGACTGACAAGTACTTGTTCCTGCAGGGAGCTGTTTGACTCGCTGGACCGGTGTGAGGAAATCTTGGGGAAGCAGCGCTACATTGCAGGCAACCAGCTGACAGAAGCAGATCTGCGTCTGTTTCAGACTCTCATCCGCTTTGATGAGGTCTATGTGGTGAGCCGCGACGCCCACGTCTCTCTGCTGACTCATCCTTGCTGCAGTCCCTCTTCAACGTTGCCTTGCTCTCCTGGCAACCTTTGAAAAGCCTTTGAGCAGTAGCGCTGCCATAAATCAGGCGTGATGGTGAGTGATTGGGGCATGCAGGTCTACTTCAAGACCAACAAATACTTCATAAGAGAGAAACCAAATCTGACGAACTACGTGCGCGACTTGTACCAGATTCCAGGTAGGGCCTCAGCAGCTTCTTGCTTGCAAAAGTCCAAGCCATGATGCCCCTCTGTCACTGGGCAATATCCGACATGCAAAACAATTCAATATACTGTAATTTTTAGTACATTTTGTGTGTGCAGGCATCGGCAAAGCAGTCCACATGTACCACATCAAAGTGAGTCACCCCATCACTTGTCTTCTGGTTGCTTTCATCTTGTGCTCCGGCCATGGCTTGCCAGCTCACTCCAGCATAGATCATATCTTGGTCAGTTACATCAGCGTTAAATATTTCCTGCAGTTGAGAAGGGACATGTGGAAGTGTCTTCAGGCTGCTATGACAAAGCAGCTGACAGATTCTGTGCTGCTGCAGACGCACTACCTGACGAGCCACCCGCGCCTCAACTACTATGCCATCGTGCCCGCGGGTCAGACAGGACCTGACGGGTCTGACAAGGGGTGGTGGACAGAGCCGCATGACAGGGATCGCTTTGCAGACAAGGCCACCGCTTGATCAGCGTGGAAACACTGCATCACTGCTGCAGGGATTATTTTGAAGTGGGCTCACAACTTCCGGTAGTGTGAGAACGCTCGGGCCCTTGGCCTGGGGCCTGGGTCAACTCTAAAGTGGGACATGAAACTGGAACTGTGCAGCTCTTCCTGCATGTTGTGGTCACAGGTCGTGCATGCATTTCACTAGGCTGCAAGTAATGTAAGGTGTTCAAGGTGCCACCGTGTGATGCAGTGCGAGTCAGAACCCCTTGTGTAGTCTGAGGCCGCGGCCAGGTTTGCGCGGTTCAAAGTGCAATTTGATCAGCCATGTCTGGCAATCTGAAGTGAGGATACGCTGTAATTGAATTCTTCTGCTCAAACTCCATGCAAACTATTATGAATTGTCGACTGGCTTCTGGTAGTGGTTATGTGGTTCAGCTTCCACTTCAGCTCCACGTCGATTTAGTAATTCTCGCGTGAACCCCTCGTCGAGACAGAGTAACGACACATTCATTGAGGAGACTTCAGATATATCGCGCATTTAATCACAAGCAACCTAGTAACTCGAGACCTTGGTGCCTTGTGGTGTTGAGGGAGCATTGCGGAGAGCGGTTGGCATAGATCGGTCTTCAAATGGAGTCGTCGGCAGTTGATCTGCCCTCTGCTCTTCTCATCCTTGTCAGCGTGCTGGTTGCGTTGTACATTCCGTCGTTGATCTCGTACGTGCGAGCATGGTATATGCTTCGGCGAATCCCGGCTCCACCGTTGGACGGTGTTTTGTCGGGGCATGCTCCCTCGCTGACGACTCTCAAGCGCCACAAGTACGAGCAGCAATGTATCGAGGGTCTTGGTACAGTGTACAGGCTTCGAGTGTACCACAAGCACGTGCGTATTCCCTAGAACAACCCATCGTTTCCACGTTGTGCGTGGCATGCCTGGCCGCCCATCGACAAGTCCTCCACTTTGCAGACCTGCCGATGCAGGGTAGATCTTTTCAAGTCTCTCCCCTAATACGTTGTGTGCTGCAGCGTGTGGTGGTCGCAGACCCCACTCTTCTCCAAGAGATCTTTGCCGCAGAAAGGGCAGGGGCTGTTGAGAAGCCAGACGAACTGCCATTTCCTGTTGGCCATGTGCGAACCTGCCTACCCAAAACAGCTTGCTTAATCATGCACAAAAAGCTTGCCTAAAGAGCTCCTGTACCATCTTCTCTGAATTCCCGTGGTCAATGCTTCCTGACCGCTGCTATTGGTCATTCAGGGCAAGCCAGAGTACAACGTGTTCAGCGATAAGACCTCCTCGCCCTTGTGGAAGCTGGTCAGGAAGGGCACTGCGCCAGCCTTCCAGGCGGTGAACATGAGGTGATTTCCCCCTTCGCCTAGAATCAATCCGCCCACCAGCTTCAAGCTTGCAAACACCTGACTCCTTTTTCACTCATAGCTGGTGTCACTTGGTGTCCAATGTAACAGATGTAGGTCCAGTGCAGCTAGATGAGCAGAAGAAGTATCTGATATGTGCAGGCAGTTCCACAACCATGTGGTGGCGGTGGTGAATCGCCTAGTTGAGGGGGTCAAGGCCAAGGGCTCCGGAGCAGTCGTGGACTTTGCCGACATCGGACAGGTCTGCGTGCCACCTCCAAGCCGCATGTGCTGCACTTACTCCTTGTCAATGAGGCCCACATTTTGGCACGAGGGCTCCAGTGCATCGCATGCAACTCAAGGGTGCTGGATGTGGAGATCCAGAATGAGGATTACATGTAGGTGAGAGCAGCCGGGTTGGTAGGCAAGAGATTGACTCATCCTGCTGGATCTGTGCAGAGGGAGTCGTTTGATGTGATCGGCATGGTGGGTTTCGGGAAGGACTTCAGGGCCAGCCGGAACATCGATGACAAGACGTCCAATACCTTTGCGCTACTCACCGGCTTCCTGCAGGAGGCAGTCCTGCGCTCTGGCAACCCCATGCGCAAATACTGGCGCAGCAAGGTCAGCCACTTCATAATCTCTCCATACCACTGCCGCTGTCACGCGGGGACGCAATTTTATGCAGCACAGAGCTCCCCATTTTGGCTTTGGTTGCAGCCCTGCTTCAGCTCATTGACAGAATGCAATGAGAAGGAGTATCCCTTGAAGCCCGTTCAAAGGAGAGTCATGTTGCAGCACATCGAGCATGGCTTGGATGAAGGAAACATGTTCAGCTTGGCTCGAGTGGGTGTGGCATGGTGACGCGCAGGCAGTGATAGCGGCGGAGAAGAATGCGCAGAGGTTGGCGGACTTACTGGAGGAGTTGGTGGCGGATTGTCAGAAGCGCGAGCCGGGGGCCGGGGATGACAAGAGCATATCCGGGCACCTGCTGCGGCTGCGCGACGGCGCGGGGCGGCCGCTGCAATTCAGGCGCCTTGTGCAGGAGTTCTTCATCTTCTTCCTGGCCGGCTCTGAGACCACAGGCCACACCATCGCATGGACTCTGTGCGCGCTCTCACCCTCTCAGTCTCCTCGCTGATATCCTTTCTGGCTACAGTGTTTCCTGGCAGTCAGCCTGCGGCTCAATGGTGGGAGTAGCACTTGTTGAGTCATGGCATGTTGCTGTTATCATGTGTGGAATGCATGCTTCCTTCCTGTCTCCTACAAATGAGCAATGGGAAGTAACTCCGGGCCGGGTCTCTTCAGGATAGAGTGCTAACACAGCTGGAATAGAGCGTCTTGTAAGTTGATTCAAGGCATCATCTGGACTGCTGGTCCAGAATGTGCATAGTCTTGAAGCGAAGTTTACTCTGTGCGCAGGTACTTTCTGGCAAAGAACCCACAGGCGATGGCCAAGCTTGAGGCTGAGCTGGCGGAGGCTGGCCTGCTGGTCACGCCCACCAACCCAACCCCGCGTGCGTTCACCTTTGCCGACATCGGCAAGCTGCCCTACCTGGACCGCGTCATTAAGGTGCGCCGCAGACTTTGCTCCTGCGACCCCTGAATTGTGGCATCAGTGTCATGCTGCAGTGTCATTTTCGGGGCAGGACATATGTGCCCATAAAGAAGGGCATATGTGGTGACAGGTCCCTCGAGATTGCAGCAAAGTGCCGGCCCTTTTGCAGTGTCGTGTACCCTGCTGCGCATTTCTTGAGCGTCTTTATGGGAGCATATCGCTGCAATTCTTGAACACAATCTTAGGGCAATGAGGTCACAGCATGGATCAAAACTCTGCACATGTCCCATGAATGAACACGGGCTCAGATGGCTTCATGGTGGATTTCTTAGAAAATTGCTGCGCAGGAGTCGATGCGGCTGCAGCCGGTGGCGGCCTCGCCGCTGACGCGCGTGGCGGTGCGCGACCTGCGCCTGTCCGACGGCACTGTCATCCCCGCCGGCGTCATCATAGAAACTGCACAGTACACGCCCATGCGCGACGAGCGCTGGGGCTGGCACCGCGGCAGCGACTTCCTGCCGGTGCGGCCCTTCACCCTTAGTCACTGTTAGCGCACCCTTGGTTATGGTCCTGCAGGGATTCTCAAAGACTACACGTAGTTGAAGGCAGTCTTTTGCAAACCCAGCTTCTTGATTCTGTGATCTCTGTGCCCCTGGGTTTCACGGTCCCAGCTAAGAAAAGGCAGTGCAGAAGGTTTGGCCCCGGCTCGTCTGTATCCCTTGCATGCTTGATGGGGCCTACTTGTCATCGGAATCCGTGTGCTTGCTCATTCACTGGGCAGTGATCGGTCCTCTGTAAGGGCTCTGCATTGCTGCTAATATCGGGTGTGCGGTTGCGCAGGAGCGCTGGGAGGAAGCAGACATGGAGTACCAGGTCCGCAGCGCGCCGGCAGCCGCGAGTTCACAGAACGGCAAGTTGCATGGGCAGAATTCAGATGATGACCTGGAGATTGATGCTCAGTCTGTCAGCGAGCACAAGGTGGGGGCACTGCCCTGTCTTTCTGCCACCAAGAAGTGCCTCCCTTGCTGTCGTTTTCGTTCTATTTATTGTAATGCATTTGCAGCGTCCATGCAGCTGTAAATGAGCAGCAGCTGCCTGCGGATGATATGATACTTACTCTGTCTTCGCTCTGTGCGCAGGTGCGGAGGTTCAATCCATTCGGCCAGGCGTTGCGCAACTGCCTGGGGCAGCAGCTGGCGCGCATGAATATCCCTACGGCCATCGCCATGTTCGTGTCCAACTTCAAACTTGAATTGACTCTAGAGGTGACATTCCTGACATCATTCCTTCGTGCACTCACGCCTGTGCTTTGACAATTTACAGATGTCCGGTTGTGTCACTATTGATTACCAGGCTCATAAGTATTATGTTGTGCAGGATGCCAACAAGTCAATTGACGAGCTGGAAATCTTGAAGGGAACCTTGCAGCCAGACAATGGCATTCACATGATTTGCACGCCGCGTACGTGCAATGAGGAGTAAATCTCAGCTACAAGCAAGTGAATATTTTGTACATATATGACATCAGTTTGCAATTTGCTAAGACGTTAAATTCATTCAATCACCATTGACGCCTGGGCCTGGGTCAGAAGGTCAAATCAGACCAGATGAAACTCAAAAATTAATTTTGTATTGAGACAAATTCAATTCCTCTCTTGGTCTCAATAAAATCTAATTTTTGATTTATATTTTTTACAACAAACTCGTTTGAATGTCAGGTGACACTCATCAGTGTAAAGCTCCTCAGCAGCAGCAAAGTTATATGCCAAGAATGTCTCTTTTCCTCCCATTTCACCAGAAACTATTGAGATGATTGCCTTCCGAACGACGAAGGAGGATGTCGTAAGGGAACGCCGTCCCCTCATGTCCTGATACACTTCAGCCCAAGGAGAAAGGGAGGAAAGGCATTTGATCAAAAGAAGCCGTTCAGGTCAACATGTGTTGTGCTCCTGAGTTCATCGATCTACTTTTCATCTCAACTGATATCGTGTATGCAACACAGAGCCTATCCCACATAGAAGTCACCACTTGCGGCAGACCTGTACACATGTGCAAAAAGCCACTGCATCAGCAGTGCTGACTAATCATCACTCATTCAAGAAGATCTTCTCGAGCTCTCCAAGGCCAGCCTTGATCGAGGAGCAGGTCCAAGACAGCGTAAATCTATAGATCTTGCTTGCCATGCAGCAGATGTAGAAAACCAATTTGAGGATCAATTTACCTCACATTTCGTCAAAATTGCAGAACTTTGTCCCATAGACTCCCGACAGGCTCACTCAACAGGCCAAGAAGCACAGCCCAAGCCCAAGGGGCACTGCGGGTCAATACGTTGATTCTGCGCAACTCTGCAGATCTGCACCAAAGTCTGCAATGTCGTGACCCTTGATCACCCTTTACGCACCACACAGCAATGACTGCTTGGTCATTCCCGGCTGTGCATTGTGTTGCTATCAAGCAGTCCGCAGGATGAGGTGCACTCCAGAGTCTGTGAACACCGGCTGGCTCAGTTCCCCGACCTGCAACCCATCACACGATGCAAATCAATTCAGCATGTCTCGGTGTGTCACCACCTCTTCACAAAACACTTAATACTGTATTTATGAAAAACAAAGCACAGCATCATCAGTGCAGCATTGTCAAACCAGATAACAACAGCACGCGCTGCCCAGAGTGGCCTTGAAAAGTGACACAGGAGCCGTCGAGCCAGCCAGTGAAGATTTCAGTGAGACACAGAAGCTACATCTGCCAAATGATTTGCACGTCTTCCGCCTTGTTGCTCGCATGTCGGACAAATCCCACTGGAGCTGGCGCTACATTCACTGCCCAACCACTCTTGCTGCAATGCCCAAGCAGGCATTGATGCCTACTGCACTGCGGGAGAGGGGGGCACCTTGAGGGCGTAAGTGGCGTCCTCAAAGGGCTTCTGCATCTGCCCAGGGCCGAACTCTCCCAGGTCGCCGCCGCGGCGGGCGCTGCTGCAGTGCGACTCGGCAGTCGCCAGCGTCGCAAAATCGGCGCTGCCGTCTGCCAGCTGCTGCTGAAAGCCGCGGATCTTGTCCAGCGCCTCCTCCTTGCTGCGCGTCACCGTCGGCTCCTTCCACGATGACGGCCGCCGCGAATCCCTGCGCACAGCAGCCGCGGCGCGCTCTTCACCCCAGGACAGCCAGAGACATCTGCCTCATCAAAAAGAGGCGGAGTAGGCGAGTCGCCAGTAGCACAGAGGAGAAGGGGGCAGCTGTGGGCCTGGAGCAGAAGCTCAAGGTGATGCCCACTTTCCTTCTCTGCCTCTGCCTGTCAGTGGTCAATTTAGCGGTGATAGGCCACCACAGGATTGCTCACAATAGGCAATGTGAGTATGCTGTACAAGGAGCGAGCTTTGAACTAAATGACGCTCCCTACCTGTGCTTGACCAGGAGATGCGATGCTCTAACTGTGCCCTTGTCCATGTTCTCGTTATCTGGCTTTTTCCGCTTTGTTCCTGCGGGTAGCATAACACTTAAATCATGTGAACACACCACTGGTAGGGCAGTGCGCAAGTGACGGATCAGGTCTTTCATCTGGCCGATGCAGTCCAGGCGACATAGCTTGCTTTTATGCCTTAAGAGGCTGCTTGCAAGGTATTGCTTACCGGCTGTCTCACACTCAACCACGTACTGCTGAGTTAGGTTCCCAAAGGTCAAGACGCTTGCGTTGGAGATCTGTGTTGGCTTGTTTGGTGGAATTCTGCGCCCGTCCAAGTGTGTGCCTTGCGACTGCGGACCAGGTCAGCGCTTCAGTACCCAGCAGGTCTCACTACACAGGAAGAGTAGCTCAACCACCACTCAGCTTTCCCTATGTCATATGCATGTCCTTGTGCAAACTTCTAATGGTGGAAGAGTAGCCTTACCGATTGTAGATCAATGAGGAACAGCCGTCCGTCCTCGTGATGCACCAGAGCGGCGTGTGAACGCGAGCAAGAGCTGTCACTCTGGCAGCCCCACGCACAGAAGCATGTCAGCTCTCAGTGCTCCCGAGTGTAGTGCTAGGCAAGCTATTTATACGTGTTTTCATCCATCTTTGATTTGCAGGGGCTCACCAGAGTGATGTCAGAGGTCTCAGGAATGCGCCCAAACAGGTAAAACGCTTTGGTGTCGATAGGAAAGCTTTCTATCAATTCACCGCTCTGTGATTTCACCTGCGACACCGAAGACATTTGTCTTGATCACTGTGATGTTTTATACTCTTTCAACAAGGACAGCTCCTTTGATCACCACTCGCATGCGAGTGTGAAGAGCCCCTTCGACTTGCGCATGATACTTTGCAGAGAGTTCATGCTCTTTACATGGATGGCATGGGATAAGATAACATAGGACATTGACAAGCAAAAGCCCACCCACTTTTAGACTAGCAGTTCTTGATGGTTGCGATGCCCAACTTGGAGGCACAAATGCCATGCACCTGAGTGCTAGAAGATCGCACTAAATACGAGCTTTCAGTAACTCATAATCAAAAGAGTGCAGTGAATTTGATTGACACAGTGTGATTGCTTGAATTGCACACGTGGGACAACGGGTTGCACTTTGGGAACGGGAGGACCCTTTCCAACCATTTCACTTGAAAGAGGGAAAGGAGAAAATTTCAACAGATTCGTAGGCAAGCAATCAAAGATCTTGTACTTCTTGAAAGGATGTTTAAAAACCTTCAGGTGTCCCGATTGCGGCTGCAGCCTGGCAGCCTAGGCGTTGTTCAACAATTTGCCACTGCTGTGCAAGCTTGCCAAGTCACTCAGTGAGTGCCCATGATGGACCGTCCGTGACCCCACTGTAATTGATCATAACAATGCATTGCATAATCCAGCCTTTCTATGCTTAAGCTGTGAGCTGCACTTGTTCACCGTACTTCAAGGGCTGTGACATGCTCAGAAGTGTGCTGTGCACCTTAAGATAAAACTTCTTATCATCAATCTGGCAGTTACCTAAATTCTCGCTGTGATGTGCCATCAGCATGTACCAGAATGCCATGCCACAATTTGGCAGGGTTTCGCTCCAGTATTGTCAATCACATAGCATAAATCCCGGCATACGCAACATGGTCTTCCATTGACTGATGGTACAAGTCCCCCACAACATCCTTGACACTTGCACAAGGAATCCCTGCAGCTGCTCAGTAGCCGACTTCAGCGCTCTCGGGTGCCCGGCGGCTGCCACGCTGCTGCGACTGCGCCTTTGCCAGCATCGCCTCATAGTTCTTCTCCTCCATGGCCACCGAGTCTTGGGGCTGCACGATCCTGTCAATCAGCCCATACCTGCGACAACGCACACATCAGCACCTTGCTCCACACACCACATGCCTCCCTTTTGTCCTGACCTGCTTGAATGTGCATCCTAGAGACCGAGCCAGGTCATTTATATGCCGTCTGCTTTGTTTGCATGCATGCATGCATGCATGCATGCATGCATGCTTGACAGGATTTAGTGCCGCTGACAGTAGATTCACTCATGATCCACCCTAATTGCATGTGTTTTAGGCACAGTCATAACACATTTTTTGTGTACTATCCTCAAGACCCTTCCACACACAGCAGAGCAGTAGCATCAGGCCACATACAAGCAAACATGGAAGCAGGCGGCGATGCATGCATGACTTAGGAGCGGAGCGCACTCGATGGCCTGCTCAGGAGTGAAGTAGCGATTGCGGCCCACATCCTTGCGGACCTCCTCCTTCTCTCTCCCTGCGCAATGCAGCAGCATTTCGCGTCAGCGCACAATACAAGCATCCTTCAGAAGATAAATTGTCAGGTCGCAGGGGTATGCTGCACCATCCTTTCACTGTATTAAGGCAGGGTAGGCTACATGGTAACAGAGGATTACATATTAGAAAGGATGTGCCACATCCGCAAGATTAGGAGCAAGGGATGCAGGCCCCACCAGTGTACTTGGACAGGAACTCGACGTAGGTCTGGGTGTTGTACTCGAGCTCGTTGGCCTTGATCATGATGTTGGAGGTGGAGCCAAAGGAGCGGTTGATGCGCGGCGGCGCTGTCATGATGCGCGCGTGCGGCAGCGCAAACCGGCACCCCTTCTTTCCCGACGCCAAAATCATCGCCGCATTGCCAAACGCCTGCACAGGCACCACCCTCTGAGCCCAAGCAGACTGCCAACTCCTCCAATTGGGATCAGTGCATGCGCACCTTGCAGCATATGAGGCACAACGCATGAAAAGATGCAATGATGCAGAGCCACTGATTGCCTGATGATGCAATATGACCTGATCATGCGCAGAGACATTGTGTAAATGATGTCCTCACATTCATAGTGCGGAGCGGCACACCTGACCGACCACCACAGTGTGGATCTCTGGGCGGATATAGTTGAGAGTGTCAATGATAGCATAAGCCTCCGTGTCAAAGCCCACAGCCTGGCCGTCCGGCGTCTGAGAGCCAATGGAGTGGATGTAAACATACACTGGCTTCTCGGGGTAGCTGAAGTTCAGCCAGAGCAGCTCCGATATGATCAGCTCCGTCACAGCAGGGACGAGCTGCGCAGAGCAAACGCTAATCCTCAGATAGAATGGAAATCAGGGAGAGGAATTCGTCTCATTTCTCTTTGACTCATTTCTGGAGTTAGAAGACAGACAAGCACACCAACACAATGACCATGTGGGCTTCATTACACTGTGCAAGAGGGACACTACAGCACAGCAGATAGAAGGTCCTCACCGGCATCCCAATGTAGCAGATGCGCCCATCGAGCAGCAGGGAGGGCAGGTCTGGGGGAGCCTGCCCAGGTGCAGCCCCAGTGCCAGCAGCCATGCGCGTGGCAATCCGCTGGTTTGGCTGCACATCATCCCCGCAGTAGAATGCCTTCGCCCTCATCAGCTCCTGCAAAGGCGATCAGGTGAACGGTCGGAGCCAGCCCCCCGAAATTTGCAAAAACCCTCGGGTGGACAAAGTCCCAGCACCGGACAGATTTTGGCACGTATCTGAGAAAGTGGCTTTCACATCTTGTGCCATGTAACGAGCCTGTTCTGAAGCCTTGCGCTCAATGTTCAGGTTACTCTGTGTGAGGGAAACTAACACAGTGGAGAGACAGCAAGCTAGGCCAACACTGAACAAGAAAGATGCAGGCTTACAGGGTCTGGAGCGCCATGCCGTTGCAGGTTTTCAGGGTCCAGGAAGCCTAGAGCACCCATCTGGTTGGTAGAGAGCCCATACGCTGCCTTGGGTATGATAAGCTCCTGCTGTGATGACAAGTCATTGGCTGAGCTCGTGGAAGTCTCTTCCGGGTAGAATCCGATACCCATAGACGCTCTGCATGCTGATTGTCCTTCTCTTCTGGCGGAGGATCGCTGATGCTGTCTACTCGAGATCAACTGCTGGCCTGTGAGCTTGCTGTTGAAATGAGATAAGCTGCAAGGCCTGCACGACGCCGCTTGGGCGTGAGTACTCGAACACAAAGCCCTGTCCATGGCTTTGCAATCTGCAACCAGCCAAACTCGAAGGACACCTTCTGCAAGAGACAGGAACGATGTGGCCCCATCCCATCTTTTTGGAACCCTTACAAATCCCTTTACATGCATGCCCTGCCGAGGGTCGTCTGTACATTTACAATTCGAACTCCCAGAAAAGTCGCCCAGAAAGGCGCGAACTTTCGAACAATCCGACCCATCTGCCCGCCATATACAAATCCTGCCTCCGCACTCTGTAAATTGTTCTTGGTTATCTCAAAGCAATCTGAAGGCATTGCGCGGGTGCAAATTGATGTCTGGCTCTTCCACCTGTGAGTGACGAAGCAGAGGGAAATCGACGACCCAAGCATAGGAGCCATGAATTTCGCAGACATACTGCCAGAGGATGTCACAGCCATGATATTTGACAGGCTACCTTTCGATGACCGTGCTAGAGGGTGCTTTGTGAACCGGACCTGGAACCGCCTTAACCGGGACCAAATCCTTGGCCCCGCCCTTGAGCTGCACCCCAAGCAGGTAGTCTATCCCGTAAAGATTTGAACCTGCATGGTGTAGAATGTGGCATGGTGAGCTACTGCAGCGCTTTTGTACTGTTGGGCTGCTCTGATGTGTGTCAGCATGCTATGCACAGGCCCAAACATTTCATCAGTCAATTCTAGTGTGTTGGACCACTGCAGCTCTTGAGAAATACATTTAAGTATTATCTCGGACATTGTCACTTCGTCAAGTGCCTGACCCTAACTCTTTAGAGCTCTCAGGACCCACATGTGTCTCTCCATGCTCAGGTCGTCAACAGGTCCTTTCTGGACTGGGCCAGGGGACGGTTAAGAAACGTACAGGAGCTGGAGCTCCTGCCCTTCAAAAGCAACAGCACAGACATTGTGACCCAGAGATGCTTCAGCAGCAGTCTCTGCGAGCTGTTACAACAAACACAGCACCTACAGAGGCTACGGGTGCCCCCTGCACAGAGTTTGGATGCAGCGCTGCTCTCCAGGCTGCCTCAGTCGCTGTGTGAAGTCTCCATCAGCATCACGTTTGACGACAGCTGCCTTCTGGACTCGGACTTTGATGTCGGCACCCTTGTGCCCTTCTCATTTCCCCGCTACATGCCACACCTGCAGACGCTGGAACTCCAGGTGAGCAGCACCCAGATGAGCAACATCTAACTCCTGCATCACCACTGTCCTATTCATGATATTGAAAGTTCGTTTCACACAAGTGCGACTACATGGAACTCTGGGGATCATCTGGTGCCCTGTGGCAGCATGCATGGCTGAGATGTGCAACTTGCCTGATCTCTCTCTTGTGTTGGCATATCCTGAATGAATGCTACCGTGGTGCTGCCACAGGTGACATGTGTGAATGTGCGCTCCTATGGCCTGGTGTGCGCACCATCCTGCCTGCCACCCAGCCTGCGGACGCTCAGTCTCTCCACAAAGTCTCGTGGCCGCCGTGTGGGGCCATCCCTCATGCTGCCATGCCCTTCCCAGCTCCCAAACCTCAGGGTGCGCTTTCTGCTAAATCTTCTGTCCTGTCCGGGATATCATCTGTCTGTCCCGTCCTGTCCTGCCTCTCTCAAGCTTGCAGAGCATCTGGTCGCTGGAAGGCATAATGTGATGCCAAGGAGTTGTTGCAGGTTTAGAAGGGTGACATTTTCTTCATTCACTGTGTGCAGGATCTGAGATTGGAGGCCACGTGCTTCATCTGCCAGGACAGGGGGACGTCAATGTCAGCCTTCCTGACAAGCATGCAGCATTTGCGCGGAGTGAGGCTCAGAAGCAATGCGAAGGCAGTCAACTACGGGAAGATGCTTGAAGAGCTTTCACATGTTCCAATCTGTAAATGGGAGCCGCTTTAGGCAGCGTATCAAAGGCTGACTCCAGACGGCCTGTGAAAAATAGCCCTCACTTACAATGGTGTTGTAGAATAAGCTGCAAACGAATGCCTTGCATGTTGAGAAATTTTCCATGTTGAGAGGTGAACTGCTGTACATTGAGAAGACATTGCGCTGATATGAATACCCTTAAAGTTGACTTGAAGCCAAAAGGACTGGCGATGAATGTGAGATAATATCTCTGAGATGGGGCTAGCTCTGGTGTTACAAACACTGAATTTAGTTCAAACTTGTGTGGTGGTGCATCATTAGTGAGCCTGGAAGGTTAGTGAGTCTAGAAAATTACACGACGGCAACAGTGTGTAGAGAACCAGCTAGCGTATCTAAATCCCAGCACTGCTGCAACCTGATCTACGAACTGCAGTATCTGTTTAGTCCTGTGAATGACAGAGCGCACTACAGCTCATGAGACTGCTATTTTCCCTCTATGTACCAGGCCATGCATTTGGTTTCCCAACAGGTGCAATGGGCAATTTTGAAGCTGATTCTTCTAATATATGTTGGAGCAGAATGCTCACGGGACCAAGTGCTCTGGGGCTAATCGCGAACAATCTTCTCCAACAATGACTCCGGAGGATTCTCTCTTGAATATCTTCTAAGATTGTTGCAACTGGACACGCAATCTAAAAATGGATTCAGTAGCTGTTCTCCAAAAAGGCAGCAAAGAATAGTATGATAAAGATACAAACCTAACCACAACACTGCAGACTTTATCAGCATCCGTTTATTCTATCTAGACCCGCGGCTAAACCCGCCGCGTCCCCGGAAACCCCCGGAAGAACCGCCGCGGCCGCCTCCGCCGCGGCCGCCCGATCCGCCAAAGCTGCGGCCCTGAGTGAATCCACCCCCGCGGCCGCCGCCGCCCCGGCCACCGCCAAAGCCGCCGCCCCGGCCGCCGAAGCCGCCGCCGTAGCCGGACCCGGTGGTCGCCTCCTGGCGCTCACCGCCCTCGCGCGCCTTGAGCTCCGGCAGTGTGGCCGGCTGTGTGAGGTAGGGCTCTGAGGACCGGCCGCGCGCCATGCTGGCGGGCCCGTCCTCATCCGCGTCCACGGGCTTCTTGCACTTGCTCAGGAAATCCTGTGGGCATCCAGCAAACCGGGTCAGCCCAGATAAAGAGAGTACACAACCTAGCGTGCGCACAACTGTGTGTTTCTTTGAAGACCGAGCCAGGCACTATCGTTCATCTGTCTATCCAGTGTTGTGTGTTGTATTGTTTTGCAGCTGCCCTCATTTGCAACAGGACTGCGTGATTGTGATCCACTTAGGCAGTCCCCACTATTATTTACATCAGTTCAGAGCATCCTCTAGATCTTGACGCCCCCATCCTATGGGCCCAATGCCATGGGAAGCACTTCCTGAAAGGGCACAGGGCATTCTGAAAACAAGCTAACAGGTGCATGGGTGCTTGACAAGAGCGACAGCAGGACTGACCTGAGCAATGCCGGAGGGCACGTCAAAGATGGCGCTCTTTCCATCGGTGGTCAGGGTGATGCCCTTGATCTGCTCCACCACCTCGTCAGACAGGTGGCGCCTAAGGGAGGTGAACACGAAGCCCGGCCGCTGGATCTCCTGGCCGGCATGGAACTGCAGCGTCGTGTAGTCCTCATGCGCCGTCAGCAGCGACCGCGCCTGCACCATCACATCCGACCAGGTCAGCGCTCACATATAACTTGTTCTTTGGAGCCCTTCAATAGAACTTCACCTGGAGCAGTCCTTGACTATCATGTCATCATGAGCACATGATGTGTGCAGCATGTGCATGTCAATGAAAGCACAAACCACAAAGGATAGTTAAGCTGTACGGTCATAAGTGCGCACCCTGATGGAGGAGAAGCCGGTGACCTTGGCAAGGGCCATGGCCAGAGCCTCCTCTGGGTCCCCCACAGTCTCCAGCAGCTGCGCGGCAGCTGCCCGGAACCATGGCACCACCGTCTTGTCCACCTCTACCAGGGACTCTGACGCCCTCTCGCCTGCATAGAAACTTTTGTTCACATCCTGCCAACCGCATCACCATTCACAAATGCACAAGCAGTGCAAATAATCACAGACTCATGCTGTCTAAGTGCTTCGGCAGCCGCGCAAGAAGGTAGGATAGCAAAGCAGCTTAGGGCTGTATTCGGAAGATTACTCACTGCGGGTAATATAAGCGACATGCATGCCAGTCATCACAGTCTCGAAGCGGCATGCAGCACATATTGGCAGCATCCTTCCTTGTATGCAATAAGCAGTGGCAATGGTGGTGTTGCACCTGCGATGCGGGCCATCTCTGAGGGCTGGGGGGCGCCGATGCGCTCGAAGGTGACACCGGCACGCTTGGCGATGAAGGGGATCAGGCCCTCCTTCTTGCGGTCCACCAGCGTCACTGAGACACCAGTGCTGCTCGCACGGCCTGTGCGCCCACTCCTGTGAATGTACGTCTCCGGGTCCTGCACCAAACCCACAGTAGGCGGTCAAGGCCGGGCATTATAACAAGTGGGAGATGTGCGCAGGTGTGAGCTGACATCTGATATGCTCAGTCTCTATGCTGCCAGATCATGCCAGAAATCTTTCCTGGTCACTTCCTGAGCATAGGTATAAGCGTGGTGAACCATAGGAGAAGAGTTTTGGATAGCACAAATTGCGAAGCACAGGAGGGAAGAAGTTGTATGAGAAGGCAAGGCTGAAAGCATGGTGCAAGGGTTGGGAATGTGATGTCACCTTGGGAGGCTCGATTTGGATGACGAGCTCCACGCCGTTGATGTCCAGGCCGCGAGCCGCCACGTCAGTCGCCACCAGGATGTCAAACTTGGCCGCCCTGAACGCCTTGAGGGTCACCTGTCAACGCACATCCACATGTTCAATGATTTAGCACACTCTCATATCAATACCAAGGCATGCATGCGTGGAGCATTGATGCAGGAGCTGCCATCACAAAAGGTACATGCTCAGAGCCCACAGGACTGGCGCGATTCAACGTTCTCCTGCTGTGCAAGCAGCAGAGCAGCCAGAGCTTACGCGTATGCATGCAAGTGTACAGATTCAAAGCAGGGGATGCCATCAAGCTCAAAGGCCCACTTGAATGCAATATTTTTCTGCTTTGCAAGCGGCAGAGCAGCCAAAATTCAAAGATCTGTTGCTCACTCCGGTACTGGGAGGAATGCAGCCCAGCAGAGCACGGGGTACCAGAGCCTACTCCCCATAGTCTTTGGTACCCCCTGTACAGTACCCCCTACCAAGAATATTCTTCATCTTCTCTGGTACACCCTGAGCAGAGTGGATAGTAGGGTGAGCTCTGTTCACCTCGCGCTGCTGCTGGGGGATATCTCCGTGGAGGGGCTGGGCACGCATGCCCTCGCCCAGGCTGGCCACGAGCTCGTTGCAGTCCTTCTTGGTGTCGCAGAAGATGATGGTGCGGCCAAGCGCGCCGTAGCAGCGCACCAAGTCGGCCGCCACCGTCGCGCGCTGGCTCCAGTGGCATGGCAGCACCATGTGCTTCACGCTCGTCGACGCCTGCGCACATCACAGCCAGTTGTCATCCAAGCCTGACAAACTCTATGCAGTCAGCATACACAACAGCCAATTTGAAGCAGACAACTGCAGGTGCCAAAGAACACCACACTGGAATGCACCACAAGCAGAGCACACTAAAGGCCCCTGAGAACAGAATTATTCACTGGGATTCAAGTCCAGAATCCACTCAATACATGCGATATGGTTGTGTACGGGCAGGCTTTGCCATGGTTCCAGAGTGAGAGACAATAAATAGCAATTCACCAATATGTACACACTCATGGCATGCTTGAAAGCAAGCGGCGCACCTTCATCTTGTCAGTGCCCACCAGGTCGACCAGCTTGTGGTTGGGCTGCAGGAAGCGGCGGGTGATGTCCTTGACCCAGGAGGGCAGCGTGGCGCTGAAGAGCAGCGTCTGCACCTTGATGTCCCCGCCAGCATTCAGGATCTTTTCCACGTCCTCCACAAAGCCCATGTTCAGCATCTCATCGCACTCGTCCAGCACGCGGAACCTGCAGTGGACCCACATTCCTGATCAGCCATCGAGCCCTCTTAAGCTCAACCCATAGCCTGTTTCGCTATTCATGATTAATAGGATGCTGCTCCTCATTCGGTTGCAGAATCCAACACGATCACCCAACTCATCGAGTCTGCACAGAAGTGCAATCTCCAATTGACCAGCTGCCCAGAATCCTGGGCGATGCAGGCAATGCCGGCAATACAAAAATATCACAACAAAGATGGCCACAGCAATGTTAACGCATTCAATGTGTATGGCCACAGTTGGCATATCAACGTACATGAGGTCCTGCAGTTTGAGGTTGCCGCGCTCCAGATGGTCCTTGACACGGCCGGGGGTGCCCACGACCACATCGCAGCCGCGGCGCAGAATCTGCTCCTGCGGCGACATGGGGGCGCCTCCGTACAGGCACACCGTGCTCAGGTTTGCCGCGCGGCCGATGTTCTCAAAGTCCGCGTGCACCTGCGCCACCATGTGTCACCCTTAAGATGCTGGTGTTTGCTGGTACTTGCAAAAAGGGCAAGCTTGCAAGGAAGCACATGCAGCCCTGTACGCCCTTCCAAATCTGCTTCTACGCTCAGAGAATGCTCTGGCACACCATGCATTACATCATTCCTTATACCAAACAAAGCAAATATGCACGGTTGTATGCTGTGTGTTCAGCAGCCGCTGAAGTGATCGGGGAACGAACAATAGGGTGATAAAAAGAGATTGAAGCGGCACCTGCTTGGCGAGCTCGCGGGTGGGTGCCAGCACAATGACGCGCGGAGTCCTGCCTTGCTGCCTCCTGGTCGCTGAGATATTGTGGGCCAGCAGCCGCTCCACAATGGGCAACACAAATGCCAGAGTCTTGCCCTGTCCAGTCCTGCCAGTCAAAGTCAAGAAAGGTTCAGTGGTATACAGGTGTGAGCCAGTCAAAAATGCACTGTAAGCAGAGTGTGAATTCTTCAAAACGTCCCATAGATATTTAGGTTGAGATCCAGCAGATAGCCGATGCTCAATTTGCCTCACTTTTCAAGCAATATCCACTCTTCAACAAGACACAACAAGACACAGATGACCTCTGGCTTGCACATTACAGGCATGACGGACTGGGCAGTCAAGAGTTGCAGAAGAGAAAACTCACCTAGCCCTGCCCACCAAGTCGAATCCATCCAAGAGGTGGTTCAGGGTGTGCGCTTGGATGCTAAAGAGCGCCTCGATGCCCTTCTCCCTCAAAAGAGCTTTGACTTTGTCAGACAGCCGGAAGTTATCCACCGCCAGAGGATCTGCTGGCTTGGCTACCTCCACAAACTGCTCGCTGTCGGCGCTGTCAGATGCGGCGTTGGAGGGCTCCTGCTCTTCCACGATCTGCTTCTTCTTTTTCTTTATCTTCTTCTCGGCACCCTCCTCCACCAGATCATCTGTATTGAGTTTCCTTTTCTTTGACTCTTTCTCACCAGTGGCCGACTTTTTCTTTTCCTTCTTTTTCTGTTTCAATGGCGTTTCAGCGACCACTAGGCCATCTTCAGCCACTGCTTTTGATTTCTTTGACTTCTTGATCGCCAACTGCTCCTCTGCAGCCACACCCATTTCGACTAGCAAGACGTGCTTCAACAATCTAGCAAACAACCCTCTTCGTCCGGATCAACCACGCCCTTTGATATACACTGCCTCTTGTTACGTTGAATATGAACTTCAACAAAGATCTTCACCACTCTGTTGGTCTGTTGTCGTTTGTTCGTCGCCAGCCGGGCGCCCAGAAAAGCCGCCTGTAGAGAGTAATCGACCCTTCCTGTCGGAGGGGATGTGATGTTGATGGACAATTGCTTGCAAGCAAGCCATTTGCTTGATCATTGGAACTCGAGCCGAAGACTGTGCGTCCATACTGTGATCTTTAGTGTTGTAGGGGTGTACTTTGTTTGATGCGATATCATCCAGGAAGCTCTGTGGAAGACAAGCTGCTTCTGTAGCGGAGCTATTTTTGCCTGGCTTGTGCTTGCATCGCGGCCAATTTTCACGAAACTCTCCACAGAGACAGTTTTGAAATGGAAGGTCACACCCTTCATGTCCATTCTCACCAATATATGTCCAAAGGACTTCTCTGGACCGTGGGTAGCCGTCGGATTTCGCCAGCAGGCCACCTGCGAGCACTGCAGACGAGGCAGAGAATCGTACAGCGCCACAGAATGCATGCATCCGCACAAGCTGCGACTTTGGAACAGACCGAGGAAACACTCGACGCCCATGGAGCGGATTTTTGTGGGGCAGAAGGTGTGCTTGAGAGCTGCTTCAATTTTGATATCTGTGCTGAAGACAGGACTTGATACGATGACTGAATGACACAGGGCAAATTCTTGTCAGAGATCAGCCCACTGGGTCTGTGAGCACCCAAGGGAGAGGGCGCAAGTACCACATACACACCTTTGGCTGCCAGGTGCTTATCGTGCAAAATAAGTCCACGCGCTTGCAATGAGAATTCATTTGCTGTCACTCCAGCACTGTATACATTCAAAATCTGTTGCATTGGGACCAGATGAACTTGGCAGACTCAGAACGGATGGCTGGGACTCTGGAGAGTGTGGGGTATGTTTGTGCCGAGGATGCCAGCGATGCGGATGTCATAGTGTACAACACATGCTCTATTCGTGATAAAGCAGAGCAAAAAGTGTACAGCGCCCTAGGGAAGCAGGTATTCCATTCTGACCATCGATCTTAAAAGAAAGTCTTGTACACGCTTCTGTGCTTCCTCACTGTGCAGATCATCGTCTGAGAGATTCTTCCTTATTATGTGATGAGGGGCCTGTCCTTTTAGCATTTCCTGCAATGCATGGTGCAGGCAAAGCGGAAGAGGAGCAACATGGGGGGCTTGAAAATAGTGCTGGCAGGGTGTGTTGCTGCGCAAGAAGGAGAAACTCTCCTGCGCCGCGTGCCAGAGCTTGATCTGGTCATGGGACCACACCATGCCAACAGGTGAATATTTGTGAGCTTGAACGTCTTCTTCAGGCACTTGTTGGACCTCAAGTGACATTGACGTGTACAGGAGAAAAGGAGAAGCTTGCCTGTGTGCAGGATTGACCAGCTTCTGGAGCAGGTAGATCAGGGGAGCCAGGTCATGGCAGTGGAGCCCATACAGATAGCAGAAGACATTGCTGTGCCTCGGCGAGACAGTGACTTGACAGCCTGGGTATTGCCCGGATACTTCAGCTGCAGCCTGCTTATATGCATGCGATGCCAAGGGACCGCAATTTCCATGGGATTTGTGTGTCTGATGATAAGTGTATGATTTGTACAGGTGAATGTCATCCATGGGTGCAATGAAAAGTGCACGTACTGTGTGGTGCCCAACACGAGGGGTGTTGAGCAGAGCCGCGCTCCAGAAGCCATACGGGTGAGCATCATCAACCTCAGCGCCAATACAGACTGCATTTCTCAAACTGTCCATTGAGCAGAAAGGTGACCCCGCCACTCTTCAGACAGTCACCATATAGAAGATGCCATATTCGTTTCCCTGCGTGCAGAGGGAGATGCTTGCTTTGGGCGAGGCAGGCTACAAGGAGGTGACGTTGCTGGGGCAGAACATCGATGCATACGGCCGTGACCTGCCGGGATCGGCAGAGGATGGCTCCGGACGACGCGCGTGGACCTTCACAGACTTGCTGCAGCATGTCCATGATGTGCCGGGCATTGAGCGCATCCGATTTGCCACGTCACACCCCAGGTTTGGGTAACTAGAAGAATGCAATGTGTGAGATTGTTGATCTGAGCTTGGGTCAATCCTTCCTGCTCCAGCAGCTATACAGGTCTTCTAATGTCATGTAAGGTGGGCTTCAGGTACTTCACAGAGCGGCTGGTGCGCGCGTGCGCAGAGCTGCCGAAGCTGTGCGAATTTTTTCACATCCCATTTCAGAGCGGCGACAATGACATCCTGCGAGAGATGAAGTGAGTTAAACGCTTGCTGGCTTGCTGGCTACAGGGAGCATTAAAGTGAATTAGACCTTGTATCAATTCTTTGCGCACAGCACCGCGTGCATGGTCAATAATGGTTGGTCTGTGCTTTTGCAGGCGGGGCTACACGCATGAGCGATACAGGAGAATCATTGATAACATCCGGCGGCATATGCCGGATGCATCTGTGAGCGGGGATGCCATTGTGGGCTTCCCCGGAGAGACGGTGAGTCCTAGAATAGGATGAGAGCAGGAAGCTGATCATTGAGCAAGAAGCACAAACATGAATAAAGGCGTACAGAAAAGCAGCCCCCCTGCATGTGTCTCAGCCGTCAAGCTGTCTGCGCAGGAGGAGCAGTTTGAGATGACATGCGCGCTGGTGAGGGAGGTGGGGTTTGACCGGGTGAACACAGCGGCGTACTCGCCGCGGCCCAACACGCCAGCTGCAGAGTGGCCCAACCAGATTGCCGACCTGGTGAAGATGGACCGCCTCAACCGCCTCAACCGCATTGTCAACGATGTTGCAGAGGAAAGGGCGCAGAGATTTCTGAACCATGATGTCGAGGTGTGCTGAGCTCGTTTCCTTCAGGGTTGTTCTTCTGTTGCTGCTGTGCAGTGATTGCTCTGCAGCTGTGCGGCTGGAAGGGAAGCAATGCGCAGACGATTTTGACATGTTGCTTGCAGGTTCTGGTGGAGGGGCCAAATCCCAGGAAGAGCGGCGAGGCTGTGGGTAGGAACAGGCAGAACAAGCTGGTTTTCTTCCCAGGGGATGGCAATAGCATGAAGGGGCAACTGGTCAACGTGCATGTGGACATGGTGCATGCGTATACCCTGTTTGGCCATCAGGTCGCCTGAATTGGTTATTTTCATTATCAAGGCTTTGTAATCACTGACATGGCATGCATGGTACTGCCACATCGAATGGCTGAAGGCAAACTTTGACCGAATCTGACACCATGTTACACATGCTGCGCAGCATGCATTGTTGAAAAATCTTGTGGGTCAACTGCATGATGCGTGAAAGCGCTTCAGAAGCTAGCTCAAGCTCGTGATCATCTAGGAGCACTGGACTACAATCCACACATATTTCAAACCATCAGGGGCACGCACATCATGAATACTCAAGAATATGCATCCCAGCACGCAGACAAGTATCAACTCCATGATCAGTCAGCCATGTGACCCAGGCCTCACGCGTTTGACGTCAGGTGTTGATCATGACGTCCTACTTGGAGTCGGCAGGAAGGAGTACTTCATTCTCGTATCTTTCTTCAAGCCCACTTGCTGTTCAGATCGAGGTTAATCTGTCTAAGCGTCTGTCACGGATGCTAAGTATCGATCAGAAGGCGTGCGCTTGCGCGTGCGGCCTGAAGACATCACAGCCCACGGGCACAAGAAAGGTTTTCGAGTTCAGCAACGACTCCCTGGAGTATCGTTATGTTGAGGAAGTCGGGCGTAGAACTCTTTATCCAGGAGTGATGGCCCGGTTAATTCTAGGGAGTGCCTGGGCGTTGGGCTGGCGAAAACTTGTCAACGAGACCGATACAACATCCGCTTGGAGGTACGCTGATCCTTTCTGTGGATGACCGACAAGCACGTTCCTGCTTGACTATGATTCAATCCTGTGGTTTGCTATCATATTGTGCAGGTGCGGTGTTCTGTTGACTGTTTGGATCACTGGAGCTGCCTGGCAAGTGTTTTCAGCAGGTGCCCTCCTACGAGAGAGGCAGTTCTGCAAGCATGAGAGCCTGAAGGGACGGCAATTCGTGATAACAATCATCATTGCTATGGTGAGGCTTGCAAACGTCGTTGGCATTCTGCTGCCTTTGCTCTGACTTTAGTTGCATGGACCCCCCATGGCGCTGGTGGCTCCATGTGAGACACAATTGTGTATGCTGTGACAGGTGGCATCAATCCTGGTTTTTGAAAGAGAAGCGCAGACAACGATGGCTTCAGCAGTGCCATGCATTCTCATCGATGGAGGTCAGAAGGCTGGCAAACGAGCGCACCATTGCATTTGTCACAAAGCTATCGAGAACTCTGTGCTTTTATGGGGGACCATGGGATAGGTCTGTGCAGCTACGCAGCTTCAGTAAGATTGGCATATCTGACCTTCGGATTTCCCACTTGCAGGGTACATGGTGTTTGAGCAGATACGCATCCAGTCACAGATGCAGCTGCAGGCTTTCCAGATCTTGTCGTTTCTATTTATCGAGGCCGCGATGTTCATGAACAAGCAGAGCATGTGGGGCGTATCATTTGATTTTCTCATCAGAATGCCTGTCATAGGTACGCACTCATTGCTGGGCAGAATTACTTTGCAGCATTCATTGGACGGTATACCTGCTTTTCATTATGTTTGTAGGTGGGCTTACTGTGAGACAGCTGGTGGCAGGCGCCCTGCACATGCTGGCTTGTCTCATGCCACAGTCAGCGTGTGCAGATGTGTCTTTGCCCACTGGTATCAGTGTCTTGTGGGCGGTCTTGTATATTCTTCTGGAGTCAGTCCCAGAGCAAGCTGAAGAATCCACCAATCTTGCTGCGCAGTCGTGGGCCAGCTTGCAATAGGCGCATGGCTAGAACACCGATCCAGGGCTGCCTTCTTGAGGAAGCACCGGCTATCAGAGGCCAGCTTGGGGGACTTCTGGCAATGGTTTGGGCAGAGGAAGGAGCGATGTAAGGCTGGGGTTCAACGATGCAGGTGCTTGTTGTAGCGAATCAAGCATTATTGCAAGCATTCTGTGTCTTGCTGTCCGGGGTCTCATGCTGATCTATCTTGATCCGTTCACAGGAGCTTGTTGCAGTCCAAAGGGACACAGCACCTTGGAAGCACTAACGTGTTTTGAGCGTTTAAAGTGGATGCTCGCTCTTGCAGCAGCAGCAACATGACTGACTTTTCTGGGGAATCCAGAGCTTTAACCCACAGCAGTGCCTGATGGTCATAGAGCTTCTTGCTAAGCTTTAGCAAAGGGAGGCGGACACAAGTTGCCATGAAGGTAGTATGCACAACTGCTTGTTCCAACGAGAGAGTCTCTCTGTCAAAGATTGCCCCGATTGGAATCATTGGTCAGCAGCACTCCAGTTGGTTTTTCTGTTGCGGCTTCCTTCCATTCTGGATGTACCTCTAGTACACATCCTGGTGCTGCAAGCTGCAACAATTTGCACAAATGTGCATTCGATATTTTTGCTATCTGAAGTGCTTTTGCATTTTTTTTGCTTTTTAGAGGATACATGCTTACCGTCTCCGTCAATGCATCCAGGGCTTGTTCCCTGGCTTGGTCTGTGGTTTGTCAATGTCATTCTCTCCAGGAACAGGTCTTACCGAACGTAGGGACGCTTCTCGAGTGTGAGTTTGATAGGTAGTGTTATTGAGTGCCAGGCCTTTGCATTGGTCAGTAATGCAAAGGAGCATGAGGCAGAGCATTGCAGCTGGTGACCTGCAATGCTCTGCAGAGGTGGTGGCAGTGATGTTGCTTTGAGTGTGGCAGCAGTTTGCTTGAAGCTGCAGCCAAAGGTGCAAAGCACCTGCGCATGCGTGTGCTGCAGCAATGCATAGGCATGTGCAGTGACTGTCAACCAGCAAGTGTATGGTCAATGACTGCAAAGAAGCATGAAGCAGAGCATTGCAGGTAGTGACCTGCAATGCTCTGCAGAGGCGATCACAGTGATGTTGCTTTGAGTGTGGCAGCAGCTTGCTTGAAGCTGCAGCCGAAGGTGCAAAGCACCTGCGCATGCGTGTGCTGCAGCAATGCAAAGGCATGTGCAGTGACAGTCAACTAGCGCGGGTTTTGTGCTGCTTTGATCCGCCGAGGAGTCTGCGGCTTGCCTAGGGAGTGTATGCCCACCGCTGGCAGTAGAGTACTTGGGAGGGCCCACTGGATACTTGAACACCGGAGACTTGATTCCGAGGCCACATTTTTTAGAGTGATGAGGTACCTGCAGGATGCTCTTCTTGAATTTGAGATATCTAAAAGTGACGTACCGGGAAGTTGTCAGGCTGATCAACAGGGATATTGTCATAACTGTTTTGAGAAGTATGAGCCATGCGCATGCAGGTGCAAGGTGACTGAAGAATCACCTGCTCGACTGATTTATAGCAATGCAATGTATCCAGTGGTGACTGCTAATGCCTGCGAGTCTACAATGGAATTGATTGTAAAGCCAGACAGACTCTTATCGCCCTCGAAACTTCCTCAAGGCAATGCATGCAGTACGGCATGCCATTGTACAATTTGTAGGCTGTGCGAGCGCAAACACTGGAGGCAGGGGTGCCTCGTGGCATCAGATCTGTCCTTAAGCATCCCTGCTTTGAGTGTCATGTGATACATTGCCCAACCTAGAGGCCAGGCTGGTGCCTCAGGGTCCTCAAACCACCCGTTCACAATCCTATGGTGAAACCCTTCAGGGCCAGGTGGCCAGATCAGGAGCTGCAGCAAAAATAGATCCTTGTCACTCTGTGCATGCCTTTGTGTTCTGTACCGCCGGTGAATACGAGGTTGGTCGAGGAGCATTGGGGATGTGGGTTCGGGCTGTGCAGAGCTCGGCTGTCTGCACTCCTTGGTGCAACTTGAAACACTAGCAGAACTCCGATCTGCAGGACGACCTGCGATCTGCAGGACGAGGCTGCTCAACAGAGTCGGAAAACCAGGAGATCATGCAGGTAAGCATTGTAATCGCGGGAACATTCCCAACCATCTTTGCAAATTTTTACGCGTACAAGGCTGAGATTCGCAAGGGCTCTGTCTGGCTTGCTTCGTCAGTCTGCAAACCCTGGTCTGCGTTGATCAGGCATACCTATCAGGTGACAGGCTCAGGTCGTGGACATAACAGAATACTGATGAAAAGAAATTTGAAGGCGGTACCGAAGTGGACATCGTAGACTTTGGTTCGGGGTTAGCAAACCCGTTTGAAGAATCCCGCCGAGTCAACCTGCCAAACTGTTCCGCTGAACGCCGGCGGATTTAATGATGTTACTGTCAAATCGTTCCGAAATTGCTCCCGAGGTCTCTCAACCTGCCGGCTCGACCTTCAAGATTTCGGGCTACTTGTTCAAAGTGAACTAGCAAGTCTAGCTGTGATGCCCCGCAGTCTGACACCCGAAATCTGTTGCAGCCTGACCATGAGGAGCTGACAGCCAGCAAGGCTTGGGAAAAGGATATGTCCTTCGACCTCGAGAGGGCATTTTCTGGATCCGACCTGCCAAGTTTTGGGGGCCTGATGGCGCCTGTTGGAGGGACACCCGACAGGGCGACACCACCACCATCTTCCCCTGCTCTCCTGGAGCATTATGGCTCAAAGGCAAGGTCAAGTCTCCAAGGACATGCACCTTCAGGGGCAGAACATGTCATTCATGCCTGTGGATGGCGCCTGCAGCCTGATGCAAGGCTACATGTGGCTCTGTGCAGGTCCAGCCCTTCATGCCACAGGCAGACGAGTTTGTGCCGCAGTTCTGCGGCAGTCTGCGGGCCTTCAAGATGGGCATGGCGCCTTCGCCTCTGCACTGCGGCATGCAGAGCGCCTCCTCACTGAACGGTGAAGAGATTCTGCTGAACAAAGGAGACAATCCCCGCCTCTCCCTTGCAGACGCCGCCGGCGGCAGCAGCCGCTTCAGCAGCATAAGCTCCGCAGAATGCTCCAACATCAGGGCCAACCTGCCAATGCTCATGGTGTGTTACTGAGGCACAACGACACAAACAATTCACCTCTTTTTTAAGATTGCTGTTGGATGCTGCCTCCATACCTGAGAGCCCTCTTCACATGGTCCTGAGGGGAGAGTCAACATTGCGTGCCATTTGTGTTGGCGATGCCAATTGCAATTTCACACAATTGACGCAAGGCAAGCTTCACTCCACTGCAGGAGGAGGACGTCCGCGGCTGCTGCCTGTTCAAATCTGAGCCCGAGCCACTGGGTGAAAGCTTGGAGGACGACAAGAGTGACGATGAGGATGAGCAGGCTGATGAGCAGAGCAGGGACGCAGACCAGGATCTGGACAGCAAAGGCGAGGTACCCAGGGCTGAGGGCAGCGACAGTGACTACCGCCCCTCCCCCCGCCAGCGCCCCCGCAGCCGCCGCGCAGCTGCGCGCGGCCGACCCACCCGCCACTCCAAGGTATGGGCGTTGCATTTCCCACTGACAGACACTTCTATAGACCGAGCCAGGTCATTGTTTTGTCACTTCGAGCCTTGTCTGTGTGTTTGCTTGCCAGCTTGTACTGACGGTAGGCTAGGCAGGCTATTACTCGTTCACAGACAATAGGCCCCGGCTGGCGGGGGGCGATATAAATGCTGAGCACCGTGCTTACGGTTGATTGGGTCTTGCTTGGATCTGGCGAGTCCAACAAGGGGTAGGAATATGGAAGCCTTTGACTGCAGCTTGTCTGCAGGACGCACCTTGCCTCTTGGCAGGAACAGCGTGTTATAATAATAATAATAATAATAATAATAATAATAATAATAATAATAATAATAAGACAATATGTGAGGCAGTGCCCCAGTCCAAGTACTACAAGTATTGATAGGAAGAGGCAAGCAAATCGCGCTTCCAAATCCTGCTGGCGAGCCGCGGGTATTCCAGGACGACACACAAGTTGATACATGTGCTTGTGTTGTTCGAGAGACGAAGAGGCAGTCTAATTGCTGCAATGAAGAGAAGAATATGCAATGAAATCTATGCCTGGAGAACAGCTGGAGCAATGCCCAGACCTGTGGGAATGCAAGGACAACACACATGTCGCAATGTGCCTGCTGCACTTGTGCATTTTCCCCCTCTAAAACGAAAACCTATGCGGCAGTGCCCGATTCCAAGCACTGCCACAAAGAGGAGAATATGCATTGCACTTCAATGCAGTGCTCAGACCTGTGAGGATGCAAGTAGACCATACATGTGGCAAGGTGCCTGCTGCATGCGCAGGGCAAGGACAAGAAGAAGGTGGGGCGGCCGATAACTTACAAGGGGGATCCGGAGGCGGCAGATCTGACGGAGGACGAGCGCCGCCGCATCAAGCGCCGCATCGCCAACCGCGAATCCGCCCGCCGCGTGCGCCAGAAACGCCACGACCTCATGGAAGACCTGCAAGCCAACGTGAGCGCCTGAGCACCTGCTCTGGAAAAATCATCAGTACAGCTGCACGACGCAGCTGCACGACACAAGTGCACAAGCACACCACGTGTTAGTCATCCCTTTGCACAGGCCTGTGCCAAATGGGCAGGAGAGGCATCCATACCTACTCATCGTTGCTGAAGAAGAAGACAAGACGGCCTCAAGGATGCTGGCCCAACTTGCATTGCTGCTGTAACGGGGGCCTCCATTTCTGGAGGATGAAATGATGCCATGCATGTTGACTGGGAGGCTGGTAGTGATGTGCTGTGTGGCGCACAGATTGAGACGATGCAGCAGCGCAATGGAAAGCTGCTGGGGCACTGCGGAAGGCTGGAGAAGCAGAAGGCGGCAGTGATGGGGCAGATGGCCGATATGCAGGAGAAATGGGCGCAGGCCGCCTTCGAGAGCAACCGCCTGCAGGCCGAAATCGCCACCATGCGCCAGACACTCGAGGTGTGTGCTGCTCCGACAACATGCTGCTTTTCATGTGACAAGACAGGCCCACTGCTATTTTTGACAAGAGAGGCCCTGCTGAGGTGAAAAGTATTTTCCAATTATTGAGTGGTGCTGTAAAGCGCCGGTTTCAAGCGCCGGTTTCAGTACTCTCATGAGACCTCATCCAGCCGTCTGGGAACCAGTCATGAGTAGTAACCGGTGATGTGGTCATGCATCACGACGGCGTGTGCATTGCATGCATCGGTTTAAAACACGCATGTGCAAGCAGGAAGTATGGATGGTCTCTGCGGGTGGGGATTTGACAGGGGTTAGTGCGCAGCAGGTCAACATGCGCTTCATGGAGAAGGCCGGAGCAGGGATGATGGCCCCAGGCGGCCTGCAGCAGCACACACCTTCAATGCCTCAGTAAGCGTCACTGCCTGAATTGTACCTCTATTGCTTGCTCTTTTGCATTTGCCCGCCCATTTAGAGGCGTCCCTGAAACATGGTAGTTCTGGCAAGCAGATGTAAATTTTTGCTGCAGACACTGGGTTTGCTGAGCGCAGGGTTCTGTGCTGCAGCTACGCAGATGACATGCCAGCCCAGGGCGTGCTGCAGGGCAGCACTGTGATGCTGCCACCCTCGCCCTTCAAGACCGCTTTCCAGGAGCTTGTCAGGTGCGCTCCAACTGATGTGCACATGCACATTGACTGATCTGCAGTGCATGGCTGTGAACGTCCTTGACCCCCCTGCTTTCCAATGGCCTGCACCCTATGCCAGCTGGCAGGGTATAAGCTGGTTGTTGAGATGTTGTGCTCTTCCTGTGTTGTGCAGCTCTGTCCCCCTGTTAACCTGACTGGGCCCAGAGGGAGACAACCAGAGAGCACTCCGTCCCTGTTTGTTCCGCCGCTGCCAACAAGCGGCTGGACAAAGAAGCCAACAAGCCGCGGCGTGTCATCAAGACTAGCAGCCATCGCTGTGCAGTTGCACAAATGAATGCCAAGCCTCGTGCTTCAAAAGGGCCTCACTCCTGCACTTCATGCATTCTGCTGGCATGGCCGCTTTAGGGGTAGGCTTTGTCCGCTCTGCATTGAGTTTCTGGGGCCACAAGCGCTTGATGCATTTGCAAAGCAATCAATGCTGATTTGCAGCATGCTGTCTCACGGTTGTACGGGCGAACACAGGCTGGGTGCGCTTGCTTGCTTTCAGTTTGCGAGGTTGATAGCCTTCCACAGGTCCGGTGTGACAGCTTGCGTCGGTCAGCCCAGTGTTAGTCTTGTTGTTTTGAACAGCCCTGTCTAAAGCATTGCTAGCGGTCCGTGGGGCACACTGCTTGGCACAATGGCCAAGCTAGGGATTTGCGAGCACGGACGCAACCTGCACAGTGTGTGCAATTCTTGCGTCTGCTTGAAGATTGCATGATCTGCCTGTCCTCAAACCAGCCCACGGGGCCTTGACACCTGTCAATCGCACTGAAGACTTGGCAGGGGTCATTCTGGGCTGCGCCTGCAGCTACGGGTTCGGGGATCTTGTGCGTCTGAAGCTCTTAGATTTGCCTATTTCATCCTTTTTGGAGGATCTCCCTGAGCAGACTCGAGCAAATCTGAGAGCGCAGATATGTTTGCCTCTCCTTCTGAGGAACTTTTGAGCTGTCCTGGTTGTTTTTTAAAATGATGCTTGCATTGGCTTTGAACTTGCACTCATGCTTGTATCAGAGGGTGAGCATGCAGATAGGAAAGGGAAGTGGCACGGGCGATGGAACGCAAGATGCTCATCATATTGAGGGAATGAAAAGTGTCGTTGCCATGGCTTCACGTTGGTGCATTGCGCAGGAATTCAAGCTTGAGCTGTGAGTCTGTGTGTCAGTAAGTGTTTCAAGTTCCTGAGAGCCAAACTGATGCGTGTGGCATGGAGAGGCGAGGTCGAATAAAAGTGCTAATACAGCAAGGCAGAGATGCAGGCAGCAGATCTGCAAAATTGCCGCATCTGGACCCTTTCGAGTGCGAAAAATATTATTCGACTGGTGGCCAATTGGCAAGTTTGATTGAGGGAAAGAGAGAGCCAGGACAGGCAACAAATGAGCCAGCCGTGAAGGCTGTACTCGGATTGATGTATTGCGCTATGATATGGCTGACAGATGCTGTGCTGCAACTCTTACTGCACACCAAGCGGATTTGGCACTTCCAAACTATGGTGTGCCTTAGCATGACGCACCTCTGTCCCTAGCTAGGTGTGCAGCAACGACTGACTGGATGTACCATGCATCATGCATGCAAATATCCGTTTGTTTATATCTGTCCTGTTTGCTGGCAGGCTTGCACATTCTAGGTACTGCGGCAGGCAACAGCAAAGGGTCTGCGTCCTGCTTCGAGATTACAACCAGATCTTGATTTCAGAAAAATCGCAATGAACGAAGTCTGCCAGCAGCCCTTGAACCTTTGAAGAAGAGAATGGGGTCTCCCTGTGTGCATAAAAACTGAATAAGGCCTTGATATTGTGGTGTTGTGTGCTGTATCGTCGCATGATACTGATGGCCCTAAAGGCTCGACACCACTGTGACATGATGTGATGCGAGATCTTTTAAAAATATGGGAATACTTCAGATCATGACATTGCTGGACCCGAGTATCTGGGGGAAATCTTCAAGGGCTTGAATGGGTACATTTTCAAGGGCGTAGCTGCAGCTGCAGCGCTGGAAGCCACCAGTGGTAAAACATCAGTAATGTAATGTTGCTGAGAGGCAATGCACCATCATCATAATCATAAAGACATCATGTCATCATGACGTCGACATCATAACATTAATGATGGCCGCAGCCAGATGATGCGGCACACATGATGATGATCTCACACAATATGGTGATTATCGCCCTCGATTTCTCTATTGCTTGGAGAGGCAGCTGATAGTGAGATTCATAAGAAGCTGAGCAAATAATTTGCAGCTGTTAGAAGCTGTCATCCAATTTTGAACCATTTCAGACTCTTGAGAGGGAACGTTGAAACCGTTGCCGCAGATGCATTTCCAATGCTGGCACAGTGATCGGCCTTGTTCAATGGCATTGCAGAGAGATTGACTACATCCCTGCACGTATTGTGTGGTGAGAATCGGGAACAAATTTCTTGCAGAAAGGCGGCAAGTGTAAAGAGATTTCTTGTGTACAGACACTGCGATGACCTAGTGTCGCACAACGTGCATTCGGAGGGATCACTCGGCCATGGATCATCTGAGAGCTTATGCTGATGCTTTGGAGAAAGAGCTGTCACAGGAAGTTTCCCTTGGGGTAAGCTGGCGTTGCTGCCCCACAAAATGCTGGAATTGTTTCATCAATCGGTGTATATCGCGTTAGGACCGAAGGAGTCTAAGATGTTTGGATCTGCATTATTGTTTGTATCAATCTACTCACTTCAGGATGGCAGCCTTTCAGCATACGTAGTCATCCATCAACAACAAGGCTTGTGTGATGTCCATCTTGTTCTTGTCGTGCAATAAGTTACTTTGGTTGCTCCTTACAGACAACCATCATGGCAGCCACTTTTGATGGGGGAGTGGTGCTTGGAGCGGATTCCCGAACATCCACAGGGAACTATATTGCCAACAGAGTCACAGACAAAGTAACTCAGCTCACAGACAGGGTGAGACACCTGGCCAAGAGCAATCATGATGTACTAATCAACAATAGAAATTAAGACGATTTGTGAAGTCTTTGCTTGCAAGCGAGTTTTCTTTCATGTTTTCCAGGTGTATGTGTGTCGATCGGGGTCAGCAGCTGACACGCAAGCAATATCTTCCTATGTACAATACTACTTGCACCAGCATCAAATGGAGCTGAACGATGAGATCTTAGTGAAGACTGCAGCAACTCTGGCAACAAAACTGGTGTACTCAAACAAGGTAAGGATACGGCACATTGTCTGGGTGCTGGGTGCCTGACATGGTGCTAGGTGCTTAACATCCATTCTCTGCAGAATTCAATGGAGAGCATGCTGGCATTGGCTACCAGCATCAGTGATGCTGAGCAGTGTATTTGGTGCTGCAGGAGATGCTGCAGGCAGGGTTGATAGTGGCAGGGTATGACTCGAGGGAAGGCGGGCAGGTCTATGCTTTGCCGCTCGGAGGGACCTTGGTGAAGGTTCCATTCTCAATAGGTGCGTAACAGCATACCTGTCTCCCTCTGCGTATTGCTTTGCCTTATTTGCACTCCTTAGCAAAAGGAGCATCACAGGGGTCAAAGAGAAACTAATTCATGGCCCATGAAGCGCTCTTGTGGCAAGCAGGCAGCCCCCAAGAGAACTGTCAGATCCCTGCTGGACAGTGTATTAGTGTGGAGTAGCTGATGGGTGGGGGCTGACATGAAAGGGCAAGGGCAGCTGACCATTGCAGGTTGTGCTGTCTGGCAGGCGGGTCAGGCTCCGCGTACATCTATGGCTTCTGCGACAAGAACTGGCGGCCGGGCATGAGCGAGGAGGACTGCCAGGCCTTTGTGGTCAAGGCAGTCGGCCTGGCACTAGCGCGCGACGGCTCCTCTGGCGGCTGCATCCGCACAGTTGTCATCACCAAGGACGGCGTCCGTCGCAGCTTCCTCCCCAACAACAAGGTGAGCGCTGTCGCACCATCTGACCGGCTTTAAGCACCCTTGCTGACTCTGCAAATGCTGACTCGGCAGATGGCTCAAAGTCCCTTGTACTTTGTTGCGAGCACAGACGCGCAGTGTCAGCCTTGTGCTTTACTTGGGTGTTTTGTCTGCATGTCTATCACTGCTTCTCATCTGGATCAGGATCAGCTTGATAGAGCGACAAGGGATTTCGTCAGCTGATATCTTCAGCATTGTGTCTGCGCAGATACCTCCTGCCTATGGCAACCTTAGCTTTCAAGGAAGCACAGCAATGCCGGTGGACACCGCATAGGCGCTCTGCTTCAGCGCAGCTGATGTCAGGGCTAAGGCTAAAGTGAGCTTGTCCATGCGCTAGGAAAGAAGATATGCAGGTTGAGAGACCACCAGAAATTTTCACTTGTTGGATGTTCAATGTTGCATGCACTATCAATGACCACACTGTTGTATTAGCCATTTTGTGAGATAGCAGCCTGCAGAAACGACCATTTATCTGTCCTGAGGATGTTCTGGAACTTCAAATTGCGCAGGTCTGTAAAACTACTATCTGAAGACATTCCCTCAATTTTTACAACCTTTTTCTGGCAATCATCTTCGTTTGTGTGTTCAACTTCAACATCGAGCACTGCACCTTGGCAGAGCGAAAATTATCAACGAATCTCTGAAACATCTTCTTCACCACGAGAAAACTCAAGCGCTTTGCGACTCAGCTGTGGTGGAAGACATCTCAACAAGCACATTGGTGTTGCAAATCGCTATCGAAATGAGACATCCGCCAAAGAAGTCATGGCAGTGGGCGCATCTGCTCCAGCACTTAGTCAATGCCACCCTATCTCTCAATCGCAGCCCTACACACATCAGACTGCTATTGAGGCTTGGTGTCATGCTAGCAGAGCTCAATTGGAGTACTTCTGCAGGTGCACATGCAAAGACACTGTGGATGATCATCCACAGAAGCTGGCACCAGCCCACAGACAATTGACTGTGATACAACGCCCTACCGCCGTACATCGTTCTACTCCGTAGAACATCGAGTGCTGTTTGAGACACACCTGAAGGTCTTTGTCGCGAAGCCAATACGCAAACTTGGCATTTGTCTTGGTGATCAGCCTCTGCCCCCAGGCTGGTCTTGATGCCGCATATCCCTGCCATTGCAGTGTCAGTGAGCTGAATGATGAATCGATCATCTACGATTTCAAGGAGAACAGCGGATCTGACATGAGGCAGGTTCAACAGCACCTCCAGGTGTGCAGTCAGCTGTGCAGTGCATCTGCAGCATTTGACTGGAGGTGAGTGAGGAGATGAGAGGCCCACCTCTACGCAGCTAGCACGAAGAGCAATCTAATGCCAGCCACCACAGGTCTTTCTGGTTGTGCTTGCTGTGCAAGCATAACATGCCATCTGAGAGGAGGCTAAGCGCCGGTAAGTTGCTCTCCATGTGGTCGCTATGGTCTGTCTTCCATATCTCTTGACCACATGGCGCTTCCAGAGGTTTCCGTCCATCTGAATAGCTCTGAATAGCTAACTTCCAGCGCTTGCAAGTCTGCATGAGACACATCGTGCTGACTACCAAGTGGCTGACGGTGTGAGTGCAAGACCAGAGGATTTGTCAAGCAAGAAGCATTTTTTGTGCAGCATCAATTCATGGATTGGGTTGGATCACCTGACTGGCAAGAGCAAACGTGTCATGATCCAGGAATCCAACAATTTTCAAGACAGCCTCTGGGGGCAGCTGGGGCAGTGGAGTCTTGGTGCACTTTGGAACCTGCGAAGACATTGACTCTTGCTATGAGGGTGCAATCTTCCTCACATCTGTCCATCAAGGTATGAACTCAAATCACATAGGTACAGCACCTTCACATCCAAATAGAGTACAGCGTTCACCAAGTCCTTAAAGAAGTGCTTCATACCGTACAGGCTCCCTGCCTGTACACGCATGTCCTCTTCGATTATACTTCTGAGGTCTTTCAACGTAAGTTGGTCTGCATTATCGATGATGTAACGACTTCGCTTTGCGACTGCCTGTTCTTAGCGGTTCCTGAGGTCCTCGGTATCATCCATGGAAGATGACATTCGAATACACGATCTTCGTGAGGTCACTGCCAAAGCACACAAGTGATCGCCAACTCCTTAGAATCAGACAATTTCTTTTTAGAGGTTTCAATTCCAATCATTGCATATTCTTTGAGGAGAAGGAAAGTCCATTTGGGGTGCGTACCCTGCAGGCGAGGCTAGGTAGCTTCCCCTAGCTTCTTCTATGGTTCAATCCCTCTTGAAAGGTCGAAAGATCTGGGATCATTCGGTACAGTCTAGTGCGCTGTATGCGCAATCCACCGTAGTGGTGACCGTAGCTATGTGGTTACCCTTAACGGCCTTGTTCAATGTGCCAAGCACTGGCAGCCTCTAGGGATCTCTGCCAAACCAAGAAAAAGATCTGCTTCCTAATAATCCAACTAATTATCAAACACGCTGTTCCACTGAAGGTCAGATCCTGATGCAAAAGGAGCATTAACTACCAGCGCAAAAAAAAAGAGCAGGAAATAATTGGATGCTTGCAATGCTGTGTCAAACTCACGTCAACATGGCCATTCACCAGATACGGTATTGCAGAAGATCATCTCCCCAACCAAGGTGCCAACTTGGCTGTAGACAGCTTCCTGCGGGATCCCTTCTGTGGGCTGGCCCCTTTGCCGCCATCTTGGCCGGTTGCAGAGAAGGTGGCGGCTGCAGCGCCGTCACGCAGCGGCGAGCATGTGTCCGAGGCAGGAGCCCTCGCTGCGCAGCCGCCCCACTTCCAGCGCGCAGGCGACAACCTCGCCAAGCCCTTGACTGGCGTGGTCTCTGCCGATGGCAAGGCAGCCTGCCGCGGCGTCACCTGCAAAGGGGTGGAACGTTAGTGGGCATGTGGCATTACAGACACGTCCAGTAAGAGCTGCTTATAATGCCGCGGGGAGAATCTTGAATCAAGCTGTGGGTTAGAAAGTGCTGTACCTCATTTTTGGCCGCTGCTGCGCCCTTCTTGTTCAGGAGCGGCGACATGCGCTGGAACACTGACAGCCCCCGCTTACTAGGGTTGCGTGGAGTAGCCTGCTTCTCGACGGCCTGCAATCAGCACACCAGTATACAATTGGCATGCCAAATTATGTGAGCCAGCCATGCTCCAACACCATGCATGTCCAACACCATGCTTAACAGGGAGTGAATTTTTCTGAGCAGACACTCCAGGAGGCGTTCACCTGTGCCTTTGCTGGCGAAGGAGATGGAACAGTCGCGTCCTGCTGCTTTGTGTCTCGCGCATCGAGCGCATCGCGGTTTGGGGCCGGCCTTGGAAGCTCCGGGGTCCGCGCAGCCAAGAAGGTGCTGGTCTCCTCAAGAATGCTGCTGCCCTTGGCACCTCCGTGGCTGCCCAGCTCATAGACTGCCTGCTCCGTGCTGCGCGCAGTCGGCATGTAGTCAACTGAGCCCTCCGCGTCAGACTCCTCCGCCTCCCCCCTCCCACCATTGTACAGGGGGCCCCAGCCGTCCTCGTCACCGGTCCCATGCCTGCGCGGCTGCGCCAATTTCGACGTGCCGATCCGAGCAGCATGAGCGCTGTCAGGCGGTGCGGCCTGCTGGTAGGTGGCCTGCACATTGAAGCGCTCATCTTCCACGTCAGAGGAGAGGCTGCGCGCAGAGCAGGCGCTGAATCTGCGGTCGCTGGGAGCCTCTGCCGCCTTGCCCCGGAAAGGGAAGCTGCATGGCGGCGTGGTGGCCTCCACTGAGATGCGCAGGCTGCCGGACAGGTTCAGGCTGGGCACCCGCGGCCGTGCGCCCCGCACTCTGGGCGAGCTCGCGCCCTCCATCAGCGCCGGGCTCGCCAGAGGGCTGCTGTCTTCCGGCAGCGGGTCCAGCCCCGGCAGAGACACCCTGCGCCCCCGGTGGCCTGCTCCGCCGCCAGGGTTCTGTGCTGCGCTGGGATCAGAGCCGGGGAGAGGCACTCCTGCTGCTGCCTGGAATGGCGAGGCTGCCGTGGACTGCAGGGCCTCATCCATGTTTTGTGTCTCCCGGCCTGCGGCTGACTGGCATGCCAGGCTGGACATGGCTGGCAGCTTGCGAGCCCTGTCGGCCGTGCCAAGGTCCGACGGGCTCAGAGGGCTGCCGTGCAGGTTGCACAAGCTGGCCTCAACGTCAGGCACCCCATGCTTCCCTGCTTGTGGTGCGTTGTGACCATGGCTTTCCTTGGCAGCGTGCTTTGCGCCGGCGCTGTTTGGAGTGGGGGTTTTCCTTCCTGCGCCGCGGCCTGCGTGCTTCGGCCCCCGCCTCAGCTGTCCGCCGGCGCTGCCGGGGGTGGCTGCGAAGCACAGTACAGGGGACATGCAGTCCTCCGCTGTTGGAGTCTGGCCTGACGACTGCGACTGCAGGAGGGCGATGCCAATCGGCGAGCTCTTGCCCGTGTGCTTTGGAGTGAGTTTGGACTGCGACCCCGCTGGCGGCAGCTGCATCTCTGACAGGGGACTCCGTGCGGGCACTGGTGCCTGCATACCACATCCATGTCCTTTCCTATCTGCACTTAAAGGATCATCTTGATGAAAAAGGCAGCGATTGCTTCCCAGCGCTGACCGCAGCAGTCTGATATGCCCTAGTCTATTCAACAAGCAGAGTGTACCGCTTGAGATGACATCATCTGTTCATCTTTCTCACCTGAAGAGGATGCGCCACGTCCTGATGTTCAAGATAGACTGCACGCCTCTTGAAATGTTGAGGTGCTGGCATTCACAAGGAACAGAGGATGTAGGTTACCTGGGAGCTGTCCTCGACATGTAGGGGGCTGGGCGGGAAGAGGGGGCCGGGTCGAGGAGGTTGAGCTGCGTCAGGGGTGGGTGCCGGGCTGCTGCTAGAACGGCGCTCGCTCAGAGGAGTCCAGCGCTCCTGTTTGGCCCTGTCACTCCTCGCGCTGGCACTGCCTGGTGTGGGACCTGCAGTGCGCAGGCGCTCACAGTGCACTCCACAACACAATAGCTATAATGGAAATAGATGGCAGAATTGTACTACAACTGCACAGGTAGTACACAATTTTGGTGGGTGTCAAAGCGACTCAGGGTGCATGCTCTTACAGTCTGGGGTGCAATGTCGGCGGCACATTTATGGAGCCAAAAGTGTACCTGTGGTGCTGTGTGGCTGTCGCCCCAGCTGGGTCATGTCCTGCAGCTTGATGGGCGTGTACTGCGACTGCCTCAAAGCTCTGGCGTCCGTGGCCGCAGGCTTCTGCTGTGAAAGAGAGATTCCCCGCACGTCCCTCTTCTCTCCCCTGCTGCTGCTGCTGCTGCCAGCTGTTTTGTGGCTGTTGGAGGAGCCGCCGCTGTCCCTGCTCCTGCAATCCTGCGCTGGCGTTGCTGTGCTGTTGGGAGACGCCTCAGCAAGTTCTGTGCTGTTGTGCGGACTGCCCTTTGCCTCTGCAGCGGGAGAGGGCGCGATGAACGTGGTGGTCACCACTGCGGTGGCATTGAGGCTGCCGCTGCATGCGGCGAAGCTCCTGTGCGAGATGAGGGTCGCCTCGTGCTCGGAAGTCAGGGACGCCTGTTTGGGGTCGGCCAGAAAGAAGGTGCTGCGGCGCACGGGTGCCTCTGTCAGGGGAGCCTGCGCAGACTGCCAGATGCGCGGCACTGGCGACTTTGTGTGAGCTGTCTGGACCGGAGGCACCACAGCAGGAGGGGAGGAAGCAGGCATGCATGACTGTGTCTGCACACCAGCGTCCCTCTCCCTCGATGCCTTGGCAACTGCAGCCTGTGTGCATGCCAAAGCAGAGATTAGATACACTTTGATGACCTCTGCCTGCACGACCATAAGTGAATATTCGATGCTGCGCAGACAAAGTGAGTTATTTTGCAGCACTGCATGCGCACCTGGGCCTCCTCAAGCTGCTTTTGCCAGGTTGCACGTGAAGAGGCTGACTCCGCGTCTGAATCCTGCAACCTCTTGCGCAGCTCTGCCACTGCACACACCAGGGCTTTGCTCGTTCAAGTAGACAAATCTTGCATCTAAACCAGACTTTTAGAGTAGCCCCCGAAGGCTAGGGTCCAGGCTCCCAAATTGTCAAACCAAGCAGGTGTGAAGCTTAGCATGGGAGGGGGCAACTAATATGTACCGAGAAGGTTGTCATCCTTTGCTGAGGCCTCGAGGGCGCGAATCTTGGCAAGAGCTCCCGCCGCTGCAGCCACTGCTTCTGTCTGTTCCCTGATTGTGCGTTGGCGCTCGCAAACCTCATCCCTTGAAGCTGCCGTCTCAGCATGTGCCTGTCATAAAAGTGGCCCTTCCTTTACTTGGATCATGGCTTATCTCTGGCTTGAGGACGTTGGCTGTAATATGTTACAGATGCAACCTTTGCTGTTGCTATGCCATGACAGCAATTCACTGGTTACAAGCACCTTGCAGAGCTCTTCCTGCAGAATCTTCACATGTGTCTCTGAGGCCTGCGCAATTGCTGACAGAATTTGCACGCGTTGCTCTCCCTTCTTCACCTCAGCCCATACCTGCATTGGTAACAAGCGTGTCAGCAGTGCTCAGACCATTTGAGACGTGCAGTGTGGGTGACTAATATGCCATCCAACATTCTTCTGCGTGTACGTCTCCAACAGAACAGTGGAATACCTCCTCAATTGCAATGGTCCTGTCCATCAATCTCCGTTGCATTTCGTGCAAGCGCTGTCTGTGGACCTTGTCATCCGGCAGCATCTGCGACACCCCATGGAAATCAACTCCTGGTGCAATAAGGTGTCGCTAGCTGCATGTCACTAGCTTTGGGTGAATTCTGCACTATTTAAGCAACACCTGGGCGGACTCCTGTTGGCCGTCTGCTTGGGACGATTTGCCATCAAGAGCTGGCTGTCCCTGCACACGTCTCCAGGCTTGGAACTCTGCTTGCACCACTGCCAGCTGAGCCTCCTTGGCTGCTATGTCTCTGCGAAGACTGCTATTCTGGATTTTCAGGTCTGCCATGTTTTGCTCCAATGCCTGCACAGATGATACATTCTGCTCACTGTATGTTCTTGCTTCCATCCCCTTAAATCTACACTCAGGAGGAACAGCAGCTGAGGGGCACACATACTAGTGCAAGCAACAAGAAGCAGCCTCTCATCAGTGATCCATCTAGCGACTTCGGGCCTCACCCTTGCATGACCTGTGTGCGACAACAGACTTGCCCGCAGCTGACAGGCTTCTTGACTGACGCCCTTGGCAGCAAGTGCCTTCTCTGATAGATCCTGAGCCTGACTGACTACAGGCGATGCCACAGAAACGCCGCCTTGCAGGTCGTGGATGATTGCTTTCTGCATGTCCGTCAGCTGGTGCAATTTCTTGTTCTCATGTGTCACTGCCTCTGCCCATTGAGCCTGCATTGTCAAGCGCTTCAGAGCTCCCTTTTTCATGGGTTGGTTCTGTAGCATTTCACATGTTTAACTCTGTAAGACCTTGCTCTGGGTAGTAAAGACTATACCGCTGCTGCAGCCTCATCTGCAGATGTCAAAGCCCTCGTTGCAGCTGCCTGCCTGGCTTCTTTTTCCGTAGCAAGTTCTCTTTTCAGGCTCAGCACTTCCAATTGCAGCCCCTGGATGCTCACGCCTCGCGGCGTGGTCACTCTAGGTGTCAGATGCCTTGGAGCCAAACCTCTTGGAGTGTGAGCACTTGCTCCCCGTGCTTCCTGCAGTACGAATGAGAAATCTAAAGGATATTCTGTTATGTGCAAAGATCTGCAGCAATCCCCAAGCCTGTTACACCTGATGGACCCCTAGCTCTGGGAGTGCACCTTCACGGTCGACTGCCTCGCCGCTTTTTCAGATGACAACTCGTTCTGCAGTTGCTTCAAGTGCTCGCTGAGCCGCTCCAAGTGCGGACCTTGGCCTCTCGCACTCTGCAATTGAAAACGGAATCTGAGTCATACGTTACTCTTCCTTCATTTCTGCGAGAGGCCGACTTGATGGAGTTAGTGGCTAGTTTTGAAGCGTCTCTGTAATTTTATGTGTTATACCACACGTAGAATTCGGATCTTGAGGCGCGTGTCTGCTTGTGTATGTCACAAGATGGACTTAGCGAGCGATGGGAATGTACTGCGCTTATTCCTCTCACCTTCATTGGTGTGCTAACCATATCTGATCCTTGATTGCTGTACTCTTCCATTTTGGGGCAGCAATGCCGCGATCACAGCGTGTTATGTGGTATCAAAATGATACTATTAAGTTCTGATAGGGGCACAAACAGTCTCTTTAAATACCAAAACAGTATTCGGGCTTGGACAAATGAAAATTACGAAAGCATCGCTCTCTTTACCGCGTCAATCGTTGCAATCAATACACTGTTCCTGGAGAGCTTTCACATCTGAATTTCCAACGTCTCGAAAAAAGAACCTAGATTTTTCATAAACCTGCAAATCCCCTAAGGATCCTGCAAAACCCTTGCATGCTAAAAAAACACTTCAAATTTCAACCCGTGCATCTTGTGTTTGAGGAGGGAGGCATGGTGCTCATCTGGAAAGCAGGTCCAGATGTGTTAATTGGCTGCCTTGGCAGCAGGATTCCTGCCAGCAGCTGCCACAGAAAGGGTGGTACCGATTTTAATTAAGCTATAAATTGCTGTCTTGCTTGGGTCTTGCTTGGATCTGGCGAGTCCATTAAGGGGTAGGATTTTGGCAGCCTTTACTGCAGCTTTCCTGCAGACGCACCTTGCTTCTGGCAGGAAAAGCGTGTAATAATAATAATAATGATTAATTGCTGTACAGTTCATGTTCACCTCTGTGGTCAGGATCCATTACACAATTGCGTGTGGCATAAAAGGGCCTTGACAAAGTCACTGCAGCGAAGTCACTGCAGCAAAGTCAAATTCTTGCCCCTACAAATGGCGCATGTGTCCATGCAACAACCTCTTGATTCAGCCACAGCACTACAACCCAGGGCCTGCTTCCTGCCAATAAAATGTTCTTCAAAATGTACTTCTGATGTCCCATACCTCTTGCATACTGCCACAACGCTGCTGCTCCTAATAAAAATTATCCACAACATAAATACAATTAATTTCGATCACTTTGGCGATCGTCATCCAGCAAATAAGCAATTACAAACCCGTCATGTTGCCTGAACAAAGCTGTAGGCTTTACGATGCAGCAGAAGCTGGACTCTGTACCTTTGCTTAATGGCTTAAGCAAAGGTAGTGAGAAGCCCCAACGTTATTATTGATTCTCTAAAGGTACTCCGCTGCAGATTGGAACGCTGGACCAAGTGGGATGACTGGACACAAAACTCTCAACTGTGTTGGAAGAGGACAAGTGCAGTACCTACAAGCGCAGCCACTTGCATGTCTGCCATTGGCTGTGCAACAGTACCCACTTGCCTCCCGTAAGCTGACCATGAAACAAGCAAACTTCTGATGACCAACTGCTGTCAGATTGCGCTCTCTTCAGTCAGTGACTAGGTCTGCGCATCTAATGCCCTCCCTGGCAACGTTTGGAGCCCCCCGCTAATTTTGTCAGGGCAGCTCCATTGCGCAGGGCATTCAGGCCAAATAGACTCTTCTTGGCATGGGACATCTTGCCGTACTCAAGGAAGAGTATAGGCGCCGTGAAGGTGACATGTCCAACTGGGACACAGTAAAGAGCAAAATCATGAACTGGGATCCCGCTATTCTGCATTCTCCTCTTTGATCACACCCTCACGTGAGTGGACCTTCCTTACTGATGAGGCACCAAACACACTGGCATGGGTGGCTTCATTCAGCAGAAGATCATCACAACACACCGCCGTGGTGAGGGGTAGAGTTGGTCTCAATGCGCAGTCTTGAGACAGCTTGAGCAGCAGCGAAGGCTCTGCTGCAGCCATTGAAAGATCCCCTGACAGCCTGCCATGTGGCAGCCCAAATCACAGTGGCTGGGCGTCCCATCCAGAGCGTGCTGCTGGCAGGTGTCAGCAGGTGCCGTAGCAGACGCCGCCAGAGCAGTTGCACTGGGGAGGCGGAATGCAGGCGCCCACCTGGCCGTTGGGCTCTGCCGGGTAGGGGCAGCCATAGAGCGCCGTTGGGAACTCCTGCAGTGCAGAACAGGGCCTGTCAGGCATGTGCTCCACCCATTTCAGCTATTGCAGAGCCTGCTAGCACTGCCTGGCAATGCTGAGAGGACATGACTGGTGCTGGTGCTTAAAAGTTGAAAGCAAAAAGACTTGAGAGTCCCTGTACGGCAGAGGAGTGGAGGCATGTGAGACTCACGCTGGGGCTCTTGGTGCCGGACTCCATGATGACATCAGACTGGGCGGGGTCGATGTATCGCACAGCAGGGGTGTGCTGCTGCAGGACTGCCGGTGCGACCGTCCTGGTGTCGGATGCTGCCGCAGTCGTGCCCACCTCCAGCCCGCTCATCAGCTCGCACTCCTGCAACCTCGCCCCGCAGTCACCTCCTGTGGCGCGCAGCAGGCACAGCCAGTCAGCACTCTGTCTCTCTGATTGGTTCATTTTAAGGACAAGTGTTCAGGAGGCATCAATGGCACGGCATGCAAAGTTGCTGGAAGGCCCACTCACCAGCGCATCTCCGCCAGTGGGTGCAGGCGGAGTCCATCTCGCAGTGCTTGGCGCAGGTCTCCAGGTTCTGCACATGGGGGATCACGCGTACAACGTTGCCCTTGAGCTCCACGTAGCCCTTGGCGTAGGCCAGCACGTTGATCCTGGGCGTGTCGTCTGCACAGAACAACCACTTGTCAGTCACCATCCAACCTCGAGGGATCCACTTCAGAGCTGTCACACATCCAAATCGCAGAATTTGTGTTTTTAAATAGCGTCTAATATTGTATCCCAGCTGAGCTTCCCATGCATGCATGTTTGTAATGCATCTTTGGCCTTGAGGCTTGCACACTCCTCTTGCAGCTTGCAGTGGTGTGAGTGAGACATGCAAGAGTGCAGGCAGCTCACCGACAGGCTGGAAGAAGCTTCCAGTGCGGTCGTCAGTCTGCAGCAGGGATGCGGCGTTTGAGTTGACGGCCGTGGCTCGCACGTATGTGTTGTCCACAGGAGCGGACAGGGGCGCAATGGGAGGGGGCACCGTGGGGCTGCCACCGTTTGGCGAGTAGCTGCACGCAAGACACACAGTCTCGCGTCAGCATTACTCACCCGCGCACACAGTCTGACGCCTGCAAAGGCAAGGAGCAAGCAGCGCAGGGTGGCAAGATTGCTTGCAAGGGTAGCGACGAGCTCGTAGCGATGAGCCAGATAGAGGCAGGATGCACAGGGGCGCACAAGTCTCCTCTGGGGGGGCTCGGAGGGACGCCGGGGGGTGGAGATGGGCTGTTGGGTGAGGGAGATGTCGGCGATGGGCTGTTGGGGCTGTTGGGCGGGGTTGGCACCGGGGGGTTGGGTGGGGTGACGGGGTTGCTGGGCGGATTGTTGGGTGGGTTGCCCGGGAACGTGGGCGACCCTCCGTTGTTGTTCGGGATGTTGTTGAAGCCGCCTCCGCCGCCGCCACCACCGGCACCGCCGCCTGAACCACCAGAAGGACCCTCCTTCAGCAAAGCCTCTCCATGAAACAACTGGGTATCCTCTCGAGATCAGCTGTTGCACTATCCACATGCAGCCGACTTACAGAATGCCGTACATGTCAGTGTGGCTGTGAGAGGAAGCAAAAGCAGCACGGGCACCATGGCTGGAGTGGAGGAATGATCAGGCGCGAGGCACACCTCCAGCATAGATGAGGCCGCCGCCACCGCCACCGAAGCCGCCACCGCCGCCGCCGCCGCCACCGCCACCGTACACATCGGCGTAGTTTGTGGCATTCTCAGGCGGCGGGGGTGGTGGGGGCGGGGGAGGCGCAGAGAAGACCTCCGTGGGCGTTTCCGGCACATACACGATCACCGGCGCCTGGTTGCTGACCGGCGGCTGTGTCTCCACCGGAGGGGGAGGCTGCGTCTCCACTGGGGGAGGGGGCTGCGTCTCCACTGGGGGAGGGGGCTGAGTCTCCACCGGTGCGGCCGGCACCGGCACCGGCACAGGGACGGGTACGGGCACCGGCACGGGCACGGGCACGTGCACGGGCTCCGCACAGCGCCCAGTGGCGCAGGTGGGAACTGCGGGCGCGCAGTTCACGCAGGCGGCGGGCGCGCAGTTTCCGGTTGCGCAGCCGCCTGTCAAGACCCACAGGAGCCCTTGTCAGAGGCCCCACCAGAGAAGCTCTGCTTGACGTCAAGCAGTCAACAAAGTACAGGCTGGTGAATTTTTTGTGGCAGGTGCACTGCGCCAGATACATGTTCTCATGGATGGAAGGGTATATCAGAGGGCAGGAATTGCACCTGGAGGTCCGGGGGCACCAGGTGGGCCTGGAACGCCGCCGGCGACAGGCACAGGGAGGTACGCCACCTGCTGGACGGGCGCCTGGTTGGCCGTCCCGGTGGTGTAGACTACTCCTGGCTGCGTGGCGCCCCCCACAATAACGGGGGTGCCCACCACAACAGGGGTGCCATTCACAACAACTGGCGTGCCAGCGGCAACCGTTGTCCCATTGTTCGCCGACACTGCTGATGCCGTCTGGAGGACCTGCAAATGCCGCACCACATCAGAGTCAATGATTCTGCGGATGGCCTTCAATTGCAAAAGAAGATGGTGCTGCATGCACATGTAGCTGCAGATCACTGGAGATGCAGCACACTATCGCCTTGGTGGTGTCCTCGCACCTGCGGCTGCGCGGTGACAGTCTGCGCGCCGGTCGTGACAGGCTGCTGCGCAACGTTGCTCACCACAGCTGGGCTGGGGACGACGACACCGCCGTTCTGCGCCGTTCCCGCAGGTACTGGCTGGCTCCCCGACGCCTGCGTCAATTCAAGAAAGTCGTGTCAGGCCACTTCTTCATCTCCATTGCAGCTCTGAGTGCCTGAAGAGCACAGTGTGCAATATTAGGGAGTGGGTGCTGTTGCCAGCTGCGGGCTGCTCACCGCTGGCACAGTGATGTTGAACAGCGGCGGTGGCGCTGTCGCCAGGTTGAGGGTGTTGACTTGGTCCTGTAGGAACCGCCTGTTGCCGCCCGTTGCGGCGCCCTCGAGCTCCTGCTGCACCTTCACTGCAGCTGACACCACTGCCGCCCCCAGCTCCTGCAGTGAGCCCGCCGCCTGCTGCTGCAGCCAGGCTCCATTCAGCTTGTCGCAGAAGCTGTCCTTGTCTGCTGCCGCCTTCGGCACGCAGAAGCCAGCATGGCAGACAGTTGCTGCCACGCTTGTTCCCCACGGTACTAAGTTTCTGGTCTGCAATTGCCGCGTGAACGGCGCCGAAAGCGGCTGGCAAGTGCTGCTGCTCCTGCAGGGCCTGCAGCCCTCTGCTATGTCACCTGCAGCAGGTCACAGGAGACTTTAGCATTTTCCAGATAATGCAAAAGTGGCCCTAAAGTGACATGCAAAGTGTGCCTACGAGCTCAGCTGCGGTGCCCAAGGACACCCGAAAATGCTGGTGCTAGCAGCGCTGGCTCTGTCACCGAGTGACGACATCAGGCCTGGCAGGCTGGCGGGAGGAAGATGGAAAAAGCTCAACGGAGCGAAATGGCCATCCGACGATCAAAGTGTGCATGTATCTGCACATATAACCAGCTCCTCCCGCGGCAGCCCCAATGTCAGCACGTCATCTCGGTGTCTTACGCAGAGAAACTGGACGGCTTGCCCAAACGCGCCCAAGCCGGGGTGCGAGGGAAGGCTTATACTGGCATTCATGCCATACGAGGTCTAAGAAGTGCTAAGCATCCCCTGCATCAAGCCAACACATAAGGCGGGCCGGGATCGGCCCGCCTTCCAGACGCTTGAGCACACAAACCAGAGCGCCGCACTGACTCTAGGAACGCTTCCACGCGGCCCTAGATGCACGAGGTGTCATGCTGTGCAAGAAGAAGTCTGAAAATGTCCCCGATCTCGCTCCTTTGAGCCTGTCGACTTCTGATGCCCGCGGGCACATGCTGATGCTCGCACCAACCTCGCAGCCTTCCTCGCTCCCTACCGATTCAGATGATGCTCTGTCTAGAGGATCAGTGAGAATCTCACCGCTTTCTGCCCCTAGTCCTGCTGCTCCGATGGCCAACACGGCCCAAGCAGCGAGAAGCAGGAGCGCTCTCATCCTGCGCGAGCTGCCTCTACCCAGAGGTGCCGCCGTCTGACATTCTTGCGCCTGATGGTGATCCAGGATCACTCCTGCGAGCCTTCTATCGCCTCAAATGTGTTTGCCCCGATCGATGGCGCGCCAGTCTTTTCCACGAGGTGCGTCGTGGGCTCTCGCTGATCTCCGATACTTCCTGAGGGCCACTTGCAGAGCTGTGAACGACTGGCAAATCGTTGGAACTGCGGAGTGTCTGTATTTCCGTGCCAAATGTGTCTGTCCGCCCTTTTAAAGGCAGAGCGTTTTGATCGATCAATCAGTGCACACCGATCAGTGATGCGGGTTAGTAGTGATGTCGACTTTGTCACTCCCAGGCCCTGTGACGGGGACAAGTTGGTCACCTTGCCGGTGATCAATTTTGATGCTCTTTACCGCAATCCCCAACCCGCCTTAACTTCGAGGGACTTGCCAGTAGCCCGCAAGCCTGCCTCACGGCCATTGGTGTACCCCTAGTGGTGCCACAGTGTGAAATAAGGCCACACTAGCCAGCTGCATCAGCAGCACCAAATTCCCATATATATTATTAGTATTACACCACGCTTCAAGCTTTCCTGCCAGAAGCAAGGTGCGTCTGCAGACAAGCTGCAGTAAAGGCTGCCAAAATCCTACCCCTTGATGGACTAGCCACATCCAAGCAAGACCCAATTGATTGCAATCAACCGTGGGCACGGTGCTATATATATATGCGCATGCAAAATTCTAATTCTGTACTGTTCAACACCTCCATGCCCAGTCAGTGGCTAATCTGTTGACTCAATGTCGATGTGATCTTGGGAACTTCTTGAAGTTTGTGTATTATTATTGTTATATATTATTCCTGCCAGAAGCAAGGTGCATCTGCAGACGTTGTCGACAAGCTGCATGAAAAGGCTGCCAATTCACCCCTTGATGGACTGGTCAGATCTTACTTGGATCATCCAAGCAAGACCCAATCGGACCGCCCCTCGCCAGCCGGAGTGTGATAGTAGCCAATGTACATATGGTATTTCAGTCGACTGTTGCATAGCATGCTGTGGCTGTTTAAGGTGCAATGAGTCCATCAGATGACCTGCACTGCTGGCAGGCTGCATTGGCCACCCGGCATGATGCTGCTTGATGTTCTAGATCAGCCCACAATTTCAATCGCAGCTTGGTAGTACATGCGCATGCCCAACAACCAGACCTCAGAGGCATGTACGGCATGCAAATGTTCCTACAGGAGAGTTCACATATTCTGGCTCATGGGCAATGAGCAAGGCTCACAGCGGCAGCTCCTTTGTGAGCGTGTCAAGATCCGACTCGTGCACGTGCTGCATTAAGTCCATGCGGCTGGCGCACGCGAGCGAAGTGCGCAGGTAGCCCCACACGGAGGCGGCCTTGGGGTTCAGGCCCAGCGCCCTCACGTAGAAGCGCGCAGACTGCTCGTAGTTGCCCACGTTTGCCTGCGCCATGCATGCAGAAAGAACCCCCTCACTGGATTTCATCAAGTGGTTCTGTGCAGTTGCAGTGCCACATTAAATCCCAACCCGCTCCTTCTGGAACGATAGGCCATGGAGTCACCAGCTGCACATGTATGATCAACATCGCAATCAGCACCGGTAATCACCTGCGCGATGCCCATGTTGGTCCAGGCCCGCATGTAGTTGGGCTTGAGGTCCAGGGCCTTCTGGTAGGCGGCGATGGCCTCGTGGCTGTGCGTGCTGTTGGCCAGCGTCGCGCCCAGCTTGTTCCACAGCGAGTAGTCGCGCGGACGCAGCGCCAGCGCCGCCCGGAACGCCTCCCCCGCGCGCTCGTACTGCCGCGCCAGGCTGTGCAGCACCCCCAGCGCCACCTGCACGTCCGCGTTGCCCGGCTCCTGCGCAGTCCCCACATGCACTGCCTCAGTGCAGGGGCAGATGCACAGGCAGCCAGCAGCCCACATCAATCCACTGCAATTTAAAAACCCCTGCAAGTAATTTGACCGGACTGTCAGAAGACCAGCAGCGGAAGCACCCATCCTGCAGCGGGGTATAGAGGAGAGGTTTGAGCCAAACCTGCTGTGCTGCCTGCTCAAAGACTCCCATGGCATGCGGCAAGCGCTGGCTAGAGTCCTGCGGCAGGCCTGCATCGGCCAATAACTGCAAGCCCAGAAAAAGAATCAGCCAGCGTGCCAGGATTGCCACATTTCAATTTCAGAGGGCACATTTACACGCGTGTCCTGCTAGCACTGCCTTGACATGCGCACCTTGGCGAGAGAAGGCTGTTGGGCGAGCCAGGCCGTGAGGTAGCCTAGTGCGCGGCCCTGATCCAACTCATTGGTGTATGAGACTCCCAGCGAGAGCAGCACCTCTGCATTGCGCGGGTCTGCCGCGAGCGCCTTGTTCAGGGCTGCAATTGCCTGCAAGGGGGCAAACATGCCCATCAGAAATATTGCTGAAAGCGGCCAAGGGATAGATGTCTTTATCTTCCACCAAGATGTAAGCAGAGCAGCAGCGCACGCATGTACCTGTTGGTCATCGTCATTCTCAGCGTGCACAGTGCCCAAGAGGCGCCAGGCTTCCACATTGTCAGGCCTCCGCTGCACCTCAGCCTCCAGAGCCAGAACAGCCTCGCTGAGCAGCCCACTCTTGAACAACGCCTTCCCCTTTGCAAAGCTTTCTGGATCCTGCACGAGGTCACTCAACAGCTGTCAGGAATCGTGGAAATTTGGAGAGTCACACGTGGGCTTGTGGCAAGAAGATTACTGTAGCAGTGCGGGTACTGACGCCCACAAATGCTTGAAGGTTCCACACTGCTCACAACATGATGCAACAGTAAAGATGGTGGGGCTCACCTGCAGGAAGGCATTGTCCTCACTCATCCTGTACTCGGTGGGGCCAGCACTGGCCATTGCCTCCTGCGCACGGGCGGCCTGCGCCTCCCAGTCATTCAGCCAGCCTGCCACCTCCTCATTGGGCACCATCTGCTCCGCAAACTGGTCCGCCCAGTCGTTGCCACCGCTAGGACCGCCGCTGTATTCGTCCGCCCAACCAGCAGCCTCTCCCTGCAACTATACATGCATCCCGTTGATATGGCCACATGGATTGGCAGTCTGTCTGTAAAGAAAATTTAGAAAACCCAATGGCTGATTTCTTGTACCTCCCCATAGTGTTTCCAGATATCCTCAAAGTCAGCTGCATTGCTGGCGTCCTGCTTGTCTGCAAATTCGCTTGCCCAGGCAGCGCTCTCAGCAGAGACCTCCTTGGCCTGTGGCAAATACAGTACAGTGCCTTGCACCCATTACTTTCAATTCTCTCAGTTCCCAATTGAAAATGTACAACACGAGACAACACACCAAAGCTGGGCGCACCTCGTTGCCCTCCAAGATGATCTCCCCTCGGCTCATCTTGGAGATGAATTGCAAGAACTTGGAGTTTGCAAACTTGCCATCCTTATCACTGGCCAGGGTGCCGGCCAAAGCCTTCGTCTGCTCCAAAGCACCATCAGAGGTCTGTGCGTGGGCCCCAGCCCTGGCCTCCGCCTGCATGCACATGGACCAGTAAGGTAAAGCCACTGCGTTTCACATGGTTTCGAGCGCCTGGTACACACATGCGTAGCACATCATTGCTATAACCAAGGGACCAAGGGACAGCACCGTGGCCGCCTCTGCCTTGCCGAACTCAGTGGCCCACTCGTTGGAGGGCCCTGCTGTGTCATCCCAAATCTGATTCCAGGATGCCGTCCTCCCCGGAGGGTGCCGCTTTTGCTGCTGCACAAAATCCGATGCCCATTGCTCGTGGGCAGGGCCACCATCCAAGCGCAGCCTAGAAAAGTCGTCCACCCACCTGAGAACCATGCAGACACGTTATGAGAAGTATTTACGGTGCCAGTGTAACAGAGGGATATATTGGTAAAAGCACCATATTGATGGGCAGAAACGCACCCATTGGCAGCCCCGGCTGCATGACCAAGCTGCGCATTTGCAGCCACATCGGCTGCCAAGGGTGGCCTGAAGCGAGAGGCGCCCTCCTGATAAATGGAATTCCAGGCTGCAGCGTCTGCACGGCCGGGCAAGCTCCGGGGGTCTATATTGAGGGAATGCAGCAGCCGCCCGACCTGGACATCCAGCACCAGCCACAGTCGATCACAGTCCAAAACATCGCCGCAGCATTTGCATGCACGCAAGCAGGCATGCAGTGCATTAAGAGAGAGCTCCAACCTGCTCATCCGCAAAGACATCTCCACGGTCGGCAAACAAGTGGCGGGCCATAATTGTGCTGCGATCACGGATCCGGCACTGATCCAGCTGTGTCAATTGCAGTGGCGGGGACAGCAGCGGCTGAAAGATACCCTGCACCTTGGCACTCGCCAGGAATGCCTGCACAGCAGCCCCGGTCATGAGAGCTGGAAATGCACATCGTAGCAAGCAGCAGTCCTGAACAATTTACAGAGAAACACGCAAGTTCAGAGGTAATGATTCGATCTTTATCTAAGAGAATGCGCACATGGAGGAAGGGTGCCAGGCCGGGCAGCCCCAGCCCTGGCTGAGGAGCACCCAGGGGGCGATCTGGCCTCCCATTCTGGTATATGGCCTCGAACTGTGCGAAGTCCTGTGGCATTGGTCCTGCCCCTGCTGCAGAGCGTGGCCCCAGGCCTGCCAAAAACTCGTCCACATCTCCGGCACAAAAGGCGGTCCTTGAGGCGCCAGGCACAGCCAGAGCGTCCCCTGACATGAGGCAGAATGATCAATGCAACTCTGCAGATTATGCCGGGCTGTCAGTATTTCCTTAAACATACTACAGCAGAATGTCACTTTCATGAAAATCACCAATTTATTGGTGTTCTCGGCTGTACCTTCAGCAGCAGCGTGAGCTGCAGCCTCCACAGTGTTGCCCCCAGACCGACTCCAAGGGGCAGCCCCAGCCAGGCCATGCACTCCAGGCAGCTGCAAGCGACATAGGAAATTCTTCACAAGATGTACGTTTCTACCTTGGCTCCCGTCCTCCTGGCCAAGGTGTTTGAAAACACAGATCTAGCCAGGAACGAAGCTGGGGCTCATTCTAAAAAAAATTAGCAACAAACTGGAACTTCTTCAATGTGCATAGAATCGAAAAGGCAAGGAGGCGCGCACGTCTCGAAGCTGTTCTTGTTGCTTTGATGACCGGCCCAAAAGCGAGTTTGTGAAGCTAGACAGAGCATTGGAAGGGCCTGCGCCACCATCGGAAGGTGTGCAGGCATCACTGCCCGTCACTAGCTCGCGCATCGCCATGGAAGCTACGTGTGTGCGTGCTTCTCAATCTATAACTGCCAGAAGATAAAATTGCACAGGCCGTGGTCAGCACCGAGTCCTGCCACACCTAGTCTTCGAAACTAGGTTTAAAAATCAAGCCATAGTGCTCCTCTGAGCAGAGGTGCGCTCCTCTTTGGCTTTGGCAGGCAGGCGTGAGTCACATCACATCACGTGATATGCATGCCAGGTCAGCTACAACAACAACGAAACCCCATGAAGCCAGGGGAAAGGGTTGAAAAGTTCGAATGAGTGTCAACAGCAAACAATTCGAAACCTCAGCAATTTCTTTCAACCAACTAGCTATAAAAGCAGGACGATCCGAAGATTACAAGAAAAAATCGAAGAGCAGTCTGGCAAGCGTGCAGGGTCTGACTGCAAGGGGCATCACCAAGCTCTGCGCAAGCCTTCGGCCCCGTAAAACAACGATCTCGGCAGGACGGTACAGGTCCTTGACCTACTTATGCAATAAGTACTGTTATTGGACGAATTCATGATAAGATCTAGTTGCACCATCCTTCTAGGCGATTATCGTGAACCGTGGTGATGAGTCGATGGTGAGTATTCGGCGGATGGCTGAGCTCCTGATCTTGTTTTGGCACAGGCCACAGAGCTCGAGTACTGCAAGTCAACACGTCTCGATGCAGCAGCCTGCCAATCCAACCGCTGCGGCAATATACAATCATGCGTTCCCACTGTCTTCCGCTGAGATCCTGGGCCGGATTCATAAAGATGCGGAGTGGGTATTGATCGGAGAAGCGTCGCATGGGACGAAGGAGTTCTACGAGACTCGTGCCAGCATCACCAAAGATCTGATTGAAAAGGAAGGCTTCAACGCAGTGGCTGTGGAGGCAGGTGCGTGGACTTCCAGTAGGATAGGCTGGTGTTGCAACTGCAACTGACATGGATCTCGTCTTCATGACGAAGCAAGTACTCACCTGAAAGTGTATAAAGAGGTAGTGGGACCGAAACATAAAGCGATGTGCATCAAGAGCCTGTCATGACTCGCTCTATGAATTCTTTGGCAGACTTCCCAGACGCTTTCAGGGCCAATCTGTGGGTCCGCGGCCTCTCAGATGACCGCACGGCAGATGAAGCTCTGAGTGACTTCAAGGTGAGCACTTCGCATGACGCCTGCCAGCACAAGCATGACTCATGTTCTGCTTAGAATGGTGCCTGTCAGGGCAGCCTCCTAGATGCAGCAAATGACCGTGTTGTACGGGCACCTGTGAGCAATAGCATGCACGTTGCTGGGTCACTAGTCGTGCAAGCCTACATGACTCCATCCGCCTGTGGCAGCGCTTCCCATTGCAGCGCTTCCCGACTTGGATGTGGCGCAACAAGACGGTGGTGGCGTTCCTGGACTGGCTGCATGGGCGCAACACGCGCCTGCCGCAGGAGGAGCAGCGGCTGAAGAGTGTCGGCTTCTATGGTCTGCAACTCCTCCCTTGTGCCCCTGCCCACACTGTCAAGACAGCAGCCTTCCCAACAATTAGTCAGTCAGTCTTCCTGCGGATGATCAGACACTTCTGTTGGATTATGCATGCGTCAGGGCAGATGTCAATGAGACCCATGTGCAATGGCCGGCAGAGTGGCTTTCGCACGCCAGCGGCCATATCCCTGAAAATGTTCAAGATATGAGCTCACGAGCACAACACATCATCACACTTGACAGTCATGGATTGCTTGATGCAGGTCTGGACGTGTACTCACTGAACACCTCCACTCAGACAGTCATCAGCTACTTGGAGAGGGTTGACCCGGAAGCCGCCAAGATTGCCAAGCAGCGCTACTCCTGCTTTGACAGGTGCACCTGCTGTATCTGCTTAGACACCACTGGGTTACTCAATATCTGCAGCCGGCTAGCAGGTGTGACGTGTTTGCATCTTTCATGCAATCCCTGGAAATTTGAGGGCAATTATGATGATGGGTTGTCCCAGGGTGGCTGCCACTTCCTGCTGCTGCAGCTGAGGTGCAGCCAGATATATCGGCTGAGCAATTCTCACTTCAATGTGGGAGTGTGCACAGGTTTGGCGCAGATGCAATGCTGTATGGGCTCGCTCTGAGGCAGGGCTACAAGTCCTGCGAAGTGGGGGCCATCAAGGAGCTTGTGGACATGCGGCGTCTGGTGAGCTCTGCTTGCGTTTGGATCGGCATGCATGACATCCACCCCTCGCACGAATATGCCAGCTCTATGCTGCATGTTTAGATTTGAGGTTGTTGGCCTGCCTGCAGCTGGAGCGGCGTGAGAAGAAGTCTTATGGTCAGCTGGCTGAGGAGGAGTGGGACTTTGCTGCCCTGGAGAATGCGCGCGTTGTGAAGGATGCTGAGCAGTACTACAGAGCCATGTTCTTCAGGGGTGGGTCTCCCCTCTGGCATCGTCCACGTGTGCAATGTGTCACTTCAAGTTGCGTCGTGCACCATTGAAAACATTGAGGCTCCAGTTTTGTTGGCACTGCACGGCGTCATTGGCACCTTGGGGGATTCTCAACGAATCAAGACAATCTCTCTTTACTTGACAGAAGGCTCTTTCAACATCTGTCTGGGGCTGCAGATGACGTGACCTGGAACATCCGGGACAGACACATGGTCGACAGTGCTGAGTCACTGAGGGACAACCTCAAGAAACGGGGCATCAAGCAGCCCAAGATTGTCATCTGTGAGCTTCCATCTTCCATACGCATCTGAAGTCCTGCACCTGCTGATCTTTGTGCTTTATATTCCTGCGTTGAAGTAGCAGAGCACAGCATCTCATGACCAGCAAGACAAGTCTGAATTGATCAGATGAAGGAGGGTCGATCTCCGCCATATAGTACAGAGTAAACCGTGCAGATGAACAGGTCCTGCGCGACACTGTGGTGACTGGCAACCATTCAAATGCAAATTGACAGGTATCCTGTCCATGCAGGGGCGCACAACTCGCACCTGGGTGATGCCAGAGCCACTGACATGGGCAGAGCGAGGGGCGAGGTCAACATAGGGCAGCTCATGCGCGAGCGCTTTGCCGCAGACAACCCAGAAAATGTCATCAACATCGGCTTCACCACGCACACTGGTACCGTCGCAGCAGCTGATGACTGGGACCAACCTGTCAAGCACAAGCGGGTCAACCCAAGCATGGCAGGTGATACTTGGATGCACGCCCCACCATCCAGCCTTGCACACCCATTTCTTGCGCTAGCTGACAGGAGATACAGAAGCATGAATGTGTTATCCTGAAAGGCATCTCTTCATCAGGCAATATTGGAGTGCTGCAAATAGATGCCGCCTTCACCTGTGAGATGATCCTCCGCGTGCACATTTGCAGACAGCTACGAGGGCCTGATGCACAGTGTGGGCAAGGCGGCATTTGGGCTGGACTTCCTGCATGCCGAGGGGCCCAAGCCGGGACTGAGGGAGATGCTGCATGGGCCGCGCCTCGAGAGGGCCATTGGCGTCATCTACCGACCAGACACTGAGCGCTGGTCCCACTACTTCAAAGCGTGCGTTACGTCATGCTGCAACTGCGTTCTAGTAGTATGAGAACTTGGAATGTTATGAAGCACTTGGCCGGGTGCACCAAGATTTGCTTATAACTAAAATTTTCTGCCCCTGTGGGTTTGTGCACTCAATTGCAGTCTACACTGTGCAGGTGGCTGCCCCTCCAGTTTGACATGATCTTACACATCGATGCCACCAGCGGAGTGGAGCCGCTCGAGCCTGGAGATGAATGGGAGGAGCATGAGGAGGTCAGGCGTGAGCCACCTGAGACGTATCCCTTCGCGCTGTGAAATCTGCCTGCAGAGGAGAAATTGGCGTGGTAGTGGAATCAATTGCGGCCAAGCATGAATGGCGTTCAAGATACCTTCCTTCATGTTTTGCAGTTCATGCTGATGCCAGTTTGACGCGACCATGTGAACATTGTGAATGCGTGAACCGTGAATGCTTTGTCTGACACAATCAGCCAACAGCTGTAGGCTGCAGAATAGGGCCCCAATGGCCTCGCGGACCTCATCAGATGCACTGCTGTGCATCACCAATAGCATGTGGTGATTGGGTTGAGCATGTTTCACAATAGTTGTGATAGCACACGTGTCTGTTTCTCAACTGTTGTAGTAGCACACTACTTGTCTGGAGCTGCAATCCAGAAGACCGAATCGAAGCCAATTGGAGGCACCGAGTACAGTAACTTGGCCGACTGCGTATTTTGCTGGACGTGACTGATTGTAAAGATACAGGGGGATTCAGTACACCCCTGAAATAGACCTAGACAGGGTGATTCAGCACACCCTCTTGCAAGCACGCTCGGCCTCTACTGCACCAGCTCAGTTTTTTTTTTTTTTTTTTTTTAAGGAGAACCCCTCTATTACAGGCATGAGGGTAGCGAACTTCCCAACACACACATAATAGGATATTTAGGGAAACCTGACCGAGTTTGGGGCACGCAAAACACTCCCGCAGGAGGATAGGGCGATACCCAAGGAACATCAAAGCAATGGGAAACGGCATGGTCACAATGGCAATCGTGTCCAGACAATCAAGGACAATCAATCATCGTCGATGGAATGTAGGAAGGTAACAATAGGGCCTAACGCGATGACTAAGTCGGGCAGTCAATAACGCCCACTGGTTTGCGGGAAGCTAATCTCTTCAAAGTCAGTGACAAAGCATGGCAAGCTCTACAGCACACCAACCCAGCAGTGGGTTGGGATAGGCAGGAGGTACCATGTTCTCAGTCCTAGACACCCGCTCAATATGATCACACATGAGAGTCATGAATGCACAGGAACAATGAGGAATGCACCGGATGACAGAATGTGAGGGGAAGGACACGTGATGGACACACTTGATGAAATGATTCTAATGGGGTTGGAGACAAGAAAACACAGGAATCTGCTACCAGGACCCTGGGGAGAATGGGCTTCATTGAATGGGTGGCAGCGTCAAAGCTCTCCAGCGCGCCGGTGAAGAGGTGCACAGGTTGAGGGGCGCACGACTGAGCCGCCCGACCGGGAGAACCCGGTACATGAGAGCCGGCGGAGCATGTCTGTGGGGGCGAGGCCACAAGAACTGGTGGGTGAGGCCAGTGCCCCAGAAGGGAAAGGAAACCCCAGGGGCCATGCCCGGCCGTGCTCTCTGGGACTCCCGACCGGTGGTACCGCGTGACTGGGGGCCCCTTTCCGCGGTGGCAGAGGATGGGGACGGAGACGGGGAGGCACTTCTCGAAAACAACATGCTTGTCATCCCCAGGGTCCTAACGTGATCCACAGGTACACATGGGTGAAGGCAAGCCGGTCTGAGCCGGGGTGGGGTGTGTGTCATCCGGAGTGCGTGCCTAGAACTCACTGAGGACGCCTACGGGTGCCAAGCCCCCGGATGTGCCAAAAAGGATCACTAAACGAGGCTGTTCAATCGGTGGAGGACTCGAGCGGGTGTCATGGCAAAAGGCCATCAACAAAGCATGGTGTCACAGGGTTTGCCTGATTGAGGCCCAGGCAGGCCTGGTTCTTGAAGTTTGAAGAATCATGCGGGCAGCGGCACCGGTGTTGTGCGCTGCAATGGATGACAAGCTGCGCATCGGGCGCCGCGCCCAGTGCGCAGAGGACGTCCCGATGGCACCAGCGCGCCGTGAACTCCTCGCGCGTCAGTTTCGGGTCGCGCCCGCGCAGCCAGTCGCTGGGCACGCCCGCTGTGTTCCTGACGTTGATGGTTGCAAGCCGCCAGTCGCCGAGGATGGCTTTCCTGCTGGAGGAGATGATCCGAGCTGCTACCGCGCCCGCTGATTGCGCTGCATCCGGCTGGTGCCGTGCGTGCTGGTAGGCTGCCCAGAGCTGGCAGATGGTGGCCAGCCGGAGGCGATGCCAGAGAGGCCCGAGCTGGGAGGCCGGCCTCCAGGTCCGCTGGTCGTCTGCAAGAAGGAGGTCTGTGCTGCGTGGCGGCGGGGGCTCTCCTGTGATGGCTGCCCAAGTGGCCGCAAACCAGTCCCATACGGACGCTGCCAGGGGGCAGGTCATGAGGACGTGGGTGAGCGTGGCATCCTGATCTGTGCAGTGAGGATGCGGGCAGCGGTGGCCTGCTGCATCTGCTCGATGGATGTGCCGCGAGAAGGCCCCGACGAAGAGCTTCCCGTGTAGAAGTCTCCAGGCTGTCACGCGGTGGCCTCGGTCGAGGTGGGAAGTGTCAAGCACGCGCCAGACGTGAGCCCAAGGCGGGTGTGGTCCTCCTGAAGCGGCCGCTGCATCGACTGTGTCCGGCAAGGACTGCTGCCGCGGCGTGCGAGGTGCTGGTGCTGGAGCCTGTGGATGTGGCCGATCGCGCCAAGGCGCTGGCCGCTTCTGCGGCGGGCTCATCCATGCCTGATAGGAGGATGGATCTGGCTCTCCACGCGGCCGCTTTCTCAGGCACTGCTGGGAAGAGCCGGTTCCTGCTGCTGTGGACGCCCAGTGTGCCTCGATAGCCCGAAGGCCGCTGCGCTGATCATCTGTGCTGTCAGCCCAGATGGCCGGCCTCATCGTGCCCTGAGGTTGGCCGTCGCCATGCTGTCTCCTGTGAAGCACTTGGCGTCGTGTGGTCGCCTCCTTGACCACGTACTCATGTGCTGGCCGCGTGCCCAATCCCCAAGAGTTGGGGTCAACCATGTGCGTCCCCCAAACGCCGAAGAGATACGGCGGCGCTGGCTCCAGCTACAGCTGTATCCTCACGAACGGCTGTATGTTAACACCTACATCATCCATTATAGTCCTCTGGACGTGGACAGAGGGAGTACACCAGGGCAAGTCACACGTGCTAGCAAATTTGTGTACCTCCGTTGACAGTGGTACGATGCGGATCGGGAAGGACAGGCTCCCTATCCATCACATACATGCATGTCTTGCTTGTTACACGATCGTAAGAAACGCTGCGTGATGTACTAGGCAGTGGGACTGCCACAAGGATGGTGCAGCTGACCAATGGCCGTGTTCCTTCACAGCCTGCAATCCTACACCGTCAGAGCGACCTGCCCTGTACTGCACGAGGAGAGACACAGATTGTCCTGGAGCCAGCAGCCCCAAAGACACGTCCATCTTTCTCTTAGAGTTTCTTGGCATTCTCTCCCGGGAATTTACCTCCTTTGTGAAGAGGCACTGCAGATGGTGCACTCGAAGTCTTCAGTGAGGGCACAGGCTTTCATGAATACAGTTAATATCCTTGGCTGGCGCGCCACCCTGGGCGTTGTCCGACGCATGCCCGACGCAGGCATTGCAAGATCTTCTCAGTCCTCAGCTGTAGCTGTGAAAGGCTCGCAGCAGCGCCTATGATGGAATGGGAGACTTTTGAATGCGCACAACCGCAGCGGACGTTGCGGCGCAAGGGCCGCTCCCGTTCAGGACACAAGTGCAGCCATCCCAACGGCTTGTGATCGCCCTCGTAGCGTGTAGCCGGCCAAGCCAGCATCTGCACAAGGTCCCAGCAGCACAGGTGCCTGCTACGACAGCGCCACACAGCAAACTACACCTCTAGAGTTTTACTGCATCATATGCATGCGCATCGGGCTTGCCTAGTATAACTGTAGCACACGGTCATTCACTGTTAGGGACAATGTCGCAGCATTGCGCCAGAGGCACGGCTTTGTGCCGCTTGCGAGCATCGTTCTAGTTCTAGGAGTGGCCTTGCGAGCGACGTCGTCATGGCATCCTTCAGCAGAGCGGCCGATTTGTGACTTGTTGCGTGGGAATCACGGCACTACAGCCCGCCAGAATTCGGACAACAGCCTGCTGGGCCGAGCGTACGTCGCAAAACAGGTGCTGGCCTCCATGGTCACCTACCATGCCACCTTCATACCGGTGCCACAAGACTTGCTACAGAGGCTCTGCAGAGCCATCCACACTTTCGTCGCGGCGAACCGGCCGGTGACCCCTGGCGCAGCGGCGGCGCTGTTCCCAAGCAAGGACGTCTGCTTCCGCGCGGCCGCACACGGCGGCATCGCGCTGGTGGACATCAAGGCCCAGATCCTGGCTCTCCAGGCCAAGGTGGTGGGCAGGCTGTTGGAGCCGGAACAGCTGGCCTGGAAGGCCTACTTCGACCACTGGCTGTACAGGAGCACAGCCTGGCTGGCAGCGCAGGAACCCGGCACGGTGTCAGCGCGGCGGCAGCACATCTGGCAGCTGGGAAGATTCCTGCTCTTCTCCACCTTTGCAGCGAAGCATGTGGAGGCCCCGCAGCGCGTACGGCAGTACCTGCATGCCTACCAGCAGCTGCGGCCCCATCACCTGCGGAAGCCGGAAGCGATCGGCTACGACGCAGTCATGGGTGAGCCACTGTTCTTCAACAGGCAGCTCACGGATGCAGTCAGGCAGCCCTTTGCCTGGGAGGACTGGGCCAGGCTTGGCCTGGTCAGGATCAGCCACCTGCGCGATGTCGTGCGCGGCCCGGAGCATCCGGTTCGGATGGTGCGAGAGCGCGTGCCCATCCTTCTGGCTGCCTTGCCAGCAGCCTGGAGAGCGCTAATCCAGGTGCAGCCACCGGCCGCTATGTGGTGCGCATCTCCGGACCCGTCGGATCGCCGCGTCTGGTCTCGCACAGCCGAAGGTAGCACCTACCTTCTCAGCCACACAGTAAGCAGCACAGGAGCCCTTGTGCCAGTGGACGGAGGCGTTGCAGCCATGCACGCCTTCCTTCCTCCGGCCGCGCAGCCTGCATTGGTTCAGCACTGGGACATCACCAGGCCCTGGCATCCACGCAGCGGCACACGTCAGCAGCGCCAACACGCGGAGCAGCTGCACCCAGAGCAGCACCTGCAGGTGGAGCAGCA